TTCTTGCTGCTCCGGCCTGCCCACCTCTTCTTGCTGCTCCGGCCTGCCCACCTCTTCTTGCTGCTCCGGTCTTCTCTCTTCCTCCTGCACTTCCATCCTGTCCTCTTCCTCTTTTTGCTGCTGCCTGCCCATCTCTTTTTGTTGCTCCTGCCTGCCCATCTCTTTCTGCTGCTCCTGCCTGCCCACCTCCTCCTGCACTTCCATCTTGTCCTCTTCTTCTTTTTGCTGCTCCGGCCTGCCCACCTCTTCTTGCTGCGGCTTACCCACCTTTTCTTGCTCTCCCGGCCCGCTCTCTTCTTGTTTCACGATCCTGAAGATTTCATCCAATTCTTCATCTGTGAAACCTAACCTTGCTTGATCATCACGCAATCCTTGAAGCTGTTCACGCCTCTCAAACTCCCTGCCCATAATACTGTCAGGTGCTGGAGGAATGACTTCCATGATTTCGAACTCGTCTCCATCATCTGTCAAATCGATAATTTTACCCGAGAAAATAACATTCGCTTGAATGGCATCATGATCCTCTTTGGGTTTTGATATTGGCATAGACAAAAAGTTGTCAGGCAGAGGTACAAGCAAATGTGGCTCATGCTCAATGATGTAATCTGCTACGTCCATCGTTTCCCCCGTAAAGATGTTCTTGACTGCTTCACATAATTCTTCAGTGTCATCGTATTCGGAATCGCTATGATCACTTTCCTGTGATTCCGCTAGTGCGGCCGACGTCATTCCATTGAAGGAAACACCTTCAACTGGTAACGACGTAGGCTCTTCCTCTGACTTGACTCTGATCCTTCTTGTACGGAGGTGGTGTGCTAGAAATGGAGGTGGCAACGGAGATAGCTCATGCAATTTTGACTGGCTTGCCTCACCTCGCTTTCCAAAAAAATAATTTGTGCCCGTTTGCGTGTTGTAGAAGAATTTCAAGTCAGCAGGATCCCATGTCAATCCTTTGATCTTCTTTGCACGTGGGTCATGCATGGTGATCTCTCTTAAGTCATTTTGGATTCCCTGCTGCCGCTGTTCCTCTGATTCAGATCGAGATCTGCCTCGAGATTGGCTTCGACTTCTGTGAAAAGAGAAACTTTTCCTTCTCCTCGCCATCCCTTCTCGTGCAGCCTCACGTTGAGGTCTTGTCATTGTGGCAGGTGTCATATCTGTATCAAGATCACTGTGATATGTACCATCCGTGCCTTGTAGTATGTCGGCTGCCAATCTTTTCTTCTTCTGTAAGGTCAATAGAGTCAGAAGAGGTTCTTTTCTAAATCACGGTTTGTACTTACAGCTTGCCTGTTTCTTTCACGTGCTTCGGAGATATGATCCAATGTCCTTTTTGACGAGCTTGCCTCTTCATTGATATGATCATTCATAGTAATCAAGCAATGAAAAAAGCTTTCGAGGCTGTCACGAAATGTGGTAACAAAGGGTTGAAGTAGAAAAGCAGAAAGCGTACGAAAACTCTCTTTCGCTTGCTCATATACATGATTTTCAGCCCCAGCCAATCTGCGTTTATTGCGCTTTGACGCATACGCTTTGACCTACGAATTAGCATACTTTTTATTCATATTATTCTCCGATCAATAGGAAATTGAATTAATGTGTTTACGCTATTCAAGTTGGAGTGATAGGGTTAGTTTGTATTGATCACTATGAAAGAAATACCTGAAAACGCACAGACTTGATTACATAATCATCACACGCCCTTCTCCACTCCTTGCCCCGTAAAATTAAGCTTAATTATACAGATTGTTCTAGCAGCTTCCACACTGATCCAGTGCTTACTTGCTCATTCCACGAGCGTCTTGTGCCTGCATGCCAATAAGGTGAATTACCATTGAGAAGATGAACATCAGAAAAGTACTTATACCCTCCCCTTCAAATTAATTCGTTCTTCTTCCCGCCATCACCTACAATCAAAAAATATACCCAGAGTACAAATCATCCTCACACGACAGCAACATGTCTGCTCGTTCAGGTTTCGAATTGACTGATAGAGCTCAACAAGCTTTATCAAATGCTCTTCAATTAGCAAAAGACTATGCTCATGCAAATTTATACCCCGTCCATATCGCTTTAGCTTTGCTCACAGAAGATTCAGCAAATTTACAACAACAACAAGGCTCCATTCCAGGAGGATCAACACCATCCAGACCTGGAACGCCAGCCACTCCTGCCCGTGCTGCAGGCAATCAATCATTATTCAGAAGCGTTTTGAGTAAAGCAGGCGCTGACAGCTTCAAGTTAGAAAATTCTTTACGTGAAGCTTTACGCAAGATTCCCTCTCAAAGCCCTGCTCCTGACGAGGTGAGTCTTTCATCAGCAGCAAGCAAATTGTTGAAGAAAGCAGAAGATCTCAAAACATCACAACATGATGCCTACATCGCTCAAGATCATTTGCTCTTGGCACTCATGGACGATGCAAGTGTCAAGCCACTCCTTCAACAAGCTGGTTTGGCAAATGATCAATTACTCAAAACTGCCATCCTCCAATCTCGTGGTCAAAGAAGGATCGATAGCAAAAGTGCAGAAGCAGGATTCGAAGCTCTTCAAAAGTACTGCGTCGATTTAACAGATATGGCAGCCGAAGGCAAATTGGATCCCGTCATCGGAAGAGATGCGGAAATTCGACGTGTGATCCGAGTTTTGTCTAGACGACGAAAGAACTGCGCTTGCTTGGTCGGTGAAGCAGGTGTGGGAAAAACTGCAATTGCAGAAGGATTGGCACAAAGAATCATCGAGAGAGATTGTCCTCCAAGTCTCCTTGGTCGTCTCTTGTCACTCGATTTGGGTGCCTTGATGGCTGGTGCATCATACAAGGGAGAATACGAAGAACGTGTGAAATCGGTCATCAATGAATTGGAAAAGGCAGCCGATGATGGAACAATCGTCATCTTGTTTATTGATGAAATGCACTTGATCGTCTCGGGCGGCGGTTCATCTGGAATGGATGCTGCCAATCTCTTCAAACCAGCTTTGGCACGTGGTAAGATTAAGGTTATCGGTGCAACAACATTGCGAGAGTACAAGACCGCAATCGAAAAGGATGCTGCTTTGGACCGTAGATTCCAAAGTGTGTTTGTTAACGAACCTGATGAACAAGCCACTTTGGCAATCTTGCGAGGTGTGCGTGAAAAGTATGAGATTCATGCCGGTGTTCGCATTCTCGATTCAAGTTTGGTATCTGCAGTTCAATTGGCAAAACGTTATTTGCCATACAGACATGCTCCCGACAGTGCTTTAGATTTGATTGATGAAGCATGTGCGGAAGTCGCAACAAATAGGGATACGCTTCCAGAAGAGTTGGACAAACTTCAAAGACACAAAATGCAACTCGAAGTTGCCATTCACGCTTTGGAACGTGAAAAGGACAAAGCAAGCAAGGAATCGTTAGAGGCGACCAAACGTGAACTAGCAACTTTGGAAGATGAGCTCGGACCAAAGATGGCTGAGCATGAAGCTGAAAAAAGCAAACATGACGAATTGGCAAATGCACGTAGACGATTGGAGGATGTTCGAAGCAAAGCCGATGCTGCTGAAAGACGATATGACGTCCAAACATCCGCAGATCTGCGCTACTACGCCATTCCCGATTTAGAAGCACGCATCAAGCAACTAGAGGAAGAAGAAAGACGCAAAGCAGAAAAGGGAGAAGTTGATGCCAATACGACAGTCACACCAGAAGTTGTTGCAACAGTTGTCGCCCGCTGGACAGGGATCCCAGTCAAGAGCATGTTGGAGAGTGAGAAACAACGCATTCTCAAATTACCCAAGTTGCTCGGTAAGGAAATCGTTGGACAACCGGAAGCCGTTCAAGCGATTGCCAATGCTATTCAAATGAGCCGTGCTGGCTTGCAAAACCCCAATCAACCTGCATCCTTTTTGTTCTTGGGATCAAGTGGTAGCGGTAAGACCTTATGCGCAAAGACGTTGGCCAAGCTCTTGTTCAATGATGAGAAAGCATTGGTCCGAATTGATTCAAGTGAATATAGCGAGAAGCACTCTGTTAGCCGTTTGTTCGGATCTCCTCCTGGCTATGTCGGTCATGGAGAGCCAGGTGCATTGGAAGCAGTTCGTCAACGCCCTTACAGTATCATCTTGGTGGACGAGATCGAAAAAGGACATCCGCAAACATACCTTACGGCCTGGTTGCAAATCTTGGATGACGGTCGCGCAACGGATGGTCAAGGACGCTTGATCGATTTCAGTCAATCAATCATCATTTTCACTTCCAATTTAGGCTCACAGTTCATCAATGATGCCGAAGAAGGTGAAGAACTGTCAGACTCAACACGTTCATTGATCGAAGGAACAGTCTCGTCTGCAATGCCACCAGAATTCCGCAATCGTATCTCTGCAACGGTCATCTTCCGTCGCTTGACCCGTGACAACGTTCGTGCAATTATCGATTTACGTATTCGCGAAATTGAAGAACGGTCTAGGAAGAACGGAAAAGATCTCCGCTTCAACGTTTCGGACGAAGCAAAAGAATTCTTGGCAAGCGTTGGTTATTCACCCAGTCTTGGTGCACGTCCATTGATGCGTGCTATCAATCAATACATTCTCAGTCCATTATCTATCCTCCTCTTACGTGGAGAGGTTTTGGACGGTGAAAAGGTGAATATCGTCTTTGATCCGATCAACAACCGTCCAATCGTTCAAAAGAATCATGACATTCCTCGCGATGAAGAAGGCGATGTGGAAATGTCAGAGGATGAAGACGACGAAGCCTACATTGTCGAAGAACCACTTGACTAAAGAATTGTACGTATCCCAAACATCTGTATATATAAAACTTATTCATCAAATTGTATCAAATGTCATCGTAACCGTGTTCATTTTTCCTGTATGTATGTGTATTTCTATAACTGAGCAAGATGAGATTGCACTAGTCTCAAGATCATGAAGGTCTGATTTCAACACTTGCATCTAATCATCTATCATTCAACCATGTTTGCCAAAAGAATAGGGTATTCTGTTATTGATATAGGATACACTATGATAAATCTGGAAGAAAACCTCTGTAACAATGCGTTCGCAAAAGTGCGAATGAAAGAAAGAAAGAGAGAAGAGGTAGAAGTCCGTTATGCACCATCTGCGGGTATGAACGAAAAAAAGAAAGGCCAAAAAGAGAGTGTGTATGAAGCAAAACAATGCCACAATTACCAGGATTTGGATCCAGTCCAAGAGATGTGCAAGATGTGAAAAGAGATACAATACAATTTGTTTATTATTTTTTACCATGACTTGCATCAATCCAAACTTAGTCGATGAGTCTGTTGATGTCGTTCCAGATTTTGTGCTGATGTGCTCTTCACAGGTGTCAAACCTTGAGGGCTTCTGATCGGGCTTAAAAGTCCATGTGTGGATTGACTATACGCCATTGCTTGGTTGTAAGGCTCGAAATATCCTCCCGCATCTTCGTCCTCATTCCCGTTTGTGCGAAGGGTGTTAGTTGAATTAGGTAATGGGTTCCCTCTTCCGTCCAGTTCGTACTGGAAGGGAGAAGAAATCACAGGTTCGTGACCATTACTGCTTGCAAGTTCGTCCCCTTTGGATGCCTTCTTTTCTTCTGCAGACCGCGCCATAGCAGCTTTTAGGCCAATATCAAAGTTCATCATACACCGTATCGTCATCAAAAATGTAGCCAGAAGCAGGATCAAAGCTAATACTGAAAACACCGTTAGACTCTTGTAAACGTCTCTGTAAGGACCCAAGCGATTTTGCCAAATCCGGAAAAGCTTGTATGCGAAATATCCTGCACCACCCCATAAAGCGATCATAAAGCCGATCGTTCCCCATTTCAATTCTGTGCGAATGCTATACCAAGCGAAGACTAGAAGGAATAAAGTCACAGGTGCCGCAAACGCTGTCACCCAGAATTCTGGAGTATCCCGATTCAACACTACAAGCACCAATTGAACGCAAAAGGCAATAAAGGTGAAAAAGTCAAACTTCAACAGACAAACGAAGATTTGGAAATGCATATGTGCACGTTTCAGCCTTCGATCAGCTCCGATGGTCTTGTAGATTTGCCAACCGAACTCCTTCCATAGAAAGTATGCCAGACTTGCAAAGATGAGGGAGGAAAGACCGATGATGACAGGAATCGCACCTGTTAATACCTGAACGGGAACCGTTTGAGAAGTTCCTGCAATCACTCCATCACCCAAGACATCCCGTATTTCCGAAATTTGGATTAAAGCATAAACCAAAAATGCCAAATTGAAGATCACCAAACCGAAAACCAAGATTGTGTTTCTGTTCACAGTTGCATCAATTGCCAAAAAGCATTGGTAAACGTGTGCAAAACCGAAAACCATCAAAAAGACTGGTAAAGCACTCAAGTTACCTCCGTTGACGGATAGTTGACCTTGCGACTCTCTAAATCTGAACAAGAGCACAGCCTCAATACTGATATCAGCAGCCGCTTCTACGAACGTGATTAGAATAAACAGCCGGGCTGGCCAGGTTGATGGTATCCAGCCGAATCGTCTTGAAGCAGGCGAGGAAAGTAAGGCAGTGCTGGGCATCCCTCTCTGATGCCGCGTTCGATTGATGCCATTGACGCTTTTACTGTTGGATCGTTGAGCCATATTTGTAGTATTGTTTCTTTTTGATCCCAATAATCCACCAAACACAGATGAAGATGTCGTGTAATCTGTTCGATTGGAGGTGGATAGGTTACGATTGAGATCTTTTTCTGGATTTTGTAAATGTGCAGTTGTTGATTTGTATGGGGTGGTACTATCGTGTAAATTTTCATCCATTTGGGCGTATTGTCCATATATATCTTCATAGTATCCATCAGGAGTTACCCCCCTTGCCACCCTACCGTATCTCAATTCCTCCTCTTCTTCTTCATCATCAAATCCGTAATTTTGAGGTGAATTGTCGAATGTGATGTGAATGGGATCATCTTCATGCTTGTATGGCATTGAAGAGTTGCTGTATTGGTGGTTCATATTGGATAAGTCGAGATTGCGTGCATTACGCACTTTTGGTATGGAACCCATCGATGTCGGCAACCAGATGTGAATTGGGGCTTGAGCCTGATTTGCTTTTGTATTATGGCTTGATTGGCAACCGCAAGCTTTAGAAGCTCAACCAGCTTTCAAGCAGACATCAATCAAGCTCTGCCACGATGTGAAGCAGGTTCAGGCAAAAGGATGTTAAAGTTGGAAAAAAGCGAGTAGCGGAGCAAGAAAATTGGGCAAAATTGAGAGAGAAGTCGAATAATCTAGCCGCAGAAGATTGAGGTTGTTGAATTTGGACTGAAGGTGATGATGATGTTGATGGTGACCAAAGTTCAGACGATGCCATTCATGCAATCAATCACTTTTATGTTACATTCAGGGCACACCCGCTCTTTTTGCTCTTTAAACCCTCGCGCGATAAATGCACTACTAAGCCGATCATGCCTATCCCCATTTCACACATATACAGACTACAGTAGCGCACATTCATTCATTCATCTTGTCTGCTTCTCTTTGCACAAGAACGGCCCTCCTCCTCCTTTACCCTAAAAACGCGTAATTGATCTTAAAGCCAAAGCATGCCCCCCGTTTCTTTTTTAATTGCCAAGGAGTTATGTATACGCACCTCTGAACTCCTGCGCAGCGCTGCGCGTAATTTAGTCTACTTCTTTTTGCATAAACTTAAGGCAGGATCGGCAACATTTCACGCGTGACGGCATTGATGAATGTGTTGGACAGAAATTAATAATACGATTAAGTAAGCAACAAAAAAAGTTGTTTGATTAGCTTTATCTTTGATTCGGAAGAAGTTCTTTTGCTATTGCTATCCCATCCTGTTACAATCATAATTGCTTGATCTGTAGACATGACAAATCCAGACATACAAGATGGAGAAGCTTCTCGTCATGCTTCTTCATCAAGTGTGCCTGATGAAACAGCTCAAGCAATGAATGCTTTCATTCAAACAACCGAAGAGGAAGAACAACAAGATCTTCTGCCAGGCAACCCAACCACTAAATCAATCGTTGAATCAACTTTACCAGAAGTCATTACAGCACCTTGGCTTAAACCATCTCAAAGTGGACAAAGACTTCGATTGGTTGAAGCTGTTCGATTCCTAGGACCTGCACTAGTTGCTGAGGATGAACGACAAAGGTTACGTGCAGTCGTTTTGCTCTCTTTGCTCATTACCACTCTGATCGAAGATGAATCAGCACGTAAAGCGTTATTCGATAAGCAAGCAATCACAACTTTGACAACATTTTTTGCTTCCAAGATTGAAGACGGTAATACAGTAGCAGCCAATATTGCTCAATCGATGAATGCAAGAACAGAAGTTATACCCGGCAGTGCACCCGAATATAGAAGGAAAAAGTATCCACCTGGAACAGAGATGCTCGTATCCTCCTTGCGAGCATTGTTGGCGATGAGCAAGCTGGAAGGCTTTGCAAGTGAAGCGGCGAAAGCAACAACAGAAAACTTGCTTCAGCATTCATCACCTCGTGTTCACCCACAGGCTATTCGTTTTCTGGTGTATACATTGATGGATTCTTTGCTCTCGCGTCACAGAAATGCTCTTAAAACTTTGGGGAACGACTTTGTCAAAGGATACATTGAACTGGTGGAAGGCGAAAAAGATCCACGTAATCTGGTCTACATCTTTGCAATGGATCGCGTGGTTCTGATCGAATGGGATTCTCTGGACAGCGAAACAATTGAAAATTTCTTTGATGTTACTTATTGTTACTTCCCCATCACTTTCAGACCACCTCCCGATGATCCATATGGTATCAGCACAAACTCCCTCAGAGTCGCATTACGCAAAGCTCTTTGTGCAAGTCCACTCTTGGCTCCGCATGCTTTGCCATTATTGATTGAGAAGATGCAAGCCAGTGGCGGAAATGCAAAAAGGGATACATTGGATACTTTGGCTGAAGCATTACCAGTCTTTGGACGTTCTGCAGCTTTGGCACACGCAAAGGAACTATGGCAAGGCTATCGAATCGAGATCATGCATGCTTCTGACGATGCTACTGCAATTTGTGCAACAAGAGCTCTTGAATCGCTACTATTTGTGCTTTATGTCGATGTTGAACAACCTAACGGTCTTGCTCCAGAAATTGTGGCGGATATGTTGGATGAATTGGAAGAACCATCAAAAGCACAAGCAAAGCCGGCGAGCTCAATTCTGGCCGCCATGATTCGTGCCACGCCTGCTACTTCTCGCTTGGCCATTCAAGGCTCTTTGGATCACCTTTTGGGCATGTACAAAGGAACAGACGATATAAGCTTCCGACCTTCGATCATGGATCATCTCAACACAGTCATCAAAGCATTGCGTGAAGCATATACCCCAATCGAGGAGCGTGAATCCAGTAAAGAGTTAGAATTGCAAGTCAAAGAAGAAGGTAAATTCACCTTTGCCAAACCGGCCAGCAATGAAGCTGCTGATGCCGGTCTAGCAGGATTACAAAACAAAGTCCAAGGACCTGTTCGGGAGTATGCGGTAGATGGTCGCCCTATGGACGATTTCAGAGATCTTTTGGTTGCTACGATCGAACATGGACTCAAAACAAGCAATACTAGACAATCAGCTGTAGAGGCTTTCGTTAACTTGAGCCATATCGGTTTGTTGACCTTTGCAGAGCTTCGTCATCTGTGTGGTCATGTGAATGAGCTTTTGATCGATGAATCTGCAGAGCCAGTACGAATTCAGGCATTGGACGGTTTACGGGATATTGGAAATCGTAAAGTGGTAGAAGAGACTACACTTCCTTTGCTGTTCTCAACACTACCTGATCATCTCTCTGCAGCGGACGAAAGACAAAAAGGTGTCATTCGACGTGCTTTGGGTGCTTTGGCAAAATTGTGTGATGCTCCCGACTTTTTCGATATGCTTGTTGTCAGATTGAGTACGAAATTGGACCTTCTTTGCGCTTCCAAGTACCAATCAAATGATGCGCAAGACCGGGAAGCAAACATAGGCTATGCTCGTGGTATTGTGAATGCATTAATTTTTGTTTTGCAAACAAAGGTACAGAGAAAAGATCGGGATACCGCAAGACATGCTGGATTAGTTCCACGTCTTTTGGGATTGGTGATCGAATCTGCACTCCGACAAGATGCGTCAGAGGGAAGCGTTGGATGCGATCGTCAGGTAATTCAAGATATTGGTAGACTGTTGATGCTATTGGTAAGATGCCTTGATACGACAAAACAGAGTGAATTGTCAACGATTCTCTATCCTGCGTTCATGGAAGGAAATTTAAAGCTTCTAGCACGAGATTCATCCTTGCTCAACAGACTTCTCACAGAGGAACCTTCCCTCAAACTGCAATTGACCGCCGATAATCAGACACAACTTCCCACTCGACAAAGAAATTTGATGCACCCCTTTGCATCTACCATTGTCGCTTTGCGCAAGGATGTACCTGCTCCGCCAGGCGATATCAACACGAATGTGCAAAACATGATTGGGTGGACGATCAATTCAAATACTGCCCTGCAAGAAGAGGGAGGATCTTGGCTGTTGGCCGATTGGATCAACAAGCATGTCCAAGAGCCTGTAGTGGATGCTTTGCAGCAGGCACTAGACAAATTTTGGGAAGAAGAAATTGAAAAGAATGATAAAATGGATTTGGATGGTAAACAAAATGCTCAAAACCAGATCCGTCGTCAAAAGAGAGCGATTCGAATCTGGCTCGCAATGGCTAGAGGGTTCTTGATCAAGAACAGCAAAAAGGCAGAATCAATGGTGAACAGATTGATCGCGTTATTTGATCAACGTCCTCTTGTTGCCCATATCTCTGTTCTACATGAAGCAGCAAGTGGAATGGGTATCCTCTTGCGCGAAGATCATGTCTTGTGCAAAGAGAATGGATCGGTGATTCGATTGTTGTACAGGCAACGATTTGTCACATTTGCACTTCCAAAATTGCTTGACGGACACAAAGCTGCAAATGCTGTTGGAGTTGATGCTGAAGCCGATCATGCTTCTGTTCAGCGTAATTTACACTTGGTAGCAATTTGTGCTCTTTTACCTTCATTACCTAGGGCAACATTGATGGACAGATTGGCAGATTTGTTCCCGCTACTGATCTTGGCTTTGGATGTACACGAAGATGGCGTTGTTCAAGCTAGTGCATCTCATGTGATCACCTTGGCGGCAGCATTGGGAAAGCGCCAACGTGATGAAGCAATTTTGGAAGGCAAAGCAGCAACAGCATTGGGCAGAACACCAAAGCTATCAGCAGGAGCGGTGATGGAAAAGAATTCGTTGGATTTGGTCAGCGATCATATCAACAGTATTCTGCAAAGATTATTGACGATTGTCGTTGGGAAGGAGGGGGAAACAGCCAGCAAAGCATCTGAATCGACAAAAGTTGCCGCTTTACGTTCATTGGCAACGATCGCACGCTGTGTGCCTTATACAACTTTGCTTCGTCATCGAACCGCTGTCTTGCGTTCTCTTGGTCAACGTGGACGCGGAATCGATGATGCAAAGAGAAACGTTCGACTGGATGCTGTTGATACCCGAGACGCATGGTATAGACTCAAAGGCGAAGAGGATGAAGAAGAAACATCATAGAATGTACTAATACGATAATGCAATTATACTTTCAACAGACAAAGGAGTGTATTAGAGATAGGAAAGGAATGTGCTTCTATTTATCTACACAACGTTCTTTGGCACGTTGTCGAGCTTCTACCACGGAGCTCAGCTTTCGCAATCCTGCATGCAGATCACGCTCAAGGGTTTTGTCCATGATAAATGGTTCACTTGGCGGCTTTATCTCAATCGTTGGCAAAGAATTATTGTCTGCAGTGTAGGCTGGAGGTGATTGTTTGATATCGCTTAGATGTCCATTCGGTTTTGAACGTTTTCCACGTTTGATGATTCGCATTCCACCTTTTCCACGTCCCGCTGAATCTTTCGAATCACGTTTAGATCCAACCTCAAGGAAAGGAACGATTCCAACATCGAATCCGGTCACATTGGTAAACTTTTGTGCTTCACCTGGTGCATATTCTTTTACATGATGACGAACTTCCCATTCATGTTCCATCTTGCGTAATTGTTCCCGGAATGGGGTTAATGGCGTTGTTGCGATATCTTCTTCATCTTCACCTTCTTCGGGAATCGTTTGAGGGTTCTGTCCATCAGCACCTGCTCCTCGCTTTACTTCTTCCTGTCTGGCCTTTTCCATAGCTTTTGCTAAGTTATGTGAATGTCCTGCATCGGTTTGCATAGAATCAGGTGCGATTCCATTCGAACTTGATTTGATCAAATTAGCTAAAATGTGTGATTTTTGCTTCTTTCCTTCAAGTTTATCCAATGCAGACAATCTTTCGTCGTTTCTCTTGATTCGTACCTCCTCTCTTTGTATACGTTCGCTCAAATCTGCTCTCGTCAATCGAGCTTTGGACTTGCCTGATTTCGAAGAAGAGAATGTATCGGATCGTTGCGGTTTCGGCCTGACTTCCATCGGTAAAGATTGTGATCTCTGTTGAAGTTGATGGGGTCCATGTTCCCTCAAGCGAGCAGGGATCGCTGTTGGAGGTTGGACAGGTTGAGATGATTCGGAGCGCACTTGAGGCTTCACAACAGCTTTTGGCGGTGGCAAAGCAGGCAAAGGTATAGCAGGCGGCAAGGGAGGGGCAAAGAGATTTTGACTCTGTTGTCGTGATGAGGTGGTGGTCGTGGAGCTTGTGTTTGAAACTCTTTCAGAGATACTACTCATCTTTTTCACGCTACCCTTTTCGGCAAAACGAATGCTCATACTTCTGTGGGAAGAAGATCTGCCCGCTGAGCTACTTGCATTGGATCTCCTAGAAACTGCATTACCATTCCCTACGGTTGGATCTGTCGTTGAACGTCTTTTCATCAAGATTGATCGAACCTGCTCAGGCTCCAGAGCAACTGGACGTCCACTCGTAGGTGAGAACAGTACTGATCTTCGTGTGGATGACATCACGACAGCATTTTCCGGCCGGTTAAGCGTGATAGATGGCATGCTTTGTTGAATGGATTCTGGTGATTGGGTCATTCGAAGCTCATCTGGAGCAGTCAAAGCTGGAACAGAAGCACCATCTGCTACTGTATTTGCCTCCTCGGAAGAATATGAACTGAAGAAGCTATCGCTAATTGCGCTTCCTGCTTCATCTTGACTGTTAGAATGCCATGTCGAGCCGCTATCACGAATATCACCACCTGTGATCCTATTACCGTTTCCATCAATGATGATCCATCTTTTGTGCTTTGGAGCAATTGCAGCTGGAGTTGGAGCATTTGCATTTCGAAGACGGGGTATAGCAGTGACAAGGTTTCGCACGGGTGTTACTTGTACTGTTTTTACCATTCCGTCATCATGGTATGGACTCAAAATCTGTGATATACGTTTCCCGGGAGACTCCAAACCCGTTTGCAAGAATTCAGCCCGAGGTGGCGTCATGACGGTCGAAGATCCAGAGCTAGAAGCGCTATTGAGGGAGCCTTCCATCCGAGCCGTACCAGATGAGGAAACGGACTGAAGTGACAGCCTATGAATGTTCATCGTCAATCTCTTGCTCACTTTTTCGGCAAATGAGTCAACTTCTTTGACCTTTGGCGTTTTCTCTTGTTCGTCTTTGTATCGTTTCCACTTCTCAAGTGCTGGTGTGGCATTTTCATCATCTGGCCAGAACTGATGGGGATCAAGGGAAAACGGCGACAAGATTTGAACGTCTGGCAGTTCGCCCTCCTTTTTCTGGGTCTTCTTTGCTCCTTCTCCTCCTCTTTCCATCCATTCACCTGTCCAATGTGCTGGTAAGATTGATGAAGAAGGTGGATGTGTGGCTGAATTCAAAAGTTCCGGTACAGAAAGCATTCCGTCCGCGATTGCAAGTTGCGACTTTCTCTTACTTCTACGGCGATGAGAGCCTGCAATGAGACCATGTCCAATTTGTATGGGTGAAGTCATGGATCTTCTTGGGCAAGAAGATGCAGAACTTACTGAGTAATCTCCCGATATTAAGCTCACCCAAGAACAATAACTTGTCATACTCTCGGTTTCCGTTATCCAAGAATCATGTAGTGGATCCCTGCCTAAAACATATGTCTTTCTTCTTCTCGTCTTCTTCTTGAGTGAGACCACAGAAAGACGTGCGGCGTTCTTGTCATCTCTTGACGTAGCAAATTCAACGTTGCATGAAGACTCAAGGCAGCCCGAACAAATTGAGCATGGTGAACCAGCTTTGCAATCTGAACAAAGATCATCATCACATGTGCGTGGCGAATTTGGCATTGAAACGTCCACTGGAACAGCAGGCAAAGGTCTTTGAGGAGGTGGCATGAGCATTGCAACAGATAAATGTTTTTGTGAAAATCGACGTGAAAAAGTGGCAGCCATTCGTGATGCTCTCTTTCCGCCTCTCAATGGAGCTCGTAATGTCTGCTCACGGTGGGGATTTCCGAGGAATAGAGCTAACAATCGTTCTTGGATGGCTTGATGCAGCGTCTGATCGCTGAAGAATTCATCAACTTGTCTTGGATAGATTGTTGCACGATAGTTGGGCTTGTTATAAAAACGTATAACCTTGTCATCTGGAGTTCGAGGAGGTGGTGGCAGTCTCTGGATAATTTCTGTTTCTGCTTCTGATTCCGAGTCACTCTCGCTCTCACTTTCATCCTCGCTACTGGTGCTTTCTTCCTCCTCTGAATCTCCTTCTTCTCCTTCTTTTTTTGATACTCCTGCTTCACTCTGTCCCTCTTCACTAACTCTGATCTCAGGCACGTCTACGAAACGCGGTACTTGTTGAGACAATACTCTCAAGCTGACTCGAGAGCTTGGCGACCAGAATTTGCTACACGAAGACCGTTGAATTGCTCTTTTCAATGGACGATAATACGTATGCCTTTGCATTTCCAGCAAAACTGGAGAAGTTTGTACTGCAGCAGAACGTGGTATCGGTTTGGCATCAATTGCACGATCCAAAAGGATTGTATTGTGTTTCAATGCTTCACGTGCATTCTGGTACTCCTCCTTTGCACTCCTTTGAAGTGGTGCTAGGCTAGCACAATTCAAGTCTTTTTCCTCTACTGAAGATGAAGAATTAGAGGAAGAAGTAGTAGAGGAAAAGGCAGACGGAGAAGCTGCAAGCTGTCCAGCACTCAAATTCTCTCCTCTTGTTCGAGTATCTGTTTGCCGACCACTCAAAAAGTCTCTTGCTTCGTCGCTATCTACCTCCATAATTGTGGTACCAGTCCGGATTGGTGTACGCTCTGGTATAAAGGTCTTGCGTTCCAAAATTTCAATCGTTGCACTGCTCTCTGTACGTTCTGATTCGCTGAGAGAACCACTGATTGTGCTAAGTGCACTTCTTCGCTTGCCTTGTAGCTCTTCATCGAATGTTATTCTTCTATGGATACGTTGAACGTCTGCCCATTCGATTGAAGCATGGGGTGAGGCTGTTGAAATTGCTCTCAATACACTATCACGGCTAACAGTTTCATGACCTTTTGGAATTTCTAATTCATTTGCACTGTGCAGGCCGCCTGAATCATATGTGGTCTCTTGAACGGATCGATCCATGGTTCGTGTTTCGTACGATTCATTTCTCGATTCAACTTTGCGTATATCCAAGATGCAATCTCTCCATTCGCTTGGTTCAATTTTCGAGTTTCCAAAAGTGTTGAGCCGTGTGATCTTTCTTTGAAGTTTTGCTTCAGAGTCTTGCGTTGTGTCAATCTCTCCTGCGATCGGGTCAGACTCCATAGACGTTGGACTTTGCTGTTCTTGAAGATCCTGGAAAAGCTTTTCAGGACGGTCGTGAATGATATCACTTAATACACGTTCCAGAAGCGTATTTGTTCGTGTGACGGCACCTCTACTTGTGCTATCTCCACTCAAAGAATCTTCATCGTCTGATTCGTTCCCTTTGTCGGAGTTTGCAGTTTCTTCATCAATGGAATGTGCATCGGTTAACACTGAACACATTGTCCATCCTCGTCCAATTGTTCGCGTACGAGTAAGCTTTAGAGGATTCTTTAGTTCTTCAACCTCATCAGTGCTGCCATCTTGCTCCTTGGTCTCTTTTCTGTAAGCTGCAGGAATTGGAGGGACTGGCGGCGTAGGATGAGACGCACCGATTCCTTGAATCAATGCTAATCGTTGTGGATCTGAAAGACCTGCGTTACTTCGTGTTCTTGCACGCTTGCCTGGCATTCTTGAAACTCCAGGTTGATCATCCTCACTGCTTCCGCCAGAGGTGACAACGCTGCTACCAGATCTGACGGAAGATGCTCTTGAGCCACTACTACGCATTGGGCTCTGCTTGATGATCTGAACGTCTCTGCTGACATCGCCGATTGAACTCTGAATAAAGCTCCGATCCATTGTTGCACTTTGTTTTGTGAGTTGAAGATCTCTACTAGCATCGTCCATCGAACTTTGAGTTAGTCTTCGATTTATTGTTGCACTTTGTTTCGTGATTTGGAGATCTCTGCTAGCATCGTCCATCGAACTTTGAACGAAGCTTCGATCCATCGTTGCACTTTGTTCATTGTTGTTGTGATTGAAACTTTCTTGCATTTCACTTGGCGATGCTACGATTTGTAGTTGTTCAATCACCGTCAAGGCACGATATTTTGCACACATCCTGTATAATGCAAATTGTTCTGGAATGAAAGAATGTTGAAAAGTTTCAGGGCCAGCCTGATACGGATAAAGTGAAAAAAGTGAACCACTTCTGACCCCCTTTCTGGAAGTGGTCAGTTGATGGTGAAGAGGGAAAAAAAGAGGGAATGGAAAGATAGTTTATCCATTTTGAACACGTTGTCGGGTTTTTATACTTTGTTCATTTTGCCCATTATGCCCCTTGCTTCGCCTGAATGATTACTTGATGTGCCTTGTTAGCCATCGCTCCCACACACGCCCAAAATGTCGCCATGCTGTGCCGTCAAATTGTCTTGGCAGTATTATCAGAATTGCTCGTATTGTCAAGGCGTAATTCTGAACGCAGGTGGCGTAAATTGTTCATGGCGCTTCACCATGATCCAAGAGGTCAAGGATTGCCGCAAACTTCGCCAATCTCCCATCTGATCACCTTTACTACCGAGTCGTGTGCAAAAATGCAAAATGAACAAGTCATTAGTATCTGGTCGTGTCTGGCAACGGTATGAAGCAGAATGTGCGGAAGTCATCATGCTGATCTCTTCAAATAATGTACATTGATTGAGCGTAGAAGTCAGAGAGTTTGTACAAACTCATTTGAAGTGATCGGGATCCTATGCATGCCCACCTCTAACCACTAGCCACCAACGTCATTCTCACTAGTCTTTTAGCTGGCTGTGAACATTGCTCAAAAAGATCCATCGTGTTCGAAGCTATTCTAATCAAATGTACTAGGCTCCAAAAGAGTAAAAAAATCATCAAGAATTAGGTCTCCGTCGTTTCTCGATTCGTTTGCCGAATTAGAGTCGGAGTTATCCATAATGAAAGTTCTCTTTGTTGTTTGTCGTTGTTTGGCATCAATAATAAGGTCGTATTCCGGTAAATCGGGAAAGTAAGACCGTATAGAGGTGTTTAAACGATACTTCAATTTCTGTTTTTGGTAATGGTCCGACCAGGATGTCCAAAAAGCAAGCAGGGCTGTATCATGTAGGGTTGGCGTATTGGTCACAGTAGTCGCCACCCCTTTTCGAGCCTTGTAATAGCCATCAAGGCATTTCCAAGCATTCATTATTAATTCATCCTCATCGACACTCTCATAAGGCATATACCTTTGTGCTGAACATATCCGTAAAATATGTATCATTGCCAAAATTGGCTTGTTCATTACGTTGCGGATGATGTCAATATTGAGATTAGGATCTTGATATGCTTTATGGATGATAATAATGGCTTCTGTACACCAGCGTAGAGCCATCATTCACGCTCAGCGAAGCTCAGCGTTCGACGCCAGGCGTATTCGTTATCAGAAAAGAATCAAGTCATGATAAATTTACAGTGCTTACCACGTTTGGGGTTATAATATTATATACAGTGCGAAGCTTCTTACGATGCAACGTAAGCCCATCTCTCTCCACTTGCCACTTGTTTCGATTCTAAGCGACCCAATTCGCTTTCCACTCCAACGTCATTCTCACCCGTTTCTTCACCTGTCAAATCGTCATGCTCATGCCAGCTGGCACGTCGACCTGGTCCTTTTACGGCAGAATCTTTGTTGATCTTACGCAATCCCGTGTCCAAAATATTACTGACGCTAAATTGACGTTGATGACTGCTAACGCCAGAGGACATTTCACGTTTTTCCACGTTGTCTGAATAGGGAGTAGAGTAGCTTGACTTTTGCGGTGATGAATGATATAATTGATCCATTGGAATTTCGCCTGATGTGTTCACGGATTCTGTTTGTGCCTTCAATCCAAGCCTTTGTCTACGTAATGCTTCCGCACGAACAGGATCATACACTCTTCCAACAGCTCCCAATTTACCGAAAGTCTCAAAAGCAACGGCAAATGCTAAAAGTGCTGCATGTATACCCAAATATTCCGAAGAAGTCCAATGACGAATCAACGGCATAACGTAAAACACAGCTGCCAAAAGGAAACGAAGACCGATACGTGCCGATTTGGGAATCAAAGATGAACCCCATCGGTCCAAGGACTTGTGCAACATTCCCAATACTCCCATACACAGCATTGCTGTTCCAATACTGCCAGCAAAGAACCAAAGGTATGCTTTATCTACCCTCGCTTCGCCAATCATCGTGACCAACGTAGACGACATAAGCACTAATGAAGCACATAATGGAAAGTGCAGATTCGTGTAGGTGATGGACGTAAACCAATGCCTCTTCAAACCGTGCACATACGTTCGCGAAGAGTCTACGTCAAAGTAGATCCACATCAGCAAAAAGGCAATTGTGATGCTTAAAGCCGCTCGCCAGAATTGTGATCGTGGTCCATATTCACCCGGTCCAGCAACGAACGTTCCATTCATTACAGTCTCACCTGCAGAATAGAGGGAGGATTTCGGTCATCAGCAACGAGGTCTCTTATCTGGAACCGGAATACTTACCTATAACCAGGATGACGAACAGCGTTGTTCTTTCCATCAAGTGTGGTAAACTGTACGCAGGAATGTATGTCTTGTGCCCTTTATGTTTCGATCGACCGTGCATGACTTGCAAGATCCCAGCAACGAAGTATCGAATCGTGAGCTCGGATACGACTCCGACAGCTATCAAGATCACAATCGCTCCAGGATAGTCCAAGAACATGATCGGAAGGTAGATGCAAGCAATGATGAAGAGTGCGAGCGCGTTTAACCAAAGCACTTTACGGAATTTGGGTAAAAGGATACCGTAGATGAAGTATAAAGCCAACCTACATCCTTTGGCAACAAGATAGAATCCAATTGCACTTGCAATGGCCGCATGCCAACCCTCCGCAAACCAGTATGGCGAATTTCCGATCTGCTCTACCAACTTCAACGGGGCTTCCTCACCTCCTCCTGATGACCCTCTTTTCATGACCGAAGATCCGATCGTTTCAACAGCAGTCATCCAAGCACGACGATGTGCTTCAGCGGTGGTAGACTCCAATCCATCATTCAATCCTGTTCCTGTATGACCAATTTCTTTTTCGATATGAATTCCGGTCACGTTGGCTGCATATCCGACTAACAAAACCATGATCAGAAGCGTATAAATGCGTTGCCAAACGTCATCCGTTCCTGAAACGTTCATATATGCACGTGTATCTGACCAAACACTCCAAGCAGGATAGAAACACAAGACGAATTTGGCAACATTGAGCCCCGTTGCCGCTTCTGCTGCACCATCTGCAAGTTTGTGAATGATTCCAACCATCACCAAATCGAAGAATAATTCAAATTGCGAAGGTTCACGATCATCAATTTCGTGATACACCTTATCTTGCAAAACCCATTGACGAATCAAAGGACGCTTGAACAGATGACCGATTTGAATCGGAATTTGATGTCCATGTTGTGCAATGTGACCACTTGATCGTCCATGCACTGCGTCAAATGCATTTGCTAAATTCGGATCACTTGCTCCATGATGCTTTTTTAGGTCACTTTGACTTGATGTCGAGGCGTTGTGAATATGATGAGCAGGGTTATGACCAGCATGATTGCCTGCGTTTTGCTGTTGAGGGATATGCTGGCCACCCATTCCCGGTTGGACACCATGCATGACTAATGGCGTATGAGGATCTTCAGCATCGGGAGTACGAGCCATGTATTGAGTGGAAATATCATGAGCGTTTCCAGGGTACAAGGAAGACATGGATTCGAGAGAATGGTTGTTGTAAAGAGCTGCAGGATTTTGAAGATGCTGGGAGTCTTGTTGATTTTGTTGTGCTGAATGTTGTTGGGGCTGATTTGATTGTGTCTCGGGGTTTGTTTGTGTGCTAGATTGTTCGTGATGATGAAGTGACGGTAAATGAAAGCGATGATGATAATTGTGAGGAGAATGAGAATGATGTACGAGATTTGGATCTTCATTTTGCTGCATTTCCACATTATCCCAACCTTGATGTCTATCGGTATAGTGGAAATGTGCTCTTTGCCGTTCATTTGCGTCTTGCGATGCGGCATGACTCTCATTTGATGGAATGGCTACAGGTGCATCTTCATATCTTCCCCAAAAACCATAGGAATTCGGATTCTCCTCTTCATTCGGCTGAGCGTATTCGGTACGATTTGCATTGAAAGCGGGCTCCGCATTGTGAGAACGTCGTGTACTATAGCGACGTGATGCCATCTTTTGCGAGGGATGTTGTGAGAGCGGAGAAAATTATTCGGTAAAAATGCTAAGAATAGAGATTCGCTTGTTTTCCACCCTTGTTTGTTGTTGTTCTTCTTGCCCGTTCAATGTGGAGCCAGTCCGACAAAGAGGGCTGAAAGATAGGAGAATTTCACTTGGACTTTTGAGATGATGGTAGCTATAGATGAAAGCATCTGTCAGTAAGAAGCACTAAGAAGAAGATGTCAAGATTGTTATGATACAAATCTAGGGCTGAATGCATGGAAGTTTATTATTATATTCATTCAAACATATCCGGCCCGCTTCTCGATTAAAAACGCCAAGGAACACCGTGCAGGAGGATATTGCATACATAAACGCGTTAATTTTCAACTATTCTCAAAATATCATTCACCGAATCATAGGAACCTTAGCCCCGGTGCCTCCTTCCCCTTGTCAAGATTTTAAGAAGAAGAAGAAGTATGTCATCTGGCAGGTAAGCCACTGATGTCGTAACAAAAATAAAAAAGGGGGACCACAACGCTAAACAGGCGCCGAAACGGAAAAGGCGCGTTACGCAAATGTGATTATAGCAAAGGAAGATTGTGATCTTAGAGTTTGCGACCTACGGATGGCGTAGATTACGCCATGTCAAGATCGTAGAATAACGCACAAAGATGGTCTAGAAGATTTGATTGCATGTACGAAATACCAAGTGACTACATCTGAACTCTCTTATCCCATCACCACTCCGACAAGTAGAGGTGAGAAATCTACTTTTCAGTTCGCTCTGACGAGCCCAAGTGCAACGGCTCTACGATGCTACGTATGCCCATCTCTGTCCGCTAGCCACTTCCTTGGATCGAAGATGACCTAACTCGCTCTCGATACCGCAATCCATTTCACCCATTTCGTCACCTGTCAAATCGTCATATTCGTGCCAACTTGCACGACGATTTGGACCTTTGACCATGCTATCCTTATTCAATCTTCGCATACTCGAATCGACCATCATGCTTAAATGACGTTGGCTTCCAGCAAAAGGAGAATGCTTTTCTCCCATTCCTGAAGAAACATGGCTCGGTGATTTTATCAGATCTTGCATCCTTGATGGATCACCTCGAGATTGTTGGTGTTGCAATTCGTTCATCGGGAATTCTCCTCCTTCACCATTCTTCTCCGTGATAGGGGAGGATGAATGCATCGCCAAACGTTGCAAACGGAGTTCTTCTGCCCTAGCATGATCGTATACCCTTCCAACGGCTCCAATCTTGCCGAACGTCTCAAATGCTACGGCTGCTCCTAGAATTATTGCATGCACGCCTAGAAACTCGGCGCTCGTCCAGTGATGCAAAAGAGGCATGACACCGAAAATAGCAGCAATGATGAACCTTGAAGCGATCCTTGCTGATTTGGGTACTATCGAAGAGCCCCAACGGTCCAAAGATTTGTGCAGTGTGCCTAAGATTGCCATACACAACATCGCAATGGAAATACTCGCCGAGAAGAACCACAAAAAGTTCTGATCGACTGCCTCTTCATGGATCATGGTTGATAAGGTAGAAGACATCAAGATAAGCGAAGCACAAAGAGGGAAGTGCAGATGAGTGTACGTGATGGAAGTGAACCAATTCCTTCTCAATCCATGCACGAATGTACGCGAGGAATCAACATCAAAGTAAAGCCACATGAGCATAAAGGCAATCGTGATGCTTAATGCCGCTCGCCAGTACTGAGGTCTTGGTCCATATTCGTCTGGTTGCGCTATAAATGTACTTGACATGACAGTCTCACCCAATACCAGGATGGTGAACAGTGTCGTCCTTTCCATGAGATGGGTGATTGCATAAGCTGGCATGTACGTTGTATGTCCTTTATGTTTCGATCTTCCGTGCATGATCTGCAATAATGCAGCAACGACATATCGAATCGCCAATTCGGCGACTACACCGACGCAAATCAGGATCACAATCAATCCTGGACGGTCAAGAAACATGATTGGAAGGTAGATTAAGGTGATCACCAAGAACGAGATTGCATGCAGAAATAATGCTTTGCGAAATTTTGGTAACAGCATTCCATAAATGATAAAAAGCGCCAACCGACAACATTTTGCAACCATATAGAAACCAAAAGCAGCAGCAATGGCAGAGTGCCATCCTTCTGCAAACCAATAATCGGTCGACCCGATTTGACGCACAAGCTTGAGTGGAATATGCTCGCCTCCATCGGATGATCGTTTGACCAAATTTGCCCCAAGGACTCCAACAGCAGAGACAATGGCTCTACGTGCATGTGAAACCGCCTGCTCTTCGGTTTGAACGGTTTCAGTAACACCATGATGGAATTGTCCATCGTCGGCGTCCCCTGCATGCACTTGTTTTTCGATTCGAATTCCCGTTGCATTGGCGGCATAACCAACGAGCAAACACATCACCAACAAAGTGTACATCCGTTGCCAGACATCATCGGTACCGGAAACGTTCATGTAAGAACGCAAGTCAGACCAAACACTCCAAGCAGGGTAAAAGCAAAGGACGAATTTTGCTACATTCAGCCCTGTTGGCGCTTCAGCTGCACCATCGGCCAGTTTATGAATGATGCCCACCATGACCAAATCAAAGAACAACTCGAATTGGGAAGGAGAACGATCGTCTACTTCTTGGTATACCTTGTTCTGGAACACCCATTGACGGATCAAAGGTCGCTTAAACAAATGCTGCCACCCGATTGGGATTTGAGCTCCGCTTTGAGCGAGATGGCCGTCATTGCCATGAACGGCGTCAAAAGTGTTGAGATAGTTGCCTTCACTCGGACGACGTTGATTTGATTGGTCTTGAAGTGATTGTGGTGCAGTTGCAAAGTGAGCATGTGGTTCGTGCACGTGTGGTGACGAAACGAGTGGTGTGTGGGTATCATCGCTATTGCGTACCTGGCTTGTTCTTCCTGTTGCTCCTTGTCTAAGTGTGCTGATGGAATCGGTATATCCAGATTCAATCTTTTCCAAGGTGTGACCGAAGGTATAGTTTTGATGAGGTTGTTGATCCGTTTCATTTCGAACGTATTCTTGTCCAAAGCTTTCAGTGTCTTGGTACTCTGTTCGAGCGGTTGATGCTGAAGCGCTTGGATGATGACGAGTTGGCAAATGGAAATGACTATGACCGCTATGAGGAGGATGTGTAGGAGGAGAATTTGGATCATCTTCTGGTGCAACCTCTTCGTTGGCCCATGCTTGATTGTTTTGTTGGAAAGCTGAATGCGTTTCTCGAACGCTTGGCATACGACGAATGTTTGGATTGGTTGTCATACGTGTACTTGGACGACGTTGAGAAGTGATGGAATTATGTCGACCAGAGCTATATGATTGATAGGTTTGATCATTGGAAACCATGGCTTGAGGAGCATCTTCATACCTTCCAAACATTCCATACGAATTTGGGTTTTCAACAATTTCGCCATCATGTACTTCACGTGTACCTCTTGGACTTTGAGGTCGACGGTAGGAGCTAGAGCGATACATTGTCGCTACCACCGAGGAGAAAAAATTGTTATGGTGAAGATGACAATGGAGAAATTTCAAAAGGAGGACTTTATTTGATATCAAGCAAAGGTGCTGCCAGCGCCACTTTTGCTTATATCAATTTCTCAATACCGCTTCTTACACAATTGCCGGCCTTCTTTCTCCGTCTTTTGTGTTTATGATTAATTTGACGCCTTCCGAAAAATATATTGGAAGAGCGGCAGACAAGTCACAAAGTATCTTCTGATGGTCTCACAATATGATGATATTCGAAGATGTTCATGACGTAACATTGGTTTATTTAAGTACTTTCTGTTACAAATGAAGAAGATCGAAGTGGGCGTCGTACAAGGTCTGAATGAAGGGGGGCTTATAGAAACGCAAACACGTGTGGTAACTCAACAGCTGGCAAATGTCGCCAAAGGTACAGCTCAGCCGTTTTTCTTTACGGGGAGATCGTTGACGAATGAATGTACAATATCAATTATTGCTAAGAGCCGAAATTTTGTTAAAGAAGATCGAAAGCGGGGCAATATGGTCAAGGAGCATCGCTGAAAAGTAGGCTGCGAAAGCTAGCGCATAAACGGGGCAGCTCCAATAAATGGTGGTCATTTATTCCCGGAATGATGGCCAGCATAAAGATGGAATGATGTCAACAATATCTTCCGTACCGCAAGCCACACTTTTTGACGGCCATTCACTAACCCGTTGCTTGTGTGAATCCTACCTGCCGCACTCCCTTTTACGCGTAAGCCTTTCCCGCATTCCCGACAGAGCAATTTCACCTTGTGCTTTATAACGCGTAAAATCTGATGCCGCCGATTGCCAAGCAAAAGTTAGCGTCAAAATTACCTAGTCCCTCTTATCATACCACGAGGTCAAGAAGAGTACACCCTACATTGATGATCAACAAATACATCTTTTTGCTGCTTGATGATCCTCTCTCTCCCCCGCAAGATTATTCAAAACAATCTCGGCTGCTAGTGTTTGCATAAAATACAGATGCCAAGAGTAAACAAGAATCCAAAAAGGTATGCCGTGTTTGTTATCATGCCATATGGACCTCTTTATCATCCGGGGAATAAAGAGTCACCGGCGGCATTCGTATGCTAATCTATTTAATGGCAAGCAAGAGGAAAAAAAGAACCTTGTATGCGCTGAGAGAAAGTGCCCAAGACATGTTCATGTGTACAAGAATAGATTTAGCACAGCTTTTATTTTTAATTAAAGGCAAAAGAGCAGAAAAATAAGCAATAAAATGAATTAAAAAAAGGCAGATAGCGTGCATTTGTGTACACATGACAATGCAAGTCGTGCTTTTTGTGTTTTTTAATAGAACACAATTGCATTAGACGCGTAAAGTGCTTGTAATCAAAGAACGCGCTTAAAAAAGAAAAGCCTAAAATGTGAACAGCCATACTTGGCAGAAAAGTTTTTATCATGCTTCTATACATGCAAACATTGAAAGGCTTCTTTCCATTGCCATCATCACTATCACAGCATCAAGGTGGCGGCATCACTTCCAGTACTATCATCTCTGGCAGCAAACACATCCTTTGTATCATTAGGATATCGCATTCGGGCCGGTCCGTTCTCTCTCTGACGTCTTGAATTCAAACTCAGCAACTCTGACTTTCCATTCGCATGCTTTCGTGATTGTCATATTTTACTCAGCTCCAGCATATGCTTGCATGCTGTACAACCTCCGAATGCAGTCTACCCGAGTAAAAGGATAAGATTCTACCTCAAATTGGACAAAGCATTCATCCCGATTCTACGCCGCATTATTCCATTCCATTCCTTCGGCTGAACTTGTCTTCGAAACAATACTCCGGGACGCGGTCATGTCAAAGCAAGAGGCGGCAAGGGCGGCCTTGCGTTCTCTTGCATCACCTCCAATGAAGTTCGGTGGCTTGGAAGAGATGACTGGCGGGAATTCTGGTTATTCTTCTATTCATCAACTCAATTCTTCTCCACAAGCATATCATGTATCACAATCGCAAAGACCTACATCTTCCTCGCAATCAAGCTCATTCTTTGGCAATGGGTCAGGATCGCAAATTATGGATTCGCCAACCTCTTCGCCTAGCCTAGCCGCTTTGCAATCACCTCCGTCATCCTATCGAGACTCGTTTGGAACGAGCACGCAAAATAGTCGCCAAACATACTCCCATGGACCCCATCCCCGAGATGGCAGTCTTGGAACGCCAGGAACGAGTGAAGTGCCAAGTCTCAGTCTATCTCACTCGAGCATAAGTGATGCAAACCTCTTATCTCCCTATCACGAAGGACCGACTTCTCAGAACAACTCCATCTCCAGCATTCGAACCATTCAAGCCGGCCCACACAATTCTTCCTCCAAACGATCAGAAGCGATCCGAAGAGCGGCTGCCTCTATGCGTATACCCGTTGAGGAGGTTCAACGTGGAATGGATTTCGTAGAAAAGGTGAATGCAGGACAAGTGGATGAAGCCAAATTAGCAGGTCTGGATGAGATCGATCGAGAAGCCTTGCGAAGAATAAATGATGCAGTTAAATCGGAAGAGGATAGACTTGCTCAAATTGCATCGTTTCGTGCTGCTTATTTGCATGCAGAATCTACAAGACCAGAGATGGAATTGCATCATAGTCCTGATCCTACTACATCTTCGGCACCTAGACGGACATCATACCAAGAACGACAATCTCATAAACATCACCATACATCCAACAGACGCTCAAATCGGGAAGGCATGATTGGAATGCCGGAGTCATCCCGTACAATGCCGCCACTCTCGCCTCCTCCATCTTATGAGCAATTGGAATATATGGAAAACGATCATCCGCACCATCACTCGATGCCACCAGCACCTCGCAGTCCTACCGTTGTGCCTTCCCCACGCGCAGCTCTTGAATCTCTCACATCTGCCGGCAATCGCCATCACCCTTACTCGCAAAACGACGGATACTCATCATTACAACGGTTTTCGTTCGGCACAAACAACGGATCTTCTCCTTATCATCCATCCACTTCCCAACATGTGAGACGCTCGTCCGGATCAAGACCGTTGTCTTTGCCGGATAGATCCTATCGATCAATGGACGATTATGTCACTGATCCGTTCAGAAATGGTCCAAATATGTCGGGTCATTTGCGTAGAAGCGTACAGGCTCCATACCCTCTTCCTTCTTCAGTCTCCAGAACTGCATCTAGAAGCCCACTTATCGGTGAATCGCCTCGTATGGGTGGTATATTGGATGTTCCTTCGAGCGAAAGTGGCAATCCATCCTCATCTCCTCTCTTGAGTACTTCCAATCGTCTCACGCCTGGCTCACATGGACCGCAACGTAAACGATCTGGCTCCAACACAAGTAATCGTAGCAGTCTAATCTCCCGTCGTGCGAGTAATGATGTACTCGGCCTTGGCATTCCACGATCGGTTTCACCTCTTAATGAATATTCTCCTTCCAGATTGAGCCATGAAGAAGTGATGGCAAGACTTCAAAAGAAGGTCAAGGAGCGTATTGCCGCCAAAGAGGCAGCGATTGCAAATGGCAGCATTTCATCCTCTACGCCAACTTCGCCTGCCGTTTCAATGACTTCATTAGGCGCTTCAGCCGTCGGTAATTCGACTGGAAGACGGCGTCAAGAGAGTCAGAATTCCAATACAGGAGTCCTTTCCCCTTCCAAATCACAACAACGTAAACCGCGAAAAGCAGTTTCGTTGAAAGCATTGCCTCGAACCAGTCGTCATGAAGACAAGCCACTACCTGAATTACCAATCAAAGGCGGCACTAGCCCTCCACCGGCTGGAGAAGATGATCAAATGTCGGGTGTCGAACAGACTACTCCCGAATTCGATCCTTCTGCTTCGGAAGGAAGACTTGGTATTGAGGCTTTACTGAGTGCGGCTGCCATTGCTGATAGTCGGGCATAGGCACGGTCTCATCGAACAATTTGGTTCTCACCTTGACTGCCTGACGGTCATCTTATTTCAATCATTATTGCATTTTTTCCCTCATATCATGTCATATTAACGCATCATTTGCTTGCATTTTTGTTCTCAGACATTCACGCTTTTTTCTCACTTTTTGGGTTTTCGTTATCATTCACGGCACATACACGAAGTCGTACGTCATCATTATTTCCAGCACTTCATACATATCCTTTTTTACCTACTGCATCATCACTTTCTACTCTTTGCAACCTTTGCTGATTCGCTAATCAATTGATCTTACACACAAACTGTGAAGCTAATATATGAAAACAATATATTAGAAACCAAAGCAAGACACGTCGTACAAAATCAGAGATTGAAGTCAGTACATGGAAAAGAAAAAGCTGCTAGAAAGGTCATGTGGATATTCACTTGAAACCGCCGTAATTGTTTGGATCCTGAAAAGAGGAAATCATCGTTAATGAGACATTTTAATCTTGTTTGTTTGTCTTTTTAAGCAACACGTACCGCTTGTGCTTGATTTGCATTCGCACCCGATGTTGGCTGTAGTGCATGACTTGTGGTAAAGTAAGGATGACGAAGTGCTTCATCTGCGCTGATTCGTTGTGCAGGATCAAACTTCAAGAGCTTCTCTAAAAGATCGATTGCCAAAGGGTGTGCTTTTGGGAACAAATGAGAGAAAGGAACTTTTGGCATTCTTGGGAACGGTCTTGGCTGTATTTCGGGAGAATCTTTTCGTAATCGTTCAATCGTTCCTTCGTCAGGCGTTCCCAACACTCGTAAGATTTGATTCAATTGATCGTTATTATCACGTCCACGGAAAAGTGGAACACCACTAATCATTTCTGCCATAATGCATCCTGCACTCCAAACGTCAATACTTGTGCTGTATGTACGACTTCCCAATAGCACATCCGGAGCACGATACCAAAGTGTGACAACTTCGTTGGAGAAAGTGTTGACCGGGATACCGAATGCACGCGCTAGACCGAAATCGGCCAATTTCAACTCTCCTCTTCTGTTAATCAATAAATTTTGCGGTTTAAGATCACGATGAAGAACACGATTTTCATGACAAAATGCTGTTCCTTTTAGCAATTGAAACATGAATGATCGAATTGTGGCAGGATCAAGAGCTCCTTTGTTTCCATGATTATCCATATACTTTTTCAAATCTTGTTCCATAAATTCGAAAACGAGAAGTAATCTTGATTCTGTGTGAATGACATCGTGTAATCGAACGATATTTGTATGTCGTAATTCTTTCATTAATGAGATTTCTCTGATTGCTGTTGATGGCGTTCCTTCTTCTGCGTCTAAATGAATCTCTTTCAAGGCCACAGTCTCATTGGACATTCGTGACCGTCCCTTGTACACAGTTGCATATGTACCCTCTCCCAACTTTTCCAATTCTGTGTGTGTGTGCAATGATGATTAGCGAACAAGCCTGTCAATCAATTCTGCTAGATATACTCACGGATATAGTTCATCTTGTTTGGTTTCTATACGTTTGTGGTCGAGAATAAAAAGAAGAGCTTGCTCTCCCCACCACCACTTTTAGACAACGTTCAACATCTTTCAAAGCGTTTGGGCCAACACGAGAATACATGCACTGCACACACACACACTCAAAAGAGATCAACATTTGGGCACACGCCCTCGGCATCGTAACGATTAAATTAAAACGCGCCTTTTGACGTGTAAAAACTTAACAATCAATCAATGCATCATTACCCCTTGAATTCTTCTTGTTCTTTGAGAGAGAGTGTGAATTGCACGTGTAGAGAGAGAAGGCTTTCTTTGGATAAAGGCGTTAGCGCAACAACAGCACAAAAAAGTGTTGGTCATTTTAGCGAATTTATCAGATGGAGGTCATGACACTTCTTCCATCACCTTCTTCAACTTCATTGGAATGGCTACCAATGATCAGTCTTCGGCTATTGATGCTGTTCTTGCAGCATTAGATACACTATACAAAAACCCAGATAATTCAGCCAAACAACAAGCAAATACATGGTTACAAAACTTTCAAAAAACTCCAGAAGCATGGCAAACGGCTAATGCTTTACTCCTCTCGCAGGATTTACCTGTAGAACCTCGTCTGTTTGCTGCACAAACTTTCAGAGTCAAATCAACATATGACATCGACCAGATACCAAGAGAAACTTTGCCAAGCTTAAGGGCTACCTTGATCACTGCTTTACAAGCATACAAATCCGGACCAAAGGTTATCCAAACCCAAATCTCTCTTGCGCTTTCAGGACTTGCTCTACAGCTTCGTGATGGTGAAGACCCAGGATGGGGTGATCATGTGGTACGATCAATGATTGATACATTCGGTAAAGACCCTAGCGATGTCGGTACCCTTTTGGAATTTTTGACAGTGTTACCGGAAGAGGTGAACATGAACCAGAGAATACCAGTCGACAGAGAGCACTACAATACAAGAACAGTATCGCTCCTGCAAACGCCTGCAAGAGATGTTCTGGAGGTCTTGTCGGTATACATCCAAGCACAAGGCTTAACAGAAGCTATACAAGCTTCCGTCTTTGCATGCTTGGCTAGTTGGCTAAAATCAGGCGAGATTGATATTCACACTTTGATGCAAACGCCTTTGTTCACAATGAGCTTTGACTGCTTGACAAACGAGCAGCTATTCGATGGAGCAGTTGACGTCGTTTGCGATATCATCAACGAAACACAAGAAGTTCAAGATAATCAAGAAGCAATACAGCTGATTATCGCCAGATTACTACCTCTGCGACCGGAACTACAACAAGCAATCAGTGATGGAGATGACGATAAAGTACGTGGACTATGTCGTGTCTTTGTGCAAGCGGGAGAGGTATACCATTCTCTCATGATACCACACAAAGATGCATTCTTCCCCATTGCAGAGGCTATCTTTGCATGTGCGGCATATTCCGATTTGGATATCGTTCAAATCACTTTCCGATTCTGGTACTTCCTGACAGGTGATCTGCAGAGATATGGCGACGAAGAGAATGCTTATGCGTATGCTTCGATCTATCAGCAGCTATTGGAAGCAATCATTAAGCATCTACGATTCCCCGACGAGATGGAGAGCTGGTCGGGTCAAGAGCGAGATGATTTCAAGTCGTTCAGGCATTATATGGGTGATACGCTGAAAGACTGTTGTCAAGTGTTGGGATCACAGACCTGTCTAGCCAGAAGTCTAGGCATGATTCAAGACGTTTTGACAAATGCACAAGGAGGTAGTGCTAAATGGCAAGATGTAGAAGCACCTCTTTTCTCTATGAGAGCGATGGGAGCAAAGGCCGATCCTCGAGATAACGAAATTTTACCGCAAATAATGGCCATCATTCCCGAATTACCAAGTCACCCAAGACTAACATATGCCGCACTTCTTGTGATTTCGCGCTATACGGAATGGGTCAAATATCACCCCGATAGGATACCAATGGTATTGAGTTACATCTCTGCAGGCTTCCAGACGGCTGATCTGGATGTGACTGCAGCTGCAGCACAGGCATTCAAGTATCTCGGAGAGGATTGCGATGTCGAATTGGCTCCATTCTTGCCTCAATTGTTTGAATTCTACCAGGCAATCGTTGAAAGGGTAGATCCGCAAGATGGACGTAGTATCGCAGAGGCAATCGGCTACGTGATTGCTGCACTACCTGTTGAACAGGCAACAGAACCTTTGATGCAATTCACACAACCACTGCTGCAGAGCTTGTCAGCCGTTGCAAATGCAGAGCCAAGCAGTGTGGCAAGAGCCGATCTGCAGAAAGCAGCTGATCGAATGGAGCAACTTGACGCTATGCTCAAGCCTGTTGGTAGCAAGATTAAACCTTCCACTCTACCTCCCACCTGCTCTGCAACTTGCCAACAAGCATTTGATATAATTGATACCATTCTAGTGAAGCATGGATCGACATTCTTTGTCACAGAACGAGCATGCGAGCTACTAAGGAGAGGTTTGGCTTTCTTTGATTTCCTTGCGATTCCAGTCGTACCGGCACTATTGGAACGAATGGCAAACTCGTTTGAGTTGACGGGCTTCCCTTCGTTCATATGGATAACAGGAAAGACGATTGACACATTCGGACAAAGGTCAGCCAATTTCACACCAGAATTGGAAAGACCGATGGGAACGGCATTTGAACGGATAAGCGTAAAGGTAAACGAGATGATCAGTTCTGCAGGGGAAAGCGGAAAATCGATCATTGATATGCCAGATGTCATTGACGATTATATCCATACCTGTGCAGCCGTTGCAGAGGCTTTGCCTGGGCAATTATTCCTCTCTGGCGCCTTTCCAGCCTCTTTCAAAATTGCGGTGACTTGCTTGCAACAGATGTATCAGATTTCGATCCTGAACGCAATTGTAGATTACATCCGTATCGTTGTGGGTCATGATGCTCTGGAACAGAATGCTGGAAACGGCTTTTCTCAATCGCATAACCAACTTGACCCTCAAGTGGCTTCGCAATATGCCAACGCAATTCGTTCCGTTTTGCATGAGCAAGGAGCCGCTTTGGTAAGTGCATTGCTACAAGGTACAGTAACAACTTTTGAACCTGAAGCATTGCCAGATACGACGATCGTTTTGCGCTTGTTGGCGGTCAATGTGACTGGATTCCAAGCCCTTCAATCTTGGTTTGCAGCAGGATTGGCGGGAATTAATGATTCCGTCATTCCACAAACGGAAAAGCAGAAATGTATGACGACTTTATCGCAAGGCGAGAGCAACTCGATCAAACCTGCATTGCAAGGTATATATGCTGCTTCAAGGAAATCACGAGAAAGAGACCGTCTGGACAGACAATCAAATCTGCTGGATCAGTGATTGGAGTGTGTCGACTCATAAATCCATACATAATGTATCAATGTATCATCTATGAGTTGCCGTAGAGTGATCGCAGTGAGTTCATAGAGAATGATCGTACGGATCAGGAGAAAGCTGTCTCGAAGAATATTGTTCAAATAGATGATAGCAATTACAACATTACTTCTTCAATTCTATAAATACATCATTTACGTCTACCAAATACCTTCTGGGCACCGCCCGAGGTCATATTCAAACCGCTTCCAGGACGCTGTTCTTCCCCTTGTTTGAGAGGTGAAAGTTCCATGGGTAAATTCAATTCAGGATTGAGTGCTCCATCAGCATCTCCTTTCCAATTCAGGAAATCACCTGCAACATTTGCTCCTGCTTTAAGAAGCTTACGTTTCTTTTTACGAGGTTCAGCAGCTGTGGTCTTTTGTACCATAGGCGTTCTTGTAGCTCCGCCGTTGCTCACATTTCCAACATCTTCTGGCGGCGGTGCCAATTTGGTTGACATGCTCTTCAATTTTGACGTTGCTTTCTGTGCCTTGTTTGCTTGCACCGAAATATCTACCTCATCATCTTCTTCAACTTCCGCTTGTCGATTTTGCACAGCTCGTGCACGCTTAGATGGTAACAATGGTGTCTGCATCGTTTCGTCATGTACCGAAATTGGAGGTGCAATGGTTTCCTTGCTCTTGTTGCTTTTAGATGCTCCACTCGAATCACCTGCGTCACTCTGGATTTGACTGCGAGAAGAAGTGCCAACTAGAACTGTTTTTGCTTTCGGTGGAGCAATACGTCCTTTATTCAAAATGGATCTCTTTGTCGTTTTCATAGTAGGCAAGAATGATGGAACAACGTCCTGTTGTGGGACTTCAATGGCATCTACCTTTTCAGTAAATTCCACTGCCTTCTTTGTGGTGGTGCGTTTCTTTTCAACAGGTGCTTTCTTTTCCGTTGCAACAGGTGATGGAGGAATTTGTTCTTGCACAGGTGACTCTGGCTCGCTTTCTTCGTTCTCTACCACTTCGACCTCCTTCTTTCTAGCCTTTGCTCTACTCGCAGGCTGAGCTTTTGGCCGAGCAGCAACGCTTCTGGTCTTGCGTACCGGGCTTTGCATTCTCTCAACCTCATCTTGACTCTCTTCATCCTCGCTCATCTCTGCCTCTTTAGCTTTTGCTGTAGACTTGGCAGATTTCGTTTGCTTGATCTCTTTTGTACGAACAGGTTCGGGTCGACTCTGTTTGGTCGCACGGCTCGTCTGCTTAGGAGGAGGCGAAGGAGCAGCTTCAACGTTCAAAGAGCGATCGAAAGAAAATTCGGCTTCTGGTGTCATTGCATTACGGGAATCTTTCGACGAGATATTCCGCAAGGGTGAATGGGCCACTACATTCCTCGAGGGAGAAGCAGATAATTTGGTCCGATGTGTTTGTTTACGCAGTTCACTTACTGCCATCCGCTCGCTTGACAAATCTGCTCGTACTTCTGCCAGCTCTGCACGTAATTTCGCCTCTCTTGCAGCCACTTTTTGAAGTTCTTGTACTTCACCACGTAAAGCAGCTTCTCTGGAGCTAATCTCTTTACGTCGAGCTTTCTCGGTTGCGACTGCATTCTCAAGTGCCTCCATCTGATCTGCATGTGAATCTACTTGCTCTTTGTATTCTCTGTATTTCTCTTCCACCTCCTTCAAATGCACGTTCAAATCTTGTCTCTCTGACCGCAGCCTTTCTACCTCTTCTTCAAGTTCAGCTTTCTCTTGGTGCACCTTGTCATCATGTTTGCCTTGTTTGCTTTTGAGTTTGTCAAGGCTACTCTCTGCATCCAAGGCACGAGCTCTAAGTCGGGTAATCTTGTTCTTAGCAAGTACGATCTCAATCCCCTTCTTCCGCATTTGCTCATCTCGTTCCACTGCAACCCTCAAATCGTTTTGTGTTATCTCCCATTGTGTCTCTTTGAGCATACATTCATGCTCTAATGCAACCAATTCCAAATGCTTCAATTGGGCTTCAATGGTTTGATTCTTGCGCTTTTCATCATCATACTCGGCTCTGTTGTCTTGACACTCTTGTTGTAATCGTTCCGTTTCTAGCTGACTATCTCGCAAGAGCGCTTTACACTCCCGTAAATCACTGCGCAATCGATGCAATTCTTCTTGTTGGATGATAGGAATTGCATGGGCTTCTCTCGTAAGCCTTCTTCGTTGTGGTGTAAACGTCTCTAAAGGGGGTGAGGCTGGTCGTGCACTTCGATTGTCGACTGCGAATGTCTGCTGTTGAGTTGGTAGAGTAGCTGGTGCATTTTGCCCTTCCTCGGACAAAAGTGATTTTCGTATCGTAGTAGCTGCCCTTTGAACTTCTTCCTGTGAACGACGTGGAACTTGGGCTTTCTCATTTTCATCATCAATAGTCTTTTTGCCTTCTTGAATTTCTGGAATTGCACTGCCCTTGGTGCTGCTCTCAAGAGCATGTAGTGTATGTGAATCTGACTGTCGCGCGATTGATGACCTCTTTGGCGGCAAGGGCGGATAGAGAGTATTAGGAGTAGTAGTGACTGAAGCATTGCTATCATCACGCATAACAGCTCTTCTTTTGTCCTTGAACGGGTCTTCACCAGATGCAATAGCACGTTCTATCTGTTCTTGAAAAGCAGCATCGACAGCTGCTTCGCGTGAAGATTGTGCCATTCGAGAAGGACTTCCACCGGTACGCTTTGAGGCACTGCTTTCATCAACATTCTTTTTGATCGCAAACGGAGAAACAGACTTCTTTTGAGGTGATCCAGAGGAGCGCATGGTGCGATTAACTGGAATCTTAGATGGTTGCTGTCTTTGTGCTTGGGAGGGTGAAGCTTGTCGAAGAGAAGTGCCGGTATGAGGAACCTGTTTTACTGTACCTGGAGAAGCAGCTGAGGCGGATGAAGAGGCAGACTGATGACCATTTGCTTGCTTTGCAGCTCTTTGTTCACGAATCGGAGCTGCCATATCCTCCAAAGAAGGGAAAACATATGACTTACGTGGTTGAGCGGATGCTCCATTATTGAAACCTCCCGCAAATCCATTTCGATTATTGACCTCCTCTTGATCGCTTCCCTCTGCTTGCCATTTTCTTGGCGGTGTACGTTCCAATATCACCATCTCCGATACAAGATGGCAATATTTGGAAAGCACAAGCTCTCCTGTGATTGTTATGGTCAAGAACCATATGAGTTGATTGTATAAAAAGTGTTGCTTGTCATTTACGCGTGCTTCCACACAAAAGTTAAACTCAATCCAACACACACAGTCGGTTGTTTAAACGCGCCTGAACACACGCGTATTTGCGACTATCACGTGTGTTATTTGCATTTTAAACAACAGATTCCCCTCTGCTTCTTCTCTCTCTCTATCACGATCACCATTTCGCAAACATGAGGGAATGACAGCAATTTATCATTTGTCCTTCAATAAAGCACCTCCGCTACAAGTAAATGGAAATGATCAGTTCATCTCTATAGCACCAAGCATTCACAATGATCTTCGGGAAGATGTCTATTCTCCACAAGATGGTGAGCCTCTTTCTATCACAGTGGCTTGGCTGATTGAGTCACATAATGGCAACAAGGCAAGGCAGTTGGAGTTCATTGAAGAAGCATGTAAGATATCATGGCTGGATGGCTCACAAGCTTACAAGAATGTACAGGTGAAAGTTCCACCGGCCAAGCTGATCGGGAAGAATCAGGATCTGCATTTAGCATTGTACGTTAAAGCTGGCGAGCAAGAGAAAGCATGGCAATTTGACCTGCTGAGTGACAAAATCAGCCAATCAAACAACACTGTCTTTGTACCTGCTCTTTCGGCACCTATCAAAATTAAAGGAAGAAACGGAGGCATGGCAGATTCACGTTCGCGAACTCTTTCTAGATTATTCGATATCGGTTTAGAAGAACCCATCATCATGGAAGAACAGATTGGGTTCGACTTAGAAGGACATCTTTGGGATGCAGCTCTCCATATGGCTCGATGGCTGCATTTTCAGCTCAACAAAGGTTCGAGAAGCTTTCTTTCTCAAATGCTGCATGAGAAACCGTCTTTGCAGGTATTGGAGCTCGGTGCGGGTACCGGCTTTGTATCGATTGCATTATCAGCTTTGCTTTCAGATAGCATCACACAATCTGATGGAGAAATCGCAAGGCGGGCTTCGATCCTTGCGACTGACTTGATGCCAGCGATGGAGGTATTGCAACAAAACATAGACCATAACGAATCATCACGGAAGAAAGTGGATCTACAAGCGGCAGTGCTCGACTGGGAAGAGTTGAAGAAAGATAGCAAAGAAGATGGATATGATCTGATCTTCGTGGCAGATTGCACGTACAATCCTGCCTACTTTGATGCGTTATGCCATGCTATCCAATCTTCATTGCACCCCGAAGGAATTTGTTTGCTTGCCAAAAAGCATCGTCACATTGATGAGGGGAGCTTGTGGGATTCAATGAAGAAGAATAGACTCTCTTATGAACTTGTACACGGATGTGAAGCCACCCTAGCTGAGGATAGCTCACATGCTTTCACTGGGTGGGGTTTGTACAAAATACAATCTATGTAATGGTATGCATTCTAGAGAAATCAAATATTAAAGCAAAAAGTGTATGACAGGGGTGCTAATGATGCTACATCCGCGTTTATGTGTGTACTTTTCATGATTGCATACTTGCTTTGTTTCCCCTGTGGTGTGTGAAAATGTTCTCTCTAACGAGAAAGACCAAAAATTTATTTCTTTTTCAATCATTGTTAAGAATCACGATGAAGTCGATATCAGTCAGCGCATGTAATGCTTACTTGCTACCGTTTCAAATAGCAACTGTTACGATGGCTTTACCAAGTGTGTGTGTTTTATATCAAAGCTCATATGTTTTCCCCTTGCATCTATTTGCTTAGAATGAGGTGGTGGGAAAGACTTTCGTTCGACATGACTAAAACTGTATAGATCAACGTGTGTGTTCAAGTGATACAACGGATGGTTACATATGTTATTAGAGGACAATCATGTTGAATATGGTACATTTATAGTTGAAAGTGTTTTATAAAAGTAATTTTGAATTTCAGCTTAGAGTTGTTTATATACTTTATCATTATCCCCGCAATCAAAGCATGCCATGTCAATATGTCTGTAGATCTTTAAAGATGACCTCTACCGTGTACATATATTTCATGATTACTGTTGATCTTCATTAACATGCCTTTCTTCGCCCCTTTTGTCATGCTTACATACACATTTACCGACACTCTCTTAGTGTTTGCGCGTGAATCGCCTTCGGGGAAAAAGAAAGCCGAGTTGTGTTATGAATAAACACAAACACCTAATAACACGCGTACGCCCTCTCTCTCTTTTTCTTCAATCAACCCCGATCAGCTTGACCTGCATCTTCCCCACATACATACACATACAATACATACAACATCTCAAAGAGATACCTCTCATTCACTTCACACTCGCTCATGGTTCACTAGAAAGAAGATTCATACACACGATGAGCAGCGCAGAGGTAATAAACGCACTGTTTGAACGAACAGTAGACATCGTTCAAAGTTTACCAAAAACAGGTCCAATTCAAACATCTTATGAAGAAAAGTTGGCATTATACAGTTTATACAAACAAGCAACAGAAGGTGATGTAAGATCAAAAAGACCAGGAATGTTGGATATGTTGGGCAGAGCGAAATGGGATGCATGGGCAAATCGAAAAGGATTAGGAAGTCAAGATGCAAAACAACTTTATGTCGAAAGTATGCTGAAAACATTGCGCAAATTCAGTGATCGTCCACAGGCTATGCAATTGATCGAAGAACTGGAAAGCTTTAGTGGTGATGTTGCTCAACGTGTCATGAGCGCTTCTTTGGCAAGAGCAGGTGGTTTGGATAGCGAAGATGATTCACAAGCAAGCTCTGAAGCTTCACTTTCACCAAGGCTAAATGCACAACAAAGGTTACCATCAGGTGCAACAACTACAGGCGCATACGATACGGCAGCAGAAGATGAAAGAGATGCAGTTTCACAATTACCAAGAACATTCACTTCAAATCGTGTTGGTGCCACACCAAATGCGGGCAGTAGTACAATCACTGGAAGATATCCCGGCTCAACCAGCGCTTCTGTAGCAGCAGGACTAAGAAGTGGTCAACGAACACCAATGTCTGAAGTGGCAAGCGCAATGGCTGTCAGAGGAGGTCCAACAGCCGCCGGAACAGCAACAGAAGGTAGTTATGCAGGAGATTCAGATGAAGATCGTGATGTGGTGGCAGATAGGGATCCAAGAAGACAGAGCAACCCAACCCTAACCCGTCAACCTCTTCGACCGGCAATGCGACCTGCTCAAGGACAATCTTGGCAACGCTCTTCCGGTAGCTTGGCAGGCGGTGAAGGCAGACTGTATGCTTTGCCTAATTCTGCCAGATATCCCGGCCCACCTGCTAGCGACATTCCAGGCGGTCGACATACGATGGCAGGTGGAGCGGGAGCATCTCTTTATTCAGCCATTGGGCCATCAGCAAGACCAACGCCCTCCGAACAACACTATTATCATCATCACGGAAACGCACAAGAAGGAACGGCGGCCGGAAGTACAAGACCTTATGCACCTTCGTCTATCGGAGGTAGATCCGGCGGTGGTGGTCAAAGAGCCGTTCGTGCAGATGTGGATATGGCGCTTCAAAGCATTCAAGCAAGTTTGGCAGGATTACATGAACGTATGAGCAGGGTGGAAAATCGATCTCCAAAAGGGCGTGGTGGTCAAGGTGGTGTTTTGAGTGGTTCAGGTCACTTTTCATCAGCTTACAGAGCATTGGCAGATGCTTTACATGATATTGCCGTCCTTTTGGGTCTAAGAAGTGATGGAAGAGGAGGTGCGGCTCCTTCTACGTATAGAGGTGATGGAGCGGAATCGGTTGGCAGTCGTGGAACAGGAACGGCAAGAAGAATTAAAGGTGGTAGTGGAGGTGCAGGTGGAAGACCTTCAGGATGGAGAACGATATTTAGATTGTTCTTAGTTTTGATCCAAATTGCCGTTAGAGTGGCTTTGGACTTAACAAGTGTTGTGGTCGTCTTGACCTTACTCTTGTTCCTCATCAGACGTACGACCGGTAGAGGAGATCCTTTGTTGATCTTGCGTCTTTTGCGTACTTGGCTAGGCGTACGTGTACCTGCAAGAGCTATAGCAGCAGCCGAAAAGGTGACAAAGGGAAGTGAATAGAGGAAATGTATTCAATGAACTGTTTAATAGTTTATCATGCAAATGTTATAAGCATTCGTATATTACAGCATGTTCTGAGTATTTACTAAGCTTCAACAAAAGCTCTATATGTGATCAAAGGATCGGATCCTGTTGATTGCAAAGTGATTGGGGTATTGGCTCCGACAAAGTAGACCTTTCCTGGAGTATCCACTGAGAAGGTGTGAGATGAAGATATCTGAGCGGATAAAGATCCTTTGCCGGCCGTAACGATCAAGATTGAAGGGCCAGATATTGCTCTGTGTGTCTCCGATTCGTTTGCTTGTAAGACGGTACGTACCACGCTGAATTCATCAATTGGTGGATCATAGAGCAGAGAGGGTGCATCGTTTGATGATTGTGTATATTTATGTGCATTTGCACTGCTCTGATCCGGTTTGAAAGGTTGAGGTTGCATACGCTTTTCATCAGAAGGAGAGTCTTCATAAGTAAGCATATCAACCAAAACCTGCACATCACGAGCCTTTGGTGTGAGACCTGCTCGCACGACATTATCGCTTGCTGCCATACATTCAACAATCTCTCCATCAATGTATGCGTGTGGTTCATTTGCTTTCAGGAAAGCTGCTTGTCCAGGTTCAAGATGAACAACATTCAACACGAACGAACACAGAACACCTACGTCTTCAGGGAACTGTGCATTGAGCGTGATAACCAGCTTTGCCAGATCTTCTTCCACTTCCAATGTACTTGCTTTTCCTGAGTTGATGGCACTCTCATACCTTTGTGCAATCTTTGATACCGACTTCTTGACAAGGGACTCTTCGGCATTCATCAAAGCTGAAAAGATCTCCCGTAGAAGCTTCTTTGTTTCTGTTGCATCAATGCTGGAAGCACTTTTGACCTTCGCCAAAGAAGATTTGAGTTGATCGTTGGGATTGATAACCGATTGAAATTCCGGTACGATTTCGATAAAATGAGCAATTTGCTTTAAAGGTCTGAAACCGCAAAATCCTTCAAATTTTGTTAGTGCGATTGCCATCTCTGGTTTATGATTGTTATCTTTGTACATCTTTGGCTTTTCTGCATGAAGTCTTCTGGCCAATTCTTTGTCTGGATGTGCTTGAATACTTAATGCTTTTCCGATACTCAAAATCTTGAACAAGAATGGCAATTCTCCTTTCCAAGAGGTTGATCCTGCGAAGCGTTCTTGGACTTTGTCTCCTACTAGATTGGGGTATTCTTGCAGATAAGAAGCAAGAGTGGGGTACTCATTCTTTCCCTCCCCATTTGGTGGTATGATGCTGCTGGGTAATGTGGAGTGTGTTCCCATCCATAGTTCAGCGTATGGTTTCCCATCCTCTCTCTTGAAATGAGATTCCGAAGTTGCTTCTGCAAATTGAGCAACGAGTGAACCTTGAGCAATTGTCTTTCCCCAATCGTATGATTGTACACCCGGGATTAATTGAAATACAGGACCATATGGACCGCTATTGGTTGAAGAAGAGCTAGTCATTTGTGAGATGTTCAACAGCTGACCTGTTAGCTGAGTGATACGCTCTAAGATGGCGACGATGGTGGGCAGTAAGAAGAGGTGAAATGAGAGGTGAGGATGATGAAAAGAAGATGGAATGTTGTTTTTGTGTAATTGTGAATACCTTTCGCAATCCCGTCGTTTTAGGGTTGTGGCTTGCATGTCTCTGATTTTATTTTATTTTTTCTTTGAAGGCATTTGAGCACTGCATATTCACACGCCGTCTTACTTCACGCGTGCGTGCCTGAGCTTTTATTAATTGCTTTCGGAAACGCGGGTAAGAAGAAAGTATGAGAGATGTCAATTCATTCTTTTCTCCGGAAGAACATATGGTGAGAATCTATCTATACTTCTTTGATCGCTTCCAAACAACTTTTTGAGTAAAGCAATTGTCATATACTCATGATCTCGCCAATCGAATCCAGGCGTAACAACTTCCGAAATCAGACCTCCAACAAATTCACCTTTTTCCGGATAGCGTTGTGCCCATTCTCGATCTTGCTTTGGGTTTTCAGATACTTTCCATTCATCGCCTCCTACCATCAATTGGCGTACTTCACCTTTCGCCATATCTTCTCCCATTGTCACATCTCTTATTCTAGGCGGTGATCCTTGTGTGGAAATAAGGGTATATTTTACCCTCCCACAATGCAACAAATGCATGGTATCGCTTTTGTTTTTGTGCATATACCCTATTGCACTTCTATGGTTGGGGGTTCCCTCTGCACCTTGGTTTGTATTCAAGAGGAAATAGATGCTGCTTTGAACTGGTCTGGTCGCATCTGCGTGTCTATCTGTGAATGGAGAGATCACACTTGCTTCACTGACGTATGTCCTCGCACAATGAGCAACCTTCAGGGTGAGGTTGGAATTTTAGAGAATTGATTAAATCTCCATTCGTTTGAGGGTAATTGTATAGCTTCTTGACATCGTTAAACATCGCTTATCACTGCAAAGAAGTTACATTTCGTTCAAGATACAAGGTCCACATTATCGACACCATCTCAATTGAGCCCGTTCATACAGTCAACAACAACTTCCGATCTTCGAATGAGAACGAAGCAGATCCGATAAGCCAGAACACGGGGACACGTGATAATGATAAGAGTCAAAGATTATTACTTTCAGGATTCGGAAATTGATAGGAGTTAAGATTGGAAGGATGTGTCAGCCGGTTGAATATATGCATCTCTAGGAGTTCTGTTCAACACGTTCAAGGGGCAAGCAAGGTAAGCTAAAAAGCGCGTTAAGAGGTTCAACATTTCTCACGCGTGTGTGTGTGTTCGGAAGGATAATTGATTTTTATTTAAACGAAAAGAAGATTCTTTCTAGAAAAAGATCTTCGTTCTTCAAACACGTAAGTCTGCATTTCATTAACGCGTAAATTAAATCGCTTGTTTTCCCATCAAGGGCTTTAAATCTTAAGCTAAACGCAAGATCATTCATTCATTCAATAAATTAATCTTCGGCTTTTCCGCTTCACTTTGCCAAGGACCATAAATCCCAACAACATACACACATCTCTCCTTTACCAATCAAGCAAGCAGAGGAATGTGTAAGATCAAAAGATGGCTTGCTAGATCCGATTATATGAGAAGGAAAGTATGTGGCTATCCAAACGCATGCGTATGTTATAGGCAAGGCACCACTTAGTGTTCATCAATCCTCTGTGTCTATCTTTTTTCGAATCAGGGTGCAAGCGCATTGGCATGCAGACTAGTCCAAAAGTGCATTTTTTCAAAAAAAGGGTGGAATATATTTTTGCACTAGGAGAGAGCGAGAACAACGCGTACAAACAAGAAGCCACGAAAAGGGTACGCGCGTGTAAAGTGTTGGCATGCAAAACAAAACATGAGTGATAAAGTGCTGTTTTACGTGGATTACTTTTTAGCGTGTTAATAAACCTACATACATAAGATCGACATTTAAAGAGAAAGATCTTTTGAAAAAAAAAAAACAACACAGCAATGCGCATAACATGCATTTCAGTAGTATACCTCTAAAGCAAAAGTGTGCCTGCTTTCTTCTTCGCATAAATGGACTTTGACCGCCCGGCGGTGTTCGATACGTAAGTGCAGAAGAACAGTGATCGATTCAAATCAACCTTCTAAACGGAGACCGTGCACTTCATTTATTCAGCCAGAGGAGGTTCGTCCTCTCTCTGTTTGTTGTTCATATTCATTGTAATGCATTTCATTCATCGGGTACATGCAAAAAAGTGTCCGATATCTGGGCGTTTTCATTCACGGCCCGTCGCGCGTGTTCTACAATGAACAAAAAGGATCTTACTCACCGATGCAATCTTGCACATCCTATATCCTCCTTTCTGATCACCATCATTGACGACATTTTCATGTGGTGATCACGTCCGTCTTGTATATTCGTCTTTCTTTTACACGGACTCAAGCTTAGTTTTGCAAGCTCGGCTGTAGAATTTCATTCTCCTTCTCTTCAACACAGATTCATTTCATGGAGCGGGGCTTGACTCAATTCAACTTCCGACAGCATTAAACAAGGTTATTCGTTTACAAATCCAACTTTCAACACATTCATTTTATTTTACAACATACACATTCTTTACTCACACTCATTATCACAATGGTTTCTTTTCTCAAAAGACGCATGTCTTCCGTCTCGCTCAAAGGAGCAGATCGTAATGACACAAAACAATCATTAGCACCACCACCTCCCGTTCCTGCTCTTCCTCTTGGTGACAAGCAATTGGCAATGGGCAACAAGCTTAACGTAGCCATGCCTGACCTTCGATTCTCTCGTTTGGATCTTGAAGAACACGTTCAAGCAATCGGTCAAGACAAAAGACAAAGTGGTGCATCTCTTGAACCTTTCAGTCCAAAAGTAGAACAAAGGAAGAGCCGATTAGGTTTCTTCGGTGTAAGACCAGCAATGGCGTCCAATGATGAATTAGCTCACGCACAAAGGGCAAATCGTGCTTCTGCCCTTTTGGGAAGTCCACAAATGGCTCCTCCGTCTAGATCCACTTCTGCTCAAAATCTTCAAGCTCCAAAAATTGACAGACAAGCAGCAGCACCAAAGACATCCCACAATACAATGCCTAGATCATCAACCGCAGGACAGGCATTATACGCAAAAGGTCAAATGTCACCCCCTCCAATTTCGTCTCCTAAGCCTGTTGTGGTAGACAAGAAACAACAAAAGAAGGACGAAAAGCTCAGACTTCAACAAGAAAAGGACAAGATGAAACAATTGGCAAAGGAGATGAAAGAGCAAGAAAAGCTTGCTAAACGTGCTTCAAAACTTAGCTTGAAGGCTAGCAAGTCCGATTTGAAGAGCAACAAGCAACAACCTCCTTCACCAGCTGTACAATCTCAACCTCGTCAAGAAAAATCTCCAAATCGAGCTGAACATCAGAGACCATTGCAAGCTGCTATGAGTCCTCCACCTATGCCTAGAACGCCTGAGCAGAGAAACACACGATCCAATGCGACCCCGCAAATGGAACATCGTCCTTCGCCTATTGGACATCAACAAATGCCAATCCAGGAAGCTCCTCGTACACCGACCCACCAAGCTCCTCGTACGCCCAGCCAGCAAGCTCCTCGCGCACCTACTCAGCCAGCTCCAAGAACACCTACGCAGCCACTTGTTGTGTTAAAGAAGCAATCGTCTCCAAAAGTAGTAGAGGCATACGATCCAATCCGCTTTCCCAATCCTCACGATGTCAAGCCCACATCTCCTCAACGACAAGAATCGCAGTCTGAGGAGAGCAGTAGAGGATTGTCAAATTCCGACAGTTTCACACATCCTCAAGCAATGTTGCCTTCTAGAACATTTTCGAGCGATGTACCTGGACACGGTAAAGTGTTGATGACAACGTCTTCCTCCGAAGGAGGAACAGGGTCAAGCTCTACTGCCGATGAGCGTAGACGCAGTTCAGAATCAAACACCAGTGTTGAATATGGAATGAACTCAACATATGGATCTGATGAGCAATTCACGGATGCGGCTAATAGCATTCCACCTTCGCAATCGGGCAGTAGACCAACACGAGACACAGAACGGGAAGAATTGGTTCAAAGTCGCTTATCGATGAGCTTAGATGCAGAGTTACAGCATTCGACAGAAGTAAAGGATGAAAAGCTCCTCGAGACAGCAAACACAACAATTCCTTCAACCATCACTCATCAAGCTCCGAAATTGCCAGCAATTAGCACAGATTTGAAGCTCAATGCTGCAGAATCCAAAAATGTTCACAAACGTGCTGATTCGAACGCAAGTACATTTAGCGCAATGTTGATGGCCAGTAAACCAGGTGGATCTGCCGATCGTGCTGTTGATGCAAAACCTGTTGTACAACAAACAGCTCAAAAGCAGCAAATTGAACAATATCGTGCTGGAATTAATAAGAGCTTATTGGCCCGTTCAGGTTTGTTAAAGCAAGACAATTTCACACAAGAACCCGAAGAAATTGATGAAGCCGAAAATAAAGGTCAACAACCACAATCTATGCTCGATCATGCATCTTCCATCTTGAAACGCGTTCGTGAAGCTGTGCCCAATATGCCACAACGTCAACGTACCGTACAACCTGAATTGGTCGACAAAGGTGATGGCTGGAGTTGTATGGGCGTTGGAGATGTGGAAAAAGTGGATTCACATTGGCATACGGTGATTGAAACAATCAAAGTGGCACATATCAAGGAGAAAGAAGAAAACGACGAAGAAGCAAGCGAGAACGAAGCTTCTGAGCCAGAATATGAATATGTTGACGAAGAAGTTGAGGCTCATTACAATGACTTGTTCGAATTAATCTTCACTGCCACTACGCCAGATGTGATGTCAACACTTCTATCTTATTTGGACATTCACGACATCAAAGCCTTACGTCAAACATCCGCCCCTGTTCGTCTTGCTGTTGGTGCAAATCGTGAAATGATCTTGAATCAATTCTTGTCTGGAATCGGTTACCGAACTTGGACTTACGTGAAAGGATCAGCAACAGCAGCACGAGCACGTTTGGCTGGTCAATCACCCATCACTGCCAATAAAGATCCATGCCCTCTATCTTTGGCTGATTTGGAAGGTTTTATTATTGCGCAAGATTTGTTGCCCGAATATGCAATGGTTGGACAAGAATTCGCAAGAGCACCTGAAGAGATGGATCAAGGTATGGCAAGATTGGCAAGGGCAACTACAAGAGCTCACAATCGAGTTTTGACAAGATTGAGATTGCAACCAACGTATAGAATGCCAAGCAAGAAGGGAAGTAACGCCAGTACATCGTCACCCTCTTCTCCTTCTACACCAACTTCAAGGATCAATTCATCCACTTCATTTATCAATCGTCAAATGAGCGGAAGCGTATCGACAAATATAATCAATAGACATAACAGCTACTACGATCTTCGTAAACCAAGCTTGCCTCTCGACATGAGCGAATTGCCTCCCGTTCCATCTCTCAATTTGATAAACGAAGGTTTAAGTCCAGCACCTTCTTCTGTTGGAAGTCATTCTCCTCTTTCACCTGGCAGTCCCGGATTGACAACAGCACCTTCTACACCATCACCTTTGTGTGATAGCTCACCGATCGAAAGTGTGACGGCTCCGACTCTCCTTTCACCATGGAAGCCAGGTAGAGCTGCCACTTTCCGCGTTTGGGTACCTGCCAAAGATCCTTCAGGCTGGTTATCCGATGCCGAACTTGCCGAATGCGAACAAGAATTGTACAAATCTGGAGTTTGGCCACATCTCAAACGAGGTGATATCATTTGGGATACGGCCGTTGGAGATCAACTAAATGAAGGCAAATACGTCTTTGATGGAAATTATCTACGTGATTTAAGTTATGCATTTGATGTTGCAGGACATTTGCCAAGTTGGTTGAACGTGATCATGTTCAGTCCTTCTTATTGGCATAATGTTATCAAATCATCTCAACCTCAACCGGTTGTATTCTTGGACATCGCACCTTGGAAAGATCAAATCTTGAACAGCCTGCGATTGGTGCAAGATCATGTGGATACATTTAGTGGAAACGGTGCACGTTACCGAATCGCAAAATGGTTATACCGTTCCGCTGCCAATGTCACGAGTGGACAAATTATCAGCCGAATGAATGGTGGTTTGGAAATCGTTGACGATCAATGGGCCGGAAGGATTGTGATCGAAATGGACGGAATGGCAGAATGGGCAAAAGAATTGGTGAATCGATGTGCAGGTCCAGAAGCAACTGCACGTGAAAAAACCAATTTGTTGGCAACCGTTATGGGCGATGCAAATGAAGCAGGCAAAATGAGCAACATCCATGATACCAACGGTGGTACGCAAAAGCCTGCCTTGTACAACAAATTTGGCGGTCAAGGTGGCTCAACGATGATTCGTAAGAATGTCGAACCGCAAAATGCACCATGGGCAATCATGCGTGAAAGATGCAGACCGGGTCTCATCTGGATTCGTCCTTTGGGCGATCGTGAGAAGGTGTTTGCCTGAGAAGAGCAAGCAATAGCTTTTGGACATTCATTACATTCGTTTTTCTTATTTTATTAACTAGTTTCGACTTCGATTTTCTATTTTTTCATCGGCAAGTTTCTCAAATTTTGTTTGGCAAGGTGATCCTTTGCCTCTGCGAAACTTGTTGGATGATGATTGTGTATTCTTTTGAAGCAAATTTTGTACTTTTCCCTCTTTTTTTCTTTCCTCTCTAGAAATGGTTTCCTTTCTCTCTCTGTATCTCATCTTACTCTACTCAGTTTTCCTATACGTACACCTAAACACTCATTCCTGTACCTGGACAATCTGAAGAATTATAACATTGAAATCAATGAAGACTATTGTGCTTGTTGTTGTGTTGTTTAAGATGAGACTAGTGGTGATAAGGGCTTGACTTGATTGATCATTTTTAGATTTGATAATCACTGCCTTTTACATCAATGAATGACTCTTGCCGCCTTTCTTCTCACCACAACAGCAAACGGAAGTGTCCGAATTACAATTAACGCATTCCTCAATTGGAGCAGGATCAACGCCACTCGGGCAGCTTCCTAGGCAACTGTTTAGTGAAGATATGAAAGGTTAGTCTAACATACAACAAAGTCTTTCACAGAGAATGTATGTAACCCTACTCACCTGCAGTCTGAAAAGACCGGTTGGGTAGAAATGATGAGATTGATCAACACAATCAACATGAAACCGATGGTAAAAGGAGTTTGACGCATTGTTCTCTAGTAAAATTTTGATTTGAAGGGGGACAAAAATTTGATATGGTGGTTGAAGGCTTACGTCTTAGACAGCAATCATGTTACCTCGGTTCTGTACTTGTGATATCATATTGCCGAGTAAGCGGAATTTGAATTCGTTTTTATGGTACCGATAGTTGAAATCTTTAAGATCACAATATGATTTATCAAAAGTCACATAATATGATGAGGTTCATATCTGGCCAATTACAAGTCACTTACGGGGATCCGAGGATGCGGCGTACTACATTCCGTTCACCCACGTCCAATTTCAACTGCTCTTTGCTTATTTTAATATGATAACATTGGGAGCTGTTAAAATATTTATGTTTACAGGATCGTATTGATAGAGTTTGACTTGATTACTGCCATAGACTTTAGTAAATAGGATATGTCTTATTGATTTGATCGTTTCATCACCAACGCGAACTTGGACAGCAGCAGACCGTCCCATCACCACAACCAGCGCACATCGAGGCTGGAGAAGTTGGGAGAGTTCCACAGCTTGACTCACAACTATGAAAAGGGGAGGATTAGATGAGATTAGGCCAGTTTTTTCCCGCAAGGATATACTCACGCGCAATCTGAGCGAGCTGATTGGGTTAAAAGGATGAAAATGACCAGAATGACCATAAGAGAAGTGACCTTGAAAGAACTTTTACACATTTTGGTTCTATCGCTCAAGTTGAGAAGTTGAGGAGGAGCGATTACCCTCACTAATAGTTCTGAAACCCTCTCTTAAGCATAGAATGCGGAAAGCTGGTGAATTGTGATAAGTGCCATGGAGAGGCCAATCCTTTGTAACGTACGAAGAATTCGGGAGGACGCGGTACGCTACTTTCCGTTTCACCCTACGCGGCGCATTCATTCTTCCTCAAAAACTTCCATCACGCCTTTGCCCCAACACTCACTTACCGTTGGCGATCCGAGCACACAGACTTTATCCGGGCGGAGTAATTGATGACAAAGGGATTTGTTAAGCTTATCAAAAATGTCGTCATCGGATCAATGATCTCTCACAGCTTTTACACCAATCACTGCTCTTGAAAAAAGGCGGCATTCCGCGTTGCAATAGAGTCATGTCTTCATCCCTTATCGCACAAGAAGAAGATTCTCAAGACAATACCTTACCTCCTTCCACATCATCCAAACCAGCTTCTAGACCTGGTTCTCGCCAACGTCAAGCACGCGCAAACGCAATAACCAAAGAAGGACAAAGCATGAATGCAACACAACAACACGCAGGATGGAGCAAAGAGGAGGAAGCAGAAGCGATTGCACTAATCAAAGAAATTCTTTCGACAGGCATATCACCAAATCAACTCATCATGCAAGGCTTTAGGCCTGATCTAGTAAGTGCATGTAGCAATCAAGTCAACTCCGGATCATCTGGAGAACCTTCTACGTCATCCGTTCAACTGGCAACACAGCCAAAAGCAAAGCGTAAACGCAGAAAAGCAGGCTCCAAAGGAAAGGAGTCAAGTGAGGCGGATAGCAATTCAACAGATCCTGCAAATGATGAGCATACAGCCATACCTAGCCACACGGAGAAAGAGAGTGATTCTCAATATGCAGACTTACTTCGACAAAAAGTGGAATTGGAACGTGAGCGAACGAAACTCTTGCGTCTCGAGAGGGAAAGAGAAGCAATTGCTCCAGAGCAAAATGTTCAATCTTCGGTAGATTCTGAAAAGGTACAAGACATAGACGATACACAGAATACGCTGGCTATTGATCCAATGCAAGCAATGCGTCAAGCAGCTTTGGCGTCGATGAAGCGAAAGCGGCACAGCAATGGACAGCAGAAAGAGGAAGGGCCATCTTTAAAGCTTGGTCGTACAGTAGGAGAAGTTTCGCACGATTCACATCCCATGACTCCCTCGTCATCAGTACCCTTTTCACCCTTTGCGAATCAAGGCTCAATAGTTTTGGGGAATGGTAGCGGAGACTTTGAATCAAACACACCTCCTCCAAATGCCCCACGTGGACCAAAAAATGCTCAACCTCGGTATCGTGACATTGATGCACCTTCGAACATGGAAGCGATTCAACGTGAAATAGAAGCTGCTGAAGCGTTGCAAAGTAGTGAAGATGCAGATTTATGGGCTATAGATGATTCAAATCAACATTTCGATCCTCGTGCTGCCTCTCAAAGGTCGAAGCCATTGGCATATTACGATGACGTTGCTGTTCCGGCCGGGCAGGTTGACTATTCTGCACCTTTACCAAGTCTCACTACAACGCAACCAAAAGGTGCAATTTCGCGGGATCGTCCTGGGATACATTCGGGAGCCAAAGCATGGCGAGAGAATGGATATATGCAGCAACGGAGTCTGCCTTCTGCACCCTCTTTTGTTCATGTTCCGCCACGTCGTCGATCGCCGTTTCTGCAGAACGGAACAGACCAAAGGATCGTTTTGGATATATCTGATGATGAAGACGGAAGTGCAAGTGAGAGCGACTCAACTGAAGAACGAATAGCAGCTAGACTATACCGGAAAGACAATGCAAGGCTGATATATTCGATTTTCAAGGCAGTGATCAATGGAGAAAGTCCTGTGAGCGGGGCACAAGCTAGAAATGGTTCCCCTTCTGGATTCGATACTAGATCTTTATTGCTAAGCAAGGAGAAGGAGATCGAATTGTTGAAGGAAAAGATGCGATTGCTCGAACAGAAGAAAGCTGACACAGAACAGACGAGAGCGGAAGGAGAGACGAAGCAGATTTTGACAGAGGTGAGTGAACGATGCCGAAGATGCTACGCAGACGCGTTGATGAAAGATTTTCACCTATTGATCCTTTTGATGCTGGAAAAAAGAGCGGTCCCTCCGACAAGCAAAACATCACTCCTTCCACCCCAGCTACAGCTTCACCATCTTTTCCGGCATATGAATCGCCTTTTACACGCTATCCAGGTCTACGGGCGATGATGAATAAATCAAAGAGAGGATAATGAGGTGAGGCAAGCATTTAGGTGGATGTCTATCACGGTCCCGTTTTGCTGATCAGGTTTGACTGTAGGTTGACCTTTCTACCGATTTTATTCGCTTCTTGATCGTAAGTTTACTTTTGGCGTCATTCCGGATAATCTTCTTGAACGTTAAGATTTGCGATTGTCACTTTTGCGCCCACTTAGTCTTTTTTTGGCAACGATCGAAGTAAAATGATGAGGCTCCTGTTGATTGGTATTTATTTATTGGCCTATTACATTTTCGTTCTTGCTTTGGCCGTTCTTTGATTGCTCGCTTTACATAGCTTGAGCTTTTTGGAACATCACTTGCACATACAAGAGGAGGAATAGAGGCTACGACAGATATTCATTATGATGTATATAGCATGGATATGAATGACATCATCAATAGCAATATGAGGTGTGAACGTTGTCCGAATAGTCAGAATATCTTTCGGCCAAGTTGGTTTGAAGAAACGTGTTTTATTGCGCCTTTTTTAGCGTTGGGATCATGGTCAATTCTCTACAGTCACGGCGATCTCTTCAAGTTAATAACATTTGAGTTTTGATCTGTGCGGAAGAAGATGACATCTCACGGGGAATAAAAAACGATGACACAAACAACAACCAAACATTCTCCACGTTTTTTACGCCATCTTGCATCGGCCAAAGGGGAGATTAACGTTTGTTCGAAAGATTGTAATTTAGACTTCGGCCAAAGAAAGAATGAAAGCGCGCTAAAAGGGTGTGGCAAAAGGAAAGAAGCTGTTTGTGCAATAGAATCCTCATCCCAACGGTTGACACTAAAATCAAAACGTTGACAATTCTATTTTAGCGTTCTTTCAAGTGTTCCGGATAAACTAGATCGCATGGTCTTCTGGATTTTACCGTCGGTAGAGTATATTCTGTTTGTTAATCTTAGCGTCAACAAAACATGTGCTACATGCATTTGTGTACCTTTTCAATGATGATAAACTCAAATAGTAATACGGAGATTACGCCGGTTTCCAGAAAGATTGGAGAGAATGAAAGGTATATAAAGCCAGCCTTAATTGATCCTGTCAAGGCTTTCCTCAGCAACCACTTACCCTCACTGAAACCTCTCTCACAATGGTCCGCCTATCCTCTTCAATGATTCTTGCTGCTATAGGTCTCGCTACCTCTACTTCGGCAGCCCCTTTGGAAAAGCGTGCTCCTAGCGGTATTCCTGGTTTTGACGTTAGTCATTATCAAGGTGCTGTTGATATGAAAGCACAAGCAAGCAAAGGTGCAAAATTTGTAATTATTAAAGCAACCGAAGGTACATCTTATAAAGATTCAAGCTTTAGTGCAAATTACGATGGTGCAACAAGTGCAGGTTTGATCAGAGGTGGATATCATTTTGCCCACCCTGATTCTTCTTCAGGTGCAAGTCAAGCAAACTTTTTCTTAAAGAACGGTGGAGGTTGGAGTAATGACGGTCGTACATTACCCGGAATGCTCGATATCGAATATAACCCAAACGGCAGCACTTGCTATGGCTTAAGTGCTTCTGCAATGGTCAATTGGATTTCTGACTTTGTAAACACTTATCATGGTGCAACTGGTCGTTGGCCATTGATTTACACGTGAGTATTCAGTTTATCATGAGGTACGAGGCATAACTGACCATCTTTTGCTGTTGCGCTATATGTTAACAGAACGAATGACTGGTGGAACACATGCACTGGAAACAGTGCAGCTTTCAGTCAAAAGTCACCTCTCGTCTTGGCACGATACGGCAGCTCTTCGGTTGGAACTGTGCCGGGAAACTGGGGATACGAGACCTTCTGGCAATGGGCAGATTCCGGAAACTTCCCCGGTGATCAAGATGTTTTCAACGGAAGCGAAGCTGGCTTGAAAAAGATTGCTTCCGGTTAAATAGCTAGTCGTACGGAGTGTTATAGTTCATAGTTCTATCCATTCTCTGCTTATTAACATCTTCTTCATTCTTCACAACCCCTCGTCTCCCTCATCGATAGGTAGCAGAGACTAAAACTAAATCAATTAATAAGAGTGGCAATGTCACGAGGTAGGGTACTATGTCAGGCTAAAGAATCTAAGGATTGTAGTGTTCAGTGTTTATTATGGAATGCTTTACGCAAGAAAGCACTGGACTTCTTCGGCGTTCGCTTTTGGTTCTTGCCCGGATTGGCGTAGATTAAACCAAAGTCTCCTTCATAGCCGTTACTCCATTCAAAGTTCCTGATGCAGGTCCATGGAATGAAGCCTTTTAATGGAATACCAGTATCTAGCGCCCACTTAATGTTACGTAAAGTGGATTTGTACCATTCAATTCGGCCCTTATCGTCGATTTTTTGGTGAAAAGATAATTTCAAAGGATTTCGTAAGACCATTCCATTTTCACCAATCGCTAATGCTTTCACGTTCCATTTCTTGTGCATATAGGTTAGGCCTTGGTACAGGGTATCATTCGTCAAGAAATTCCAATCTGAACCTGTTGGCTTACCAATCAACTTTCCTCTCTTATTCTTTGTTTCTTCATCAATGCATGAAGGCCAATAATCTTGATTGTCTTCATCACATTTTGTACCTTTGGGTAAAGCGGCAGCAAATGTGCTCGAATAACCGTCATAATAGATGATATCATATGCATCTTTGAGACGTGCGCTTTGCTCTTGGGTAAATCGTGGAAGTATGTCTGGATTCTTTGAGTGCTTTGCAAGAGTAGAACGCATGAGAGGGGGGTAGTCTCCCGTAGTCAGTGGAGCGACATCCCAACCGATTCCAAATGCCATGCTAACTTGAGCAGCTTGACGATCAGCAGCACTGTGGGGATTCGATGGCTTAGCTGGTGAACCGTCTAATTTGATACCGAAAGTTGTGTCTTTTACCTTTCCTGCTTTCTTCAAGTTTTGAAACTCGTGATATGCTTCCGCATGTGCTAATAAAGCATGATGAGCGCATTGAAACATTTGTGGAATATCATCCTTGATTCCTGGAGCTGAATCTCCGTCTTCTCCACCATATCCTTCTACACAGAAAGTACGGATCTCGTTCATGCTTGCCCATCGATCGCAATGTTTTCCCAAGGCTTCCATTGCCAAAGAAGCGTAATTTTTGAAATCGGCAATAATTTTGTCAGACTTCCAACCGCCATAAGAATGTTGCAAAGCTGCTGGCAAGTCCCAGTGATACAAGGTGCAAGTAGTACTCATTCCGTTCTTGTGTGCAACATCTGCTACATTCTTGTAATATTGTACGCCTTTTTCGTTTAACTTATCACCTTTACCGTTAGGCAATAATCTTGTCCAAGCGATGGTGAAATCGAAATTGTTAATGCCCAAAGATTTCTTGAATAATGGAATATCCTTTTTATACGTATGATAAAAATCCATTGCAACATCACCTGTTGCGCCACCTTTGATATGACCTTTTTGATGAACAAATTCATCCCAAATCGAAACGCCTTTTCCGTCTTCGTTCCAAGCTCCTTCAACTTGATAAGCCGTCACTCCACAACCATAAATGAAATCTTTAGGAAGTTGACGGCCATTCATGGATAATTGAGCAGAAGCGAAAGACAAGCTTTGCGCTATTGTTATTGCACTGAGTAAGTTAGATAATTTCATGGCGTCGATGAAGATGATGGCAGGAAGAGCAGTGGCATAAGTTTTGCCATTTTCAGTCAAGCATTTGTACAAACTTGACAAAGGGAAACGGAGGCCATCATCCACCGCCAATCCCCCTTAGCGGTTCATTTCGCCAACAATAAACAATTCAAATCCCTCAAATGATTAAGCGGCCCTTCTTTTCCGCGAGAAAAGGCTCCGAAGGAAAGGGTAAAGCAACGGTCTCCTAAATTCGCTCTACTGCGCCCATCGAAAGTCACCGGCGCCGCATGAGCAAGGTGCAGGGACACCGTTGACGATGTAGAAGAACAGTGTTGCTCAATTACTTTTTCATTCAGCGCTACGCCGCGCATTTTCCTGTCAGCCGACAAGAAAGGGGCATTCGTATCGTGCGAACAAAAGGAGAATAAATAATATATTATGCTGACTACATTAATTAAATGGCTTATGAACAATGATTTAGCCTTCACTGTCCCCCCTCTTAAGCTAATGTGACGGTCAACTTTTGTCCTTTACTGGTCTTCACTGGTCCCTTGTAAGCATTTCCATCAACATTAATGGCCGTTCCGTTGGTCAAACGTAAAGTGAGTTCGTTACCTAAATTGGAGGTAATGACTGCTTGCTTAAGCTTTGGTCCTTCATCCCATTCCATATCGACCGAGAATCCATAACGGGCAAGCATATTGGTCACACTTCCACCGGCTTTAGCTGCGTTTGACGAAAGAGCTGGTAAGAGATGAACTGTACCTGTATGACTTTGCATAATCATTTCTTGAATAGCAGAAAGAAAACCAAAGTTACCATCAATTTGATAAGGTGTCCCTGAACCAGAATCCGTATTCCATAAATTGACCAATAGGAAATGTTTCAATGTTTCTTGTGCATTTGCCCAAGAAGTGTCAGCGTCAAGTAATCGAGCATAAGAAGCAGAAACCCATGCACGAGACCAACCAGTATTGCCACCACCGTTTATCATTCGGTTATCCAACAGAATACGTGAAGCATTTGCCAGCGTTTCGTTGAGAAGCGGTGAAAATTGTTTTCCAGGATGCAAAGCCCATAAAGGTGAAAGATGTCTGTGTCCTGGGTCGGCATCAACATACTCGTAACGCCATTCAAGGATTTCACCGTATGAGCCAATGAAGTTTGGTCGCAATTTGGCTTGCAAAGCGCGATACTTCGTAGCGTTGCTATTATTAGGATCTCCCAATAAGGAGTACGCTTCATCAATGTCATTGTACAGTTGCCAGAGCAATTGATTATCCATCGCGGGCGCAATGTCCATTCCAGTTTGTGTTCCTGGTGAATCGGAATCTTTTGGCATATAAAATGGATTTTCGGGAGAAAGGGAAGGTCCAGTCACCATACTTCCGTTATACTCGAACAAGAAGGTGTCGTAGAATGCAGCTGTATCCAGCATGAAAGGCAAAGCACGATTCTTGAGTAAGTCCAAATCATTTGTGAATCTTACATGTTCGAGATAATGTGTTGAAAGCCATGGAGCGCTCATTGGCCACAAAGTATATTCTGTACCGTTGTCGGTCGGAGCTGAATCTCCCCACAGATCTGTGTTGTGATGCATGACCAGTCCTTGTTCGATTCCATACATATCTTTTGCCATTTGAAGAGCACGAGGACGTGCGACGTCCATGAGATCAAATAGACTCATTTGGGTTTCAGGTGCAAGGTTACCAGCTCCTACGGCCCAATAATTCATCTCAATGTTGATGTTGATAGTAAAACGACCTGCAAATGGTGGCGAATTTGTGTTCCACCAAAGTCCCATCAAATTTGCTGGCAAAGCTTTGTTACCTTGACGTGATGATCCGATGATCAAATGACGACCGAAATTGTACACCAAAGTCATCAATTCGATATCATCATCTGGGCTATTCTTGAAAGCGGCTAATCTTTGATCGGTAGTATTTTGAGTGATTGCAGAGTTAGATGAAGATCCAAAAGACAGTTGCATACTTTTGTGCAAATTTGAATGATCTTGTACTGCATTATTGCGAATCGTATCAAAACCTTTAGAAACTGCTGCATCCAGGCTTGTATCAGTTGCACCTTTATAGTCAGATTCACGGTATGTAGTTTGAATATCCATGAAAACATCCAAAGTCTTCATGCCAGAAGCTTTGAGAGTGTTTGAATCAACGCTGACACTTCCACTATCAACTACAGCCCGAGCCTGCATGGCAAAATCCAATCCGCCAGGGGATGATCCACTTCCGGCATATGTCAAAAGTTGATTCATTCCATTACTGGTACTGGCAGTTTTATTGTATACGTTTTCATCACGGCCCAGAGCAAGTGTAGCATCGAATGGTTGCTCGGAAGAGAATCGGATTGCCAAAACGTTGTCTGGATAACTTGCAACTGCCAATCGACTGAATTGAACACCATTGTAGGTATAGTTTGCACCCGTGATTCCACTAATGGTATCTAACCAACGAGTATAATCTGCCATACTATTTTGATTTTGACCTAAATCAGCGGTCAAGTAGCCTCCAGTATTATAAACTCCTGGCTCATCGTTTTCTGGAACCATGTTTGCTAGACCATAATTTCCTGCTTCATTATATTTATTATCAAGAAGATCTTGTCGTACTTTTGGCCAAGCAGCTTTTGCGTTTGGATTTACACGATTTTGAAAGTTTCCATTCCAAATTGAGTCTTCGTTTAAAACCAACTTTTCGGCCGCTGAACCATACATCGTGATACCTAATCGACCGTTACCGATCGGTAAAACTGAAGTGTAATCACCGGCAGGTGTAGTGAAATGAATTGTGGTTGAACCATTGTAGGTTTGACAAGCTGTCCTTGCCACCACAAGGGAGAGTGCTGCAACAACTTGGAATAGCATCTTGCGCGGGTTGAGTGTTGTTGTTGGGCCGTTAAGAGATGGAAATTGTTTTATTATGCTCTTTATATGCTTTTTGCTGATTTGTCACATTCATTTTGTCGGCATCATAACATGAGGAATAAGGTTTTAATTACCGGTAATCTTTGACGTCTTCTTTTTACTCCACAAAGATGTAAGAATAGAACAAATTGAAGCCCGACCTGCATGTCAATAGAATCCCTCGTCATTTTGTTTGGTTATTGTCTTGTGCATGGTTAGCGTACTTTTAGCTTCGGAATTCTGGAACTAGAATGCGGGGAACTTCTGTCAAATTGACATTTCTATTCCCCGGATGGATGGCTTCCGCGGAAGTGTCAGATCGACAAAGGCATACGCAGATGGTGATCCAGTTTCCTTCATGCTTTCATTGCCGGCTTGGCGAAAAGATCTCCATTGTATGCACTTTTATGGTATACGTCATCTGCCTTGCGTACCTTCTCCGTGGAGTCCTAGATTCAATTCATCAAAGAGCCAGTTACGGAGCTAATGCCATCTTCATTTCATCGTTTCAGCTACTCGTTTGAAGGGTTTACGGGAAAGTTGAGGTTGCCATGAAGTTTTGTGAGCAAGTCAGCATATCTCCACTCTACGGAGAGATCCGAAAGCCTAAGTACCCACACTTGGCTTCCTCAGAAGTAGTTTGGAGCACAGTCCTTGGTCGAGATACATTGCTGCAGCACTTGAGCGTATTTGCTTGGAAGAGGATAAGATGGTACACACGACATGAAAGATGACCGAATGAATGCAAAGATGAATTGACAATAATTGGGTTGCGAATGTAAACGCGTGTGATTATATAAGCAATTTCTCGGTGACTTTCTTAGCCTGAGTTGAATCTTTGTGTCTTGGCACACAGCTTAATTTTCTGACTTTAGGGGTTGCTTGCAGATGAACAAAAATAGGGGTGAAGGCCTAAGAGTGATGGCGGGTACAGTGCATACATGGCGTGTGTGAGTGTGTTACTTTCACACTGCTTAAAGAACAACACTTGCTCATACATACCTTCTAGAATCAAGGTCATGCAGATCATATATTCAAACATGCAATTGGGTCCAGGGGGATCCTACAATCAGACAATTACGTCCATCACTTCTCTATTTATACCAACGAAATGTTTTGATAAACAGCAACATAATCTCATTAAGCGGCAAATATGCCACCAAGACCGATCGGTAGCCCTTCGATGGGAGATCGTTCACGCTCACCTTCATCCTGGGATGAACAGCAGAATACAATGGTGAGCTCGGCTGTTCAACAATGGGAACGTAGAAGTTCTCGTGATGGACAAAATAGAGGCACCAGCCATGCTATCCCAAGACCATCATATCCACCTCCTGCTCCTTCTTCAGGTGCAGGTATTCGAAGATATAGTGCACCTTTCGGGCAAGAAGCAGTTCGCGATCCACTACAACAAAGTACCTCACAGCCCATTACTGCTTATCCAGCGCATATACCCTCGCCATACATTGAACAAGAGAGCACTTCTGATCCTTACACGTATGGATATACGGAAAGGCATGTGGATGAAGAGGAAGAGGTGTACGAACCTTTAAAGCAATCGTATGAGAGAGCAGATGCTACTGCAATACCGGTCCTCTCTCCTTCTTCTTCAAGTATGAATCGAGGAGATAGTGATCATCTTGAGGGCTATGAAAAGAGAAATATCTTCCATTCGCAACAAGACAGGATACGGCAAGATGTACGAGAACAGATTAGGAACGGAAATGGGAGATATACTGAATTTCCACAACAGAATGTCTATGTCGGCGGAGAATCAGCAATGAACCCAGAACGAATCTCAGGACAATCGATAGGAAGCAGATTCAGCTTACCGCCATGGCTGACCAGTAATATCAATGCAAAAGAGATCTATCGACAAGTGATTTGGTTGCTGGCCGGAATTGCCCTATTGTGGGTCCCAGGATTGGTAGCAATCCTCTGTTATGGTGCACTAAAGTTCCCCATGTACGCCTATCCGACAATCTTTGGCGTAGGTCTGTTTTGGTGGAGCGTCTGGCTTTCATCAGCTTGGGCCGGAATTTGGATTTGTTGGTTAGCATCATTCATTGCTCCGATCGCTTTGAGAATTTCTTTGGGTATCCTTGCCATCAACTTCAAAAGACAGATCACTTATTTGGAAGTTTTACAAAAGTACGTTGCAACTTTTTTATGGTCAATTTTGATTTGGATAGCCTATCTCACAATGGTTTGGATGCATTTTCCTGGCTATCAAGGGGTAGATTCCAGCCTGTTGGACCCGTTGTCAGCAGGCAATTCCACAATGGGAAGTGGATCTGGCAATTCTACCGGTGCTTCCAATAGCTCTTCTTCGACTTCTTCTTCTGATTCAATTTTGGGCTCGTTATGGGGAACGGGCTCTACTGCATCTGCTCATGCGGCCGCACTACAAGCAGAAGCTGAGCTATCCAACTATTCAAGCAATACGAATTGGCTGATCACTTTCAGTCGATTCTTCTTCGGTTTGGCGATTTGTTGTGCTTTGCTTTTAGCACAAAAGTTAGCCATCCAAAGTATAGCAAATAGCTTTCATGAAGTTACGTATAGCGATAGAATCCGATTGATGAAATATCATACCAGTGTTTTGGTAACCCTGTATTCGCACGCCAAACGGATCAAATTTGGAACCAATGGAAGCTTGTTGGCCGAACATGGAAAAGCGGCCATGGCTGATACGAACATGCATCTCGAAACTGATATCAAACCATCATCGACAGACGCACCGACGAGAGAAGGACAAGTGCTGAGGGCGGGCAATAAGATCAATTGGTCACATTTCAGAAATACTTTGAGCCTAAAAGGACGATCAACTCCTACGATCATGAATTTCACCGTCAAAGTTCAAGATATTGGTGCTCCTCCGCTTGCGTTTACGAATCCTTTCTCTGCTGAAGCGATCGTTGAATCATCTCTCGAGAGTAGCGATGAAACAAAGAAGCTGGCAAGAAGGATATTTGATGCTTTTTCCGTTCCTTTGACTGGCTCAGATGAGCACACTAAGAAGGGAGGTCACAAGCATACTACTACTGGCGTCGATGATGGAGAGAATCCACTCTCACGTAGGGTGCTGACACTCGCGTCTATTGAAACTGCTTTCAAGTCAAACAAGGATGCCATACGTGCATATGCCGTTCTGGATCGAGATGGGAATGGCGATTGTACCTGGGAAGAAGCCTTGTCAGTCTGTTTGGAGATTCATCGGGAGCGAATGTGTTTGCTAGCCTCTATGCATGACGTTGATGCAGCAGTTGCAAAATTGGATCACATCTTACGCGGAGTTTGGATAACGATGTCATGCGTGATTGTGGCAGCCCTTTTGAGTACTCGATTTTCGACCCTGATCGCTTCTCTTGGAACTATTTTGCTTGGTCTGTCTTGGTTGATCAGCTCAACCGCTCAAGAATCATTAGCTTCGATTGTATGGGTCTTCTGTAAGCATCCTATCGATGTCGGAGATGTGATTGTGGTTCCTGGATTATTGTCAGTTGCTTCGTCGACAGTTACAAAAGACACGCTTGCTGCTTTACAGGGATACACGGATGGCGATACATTCGAAGTACAGGAAGTTCAACTAATGTCAACCGTACTCAAGACTACAACAACAAATAAACATGTACAAGTCTCGAATTACCTTCTCTCATCAAAGCCATTGGTGAATTTGCGTAGAAGTGGACCTATAGAAGAACCGTTTATGCTGAGTGTGGGATACGATACCCCTTTGGAATCGATTGAAGCTTTACGGCAAGATATGTGCTCCTGGTTGGCCACTCAAGGCAGAGACTTTCGGCCAGGTTTTGACATCGCTCTTGAAGGGCTAGATGATCAAGCACAACTGAAGCTTGTTCTCGCAATTCGCTACAAATCGAACTGGCAAGATCCACCATTACGTATGCAGAGACGTAATCGTTGGGTCTCCGCTCTGAAACAATTGTTGAAGAAGAACGAGATCTACGGCCCAGGTCACATTCCCGCCGCAAAACCTGCGATTTTGGATGACACCTCTAAAAATACGGCGTCACAATCAGTCAAATCGTTCCAGTTGATGGACAAAGTCGAAGATGTGGTTCTGGATGGAAAGACAGAATTTGAGCTATTTGGTACAAGGGGAGTGCATACCTTGCATTCCCATCATACAAGTACCCCTATGAGCGGTACGTTTGCCGCGGGAAGGGACGGAAAGCTTGATGTAGACCCTGCTCTAACTACACGCTCTCGATTGAATGAAGCCATTCCTCCAACCAAATCAGCAGGTGAAGGTGATTTGCGTGCGAGTATGTACGCACAACATAGCACCAGTACCACTCAATTAGATGCGGTCAATGCACAGGGCTGGCATACTAATGAGGATGAGCTTTTCCGTCAAGAGGAGGGACAGAAACAGATTCGAGGATCCAATCGCGATCTTGAGATGGGCGAAAGACTATAGAGCTGCACTAGCTCTGTATTCTGCCTTATTTCCTCTCGATTGCAATCAATCCAGCTTTAATGTCTGCCCTTGGAGAAGCTGTACTCATCCATATGCCCAGGCATACAGCGATTATTTTCTCTTTGTTTGATCATGACCACAAAGAAACGTGCATGCCGTTCATACTGTCATGAGTCCGCCTCAGCTCACTTCCTCAAGCACGATCATTCACAGCCAAGACAATGGCAATGTTCTTCATAAAGGCAAAATTTATGAGAATAACCTACAAAGTCAATACGACCAAAATCCAATAGGCATGTTCCTACCCAGAGAAGAACAAAGGCGGAATATGTCAATGTTCTTTTGCGAAAATCCAAACAAACGAAAGACTTGGTTAAATCGAGGAAGACGAGCATACAGTCCAGGAGCAGCAAATGAAGCGAAAAGGAGGCAAGCTGAGATCAAAAAGATGCTGGATAAAAATGAAAAAACTTCAACAAAATCCAGTCGTAAGAAGAAAAGTAGTAAACGTGGCAAAGGTCCGAATCTCGTCATCGTTCCTGAAAAGATAAAGACTGTGAAACCTCGAACGTAAGATTGATTCATACCTCTCCTCAATTTCTGTAATACGTATATTCATCACTTGTACATTATGGCACACAGACTGTTACAATACAATACGAGTCAACCGAAGAGCATACGAAAGACTATTGTCCTTGCGCTGATCATTACGACGTACGAAAATAAGTAGTGAGTGTTAAAGTAAACACCCCTTCCATGTTGGGCATGTCGTAACATCTCTCAGCTTCTCAAGCTTCAGTCTTGCATAAAAGTCAATCTTTACGGCGATAATGATCGTCCGTCATCGAAGCTCTATAATTTAAATCGGTCGCGAAGAGATTTGATCTCTTGGTTTTCAGTCATTCTATATTCTGCAAACTCAAAAGCACTAGAGTGAAAGACTGACGTCAGATGAATGATGCATTCGGTACGTAAAAAAAGAGGAGAGGAAGTTTAGAAAGAAGTATTGTCTAGATTAAATAATAATCGAACGAGTTGTTGTTGGCAATACTTATGAAATGGAAGTTTTTCCATCATTGACTTAATGTCTACATTGACTGATATCCATGCAATTACGGCCATCATATTCTCTGTCATTTGATTTAAGGGAGCCATGAAGGTTTGTGGTAAATAGCCGCTCTTTTTTAAATGGGGGCAATATAATAAGTCCAGAATTTTTACTTACCCAATTTGGACAGGTTGACCAGTGGCTAGAGCAGCAACCACAATGGCGAACAGGATGAAAGTTGTAAGGCTATTTTTCATTCTTGCAAAAAAAAATAGATGAATGTAGAAATGAAAGAATTGGCAAGAAAGTATTCAACAAGTTGTATTTTATAGGTTTACGGGAATATACGAAAAGAATATCATCCTACTAAGGAATGCAGCAGGAGTAAATGGAATGTGGTATTGATTGCGAGACGTCATATCAGTCAATCTCTCTTCCCATTCTCCTCCTTAAGCCCCTATTGTACTCTACATTTGAATATATTGCCCTAAACAGTCATTCTAGTAAGATATAGCCTCGCACATTGAACAATTACCAAAGTGATATTTACAAATCCGAATAAGATAAAAGCGATGGGTCTAGGTAAACCCGTTGGTAGAGTGTAGTGATGTTGAGATTTGGCTGAGTTTAAGAATAAATGGGCTGATCATTTAGTATCCTTTTTTAGATGTAAGGTTGTATGAAACAGGCTATCATCTATTCATGCTATCCTAGGAGCTATGATATCATATTCGCTCTTATGAAGAATGTCAGTATTGCTCGTTCCTCCTGTCCGATCGCTTTCATTCTTATTAAACGTCTTTTCTTGATCTTATCCTTATTATATAGTTATACACTTTTCAAAGTTGAAGGAAATGCTTTGTGCTGAATTCATACTCGATGGAATGATGTTATAGAGGTATTTGAATTTTATAAATTAGGACACTGCTCAAGCGATACAATCTAAGAAGGTATAAACACTTGGAATCAATCAACAACCCTGTAGAATGAAAAGGCTGTAGAACGAAACCTTCTTTCTCATTTGCTTCCACCTCGACAACGGTCCTTTGCTAGGCATGAACGGCCACCAGGTGGCGTCCGGCTTGAATACAGAGGGGATTCAGAGATCATTCTAGTCAGTCTATGTTGCCACCTGTAGGGTGTCATCAGTGTTTAGTAATCTTACTCACGGAGGCCAGGCTTTCTTTTCTGGTCTGCTAGCTGCAAAATTGGCGACGATCAGCGCGAATAAGATCAAAGCCATAAATTTGGGTGTCATTTTGCTAGCAAAGTGTGTAAAGTGGGAATGGTTGTCACTGAACAGAAGAATCAAATTTTACAACAGCACTTTATGAAGAGACACCCATCCCCCTATTGTCAATTTAACATGGTGCAAAGGGCGTCAAATTCCTTACCCGTTCGGTTTCCTTACCCGTTCGGTTTCCTTACCCGTTCGGTTTCCTTACCCGTTCGGGTTCCTTACCCGTTCGGTTTCACCCTTGCCTTTCCGCAGGAGGCAGCCCTTAATACACATGCAATCGATTCATCCCTATCACAAAGATGTCTCTAAAGTACAGCTTTCAAAGTGGGGGATATTGCTTCTTGATTTCTTCATGGGCAAAGGAACGTCCTTGTGCCGAATCAGGGGCGGCACTGAAATCTGCACATACCTGTCGACCTGCGTACCCCTGCAAAACGTACTTGTACGTCACCAATCCTTCCAACCCCACAGGTCCACGAGCATGCATCTTTCCAGTCGAAATACCAACTTCGGTTCCGAATCCGTATCGGAATCCATCAGCGAATCGAGTGCTTGCATTGACATATACGTTTGCGCTGTCTATCGATCGAACAAATGTAGCTGCCGCTTCGTTGTGAGATGGATTGTTGGAAGAAGTTGGAGCGGTAAAGATGACGTCAGTGTGATGTGATCCGTGTTCGTTGATATGTGCGATAGCATCATCCAGTGAATCTACTGATTTTATAGCAACATCTAGTGATAGAAATTCGGTGTCAAAATCGGAGGTTTGTGCCTGCTTCACGTTACCCGATGAGCGGATATTGTCGTCCAATGCTTTGTAGCAGTCTTCGTCCAAGTGAATGGTGACATTTGCTTCAAGTAGTGCTCTGGCGACCGTAGTCAAAAGCCCTTGGCTGGTGAGATGTGATTTGTGAACAAGGATTGTTTCAACTGCATTGCAGGCTGCTGGGTAATCAATCTTTGCATCAATCAGGTTCGCGATCGTTGATCTTGCTTCTGCATCAGAATGAACGTAAGCGGAACACAAACCGTCTGCATGTCCCATGACAGGGATACTGGCTGAACGTTGAATGTTTCGAACAAGTTCATTCGAGCCACGGGGAATGATTAAGTCGATGTATTCATCTAAACGCAACAGACTGTTCACATCCTCCCTTGTTTCGACGGTTTGTATAAGATCACTTGGTAGCTCTTGACTTTCTTCTAAAGCTCTCCGCAGTATTTTTGACAATACAGCAGCAGATTGATGAGATTCCTTTCCGCCCTTCAGGATAGCAGCGTTTCCTGATTTAATGGAAAGACAGGCAATATTGATGATCACCTCTGGACGAGCTTCAAAGATGCAAAGTAACACTCCGATCGGACAAGTTATTCGGTAAAGATCTAATGCTTCCCCTTCGCTCGATTGTGGTTTGGCAAGACGCTTTGCGTATGTACACTGTTCCAATGGGTTTGGCAAATTGGCTACTTGGCTGATTCCATCCAACATGCCTTGCCATTTTCCAGGTTTGGAGAATAGATCCAAACGTGAGACTAGAGAAGGAGAAAGACCGGCCTGTTTTGCCTTTTCGACATCTAATGCATTGGCTTTTTGAACTTCTGTATGGGCTTCTTCCAGTAAGGACTTCAGTCTGAACAAGACTGCCTTTCTTGTTTCATCACCTTTCGCCCCCGAAGCGACATTTCTTGATGCAACATTGAATGCCTTTTTAGCACGTTGAGCAATCTGTTCAGCTTGTGAGGAAGTAGAAGAAGATGCGTTAATGTTGGCCATCTTTGTATGATTATGATGGTTTCCGGTAAAAGTTTAAATTTGAGAAGAAGTGTCAAACGCTATGACTCGCACACTAAAAATCGAACAAGGTGCGGGCGGTGCAGAGTGCTGTGGAGAAAAGACTAAGATGAGATTACCTAAGCTTCATATTTCACCTTCTTGACCTCGAAGGCGTTCCCTTTGGGCGGAGTGCGCACGCGTTCAGCCTACAAATATAAACAAAAACAACAACAACAAAAACAACAACACGTTTGATGCACCCGACAAGCGGGGACGGTAGGGTAGCCCATTTCTTTCTTTTGATTCTGTTTTAGCGCGTGTGTGCATGTGTTTATTCGAGGTGTTGCACTCGCCCAGAGGCACGCAAGCACAAAAAAAGCCCTTTATCAAGAAAAAGCATGTATTGAACAACCCATCATACTCACAATCTTGTCTTCTTACTAGGATCCCCAAGTGATGACCTTTATCGCTTGAGAATTCACACTCGACCATAGATTCTACTCAAAAGTGTGAATCAATGTCTTCTCGCATCCCTGTGCTTACACCTAATAATAATCATCAAAACACGCAATATTCAAATTATCAAGATTCATCAAATATGAGTCAAACATCTTTTAGAGGTGGAGCTGGAACGCCAGTAAACGGAACTGGCTCTCAAACAAGCGATGCTTTTGATACACGCAAACGTCAAAGTCGTCGTGATGAAGCAATTCGTAAAAAGATTGAATCCCAATTAAATTTAAAAGCTGGAAAACCTTCAACTCCAACATCCCGTGGTGGTGCGGGTACGCCGGCAGGTAGACGTCGTGGTGCTCATCGTGCACCGATTGCTGGTACCGTCAGTGCTCTTCGCCCTTTACCTGCTTTGACTGTTCCGCAAAACATTTCTGTCGCAGATGCAAGTCAACTTTGCGCTGCAAAGAGAACCGATTGCGTTTTGGTCGTCGATGATGATGAACATTTGGCAGGTATCTTTACCGCAAAGGACTTGGCTTTCCGTATTGTGGCGGCCGGTATTGATGCACGATCTACACCTGTAAGAGACATCATGACTCGCTCTCCTATGGTTACTCGTGATACAACCTCAGCAACGGAAGCACTCAATACGATGGTCACACGTGGATTCCGTCACTTGCCCGTTTGTAATGAAGAGGGCGACGTGGTTGGATTGCTGGATATCGCAAAGGTGTTTTATGAAGCTTTGGAAAAACTTGAACGTGCACATGGATCTAGTCAAAAGCTCTACAATGCCTTGGAAGGTGTTCAATCCGAATGGGGTCCAACAGCTGCCGGTGGAGGTGGACATAATGCCATGCTTGCCTACGTTGAAGCCTTGCGTCAACGTATGAGCATTCCTGATTTGACCACAATCCTTGACAGTCGCACTCTTCCATGCACCGTTGGTGTCCGTACAACAGTTTGTGATGCTGCAAAGATCATGAAAGAACATCGTACAACGGCCGTTTGCGTGATGGAAGGTGGTACACAATCTACCCCGGCTAAAATTGCGGGAATCTTTACGAGCAAGGATGTTGTGTTGCGTGTTATTGCTGCTGGTTTGGACCCAAAGACATGCAGTGTAGTCCGTGTCATGACCCCTCATCCTGATACTGCTCCTCCATCACTCTCAATCCAAGAAGCTCTGCGTAAAATGCACGATGGCCGTTACCTCAACTTGCCCGTTGTGGATGTTGATTCTCGCTTGGTCGGAGTTGTGGATGTTTTGAAGCTGACGTATGCAACGCTTGAGCAGATTAACAGTATGAACGATGGGCAAGGCGAAGAAGGTGCAGAAGGTGGTGGTCCAATGTGGAACAGATTCTGGAACTCATTCGGTCAAACATCCGGAAGTGTTGGTGGAGGTACTGCCGATGACAATGAATCAGCAATGAGCGGCAGTCATGCACAACAATATCCCGAAACACCAAACCGTTCCGGTCTTCCTGATTTGAGCTCCGATTTGCATCCCAACGATTCTGCCAGCGCTGTTGCTCACAATGATGATGGTGCATCGGGTGTTGGTCTGGCAAATGCAGCTGCCCTTTCTGCTGCTGTGGATGATGGAACGTATTTGTTCAAGTTTGTTACGCCAAGCGGTCGTACACATCGTTTCTCTGCTCGTTATGATAACTTTGAGACAATTCGCGAGATCGTTTGCATCAAATTGTCCGGTGATCCATTCTTCGATGCGCCCAGTCCACTTCCACCTGCACCACCTCATGCACCCGAAGCGACCGTTGAGGAGAATGGAGATCAACCCTCGTATGCCAGCATTGCTGCTCAACCTCCAGCGGCAGCACCTGATCCGAACGATTTCTCATTGGCATATACCGATGATGAAGATGACACCGTTCTCATTACTGCAGATGGTGATGTTCAAGATTCAGTTCAAGTAGCACGTAAACAAGGTAAAGATCGAGTCGTTCTTCTATTACAAGGCGGAAAAGCATGGCAAGAAGCACTTCAACGACAAAACATTAGTACCAATAACGATCGTTCTGCCCGAAAGAAGATGCGTGAATCGATGGATGCACAATTACAAAGTGTCAAAGAAGAAGAAGAAAGAGAAGGAGAAGAAAGAAGTACAAATGTGAGCGAACGCGGATTATCAAAGAAGATGAATGGTAGAGCTGGAAGCAAAGACGATGCTGAACTTTTGTTTGGTGTACTGCCAAGAGATTTAGCTTTACCTGCTGCTATTGGATTTTTAGGTGTTGCAATTCTTGCTGCATTTGCCATTGGTAAATCCTCTGGAGCATCAAGGTGATTACATTGCGTTTGAGTTGCAGGATTTCTTACTGCTCCTTTTTTGTATATTCTGCACAATATTTATTCGATTGAGTCCTTGCTCGTGTGCCATCATATTATCGATTATTTTGACGGGTATGACTATTTAACATTAAGTTGCGAAGGTGAAAGTTGTATTCTTGTAACGCTTCAGAAGGATAAACTGGATTCGCTTGACTTTGTTCGGCAAAACCAGAAGGTAAAACACAACAAATATGATGTGGTAAGCAAAATGGATGACAATAATCATTTTCATGTGTTATTGCATTTGGCGGACAAAAGTTCTCATAGCAGCGTAGTCTGAGGGTAGAGGGAGACGAGTCATTCGAAGAACGTTGGATGGGTAAGAGAATTACACTTACTGTGTACCAAAAGCCGTTTCTTGAAATAATGCCATTACCGAGTGTACGATGATGCACACAAAGACGATTGCGCTCATTCTGATTCTTTGCATTGACTTTGAAGGCATCTTAATACCTTACAATAATTGTGGATCTCGATTGGTCATGTAAAAGAGTGCGATATTTTATTTACTCCGGCAACACGTAGCAAATGAAGACAAAAAGTAAGCTCCGTCCGTCCGTTTTCGCTTTCCGCTTCTATCACAATTGTCACATTGCTTACCTCCCTTGTTACGCCGAAATATCGTTCTCGGCTCCGTCGGAGAGAGACATATTGTTGTCACTGTCCTTCTGATTTGAAAATGATAGAATTAACTGTCGCCAACGGGTAGCATGTTGTCGGCCGGGTTAAATAGGCATTGCTTATTTTTCCTTAAGCAGTCAATTCTTTTGGCAATGATGTTAGGAAAGGCAGCATCTTAAAAGATTGACAATCATTTATATTCTTGCTGGACTCAGAATCGTGAAATGGTCATCAGTTGTCTCTTTCCGTGAGGTTCTCTTACGCATATATTCTACCAAGCATGCATGATGGTTGGCATTCACGTGTCATAAGTCTACTCAAGAAAGAATCTGTGAGAATATGCTGGAACAACTCCACGCTTATTTCTACGCGAGTGTACTGTATGTCTAACAAAAAATAATCAGGCACTTTATCACTCTTTGATATTATACACACGCAAGAAGAATCATCCACTTGCGCACGGATGGCAAACATTCTTGAATGAATGCCTTCTTAACATATCTTACAACTTAACCATCACAATTGAGTATTCATAGAAGTAGTACTCAGATAATCACACATAAACACAAAATGGCAACAACGTCTTCTGCTCCAGCAAACAAGGGAATCTCTGCTCCAGAAATCCTTTGGGCTCAACGTTCATCAGAAGATGAACCAGAGAAGAACGTAGTCATGGTAACAATCAACGTTCCAAACCTTCCACCACAACCAGCAACAAAGATTGATCTATCAGAACAAAGTTTCAAATTCCACACCAAAGTTCAAGCTGACAAAGCACACGGAATTGAAGAACGTGAATATGCATTCGAATTGGAATTATTCGACAAAATTGACGTTGAAAATAGCAAAATTTCTCAAAATGCAAAAGCTCTTTATCTAAACTTACGCAAAAAAGATCTCAAATTGGAATATTGGCCTCGTTTAAGCAAAGACAAGATCAGACTGCATAACGTTAAAACTGATTTTGATAAATGGGTTGATGAAGATGAACAAACCGGTAACGTGGACGACTTTGGCGCCATGGGCGATGGTGGTATGGGCGGCATGGACCCTTCAATGGCCGGAATGGGTGGCATGGGCGGAATGGGAGGTATGGGTGGAATGGGCGGCATGGGAGGAGCCGGTGGAATGGGTGGCATGGACTTGCAAGCTATGTTGGCTCAAATGCAAGCTGGCGGTGGCGCTGGAATGCCTGGCATGCCTGATCTCGGTGCCATGGGCGGCGATGGCTTTGGAGAGGATGATGAAGGCGAAGACGATGATGAAGGTAAGCCAATAGATGCCGTCGCAGGTCAAGGAAAGGCAGAATCCGTGGAAGAAATTCAATCTGAAGGTGTAGCAGCAAAGGACATCGAAAAAGTCGATTAAAACATTCTGTCAGCCAGTACATAAAATGTGTAAAAATGCTATGTTGAACTTGATCGTCGTAATACCATTCACTTTATTGTCTGTAGAATCATGCGTTTGTAGAATTAAGCTTTCCTCTCATGAAATAAACACGACTTTCATTTCACTCAAAAATTTCACGCAACAAAGGTCAGAATGATGCTTGTATTGACGTGCAGAAGACGTAGTAGTCATCGTACCCAATCTTTGCACGGAAAACATGTATGACTTTTTGTGGGTGTGCGTATGTGTATGAATGCATATGGAAACAAGAGAGACACAATGATATGGAACGCTGCCGTGAATCCGTAAAAGATGATTGTCGTAACAATGGGTGCCAAACCGTATCAATTGAGAATAAAGTACAAATGAACGATAGTATGGCTTTTAGTTCTTGCGACGGAAAGAGCAGCCTGGTAAGAAGAAACGAGGAATAAACAGTCAGTATCGCTTCAGAATTTAATCAGCAGAGCTTTCTTTACTCACCCTCTGTCAATCGTCCCTTACCACCGGTAGGTTGGCACAAAACTTGAGCGCAAGATGAGCAAACGACAACGGTTTGTGCGTGAGAGAAGACTGTTGTGATAGCGAAGCAACCTGGGCACTTGACGTCCATGAAGAATGAGTTTGGGTTTTGAACCAAACGTTTGAGTTTGTGGCAACGAGCTTGTTGCTCGGCAGATGGGTTAAGAAGATCAACAGCGAGAGTCTGAGAAGAAAATCAAGGAGGGATTGAGAGTTAGAATCTGTTTTGAGAATAGCATAATTGCGAAGGTCGAGTGAGGCAGGGTAGTATCGTCGAAAGCGAAGGACAATCATTCTTGCAGAATTCACCATTTCCCCACGCAGAAGGACCGCAAGTCGTCGAGCAAATCCTCTGTAACAAGCTTTCGAATTGTGACAATCGTTGAGAGCCTTCAGAACTGCTCCTATTGCACCGTTACCTTGCTGTCGTGATCTTCCCGCCACAGAATGTTCACCTAATGTCTCTTCTTGCGCAATAGGGAGACAAGTCTGCTTCATTATCGGTAATCATCCTGGCCGGCCTGCCCATCTCTCTTGCCTATCGTTCAAATACTACCTCCTCCGACTCATCTCGCCATCAAATAGATACTTACCATAATGGGCAATAAAATGTGACTGCTTGGTGGTTAGATGAAAAAGATTCGTGGCTAGCTAAGCTTAGCAGAAAGGGCAAATTCTATACGCGCGCAGCGCTAGGCCTAGAATGACAATTTTGGCCTGAGGACCTTTTAAGTTAAATTGCGCAACACGAGGGGAAGAGCTTGCGTAAGAAAAGTCACGTGGAAGTGTTTGACCATTGCGGCATCAGGCGTTAGAGCAGTCAATTGGTTGAATTTAGTAGCGCGGCGTAATCTTTTGCGCGCAGGCTCTTTAGCACAATCGTAGGCCCACAACAGTATTCAAAGTTTACCGTATCAGCGCCAGCCCTGCAATACAGATTTTTTAGGCAAGACAATCACAGCTCTCTTTCCACCTTCATCGTTGCGACAAGGAGCCTCAATCAGCACAAGGTAAGCATCTTCATGATGGCAGAGTGAATGATATGATCGAAGATGGAGGGAGCAGGATAGAAAAGGCTCGACTTTGACTGGGTGGTATGGTGGGATTTGCAGAGTGGAATGTGAAAGTATGGGAGGAGTTTGCGCAGCATGGTACTGGCGAAGATACTGCACCGACACAAAAGACAAGACGACATCACTTCACATACGATCTCACCTCGCTTTCTTCGATCTTTATCATCTTCGTCTACGTCACTGCAATTGTTTTTGAACATTCACTAATCTGTCTCTCTTCTTTTGCGCAGTCAATCGCCATGGTCAATCTCCGCACTCAAAAGCGTCTCGCTGCCTCCGTCTTGGGCGTTGGTAAGCGCAAGGTCTGGTTGGACCCAGCAGAACAAAACGACATTGGTAACGCCAACTCCCGTGCCAACGTCCGTAAATTGATCAAAGATGGTCAAATTATCCGCAAGCCAGTCGTTGGACACTCCCGTGCCAGAACTCGTGAACACCATGCCGCCAAGCGTCTCGGTCGTCACACCGGTACCGGTAAGCGTCAAGGTACCGCAGAATCGCGTATGCCAACAAAGGTTATGTGGATGAGACGTCAAAGAGTTTTGCGTCGTCTTTTGCGCAAGTACCGTGAAGCAGGAAAGATTGACAAGCACTTGTACCACGAACTATACATGAAGTCAAAGGGTAACGTTTTCAAGAACAAGCGTGTGTTGATGGAATTCATTCACAAGGCTAAGGCAGAGAAGGCTCGTTCCAAGCACATCGCCGACCAAATGGAGGCTCGTCGTTTGCGCAACAAGAACTTGCGCGAACGTCGTGCCAACAGATTGGCAGAGAAGCGTGCTGCTATTGTTGCTGTCGAATTGGAATCCGAAGAGAAGAAATAAGAAGGAAAGGGATTGGGTTGAAGAATATCGGGGTCGCCACGATGTGGTGTTGTACAGTGAAGGGGGCAAGCAGGATGGTAAAAATTGCCGTAATGGCTATTCAAAAGTTTTACACACCAAAAGCATGCACAACATTCATGCATTCAAGCCATCTCTCTTGTCTCTCTTTGCGGTCAATACATTAATATTCTTTATCAATTCGGACTTTTTCCGCCAACATTCTCTTTTTTCTGGTTCTTCATTCTGCATTCCATCATACATTGTTCCGTTCATGGCATGCCTGTATTACACGCACATTTCTATACGATCTTGTCACTATTATCTGATCTCATTCATGAGGTCAAACTTTTGTAGATTGATTTGATTGAGTGACAATTCTACTCGATCTCATCTTTTCTACTTGTTCATCATACGCATTACGCACACTTATACATACAATCATAGCATATGCCAATGAGCACATATGACCCAAAATTGTTGAGAGAAGCGTGAGAGAGATCAGATCGTTTATATTATGTCATTTGCCTGCGTTTGAGCTTTGGTCACAGAGAGAAGGATTATTCCGTGGAGTTAACGGTTGTGATGACTCTTGTGAGTATGTATCCGCGTACCGACAAGAAGATCTTCATTTTGAGTAGAGGGCTGAGTTTGTACAGGTTAAATTGGGATATACGTATATGACCAGGCTATCTGTCTCTTGTCTCTCACAGATCAGGTGAGCAAAAGTAGAAAATTCCTTTTAAACGAAAAATGAAATGCACTGCACACACGCACAGCTGATTGAATGATCTGATAATAATGTATTACGGGCAACCTGGCATAATATGCGCGCTCAAAGCTATATGAAAGCTGGCAGATCAAATGCTTAAGGCGGCAAAGGCAGCGGCGGCTGGCGGAGTACGGGCGAGTAAGGCCGGACAATTATTATGGTAGGGCAGGAACAGGGAAGTGTCCGAGTATTGCTTGTACAGAGACGTAGTGCACAGGCTAGGCTTTTTGTCAAATTGTCAGCCCACCATAACACGCATTAACAATCCGCAAACAAAACACACACGCGTTAATGCCGTACGCTAAGCATTCTTTTCTTCTAATTATAATCATACAACAGCAAAAACCAGAACCATTTTTTAAAGTTTTTTAACTTTTATTAAAACAGTGATTTCGCGCCATTTTACAACAATAGACTGTTTATCTGCCCATTTGCTGTTCGCTCACTCTCTCTCGCACAAAGGTATGAAATTCTTCTCTGCCCAATCTCCGTCTGTTCGCCGACGGGGTATTAATGTTTGTTGATCTTGTCGCGATTTTCATTACGTTCATCATCATCATCACTTCAGCTTCTAATCCGGCTATCAAAGAAGAGGTCACTCCATCTTCAAGTAGCATCAATCACTCATCACCAGACCAAGCTCGACCTGTCAACGCGTTAACCAAAGTTGACACACGTCAAGATCAGATAAAGGTCAAGCACAACTGATAAAGCTTTCTCTCACCGCCAAAGCTTTTCATACGTGTTCTTCACATCCTTCTAGCATCGCCACAGAAGGATATCAAAGTTCACTTAACCTCACTCTCATCCTTGCCACAAGCCTCTTCTCAACCCCATCCACAAAACAACACGCGACACTCGAACTCCTTTGCCACTTTTCTTGACAAACAAGCAAAATGGATTTCGTTTTACAGATGGCCGATGATTTGGTCTTGGACCGTTTCTGGGCATGGGCTGTACCTGCTCTTCCCAGATCATTAGCAAACGCAGGATCTTCGCATCACGCTGTCTCAAACACAATCCGCTCTTCAAAAGTTGCAGGTGCAAGACCATCTTCCAGCACAACCTCCAATTTCACATCCCATCTCAGTAATGCATGGGCAAGCAATGCAACAAGCGGCATGGAAGCTCTAGATGGCGTCAGTGCTTGGGGACGTGACCATCTTCTACGTCAATGTCTTTCCCTATATGCAATCACCTTCTTGGGTATTCTCTTGCTTTACTTCTCTTTCGCTGGATTCTCTTATTACTTCGTCTTCAATCACGATATGAAGAATCACCCAAGATTCCTCAAAAATCAAGTTAAACTGGAAATTCAATGCTCTTTACGCGCTTTCGCTCCTTTGGACCTATTGACTTTACCTTGGTTCATCGCAGAAGTTCGGGGTCATTCGATGTTGTACGAAAACATTTCCGATTACGGATTGGCCTATGCAATCTTCAGTATTCCATTCTTCCTCGTCTTTACGGATGCATGCATCTACTGGGTTCACAGACTAGAACATCATCCAAGACTGTACAAGCATATTCACAAGCCCCATCACAAATGGCTCGTTCCAACTCCGTTTGCCTCTCATGCATTCCACCCATTGGACGGATACGCACAATCTTTGCCTTATCACATCTTTGTGTTCTTGTTCCCTCTTCACAGATTTATCTATATTGGATTATTTGTGTTTGTTAACTGCTGGTCAATCTTGATCCATGACAGTGATATGATTTGCAACAGTCCACTAGAAAAAGTTATCAACGGACCTTCTCATCATACCCTACACCACCTTTATTTCAACGTCAATTACGGTCAATACTTTACTGGATGTGATCGTTTGGGAGGATCGTATCGGGCACCTAAAGCTGAAGATGATCCACTTTTGGATGTTGGAAAAGAAGTGAAGAAATCACAATAAATGTGGCGATAGAAGAAAAAGAAAAAACCTTTTCTGTATGGATGAACGGACAATCATTTCTCGTCATATGCTCACCAAAGTGTCTGACAAACTTTTCAACGTATTTTACTTGTTTCAATGTACACAGCGGCAAAATCTCTTGTCTCGACCATTTTTTTTTGGGATTTTCATGCAACTCCAAGTTTCTGTGTACATTTATACCCTCTTTTTTTATCTCTTTTCATCCTCTTTTTGCTACGTTCGCACGGCAGCTTTGATCAATCTTTAGTGATGTTCTTGCTTGCCTATTCATACAATTTATACACTACTACTACTAATCTATCGTATTGAAACATATATGTAGAGAGAGCGCATTATCATAAAGCAAAGGGTTCCGACATAAGTAATTTTATTGTACATTTCCCATCAACGTGCAGCAATATCGCACAATTTCAACACAACCGTCAAGACTAAATCCAAACTGGTAGTAGGTTGAGTGATTTCTTCATGAACACAAATCACTGCACGTTCACATGATTGTCTTCCTCCTGGTCCAAAAAAGAATGCCGAACTGGAAGGAACATGTGATAGCAAGATTTGTTGTGCTCTTGCATGCGTGGCTGCCATTTGAGCAACCGTTCGTTTGGGTGGAACAGCATTTGCGTTCGTACCCGGTCCAGAGCCAGTCTTTTCGGCTGCCTCTTCTGTGACTGCTTGAGTAGCATCCAATGCCGCTTCCACGACTGCATCACCGAAACCTTCTCCTTCTCCAGCGGTCGGTTGTGATTTGCTAGAAGCTTGCTGGGCGGCAGACGCATTTGCTTGAGCAGCAGCAGCTGCGGCTGCCATCGCTGCCTTACTGGAAGGTTCATCAGGCCAAAACTTCACCTTTGCATCCTTACACCAATTTCCCACTTGTTCATGAGAGAGTGAATGAACCATGTTGTTAAACACACCAAGAATGCTTGACCAGTATTGCGTCCGAACAATCTGTTCAAAAACACGCAACATTCCACGTCTAAACGTCCAACCGCCTGAAAGATTGAATGCTTCATCAGCAATTGCAAAGATGCAACTCAACAGATTATCCAAATCAGCTTGTGATAATTCAGATGCTGGACCCGAAGTGGGTATACTGGCCGTAGAAGGGAAATGTTCGGGTGATGTTGGCGAGCGGTTCAAGACAGGAGATTGTTGTTGATCTTTACCTGATGCAAGATCAGACGATCGAACTCTTCTGTGCGTGTGTGGCGCATCACGGCTCACTTGTTCAGATCGCGGCCAATCATTTCCACGTATTCCCAATCCTTGTCTTGCCACCTTCTCATGACCAGCTCCTTGAGATGGTCGTGCTCCGATTGGCAAATGTGCCAATTCAGGTCCTGCTACTCCTTCGAACGTATCCGATCTTGAAGGAACAGGTGATGCATCAGATTGAGCATCCCCCAACCCCGGCACACTTGGAGCCAAACCAACTGCCGTTCGTGTACCTTTTTGGATTGTGTTTACCATCCCGCTTGCAAAATTTCTACCTAAGTTCAATCCTTTGCTTAATTGTAAACTTTCCATCAATGCTCCAATTCGATCAGAATTATCCGTTTCGCCGCTTTCGCCTGCCCTTCCTTTATCGACAAAATATTGTACCGCTTCACTGGTCATATGGACAGGGCTTGTAAGTAAATTTTGCAAAAATGCTTCAATCTCCCGTGTCAAGATCGCACTACCTTTTCCTCTTCCTTCAGGCGGAGGATTTGCCAGAGGAGGCAGAGAAGTTGACCTGTTCAATTCTTCTCGTAATTGTTGAAAATCTCTCCAATTACGCAATAAAACGAATCCACCCGATTGTGATACCAATCCTTCAACAGCAATCATCACCTCGAATGAACGTAGATCAACATTTGAGTTCGGTCGCTCTGCATTTGGCGAAACATCCGTCACGGTGATCTCAAGTGTAGATTGAGAAGGTCGCCTTGGTGCCGGTCTTTGAAGACCATCTCGCTTTTGCGGTGGAAGCGGCGGCGGTGGCATTGCAGTAGAAGCCGTGCTAGCCTTACTTCCAGCACCATTTTGGGAAGTTTGTTCGACTATTTGGGGTGCTCGTGAGGTTGGTGCTTTCATTGGTGGGCTAGAAGCTGGTCTAGGAGGATTTCTACCTTCAGGCAAAGGTGCCAAACTTTTCGTTGGGGAAAGAGATGGACCAGTGAATACATTAGAGTCCGTTGATGAAGATCCATGTGGCTGCTTCCTTCGCGGCTCGTATGCCAAATCCATACTTGGTGTTCGTGTCAAATCCGACGTTCCTTGCACCTCACGCGATAGTCTTTTGACATTTGGTCTTTGTTCGGATGCGAAAGAGGATCTCGAGGGTGTATTACTACCGCTGTGAGCGGTTGAGCCAGAGCGACCTGCAGCTGTACCCCCGCTCGGTCTTGTGCAAGTCTCTTTCCAAAAGTACTCATAAAGACCGGTCAATCTGTTCCAAAGCGATGTTTCGACCGGACGTAAAATTTGTCGTAAAGTCAATTCTTCCGATTCTTGTATTTGGTTCAAAGCACCAACCAATGCTTCACGCAACGCTCGTCCTGCAACGCCATCATCAACGTCTGAAAGGTTATGATATGCTTTTGACAAGATTCCATATGCATCTTCACGAAAGATCTCGTCATTTTCCACATTGGAATCTGCCGGGACAAGCCTTGCCAAAGCAGAAAGACCAACGTGCAATTTAAGCAGTGCTTCCCCTTCACCTGGAGCAACAGTTGCCGCTGAAGGAGGACTGAAGAACAAACTTCTACTTGCCACGCCACCCCTTTCTAAGAAATTCTCGAAAGCATCTCTCAAGGGTGTGAATGCATTTGAATCAGACTTGTTGGACAGAACGTCAAACAATTCTGGCGCAGGTGGTATTCCGCCAGAAGCTGCACTAGGTGCTCGTGATGGTGGGCGTACGCTCATACTGCTTGTATCGCCTGTTGGTGAGACTGCAGACATCACTGTTGGACTTTGTATCGATCTACTTGTAGAAGCACTTCCTAGTGGTCTGTTGCCATCACCCTGTGTTTGTACACTTAGACCTGCATTGTTCTTGCGTTTTTCTGGCGTTTCTGGAATGGAATATCCTTTGCTGCTCTCCGCTGTGGAACTCTCTTCGGATGTTTTGATGCTATCTCGGATACTGTCCGGTAGACTCATTCCTTCGTGCGCTTTCGGAGGCAAGTTCATCGGCATAACATTATCCCATGCATTTAAGCTAGCTTCTGATACTTCTGAAGGTTGAGGTAAAGCCGATTTTCCCTTTCCTTCTTGAGGTTGCGAAGTGACATCTCCAGAATGCAGCGAAGAAAGGTTTGCTTGATAATCATTCACCTCTCGTGGTGTTGGCGAAGTAATCTTGGCTCGTGATGCTGATTGCATAGGTGTTGGGGACATCATCGATGGTGTCATACCGCTTTTAGACAAAGGACTTGGCATGGTCATCGCTTTTGGTTGCGTGGTTAGCGGTTCTCCTGCAAGAGTTGTCGGCTTGCTGCGTGAAGCTGCAGGCGTTTGCGGTGCCTGATTGGTAGTTTGAGGAAGAGGTGGCGAGAAAGCTGGAACGGCTTTACGAGATCCGGCAAAGCTTTGCTGTGTTTCCAAAGATGGCTTTGGCGATGAACGAGCAGCAGCTGTTGGGACTACTTGTCCTCCATCTCGCGCAGTGTATCCGTTCTCGCTTGGCAAAGTTTCTTTTACTGCATTCCTCTCTCCCCATGCTACGATTTGTTGGTTGATGAAATCTGGCTCTCCAATTCCGCAAATGGCATTCCAAATCTGTTTGCAGATAATCTCTCGTAGTAGCATTCGCAAGATATCACACTTGCCATCTTCCAGTCTTGCATGTCTCACAAACACCCTATCCAAAGCTTCACGCAAGGCTTGAATACGTGTTTCATCATTGGCAAAGATTGGTGCACGATTAGGGTGTAGCCTTCGATACCTCAAGGTGACCAACAAGACAGACGCAGCAGCCAGTGAGAGCTCTGCTAAAACGTCAGCACTTTTCATACTCTCTGTCGCATGAAATATACTTCCGATCGTATGATCGATGCTATACCGTACTTCGTTTGGGAAACTTGAATCGCCAAAGCTGTGATAATTGTACCAACCCAAAACACAATCTCTCACAATTAGCTCTTCCAAATCGCTTATTGGCGTTCGTAGCTTTGCAGGCATTCTACGTAAGGCAGCATATGCACCTGAACGGTCTAGAGGTGCTTTCGTTGCGAGCTTCTCTTTACTGGATGACTCTTTCTTCTTGTTGCTTTTGCTTTCGAGGGAGCTGCCATTCAATTGCCGAACAATTCGAGCTGGATCGAAAGGCGAATACATTTCCTTCTTTGGGCCATCAGATGTATCTGCAACATCATCATCGTCATCTTCTTCGTCGTCATCATCGACTGGTTTGAGCTCCAAAAATGTTCTGACCCAAGGATTGAGCAGTAAGACAGCCGAGCATACCGGTACGAATATCAAATTTGACCATCCTGAACGAGCTACGACTACTGGTAAGACGACACTTAACGTTGTGAAAAGAGCAGATGAAGAAAGTATTGGAGAATTTTGTGGCCTGCTCTTTTGGACTGCATTCACTCTTTGCTTCTCTTCTTCTTCGTTCTTGTGATCGTTCTCTTTGTTGTCGTCATTCTTTGGTATATTTGATGAGCTCATCTCTGAATCTTGTTTCGCTCTACGACCGGCGTGAGGCTATTTTGGTTGTCGTAATGGAGAGCAAGGAAAAATTTGATTTTGTTCTAGGGTATATGCATGATCCCCAAAAGAATGTTGTCGTTGATGGTATGAATCAGTTTGCCATGTATTTCAATGACCCTTTCTTTTGGATCGTGGAGGTGGCTTTGAGGAGTTCTAATCTTCACCCCGCGGCGTTGGTGTGTTTTTGTGGGTTGGCGCTGGCGGGTCCGCTAATTGAAGGGAGGGAAATTGGGAGAAGTGTGCTTATGTAAGAAGGGGCACATCTTATACAAACACTTCAAAGTGCTTCTATTCGCACATGTCAAACAAATTCTATCAGAATTGTACAAGCATTTCAGTAAGGAAATTGACAAGCATACTGGCTCTAAGGTTAGTAAAGGAATTCTGCCGTCCAAAAGCAGCTTCAAGTCCCCGATGACACCTGCATTGTTGATCAATCTCGGAGATTCTTGTCAGACAACAATAAGGTACGCAATAAATCTCCGAAGAGGCGTTTAGCTGTCTCATAATTTGAATAGTCTTTTCGGATCATAGAATTGGACTGATTGTCTTTGTCAATATAATTATTCTCCGACGCGATAAAGATTCACAAAAGGATAAGATTGGACCTTGATTTTGCTTCACGAGCCCTGAGCCATGTAAAGCGGATTAGACTACAACAATCTGCTGTCATTTCCATCAAACAATCTTCGATGACACTCTACCCGCCATCTCGATCTTGTGATTGATCTCCGTGATGGATGGTTCGATTTGCGGGCGGGAAAGCGGAAAGCGGATACGGCGAGCGGAAGACGCCTTTGCTGTGAGAGGAAGCCGGATTGTAACAGCAAAAGCAATGGGCGCGCGGCTTAATGCGTCAATTGACTTTTGATTGAAGATATATAAAGAATAAGCGTATTAATCGTGTGAATATCTGCAATGGAAATATTCCATCGAAATAGCACAATTACTCTTGCAAAACCCTTTCTTACCTGCCTTCAGCCACTTACGATTTCATGAGTACGCTCTGTGTACCTTAAAATCGCACGCGTTGGCATGCAAAAAACGGCACATTTGCCCCGATTGGCATTGGGCTTGAATGAGTTAGCGTGTCCAAAAAGACGGATTAGAGAGGGACGTGTTGTTCAATCAAATCGGCTTTGGCAGGTGAGCAAAAAGCGAGAGAGCCTGTGTTGGTATTGCATTGATTGGCACAATTTCTGCACTATGGAAGCGCACGCGTGTGTGTAATTTTGACCGGAAAAAGTTTAGATTTGACCCAAAAAAGAGAGAAAAAAAATTCAACAAAAGGTACACAACAACACACACGCGATCGAAAGACATGCCAAAAGTCAAAAAAAACGAAAGAGGCTTTTAGGCATTGGAATGTATCCGAATCAGAACCGAATCAGAGCCAAAGATTCCAAATCAATATAAAAATCAAAATAAACGGAGGATATTCTCCGGTTTCCGCTTTAAAGAGCAGTGTTCTTCTTCTAAGTGTGGAGTGTTGTTATTGTTTGTTGTTGTGGTTGTGATCAGACACACAGAGAGATTTATCGGAGATATGCAATTCATGCATTTGTACCCTCAAACAAAAAAGTTTTAAACTTTTCCTTTTCCTCGGTAGGTCCGCAATCCGAACGTGTTCATGCGCGGATTTGTTGATCTTTTTCTCTTTATTTACGGGCCGCCTAATACATATAAATACATTCATCTATATCCCATTCATTTCTAAACATCTTTTCTCCTCTCCACCAACAACGACAACAAATACTAAATTCCCTCACTCACAAAAGGAGCAATCCCGAGAACACACATACACAATATGCTATCAAACACACCTCTATATGACTTCACAGTCAAGGTGTTGGCACCCATCGTGCCTCATCTTCCGCAAAGTGTGATGCAATGGGAATTAGGCAAAACTCCATTGAGCGATATCAATGTGGTTGTTGCAGCAATGATTACATACTTGGTCACAATCTTTTCACTACGTGCTTATATTCGTAGTCTCAAAGCTCAACGTAACGGTGGCTCTCCGGTCGCATCCCCAGAAAAAGGTAAACGTGAACCTCCATTAATCCCAAGCTCTTACATCAAATATCCTTTCTTGGCACATAACATCGCTTTGAGCGTTGGATCCGGATGGCTTTTGGCTTTGATGTTGGAAGAAATCGTGCCAATCGTTTGGCGTAATGGACCATACTACTCCATTTGCAGCCCTGGTGCATGGACAATGCGCATGGAAACATTCTACATTATCAATTATTACATCAAATACTGGGAATTGCTTGACACAATCTTTATGGTATTCAAGGAAAAGCCATTAACATTCTTGCACGTTTACCATCATTCTGCAACCGCTTTGCTATGCTACAGTCAATTACAAGGAAAGACTTCCGTTTCTTGGGTGGTAATTTGCTTGAATTTGGCCGTTCACGTTTTGATGTATGCATATTATGCATTAACATCAATGGGAATCCGATGCCCATGGAAAAAGATGGTTACCGTTTCGCAAATCGTACAATTCATCATTGATTTGTTCGTTGTTTACTTCGCCTCTTGGAATTACTGGGCATACCACAAATGGAACATGCCAAGTCTATCGTACGGAACTTGCTCTGGTGAAGAAACTGCCGCCCTTTCGGGAATGGGCGTTTTGAGCAGTTATTTGGTCTTGTTTGTCATCTTTTACAGAAACACATACAAGAAAAAGCAAGGTGGTGTTAGTGGAAAACCTGCAGCTGCCGTCACAAACGGTAAAGCCAAATAAATTACCCAACCACAACTCAAACTTCACCCTCTGGTAAAAGTATAGAGGAGGATGGATTTCAAAACAATCGTCTACCACACTGTCTTTTCACTCACATCCTTTTTGTTGTTACTCTTTTTTTTTGCGCTGCGCAACCTGTACTCTTATCCTCAATCAAATGAGACCTGATCAAATTGTAAATTCTAAAGTGTTCCAATCAGCCTGACATCATTATTCAGTCAAGCATGGGCTTGTCACTGCCGAAATAGACGTCAATCCGATGAAAATGATTGTCTGTAATCAATGCATACATACAATCAGGCTATCACGTTTAGATGTGTATCAAACTGCTTTATGCTATTTTGAGTATAAGAGATAGTACAGACTAGGTCGCAAGATGTACAGATTCCGATCCCCTCTTTTATTCACCTTCGATATTATGTTGTTCAATCACATCGTCGATTCTCAAGACGGCACGGCAAAGTTGGTTTGCCAGAAGTAATTGTTGTCGTTTAGAAACCAAAGGATCAAAAACTCTGCATCTTTTCATATCATTATCACCCGTTCCCATGCAATCGATTCCAAGCTTTGGATCGTCTTCATTAATTTGACGACTCTTTACTTCGGCCAATGTTTCAATTGGACTGTATCCGGAATTTTCTGCTAACGCGAGAGGGATTGCATCCAAAGCAGCTGCAAAACTTCTCATCGCATATTGTTCCAAAGTGGCAATCTCATCGGCCGCTTTGGAAACGGCTACCGATCCAACAATCTCTGCTGCACCTCCTCCGTACACCACACGATTATCGCGAATCAAGTTACGAACTACACAGATGGCATCGTGCAAAGCACGTTTTGCTTCATCAATGATCATCTTGTTGGATCCACGTACAAATACTGTAACTGCACGTGTGTTTGCACATTCTTCAATCACCAACATACGATCCCGTGTAGTACCAAAGCTGACTTCGCGAACGATACCTGCCGTTCCAAGCTTGTCAGGACTTAGATCTTCAAATCTTGGAACGATTCTTCCATTTGTTGCAATTGCAATCAATTCGATTTCCGGACCACCAACCCATCGAACTGCTGGTAAATCATGTTGAAGTAGCAAGTGATTTGCCTCATCATCGAAACCCCATTGACAAACGACCATATTAGCACCGCATTCTTTCACTCGCTTAATCATATCTTCGAATGTTTTCCTTTCGTACTCTTGTAGCTTTTTGTATTCTTCAACAGATGTGATATCGAGCTTGTGCTTCGTCTTTGGGCGTGGTGGCTCGAATGGGCATGTGAGAATTGCAATCTTTGCATTGCGCACTTCACGAGGCATTTGAGGGTGAGAGAAGTCCTTATCGATCACAACACCTTTGACCAAAGAGGTATCCTCTAAAGAGCCTCCCATCTTTCCTTCTACTTTGATTAGCTCAAAGTCAACGTCCTTACGTTCCAAATCGGCAACTGATAGAACCGAGTCGACTGCAATACGTGCGAATTTGTCGGAGAATTGCGAAACAATTTTACTGCCCAAAGATGTCTTTGCGGTCTTCATCAATTCTGTTTGTTCATCTTTTCCTGCTCCGAATTCTACCTTATCAGCCACTTTCTCTAATTGAGCAACAGCGACATTGCAAGCACGTTCGTATCCATCAGCAATTCTGATTGGGTGAATACCGCGATCCAATAGAGATTCGGCTTGTTCCAATAGCGCACCTGCCAATACAACCACACCGGTTGTTCCATCACCAATTTCATCATCTTGACTGGAAGACAATTGAACCATCAATCTTGCAATCTGGGATTCTAATTCCATATTCTGCATGATTGTTGCACCATCATTTGTGACTTGAATATCTCCATCTGGACTGATGAGAATTTTATCCAATCCTCTAGGTCCTAAAGATGTTCTTACAATTTGTGCAACCGTTCTTGCTGCTGCGATATGATTCTTCAAAGCTTGAATACCTTGTGCTCTCGTCTTCTTTCCCTGTTCGCGAACAACAATGAATGGTCTCCCATACTCATCTTGAGCATAGGCTACTTGTGGTTCAGCCATTTTGTATTGGAAATGATATGGAATTGAATGAAAGTGTTGATCAGCAGCAGACATTCTTCTCACACTCAATAATCTTTTTTTGAGAAGAAGCTTAAAGATGCTTTCAGTAGCGCGCCCGGGGCTGCTTTACGCGTGAACAAATAACATACAAGAACCTTCTCAAGAGTAATACAAATAGGGCATGCTTATTTGTATTGAATGAATACAACTCTACTGGTTTCTATTCAGGGCCGTGCGCGCTGTGCCATGCCAGCCAGATCATCAGCCAAAGGTGGTGTTCATCCGATATATGCACACCACTCCACGGGCACAGCATCATCCTTCGCATCCACATCTTCTCCTTCAATTGACGGCCATCTTCATCTTCAAAATATTCCTACAAAGTGCAATTTGAGCCTGCTGCTGGCCGCTACTCATCATGTCGCACTCTAACGTGATCATCATCGATAACGGTACAGGTTTCACCAAAGCAGGATGGGCGGGTAATTCTGATCCAAGTTTTGTCTTTCCAACTGCAATCGCAACCCGTAGCTTAGCAGGAGGTAGCACAACAAGTTCATCAAGACCAAGTGTACCATCAAAACCAGGAGGTTTGGGTAGCGGTGGAGGATCAAACATTGCTTCAAAACGAGGAATCGATGATTTAGACTTCTTTATCGGAGATGAAGCAATCGCAAACAGTAAAACATATCAAGTTGAACAACCTATCAAGCATGGTTTGGTGGAGAACTGGGATCTGATGGAACGATTTTGGGAACAATGCTTTTTCAAATACTTACGTGCTGAACCAGAAGAGCACTACACAATGTTGACAGAACCACCACTTAATCCTCCAGAGAATCGTGAACAAACGGCAGAGATTATGTTTGAATCTTTCAATGTCAAAGGATTGTATATCGCCGTGCAAGCAGTCTTGGCCTTAGCAGCTAGCTGGACGAGCAGCAAGGTGACCGATCGTACATTGACGGGAACGGTGATCGATAGTGGAGATGGTGTAACACACGTTATCCCAGTCGCAGAAGGATATGTGATCGGAAGTGCGATCAAGCATATCCCTCTGGCAGGTCGTGATATCACCTACTTTGTTCAACAACTTCTACGTGACCGTGGAGAGACTGCCAACATTCCACCAGAAGATTCTAGGCGTGTGGCAGAACACATCAAGGAGAACTACGGATACACATGTCAATCGATCTTGAAAGAATTCCGCAGATACGACGCTGATCCATCAAAGTACTTTGAAAAGTATCATGGCACCCATTCTGTCACCGGAAGGCAGTATGAAGTCGACATCGGATACGAACGTTTCTTGGCCGGTGAATTATTATTCCAACCTGAAATGTTCTCGTCTGATTTCCTAACACCTTTGCCGGAAGTTGTCGATACAGTGATTCAACAATCTCCTGTTGATGTTCGACGTGGCTTATACTCCAACATTGTTTTGTCCGGTGGAAGTACGATGATGCCGCATTTCGGCCAGAGACTACGCAAAGATTTACGTGAGATTGTTGATAAACGAATTGCAGCATCCGAAGCAGCAAGTGGTGCAAGATCATCCGGTTTGGATGTCAATGTGATCAGTCATTCAAAGCAAAGATATGCCGTTTACCATGGTGCAAGTTTGTTAGGCTCTTTGCCTACTTTCCCTTCATTCTGTTTCTCAAAAGCTGATTACGAAGAACATGGACCGGGTATCGTTCGTCGTTTCAGCGTTTTCGGAACATCTGGTTAGAGTTTCATAGTATTGCACCTTTTGGACTTTGCACAATGATATATGAAATAAAATGCACTCTAGTATGAGGATGAGCATCAAATATGTGAATAAAGAGATAAGATAAGAGGGTAAAAAAGAAGTCGAAAGAGAGGTTGTTGTCTAATTATCCATCCATAATTCTGGTGGCGTCTTTTGCAATCGGGCTGCATGTGCTCGAGTGACAATACTTTGCACACGATCCATAGCATATTGTCTTTCACGCTTCTTTTCAGCTGGCGTGCGTAAAGATTTTCCGGTATGTAAACGATATTGTTGTTGTTGTTGTTGTTGTGCATTTGCATTGATTTGTTCAGGTGATAAAATTTCATCACCATCAAAGATTGAATCGCCATTTTCGGATTTTGGCGTTTTGAGTGCGTTATAAGCATCAATTATATCACTTGCATCAAAGTTTTCATCATCTTCATCTTCAGTTTCTTCACCGGTAGATAGCTTGGCAGTATAACGACGAGGGGATTCCTTTCTCTTTGCCAATGCAGCTCTGCGTTTTGGAGAAAAGCCAGTCTTCTCTCGTGTTTCCGGTTCGGTATCATCATCTACCGAAGCGACAGTAGAAGAATGATCGGAGCGTAATGAATGTGATTTGGTTGGACTTTCAGATCCAGTTGACGAAGGCGCTTGACGAGAAGTGAAGAACAAATCATGTTCACTTATTTGTGAATGTACAGATCTTCTATTCGTCATCAATCCTGAACCACTTTCCGGTCGAAGATTTCCACGACTATCTCCGATGGCATATTGATTTGCAAAAGATGCTTTGGAAGATTTGTTGCTTGTCTCGCTCACATTCGATCTGCCAGAAGCAGAATGAGAAGAGATTACCGAACCTGCACCGTGTGGCGTATATCGATCTTCCTTATCTCCCAAAGGTAGTGGGATGATCTTCCTTTCAGGCGAGCCAGACAAAAGTGCTTTTGGTAAGGAAGTGGGCAGCTTCATTGTGCCTGTCTTTCCAGTCGGCGTGAAAGGTGAGGTGGGAACAACAGTCTTTCCCATCGCAGCGATTGGTGTATTTTGCAAACTGGTAATCTGTTCTTTTCCCGTTGTAGGCGAAGTACGAACCCATCGACCGTTCTTTTTATGCCATGTGCCCGTACGTGCCATCGTTCGAGGTGTCATTGGGGTTGTGGGAGTGGCAGGAGGTAAAGCGGGCGATTTATTGAATTTGGACGGTGTTTCATTTTCTTCCGTTGCCTTCATGTGGGGGGTAGGTGCTGCAGATGCAAATCCTCCCACCGAACGAGCATAACTTTTACTGGTATTGCTTCTTGCAATCACGCTCAACAAGACTGAGTCAATCTCTGTTGCCAGATCATCAACTGCTTGTAGATCTGGTGATCTATTCAAATCTTCTTGTTCTGTGATCTGTTCTTTGAGGCTGTCGATCTTCATCCGTGCTTCTTCATCCACATCCATTGCATTCAAATCCTTTTCTGAAAGACTATTGATCCGATCAAGTTGCTTTTGCTTCTTTGTCCGAGATCTCGCTAGCACAAAGCTGTCCACGCTTGGAATCTGAGATGATCCATCAGGTTTGCTAACCTTGCTATCATTTTCTTCATCGCTACCAAAATTGACAGGTCTCTTTTGCACCTCTCGAACGGGTTTAAGAGCAGTAAATGTACTCTTGCCAGTATCCACTTCCGCATCTGGAGTAATAGGCGCTGGCTTTCGCTTTGTCTTTGGACTTTGCCCAGCGAATGTCTTTTGTCTGGACATACCCTCTTTCCTTGCACCTGCCTTTGAATCCTTTTCTCTTGCGGCATTTGCAGCAGAAGCAGCTACAGAACTCATTGATTTGTACCTGCGCAAATTATTCTCATCGTCTTCCTCATCACTTTCAGCCGCCGGCTGTTTTGCAGGGACATCTTCACTAAATCTTAATGATTTTGATCGTTTAGCTTGGTTGCTCGTATTCGATCGTGAAAGTGCAGATCGTTTAGGTTCTTTCATTGTGTGCGACCTTGAACTGATTTGTGAATTTGGTGTGCTTGTATTTGCCTCCATCGTTCGAGCTCTTTTCAATGATCCCTCTCTTTTCTTTCCACTCGGTCCCATCAATGCATTAGCAGGTGCAGGAGTTCCTATGGGCGAAAAAGGTGTTGGTGGAAGGCTTCGGTCCAGAGCCATAGACGAGATTACAGGTCGACCGAATGATTGTTGTCGTTCCAAGTTCACTGGTGCATCGAACAGCTCAACAGGCGCATGAGATCTTGATGCTACCGACTGCCGTCTTGCAAAATCACCAGTGTAATTGTCATCATCTTCAAGCGGTATCCTTGACCAAAGAGTTGGCGGTTGAGGTGTAAGGACAAGAGCATGAGCACGATTTCGTCTGTCCATATCCAAAGCCGGAGAAGAACCATCAAAGCCCCATCCTATCGATTGTTTGAATCGTGACCATGCGTTTCCCGTTAATTGCTGTTGTGGTGTTGCTTCTGCAAGATTATCCGTCGATCCAAGAGCACTTCTTTGGCCGGCCAACCAGGCAGAAGCAGTATCTCTAGACTTTCTTCTCTTTTCCTCATCTACAACTCCTGCATATCTTCCATTATCATCTTCCCCTGCACCAAAGTGACGATTCCATTGAACGCTCCACCAACTGTTTGCTTTGACCATATTCCCATATCTTTCCATCTCCATTCGTGCGGGAGGCGGTAGGGCACGTCCGTTGCGTTGACCTGCAAGATGACCTCCTAATGCTGATAGTGGCCCTTTGAGTTCATGTTCGGATTCTGTCTCGCTGCCATCATCATATGGCATATGTACAGGTCCATCATAAAGCTCCACACCTTCTTGCTGTCTATGATCTTGACTAGAGCTACTCTTGCGGTACTCATCCTCTTCTTCTTCTTCGATTGCATCGAACTCGGCATATTTTCTCTGCATTTCCAAACTTTCATCAGGATTAGGAGGATGATTGTATTGTCCCCATCCTTTCTCTTGCCATTCTCCTTGTTCATTATAATCTGATTCTACTTGTGAATTTCTTTGTGATTGTTGTTGAATCATACTTGCTTTTCGTTGTGCAAGTAAACGTTGTTGTCTCTTTACGGCTCGTTCTTTGGCAAACGAAACTCTGCCCCAAATCTTTCCTCCAACAGCAAGCATCAACAAAAGACCCAAGATTACAAAGACAGGTATTAGCCATGCAATATGAAATTTGTATCCTCCATTTCCGTTATTGTTATTCTTCGCATCTGCCGTATTCGTACTGCTTGCTGTGCTAGAAAGAGAAGCAGACGATTTAGATGACATACTGGCACTACTGCTTATTGGAGAAGAAGAAGACGCTTCATCAGGTGTGGTGGAAGCTGGAGTATCACTGATGCTAGACTCCGGTAATGCTTGAGAAGTTGGAGTTACAAGACCATCATTTGGTGTTTCTGCTGCTGCTGTTGTAGGTGCTGCCACTATTGTTGGTAAAGCGGCCGCAGCTGCTTGTGTTGCAACTACTGCATTCGTCACTGCTCCTGCCAATGTTGCAGGATCAAAAAGACCACCAGGACTTGCTTGTGCTACGTCCATCTTTGCTCACAAGACGTGTGTATGTCTGAAGCTTTTCTTTAATGATATTTAGAGCCTTCTCATCAAGCTGTGTCGCTCATCTGTTGAGATTGGTAAAGGAAAGTGATGGTGAAGATTAGATGTGTAGTTTGTGGCTTTGATTGAAATCAGTAGGAGTTGAAAAATACAACTGTACTGTTGTGTATGCTTCTAAAATTATACAATTAGCAGCATGTATACAACATACGGTTCACCTTCTATCGCGGCTGTCAAGAATTCACATGATGTCAAGTAGATTCTACTCCTATACCTGCCCCTGCTACATTGCATATCGAATAGCAATAACAAGGTAAGCTTATCGAGAGAGAGACAAAGAGTTCATCCTGCCTGTATGTTTGTATACACGATCATGATCATTTGGTGTTGTTCTATAGATTGTAGCAGTGTTGGAGTGGAGTTAAATTGAATTTCCTTCTTTAGCAAAATAGTCTTGATGAAATAACACGTCCATTCATCGTTTGTAAGCACGGCGCATTGCAGGCTTGCATGAGACAGAAAACAAAACACAACAGACAGGCACACACGCAAAGACTAAAAATGTGAGTAGCGTGATTTAACAACACTTCCACCACCATTCATTGATGACCATGAAAGAGAAATACTTTAAGCATTGAATGTATTGTATTAAAGAGCATGTGTATGAATACAATTGATTTATCTAAAACCGCCTTCCTCCACGACCAGGTCCGCCTCTTCTTCCACCTCTTCCACCAGCATTTTGCATAGGTCCATTTCTTTGTTTGGCAAAGAAGTCAGTGGCTGCAGGTACATTTGCATTCAGTAGTGAATCAATTATACTCTCAGCCGGAAAGAGTGGTCCATCAAAGAAGGAAGCATTTGGTAAAGCATCCAGCAGATACATTACACCATCCGGTAACTCTAAATATTGTGGCTGTTGTTGATGCTGTGCATTGTTGTGATGTTGTAATTGTGGTGATTGAATACCAGGCTCTCCTCTTGGAGGAGGAACATATCGGGATGGCGGACTGACACTTCGTTTGACACCGCGAGGACCCAATGGAGCACCGCTGACGCCTCCACGGTAATGCGTGGAAGGAGGTGGTGTAGTTGAATTGAGCCTTGGTCGTTTCATCATTGGCTCTTCAGCGATTGAATGCAACGCATCTGCCCTTGGTCCAGTTGGTGCTCCGATAACGGAGGTACCTTCCATCTCTTGTGCCAATTCACGGGAAGCAATCGTTGCTCTTTCTGCCGCACTTGCACCTCCTCCAGCCGATCCTGCCAATCTTCTCACACCCAAATCACGCGGTCCAACGATATCCAAATCCATATATGTATTCCTATTCATCAATCGTTTCGTTGCGTTCTCTTCTGGGTACACTTGTGAAAGTCTTTCTTCGACCTTTGCAATCGATGCTGAATCGCCAAAGCTGTATTCGTACTGTGACCATCGATCCCAAATCGGTCTTGCACGATCAGGTGTGAAATTGCCAACCGTTCTTTCGAATAAGGCACGAGCATTGTTGTCGTCATTTATAGCCAACAAGAAATCCAAATAACGTACGACGAATGCTTCATCGCTTCCATACGTCTTTAAAGCCAGTTCAAACACTTTTGTGGCCACAGTGACATCCTTGTTTGTATGATACTCCATCAATGCATTCGCTTCGAAGATTTGCCAAGTACAGTATTTGCTTTTTCGTGCACGTGCAAAGATGGTACGAGAAGGCTTTTGTCCTTCGCTTCTTCGTGCGAAATGCATATGTTTGATCCAAACCAAAGATGCATATTCTTTCATTTCTTCAATCTTCGGTCGTATACGTTCCCTTTCTCCACTTCTACGTTCTTCTCGCCTTTCTTCCATCTTGCGTAATTCTTCTCGCTCTTCTCCTTCGATCGCATCTGCAGCTCCTTCATCTCGCTTCCTGGCTGCTACTTCGGCTTTTTCTCTTTCAGCTTCTTCATCGATTGTTTTAATCTTTGCTTCCAGTTGTTCGTTTAATTTTTCGATTTCTGTATGGATCCAATTTAGTAGTTGATCAAAGATTTCATTGCATCCTTGTGTTTGGCTATGTCTTTCAGCTTGTTCGACAAAGGCAAAGGATAGCAACGAACTTCCAGCACATGCTTCCATTCCATTTCTCAACCACGTAACCGCTTCTTCCTCCCTGTCACACTTTTGCAGGTAGATCGATGCCATATACCACAGCTCCGGATAGAAACGCATGTGCATCACACTCTTGCGATAAGCCAAAAGTACACGAGCTTGCAAGGCTTGGACGTCTTCCAGTTGTGATGGGTTGCTCTCTTCCCATCGTAGATACTTCTTCCACAGTTCAATATTGTGTCGATCCCTTACCACCGTCAAAGGCGAAACAACAGCTTCAAGACTTGGCGGTGTTGCCCAGCAAGGTACTCGTGGCAATTGTGGTCTGTACAACCCATCTGTCAATGTGCGCATCTCCCTAAATACACTTCTTGCTGTCATATAAGCAGGTGAACGATCTGCCAAGAATTTCTTTGCTGTGATTCTGTTTAATCCGTTTTCATATGCATCATATTCACGCCAAATTTGTTCAACGATTGCCAATGGAACAGCAACTGCACGTTGATAAGCACGTCTAATATCATCCATCTTTTGTCCTGCTTGCCATTGATTTGATGTTTCACGTTCTTTGAGCAAATTGATATAATCCCTCCACACTTCACCAGAATCACGACTTTGTCCGATGAATCGTAATGCAAATTCGTATGCTCCCTCAATCACTTTTCGCACTTTTTCACGTTCACTTTCCGCTTCATTTGCTGCTTTTTGTCCTGCTGAAGGCGGCAAAGGATTCACCCGACGAGTATACGATAGGTAGAATTGCCATAGATCGGTTGATGGTGTTGTACGTAAACAACGTGTAAAGATACTTTCCACATTTGCAAATTCTGAATGAGATAATTCAACGGAAGCATAATCTTGCCATTGTCTTGCAGCGTTTGGAAAGATGACAAAGAATTCTTCGTACGTCTTTCGTAAGGCGTCCAAATCGGCTCTTGCTGCAGCATCTTCTATCAATCCTAGCCATGCGTCTCCATCGCGTGAGTCACGTTCCACTCTCTCTCGCAACATTCTTGCGTGGTCGGCAGGTGTGAGCGCAGGGGCTTGTTCGGCTGATGAGTCGAAAGCTGCATTCACTTGTGGTACTCCAGCCATGCTGCTTGCAGGTGCAGATTGTTCTACGTGATGTTCTTGGCCATTGTTGATCGTCTGAGTAGTCTCTACTGTTTGTGGTAGGTCGTAATTGTCTTGCGATCCGCTTTGCTCAGGATTATTCTGAGAAGCATTTTGATCTTCTTCCTCTCCTTCAATTGCAAAACGAACAGATCGTTTCTCTTTTGTCTTTGGCTTCGTCACCACTTCAGGTTGATTGGTCTCAGCAGCAGTAGCAGCAGCAGCAGCAATAGTGTTTGACTCAGTTTCACCTTCATTTCCCACAGGCTCACTCTCTAGTGTACCGGTAACAGATGGATTAGCATCAATAGCAGTACCAGCTTCAGGCTGTTCTATAGCATTTTCGTTTGTTTCATTGACATTTTCCTGTTCGCCATCCGTGGATGGAATGGGATCATTAGTTGGAGTATCCGCCATACTCTCTCTTTTCTTTTTCTCCTTTGCTTGCAAAGCGTAATGCGAATCGTCCCAAATCACAAATCAATCAAATGATTATCGTAAGATTTGTGGGCACTTTCTCTCTTTCTCCGTCTCACGCCGCGCTTAGATCCAACAATCACGCTGAACAAGATGATAAAAGAAAGGTTTGAATGAAGCGATCGTCAGCGCTGGCAAGCAATGGTGGTTGAGAAGAAGAAAATGGAGACCATTGCATAAACATCATAACATTTGGGGGAATACTCATTGATTCTTCTCTACGCCTAACTACACACGTGAATCTTATGCAATAAGACGCGCGGACAACCCGCGTATCGACATAGAGAGTAGAATAAATGCGTAAACACAAGCCGCGCCAACAGCACATCGGATCTCGATGGCGATACAACTCTCAAAGGGGACCAGTAGACCTTCTTCAAAGCTCGGGCCTCATTCACTTTAACACTAAATCTGAAACATCATCTCTCGAGTGGGGTTCAGCCCTTGTGGACATCTATCTTTTGTTGTTTTTCAAGCTCAATGTACTAGTATCCTCCATCAGGTTTGAAATTCTGATCCGCATCTCATCTCACTTCCAAAACACACTTTTTGTTCCGAGCATAATTGCCAATAAATGGCAAAATTCATTAAAAACATTTCTTCATCAGTGAAAGTAAGACGAAAAGATTGCAGTACAATAAATCATAATGTGCTTTTTTCGATCAAACCATCCAAAAAAACCGCGGAATCCACTTCTTCTTCTTCCCTTACTACATCTCATCAATACCGCCTCGTTTGATATTGTGGTAAACCGTTAAAATCATTCGGTGATTGTGTAGGCTGAACGGGAGATTGTTGATGGGCAAATCTATGTTGTTGTTGCTGTGCTCCACCACCGCCCGAAAACATCAAATCCGACAATCCACCATAGCCATCACTTCGCTGTTGTTGATGTGCAGCAATAGCCGGATCAGATGCAGGATTGGTATACAATCCTTGCAAATTGGCCAAAGAATTACTACCAATCATTCCACCTCCCGAATTTGTCAAAACTGAATTGGGTGAAGAAACATGTGGAATTGCGATCGAATGTCGATTTGTTGCAGGCATCGTTCCGCCTCCCATCGAATGACGTGCTTGTGGATTTCCTGCACTCATTGGCGCATGTCCAACAGTATGATATTGCGTAGGATGCAAAGCCGGTTGCAATTGTGCAATATCTGTCTGATATGGATCAAAGCTTAAACCCGCAACAGCTCCATTTGTGTTAGGAGCAGAAAGTGGTTGACGTGAATTTGAAGTGTAAGCAGCAGGAGGTGGGGCTGCAATTTGAGTAGGCAACGTTCCGCCTTGCATCTTTGGCGATGAACCAGCAAAGTTGGCAGAAGCGGAAGCTGGTAAGCGTTGTTGTTGTTGCTGACCATCTACGACAACGCTAAAAGAGTGTTGTCGGCTCTTCATACCGGTGGGAGACATGCTTGAGGATGGAATGTAGCCAGATCCACCACTAGAAGGCTGCTGTGGATTCGCCATACCTACCAACGAATTTGCAGCCGCTTGCCAGTTCTGAGCGTTAGAGTTCGGCGATTGGTAGGGTACCTGTTGCTGTTGGCCGTTGTACGAAGCAGTTCTTTGTGCTTGCTGCTCAGCTTGTTGATGAAGCAAATCAAGATTGTGATAATCATTTCGTTGCTTTCCAGATCGCGCCGACGATTTACCTTGATTTGTGTTTCCCATCGATCCACTTCCCACTTGATTATTAGCACCTGCTTGTTGCTGACGCTCCCATTCCCGCATACTTTCATCTCTGTTCATCACTGGCGTCATCCTGTGACCAGCTTCCAAGCCCATCTTTGCCATTTGCGGTGGTATAACTTCCATTCTCGTCAATGTATTGCTTCTGCTTCGATTTTGCGTATAAGCAGATGCGCTACCACGTCCATCTTGGATCGCACCGCCAGGCAGTTGACCGTATTGCGGTGACATGGCGGTTCCTTGCAATTGTGCTGCTTGTGCTTGTGCTTGTGCTTGTGCGTGCATCTGAGCCTGAGCTTGGGCTTGAGCATGTGCTTGGGCAGCAGCTACCTGAGCCTGATTGGAACCGACTTGAGCATCCGCTTCCGCCCTTGCTGCATCTTCTCGCACGTAGGGGTTATTGATCTGATTCTGTCTAGCCTGATGGGCTGCATTATAGGCTTGTTGTTGTGCCAAATGTTGACTATAAGCGGCAGCATCTTGATACGTTCTTCCCGTTGACCTTGCTGGCGTTTCAGGCAGACCACCAAAGGGATGCCTACTTGGATCACTTGTATTGACTTGTGCTGCACTACCACCTGGTCTGGTAGATCGTTGAATCGAACCAGGTGAGGTGACTGGCGGCTTGAATGGGTGCACATACTTTTCTCCCGTAATGAAAGGATGCAATTTGGATTGTTGCGGAGTCCATCGCAAGTTAGGATCCATGTTCAGTAAACCTGAGGTGAAATCAATAAAGGATGCTCTATTAGCCATCTCCTTTTGCACATCCGTAGCTTTTCCACTCTTTCGTGACATAGGGTACGTTTTAACGATGTCCGGCAATGTTGTCGCTTGGAAGTATCGCTTAGAAGGTTGTTCAGGTGTATTATGCTCTTTACTGTACTGATCAATGCTTTTGAGCTTGAACTGCTTGCGTCCGTATTCATCCGTGTACACATTAAAGAATTCTCCCGTTTGCTTTCCTTGTTCTAACATCCATCTCGGCGGCAGCCCAAGCATCTCCACAATACGGCAAATTTGGTTGTATTCTGAAGTACCTGGGAACAGCGGCAAACCCAAGAACAGCTCGATCGCAATACATCCCAAAGACCACATGTCGATTGCCGAATTGTAAGGCAATCCTAGCAACACTTCTGGCGACCGGTAAAATCTACTTTGGATATAGGTGTATACTGTTTGCCTTTCATGACAAGCACTTCCGAAATCGACCAATTTGATACTTGGCGTTTGCAGCGTTTTCAAGAGAATATTTTCCGGCTTCAAATCACAGTGAATCAATCTTGCCTCATTAAGAACCGTTAAAGCGTCCAAGAGTTGTGTAGTGAATACCCTGACCAAACTTGTGCTCAATCCTCTAAACGAGTTTTGCTTGATCAATTCGTACAAATTCGACGAGAGAAGCTCGAATACCAAACACAAGTGCTTTGCATGAATAAAGGTATCGCGTAAACGAAGAATATGATGTTCATCGTTTGGATCCCAATTTCCATTCAGCATTTCCAAAATCGTAACTTCCATCATACTCTGGTTGAAATAGGCTGGCTTGTTTTTGATCACCTTTACAGCCACGATCTCGCGCGTCTTCATATTTTGACATTTGACCACTTGTCCGAACGTACCTTGGCCCAAGATGTCCAAGATCAAATACCGATTGCCTTCTTCTGTTCCAAGCCAGTCGTTTACGTACAAGATATAATCGCTGTCCTCGTTGTCATGACCATCATTATGCATCGGCCTACTAGGCTTCGTAAGAACACGTCGAGGATTAAAGGACAATTCATAAAAGAAAGCTGGATTGACCAAATGATACGTGTGGTGCAAATAGGCAGTCATTGCTTTTAATGGGCTCACATACCCACCCATCGGATCAGCACGTCTTCCTATTCCTTGTTGAGCAGGTTCTAGATTGACTTTTAGATCGTTCAAATCACGTACTCTCCGGAAGCCCTCTTGCCGTTTTTGAAGTACGCGCTGTTTACGTTCCCATTCCTCAAATTGACCAAGCTGCTGACGTGTGACGGTATCGTTACTGGTGACTGTATTCCTTCTCTCCTTTCGAGGTGTCGCTTGTGCATTTGGTTCAATGCTCATCCGATCCGAAGCAACATGAACGGGCGAGTAAGCACCACTGATTGTTGTCGTTCGAGGAGGCGCACCTACGCGATTGGCTGTGCTTGGAGACATGGGCATATAAGGTGATGAGAGGGGCGGTCTGCTGGAAGATGCATTACTGTATAAAGGCAATGAGTCGCCATATCCACTGGGTGAATTGATCTGCGGCGAATTATGCAGGGGCAAAACATGTCCTTGATCCATCGTATTCTGAGGATGAGGAACAGACGCTCGTTTGCTAGACCCGGCCACAGGAGAGATTGTTTGCGCTCCTCCATATGACGCCGCCAAGCCTTGATTATAACCACTTGATGGGTCTACCATGCTCATCGGTCGTGTTCCCGCCATATGTTGTGGTGGAAGATGTTGCGAGGGTATATAAGGAGATCCATAAGATGTTGCTGCAGTAGTACCTGGAGAGTGTGGTTGAGTAGGGCCTGTTGCTGCTGAAGATCCAGTAGACAATCTTGCCGAAGCAGAAGGGTCAAACATCATTGAATGTCGATTTGAAGGACTATAAGGCGAATTCATCAAAGAACTTGAGGGTATATGTGTATTGATCGTTGGCAAAATACTTGCGTTTGCGACATTCTTTGTCCCTATCCCACCATCGGAATACTGCTGACTTCTGTCTCTTCTGGAGGAAGATCCACCAGCTTGCATATTGTACAAATCTGCCGTAGTGGAAGATTGTGGCATTTGTTGTTGTGCATGCTGATGTTGCTGTTGCTTTTGATGAAGGTTGTGGTATTGTTGATAAGCAGCATGTCCAAGTGATTGACTACGTCCAAGTTGCGAAGTAGAAGGGATTAAAGGAGGTGATAATCCACCTTGAGCAGATTGTGGTGATGCATAATTGGACATCGGATTACCTGTCGGGCTCCCAATATTCTGAGGAGATAGATTTCCCGGAAGTCTCGGCGATAGAGGTTGTTGTTGGTATTGCTGCTGTTGTGATGGAGTGGAACGATAGGTGCCCGGTAAAGCACTAGGATGAGAAGTCATTCCTGCTCCTGAACCGTTTGCCGTCGTTGCATTGCTGGTTGTTCCACTTCCGCCCATACTTTGTATTGCACCACTGCTCAAGCCTAGACCTGGATCCATTCCGATCATATTGATAACATGTTGAGCCGTAGCTGAAGATGGTCTACCTGAATGCATGATTCAAACGTGGCGCGTACGCACGTAGAATCGATTATGTCCTTTGATTCAGCATTCACTTTTTTGTAGATTGAGCTAGACTGAACTGCAAAAAGGCAAGAGATGGAAACGAATCAAGAATGAGTGCGATGTTGAGAGCAGAGATCGATCGTATCTGTGTGATGAGATTGTGTCTTCTATAAGAAAGCGTGAGTGAGTGTATGTTGCAAGCATAGCGTAGTAGCGTACGTGCGTGCGAGCGTGCGTCACTTATCACTGAGCAACTGCTGCCATGCTTTTTTTGCTTGTGCGTTTTCTTTTCTTTTTCCAGCATTCGGGCGCGTGCTGCAGTGCCTTACTTCCACGGCACGGCGGTTAAACAAGCAATGCTCCTAAGAAGGTGTACTGCTGCTTACTGAGCCTGCTTAGCCAAAAATAGCACAAAAGACTCCGTAAATTGAAGAAAGCATGCACAAGCCGCCATTAAGGGGAGAATGTTCATCACAACCATCACAAATTACCAATTCATACTCTTGTTCAGGTAATATCTTTAGATGAATTAGATGTGCTCAAATATACAAATGTGGGAGTTTTATTTGATGATATCATCATCATCAGACTAAATCAATACTAACTCAGACGCGCTAAGTTGTTAACGCGTATCGAGTGTATGCACTCTGTAAAGTGTTGTTCTCCGCGTAAATGATTGCTTCTTCGTCATTTTCATCATTGCAAGAAATGGAGGGTGATGAAGAATCAGGTATATTCGAGGCGGATGGAGATGTCAATACAAATGCGACACCGCAGAGAGCCATTGTACGCTTACCAGAAGATGTAGTGAACAGGATCGCAGCTGGTGAAATTATTCATCGACCTGCAAATGCACTCAAGGAAATGATCGAAAACAGCCTAGATGCAGGAGCAAAGATGATTCGAATCCAATTACGAGATGGAGGTTTAAAAATGCTTCAAGTACAAGATGACGGAAACGGTGTTGCTTATAATGATCTGCCACTCTTGTGTCAAAGATTTGCAACGTCAAAATTAAGAACGTTTTCTGATTTACAGAATATGACAACTTTTGGATTTAGAGGAGAGGCGTTGGCAAGTATAAGCTACGTGAGTGCAAATATGAATGTTGTCAGTAGGACAAAAGACAGTGAGATTGCATACAAGGCGTCTTATGCAAATGGAACTTTGGTCCCCGTCAAACCTGGCCAATCCTCCGACCCAAAACCGTGTGCAGGAAGTCAAGGTACGTTCATCACAGCGGAGGATCTATTCTTCAATGTTCCACAGCGTAAAAGAGCTCTCAAGAGTGCATCTGATGAGTATGCTATGGCTCTAGACGTAGTGAGCAAGTATGCTGTCCACTATGGCGGTCGTGGCGTTGGATTTAGTTGCAAGAAAGCGGCATCGGCCATGGTTGACTTGAGTGTGCCTTCATCGAGTAGTACAACGACCTTGGATGCAATTGGGGTGGTGTATGGTAGCAAAGTGTCAAAGGAGTTGATCGAATTACAGCAATTCAACAATTCTGCATATGGTACGCAACTGCGAGGGTATATCAGCAGTCCAAATTGGAACGCAAGACGATCGGTATTTTTGTTATTCATTAACAATCGTTTGGTGGATTCGCCCGCTTTGCGAAGAGCTGTTCTGGCTCTTTACGCTAATATACTTCCAAAAGGTTATCATCCTTGGGTGTATCTGGATTTGCATATCGAGGAAAGCAATGTGGATGTGAATGTCCATCCAACAAAACGAGAAGTACATTTCTTGCACGAGGAAGATATCATTGAAGAGATTTGTACAAAAATGCAAGATGCTCTCACGATGGCAAACAATACTCGAACATTTGCAATGACCCAATCTGTACTTCGCAATTTCGATCAGGACAGAGTGATGGAACCGACATCAAGTGTTCGACCTAGCTATCCACAGCATCTTGTACGTGTTGATGCAAGAGCGCAAACGTTGGACGGTATGGGTGCCGTTACTCGACAGAATGAAAAGCAACAATCCAGTGAAGCGGATATCGTGCATCCTGAGATGTCCACACCAATGCCAGCAACGGCAGTACAGCAATCTTATGCGGTAAAGCAAAGCAGAACAGAGCTAGAGAGCATTGAAGATTTGCGTAAATCAATTCATAAGGATCGCAGTGTGGATTGTACGGAAATCCTTCGCTCGTTAACTTTTGTTGGCGTTGCAGATGCACACAGACAGCTTCTTCTCGCTCAGCATTCCACAAAGCTGTATTTAATCCAAATGGCCAGTCTGATCGAGGAAATCGCTTTTCAACTTCTCTTGCAACAATTTGGTGAATTGCCTTTGATTCGTTTGCAGCCTGCGCCATTGGTGCAAGATCTGGTCAGGGCAGCCTTGCTGGCTGAATCAGAAAAATCCAACGCAGCACGAAGAGCAGCAAATGTTTCTGATGAAAAAGTGATTGAAACTGTTCAAGATCGTTTGAAAGCACATGCAGAGATGCTGATGGATTATTTCAGCATCGAAGTACGAGCGGAAGAGGATGGCTGTATGCGATTGATCTCATTACCCAACATCTTTGGCCATCTTGGCAACACTTCCGGCAAAAGTGAAATCGCTTTGCAATTAACAAAGATTCCATCTTTACTACTGAGAGTAGCCATGCAACCAGACTACACAGAAGAAAAGGCTTGCTTGCAGGCTATTCTACAAGAACTGGCTTGGGCGCATGTCCCTCAACAACTTCAAGAGAATCGATCTGACCAATCGACTCAAAAACAAGCAATCAAACACAATTGGCTAAGGTTTTGGTCAACCGCACTCAAGACATATGTACCATCACGCAAGCTCGCCAAACAAGGCGCAGTACTTGCCATTACCAACTTACCATCCTTGTATTCTACATTTGAAAGGTGTTAGTCACCTCAAATCCACAGCATTTGTACTTTTTGAAACCCACAACACAATGTATAGTAATGTCATTGATACAAATAAAATTACACATTTTCTTCTTCTCATGATTCAAACATTTGAACAGCATTTCTCTTGACTGATTTATCTACCAAGATTGTCAAATCGTGCAAAACAAATCGTAAAACCACATTTGCAAAAAATTCACTCATCTTGCGTAAACGAAATTCTATCATCGTTTGCATATCTTCTTGTAAGCCTGAATAACCAATTTCCATCGGAGGTAATCCCATTGGCATTCCTGTTGCATAAGCTCCATTCGCCGCACCGCCACCACCACTGGCATTTGTAGTAATTGTGACATCTTGACTCGATTCGCCTGGATGGTTGTGCTGTCGCGATTCCAAAAGCGCACTCAGATGATCGCCCAGGATTTGTGATTTGTTAAACAAGCGTGAAAGACCTTCGATGTATACGGCAGGTGAATCAGTGGTGCTCTTTGAATTGTGCGCAACCATATGATTTATTGATTTTGACAACTTTGACGAAAGTGCATTAAAGGTGTTCAGATTGGATCGTTTGCCTATTGTTCCGCCCGATGTTGAATTTGACATAACAGAAGATCCAGATGCTCCACCTGCATTACCTCCACCCATTCCGCTTCCTGGTCCGCTGGTCGAGCTGGATGATGGTCCATTACTTCCCTCCAAGTTACCCAATTTCTTGTTCAGAGTGTGTTGCACTTCCATCATCACACTTTCCATTTCGTCCAAACTTTTAACAAATTTCGCAACATGAATCGCAGTCGTGCCCGGTTGATTGAAAGACATTTCATGTAGTAAGAACTGTCCATAATTTTCCACATTGTCCATCGATGTACTCATCAGATCTACCATTCGAATCTTTGTATCAACAGCAGAAAGTCGTGATCCCCCTACATTCTGCAGCCACAACTCTTTGGGCAAGAATAGCTTTTGTGTCAAATACGAGCCTTTTTCGATACTTTTGCTCAATTGTTTCATCGTGTGGAACGGTCGCAAGCATTTCTCGTTTGGCATATTGAGATCGTTTGAATCCGGTATTGAATTGGATACGCCCATCCAGGCCAACCCCAACGAAGCTGAATTGGAAGCAAAACTAGGTTGCATTCCCATCTGCATCGAAGGCAAAGCTGTCGGAAACAAATCCTGTAAGATGAGAGATCGATCATCGACCAGATTGGATGTCGGTGGAACTGCACTAATTGGTGTTCCTAACATATGGTAACCCGAATAACTTGAAGGGGCAGGACTTGGCAATGGATTGGCACCACCTAACCCTCCTTTTGCGCCTGATGGACTCGTGATTGTTGCAGAGCCACCAGTCAAAGCACCAGAAGCTTGCGGTAATAAAGTCAACGGCATAGACGCCTTGCGGGTAATTTTTGGCATCGGTGGCCGAGAAGCAGGCGGAGGAGTAGCAGTTTGATGAGAGCGCATCGAACCAGGCAAAAATGCTGCGGGAATAGTAGGTCGACGGTGACTGGGTTGAGATGTTGCTCTTTTCCGAACTGCAGAGCTAAAGGCAGCTTGCCGTTCTCTGGCCTCCGCTTCGCCATCTGACATTTGCAGCTTCTCAGATAGATCTACTGCGGTCTTGTCTGCTGAAGATGCATCGTCCATATGATTCGTGTATAATTGTTTCATCACAGGCAATACTCCATCGCTGCCTGGCATTGGAGGAGGCGGAGTTGTTCCCGTGGAAATCATTGATGCAACAGAAGCCAATGTCGGTGTAACACTTTGACTCTCATTACCAGATGTCAGCAGTGTTGGTGACGGTGGAAGGACTGCTGACAAGCTTGTATTTGTATTCCTTCTACGTTGAGATATTGTGCCTTGCGAAGTTGATGGGCTGACAAGAGTCTGATCTCTCATAATTCTCTTCGGCTCAGCAGTCGCTTTAGAAACCACCAAAGTCGTGGCATTTGACCGGGAAAGGTCTTCAGAATGCCTAAACTCATTAAATGTTGCATTCGCATCAAAGTAAGGCGTTGATGGAGTTATCATTCCATCCTCAATCCGGTTATGACCTCGATTGTCAACATCCGGATCAAGTAACATACGATCATGAGGAGTAGCACGAACGTGTGGCTCATCGTGCGAAACGTTGATGATCGGTGCCGCTGTCGTCGGTGTAGCGATTTGCTCGCTAAGCTCTGCATTGTGATCTGAGATACGCTTGCCTTTTGCCTCTCGCTTTTCGGACCAGCTTTGTCTGTCGACAGTTTCATCTTCGGGTTCCTCTTCATTGTCTGCTTCTCCAGATGTATCCGCCGGTTCTCCCGCATTAAAAGTGTTGAATACACCCTCATTTTCATCATCAGTGTTTGGCGAATAAATCATGCTTAACAAACGTATCCGTTCTGCATAAGTATCATGAATCACTTTAAGACGCCTTCTTTCTTCCTCTCGATGAACTTTACGACTAGACTTTGAATTGGAAGTTGACTTTGGGCTGACACGTTCCATCACCTCTTGCAGTAGCCGGACGGCCTGTTTGTATGCCAATATGGCCTCTGCAACATTGTTCGAACCATCCAACAAGACTGCACTTTGTGCTTTTTGAAGCGCGATCGTCAATATGTTCTTACTGCTCAACGCTTGACCATCCGAATTTAGCAAAGCTGCTGGCTCCATTCCTGGCGTCGCACCAAGTTCGGCAATCGTTGCATCGGAAAGCTGTCCTGACCGGGTTGTATTTTGTCGATCTGGTGAACTTGTCCTCCTGAGTGGAGTTTCATGAGGTGTAGACCAAGCCTCTTTTGTTGTGCTGGTGCTTTCTGTCAGCCTAGTTGAATCGTACGTAGCCCTACTCGATGAGAATGAAGATGTCGAAGAGTCTTTCTCCATACCTTTCTGTCGAGCAGAAGAGGCTGACGATCGTCCTTCTCGAGGGAGGTTTGAACGATCACTTTCTGTGGGAGGTTGTGGCTGCTGTTGAGTAGGAGGTATTCGTCGATCGTGCTGTGCTGCGATTTGCTGCTGCTGCTGCTGCTGCTGCTGATGTTGAAGTGCAAATGTTTCCCCCTGTTCCCTGTTGCTTGCGCCGATCAGGCTTTCTGGGGGATGAGAAGGCGAAGCTACTTTCATTTTGCCCATTTGCATCCCTAATCTAGTTCCGCGTGATTTGGCTTTAGGTCTTGCGGCGTATTCATTGCCAGATTGTTCACTTTCTTGACCGGATAATGTAGCATTGTACAAATCGATCATTTGTGCTCGCTGTGACGATCCTTCTGCTACATCTGAGTCATCATAGTTCATACCCCTCGCTGCTTGACCAGCCGACCTATTCTGCATACTTCGAGCAACACTTCGATTGGGAGAAGTAGAGTAGGACAGCATAGTTGATGAGCCTGCTGATGCAACCTTTGTGGAAGAAGGCGAAGAAGATGATTCTGGATCCATCGCTAGGAATGATTCACCAACATTTTCTTGTCTAGTACGCAATGCAGATCGATTTGAAGTGGAAGGTAATGAGGATGATGTTGGAGGAGAGGAAAGGTAGCTATCTGGCTGTCTTTGTTGCATCCTTCTGGATTGTTGATTTGGTATAGGTTGCTGCTGTGAGCGTATATGAGCGTGTTCCATCTTTGCTTGAGTTCACTGCCACCACATTCTACCAATGACTACTGTATGGTCATCAATATCCTTAACAATATCGAAAAGGAGTAGGAGATGGAATGCGGCTGAAGTGATTAGGAGTGAAGATGACAACTCTTGCCGATAGACTGTCATTCAGATGAATCAGTGGCTTTTCGCGTACGTACAGTATATGGGGGTGTGTATTTTATTAGCACGCACTGCACACGCGCTAAAGCTTTCTCTTCTTTGACAGTAAAAATAAATGCCGTACAAATTGAGGCGTAATGCATCAAACCTTCGCACTGTTCGATTTGGCGGGGTACGTATTTGGGTGCAATAAGGGTTGCTCTGGCGTGCCACCAGAAAGAAGATTGATGATGATCATCATAAATTTCATGATCACAACGAAATCTAATGAGCATGAAAATGGAAGCCAATACAAAGCTGCAATATGCGCATGATGACCAAAATGCGTTGGAAAATATGCCAGGCATTTGATTGTATGGTGTACGCCACCTTTTTTGCCCCGTATCCAAAACAGTTTTTGATCAACTGCAAACAAATTGCAATGGGCTGAATAATGGATTGCTCCATTCCGATTTCTACGGTTCCGTTCATATCAATCGCAGGAAAGCATTATTTTTGCTAGCTGATAATAATGTACTACGCCAAGAGCGGGCAAAAACAAAAAACGACATTGATTGAATTTCGACAGGGTAGAACGGTGAGCAAAATGCATGAAATCGTATAATAACGTTTTCATGCAAGTCTTTTATCTACATGACAACTTCAAACACCGCTTCCGTGCTCGGCTGAAGGTGACCGCAAAGTACCGGACAGAGTAAAAGCTCAATGCTAACGACGGATAACAACTGACGATGGAGATCCGTCAACCCTACAAACAAAACAAGAGGGCAAACTTTGATTGATTCCAAAAGAAAAAGTGTCTCTATTTCCATTTTTATCGCTTCTACCGTGCATGTGATGATTTCATGCAGATACTGTTGGCGTTATTGTATGTGTAAAATTCCAAACGGCGAAAAAAGGGCCGACGGAGCTTGAAGTAGAATACGGTTGTTCATTTAATATTGAGTGAAAAAATTAAGCGGAGTTGATAATTATCCGACTGAGCACTGAGTCAGTATCTTCTCGCGGTAAAAAGCGGACTCATACTTCTGTTTGAACATGTTTCGGCCAGAAGACGGGCAAGGCACCGGATTATCCCTAGTAGGGTGATCTTGAATTGATCAGGATTGATGTTGTATCTATTCATACAAGGGTTCACACCCGTCAATACAATTTTGTTCTTCTTCTTTTCCCTTCCACGATTCGATGTACGCCAATCTCATTAGTGTGAGCAGCAAAGATTGCGTCAGAATTGCAAATGGCAAAGGCCGTGAGGTTGAACTGAGTGGGAAAAGGCGCATACACTGGCAAAAAGCCTGAGCTGAAGCAGTACTGCCAAAGCTTTTGAACCATTGATTGAATCTTATCATCAATAAAATGTACAAATGTATGCATACATGCACACTTATATAAAGAACCTACATAAAATTCATTTCTTCCTTCTTGTCTTCCAACCACATCCCATCGTGATATCTCATAATTTTGTTTCCTCCTGAGAGATCACCATATTTGCTTCTATCATTCTACTATCACAATATCTCTTCTCTATAAAACATTTGCCACTATGCTCGGTCATCATCATCATCAACCACCAGTGGCACCTCCCCCTTCCTCCCCTCTTGACTCTTTTAATTTGATGAGCCAAAATGATCTTGCTCTCATCTTGAAAGATCCAGAAGCTGTATCGCAATTCATTGCTCGTCTTACCGATGCCCATGCTGAAAATGCTGCTACCAGAAACAGTGAGTGGTTTTAAATCAATGGAAACTTTTTGCTAGGAAATGCTAACTGTTTCTTTGCTGTTCGCAGCCAAACCGCAACTTTATAAAACTGAAATGTGTCATTTTTGGGAAGAGCATGGAACTTGCCGTCGCCATAAGTGAGTATTTGCTTAAGATGAGGTCGAATGTATGCGCCCAAAAAAGATTGTATAAGGTATGCTGATTAACACTACTTCTTTCTAAATAGGTGCTGGTTTGCTCACGGCAAAGAAGAGTTGCGCAATCCTGATCGTCACCCGAAGTACAAGACCAAGGTATGTACTCTGATCAGTATTCTACAATCGAGAGCGCATATATGCTGACTTGATTGATCCATTCCCCAAAAGGTTTGTCAAACATTCAGCAAGACTGGTCGATGTGGCTATGGTCAGCGTTGTGTCTATATTCATCCACGCTACAGTGCTGGACTCCATCCAGGCAGCATCAATACCACTGCAGATGCAAGTCAAGCATTGGTCAATGCAAATGGAGGCCTTTCAGGATTATTGGATCCTTCCTCTAGCGTATGGCACGATGTCATCCTTGCGGCCGCACATCGTTCTTCAGGCTTATCTGGAGCTGGGAAAGGACAAGAGAACAAGCAAATTGCTGGCAATACACAACAAATCAATCTATCTGATTTGCAAAATGCAGCACAACAATCAGTCTTGATCCCGAGCACGCCTTCATATCGTTCACGCGAACCGATGGCTACTCCAATGTCATCTTCTCCTGATTCGCTTCTCTCAAGCTCAAGCACGATGGTGATGACGCCAACAACTGCTGTAAGTCATTCCCCGACTTCTTCCACATCTTCTACCAGTGGTAAATATTATGCCTTGCCACCTTGGCGCATCGAAGCAAAGCCTTTGAAGCAACCGAACTTTGATGACTTCAAAAATGCAAATGCGCCGCATGCTATCCCGGCGAAACAATCTCCTCCTCGTTCAGGGAAGGAAGCAGTAGAAGATGTCTTCTACTCGCCAAATGGGTTTGATCAGCAACGCCAATCCCAATCTTGGAAATCGACCGTTAAAGGACAACAATCTTCACCGGGAAGTAGTGTACAACAAACAAATCCCCCGATGTTTGACGACATCGTCTTTGACGATATCTTCAAGATTGGTGCACGACAAGCTAATCCTTCAACCGAAGAAGACATTTTCATGATTGAGCATTGATCCATACACAACAACATCAACGCTATTGTACGATTTAATAATAAACGCATCCGCAAGATTTCGACCCCAGATTCGTCCTTAATACAGAAGCTCCCGAAGAACCGTCTACTTATTCCTCCGATTATTGTTAAATATAATTGTCTATCGTGCGCCTTTAATCCCAAAATCCTTCTCGTCTCTTTCATACTTTCTTTCAATAATTTTCTTTGGCTTTGTGTCTTTGTGTACATACATGTATATACATTTACATCAATGCACCATCTTATCTTCATCATCATCAGAATCCAAATTGATCACTTCGCCTTGAGTGAGTTTTGGTTGCTTGGTTGTTGTTTGTGATGCTTGTTTTGGAGGTTGTAGTTGAGATGACTGTGGAAATTGTTGTGCCGCTAATGCTTCTTCTTCGGCATCCATCTCCTCTTCTTCTTCATCATCCGCTAATGCTTCCCAACATGCTTCAATTTCGTCTGGCGATAGTACCAATTCCAATAATTCTGCCGCCAATTCATTTACATCATTTAACATCGTTCTTGCATCTTCTACCCCTACACGTTCTTCTTCTGGCTCATCATCACTTTCCAGATTTTGTTCATTTGACACAATTTCCATCCATTCAGGTTCAGATGCAAATGCAATAAAGCTCAACGCAATCACAAACGAATGTCGAACGCCATTAAGAACGAATTGCATTCCTGGCGAATTGAGCATTTTTGAAAGTTTTTGATCGTCTTCGGTGTCACGATTATGTGCCATTTCTACATCCATCGCCTCATTCAGATCTGTTGCTTGACCTTCTCGGATGATGGGTTTATTGTACAAATGCGTCATCAATCGAATGTCCATGCAAATTCGTTGGACGGCTTCACTCAAACGATTAATCAATCGTTCGTTCTCATCTCTTTTCATCCCGATCAAAAATTGTTCTTCGTTCCAAATTAGATCGACATCCATCTGCATGCACTTGACAAGAGAAGCAAGTATCGTTTTGGAATTCGCAACCGAGGGAAAAGCGACGAGCGGGTGCAAGATTGTCAATTGTGTCAAAAAGATGACAATCGAAAGATGAATTAAATGCAATCCTTCTTCGGGAGCTTTTCTGTTCAATGAGAGCAGCACGGAAAACGTGTTGAAAAGGTGACTTGACTCTTCTTCTTCTCCTTTGATGTTTCTGTACATCAATCGATGCTGTGCTGCTTTGTCGGAGTGAGTACTGTTCTGTTCACCTGGAACGCAAGCCAGAGCAATGCGCCATAGGGAATCGTGTTGACATGTTTGTGTCAAGATTGCCATCACGCGTTGTACGATCGGTGCGGATCTAGGCTTCCTTCCATCATTCTCCAAAAGAAGCGAGATCAGTGCACCAGGTTCTTCCAAAATTGTCTTCAGCATGGATGTGCAATGCAAAGAAACGGCATCATTGTGAATACACTGATGCGCCAAAACTTCCAGAATGCCAACAAGTACGCCAAGCAAAGTATCTTTTTGCACCTTTTCCACCACTTTGTCCGCTCCAGGTGAAGGAGAACATGCCCAACGCAAACTTGTTAACAGAATTCTCTCGATGCGAACGTTCAACCTTCTTTCTTGACGCCTTCTTAAGGAAGCTGCTGCATCATGCTGTGTTTCTGTTCCGGCTTGCATTTCATCTTCGATTTGTTGAGTAGGTTTAGTGCGTTCTTCATCATCGTAAAAGATACACGTTTCATCTCCCTCGTTCGTCAAGCCTGCGATCGCGACAGGGAAATGAATAATGATACTTCTCATCAAAGAGAAAATATCACAAACACGATCAAATGCTTCCACTTTGCACGCGATCGCCAGCATGATTTGCAATTCGTGAAAGATACTATCGATCACTTGATACACACCTTCCTCGATAAATTGCAAACAGTCGAACAACAGCTCTTGCTCGTAAATCTCTCGAGACGGCCAATTACGACGTTTTTCCTCACTCAGATCTTCGTATCCCTCCAAAACACCCACGAATCGATCCTCAGCAGCCATTGCGCTTCCGTTCGAAAGTGCCGATAAGAAATGATGTACTGCCAAGGTATATTCATCTTGCAGACTATCAGCCGTTCGATGTGCGGGTAGATTGACATGTAGCAACCTTTGCAGCGTTGATTCGTTCTTGTTCCATCGTTCACCCGACCGTTGACTAGAAGAGAAGCAAGGCTCGGATTGATGTCCCAAAATCAAAGAAGCCAAGAATGCTTGACGATCCGAATACTTTTTCGCTGCCCACATTTGACGTACTTTTGGATCAGACCATCTTGTGAAGGGGATATTGCTGTTGTGTGCGGTATGATCTCTTGCGACCGGCGAGGAATGGACAGGTTGTCCTTCGATACGCACGTCGCTTTGCGAGGATGGTTGTGCTGCATCAGGAGAGGAACGGAATAGAGGCATATCATGATCAACCGGTCCATTCGCATGATCTCGGAAAACTTCATCATCAGCAACTTGAAGTGATTGATCTTCAATCCGCTGCCTACTTGTAGAAGCAACACTTGCTTTTCCCCTTGCCACCAAAGGCTGCGTCTCTTTGGCCAAGATTGGCTTAGCAAACGAATTGACAAAACCGGGAAATGCTGCTTTGCGTGCTTTTGTCACACTTCCAGCAACTGCTGATCCGATCGCTGTCTGTTTAGTTGAGCTGCCTACTTGCAATTCTTGTCTTCTTCTAGCACGAGCAGAAGGACTATCATCCGGCTGAAGATGACTGTTGCCTGGACTGCCAAGTGCCTGTGAGCCACTGCTGCTACCGATATTCTTGCCGGCATTCCGATTGCGTTTGGTAGGCGTTGTCAAGCCGACAGAAGCGGCCATATTTTGTGAATGTGATTGAGAATAGTCTCTCTGTATACTTGCCTGCCCAGCAGCAGCTCTTCTTCTTGCAACGGAAGCTGTCACATTACTCCACAATTGATTGGACGTACTCGTTCCTGCTTCAAATGTTCGAAAGGCTTTCAAAGTTTTATTCTCTGTTGCGAGTGTATCATTTGCTTGTCTAAACTTTTCTGCCAAAGCATGATGTTGTTTGATACTGTCTTCCTTTTGTAGTAGCAGTCTACTCGATTCGGCGATATTATCGTGCAACTTCCTTCGAACAATTTCAATTTCACCCGCTTTGCTTTGTACATCTCTTTTTGCTTGGGTAAGCTCTTGGTCTTTTCTGGCCAATTGCTGCATCAATTCTTCAATTCTTCTCTGTTCGCTTGATCGGTCAGAAGCAATAGTATCGGATATAGTTTGTGGCTGGTGCAAACGAGGATGCTTGCTGCCAATGCCATGTGCAGCATTCGATGAGGCTCTGGTATTTTCAAGCGAAGGACTACGATGTCGTTTTCCAGATATTGCATTCTCTATCACAGTTCCATTTCGCTGTGGCGGGATTGTGGCAAGGCGAGAGTTGACCGATCTTTGACTGTCAGGTTGCGAAAGCCTTTGTGTTAGAAATGCTTCTTCAATCTGTTGTAAGCTCTGCTCATCTAATGTCAAATCGTCATCAAATTCGTATTCATCGATTGAATCCCTCCTTCTTCCTCCTCCTTGCTGCCCGACCGCTTGTATGCCATTAGTGGTGGGCGGCATCATTGTGCTTCTTGACCCATTCATGATAATGTATTGTCTATCTCGTCATCATTTGCCTCATCGATTGAAGGTCGTTGTGTATGTGGTAGAAGGTAATCCTTTCTGCATCTTGCTGACTGAGCATGTACTTCTTTTTTTGTGTTGTTCTTAAACTGCATTGAATCATTCCCAGATTGAAAAGTGTTGCTTCAAACGCGTCACGCGTGTAAAGTGGTGAGTTCTTGTATTGCATCTTTGCATTAAATACTTTTCGGCGCCGGCCTTAAGCAAAGCATTACGCCCAGCCACTAATGAAGACAAGCGAGCATACACCCAAGGGTTCATTGGTAAAGCACAGATGCACGTCCCCCGCAACCCTAAATGCCAAGGTGGCCAGCCGTTTTGACATCCTCCTTCATCACCACCAGCCCGCCCGTCAAGATGACAAACACTCATCGACGTCCTTCACTGACGGGGTTCTTTGCCTTTGTTGTGTTATGGGTCATACTTGCAACATTCAACTTTGGATTTGGAACATCAGAATTAAACCCTTTGCAAGGCGCATTAACCTGTCCATCCCCTGCACCTTCCTCAACATCAACATGCATTGAGATGACCAATGCTCAATTCGGATACGTAACAGCAGGTTTCACTGTTGGTGGTTTTGTGGGATCGCTTTGTTTATCGCCGCTGAAAGCAGTTTTGCCCATATTGGGATCGAGCAGTAAAGCTGCTTTAATCTTATCAGGCTTATGGAACGTCGCTGGTGGCTTGGTTCAGGCATATGCAGGTTCATGGCCCATTCTCGCTTTGGGTAGACTGTTAATGGGAATCGGAAGTGGTATCGCATTAACGATCGTACCCGGATTCTTGAACGATATCTCACCTCCTGCATTACAAGGATCGATTGGGGTTCTAAATCAATTATCTATCGTCATTGGGATCTTGGTCGCTCAAGCACTTGGTGTTTCAAGTCTTGGTGATAAAGGATCAAATCGATGGAGAATCGTGCCTGTCATTTCTGCTGCGATTGCATTGGCACAATTGCTGCTTTCCCCATTTGCGATTGAATGTCCGAGCGACTCCAAAGAACCTGATTCGATCAGGAAGAAGCTGTGGAAGACTGAACCGCAAGAATCAAATGGACACGATCAAGCTAGAGAAGTTGAAGAGCCTCTATTGACTCCCGAAGAGCCCGACGCTGATACTGGCAGTAATCATAGCGGTTCACTTCACTCTCCGCCAGAGAAGCATTCTGTGTTCTCTCTATTGAGATTAGCTTTAACCTTTGGAACATTGAATGGTGAAGAAGACGAAATTCGCAAGGGCACACGTATGATCATCTTTACACAAATGGCACAACAGCTGAGTGGTATCAATGCTGTCTTATACTACAGTACTGGTATCTTGTCAGACGTACTAAAGAATGGCGGTGGCAGCAAAGAAGATGATGACAAGACGGCAAAGCTGATCGGACTGGGAATCACAGTGGTGAACTTCCTGATGACTTTCCCTCCGATTCCGTTGATCGATGAACGTAGGGTGGGTCGCAAACGTCTTTTGCAAATTTCTTCTGGCACAATGGCCATCTCAGCTCTGGCTTTGAGTTTGAGCATGTTGAATTCGGCAAGCGTGCCTGCAGCAGTGAGCATCGTCACCTTCACTGCTGGATTCTCGGCAGGTTTAGGTGCGATTCCATTCTTGATCTTACCAGAGTTGGTACCTAGATCAGTCATTCCGTCTGCAAGTAGCTTGGGCATCGCATGCAATTGGCTCGCAAACATTACACTCTCCCTAATCTTTTTACCCCTCAAAGATGCACTAGGTGGATATGTGTTCTTCATCTTTGCTGCCATTGATGCGATCATATTCATTACAATCACAGGATATTACCGCTACAAACCGATTTCTAACATCCGTTCAAGGCCAGAATGAATGAGAAATATTTTATAATGTGTAAATTAGTAGAGCATTGAATGATATTATTTGACAAAAGAAAATCTATGATTGACCGAAGCAGAACAAAAGAACACAACGGTTAAATAATGCAGGACTTGCTGCGGCTCTGCTACCCATTCCATCACCGACAGGGTTCATTGTGAAGATGACATGCAAATTCTTGCTGATTTCCGAACTGAACCAAGCCATCAATTCATCATTTGAATCAAGCAACAATCCATCCCTTGCACTTCCTTCTTTGCAAGCAGTGATCAAAGCACTATACTCATCTCCTTCAAACAATCCAGGTACTTCGCTATTGGCCAACAAAGTGTTCATGCGTTCCAAGAATGCAGGTTGACGGATTTGCGATTCATCAATGATAAAAGAAATCTTTTCACCTTGACAACCTGCACGTTTGAGTACGACACGCAAATCATCATCAAAGTCGGCCATGGAGTATTTACGCGAGGTTGCAATGGTAAATGTAGACAAACCATTCATCCAAGCAACAAATCTAGCAATCGTCGTCCTTCCACTTCCAGAAACTCCGATCAAAAGCAAGTGTCCTTGACGTTGACGTAAGACTCGATCGATGGCAGTAGCAAGAACCAAGACGCTATCGAACAACACCAGCTTTGTATCCAATTCTTCTTCACTGTATTGGCGTAGACGGGCGGATGTATGGCTTCGCAATGCTTCCATATCCACACTTTGAGTATTGCGTGAGAGCCAATTGCTGAATACAATCGGTTGTTGAAGTGCTTCTCCATGGTCCATTGTTGGGAAGTGCTTTGAAGCGGTGTTGGCGATCAGATTATCTGTCCATTGTCGTTCATCCATATCGATCAAACGATCAGAGAAGATTCGCAATGCTTCATATGCCCAAATACGAATCAATCCCTCGACAGTGACTGTTGTGTCCAACTTGCTCAAAATCTCCAAAATACCACGCATCCATCGAGTCAACTCACGTGGACTGTAGACATAGGTTGGACTCTTATCAGGTGTGAAGCGTTTTTGCGTCTCCAAGAAAAAGTCCACCATGGCCGCTGTAAGAGGATCAGCAAATCCACGCAAGTTTGGCGCAACCTTGAGCAATGCACGATTGAACGTTCCATAAATTTGCATCAAAGATTGAGCGGCTGGGTAGCCTACCATGACCAGCGGAGCATGTCGAAGGAATCTTTGACTTAACGGTACTCTTCCCGGGTCGGTTGGCGGATTGCACGCTCCTACAAATTGAATGCGTTCAAGTGTTACCCAACTCTTGTCCGATGTTCTCCAGAATCCACCGCGCTCGACAAGTTGACGAAGGAATGAAATGACCCTTTGCGTTCCGTACTTGTCAAGTGAAGGCAAATTGATTTCATCACAGAACAAGACGATCCACTTTCCAATCTGAACAGGCGCCAAAACCACTCCATTTGGTGTCTTGCGGTATTCACAGTATTGTTCAAATGTTTTCAAGATCAATTCCGGCGTAGTTGCACTGGAAAAGTTCAATCCAACAACCTCTTGATCTGGAAGTTTGCGAAGAGCACTGAACAAAGTCATCGTTTTACCACTACCCGGCGGTCCACATAACATCAATGGCTTGTGTTCACTGAGCCACGAATACAACACATCTTCATGTCGAACTGTGTCTGTCGTCGGAATCACAACATCGGCACTCGCGACTGCGTTTGTTTCAACTTCAATTGTTGGAACACGTGTAGTCCAATTGAACCATTCTGCATCCCCCACATGAACATCAAAGTCGATCAGAGATTCACTTGCATTGAGACTACCGGCAGCAGCTCCAACAAAGGAAGGAAGTTCAACATCGGTGGCTTGATTACGCAAAAATTCACCCATTTCTCCGCGGACACTGATCTCGGAATCACCGGTGAATGACCAAACGATGGCGACGAATAGTCGGCGTGTAGCATATTTTTGCGTGATCTCTTGGGTTAGAGGGAAGTCAGGATGTTGTGCATCGTAATCCAATACATTTCTCACCGTTTTGTTGACCAGAGAGAAAAGAGTACTCAAAGCACGGCCTGGCGTGAAGTCCATGATGTGCCATTTGGATGCGGCAAATTGAAGTGCTTTTTCGATCAAGCTTTGTCCTACACCTGCAACTTCATCAATGAAGTAAGGTGCAACAGCATCGGCAATCACTCTCTGCGTCAATACGCCTGGTGCCAAGTTTGCTTCACCAGTCACACTCGAAGATTGTTGTCTCCTTGTCAGAGCGGCTGTTTGATCCTCCTCTTCGCCACCAGACAAAGGTAAAGTTCGCAACGTCTCCAAGTAGTTGGCAAACATCATTTGAGGTTGGACAGTTTCTTCGCTGAACCACACCATACCACAACGAGAGACAGTTGCCAATGTGGCATACCGCAGATGCTCCACTTCAAACATGATGCGAACATTTGGTGGCAACCCAAGACGTTCTCCGTTGGGCAATGTGAGAAGCTTGTTGTCGTCCAAGACACTGTTCAAGTTTTCAACCCACTCTGGATCCACATCTCCATCGAAGATGATCCAGTGTCGCTTTGCGCTTTCACCACGAACGTTGTCGACAATTTTGCGTAAGACATGAGTGAAAAGACCATCGTTCCATTCCCGAGTTGTAGGATCCAAGGTACCATAAAGAGCCTCTTTAGGCACTGCTTTCGGGTCAATGACATACGATACGCCTTCAACTCCTTCCAAGCGTTCCAGGGCGGTGAGTAAGACTTGCCAAGCTTGTGTTTTACCTGTTCCAGAAGGTCCTACCATCATCAAACCATGACTGATCTTTTGGATTTGGTACAATTGCAGCACCTTTTGCAGCCATTCGCTGCCTTCTTCAAACACGAGGTTTCGCTCCTTGCAAACCGCTTCAATGTGCTTCTTGAGTTCGTCCAGATTGACAGGCTTGTACTCGATTCCTGGGAAGACGTCCGACAAAAGACTTGACAATAATGGTACATCCTCTGCCACCAACTTGGGCACGATTGTCTCAGAGACACTTTGGATGAGGATCTCTTGCTCGGAAACACTGAGGTCTTCTCCTGCCAGGTCTTGCTCTCCGGAAAGGAGATGCTCTCGCTTCAATTGACCGGCACTAACCAAGACACTCTTCAAAGCACGCAAACCAAAGTCGTAGTGCGGCTGATTGCTGAGTTGTTCTGCACACAAATTGAAGAACGGAACAATCTTACTGGAAAGCTTTTCTGCTGTTCTGAAACCTTGAGCGTACAGAAGCACTTGAGCAATGATTTCTCGATCCGGTTGCGACATCACAACGGGACGGAATAACTTCTTGAGATTGTCAGGTAACTTCGAACGACCTGCATACGTTGGATTGGAAGTGACTGCAATTGCTGTACGTGGATTAATTTCGACAGACTTGCCCAATAATTCCACTTCTACCGAGCTGCCATTGGAACTGGAAGCCAAACCATTTTGGATTGCTTGAATTTGTTGACTGACAGCAGACAAAATCCGCTCTTCCAATCTGTTGAATTCATCGAAACAACCCCAACCACCAGTTCTACATAGACCGACAAAGATTCGTCCCATTGCTTGGAAGTCAAACGTTTCATCACAGCAGAACACCAAGACCATTTGGCCTAATTGAGCGCCCAATGCTTTGACTGTTTCCGTCTTTCCCGTTCCAGCTGGCCCTTCTGGCGCACCACCAAGCTTGTAGTGTAGTGCTTGGGTTAATGTAAGGTAGCATCTCCTAGTCAAGGGTGTTGTGACAAGCTTATAAGTGATGCCCAAATACTCAAATCCATAGGGGAAGGTTGCATTTGCCATCTCCACACGTAGAGCAGTGTTTGGATCGGCTGTGTTGTTGAGATAGAACCGCATTTGAGAAAGCCAAGAGAAATTTCCAGTATCTTTAACTTGATCAGCAATCATTGAACGTGTGACATCCCTTTGATTGACCAGTTCAGTGATCAAATGTTCGCACTTTCTTCGTTGTATTGTCTCAATGTCGGATAAGACTGTGTCTGCCAATACATCCAAACTACGCAAAGTGTATTGGAGCACTTTTTCAAGAGACTCCTTGTGCTCCAGTGCATTCTCTGCGATACGAGTCCAGATTGTTTGGATTGCTAGAACAACCAATTGAGCTGGATACTTTTGAATCCATTGCAAGAATTTTTGGCCGTCCAGATCCTTCTCATCACGATAGAATGCATCCAGTTCACCAACAGCTTCCGTTAGCAACGCAGCAAGAGTAATGCGCATCTCTGCCTCCATCTTTGTCAGCCATTCGTTGATCTTGGCATGTTGTGCAAGCACGATTGGCGTCTTGAACGGTACTTCCTCACCTTCTCTGCTGACCATGCCCAAAAGCTGAGAAGGACTTTCCATATCGTCAAGTGTAACAGTTGCCAGACCGGCAAACATTTTCTTGAAATGCTTCATGATTCGTACAATATCTTTGCTGTTACCGATGATTTCGAGCAAATCTTCATCACCCACAAAGTAGAAACGTGGAAACATGGCACGTTCACGTTCAAGGTATTCACCAAGAGCTTTTTGAATCTTGCCTAGCAAATCCGCCAATCTTTCCAAGCTCTTTTGAACGCCCGGGATAGCCAACACATCGAGCACGAAGGGCGATTTGTACACCTTCTTCATCACCGTCATGAATTCAGAATTGATGTTGTTGAAACGAGAGCTTTCGACGGGAAGGATGTGTCTGATTTCCGCAGAGCCGGTAAAGATTCCTTCCAGATACACCCACTGTCGTTGCACATCAATCCAGGTGTCAAACAAAACCGAAATTTTTGAGAGACGATCTTGCCAGATGCTTGCCTCTTCTTCAAACACTTTGTAATGCGGACTCATGGACATAGCACGCAATGCGTTCAGATGGTCTCCTGCCAATTGGAACAAGTTATCCCAACCACGAATGAGCTTGCATTTGTTGTTCTGATAATTGACAAGGTCTAGGGTATAATTTGTCCATGTTTCACGCACTTGGCGAAGATACTCTTCCAAAGCCATTTCCCCTTGTGCTTGCAAAATGACCGCTTTGATTGGCTGTTCGTTTCTCCGCAAATCCAAATCCCAAACAATGCCGAGTGTCATATTGGAAGGTGTATAGGGCGTTGACACTTTCAATTGCTTGAAGAGTGCCCGCCAGTGACGTTCGCGCATTGCATCCGATTTCAAATCACCGACAAGAGAATTGCTCTTGAGGAATCCTCGAATGATCTCTTGGATATGCTCAAACGCAGCATACTGTCTCATTCTGCTCGGCATGTCTTTGTTTGTCGCATTAAGCAGTCCGTCCAATTGTTGACGAAGCTTGCGGGGTTGTACATTTGACCATTGCATTTCACGTAGCTCGTTTAATTGATTCCATGTTCCTGTCAATGCAGTCCAAACGGCTTTCAAATCCCGCAACTCTTCTGCGACAGGCTCCAAACGGTCATTTCCGGAAGAGTTGCTGGCATCCTCGGTCGAAGAGGCCAGATCAATCGACTCTTTGGCGCGAATGACAAGATCTCTGTCCTCGCTCAATTTGTTTAATCTGGTCTCAAAGGAAGCAATCGTGTTGAGGGCTGCATCTGGTTTGAGAACGCCAGAGATGGGTTTGCCTTGTTCCCATTCAGCAACCAAGGCAACAATTCTCTCAGCAACGATTTTATCTTCTGCCATAATCTTCATTTGAAGACCAGCAAGTTGCTCCTGAATGCCTGCATTTTTGCGTGAGAGGATCTCATTAAAAGCACTCCATTCACCTTCCACTTGATCAACATACAGCCAATCTTGACCAAACATGTATCGTTGTCGCTCTAAAGTCTTTTGTCCGACCGAAAAGAGCTCGATAAGTGGCTGCCATTTCTTGACCTTCTTTTTGAGATCTTGCACGAATGTGATGAAGGTGACCGTTTGAGCTGTTGAAGTACCTTCAATGGAGTGGTGTTCCAAATCAGTACGTGCCTTGCTCAAGGCGGCGTAGGTCTCACGCATCTCGTTGCCCAATTTGGCTCCAAACTTGCTCAACAGGTCTCTTTGCCATGTGTCATACTTGGCATTGACTTTACTTTGTACTTGTTCGTAATCAATGACAACAATTCCGAACGATCGTTTGGTGTCGGAGTTATCGAATGTGGAACGAGTCTTGCGAATTTCCGAAAGCAATTGTTGCCATTTCGCCAACGAATCTCCTAGACGTGCATAAACATGATCAGCTTCCAAATCCCACAAGGATTGGAATTGCAACCATTTTGCAACGTATCTGGATAATTCAGAAATCTTTGCTTCGATGAGAGCGAAAGGTTTCGCTAGAATATCGGCATCACCACCGCTCTTTTCAGCAGAAAAGCGGGCCAAAAGCGAGACATACGTTTGATCGGCTTCTTTCACCTTTGTATTACGTCTCATTTGATATTCGATCTCATAACGTGCACTTTGAACACGACGAAGACAACAAACCGTTCCCCATGTCTCATGCAATGCTTTGAACCAATGTGCTCGTGCATGCTCGATCGGAGGGTCCACGTAAATCACTTGATTTTGGATGCGGATCTCGTGCAACGTTGGCGGAAGTTTGATTCGATCTCGTTCTTCGTTTTGCTTGGCAACAACGTTGGAGTCTTGTCTGCGTCCTGATGTGGTGTTTGCTGCACCAACAAATGCATCACACCATGCAGAGGTAATTGATTTGAGTCGTACCTCAAATGCATCTTCGATCCGTGCATTGACCTCGGTCACCCATTCTTCCAAATTAGGATATCCTTCCAAGTTTAAACGATCGATAGTAGCCTGAACTTTCTGGAGAAGCTGTGAGAAAGCTTCAGCAGTGTATGGACAAGTGTGTAATTCGTCAATCCAAGCAAAGACTTCACGTTGCATTTGCACGACTTCATCCGTCTTTTCTTGGAATAAAGCAACCAAACTTGCAAATTGTCGAACGAAAAGAACTTGCTTGTTCTCTCTTGCCGCATCAGCACCTCCTGAGCCAGGCAAATAAGCCGTTGCAGCTACGCTACGGTGACTTTCGTATGTATTGGCGAAATTTTCCCATCTGAGGGACATTCCTTGCGCTACTAATGTCTGAACTTCGGTATGGATTTGGGCAAGCAAACGTGCAATTCCGCCTGGATTGCTTTTGACAACTTCACACGTTTGATTGTAAGTTCGAACGGTTTCCATCAGTGACACCGCATGCGGGTAGACTCTTTTGGCATCCTTGGCAAGATTGTTGATGGTATGCGGGATTTGGAAGCCCAGCCAGATGAGATTGCGAACCTCTTTGAATAACGAGATAACTTGTGGGTCAAAGTTGATTGCAAGTTGGTACGTATTGGAAGCGCGATTGCGTGTGATTTCAAACAATCTTCCCGAGACGTTCAAGTCTCTTCGTGACATGATGTCATTCAACCAACCCTCAAACAAAGGCTTGGTATCCAGCTTCCGCCTGAATACCTCGCCTTCATTAGCAAGCTTTTGTCCATCTGCGTACAACTCCCAACCACGACCCAGGACATCTTCCACACGTTTCATATAGATGTTCAGTTGTCGCTCAATCTGTCTTGCCCAGATGATAGCACCAGCAATTTCTGGCAAATCGCGAAGTTGAGACATGTGATTGGCTTCAGAAGGTCTGTATTGCGCTTTGAACTTGTCTTGCAGGGCTTGAATGTCGCTCTTGACGCTGATTAGCAGTTGCTGTTGGTATTCTTGAACAGCACCACGCACCTTCGGACGAACGAAAAGGCTGTTGAATTGTGACAAGACACGCAACATTTCACGAGCCGATTTGCATTGTCCCAAAAGGTCTCTCAATTGCGAAATCAATGAGGTCTCTACTCGAGCAACACGTTCATTGTATGCTGCTTCTGCCGCTGACCAAATTTCTCCGCCCTCGTCTCCTGTAATGTCCAAGACATCAACACTTTTCACCAATTCGTATGCCGATGACACTTCTTCTGCCATCTCCAAGCCTGCGATTGAGCTCTTTGTGATTGTTCCAGAATTGACCATCACACGCAATTGTTCGTGCGTTTTACGGAATGCACCAATATAGTTCAAACGTTCTCGCAACTTGTTGAATGCGGTTGCATTGATTTTGATCGGCAAAAACTTTTCCATACGTTTACGTGTCAATTCACGAGCAGCATTGACGAAGTCCTTTGTCATCTCATCCCATGCTTGAAAGACATCATTTGAAGCGGCCAACGTGTCACAGAAATGCGAAAAGTCTTGATACATCAAACGTTTTCCCGCAAGAATTTTGATCATTGTGTCGTTCACGTCACGCGAAATAGACTCCACCAATCCTAAAGCTCGCTTGACGGGGTAGGGACTGATTCGAAGCTTTTTGTTGAGATGACCAAATACGGCAATCACTGCATCTGCACATTTGTCGAGATCTGTGGCGGATAATAGGTCATTCAAGGGGAAGTCTTTCATGAGTAAATTGTAGTTGTGAATCTTTTCAGCACAGTCTTTAAGCCCTGTGTCAGCATAGAAGGAAACAGTGGCGTGGAAACGTTTGGCATGCTTGAGGATGTCCAATGTCAAAACGATAGGCGCTGATTTGAGCTGGTCTTCGATTGCTTCATGCGCTTTCTCCATCGAGAGCCAGAAGTTGACTTCTTGCGCCGCCGTTCCCGCTGCCACATCACGATCAAGTTTCGTCACAGTCTGTACCTCTTTCACCCATGTGTTCACGTCGGACTGAAGCTTGTTCAAGAATGTCGAATCTTGCAGTAAAGATGGCGGTTTGATCTCATCTACTGTGATCCTTGTTCCTGCGCTCAAGCATCGATCGATTGTCGCCCGTACGACGGGATGTATGCGTAATTGAATTTCCGGTATTTCAACGTTTTGTTGTAAATGCAAAAGACTCAATTCCAATTCAGCAAATTTCCGTTTGGTCATCGGAATACCCATCTTTGCATCAGCGCCCGCATCTTTGCCCTTCTTGCTTCCGGCAAATGTTTCTTTGCTGGTCACATATGCATCAAACCAAGGTGACATGACATTGTGAACCACACTGTGTAAAGCCTCATACGGACTAACCCGTATGGTTGTTGTTCCTTCCTCATTATTGGAAGGTGCATTTTCGGTACTTGCAGAAGGAGCAGAAGCCGTTGAAGGTCCCAAAAGCGATACAAAATGTAGTTGAGCGGCGAGGTTAGACGAGATATCGAGAATCGGTACCCGTTTGATAAGGGCAATACTTGCAATATATGAAGGGGTATAGCTGGGACGTAATGCCAATTGGTATTCATATGCATCATCATCGTCGTCTTGAGTGGCTAGTGCGGCCACATTTGTTGAAGAGGAAGAAGCTGTTGCTGTATTGGAGCTTTGGCCGGTGTTGGATCGGATCTTATTAACGAATAGTACAGTGATAGAGGATTCCAGGGCAAAGTCTGTGAGGATCTCTCGCCAATCTTGATCGGAATTTCTCGCAAACATACTCTTTGCCAATGATTTGTCAGTAGCTGACATTACCACAGCCAAGAGCATTTCAAGATATGTTCTTAATTGATTGACATCAATTGTTGCATTTCTATCTCGATTGCCTCCGAATTCTTCTCCTCCTGAACTTGTACCACCATCAATGAATGCCCCACCATTTGTTGAGACATTCCTCCCATTTCCACCGCTTGATGCCATGCCAACACTGGCAGCCATCTTTGTGCAATGTAACAAAGGATTGAAAGGGGTTGATGAGAATGATTGAAAGGTGTGAATTGGGATGACGCCTCACCGTTTATAACAAACAAAAACGCGTCCAAAGGTGTTGGTTTCGGGCGCAGCGCAGCAAAAAGGGCAAAGCGCACTTTAGCGTCTAATCAGAGAGGGCCAACGCGCTGAAAAGTGTTTGACAGAGAACATGCTGCTGTACAACAAACAAAACCAACTCTAAATTTAGAGAGCGGTACGAATAATACGCTTCCGACATTCATAATCCTAATCAAAGACTTCATCATACATGCTGTAAAGTATGCTAGGATGGCAGAGTCCATTGGAGGAGCAATACGACTTCAAGAAGATGAAGACCAAGCATCTACCTCGACTTTGACAGCTTATGCAACGATACTTGACCCATTGCAAGAACTGTGTCCATCTCTAGAAGCAACCAAAGCGCTGTGCAGCAAACCTTCCTCAGAGATACCTGGCGGTGAAGCATTACGGCGGTCCAAAATACAGAATGCCATCTTGAAAGCTGCTTCGAGTGGTGATAATGATCTGCTTCTTTGGATATGCTCTCAAATTCAGGCAAGTAGATTACAGCAGAATTTGCCTGCTTTCAATGGATTCGATTGGGCAACGATTCGAGATGAAGATGCTATTGGTCCAGTAAATTTGGCAACATCGATGGGTCATGCAGATGCAGTTCGCACCCTTATTCAAGCAGGAGCAGAGATCAATGAGCGGGACTCATCAGGTTGGACTCCTCTTATGTTTGCCATCAACAACGCTAATCTGCCATTGGTTTCGTTTTTACTGTCACATGGAGCAGACAGTGAAGCAAAGACATCGAAAGGTGTCTCTTGTGAAGATTTCATTCTATCTGCACCCACTCCTGCTGAAGGATCAACAGCAGAAGGTGAAGATCGACAACTAATTAGCGACTTGATCTTTGAGCATCAAAGAGCGTCGCATCTGGAAAGAGAGCAAACCTCAAACCTACAGCAAAGACTGCGGTCACTGAGTGTGAGGAGCGATGGTGACAGCATCAGACAGTCGCCCTTTCAACAGACACCTCTTTCCGAAGAATCACGCTCGCCAGGGAAGCAAAGCTTCATAGCTAGCAGCATAGGTGGGCATAGTCGATCATCTAGCACAACCATGCGAAGACTTGTCGGTCACGCAGAGCGAACACAAATCGCCGAAACAGAATTGAGGGCGAGAGAACTTGGAGAAGGTAGAAGAAGAGCTTTGTTAGATGTGGCGGTGATGTTGCAAGTGGAATATCAAGATTTGCTGGGGGAGCAGCCTACCCTGGCCAATCCCACTGATCGTCAAGCAAAAAAACGGAAAGGAAAGCCAGTTCATTCCGGCTTGGCATCAGGTTGTGGTGCGATAGAGGTAGGCGCAGATCCGTTGAGCAACGAATTCGACTTTGAAAGTGTTCGAGCTGATCAAATGCTGGTCTTTGGAGAAAAGCACGTCGATGCGATTCTGAATTATATTGTCAAGCAAGCAAAACCAATACGTGCTCCCTGGACAAGTCGTAGCAAGCCAGCCAATGTGATGTACCTTTGCTTGCGTTATGCCAGCTTTATGGCAGATGAAGATCTACAAGAAGAACTCTTGTTTGGCTTTGTCAATGCGGTCGAAGCTGTGCTTTATGCAAAACCAACGGAATTGACTTACCTTGCATTTTGGTTGCATAATGCTGTTTTGCTCTTGCACTACTTGCAAAAGGATGCCACTCTTGCCACTATTGCAGCAGGGGAAGAGTATCGATCCATATTGGCAGAGCTAGTGAACGAGATCTACATCTTTATCGTGCGGGATGTTGAACGAAGAATTGACAAGGTTCTAGATAGTGCCATTCTGGAACATGAATCAATTCCCTCTCTCGATGGTGAAGAGATTAGGTACGAGAACGAGTGGTCTATTCTAAAAACATTGAAGGGAAGTGTAAGAGGTTTTACTGGCAGTGCTGGATCCTCCCCTGCTGGTAAGAAGCGAAGGCCGCTCAGTCAAATCTTTGCAGCAGCAAACACACCAGAAGCTGGATCTCCAAGAAGTGCTGCAAACATTCCAACATCATCGCCGGCTTCCGTTTCCAGAGATGGATCGATGCGTGCAAAGCAAGACAATGCCAAGATGGCCTTTTCACCCTCCTCACCGTCGAAGTTAGGATCAAGACCGACATCACTTGCCAAGACTTCTAATCTTGGAAAGAACTCTAGCCCTTCTGACAGTTCTGCTTCCGATTTGATGACCAAACCTTCACCAAGAACAATCACAACGATGCTCACTAGCGTTTTGCACGTTTTGCAATTGTACGAAATCAATCCTTGTATCATCGTTCAAGCGTTGTCTCAAATCTTGTTTTGGGTAGGATGCGAAACATTCAATCGAATCATGGTAAACAAGAAGTTTATTTGTAAGAACAAAGCTATGCAAATTCGACTCAACATTTCAGGTTTGGAAGATTGGGTAAAGACGAACGCTTTACCTGGTACATTGATCAGTCATCATTTTGCCAAGGTGAATCAGTTGGTTACATGGATACTGTGTCAAAGCAGTTTGACAGATTTTGATGGATTGATTGCTACTTTGCAAGGCCTAAAGTCGCTCAATCCGCTACAGCTGAAACACATCATTGGCGAGTATCGATATGAGATCGGGGAGCACAAGATGAAATTGGAATGTGTCCAGTATCTCGATCAATTGGAGAAAGATTGGCAAAGAGGAAGGATAGAGGCTGCACGAGCAAAAGTCTCAGCAGAGAAGGAAATCAAACCAACGCACGGTAGAAGTGGTACGGCTACTCAATCGGATCCTGATGGTATGCACAGGAGTGAAAGCTTTATGCAAGAGACTGAAGCTTGTCATTCACCCGATGGTATGGAATTGGACGGTGACAGTACAACGATGGACATCAGTGCAGAGGAAACACCAGAGGGTCGAGCAGCACGCGAGATTCAAAGAGAGATTGACTCTCTCTTTCTTACTGGGAGGACAATCAACGACTACGTTCCGCGTTTGGCATCAATATCCAATGAGAACAGCAATGGCGATGTGCGTACAGCTACGTATGAATTGGAGTTGAATAGCCGAGAGATGTTGCCCTTCGCATTACCGAGCCAAGCAGAAACACTGGTTGTCAGCCCTGGCGATGCGTTTGGTTTTGGCAGGGGTCACTTTATGCATACTGGTACGCCCAGTCTCAAGAGCATGCGGACTGACAGCCTTGTTCCATCACCTTGCCCATCGCCATCATTGAGGCTAGGCAGTACCGGGGCTCCGTCTTCGCGATCATCTTCGCCTCTCAAAGGCGTAAGCAGTGCTGCATCAAGATCGATCGGCAAAGGACCGGGGGGACTTGGATTGGGAATACAAAATGGCGAGAATAATGATCAAAATGATGATACCCTTTCGATTACCGCATCTTCTCATTTATCTGCTGCATCTTCATCTTCTGTTGCATCTTCTACGCTTTTTCCACAAGGTAAAGGTTTTACTGCCGGTGCATATTGGCAACCGGTACCTGTGTTACCAGAAGGGGTATTGGAATCACTTAACAAGTTGATGCAATAGAGAGTTGTCATTATGTAAAATAAACATTAGTTTTCTTTTTGTATAAAAAAGCCTGAACTTTTGATAAAGACCCGAGATGTTGTATCGCTTCAATGTCGTCAGACATAAGGGGGTAAGGAAAGTTTAATACTGTATTGTGAGATTTAACCGCCACCGCCACTCGCTTATAATATGCTTTTACAAACCTCACACTTTGAGAGCAGTGTAAGCTGCCCCGAATCTTAAGCATATTCAACGTGATCACAGGCACCACTTGAATCGTCTTGTTAAGATTTGTACACAGAAGGATCAATGATGAAACTATGTAAAGGGTGTTGATTCAACCTTTCTCACTCCCTTTTTCTATCAACTCAACTATCACGCAAGTATTAAAATGATGTCAATTCGTGCAATCACCTTCACTCTTCTCTTTATTGCCTGTATGCTTAAAATAAGTATGCAAGCTGATACTGGTGAGGCCTCACCTTCGTCACCTGAATCAGCTGCACGCTTGAGACCGATGGTGTCAGAAACATTTGAACAAAAGACTCTTGCTGAACACCATAATTCAAATCACAAAAAACAAGAGCATAGTGAGGAGTACACCTGTCAAAGCCAAGCTCTTCGTGCTTCTACTAAGAAGAAGCCGAGTCCATCAACTAGTCGTCGCAATGGGCAAGAAGAGCCAAAGAAGGATATCCATCGTCCACACCACGGCAAACAATAGACATTCCAGGCCATGCAGCCACGGTATACAATTGCGGATGGCAAATGATCATCATATTAGCATTGCATTCTTGCTAGAATTACACTTTCACGATACTTTTGGTAGAGCCGCTTCTATTAAGGTCAACATTTATCACTTTTATGTCCGTTTCTACTATCGTCAACTTCTTTGTCCTCTTTCTTACTCTATTTGTCAGTCTCAATCTTGCTTTTCTTTTGATTCTCATTACTGATGACTTTTGTCTTTTCGATATCATCCTCTTAATCATATCAAAGTACTTTACAGCACACTTTTTCCTCGGAAAAGTATTTGAGTTTGATCACGATTGAAATAAGTATTTACATGGAGTTCTTCAGCGTGGGAAAGTACGGGTTTCAATTTCAATTTCGGGAGTGGTAGCCAAAGCCGCGGAAAAAAGCGCCTTGTCTTTTGAAGCTCTCTTTCGTATTTTTCGTATTTCTTGAAGTCTTGTTGCGTGACCTGAAGAAAAGAAGTATCAGTACGATTGCTGGAAGGGTAGGATCTGGGAGTCCAATCCACCAACGTACCTTCAAATTTGAGGAATTTGTTAAAAAGCATTTTTGTGGTAGCATTACATGGACTTGGTTTATCCAGTACATATCGGTGAAGTTCAGCAGCAATTAGTAGAAGGATCTGCTTGGCTGTCCTTTTCTTTTACTGGGATGCTAAACATCATCACCAAAACTACAAGGATGATGCATAAAGCATTTTGAATTGAGATCTTTGTCGTAATCATTGCTGTGACAAGACTGAGAACGATATGCGGGATGAGCGAGAAGTGGTTGCATTTATAAATTTGACATGCTTTTTATAGTTTGACCTTCTTCTTAGATTTACCTAGGTTTACTCTGAAAATCAACAAATCTCGCCTTTTGTTTTCACGCCAAACAAAAAATTGGGAGACATTCCGAGTAAAAATCATCAGATTTGTTGGATCGCGGATGACCGTTTCCGCCAAACAAATGCAGCCGCTCGCCAAAGAAGTAAGTCCGCCGGCAAAGACGGTCACCCGCTTTTGCCAATTGGCGCAGCGCAGAACACCGCCTCGGCTACCATTCACATTACCAAAGAACATAAACATCGCATGTACATTCAGCATTCCTCAGACAAATCCCAACAATTGAACATTACAACAGCATATGCTCTCCTCGAAAAGTATATGAATTTGATCACGAAGGAGAATTAAGTATATACATGTGGTGTGCTTCACCGTGAGGAGAACGGGTCTCGATCTTCGGAATAGTAAGAAAAGCCGCGGAAGTAAGGATCTTATTTTTTTGAAGCTTTATTTTGTATCTTTTGTACTTCTTGAAGTCGTTTTGTGTGACCTGCAGAAAAGGAATTTCCTGAAGAAAAGGAATATTAGTACGATCGCTGAAAGAACAAGGATTTAAGGTCCAACTCACCAAATATCTTGAAATGTGGGGAATTTGATGAACACATTTCTGCAGTAGCATTACACAGAATGACTCCGTCCAATCTTTGTTGGTGAAGTTTAGCAGCAATTACCATAAGAATTTGCTCCGCTGTCTTCTTCGTTTACAGGGAGGCTATACATCATCACCAAAACTACAAGGATGATGCACAAAGCATTTCGAATTGAGATCTTTGTCGTAATCATTGTTGTAATAAGACTGAGAACAATATGCGGGATGGGCAAGAAATGATTGCCCTGACAAATTTGACGTGCCTTTTATATTTCGATATCTTCATCTTAGATTTGATTTTGAAATCAACAAATCTTGCCTTTTGTTTTCACGTCAAAAAATTAGGAGAGATTGCGAAAAAAGGACATTATACAAGACACTTGACGGTACTTTAAAAAGGTTGGTCATGTGACGACATAGTTTACAGGTATGCATTTCCCTTGCAAATGTTCATTGAAAGAATTCGTGAAAAAAAGCGATCGGTAAAGACACAATCTTCCCCCTATTCACTTCAATGCAGCAAAGAGTATGTTCATTTGCATGGTCGTGAGGGAGAAAAATTGATTATTTCATCTTTCGGAAAAGATTGAATAGGGATGCTTCCAGTATCTAGAACTTCCTTGAATTGAGCAGCTATGTCTCACTTCAAAGCATTTTGCGATAGGAAGATAATGCTGTCCTGATAGGAAAGAAAGCGGAAAGAAAATACGGTACCCCTGTACCTGCGCGATCTCTCCTATCCAAAGCCCCTATGCCCTTCCTATGCCCTTCGAAGTTTTTAGGGTATCATCCTCTATATTGTGTTCTGCGCTTTCATCCCTAAAAGTCAGAAGTTGAGATCTGTACGTAAAAATGTACTGATCAGCTGTAAACTTATCTACAAAACTTTTTCTTCACGAACGTAGTTTTCGGCACGACGTCATTGGGAATGCTGACATACTTACTTGAAAAGAATACTCTCATGGTCACGCAAACTTTATTCTCTTTTGACGGTGTAGAAATGTCATTATGAGGTGAGAATACTCTCGCAAAGATTGTTGTGATAAAAAGTGCTTGTCAGGATGGAACGTAATAGACCGTTGAATTTGATAAAAGAAAATGACCTTTTACGTTTTGAAAGCAATCAGACAGGGCGGAGTGGTTGGAGTGGTTAAATAGAAACAAGATTACTTAAATCGCATTTCCTTTGCAATTGATCCGAAAGGGTTCCAGTGGATTGTTGAGTGAGAGCAGCATAAGAACATTCATGCCTCAATGCGTGTTCTAAACTTGCCGAGTGCTTATGACGTACATACAAGCATTTCTTTGTGGCTAGATTTTAGCAACAGTTGCCAACAGGATTTGCGCCGCTTTTCTTAGTAGTCTTGATCATGACAATCATGACTAAAAGCAGAAGACAAGCTCGAATGGACATTTCGTCTTGAGATAGAGATTGAAGATGTGTACCCTTGGGAGTTTTTTCTGTTGTTGTCTACCTCGTCAGAAGAAGTGACAGCAAAGGCATCTTTTATACCTTTATCAAGCCTCAAATTTCATATAAGAAGAGAAACATTAGTGACAAAATGCGTGTATATGCATCGATTCAGCATAAAGATCTTACACATAAAGGCCAAAGTGAACATTGAACACGACAAATCATGCTAGCTGTAGCTTTTGTTATGTTGAGTCATTATGATCCAGTAATGCTTTATCTTTTCCTCCTGCATAAATACATCCCGTCATCATCATGCGTGTGGATGTTGCTTTTATGTCATAATAGTCCGAATAGACAGCCACTTCAAATTTACACCCTGGAAGGCGTGGTGATGTTCATAATGATGATCTGGTTGAATCGGAATTGCGTTCTTTCTTTGCTGGATCTGCAGTGGCACGCGTTAACGGAATTACGCGCCAAAGGAAGTCCGAACAAAGTGTCCGATTTACTAGGCTTGAATCGGAGTAGGATGAATGCTGCTTCCTTCTCTCTACAACCATCAATTGCACTGTGTCTTTTCTCAACATAAAGGAGATGGCGGCCTCACTACTCTCCGCTACGGCGAAGTTGAACGATCTCCTTCTATCACGACAAGTTCATTCAACAATCTTCCCTTATGCTTGGTTACCAACTTTACACGCATTGCGAATCGCATTCATTCATACAAACTTAAAGGCAAAAGTCCAACAAGCACAAAAAGCCAATCAAAAGTCCGGATCATCTCCGCCTCCTGCTCCTACAACATTCGCATATGATCTTGCTGGCTTTTTAATCATGGCTTGGGGAGGTGGCTTCTTGGTGAATTTCATTCTAGGTCAAACACCAATGCAATTACTCAGCATTCATCCATTTTTGAATTACGCAGGCGTGTATGTTGTCATTTCAACATTGTCGCAATTCGTCAATTTACCAGCAATGAAAATGCTTGATACTGCATTCATCTTTCTTGATGGCTCGCTACGATCACATGCGGTTATCATGAGTGTGCTTACGACAAAAGCCAGTATCAACCCGGCTGTTCAAAACAGTCTATTTATTCAAATCTTATGCGGTACAATTGGCGCAACTGGAGGCGGGCAATTGGCTGGCATGCTCAGTGTCATCTCTCCTCAAGGCTGGTCATTCTCTACACCACCCTTCTTACGTGCGACAACATTAGTTGAAGTGATTGACATTATAGCAGCAAGTGTCTGTGCAACAGTTTTCGGAATTACCACATTATCACATCCCGCTTACTCGCCAGTCTTGGCAAGAGTGTACAACGACAACGGAAAGGCGCTTTTCACTCCAACAGGCGCAAGGGCAGCCTGTACGATCATCTTTGCTCTTGCTTTTGCTTATAGAGCAACCGTCTTACATTGGCTACCCGCTCCTTCTGCCGCACGTCCTATTGCAAAGGCAAAGATTGCATCTTCGGAAGGTGTCTCAAAATCTGCTATCGATTCGCCAAAGAGGAGTTCAAGTCCAGCAAAAAGACTACGTAATAAAGCTTAAAAGTTATATGTACAATATGCTATTGAACGCAAATATCATCAAAGTCTGTGGTAGGAATGCCGGCTTGAATCGAAGGCATTTCCGTTGCAGTCACGGAAAAGACTACAGGATATCCTGGACAAAATTTGACTAATCATGCTTTTTCTCAATTCTCCTGAGCATGGAAGAAAGCACAGGCCGTACAAATGGATGAAAGTCATCCACTTTATTTAGTGGTGGTTTAGCAGGTTTACATGGGAGAACTTGATTTTTAATTGCCTTTTCCCCTCTACCACTCCGATTTCGAATCTCCTGTCCGGGTTTGGAATAAAGCTTGCCTAGATCTTTCTTTAACATTTTACGACTTGCAATCGATTGCGAAACAATTGCATTACCTCCTTCGATCACAGATGTTTCATCCGCATGACTCCTTGTAGCCTGAAAGCTGAGACCGATAAGATGAGTAAAGGTGATGATTGAGATAATCCAATAAGCTGTAATGCAGTACATCGTCATCACACGAAGCTTCTTCGAATCTCGATCGTGATGGTATGAAAAGCCATCTTTCGAAACCGATCAACACAGTCATGTCATTTATAAGTACAACTAATCTGCACAGGCTGCCGGGGCAATCAACTTTTACGGATCAGGGCTACCTATCTGAATTAAGTGGAGATCGGAATGCTATTCTGGCTGAATGCACCTTTGTAACAGTATCCTCGGGGCTTGTCTTACTCTGTATTAAGCTCAACTGTCTGACAACTTCTGTTCACTTATCTCTTGAATGGCAAGGATCTAATAGAGGTTGAATGAGTGATAAGACAGAGCAATTACAGCTGGTTATAAACAAAGAGAATAGGCAAGAAAAATAACCCTCCTTAACAATCATTGAAAGGTCATTAGTCTAATAGTATAAATGAAAAGTATAACTTTTGTCCAGATTTGGAATAAAGCTTTTATTCCATCGAAATTGGTACACAGCCTTTTATTACGATTGACGCCGTTTCTACGAAGAGAGAATCTAATCAGCAGCTTCATAAATACCGATTTATCGAATGAAACTTGGCAAGACAAATCTATTTCGCCGCAACCGTTTTAGCACGACTTGTTATCGATATAAAATTATTTTCGCGGTTCATCTGGGCTTGCAATGTTTTGTCTAATCATCTCAGTCACATCAAATTGGGGGGGGGGGGGGGGTAAAAGGATAGGATTAAAGTTAAAGTGAGTGATAAGGTGGAGTATATATAAGCAGGCTTTAGGTATAAGGAGATGTCGAAGGTTTCCAGGAAGCGTGAAAAGCGTGAGTGGCGATGAAAGAGGCGGGAAAAGAATCCAAGCGAAGAAATTACGGTCGTTTGGATTGGTTCTAGAATCGATCTTAATGCACTGAGATTTCGTATCCTAGAAGATGTGGATCATGTTAGCCCAAGAATCCATGCTTGAACCACCAGCGAGCTCACCTTGCATGTGTTCACTAAGGATGTACATTTGTGAACTGTATCAACAGCAATTTCCAATCGGATTGGCTTTACCGCGTTTCTCAATAACGACCATGACGATGGCAAAGAAATAGATGACAAAAGTTTGAGTAGACATGTTTGAGAGATGAGGGTGTTGATGTTTCTTGGGGTACTTTGTGTTATAAGATAAATAATTGGGTGATGGAAAGTACTATTATTTCAAAGTCATATCGGTATTTATATTGTAGAGGTGTTCGCTAACATTCCAAATATAATTTTTCGTGTTTCGATGTCATCTGACCGCCAAGCTTGAAAACCTTTTTGTTCGTTTGTTCGAACATTCCTTACCGCTTATTACACCACAGCGCGACTGGTAAATCTCAGGCGTCTTTGAAGTTACATTTGTGTTTGCACATAAAGATTTGACAATCGTGGCTGGCTCATTCTTCCTTTTTTGCCTGCTCTAAGGCATGTTCTCCATTTGACTAAAGCAAGATAGATCAGAGAAAGTCAAGCACTACACCGTTTCCTTTCACACACATTCAAGGTCATGAGCCAGAGAAGGCATATTCGGCCTGGTACAATACCTTCAGACCAGATTTGTTTGTGTTTCGGGACGAAGCATGCCTTTAGTCACATGAGATCAAAACATTTATTATCTGGCTTGACGGGGCATTATGTCCGATCTAGATCCATCAGATACAAACAATTTTCCTTTCCTGCTTCGGTCCGTCAAGAGATAGGGGTCACTGTACAAAGTCTCAGAAGCAAAATGAGAACGAAAAGTCGGTATCCGCTAAATCTTCCGCTAGTCAAGTGAAGATTCCAATAAAAGTGCGACCTCAGATCAAGGCACTGCTGACAAATTTCTCGCACGGTACTCAGATAATGGTCATTAAGCTAAATGAAACATGTTGTGGCAACGCGATACAAGAATGATATTATAATATCCTCGTTTTATTCCTTTGTCTTCCTCCTAGTCGTCTTTCTCCTTAGGTGATATTCAATGAACTTTTTAACGCCATTTTGTTTTTGTTGGAGATTTTCTTCTCTTTTCAACAACAGTTCGACATCGAATTGGCTCTACTACGCTTTCCGATTGCGGCCATGGTTATGACAAAAAAGCAGATAATAATGGTTTTAGTTGACATTTTGAAGACGTAGAAAGTTCGAAGTTGTGACGTTTGCATTATGAGTTCAGTGATTTGGTGTTAGGAAAGGTGAACTTTTCAGAAACGCATAAAAGATCCTGTATACTTTTATAGTTGCTCTTTAGCATCTTCTTAAAGAGAAAATAATACGTCAGGCTGTCGCCTAACCGTCAAATCTAGACGCAGCTTCTGAGTATAGATTTATACTTAGCCTTAGACGCCATGCAATTTGTATGTTCAGCGCCTCAGATGTCAGGGCGATGTTGCTATCTTCAAATATTCAGAAAGTCTGGTACAAATTTACGCCAAGGAACACTGAGATTTCGCACATTACATGCCCCGACGTGAGGGAACTCGATTCAGTATGAAACTTCTGCCATCACAACTCCTGGCTATGGCTGTGTAATTTTGTGCGGAGTATTCTCACGGGCGCATCATGTGATTTTGCTACAAGAAAAGACATGAGAAAGGCTGCAACAGAATAGAATGGGATAATTCAAACAACTTAGCGCCCTCTTTCACGAAGCTCAAGGTCATGAGTCGATTAAGACCATTCTGTTCTGATCATGGCTGTGATTATGCCGTCAGAATCTTTTTAGACTCAATTTTCTATCCTTATCTCGGAAAGTGCCATTCCTTCGCTCACATGATGCACAGTAACGACTCTATTCTGACTTGATAGTTACTGGATCTGCTCAATCAAGATCTAAAGATGCAAAAAAAGTTTTTCATGTTCTCCGGTCCGTCGTGAGAAAGGGGTTTATACGATCATTCGGAAGCGTAATTTAGACTTTGAAAATTTTTGGACACCAGGTAGACCGGAAAAAGGGCAGCACTGTTGTCTAGCCAATGATATGGTATGCAAAGAGCGAGCAATTATTGGTCATTGCATTAAATTGATGCAAATGCGGCTGTACAATACAAAAATGGAACTTGTGATCATTGGTCCTTATCGCTTTCCTCTTACGTATCCTCATTATTAACGTCTTCTTCGTCATCGTAAGAGAAGATACAGGTATAGAACACAAGTGTTGAAATAAAGGGTGAGAGCAGAAATAAAGATTAGATAAAGTCTCGAAAAAGATCGATCTAAAAGTGGCAAGAGCTATTTAAGCACGCTGGTAAGGAAAAAGTAGCTCCATTTCTTTTTTATTATTAGAAGTAGACTTCATTTGAATCGATCAATTCGGTCTTGTAAAATGGTCATCATCTGCTCCAGGGACTTTTGGATTGCTCAGAATGCCCGATCCTAATTATCTTTACGTGAATGTCACTGGCTGTTGGATGTCTGACTATACCAAATCTTGCTAAGTTCTTTTCATGTTGTTCCGGCGTTTGCTTAATTTTTGTATATTGATGTTTTTTGAGATATGGATTATACTTTCCAACTTCGATGTAATGTTCCTTCTCTGCAGTAGGTGTTGGTGCACTAGTGTTCTTTATGCTAACATTACTACCTTTGGCTACGGGCAAAGGCTTTGAAGCATGTATAGCTGAAGCCTTGGATGGACCTGCTGTTGTTTCGCTTGCTGTATGAACTTGCTTTCCTTTAGCACTTTCACTTGAGTGGATACGAGCTGCAATCTTAGGATATACAGGAGCGCCACCGTTCTTCTCAGAAACCACTGTTGCCTGCTCACTAAGATTAATTCCTGCACCATGACTTTTAGGAGAACTTCGAGGTGAAGAAGCCGATGCGTGGTTCATGCCTGTTTCCTTTCCAGCTTGTACGTTTAAGCTGATCAAAGAAGATATCAAAGAAGCAATGAAAAAGTAGGAAAGGTTATTCATCTTAAAGAAAATCAAACTGAGTGTTGATGAGATGAAAGGGCAATTGATTGAAGAAAACTTCTTCTTTTTATACCTTTACGTTTCGTTTTCTACGTTGATAGTACACTTACTCTAATCCTACTTTATTGAATTGGATTTTACAGCCAAGACAAAGACTAGTGTAAAGGAACTCCAACATAAACGGGGCCTGCTATTTTAAACAAAGCATTGCCTTGTGCGGTGCTGTAAATTTCTCCCCATCGGTGTATCGTAAAAGCTATGAAGAGGTGTGGCAAACTACTTTAAAGGATGACCAACACAGGTCAAAACACTTCATAGTACATGCCCCGGAAAAGCAAATTTGAATATAAGGGTCGCTTCTTTCTGCCTTGACATCCTTCATTTTGTGCATACACAATGATCTGGCCCCGATGTGCTTTAAATGTAAGATTGGTCCGTTGTGAAAAGGGGCTCATACGATCAATCGGAAGCGGTAATTAGAACTATAGACTTCTAGACACTAAATAAAAGGCAGACTTTGATCAAGGCACTGCTGACGAAAAAACTCTTACGGTATGCGATGAGTGAGCAATCATTGGTCGTTGCATTAAATTAATGCAAATGCGGCTGTACAATGCAAGAATGGGACATGTGATCATTCGTCATCATCGTCTTCCTCTTCGGAATCGTATGATCCTTCATCGGAAGACTCTTCCGCTTCGAGGTCCAGTAGACCATTTTCATCTTCATCGTCGTCATCGTCCTCCTCCTCATCATCTTCATCATCATCTTCTTCGTCATCTTCCTCCTCTTCGTCATCGTCCTGAGCGTCAGATTCACTTTCGGACTCTGCTTCTACACGTTTGACCTTACTGGCTTTGCGATGAGCACCAGCTCCACCGAGTGCAATATCCTGAACGACACCTTCCTCTTCTGCTTGGATCGGAACATCGGCTTCATCGTCCACATCCATCTCTTCATCTTCCTCTTCGTCGTCTTCTTCGTCGGAGGATCCTTCGACCCACTGCTTAACACCATTCTGTTTTTGCGTTGCAGTTCCCTTCTTCCCTCTCTTTCTTCCACCACCAGCACCACCACTTCCAACTCTTGCCTGTTTCTGTTGAGCATATGCGTTACGCAATTCAATCTGACTTAGCACCAATTCCAGCCTTCCATTCAAGGCTAACAAGCGTTCTTGCGATGCTAGTCTAGATGTGAGTGTAGAGTGCAGTTGTGCCAAACGTTGAACAAGTGTAGGCAAAGACATCAAGTATGCCGTATGAGCAGTCAACGTTGCACGAACCCATTCAATGATTCCACGAGCACGAGCACTGCTCAATTGTCCAACACTCTTTTTTCCTCCTCTTGCCATCAATTCGATACAGTGTTCCAATAACCGTACTGCCAATGGCCCACTTAATCGTACAACACTCAATCTGATCACAGTGGGATCCGAATGAGCTAAGCATCCGGATAACATAGCAGAATCATTTGAATGCAAAGCTTGTGTCAATGTCTCTCCCAAAGATAGTGATCCTTCAGGTAAAGGTACGCGTGTGATAGGATTTCCTTCTCCATCTTCGTCCTCTTCTTGGTCCTCGTCATCATCGTCTGCAGCCAAAGTATTCGATCCATTTAATCCAGTAATTCCATTGGAAGAAGATCCGATCCCTTTTGACGATGTTCCTGCACTTGATCGTATTCCTCTTAATCTTTGTCCTAAAGTAGGTTCATCTAGATCTTGAACGTTTGCTTGCTCATCTTGCAAAGCATCAGTATCTTCCGGTCCAACAAACAAACCCGATCCTCCTGTGGTGATTGTGTTATGTTGTCCGGATTGATGTGATAGCCTTCTTCGAGAATCTTTATATCTTTGAACATTGGCTGAAGGTGCCGCTGTTTCAATATTTGTGGTATCATCTGCATTCACTGGAGCAGCTTTTACTTCTGCTCCATTTGCTTGACTTCTTCTTGGTTTTCTCGGCATTTTGTGATGAGACTGATGAATGGTGGTGACAACGGTTAACGGTATTTATGCTTCTTCTTCTCAATCCACTTTTTGAGAATTTTAGTGCTTCAAGAATTAAAAATTTAAAGAGACAATTTACACGTGCAATGTTGCTTACCTAACCAAAAGAACGCGTTTGACCTTTGACGCGTCTTTCATTCCGACGTGTAAATTGATCCAACGCGTTCAACGTGTTGGAGTGATAAATTGCACCCAATCGCGCGAAGGATGGGCACTGCGTCAGTGAAATTGAGAAACTGCAGAAATTCACCAAAAGAATGTACTCTTCGCCATGCATTCATATTCGCTTTTGATAACACTCTTCCATCATCTCAAAGATCGCAAACATGTCTACACCAAACAGACAGCCAACAAAAGATCATGCTATGGAGGAAGACGATGGTGCGGCTCGATCTGCTGTTGCTTCTTCTCCTTCAGCATTAGCATTTCCTTCGAGCAGTAGCAGCCCAAAAAGCGTGCAACCTCGTCGTCAACAACAATTACGTGCACCCCTTAGTGATGATCAAGGTGAGTTCCACGAGCACCCTGAAAATGTATTTCAAAAGATGCTGACCTCTCTCTCTCACCTATCCAGCAATGAACGGTTCTTCACCACTTCATTTCCCCACATCGTCCCCGTTGCAAACCCCTCGTGCTTCAGCTGCAAATCAACGTCGTCCCATGCCATCAAGTGGACTTCGCAGTGAAGGTATGCGCAGTGTAGCAACAGAAGATCAACCACTCTTCTTTCCAAGCAGCAGTTCTGCTACTTCTACCCCACGTACTACTCGTGGAGAAATTCGTCCAATGATGATCTCATCACCTTCTGCAATGCGTCGTAATCGTGCTGCTCAACGTCAAAGTCAAGTTGATCGTACATTGACTGGCGATGGAACGTCTACCGTTGGTCAACAATCAGATATTGGCTCACAAAGCGATTTGACATTATCTCAACAAGCACTTACCACCGATCCTACTGCACGCTCGGAAGGTGATAGTAGAGTGTTGTGGGGAACGCAAGTTTCTTTGGCAGAGACAATGACAGCTTTCAAAGACTTTTTGGAACAATTCCGAATGAAGTATCGCTGGGCAAGCTTACGTGCTCAAAACAAGCCTTTCGTTCGTGGTACAGCTGCTGAAGGTGAAGAATTGGTTTATGAAAAATACATGCATCAAATGCATCAAACTAATCAAACACTTCTCAACGTACGCATTTCCGATTTGGCATGCTTCGGTCCTTCAAAGAAGTTGTCTTACGATCTTGTCAAATATCCCAACGAAGTTGTTCCCATTATGGATAACGTGCTCAAAGACGTTCTGTTGGACATTGCCTACGAAAAGGATCGCGAGAATGGCGAACAAAAGAGTGAACAAATTGAAAAGAATATTTACAAGGTTCGCATTTATGGTTTGGAATCCATCAATATGCGTAACTTGAACCCGAACGATATCGATCAATTGATCACTGTTCGTGGATTAGTCATTCGCGCAACTCCAATGATTCCCGATATGAAGAAAGCCTTTTTCCGTTGTTTACGTTGCAACAACACTGTCACAAGCGAAATCGATAGAGGACGTATCGAAGAGCCAAGACGCTGCAGTCGAGCAAGCTGCGGTGCTTTAGGCACAATGAGTTTGATTCATAACCGTTGCGAATTTGCCGATCGTCAAATCATTCGTTTGCAAGAGACACCCGACGTTGTTCCTGATGGTCAAACACCTCATAGTGTCACCTTATGCGCATATGACGAATTGGTGGATATGTGCAAACCAGGTGATCGTGTTGAGATTACAGGTATTTTCCGTGGTCAACCTGTTCGTGTTCATCCTCGTCAACGTTCTCAAAAGAGTTTGTACAAGACATTTGTTGACGTGATCCATATGCGTCGTGGGGATGGTAACGGGCGTAGATTGGGCTTGGATTCTTCTACACGTACAGATGATGAGCATGTCGATGCTATGGGCGTCGGAGGCGATGATGATGAAACAGCAAACCAAGTGGATGTCAGTACGGTGGGCATCATTCCTTCACAAGATGGTGACTCGCAATCTTCACTCTCATTAGAGGAAAAGCTTGCTCAAATTGCCGATCGACCAGATGTATATGAGTTGTTGGCACGCAGTCTTGCACCAAGCATTTACGAAATGGAAGATGTGAAGAAAGGAATTTTGTTGCAATTATTTGGTGGAACAAACAAACAGATTGCGCTCAATGGAAATGCAAACAATCTTGCCAACTCCAATTCCAATAACAGCAACGCAGGCCCTCGTTACCGTGGTGATGTCAACGTTCTCATGGTTGGTGATCCAGGTACCAGTAAATCACAACTGTTGCAATACGTTCACAAGTTGGCACCAAGAGGTGTATATGCAAGTGGTAAAGGTAGTAGTGCAGTCGGTTTGACTGCTTACGTTACCCGTGACCCTGATACCAAACAATTGGTATTGGAAAGTGGTGCTTTGGTCTTGTCAGACGGAGGTGTTTGCTGTATTGATGAATTCGACAAGATGAACGATAGCACAAGAAGTGTGCTACACGAAGTTATGGAACAACAAACCGTTTCCATTGCCAAAGCCGGTATCATCACTACATTAAATGCACGTACTTCTGTCTTGGCTGCAGCAAATCCGGTAGGAAGCAAGTACAATGTTCGTTTGCCAATCACCAAGAATATCGATTTGCCTCCAACTTTGATTTCTCGTTTCGATTTGGTGTACTTGGTTTTGGACAAAGTTGATGAAAGCGCTGATAGAAGATTGGCCCGTCACTTGGTTGGATTGTACATTCAAGACGATGCAGCTTCCAAGAAGAAGACCAGTGCCCGGGATATGCTACAACAACAGACTTTGACAGCCTACATCAGCTATGCACGCAATAACATTCATCCAAAGATCACAGCTGAAGCAGGAGAAGCATTGGCACGACACTATGTTTCTCTACGTAAAGCAGGATCAGATGGAGGAGTGGCAGCATCAGAAAAGCGTATCACTGCTACCACACGTCAATTGGAAAGCGGTATTCGTTTAAGCGAAGCTCATGCACGCATGCGATTACGCAAAGAAGTCTTGGTTGAAGATGTTGAAGAAGCATTCCGATTGATTCGTGAAGCTGCAAAATCATCTGCAACCGATCCAACAACCGGTTTGATCGATTTGGATTTGATCAATACTGGAAGAGGCGCACAACAACGCCGAATGGCAGGTGATCTACAAAAGCAAGTACAAAAGTTGGTTGATGACAATAGTACGAATGCATTAGGTGGCATTCGTTACAATGATTTGGTCAAAAAACTAGCAGATCAATCTTCCATTGCCGTAGATGCTACAGAACTTTGGGATCTTTTGCAATCTCTTGAAAATTCGGGTATGATTCGTATGTCCGGTCATGGCGATAAGCGAATCATTCGTAGAAACTTCACTGGAGCTGCAGCTCCTCTTGCACAACCTGCTCAAACCGCAATCGCTGTGTGATGGTTGTTGTCTGGTGCAGTTTCCATTCTTTTCTCTTTTATTCGGGCCTTTGTTTTGTTATCTTCTTTTCTCTGCCCAGCATCTCTTTATTCTCTTGTTATGTTTTTGCCTTGTAATCGCAGTCGTCTTGATGAGAAATTATATACAGTTCATTATGATTGGGAGAGGGAGTACGTCGCTTATCACGCTCAATGAACTCCTTGGCAAGAAGGTAGCTTTGCCAGCAGCGGAAATAAATAACAACAAAGTGTCTTAGCTTCTACGAGCTCGCAAAATTAAACGATTGAAATAAAAATTCATACGTAGAAAGAAGAAGAAGAAGAAAGAGAAAGTCAACCAGAGAAGAACAACGAAGAGGACAACAACAGGAGAAAAGAAGAACAAGACGGTAATAGGAGCAGAAATAGAACGAATGATGAAGCCTACTTCTAATCAAAGCAGCTCTACCAAGAGTATCGTAAAAGTAAAGTCGTAATAATGAGATGACATCCTACTACTCAAAGTGTCTGCCATGGCGTGGGCGATAAATATCCTTCTTTGGCTCCTCTTGCCCTTTGCGACCAGTAGGACAAGATGGTTTTCCCTTCGTCTTAGCGGCAGAAGAATCAGCACGATATTGACGAGCATCCTTGTCACTCGAGTCATAAATATTTAACCCATGCATGTGTTGCGGAGTGGTAGGCGATTGGCCGACCTTTTTTGTGATCGCAAGGGTTGAGCGTGGCGCTGACATAGATACGGAAGAAGAAGCATCACCATTTTCGCCAACGGCAGCTTGTATACTCATATTGAGTAAAGAAGCGATAAAGACAAAGAGTGAAATGATAGCGCGAGTAGAAGGCATCTTGAAGACTTTCTTAATTGATAAGTTGGTGAAGAGAAGGCAGGAAAAGGAAAGAAAAATCAACCCTTTTCTATCTCTTTACCACTGATTCTTCCATGAGAAGTGTAAATGTTTTGAAGAGACGTATTAGCAAAAATTTAAGATCGGGGCAGTCTACATTACCTTGAATTCGTCAGAGATGGATAGTCATGCTATTGTGATCACATTACATTCTATGTGGGCACAGCCGTGTACGCCTTATTGCTTACAGCAATTGCACTTTGTCCATGGTGTTTAAAGAGATTTAAACCTACAATTAGAAAATCTCGGGTCTTCATCAAGTATTTTAGTCTTTGCTGGCTGTGTATGCTATACTGTTCATGGCAGTGGCAGTTTGTTCGTGGTATACAAAACGGGGAAACACTAAATAATATGACAACGGACTTATGTCTAACGCCAATAAATCAATACACCACTTCGGGTCTTTAATAGAAACATCAGGCCTCGTTCAAGTATAAAAGAATCACTATTCATTAGTACTAAAATCCTTATCCGCTTTAAGTGTCAGACGATTCTAAGACCGCTTTGACCAACTCAGGTATCCTTTACGAATATCATAGGCACTCACACTTTTCCTTTTTGAAGAGTTGGGAATTATAGTAATCGATAGGGTATATCGATTTGATCATACTTTTTACCTTTTTTATAAACCAGTCTAAGCCCCATTCTTAGCTGTTTGACCTTCAATAGCACCGCTACGAGTCTAAGTGTGATTTCCAGGGTGTGTACGATAGCAATGATTTGACTTGAATAGGTCATCCTTCGAGTACTTTGCCAAGCCTCGTTTCACAGCTTATACAATACGCCGACGGGTGAAGCTACAACACCGCATATGGCAACACTTTGTTTAAACAGGATGCCCCTTTGATTATTTTCAAGCTCCTTCACACCTGTTTTTGTCTAGGCTGTAAAATTCGACTCAGTATGATATTTTCAAAGGGAAAACATTACCGCTGTAAAGAAGGTAACCTAAAGGTATAAAAAGAGGAAATTTTCGTCACTAATTTTTTCTCTCTCCTCATCAACACTCACTTTGATATCATTCAAGATGAAGAACCTTTCCTACTTCTTCGTTGCTTCTTTCATGTTTTCTTTAATCAGCTTGACCCTGCAAGCTGGGGTGGAAACAGGCGTGAATCACGTAGCGGCTTCTTCACCTCCAAGTTCTCCTAAAAGTCATGGTAAAGGAATCAATGTCAATGAACAACATGTAAGTAGTGGTATGACCTCCAATCCAAAGGTTTCAGCCCGTATGATCGCACAAGAGAGCTCTTATGATAAAAAGAAGGCAGTTTTGAATCCTGATTCAGAAGCATTCGACGCGAGAACAGCTGAATCACATCATAAGGTTCGTCAACGTCGCTTGATCAATAAAGTTCGCCATATGTAGATTATGATAGGAAGGCTTATAGTTCATGGTGACTCTCGGAACACATGCAGACTTTTCAAGTTCATATTGTGTTAAAGCCTTTTTAGCCGTACATACTTTTTTACGAGCTACTTTCCTTGTTTATGATTTCCTCCTCCTTTTGATGATCACTTCGATTCTTTATAGTTCATCTCTTGTCATTGTACCATCTACCAGTTTTGATATTCCGTATTCACGTTGTCCCCCTCTTGAAGTCTATCATCCTTTACAATTCAATTTAGAGACTGAAAGTCATCGGATTTTGCTATAGTTTCAATTAATAACACAATTCTAAAAGATGATAAATAGTCTCCGATTCAGGGCAGAAATTTAGCTGTCAACGTATTTAGCAGTATTTCATCACACCTTATCAATGCTTCATTCTCGATGATGAACCCATGACATAATTTGAATACTGTTTAAACAACCTTTCTTTCACGAAACGGTATCTTTAGGCTAAGTTCAAAATATATAAGTATAGAAAGGAATGATCAATGGAACAGAATAATGGAGAATCGCTTGAATCTTTGCACAGGAGAAAGAAGGCCACTTAGGGTTAGGATATAATCCTAACCCTAAGTGGGTTTTATACAAATACAATACAAGATCGTCATGTAGCCTTGTACCAGATACAATTCGTTTCAATGGAACAGAATAATATTTCAGATTAAAATGAAGGTTCGAAACTATAACCACGGATATCTATTCAACGCTCTTAGTGAGATCATTGTGATAGATACAACTTCGGACAGATCGTAGCAACAAGAGTGCTACTCAACAAATTTGCTCCTGATGGACCGCAGCAGTCCCGTCCGAAGCGAAGCTGTGCAATGTCGTTGCCAAGCTTGCCCCGATCTTGTGGAATGCAAAGCATGCGATGGAATTTTAACAATAGCTAAGCAATCGAAAAGAAGCCGCGAAGCAATCCTAGAGGCAATCCACCAGTAAAATACAGAGATCAATGTACGTTTTAGTCATGAAAGCTGACAAACTTTGCATCACTCTACGGAATATAAAACTGGCAACGCAAATCCACGTCCCGGTGCTATGCTAGTTCCACCTCCTGCACATCTCAGCTAAACGCAATTGTGTCTCTTAATCTTTGCAATTGTCTATGCAGCTGGTGTAAAGGAGGTACATTGTGATAGGATTTGTATTTCTCGGGGAGGTATAGCTGTAAAGACTGAAACTATTGAGTACACATCAACTCCCTGAATCAACTTTTGCTTTCGATTGTATAGAATAAAAGCAGTATATCCGATAGGATCTTTCGTCTCCTCCCCAACAAGCAAGCGATTTGACCTATCAAGGGATTTCAAGCCATGAATATTCGTACATACTCTTCAATCGTGATCCTCTTCACTGCCTTTATCAGCTTGAGCTTACAGGTCTCTTCCAATGATGGAAGTACGTCCCCGAGCCATCAAGCATCGGTGAATCCATCCGAGTCTTCTCATTCGCCAAAGCGATCACCTGAACATGCGATAGGTATTTCACCCTCAGTCAAAGGATCGCATATCGATACAGCAAGCAAAGCACCCGCAGGTCCATCAAAGGGAACTAAACGCACTCCAAGTGCACATCCTCAGGTATCAACCAAACGAGTGAAAGAACGTTTTGCTGAAGAAACAAAATTTAATCCATATACTGACGGATATCAAACTAAAATAATAAAGTATACTGCCCCAAAGCATGATGTGTCTCTAGACAAGTTCAATAAAGCCAAAAAAGAAGCAAGACAAAAAGCCAAGGACGACTACAAAAGAAGACTCAGAAGTTCTGATCCCGATCAATATAGACGCCAACGAGGCTACTGATCATGCATATACAAAGCCGATTTGATTGATGCAGACTGCTTCAGTATCTAGTACAATCAAGAAAAGGGTTTCTTTTCTGTCTTCTTTCTCACGTCTTCTTTCTCATGTCTTCTTTCTCACGTCTTCTTCCTCACGTCCTCTTTCTCCATCTTATTTTGTTCACGTCGGTACTACTTACCATTCTCGACTCTACCGAGTGTACCTTGCCAATGTACCCATCCTATCCTTCTAAAGCTTATAACATTCACCCCAATTGATGATCATGAACAGAATTGATGAAATTTCGTGAAAAATATGCTGAATAAGGTGACTATTGAAATGCTGAAAAAGTGAAGGGTAGACAACAAGGGGAAAATCAGAGAAAGGTAATGATGATGATGCTATGAGAATATACAAAAGATAAAATCGAGAAAGATCTGGAAAAGAGAAATCATTAGAGTCTGAATATAAAACATTATGTGTACCGTTGCTGCTTGTGTGTGTGAGTATGTTTGTGCTTTGATGAGTGACACGAATAAAAAATATACAGATTGTGTGACCAGAAGGAAAAAACCAAAAGAAAAAGAAAAGGAGGTTGTGAATTAGGGGATCGCTGTCCCACTAATTGACCATGTAACGTTGATTAAGTTCGCTCAACAATTTGCAGAAACAGCCATGGGTCAATTTGGCTGAACGATGGTCCAATCGAGTAAGCGATCCAGAATTGAATGGCTTTTCAGCAACGTTACGAACTTGGAAACCATAAACGGATCCTGCACCCGCACCGATATCCACCTTTAAATCTTCATCAAAGAAGATGCTTTGACGAGAAGTTAGGTTTAAAAGCGAAGGATGTTGTTCAAGTTGTACTGGTTCAGATGCAGAACGGAAGCTGAATTTACGACTGAAATCTTGATCATGGCTCATATCCCCAGAAGAAAGCGAAAGAGCTGCCAAAGAGAATGCATCATCCGCATCGTTCATCATTTCATCATCATCATGGCTGGCAGGAAGGTGGTGGGCGATTGCGCGATTTGGCGAATTTGCTCTTTGACGCTTGAGTTTTGTTAGATGTGCTTCAAATCCACGTAATTCCCAAACGAATAGTAAGGTTGGTTGAGTCAAGACGTTCATTCTTCTGCTACGAACAAGCAAGAAACTTTCAATCATGCTCAGATCGCAATGGGCCATCGCATAAGCAATGCAAACAGTTGCGCTTCTGCTTACGCCAACACGACAATGGACCAACACCTTTCCGCCTTCCAATCGAGCTTGCTCAATGAATTCAACAGCACGATTTAAATGTGGACGTAAAGAATCGATACCATCATCCGAAACACCTTTCAGATCCAACACCTTGATGCGACCCATGCGTTCTTCTTCCCATAAAGTCTTGTGCTCCTGGCCAGTACCACCACTGCGGCGTTTTGATGTTCGAAGTGTGTTGGACGCCATACGGTTGCTGATAGAAGATGTAGATGAAGAATTACGTTTGTGCGCCTTTGCTGCATTTTCCAAATTCTCCTCCAATGAAGGCGGGATGAGCGCACTTTCTCCGACAGAAACTACATGTGTGATGCCCAATGCATGCAACATACCCGGATTCATCGCATGGGACAGATTGCCAAGATATAAGAATGGCAAAATACGCGAAGGGAATGAACCTTGAAAGTGTGGATTTGTGAACCAGGAATGATCTTTACGGATTTCACGGTGTGGTGATTGAGGCGTAGGTGTACTACGACGTGGAGTTGGCGTTGTGGTTCTTGTCATCTCTGTACTGCGTTTGCCATGAGAACCTTGACCGGCCAAAGCATTTCCACCAGTCATCAAACCTGTTGCAGCAGCCAAACCACGTGCCCAAACGCTTTGTTCCAACACGCTTGCAGCCGTTTCGGATTGATCACGTCGATGAGCGATCACACCATTGCTTGCTTTACGAGATGATTGACGTTCTTCAGAGTAACCCCATGAATTGCGTTGTTTTTCTGCAGCTGCAGCTTTGGCGTGATGCTCCATTGCAGCAAATCGTTTTTCCAATTTTTGCAAGAATGGCACATCACGCGCATACACGAAGAAGCAGCGATTGCATCGAGTTTGTAGATCCAAATATGCCTCTGCCAATGTCAAATTGCGAGCATACATCAGATATGCCAGACCCAAGATAGATGAATCTGTATACCCATCGCTGCAATGCAAGAGAATTCTTCTTGGCATCTGTTGTTGATGTCTTTCACCATTGGCATATGTGCCTTGACGTGGTCGCCAGAAAGAAGAAGATGGTGATGGACTCTTTGTTGGTGGCATGGCTTGCTTGTAGATCCAACTGATCATGTTGACTACGTCATCAATCGCATCTTGTTCTGCGTCTTCATCTTCAAATGCTGATCCAGATCCCAATCCGCGCAGGTGAACAATGTTTGATGGTGCTGGACACAAGACTTGCTGTTGTCGTTGCTGCTGTGAGTCGCGCTTGCGGGATTCTGAACGTGCTTGAGCTGGGTTCCAACCTGTGGGCCCAAGTGAAGGTCGTTCTGCGTCTTCACCATCATCGCTGTCTCCATTGAACTCACTCAAGTCGTGCAATGTAGACGCTTCGAATGCATCAAGGTAGTAAGACGCATGTGCCAATCGACTTTGGCTTGGCAATTCACCATGCTCAGCAGTTTCAATGCAGACGGAGAATGCATGTGGATTGACTTCATGTGGCAAGTAGGAATCCAACGAGAGAGATGAGCCTTCGTATTCGTCCACGGCGAAAGGCACATTGGCAGTGCAACCCATAAATACGTTTTCATCAATCTCGGATGCTTCTGTGAATCGTTGCATTTCTTCCCTTTCCCGATCGACAAAGTCAACTCGTTGACGCGAAAAGCCGCTTCCGTCAACAGAAACGAGATGAGGATATTGACGCTCGAATACATCGAATGAATCAGTGATGACAAAAACATTATAGCGAAGGCTACCGAGGCCACGTTCGATGCGATCTTGATAGCAAGTCTCTTGTGCTTGACGAATCCAATTGGCAAAGTTCAGAGCACCTTCATGTAATCCTGCCGGGCAATAGACGACGATATCCGAAATCGTGGCATACTTTGCGCATTGTGTTTTGAAGTTTCGCAAAGAGATTCCATCGGCTTGGCGAGGACGCATGAAGGTTGCTCCCTTTACGATACATCTTTCATCCTGGATCACTTGGCATTGACGTGCAACGTCCAAGCTATTGCTAACCAAATTAGCAACCAAAGGAGGATTGATAATGTCATTTGGATAAACTGAAGAAGCCAAAAAGCTATGTCCAGGCTGTGCTTCAACGATCGGTGGAGATCGGCTGCATACGTTTGATGCACCGGAATTGCGTAAAGAACGCTTTCGCTGGCGATGTTCGCGCGCATGATTGGCAGCTGCTTCTGTGGCCTTGTAAGAATCCGAGTCCACTTGCGTATTCATCGTCACTTCACTTCCTGCAAATGAGAACAGTGAAGATGCATGCGATTCAGAAGCGGCTGATGAGCCAGACGAAGTCGAATTAGATGCAGGAATGGATGATTGATGATCGATCAATGCCAAATCATCTTCCAAATCGAAATCGTCATCTTCATCGCTGCTGGTGCTATCTGCGCTGAAGTTTGAGCTGATCAATGATCCTGCACGCGAACGATGATTCTGTTGAGAAGACATCATAGAGAGCTTTGAAGCGGATGATGATGTTCGCTTTCGTTGTTGAGGCATATCTGCTCGAACGATTGTCAAGCCGCGATAAAGAGGAGTAGGTTGACCAGTCATAGGAGCACGAAAGAATGCGCATTGAGCTTGATTATCTCCATCGACTCCATGCAAAAAAGGAAAGACGACAGAATGAGGAACGTCCAATTCAACGTATTGTCGTTGTAATTCTTCAAATTGACCAGCACTCATTGCGCGAATGGGAGGAGGATTGCTAGTAGATTGATCTTGTTCATCATCATACTGTCCATCCAGAATAGGATACTTCTCGATATCTGAATGATGTAATCCCCATTCTATCCCATTATTGTTTTGCAATCTATTGTCATCATCATCGGTTGTGAACGGATGTGGTGAAGAGGCTCTATCCGTGGTGCATGATCCGAACAAGCTATCATGTTCAGAGTCATGAATTTGAGGTGCACTACTGGATAATGTTGGTGTCTTGTCAGGCTGCACGTCTACTGAAACAATTGTTGATGTTTGGGCACCTGATCTCGATGCCAAAGGGTGCAAGGCAACGGAAGCCATCGTAATGAACGAAAGTCAAGAAGATGGTGGTGGTTGCTGAAACAGGAAGTCGACAGTATAATGAATTATTGCGTTACTATTTTTGCAGTGCTGTCAAAATTTTTGTCCTTAGATCAGGGCACAGTCTGAACAATTGAAGCAAGATCAATCTCCCCTTTGTGTCAGTCGCCCCAGACGAGTGTGATTGTATGCGACCCCCTACGGGAAATTAAGAGAGAGTTGTAAAGAGGAAAAAAAAGACTTTTTCGCCCCGTAATGGAAACACAGGAGAAGAAACGTGTTTGAATGAAACGATGCTCCACACTAATCGCGGCTTCCGTCGTTGTTGGAAATGTACGGAATGAAGTAGAAATGATTGATTGTTTGTTTATCCTTTTTATTGTTGAATATCAATTTTGTTTTTCATTCAACTTTAGTCAATCACAATAAAACGCTAGGTTGAAGAATTAGAATGATCCTTTTGAAAAGTCCCCTGATCCAGAGCACAGAAGATCCTTTCAGTGTGCCACACACTACACTCCTTTGAGAGCGAACGGATCGCTGTTATGCAGATAATTTCGGACAATCAATCGACAAAAGCACCACGACGCCCAGTTGAAGGCCAAAGCGTATTTTGATTTGGCGCGCTTGAATGAAATTTAAGAGGGTGGTGTTGCTGAGGCTGTCCAAGCACTGTGTAGTAAGGCTTTTGATTGATTGTTATACGTAATTACGGAGGTCGTAGCGGAAGCGAAGATTAATTTGAGAGACAGAGATATGAGTACCTGCTATGCTCCTCACGCGACCGGGGTACTGTTCCTTTATCACAAGTAAGATGCCGAACGTTGACGGTGCCTTTTCGATTATTGCAAGACGCTAATTGAATGCTCGATCGTTACTGATTGATTAGAGTTTGTGCTGATTCTTACTATCAAATACAGGGTCGTGTTTTTTTTCGTTTGACCGGAGCTGGATTGATTAATTTCGGAGAAATGAATCTATTTTGAGAAACGTAATCGATTTTACGGGTGAAGAATGAAGTCGAGAGGAAGAATGAGAAGAGGTGGTCGTTATAAATGCTTTTTGTTCTCTTTCGAAATAATACAGTTGACAAGAAGAGAGAGAAAGATGAAGTGAGGAGAATGAAAGTGATATTCATCAAATCGTATTGCTCTTAGGACGGCAGACTTTATCCATCGAATGCACTTTCTCAGTCCAACACTTGCAAGGTACAGACAAACGGCCAATCGATCGAACAAGAATTTGACATTTAAGTGTTGGTTTTTTTGGTAAACACTGCCTTTGTGCCGGATTGATTGTTATGCAGGATAACGCAAATGTGCGCTAGTGATCTAATCCCCATTCCACAATTGCCAATGCGGCTGACATTTGAACGCGTTCAACTGCAGTGTAAAAAGCAAAGCAAAAATAAAAAGCCAGAAGCTTACTTGCATTGTCCCGAAAATAATGCGTAAGGCGAATTACTGACTTGAAGCACTTTACCTCTGTTAAATCACACTTTCCCAGGCTCTAGCGGCAATTACATCAATTCATCCGTTTTAATCATTTCATCCTCCGCCTCGTTGATCAAAAGGGTGCCTGTCAAGGTGATCGTACCTGATCTTATCATATAATATTAATCTCATCAAAGTATATGGCCGATCTGAACAATCAAACAAGGCATAATTCTGCCGAATCTTTACACTGCTTTTCGAGTATGTCTTCTTTGTCTATTTTTAATCCTGACATTGTTGCAAATAATGCGGGAAGGAGAAAGTGATGTGCCTCTCTGTAATTCCATGCAAGATTCAGTAACGGGCGCGTTTGATTGTATGTCGATTTGCCTGAGCGGTGTGCAGTAAAATGCATCAGATACTCGGCGCGGCGCTGTGCAGGGTAGGGCAAAGTAGCCTTTTCTTTTTTTGATTAAACTTTAACTTTTTATTTTTCTATGCATCGGAGCCAGGAGGTTGAATCAAGTAGCCCCTACTTTTTTATGCTTAGGATGCTTTTATCGTTGCCATTTTTGGCATACGGAATTGATCTTCCATAAAATCGGCAACTATCACACACAAAGATGATTGTTCTCACTCTTGCCGGACGAGATTATTGTTATAGGAGGTCATCACTTCTGGCTGATTGTAGTTGCCATAAAGACACAGCCTAGAAAGTCATCGTCGTCATCATAACGGCTCTTCGGCCATGGAATAACGGCTTGCACGGCCCTTGAATGAATTGACCTCTTGCTTGGCATTGGATGTTAATTGATTGTGAAAGCTTTGAAATCCAACTTAGGGTTAGGATATAATCCTATATATCCTAACCCTAAGTTGGCTGGCCAGGTGAACAACAGGGAGCAAAAAGCCTCCGACGTGGCTTTTCTGGCTGGTTGGCTGGTTATTTAGTGTTATTTTTTAATTAACGCTAAATTGATCATTAGCGTTCATGAACCTGAGTGATGGAAGCCTTTTTTTGTAAGGAACATGGCTTATAGGAATCTTACCCGGCATCTCTGCGTGCGCATGCGGCTAGACAAGTCACACTAGCCGCATGCGTGTAAATGCAATTGGCAAGAATAACGGCAGCTCCCTGCATACGTCATGAGGTGAACAAATTATATAAGCAAAACAACCATTCAATGTTTAAGGCTTCCTGTTGACTTCTTTTCAATTCCAGTATAATGTTCGGCAAATTGACGATGGGCTTCTTTGATGTAATAATTCTCTTTCTTCCTGTAAAACTGACGTCAATTTTGATAAAGACCCGAAAGGCTGTATCGTTTTGATGGCGTACGCAGAGGCGTGCGCATGATCAAAAATCAGCAAAAGTAACAAACGTATTCAAAAGAGAACAGCTCGTTGTGACATGTACTGTTTGCATATCGTGAAAATCATCACTTCCACCCAGAATATAGCGTATATGGCATTGGCTATTCGGACTTTTCATGATCGCTAGAACAGATTTGTATGATGGTCATGGTGAAAATTTCATATGTTCGTGGAGAAAGTGATCTATAATGAAAGTATACAAATTGTATTTTTCAGCTCTTCCGACCCTATTCTCTTTATTAAATTATCCGTTTAGCAAGTCTTCAGTATGTCTTCTACTCGCGCTATCCCGTTTCTTTGTTTTATCTTTGATCAAAAAGGTCTTAGAGTATATATTTTGACGGGATAAGGAAAATATATGATGAAGATTCTATAGAGTCGAAGCTGGTAGATGAAAAAAAATATAGATGTAAAGAGGGGAAAAGAGGAAGTGCAATTAAATAAAGAAAAAAGACGGAAAACAAAACAGGAAAAGAAAGAAAGAGCTTGAAGAGCCGCCCGATCAAGAGAGCAAAGAGAGCTGGCTTAACTTGTTTTTAATCGTAGAAGATAGAATATAGAAGCAGTCTACATCAATCAGATATACTTTGTTTATATACCATCAGTTGTGTCTCTTAGATCGACTTTATTTCCCGGGATCTAAACTTGTAACTTTCTTTACGTGGTCTTTCTTGGCTCTGACTCTATCAAACCTTCTTTTCCACTCCCTATGCTGCTTCGGCGTTTGCTTAATCATAGTAGATTGATGTTTTTTAAGGTATGGATTATATCTGTATTCTTCGATATAATGTTCCTTTTCTGGCTTGGTTGATGGTCGACGAAATTTCTTTGGTTTCGTTGATAGCCGACGAGATTCACTGGCTTTCATTGTGTCACCATTCTTATCACCTTCGGCTACCGGCAAAGTCGGCGAAGTACGTTCAATTGAAGAATGATCATGCTGCGTGTCGCTTGCTCTATAGACTTTCGGTACTTTAGCTGAGGGTGAAGCACCTAAGATAGGTTCGGATAAGCGACTAAGCGAAGGAGAAGCCTCAGATAGACTTTCTGATGGCTGATAGGATAGAGATACCTTTCCTCTATAAGTTTTGACTTGCAAGCTCAAGTTGACAAAGGCAGTGAAGAAGATCACAATTGAGGAGTAAGCGAGGATACTCATGGCTGGAAATTTCCTGGCGGGTTGAAATCACTTGTATGTTGGGGGGAGGAAAAATCTTGTTAGATGAACTGTTTATATACCATGTATTCGAAATCGGAATTTTGTTCAGGCAGTTCATGTATACTTAATAACTTACATCTTCATAGCCATTTCTCCCCGAAAAATGCAAATCCTAACGCATAGCACTGCATTTACACAAGCTGCATACATGATTGTAAAGATCAAGAGATATAATTACGCTCAATTTGAGGTACGTAGGAGGTGGTAACAGCATAGTATCGGGACGTAAATTTGCGTTTCCAGCTTCGTGTTTCGCTAAATGACACCAATTCTGTCAGCTTCTATGACTAAAATATACATTGTGTCTCTGCATATCACTATTGGATTGCCCCATGACCTTTGCCATTCATCAATTCTGTTCATGATCATCAATAGGGGTGAATGTCATAAGAATTTAGAAGGATAGGGTGGATACATGACATATAATCAATATAGTCGAGAATGGTGAGTAGTACCGAAGTGGACAAAATAAGTTGAAGAAAGAGGACGTGAGAAAGAAGACAAAAAAGAAACGGAAGAAAAGAAAGGCTTGAAAAGGCGCCTGATCAACATAGCGAAGAATGCTGGCTTTACCTTTTCTTGATTGTAGTAGATACAGAACTAGTCTGCATCAATCAAATTGGCTTTGTATTTCCATAATCAGTGTCGGCGTCTAGAATAACTGGGTTCACGACTTGTATAATAACTGGGATCACGATTTGTAACTCTTCCTATGTGGTCTTGCCTGGCTTTTTTTCTTTTTGCGACTTCGTTTGCTCCTGAACCAGAATTCAAGTCTGCCTTCTTTTTATCATGAGAGCTCTCTTGTGTATGTATATGCATTGAGGCCTTTGGATTGGAAGTCATACCACCACTCACTTGTTCATTAACATTGATTCCTTTACCATGACTTTTAGGAGGAGTTTTGGGAGAACTTGGAGGTGAGGATGCCGCTAAGTGATTCACGCCTGTTTCCACCCCAGCTTGCAAGGTCAAGCTGAACAAAGAAGACATTAGAGAAGCAATGAAAAAGTAGGAAAGGTTCTTCATCTAGAAACAAACCAAAATGAGTGTTAATGAGGAGAGAGAAAATCTTTGTAACGAAAATTTCCTCGTTTTATACCTTTAGGTTACCTTCTTTACAGCTGTAATCTTTCTCCCTTTGAAACTATCATATAGAGTCGAATTTTACAGCCTAGACACAGGCAGGTTTGAAGGAGCTTGAACATAATTAAAGGGGCGTCCTGTTCTAACAAAGTGTTGCTATGTGCGGTGTTGTACTTTCACCCGTCAGCGTATCGTAAAAGCTGTGAAACGAGGTTTGGCAAGTTCTTGAAGAGTGATGAATTCAAGTCAAAATATCTTCAGCATATACGGCCCGGAAAGCACACCTGGGCTTTTATCAGCTCGAGTCGTTTTTTCTTATGTATTTGTAACCGCAATCCGGTGTCAACACAATGGTCTAGCCCTGAAGCTCACTGGGAAAGGAAATTCAACCACTCCCCTTCGATATGCTTATCAGTTATAGCAAATAGAATGATGGTCTCTGGTTTCTATTATTAGCTTACTTAGAATAAGTGTATCGTTATACTAAAAGTACACACTCTTTTTCCCTCTTTACATTACACGTTTCTTTTGATTCTTGAATCTTGCTCTAAAGAAGGCAATGCCAGATGCTGTGCTGTAAATCGAACCGATTGGTGTACTATTATAGCGTTGAAATGAAACGTTCAGTACGTTGCATATTGCAAATGGACGAGTCAGTGCGAGTCAAAGATATCCTCTGATGTACAAATGTTCCGGAAGTCACTTTTCAGGACAAGTTTTAAACCCTCGCATCCTCAAACTAACCCTACACCGGATCATGTGGCCCCGATACTTTGCTGAGAAAAGTTAAAAAGAATTTATGTTCCCCTACTCTAATCCCACAAGTCGATTCAAGCAAAGGGTGACTCCAATATACACATAATTATGATTGTGCTTTATTAAGATTGAATGTATCTCGTAAAATTTACTGAGTAACACATGAAACATGTCAAATGAGGAAAACATTCAAAGGCATAAAAGAAAGAAGGGCCAATTATCAAGAAACAGAAACATCTATAGAGCAGCTATTTAGGCATACACCGCTATTTTGATGGCTAATTCAATTACCCGGTCGTGCATAGGGACTTAGACCATGTTGTTTCTCCAGACGGATCTTGCCTAGACGCTTTAGTTTACGAACAGGAGCCTTTCCCGATGATTTTAAACGGGTGGCTTGTTGATAGAAATGATCAACTTCATTCTTGTTACCACTCTCTTTAGGTATTAATTGCTTGTGCTTCGGAGAAATAGACATCGAGGAAAACTTCTCCAGCATTGTATTTGTTGAATGTGTAGCTGAAGAAGATTGCAAATTCTCAGCAGAATGCGTGTCTTTTGGTAAGGTTGGCAGCGTTTCTACCTTCCCGTCAGTGGCAATTTGAATACTGCTGCCAATATTTGAAGCAATAAAGACGAGGATAAATGATAAAGCTGGAACGAACATCTTAGAGCTTACAGAGTATATGTTCTATGTTAAAGCGTGTATGAAGTTTAAGTTACTTTTTCGTATCAGTTAAGTGATATATATGTCTACATTAGTGGACGTTGCATACGGCAGGACTTGACAAAATTTACGTTCCGGGGCATGTTTAAGTCGCATTTGGTGCTGATACACATAAGTGCATGTTGAAGAGCTTGAAGTTTGTATACGAATTGGCGAACCTCACGGTACTATCGTTAGTTGCGAGTGAAGCAGCGGTGCCTTAGCGTGTGGCTGACCTGATAAAAAGCAGTACATACACAAAAGAATGAGAACTTACAAACTACCATCATCCTTTTAGGTTTTGTAGACGCCGGCTAAGATGGTTTTACTCCACAAGACTTTCTTGTCATTATTTTCAGTCTATTTTCTCAATTTGTTCTTGACAGATGGAGCTCCAGTCAGTTATGAGAACAGCCCAGGCGTAGGTGATTTGCCACCAAAGGCTCATACAAGGAAGGTTCAACCTGACAGCAAAAGAATCGGTGCAATGGTAGGTAATACAGTTGCCGAACCAGAGAAGCCAACCCACACGTCCAGGATCAAGGGAAGTGGCATCGGTGGTAAAAAAGTGACACTCAATAGCCGCCCTTTCATTCCAACACATTCTTCAAACAAGCGAAATCAGCAAATCATTGACCGAATTCAATCAAGTTTTAAAGCAAGATTATTTTAAAGCCTCAAGATGAGCCAAAACTTCAATTCTGGAGACTTCATGCTTATCAATTTTCTGAAAATATAGACCAACCTTCGCTCCCAATCTTGCAAGTTCGTGTACTCTCACCAATTGTCTTTCTCCGTGGCTGAAATTTACCCCCATCAATCTCTTTATACTGCATTTCGGCGTACATTACAGCATGGCTGAAAATCGATGAGAGGGACAAATCGATACCAAAAATTAAAGTCCGAACAATAACAATTGAATAGCTTCGGGTCTCATACATCGGGGGCGATTTTTTAACAGGAATGAAATGCAATAGCACCAGACCCGTTGACGAAAGGTTTAAAAGCAAAAGAATTGATGTGTACACTCTCCTTTTTTTTCAGCAAGCTGATTTATCGAAATGCCTTCTCAAATTCTCCTGTTCATTACGATTTTGATTTGTTGTCTTACGGTTACTCACTCTGCTCCTATCAATGGCAAAAGGCCTCCACCACTTCAGGCTTCAAAAGGTCATCCAGTTCCTCCCAAAACAATTGGAGATGCTTTGAAGAATAGAGAGATTCACGATGGCCGGAAAGTAGGCTTATACCATGAGGATTCTCGTGTAGATTTAAATACAGGAAAGGTAACAACCACTAGGCGTCCTATGACTCATGCCGAGATGGAAGGTCATCTCAGCGTTCCATTCCATGAAGCTTATCTGGGAAGTACATATGAGCCGCACCCAAGCAATTTTAAAGCTAAATCGTCTAACAACGCTGGCGGTGATGTAGAAGTACGCCGATTTGATCCTAAAAAAAGAAAGTTCACTGCTTCAGCACCTCTGACAAAGAAAGAGACTGATAATCTTCACGCAAGTTTGTCAAGTCAGGTTAAGGCTATTAAGCGTCAGTCCAAAGAGAAGTCGCAACAATGATCCTCAAGTCCAAAATAGACCTACAGGCCAGATTATGAGGAACTAGTCCACCTTTCTAAATTTATACTCAACGAGTGGCAAATTGCCGAGTCAGTCTTTCTTCTTCATTTATAAGCACAATTTAATGTTTACATTTCTCAATACTGGGCGTTGGCACGCTTAACTATCTTCAGCTTGCATTGGTTCCTCTTCTGGCAATTCTATAATCAATTTTCCTATTGTTTTAAATTCACTTCTTCTCCTCTCTACGGTGAATAAGGCTTTTCGATGTTATCTTTCTTCTTTTCATGATTGAGCTGCCTTGATCGTTCTCGTTGTATAGAATTATGCCATACAGTACAGCTTGGCTATGAGATAGACAGCTTTATCTTTTTACCCTCAGCTGTGTATTTTGCCACGATGTCTTCTCAAATTCTCCTGTTAATTGCGATGTTGTCTTATTGTCATACAACCACTCACTCTGCTCCTGTGAATGGAGAAAGACCTCCACCGCTTTAAGGTTCAAAAGGTTATCCGGTTCCTTACAGAACAGATGAAGATGCTCTGAAAAGTAGTGAACATCACGAAATCCTAGGAAAAGCAGCACGCCAAGAAGTTCTAAACAAACCTTTTAAGACGGGAAAGGTACTGTCCAGAATTCCTGATGAGATGACCAAGGATTTTCCACCCTCAGTTCGTGAGACTCTTTCGGAGAGTATGTTCAGACAACAGCTAAAGGAACGCATGGCTGGACGAATGCCATCAATTAATCATCGAATAGGATCATCGTCTAAAAAGGCCAAGACGGGATAGTGCAATGGAATGACAAGTGCCCGAATATTCTTCAACCTCAAGGTAAAGCTGGTGTAGAACAGTGCAGAACATAAGGTGAATGGCTTGATTCAACTTATCCAACTTTAATCAAGGATTACCAAAATCGTTCTTCTTTTCCATTCATACCTGATAATACTGGTATTGAATGTTCATGTCTTTCGCTGTTGTTCCGCTTTCATTCGCCCCCCACCCCATTTTATTCCTCTGATATTCTCGCTTGTAGGATGAACGTCACTCGGGAATGAGCACCCCTCATACATACGAACGGAGTCGCAACAAGGCTCAATGATGTATTCAGATGTATGCTTGTAATCACAATCCACTGACCGGCACCCCGCAATTGATCCGCAGTGTTCTAAAGAATGTAGTCCATCTCTCCGCGGAAGACTGGTATGAGTTCAGTTGGCTTAAGCATTCTTGGCTATACTTGTATGATGATGAGATATACTTTATTGAGCATTGAATTTGTTAGTATAGTAATGAAAGTAAGGACGGGATTTGAATTCTGGGGGAAGGGTATGATGTATGTTGGTCACGCTAAAAAAGCTCAACGAATGTTAAGAACACAAGCAAGTATCATCTTCTGCCTGCTGGTGCGGCGTGCCTTGAATAAAGACAATTGACTAAAGAGACGCGTTATTTGCCCGCATTTTAACCATACACACATCCCTCTCCTTCCCCAAATGCGAGACGGAATAAGGCTGCTGCTAAAAGTGAATGAGTGTATTCCTATCACACAACCTATTCAACACTCCATCACAAACACAAACACACAATCAACAACTTTATCAAGACAAAAAGTACACAATACGATCATCATTACACACTGTTCGACTACTCCATGAACACAAGCCAACGGTAATTATTGCTAAAACGCTATCCCGCACGCGGAACATCATTGCCCCGAACAATCAGAAAGATAAAGGGAACCTTCGTATACATTCATTGCTTATCAACGACCGCTTCTTAGAGCAAAGAAAGTCGCATACAATCCTTCTCATCCTATACCACACTTTGATGTGTTCCTAAAGATGGGCGCTCTATGTTGCAAGGCAGAAGCGATTGATTTTGATGGTCCTGTGGACTTGTATCATTTCTATTTGCTTAGAGCGGTCGGAAAAGGTGCATTTGGAAAAGTAAGAGTGGTTCAACATAAACAAACAAAAAGCTTATACGCTTTAAAATATATCAATAAAGCAAAATGTGTCAAAATGCGAGCGGTTTCAAACATCATTCAAGAAAGAAGATTATTGGAAGAGATTGAATCACCTTTCATTTGCAATCTGCGGTATGCCTTCCAAGATGATGAAAACTTATTTATGGTGTTGGATTTGATGCTTGGTGGAGATTTACGATTTCATCTGGATAGGAATGGAAATATGAAAGAAGAAGTCGTTCGGTTCTACGTGGCGGAATTGGCACTTGGACTGGATTATCTGCACAGACTGCAAATCGTTCATCGGGATTTGAAGCCAGACAACGTTTTACTGGACGAAAAAGGACATGTACATCTAACGGATTTCAATATCGCCGTTCACTTCTCACATAGACGTCCACTAACAAGCGTAGCAGGAAGTATGGCATACATGGCACCCGAAGTGTTGGCAAAGAGGGGATATTTGAGCAGCGTTGATTGGTGGTCTCTAGGGGTGATGGCGTACGAATTGCTATTTGGACGGAGACCGTATCGTGGCAAAACAAATTCAGCACTCACACATTCAATCTTGAACGATCGTTGTAGCTTTCCGGAAAACGTTGAAACGATTGTATCTTCCGAGACTGTAAGTTGTATTCGTGGATTGTTGGAGCGGGATACGAAGAAACGACTTGGATGCAGGAACGGGATTGAAGATTTCAAGAATCATCCATGGTTTGCAGGAATCGATTGGCGGGCTCTAGAAGCTAAAGAAGCCATTCCACCTTTTGAGCCGGATAACAAGAAAGCGAACTTTGACGCTACACATGAGCTGGAAGAATTACTACTGGAAGATAATCCGCTCAAAGCGAAAAAGCGAGATGAAAAGAGGGATATGAACGCACTTTCACCTGATTACAGACAAATGGAAGAGCACTTTTTACCATTCGATCACATGAAACAAACGAGAAAATCATACTTTAAGCATAGCCGAAGAGATCGAGCAGGAGGCGGCGAAGCAGATTCGGCGTCACAAGCATCCAGCGTCGCTTTCACATTGGCCGATCAACCGTTGGCGGAGATGGGTACAGGAGGTGCTTCACGAACGGGTGGTGGAAATATACATACAGGAGGAGCAAATAGTGCAACTTCTTCTTTAGCTGGAGCTAGTGGTATCATGATCCCGCCGAATGCATACGTGGGACAAACAGCTTACCCGTCAAGCATTGATCGAATGCAAATGGGACCTTCTGATTCGCAAGAATATGCAAGAGCATACAAAGCCAGACATACGTCCGGAAGCGGAGGGCCGATCATCGTTCAGCAAGTTGTTCCTCATCATATGGCAACGGGCAATAATGTTGAATTGCAAGTCTTGAATGGACAGGCTCATTGAAGGGTCTTCCAATTATTTAATAAAAATAATCATATTTGCATGCTTTTGTATCTGCGTGCAATTTCCAATCATTCGTGTCAGTTTTCATCATCATCTATCATACCAAACATACTTCACTCAATCGATACCACTATTTCTCAATTGATCTTGTTACCATTGATTGCCAGAGTAGAAATACAATTATGCCAAAAAGTTGCCTTTAGATGATGAATGCGATTAACGCCAAGACCATCAATAAGATGATTAAAAGCCAAACACACCATCCGCCCATTCTATCATCTGACCTTCGTACCAATTCATCCATTTTCCCAAGTGCTCGATTGAGTTTTGACTGCGAGTGGTCCACTTCACTGTCCAAAGCACCAATCATTTCTACTTGTTCACCAATCTCTTGTCCCAACGTACCAGCTTGACGACGAAGGGAAGTGATGGCGCTTCCGATCATATCCAACGTATTATCTTGTTTGTGCATCAATTGTTGTTGTTGTTCCATCTCAAACGCAAGCGTAGCATCTTCGTCATCTTCATCGTCTTCGCCTAGGTCCTGTCTGTTTCCGTACGTCTTTCTATGACCTGATGATGCTGATTGAAAGTTCTTTGACAGTTTCTAAAGAGGCAGCATAAGATTAGCAACAACGAAACCAACACTTGTATTCGAGCATATACTTACCTGTATTTGATTTTCGCATTCTCGTACAAACGCTTTTCGCCGCGAAAGTTCGTTTGAATCCACTCCGAACCGTTCAGGTCCTCTTGCTTCGATCATTTGAACACTTTCACGTACATCTCCTATATCATTCTCTAAAGCTTCTAGAGAATCTTGTAATCTTTGATAAATCTTCTGTTCTTCCGATCCTCCTGTTCCACCTGATCTTTTTATCCTATCATAATCCGATCCAAGCTTTTGTGCGGCTGATAATGATGATTTTAAATCAGCCGCAAAGCTATGATAAGGATCGGTTGCCATCTTTGTGATGGTGATTGTGACCAGAAGGAGGAACAATTGTTTGTTTGTTGTATGCACAGCAAGCAGTGTTGTTATAATTAAATTAACCTTTTATCCACCTATGCCTGTGTGTCTTAGCGTCTTCTTTCAATCCGGCGTGCCTGTCAATTTGCCTAGGCATTTCTCCACTTTTTCTCCCTTTTGTCTGCGTGTGTGTGCGCTTAAATTCCTCTTTCGTAAGCGATTACATGCGACATACAAAACCACCATCTCCCATTGTTTAAAATTCAACAATCATGTCAGGAGCTTCTTCAAATTTAACGGCAAAAATGAATACGCCAGCACATAAATCTGTTACAGAATTCGTTCAAGCTCAAACGCCAGGTACGAAATTCTCTTTTGACGGACCGAGAGGATCACAACGGTCAAGATTGTGTAGACATCCGGATGATCCTTCCAAACAAACTGATTGTGTAGATATTGCCATGGAAGGTGGGTATTCTCAACGGGAAGCGCGGATCTTCTTTTGATCGCACACAGGTAAGCTGACATTCATTTTGCCCCTTTTCATTCACCCGCCCACAGCACGAAGCCTTTTTGAAACAATGCAAAAGCTCAACTTTTTCTGTCAATTGCCACAAGATCCATCAAAGACGCACATCACATGTGAACGTATTCCGCAATAAGAGCTTGTATGCATTGCCACCCCTGTTATGCAACCGTAATGCTCTATGGATGATGGACCGAAGTTTCCGAGTAATCCTTCCCCAGTATTGATGCAAATTTTGCACAAATGTATGGAGACAACGGCCAACAATTGCAACAAAGTGTACTATAATATCAAATAAAGATACAATCGAATTGTGTCAAATGTCTGAATCTTAACCATGATGTTTGTGAGAGACTTTCAATATGGGCACGAAAGTACGATTATTGCGCAAGATTACGTCATTATTCTTTCCATCGTTTGTTTGGAATACAACTCTTTGTCTAAGTATACAAAGAGATGAAAAAGTATAACTATTGAGGGTTACTCAACGGTAAGATTAGATTATTTGTGCGATCCAGGAAAAAAGGAAAAGATAAGGGAAGAGAAAAGGTAGAGTGCGAGAGAGTAGTGACTAGAAAAGAAGATGTAACAAATTATTGACCGAACAAGTAGATGAAACTACCACGTTTGCGTGATTGCCAAGGTAGTAATTCATATTTGAGACCTTCCAATTGCATAAAGAATCCACGTTGAATGAAAGGTGCACAGAAGAGTGGGATCACGGCCAAGAAGAAAGCATGCAATAACAAAACGGCAACCAATGTTGGAATCTTTGCGTTTAGTTCAGGGAACGATCTTCTGAACCAAGTAGAAACAACTGTTGCAACACCATTCAAAACGAAGAATAAGAAATTTTCTCCTGATGCATAGTGCAATGTCATCGCAGTGATCCATTCATGGAAAATACCAGACATGGCAAAAGTGGCGATTGCGGCAGCTGCTTTGGGCAAAAAGGGTGAACGTGGTTTTGAGCTTCCTGATGCGTTTCCGTTTGGCCTTCCGTTTGTCTTTTCTTCAGTACCGTTTCCTTTTGCCAAAGGAGAAGAGGTCATCGTCAAGCCTTGTTGACGTGCACGTCTGCCAGCACGCTTTTGATCTTCTTCATCTTCTGTTCGTCCACCTTCTGCTTCCGTTTCACTCAAATGATCCAAATGACGTCTTTGAGCAGCTGCAACTTGTCCGTTTACCAATTTGTTGGCAGAGTCTAATTTCTGTGCCTTCTTTTTGGCTTTGAGTGAAGATTTTGAATTACGACCACCGCCAAAAACGACACGATGCAAAACAGTTGCGATTGCACGGTTCCAATGAGACCAGAACAAGCGAATATTAACAGTTCCCAATGGGTTTTCAAACATGTCTGCCATTTCGACATTGCAAGCCATTCCGATAAGTTTCAAAAGACCATCTCCGAACAGGGCCAAAGCCATCAAGATGCAGAAACCAAGAGCATCACAGTAGCAGTGGTATGCAAATTGGCTCATGTTGCGTGTAAGCTCAAATGGTGGAATGACGTATAAGGTCAACAGCAACAAAACACCTTCCAAAAAGACTTTTGGTAAACCTTTTGCGTTTTCCCAAATTGCATTGCGCTTGTAACCTTCTTCTTCTGCACGTTCGGCGATTTCCTCCTCTTCTTTGGGGAATGCCCACAAATGACAAAAGAATCTAGGTGGAGACCAATTCTTTACTTCTTCTTCTGTACGAATGTTAAAGATATCCCAAACCAACAAGCAAGATCTGAAACCTAAAGCTGGTTTCCAGAAATCCAATAACATGATACCGCTTTGACCTGTAACGATTGGCCAAGCGAGTAAAGTTGCAATCATTCCACCGACGCAAGCTTGACGTAAGAAAGGTGTTTTGGCAACAAAGTGATATAAGAAATAACAAACAACAGTGGATGCGATCATGAATGCGAGTAATTCATTTGCAACTCCGGCCAATTGACGAACAGGATAAGCGGGAAGATCATATTCTACAACTTTGAATCCGGCCGAACGAGCAGATTGCAAAATTGGATCTTTTTTGAGTAATTTGAAACCTAAACGACTATAACCTGATTTTACTTTTGGTGAATTTGCAAGCCAAGCATCGATTGCTTTATCGGTTGATCTACGTACATACTCCATCTTGAGAGAGAGGATGAGAAGAAGAATGATGGTGGTAAGGATGGTTGTTCTCAAATCTTGGAAGTGGAGTCAAGTGTATGCATTTCAATCTGTGTTTGAAGTAAAAGTTTGATTTTTCACACAAGTTGCATTTTAAAACACATACATGCATGCTCGCCATTTCCAGTGTCACATCAGTCAACAACCGTCTTCTCATTGTCGGCCTTCGGTCAGAAGTTGTGGAGCAGGATTTTAGCGCAAAACCAGTGTTTCGCGCACATCATAACCCCGCACGAAAAGAGATTTTAAACTTCTTGAAAACGAGATTTGCTTACATACATACCCAAACATTCTCTTTCATAATGTCATACCCGGGTATTCGGCTTCTTTTCTCACTTTTTTTGAAAACTATCTTTAATCTATCCAATTTCTAAAGATATGATCATCTATGCTTACCATTCATTGCCATATAGTCACACGCTCAACATAAATTCCCACTCCTTGTTGCTGCTCTCACGTTCTCTCCGCACCTTCTTCGATTCAATTTGTACCTGATGATGCACATACGCAATCCCTCAAACCTCACACATAATGGAATCGTACGTCATAGGCTTGCGTGCTTTAAAGGAGGGCGGACGCCCGCGCGCGCATTTGAACATGTAAAGGCGTTTCGCTGGTTTGTCTGAGGCTCAGCAGCTCACGTGCCTGCGCACCAATTCCTATATAAACACCCTTTATTGCGCGCAGTATAAATAAGCCAAGCCGTTCTTGTCTTACAACCGTCACCATCGTTGCAGGAGAAGGGTAGCGTCGTCATTTCGATCGTCCTTGATCGCCAGCAGCTTCACATATTTCTCAAATCGTTTGTTGACATTTTATACAATCAAGCAAAAAAAGCTGCTGGCGGCGACGGCAGAAAAAAAGAGAGGGTCGTAGGGATCAATTATTATCAGATTAAAAAAAAGTACCAGAGTGAAAAAAGGATTTCTCCGCCCGCTTGTTTTGAGCAAGGATGAGTAACAAAGCTGTTTCTGCTACGTATCGAATGATCATTGATGATGTGATTGCAAACGTTCGTCAAGATTTCGAAGATATGGGAATCGAAAAAGAAGTTCTTGATGAATTACAGAGATCATGGGAACAAAAAATTGTTTCAACAGGCGTGGCGGATTTTGAAGGTGCAGCGCCTATTCAACCAAAAAGTAGAAAACAAAAAGAAGGTTCGTCTACAACTACAGGAGAAAGTAGTTCACAAGCGACAAAAGGTGAAAATGGCGAAAATAAAGACGTTATCGTGAAAAAGGAAGACGATGAAGGAAATTCCAACAAAGTCGCACGGACAAATGGATCTTCAAACGTTCACTCCGAAAACGCAAAAGGAGAACAACAGGCAACATTTGCCAACGGATCCAATCCACATCAAAGTGCCAACATTAATGGTTTGTTGGACGATACAGGCGCAGGTTCGAGTAATTCAGCCAACAAACGCAAACGCCCTGCCGCAGATGATAATGAGATCGGATCAGATCTGGACGATTCCGATGAAGATGAAATGGAAGGCAACGTAGACGCTGACGGAAACGAAGATATGATCTTATGCCTTTACGATAAGGTACAACGGGTTCGCAACAAATGGAAGTGTGTTCTCCGAGACGGAGTGGCTTCCATTGATGGACGTGATTATGTCTTTTCCAAACTCTCTTCTGAACTCGAGTGGTGAATATCCACAAAGCAACAAACAGTACATAAAAACATAGCAGAACAACCACCATGTAACATAGCAATCATGATTCTAACGCATTCTTCACACAGTATATTCACAAAGCATATGATTTTCAGAACAGATGATTTTCAGTACAGATGATTGATTGATTGATAGAATACAGAATGTGTCTAATGTAGTGATGGAGATTTCGAAACCAACAAGCTCAAATGATCTCTACAATCTGCACAATACTTATAAGATCCAAACGGAGAGCCTGCCAAGCTGAACAAGCAAGTCAGGCAGCACAATTGACCACATGCGTTACAGTGATTCCTCTTCTCAAACAGTCCCAGCTTGCGTGCACATTGCATGCACATATTCGTTGATGTCAAAGTGACATCGACTGATTTACCGGGTAACGTCCAAGCATACACCCGCCCTAGTTCATCTCCGGATAAAAGAGTATCTCCATAAAATCGCAATGCAGTAATCAATGCTTGTGCGCCAATTCGTGGTGATGAGCCAGGCATGACTCGATCACGATGTTCGGATACGTGGAAAGGTTCCAGACGCCATCCAGTGCTGTTGAAAGCGGAAATAGAAGCAACAGATTGTCTCTTTTGAGCTTCCGCTTTCCGTTCATGATCGGAAACGCATCTCCATCCGATCAGCTTACCGCGATGTCCTGTAAAGATCATACATAAACTTTGTTGATCATCATCGCAAGACATCATCGTTGATTCGCTATTGCCGCCTTCTACGTTTGCGCCTTCGTAGATTGTCAAGCATGTCACTTTATCATCCAAATCATTGCTTGTCTCAATAGATGCGATAAAGTCACCATTGATGGACCACAACTTCAGCGTCAAACCTGAAGCAGTTGCGATAAGACCACTAGAGCGTGAAATTGTAACACATTGTACTGGTTCATCATGCGGGAGCGATCGCACATAAGCCCCGAGATGATCCCAAACAATTGCAGTTCCATCTTGCGATCCGCTCACGGTCAAACTCCAAGCGGCGCAATGATCCAAACATAGAATTGCGTCTGTATGACCACCTCTGTACGCCTTGACGGTGTTCATCTCGTATGAGGTAGGATCAATTTCACATGCAGTCAATGCTCCCTCTGATCCACCAATCAAAATTCGCACTTGCTTCTGCTTGGTAGATGTGGATGACAGACTTGCATCGACCACACAAGTGATCTGCTCCGGTAGTACCTGTTCTGCAACTCCTTTAACTTCATCCTTGTTATCTCTGGCATAGAAGCGTATACTTCCATCAGCATGTCCAAAGGATAGCGACATAGATGCTTGCAGAAGGATGAGGTACTCCTTAGGAGATCCAAACGTCTTTGCAATATCTCCATTTCCACTGCCAGGTGCGGGAAGGTAGAGGAAATGAACAGCAGATTGTTTCATCATACGAATTGGAGCCGCGCTTTGTGTCAATAGCCAAGGCGTACATGGAACGGATAATTTCAGTTCAGGTTTTGCAGGAGCTTGTCGTGGTGGATGGGGTTCCTTGAAGAGCTGACGCGGGCAAACGCCAAACATATGGATGGTTTTCAATACCGCTTGTCGCTCCAAGGGGGATTCTATAGTGTGGATATCCACCGACCCATCCTGATATGAGAGCTCGTGGAAGCAATTTGTAGCATCTACTGCTGCTTGTCCACGTTGCTTATATCCAAAGATTAGATCGATCCACAAGTGCAACCTTTGAGAGACGAAATCGCTCTCTAATGCCTCTCGATGTAGTTTGATGAACAGAAGCGGATCATTCTGTGCCCATGGCGGAAGTTCAACATCATTTACAACAGCACCGCTTTGCATTTGACCGAAGTCGAACTTGTTTGCATTCACTAGGAAGTCCGGTAAATAGAAGGCTTCCGGAATCAGCTCTCGAACATCTCCCAGCGAGCCCTCCGCAGCAGAATGATATGCATGACCAATCGAGCCAAACGTACGATCCGCTAAATCGAATGTCCCACCTTGCAAAGCCTTTACGATCTTATCAAACGGTCTCAATCTGATCAAAAAGCCGCTGACAGTTGCAGCTGTACTATAATGTGTACCATAGTGAAAAGGAGCGGGCATTGTTCCACCAGATCCTCCTTCCATCTGATACATTTCATCTAGCTGTTCATACCGTTCCTGGAATTGTTTACGTCTGTTGATCTGTTGTGCACCCATGGGCAGTGACAAATCTCGGAAAGACTCTGGATTAGATAGATCGAGTGTTTCACTTGCATAGTCACGTAAGATGAATGGCATTATGGGATACTGTGTAATGTCTTGATACGTCCTTCCTGAGGCTGTATTGAGACACATCAAGTACTCAAAGTTTGACATTTTTCCTTCCGTCCATCGTTGAGTGATCGATCCAAAGGCATGACCAGAGCCACGCTGTAGAACAGCACTCTTGAATCTAGCCAATCCCACACCACCATTTGCTTGTTCAAGTTGTGGGCTGATACCGCTAGTCAGATTCTTGAATGCTTGTGCGGCTGCACGATTCCTCGAAGAGAGTGTCTCATACACCGCATTGGCTTGAGACGTGCTTGCTAACACCAAAAGGCAAGTTTGACCATCGCGGAAAGCGATCTCGATTGCCGTCTTTCTATGCAAGAATGTCTTGATTGTGATCAAGTCCAAATCTGACCATCTCCATCGGCGGGTTTGCTGTCTGTCTCCTTCCAGCTGTTGGACAAGCGTCATTGCCGCAACAGCTGTCCCTCCTTCTCTAGTGTTTGTGGAACCATCCTTTTCGGTGGAACTGCTTCCTTTGCTGTGAGTACCATTTGTGCCATTACCCAAAGTGGACATAACAATTGTATCGCGTTCTTCTTCGGGTGCTTCCCATACATTGCATAACTCTCCATCTGGACGTTGGAAGTAGTCATCGATCACATAGAAGCATTTCCTGCCAAAAATGAGCAAAGAGGCACGACATTCGATAAATACGACTCGCAAAGAATTCTCTACTCCTTCGATCACGTCACCACGTTCAAGCGAACGAATGATTCTTCGATACTTTTCATCATGAGCAAGTGAAGTATCTCCCGAGAACGACTCTAGGGATACACTTGCATCCATGCTAGTGTTGGCTTCGCCATTCTCCCCTTGCATGGAAGCATCGCCCATTGGTGTTGGGGGTTGAGAGTGTGTTGCAGGCACGGGTGTTGGAATGCCTTCGGCTTCTGTTTCATCTTCATCTGCTACCATACCGCTTCCTTCGTCAATGTGCATACTTTTGAAATCAGCTGGAAGATGATCTTCTTGCTTCTTTGCGGAAAGCACATCATCCCATGGTTCACGCCATTCTTTAAGCTTTGCTCGCATACGTAGAGGTCCTTCGGTAGGATCTAACTCAAAAGTACGATCTGTAGTCGAAACTTCCTCCAAACAACCACGTTCTCGGTACAGCTCGGGAACCATTTGTGCCTGCCATTGTCTTGCAGCGATCGACATTGCTTCTCTAGCGTCCATTTTTACTCGAACGTTACGGCTCTCTTCAGCTGTTCGGATACTTTCATACCAAAGTTTAGCTCTTCTGGCAGCAGTGGGCGTTGCAGGTTGTGCATCATCTTTGATTCGCTGTTTCTGTTCGGCATAACGAGGATCGTGCGTAACCAAACCTCCCATGACATCCAACGCTCTTCTACTGGCACGCGGGTCTGTCGTCAAGCTTACAAACATTCTCAACCATCGAATATTGACCAATGATCCAAATTTGCGCAGGTAAGCCGGTCTTCCCAACATCAAATCGCCTAGCATCTCAAAAGAGGTAGAGGCGATCAAGTAAGTGAAGGAAGATTGAGAGTTGTCACTTTTCGGCTTGCATAAATGAATTGCCAAGAAGCTGGAAATGGCGCGAATTGCAGCATCGTTGAAGTTGGCAACGAGCAATGTTCGTAAAGCCGAAACGTATTCCACCGCAAGCATTGCCTGTTGCTCAGATGTGTAGGTTGAGAGTATGTTGTAGCTAGAATCTGTGTTTGCGCCACCATTGGTTCCGCTCAAAAATGACAACAGCTTTCGTGTGATCTGCATTTTGGCGACCCGCTTAGCATTGAACCTTCGATACTTTGATGTTCTCAAGAGCGTGTTTAAAACTTCCAAATGAGCAATTTGCACTTCTATAGATGATGCACTTGCCCATAAACCAAAGTCGAGCATGCATACACGGAACAAAAATGGGTTGACAAGAGCCACCAATTCGTCATCTTTTTTGGGATCACTCTCCCAACCGATCGCTTTGCAAAAGGTGTGCAAGATAGGCACATTGATCAAGTGTCTCTTTTGCGAGATAAGATAATGCAAAACTTCATACCCTCTAGCCACTTCAATCTCTTCCGATAAACGCCAAGAAGAGCTTATCACAGTGAAGAACAAAGTGAGACTCTTCTCAAGTGATTCCGAGTCTTGACTTTGCTCAATGATGCGAAAAAGAAGAGCGAAGCCGCCTAGGCGCCACACGTTGTCAGCAAAGGTAGATGTTTCAATGGTCGTATATTTGGCCAAAGATGCATTTCCGATTAAGCTGGCAAATGACCACGGTTGTGGTTGTCTGGCACGGGAAGAAGAAGCTCGATTGGGAATCATTTGACCGGCCAAAGTAGATTCACCTCCGCTCAAAATGAAATAAAATGCATCTTCCCGAAATATCTTCTTTGCAGATCCGGTAATCATTTCCGCTGCTTCTGAAGATGATTCTCCATCAGCTGCCGCACTGGCAAGACGTAAATTTACCTTTGTGCTTGTTGCGTAAGTGAGAAAACGGCCTAGATTGCCTTGAAAGTTTCCATCGTAGCCACTCGATGACAGTTCTGCCAGTATAAATGGTATTTCTGAGTCCAAAGCGGTATCGATCATATACGTTGGACCTATTGACCATACCATGGGAGCGACCGTGTCCGTTGTCGGTTTGGAAGGTAGGCCACCACCGATTGTCATTCGTACGACACTAGAAGGTGGAGGAGCAGAAGGCCACAGCACATTGTTATATGCATTGACTAGCTTACCATCCAGATACAGTTGCACCGAAGCTGAATGCGAATCTCCTGCCGGCCTTTCATGTATCAGGCATACATGATGCCATCTCCCTACCTGCAAAACGCCGGAAGGGAAATGCAGTGTTTGATGTCGTATGCCGGATGAATAGCTCAAATGGTTTGTCTGCGGTTCAATCGTCAATCGAACAGAGCAAGACTTTTGAGCGCTGTCGAATAGATGCAGAATATCAATCGGGTTCGGAACCGTGCTCTCTTGTACAATCTTTATGGAAGTGAAAAATGAAAATCCAGTTGAGGAGAGTGAAGGTGGAAAAGGTCGTCGTAAAGCAGCCATGCTAATCATATCATCTGGAGTCGTAAAGGTGATTGCATGATGTTCCAAAGGATTTCTACTTGCCTTTTCGATCAGGCTATCCAATGCTTCAACTTGTTCCGATGATGCGGACGTAGAATTGTTTACCGCTTTTTTGAATAAGTTCGTCAAATTTGATGAGATATTTTGAGTAGTGATCCGGTCACCTTCCCCTTTGTCCAGTATTCGTTCATCGTCACTTGTCATTTTTGCATCTACATCCCAAAAGATGAGGGATGATGGTTGTACCTTCCCTTCCCTATTTGCGAAAGAGAGAACCGAGCCTAGTGGCATTCATTCTACTAATACTTGCCGAATTTATTCGCACGGACAATTTTGACTCTATTCTCCAAATTATTTTTTAGGAAATGTTCAAATAGGCGTTCCCTGCCTAGGCGCTGCTTTTCATTCGCCCAAATCGGGACAAATTTCAGTGTAAGACAAACACAACCCTGTGCGCTGCGCATCCCTCTTTGCTTTATCGCCATCATCTTGCCTTCTTATAGGCGGATAGATACGTTGCACTACCTTTTTGTCTCAGATGATCATGCCACCAATCACAACTTCACCTATCCGTGGTACCAACGGGCCACCACAAGCCTTTTCGTTTGGCTTTGGCATGCACAATCATGGCAATGGTGGCAATGCACCGATCTATACAACTGCAACAAGCTCTACTAGCAGCACAACAAAGCGTCAAAGAAGCGTTTCACCATCAGAAGAAAGTGATGATACCATGGACGCAGCTCAATCTACATCTGCTCATACACCTTCACGTTCCCTTCAAGCTTTGCCCAAAAGGATGAGAGCAGGTTTGGGAAATGCAAGCGGACGGAAGTCGAGAGTTTCTTCAAGTCACTCCCCTCCTGCATCTGGCCCTTCTATTTCACAGCAAAGCGCAGATGTTGGAAAGATGTTGGCCACCTTGGACAAAGCATCCTTGTTGACCGTCTTTTCTCGATTGCTCATGGCCGATCCATCCTCTGCAGAACGGATTCAAGGTCTCATTCCAACACCAACACTGGCTTCTGTAGAGGCTGCTTTGGATGAAAGCCAAAAAGCGGTAAAGATGCTACTGTTAAATGCGGCAGAGATGAGGAATGAATTCTCTTGGGGACGTTTACGCATGCCTGTGGCCGACTTTGTTACAACATCGATGAGCTTCTTACCTTTCTTCGTTGCAACGGACGAAGAGAACGCAACCACCTCTTCCGTACACCCTAGAGAACCACCACATCCATCAACAATGTATGCATTCTTGCATTTGATCACCGAACGTGCTTTGTTGATGATGGCCGCTTTACCTGATTCGCCAACGAATCTGTCCATCTCACTCTTTTCTCCTGATGCCGCCAATGATGGACATCCGATCGTCATGGCAAACGAAACCGGAACGCCAAAGATGATACTGAAAGCATATCATGATGCCATGTCTTCTTCGGATGGAGGATCGATCGCAAACGAGAAGTTGTCTGCTGTGAATCCGAATGCGATTGTGTCGCAATTGATACCACACCTACTCCTTCATTGGGCACGATTGGTGGATTGGGTTGCAAGAGCCGTTAATGAAGAAGGAAGAATGTTTGGTGCAGAAACCGTTCGAGGATGGTTAGCAGGATTGGAAGCGTTAACCACCCTTCGTTCTTTCGGCGGAAATGAAGACGAACAATCTTTGGAACGAAACGAATTGGAGATCAAAGCTTGTAAAGCCGCTCTGTGTGCCGTTGGACGACGCATGCAAGAACAAATTGGTTGGTTGATTGGTAGGAATGCCGGTATGGGTTGGCGAGCAAGCAATATGGAGTTCTGAATTAGGGAGAGAGGCATTCGACATACATTATCATATTTATTAATTTCATTTCTCGGCTTTCTTTATAATCGTTGTACTACATTCACACATCATCATGATACCTTATCTCAGCACAAGCATTTAATCAAATTCAGTTCACGTCATCATAAAGTCATAGATTGGAAAGATCATAAAGAGCCTAGAAGTTGTTTTTGTGTGTTTTGTATTTTATGAAAAAGAGATGAGAGAGTCGTAGAAGCCGAGAAAGACAAGCAGGAATGAGTCGGGTGTGGGTCGGGAGGGGGGAATGAAAAAGAGAATAATGGTTCGAAGATGGGAAACACAGGGGTAGGGGATCAAATCAACAATTCTCCAACGAATCTTCTTTTCACATGCTCGATCACCAAAAGAAGTTGCTCAACGCTCGTCATTTTGTCACAGAGCCTATTCTTGTGAACAATGACATAAGAACGGAGGCTGACACCAGGAATGACGAAAAAGGGTGAGAAGGAGAAACGCCACGTCAGGAACCAAAAGAGAATGAAATGGAAGGAGAATCGTTGAAATGAGAAACGTTGCGTGTGGGAATACGAGAAGGAAAGATGGAGACTGAACAATTGAAATGCATGTACATACGAAAGGGGATCAAATCAACCGCAATCGTGGAACGCTTTCCCTCTCGAAAGGGAGAGAGAAAGGCAAATCAAAGAAGCTCGACATCCATTCACGACCGAATCCCATCACAAAAGAAGACCAACAATCAAAAGAAGGCATGAACAGAAAAGGCATGGACTTTTGTCTTTGAGTGATGGAAGATGATCATGGTGGCCAAAAGCACACCGTGATTCGATCCGCATGGCGTATCGGCACATCAATCAAAGATCAAAAGCACGCACGCAGGTGCACATGCAAACGATGATCGATGGCGACGAGGCTTGGACAAGCATGTGTCGCAAAGCCCGGCAAGGCAAAGTTAGAGTGGTGATACTGAGGAGAAGAGAGTGATAGAGGGTCAGTATGCAGTTTTTGGTAATGCACAAAAGGATGGCTGCTCACGTTTTGTTTTCCTTTAACAGAGATAAGCATCAGACGATGACATTAGCCATTTGCCTGTGTGATGTCGGCATCGCTGAGTAAAGAAGCGACTGCACGTTGTGCGGGGACACCGTGTTCGCCCGAGAAAGCTTTGATGATCTGCTTTGATGTAGCGATTTCACCTTTCTTGACATGAACGGTGGTGTAATGACGTTCTGCGTCGTACTTGCGCATGAAAGGTTTGGTGCATGCACTCCATGGGCATACAAACGGCTTCTCACGGTCCTCAAGTGCGACGTGAGTAATTTCGTGGGTGCGCAAGTTGAAGGCTCGATCGAAGGACTTATGGCATGACTTGCAAATAAAATTCTTGGATGCGTTGGATTGTGCTGAAGAGCGGGTCTTTCGTGTCTTCGAAGTAGAAGAACGGGAAGAGCGGGTCTTCACTGGTTCTGGAAGAATCATTGGGCTTGGGCTAGCGTTTGGACTGCTACTTGGGGTTGAATTCAACGAAGCGGTTGCCAAAATTTCCGCGACAACTTCGTTGCTCACATCAATGCCAGCTCCGCGCAAAGCACACACGAGAACGTCGATATCGCGAACAGCGTGAGAACGGGCATATTCACGGATAAACCTGGCGGCCAAATCAGAGTCAGCGACCGAAACGTCGGATTGCGTACTTGGCGAGGCAGAAAGGATGTTCAAGCGACCATTGCCCATGTCGCTTAACATGTTACGCGCCATTGCATCGAAAGAGTAATCAGCGGCATTGCCCTCCGAAGATTGGGATGAAGTGACACTTTCCTTCAATCCGACGATTGGACCGGTAACGGATTGTTGAGAGAAGGAGAATTCTGGTCCGAACAAAGGCATACTGGCAAGCTCGCCATGTTGCTGTTGTTGTGTACCATGATCGGGGAACAAGGGAGCATCGGCTACCGTTGAGGCGAAGTCGAACTCCAAATCCTGCAAAGGTGATTCCTGGAAATCACGAGTAGATGCTGGTGATCCCAACGATTGGTCCAAAGGGGAATCAAAAGGGATGGCATCCGCGCTGACATTGGCGATAGGTTTGCCCGTATCCATCATTTCAGAACACAAATTGATGGTGGGGTTGGTGGTTGAGAAAGAAGAAAACATCTTTGAAAATTCAGCCAACTGAGCGATTTGATCTTGTTCAAGAGAATCAAGAGGTGTTGCTAAAGCAGCAAGAGAGGCGTACAAGTTGGTGTTCATAAGATGACTGAAGAAGGATTGATTTGATTGATGGTAGTCGATTTGAGTGTTAATTATGTGCGGCTGTTGAATTGTGTGATGGTAGTGAATGTATAAAACATTGTTGATTCTGATGATGGTCCCATATACAATCAAACAATGGCCCGTAATGCAAGTGTACACTGCAAAAGTGCCGCTCGGCGATATCAAACAAAAATGCTGAGCACAATAATTCTATCCGTCTCAGCAATTGCGTGTACACTGGTGCACTGCACACGAGTAGATTGTGAATTTGTGCGACCGCGTGGTAACGCGTGAACACTTCCGCGGTCTTATGCTAAAGTCCGAGCTGTGACTCGAGGCTGATAAGAGATAAAATCACGTAATCGATTCGAGTTTTAAGAAGAAACATCATACCTCACTGAAATAATTCTTCTAATTGCTGTAGCACAGATGATGGAAATCGATATTAAAAATTTGAATAGACAGGAAATGTTTTAAGAAATGGTCTCCTGTTCGGCTGACTCCCTTCTTAGCACTCGCTGCTCTAGAGAGATATTGTTGTTTGAAAAGTAAGCAACTAAATTAAGGGATTCGTTGATTGAAGGATTGCTTCACCTGCCCTTTTATGAGACTATAATCTTGAGGATCAAAAAGACTGAATTGACAGGTACTGAAGAAAGATTAGGAGCCTCATAATAAAGGTACTAAGCCATATAGGGTAAGGAATGAATAGGTTGTATAGCAATATACTATAGATATTATATATTATCTACTGCGGGATGATTTCTCGGAATGCTGAGATTAGGCTGTATTTGATCGTATACAAGCATTGAGGTCTTCAAGGTATGGATAAGCATGGACTTGAAAGTCATCTTCCTTATCCCTACCAAACGCTTCCTCTTCTACCCACAATCTTCCTCTCAACATGCGTTTGACCCATCTTTTAACAGCATCATACTTCTTCTCTATCATGTTAGTAAGCCAACATATAGCTAGCGTCAAGGCCACGATTATCCGTAATGAAGGCAATTCTGGTGATAAAGGTGGCTATACGAGCAAACGTTATTTTAATAATGTTTCAATAGCGAAAAATGAACGACGTAAATCAAAGGATCCTGGTCCGATGAGCCCAGATACGGGTACAGGCCCCAGTAATTCTCCACCCCCCAAACGTTTCAGCAAGGATTCTGAACAGCTACCTCGAGCAATTTCAGATAAAGATCCACATGATAAGAAAGATCATCAGACACCTCACTAGCGTTTCAATGGGCACAAATGCAGGCTCATCCCTTCGTGGGATAAAACAATAGGTGATCAGTGAATGTTGTATCATGTGTCTTGCTATTACTGTACATTGTTGCTACTTCTCTATTCTCTTCTCGAACTTCAACTTTGTTTGACTGCTTCTAAGCCACCAGCCTTTTTGATTCTGCAGAAAATAAAGTTCTCGTCAGCGCTCCCATCGTCAACAAATCAGCTCATACTTTACTCACGCTTTCCTAATTTCACCGGGTGTCTTTTGCCAAACGTTGATTAAACGATCCCTAGACATGGCATCAAAGTCGTCATCGTACTTTTTCACCATTTGATGTAGCCAGTCCTGTTCGCGTGTAGATGTGAACCTTTCTACCGGTGTGGCTTGTTGAGCGGCATGTTCCAAAGCAGAGATCACTTCTATCGCCTTTGCTGATTTTGGCTGTGTATCTTCATCTTGTTCTATCTCTTCCTCTTCTTCTGCATCGCTATCGAATGCTGGTCCCCAAGCCGTTTGCACTTGTTGTACGGTATTCTCTTGGATTGAAATAATGTTTCCCTCCTCATCTCTTTCGATTGTTGCCGTTCCAGAACTGATCAAGGATGGCTTATTGCTCTTTCCCGCTTTGGGTTTGGCGATAGCTGGCTGTGAGTATGTCTTTTCACTTCCGCCTGAATCCCGCATCGAAAGATCTCCGATCAATCCTAAAGCCTTGTAATTCTCTCGAACGGTTTTCTTTGGGTCCCAATTATCTTTGATCGCTGCCGGTCCATGCATTGTAGGTGCTCTCTTTATCCGCTTTTGTTCTGCTTTTTTGCTTCTAGCAGATGCTGAACTGCCGGATTTTTGCTTCTTTCTTTGTCTAACAGTAACCATTTTCTATGAATTGAATGAAGGTGATGGTATCAGTCAGTATATGCACTTGAAATTAGAGCTTTCTTCTAATTTTGACTGCCCGCATTTCTCGTCAAAATTTTTGGAAAAAATAAAATTGATTATCTAAGCAAGAATAGTCGATTTGGGGAAAGTGGAGATTAAACCAGTAGTGCTGTTGTACTTCTGATGGGAACACCCTCTTCCCATCATATCAAGATGACCTTTCGACAGGTCATTGGCAGGCGTATAACGCTTCTGCCAACTTTGCAACAGCAGCCGATCGCAAAGAGATGCTTTTCATCCTTGGTTGTAGGGTATAGTGTCAACTCATCCCTGCTTGATCGGCGGCGGCACTACAGCCTGACAAAAGTAATTCAGTCTCCGATTCGTTCCTCATACTTTCACCCAGGGATACGACTTTTGAGCACTACAAGCTCGCTTTTCGATATCAAAAAGAATGACCCGATCCCATCATCCTCAGTAGAATCAACATCACCCCAAACCAGTGAAAGTGGGAAGGTAGGGCCAATACTGGAAGATGTGAGTGGAGTCGAATGGAGACAAGATTTGTATTAAATGCTAATCCGATCTTCTTCCCACTCTAGTATGAACCGCAGAAGCTATCAGAAGATATCTTGACCATTCCCAACGTGCTAACAATAATGCGTCTATTGAGTACGCCAGTACTGGGATACTTAGTCTTGATCGATGAAATGCAATACGCATTAGGATTGTTGGCCGTTTCAGGTTTTACGGATCTATTGGACGGTTACCTTGCCCGTAAATTTGGATCAGCGACAGTGTTTGGTTCGATTGCCGATCCTGCAGCCGATAAGGCATTAATGACAGTAATGGTAGGAGTTTTGGCTTGGCGTGGTTTGATACCGATCCCATTAGTACTGTTGATCATCGGTAGAGATGTTGGATTGGTGTTGAGCGCATTCTTGATTCGTTGGAAAAGTTTACCTGAACCAAAAACATTTCAACGTTATTGGGATCCAAGATTACCTTCTGCAAAAGTCAAACCAACTCAAATTTCAAAGTATAACACCTTTCTACAGATCATCCTCGTGGGAATTTGTACACTCTTGGCATCCATGTCTGATCCTTGGAGAACATGGTGGAGCGAACGGGAAGGGTTGTGGGAGGACAAGTCTACTTTACCCGTTGGTGAAGGGCGAGAGAGTACTACCGAAAACATCCTAACGAACGAGAAGCGAGACCAATGGGGAAATTTGGCAAAGAAAGTCTGGCATTCATTCATGCTCCTTGTCGCAACCACTACCGCTTGGAGTGGAGCAAGCTATATGTTTGGAACAGGTGCTGTACAGAATGTGGGAAAGATTGCACGTCAACGGGTTTCAGCGGCTTCAAAGACAGGAACAAAGTAGAAAATCCAGGAAAAGCATTTTTGTATTTATAGCAGCCATTATGACGATAGTACATCTCTGCGTAATTGTGTGTTTAAGGCTTCATCCCACATGCCAATCTCTAATCGAATCGCTGCATCCCAGATCCGTTGTAAGTTTGCCGTCCTTTTCAGGGAAGGTGGATCATTGGCTGCATACTTTTCCATATTCTGTATCCCATCTCGAACAATCTTTTGAAATTCTTCACCAGCATAATACTCCACCCAGTCTTGGAATGCAGCGGCTTGTTCAGAGGAACGGTCTAGAGCCCCTCTCTTGCTCTGTTCCTTCTTGATCCAACGACCAGCTTCTCCATAGCCTAACAGACAAGGTCCCGTTGCGGCTAGTAACTCCAACGCATCTCCTGATCTAGATACGTCCAAAACGTATCGAGTGTATGCCAACGTTGCCGAACTCTCTACCGTTGTTTCCAGCTGATCACGAGAGATACCCCATCTTTGACAAATTTTGACATGATTATCTGCTTCTGATGCCATTTCTGCAGCAATGCCCGCAAATGTAGCAATTCGTTCAAATGTACTGCCAACAGTAAAAGACGAAGCACCACTTGCCCAAACACGAGCATAATGTTTGAGAAAGAGATAATCTTGCTTTAAGAAGTAGATGAACGACTCTCTTGGAAGGGTGTAACCTACCAATCCAGCCACAAAAGGATGTTGCGTGAATGCTCTCCAAATGGGTAACGAACAACTTATCAATCGAGAACAAAGCGGAAATCGTTCAGAATCACAAAGTGGCACATCAATCGGTTGTAAGATCGGCCTAGGCTGAATTCCGCAAAGATGATTCAAAGGACCAACACCTCTTCCCAAGTCTGATAATCCGCGAGAGATACATCGTTGAACGTATTGAATCGAAGTATGTACCACACTTGTCAATGATGCTGAAGATGTCAGGTTTGAGGCTAAAGCAGACGATAGCGTACATCCTGTTCCATGGGTTGTTTGTGATTGTACGTGCGGTTTGACAAAGATTGTTAATTGATCCTTTATTGAGTCATACAGCACATCTGCCACCGTACCAGGATCTTGATCGTGCCGTCCACTACTCAATACGTCGGCGTACGGCTCCAAATCTGTTCTAACAACAATCAATTTATGACTCTGCCATGATCCTTGAAGAACTTCTGCTCCCAAGTACTTTTCTTCCTCTACATTCTCGCCTTCAACAGAAATGCCAATCTCCTTCAGATTGGCTTCTAGTTGACTTCTCTTCCAGATATGATGACCACCTTTGACGAGTGCAACTTTCGGTCCGAGAGAAGTGAGATGATGTGCGGCTAACATCAGATTTGCCAGATTGCCATCATTCTCGATTCGTATCGAACTCTTTGCATGTTCGAGCAATTGCTTTGCTTCGGGTAAATTGGGCGTCAATAGGTAACATTTGGGCAGTAGAAGCTTAATTAGATCATTTATTGAGTCGTGGGTTAAAAGCAGTGACCCACTCGTAGACACCATAACTGGATCTATGACGATGGGTACATTCTGTATCCTTCTATCTTTCAATTCTTCGTGTAATGCATTGATAATTTCACGATTTCCCAGCATTCCAATCTTGATCGCGTCAATCTCTATATCCTCCCACAAAGTTTGTAATTGCGAACGAAAAAAGTCCGTTGGAGTGATGTGAATTTCAGAAACACCTTTGGTATTTTGAGCAGTCAATGCCGTCAAGGCACACATTCCATAACATCCCAAGGAGGCGATCGTTTTTAGATCTGCTTGAATACCTGCCCCACCAGATGGATCTGATCCTGCAATACTCAGTATCCTGGGAGGCGAGGCTGTGAATGCCTTTCGCTGAGAGGTCATATTGGATCCCGGATATGATGTTAAGAAAAGAAGTTCTGCTATCCGTTCATTTTTCGTCAATCTTTTAGCGCATGGCCCATGCGCCGGCGAGTTTTGGGAGGAGGATACACGCTAACGAATCACTTTCGTTCTCTTTTGATGGAGAGCTGCCATCATCAAGAAGTGAAGATGCCAACGTTTGCTTGTCATCGATGTAGACAGCCGCTTCATCTGCCTTCTTCATTGACGGAAGAGCTGACACAGTCGGCTTATGATGTGATCGAGGCTGAATCAATCTTATTGCGAAAAGATCGACAACCAATATCAGCAGGCGAATCATCAAAACGGCGAACGACTGAAGGGAAAGATGATGAAGGAAAGCAGGATGACGATAATTTGTCTCCCAATAACAATGCCCTTTCTTCGCATCTCAACCTGACGAAAGCATTATTTGACATGCTATCATCTACCACACCACCTTCCAATTGGACTCCCCCCACAAAATCACCATTGGTATCTACAACCAATGCTCGCAAAGTTGATCAGAAAGAACGAAAGCGAAAGGCGAGGCTTCCGATAGGTCAGCATGGAAATCTACTGCCGGCCATCGATCATCCTTTGTGTGCAGAATGCACCAACATTCTACTTTCTGTTATGGAAACACAGTTGGACGAATTACGGAGAGAAAGAGATGCATATCTGGCATTCGAGGATGAAGTGAAGAGGAGAGATGTACAAGATGCCGATGAAGCCACACAAGAGGAGATTGACCAACTGGCTGAACAGTCCCAAAAAGCTCAACAGGAATTGGCTGATGCTCAGCGAGAGTCTGATGCGGTGGATATAGAGCTGGAAAAGCTAGATGAAGAAGAGAAGCGATTGGAGGAGGAAGAGAAGCAATTCTGGCAGTCATACAGCGCTTTGAGTTTGGAAGCATCCAACTTATCAGCACAGAGATCATCATTGCAAGCCAGCTTGGCACAAGATAAAGCACAACTCAATCGACTGGAATTGACAAATGTATATAATGATGCATTCTCGATCGGGTATGATGGTGGATATGCTACCATCAATGGATTGAGGTTAGGAAGGATGCCGAACGATCAACGAGGAATTGAATGGAGCGAAATCAATGCAGCTTGGGGACAGACTGCTTTCTTGTTGGTGACGCTGGCAAGACGGGTGAATATCGAATTTGAGGAGTACAAAGTTCATCCAATTGGGTCTTTCAGCACAGTGGAAAAGCTGGGTGAGAGGAAAGAGATTTACGAATTGTATGGATCGGGAGATTGGCAATTAGGCCGACTGTTGACTGATCGTCGATTTGATCATGCAATGGTTGCCTTTTTGGAATGCTTGCGACAGCTATGTGTAGGAGTGCAGGGCCGTGATGAATCTGTCAAATTACCTCACTCAATCGTACGTGATAAAATTGGAGGAGCATCTATTCGATTACAATTTGGATCGGATGAGATTTGGACTCGTGCATTGCGAAATGTGTTGATGACTTTGAAGATTTTATTGGCTTGGTCGATCAATGATGCACCAGATGATGATATCAATGGAGATTTACCCAATGTAGAGTAGTAGCAGACAGAGTAATTGTATTTTTAGTCATTCATCATTTGATCCTAAAGGGGCGATCAATTTGGCCATACACGGATAACGCGCCGACAAAAGACGCGCTGCGCTTAAGCCACGTTTTAGGGTTTTGACAGGCAGCATGAGGTGTTGGTTGCACTTTCAAACAACACTTTCATCAACTTACATTGCATAACACACGAGAAAGAATAATCACTCATGTCAAGTCTGTTGGTTATATGAAAGTATGGCGAGTACAGAAAAGACTCAACAAGGTGGACCTTCAAGGCCATTATCGCCAACGAGTCATCCATTAGAGGATCCACTTTCGATTGGTGCGGCGATTGGAGAAGCAACGGGAAAAGATGACGATCAAGATGTACCTTCTTCATTTCAATCTCAAGGAACATTAAGAGGAGTGACAACTGTTCGTGCTTCAAAATCATCATCTGCTCAGCCACGACCAGGATACTTTGATTTGCAGAGATTAGCAAATCAACCTGATGTTTTGAACGACTCGAAATCGTCCAGCACATACAACGATGAAAGCAAAGCCAATACCACAATCAGAGGTTCGTCAAAGTCACGCGCTGGATCGATCTATTCAGAAAGCTCACACACAAGCGAAAGTGGTAGGAAGAGTGCTTCAAGTATTCACTCTCGCCGAAAACGACGTGGTACGACAGGCACCAATGATGATGCCAGCTCAATCAATAGCGATGCCGATGGAGAAAATGATGACGAATTACCTGAATGGCTCAATCGAGTTCGACATCGATCACCAGCTCCGATGACATTTCAACCTCGTCCGATTACACAAGTGTTGGACTTTTCTACGCATACACATTCTGATACTGCTTCTACGCCTTCTGTAATCGATGATAGCGGCGAACCCAGTGGTCCTTCAATTGATGTGCGCGCCAAGAACATACAAGAAGAGGGTGATTTGGAATCTCAGCTCAACAAAGCATTACAGGATACCGAAAAATGGAAGAAAGCTTACGAAGACGTTGTCTCTCGACATGCTCGAGAGTTGAATATGGTCAAAAAAGCACATGAAGCTCGAGAGGCTGCTCTGCTGGAAATTCTCATCTCGAGCGGAATCTCTAAAGCACGAGCGGAAAGAGCGTTGACCCATGCAACTGCTCAATCACAAGTGCCAGTCTTTCGAGCTGATGAACGTGTGGCAGATACGATCTCGCGAACAAAATCACCGATCTTACAGCAATCCGGACCTGCAACACAAACGCTCAGTTCTATGGCAAAGAGTACGAGTAGTGAAGAGCGGGAGCTTCCTGCTTCTATTATGGAAGCAATGCTAGATGATTTTCATTCAGGTTTCTCAACACCCGTTACTGCATCGAATGCAAGATCCAGCAGTCATAGTGAATCAAGGTCACAGTCCCCTGCCCCTTCTGCACGCTCATCTATGAGTCGATTTATGCAACCAAATGCTCCGACGAATGCATCTGCAACAACTTCAAATACCCCTCCAAATACCAGCAATGCACCTAGCACTTCTTCACTCAATGGTTTCTTTACGTTAAATTGGCGTAGGAAGAAGCCATCAGCTCCAACTACTACGAATGGAAAAGTTCAACCGGGAACTGGAACGATAAAACCTACAAAACATGTACGCGAATCATCTACTCTCTCACCTCCAACGACTGATGCAACTGCCACTCTGACCAGTGCATTGGACAAAAATCGAAGACGATCCAAAGGACGAGAACCGAATGTGACACGATTGCCTAGCCTTTTCGGACAAGAAGGGACAGGCAAAGATAAACAGTCTGTGACGCAAGAACTTGAGCCGATTTTAGCTCATGATTTCCGACCTCTGACATTAACAATGGCAGCAAGACGAAGGAATGGTCCAAAGCCGCAACCGTTCGAAAAGATCAAAGGAGGTGATACCCAGACCAGCTCTGCAGCGCAATCTGAGAATGAATATCAGTCATCTGGAGATGAATTTGAAGTGTATGGAGGCAAGCATCTTTCACCCGAAGAATTGGCTCAACGTGTTGCTTCGACTATTCAACGTCAGCGGGAAGCTGGAGCAGAAGATACAATGTTGACCGATCAATATGGTTTTGTATATGACGCAACACCTTCGGATGTCCGTCTGTTACGAAGAGCGCGAAAAGAAGAAAGTCATGCGCCAGCTTGTTTGACGGGAATACGAGTCGGTGTCAGAGCACGAGGAGGAACGGATAGTCAAAGTGAAGATGAAAAGGTTGGAGGGGATGTAGATTCCGATTCAGAAGTGTCAGGATCAGATGCAAAGAAGGAAGATGGAGAAGTAACACTAACGAAGCCAAACGAATCCGTCGAAGCGGAAATGCTTTCTTCTTTGGCCACTTCAGTACTTCCTACACCTGAAACTTCTTTGGACGTTGCGCCTACTCCAAGTACGCCTGGCTTCTTGGACATTGCATCAAGTAAACCCTTGGTGAGTGCATCATCATTCACTGCCGCTTCACAAGTATCAGGCAAAAATGGTCCAACGAGTCCCGAGGAGGAGCGACTACATTTCCTCAGAGATGCAAAGGAAGAAGGAACAAATGACACAGAACAAACAATTAGTAGCGGGCAAGGTACAGTAAGACGCAAAGCAAATGCTTCCGTAACTGTAAGGAGGTTGTTGGCACAATTACAAGAAATGCATTCAAAGAGGCAAGATGAACAACAGGCAGAATGGGATGCCTTTTTGGATAAGAGGAAAGCTCTCTTACAGAAAGGCGGTACAGAGAAAGTTGGTGGCGGAAATGCAAGCAGGGATAGTAGTATGACTTCCAAAGCCGTTGATGCGGTTCGCAAGGGTGGAGATGCTTTTGGATTTGCAAGTTCAGTGAATGATACTACACCCACCCCTAACGGCGAATCGAATGGAACTGGAGCAAATAAGCAAGCTTCAAAACGTGCAAAGGGAGAAGAGGAGTGGAGTTTAGGTGGCTTGATCGGACTGGGTCAATTGGGCAGCAATCCAAAAGATCAACAGGAATTCCAAAGATTGATCCAAGGCGGAATCCCGTTGATTTATAGACCAAAGCTTTGGTATGAATGCAGCGGCGCTTTTGATCGTGTTGAGCCTGGGCGCTATCAGGAACTGTTGGACGAACATGAAAATGAAGAGAACGCATGTACAAAGCAGATCGATTTAGACGTAGGACGGACTATGCCCACGAATATCTTCTTCGCAGGAGATGGACCGGGTGTCGCTAAATTGCGCAGACTCTTGGTGGCCTATTCCTGGTACAATCCACAATGCGGTTATTGTCAAGGTATGAACAATCTTGCTGCAACGCTTTTGTTAACACATGCAACCGAAGAGGAGGCATTTTGGGTCCTTGCAAGCTTGATCGAGAATATTCTACCGGTGGACTACTTCACAGCACATCTACTTATTGCACAAGCCGATCAACGGGTTTTGATTGATTTTGTGCAAGAGCTGATGCCCAAATTGGCAGGACATATAGACGAATTGGGAGTGGATTTACCCGCTGTGACATTTGCATGGTTCTTGTCTCTTTATACAGACTGTTTGCCGGTGGAAACATTGTTCAGGGTTTGGGATGTTCTATTTGTGGAAGGGATGGGAATCTTGTTCAAAGTGGCACTTTCGATCTTTATGTTGAACGAAAAGGAGTTATTGCGAACCAATTCTCCCTCTTCATTCTACAGCCTCATGCATTCAATGACGAGCCATCAATTCTCGGCTGATAAATTATTGGCGTTGGCATGTGAAGGTTTACGATCTTCGGTAAAGATGGACAAGATCGAAGAAAGGCGGGCAAAGCATATACAAGATCTACAGATCGAACTAGGCCTTGATCCAACGGAGATCGGGCATAGAACTCCGAGCGGCTCATCTATCCAGATGTGACCGAATTAATTATCCAATTCTTTTTTATGTATACTATATTGTACTCGTAACGAACTCATGTTTGCATTCCCATAACTTCCCGACCGGGCGGCGTATGCATTCCTTCACGTCCCGATCGTGTTTGTTGATCTGTAGTGCGAGTAGAGCTGCTCCAGTTCAACCATAAAGGACTAGTGATCGTGCAAATTAGTGTTTTTCTCTTCTTTCTTATTGCACGTCCATATGTATGCATCACATCTGTTACAGAAGCCATTTAAGTATTGACACTTTATGAAATGAATGATACGAGATATAACAAGGTAGCCGTCTTCACTTTCACTTCATAAAATATTTTCTAAATGCTTTTCGACCACATGGTAAGGTGAATCAAATTTAAAATTTATGAATAAGAGACGACAGGTACTACAAGCGATGTGAAGCTTTGAGCGGTATCATCACGATCACTTGCCGAGATTTGGACGAGTTACACCACCCCGTTGTTGTGCAACTCTACTGTCAACTTCGTGGCTTGCGATTCGATTCAATTCATTAGTATGATAATCCATTTGCTTTTGGTGACGGTATTTATTAATCCAATATTTACTTGATTCTTCTTTTTTCTTCTTATGAAGATCATATTGTTCAAAATGATAACTAGGACGACTGGTAGTCTCCGTTTTGAATTTTGGTAAACAACCCGTCAAACATGCCGTGAAGCCATTTGGCAGGCAATGAACAGTACTCAAGGAGAGTGCAATAGCAAAGGATACAAAAAGGCGATTGAGATGCATTTTTGCAGCTTTTTATGATAAAGAAGGGAAGCAGAAAAGGTTGAAAATGATCTTTTTATGTCAATTGATCAACAGGACGGGACGTCAACAAATGCTGTGATGAAACAACTCTACAAGAGAGGTTAACGCCAGGTTTGCGTTGCACAATTTGGAAAAAGACAAGCAATAGCTGAACGCCCCCTTTACGCCGTGAGGATTTACAAGATCACATAGGAGTTATAGCAAAATGTGTAGATATGTCATAATATTAGAGAAGTTTAATCATCATGGCGTTGTCGAAAACAAGACAAAGAGTTGAAAGCAGTAAATCTAGTTAAATTGTAGAAACGCCCTTTGATCTGGCAAATCATAGGAGAGGAATGAGAGGAGCTAAGAAAACAGGGCAAGGCTTTCTTTCCTCTTCCTCTACTATATATCTTCTATAAAGTCATCCCTTCTAAGCCACTTCGTTGATTCGCAATTGACTCTTTAGCCTTACGGAGATGTTGCCTTAGAAATTGATTTGAATGATGATGAGCTCTTGATAGATGTTTAAGATTGCGAAAACAATTAAGACAGCCTGGCTGCGTCGATTTATCGAGATGATGTTGAACCCGAGCTTGATGATGTTCAGCTGCTTTAGGTGATGCACTTGGAGACTCAGCAGAGGAGAACGAATCAGTTCTTGTTAAAGTAGATGACGAGCAACCAAAACAATTTTTGACTTTATCGACTACACCTGCTGGTAAGCAATCTACAGTTTGAGAGCTTAAGGCAAGCAATGTATATAGGAATACGTAATTAAGAAGCATGTTGGAATGCTAGGATGATGAGAAAGAAAGGAAGGAAGGGATCGAATTGAATTCTTTCCTTTTAATACCACTCAAAGTTCATCGGGGTCTACGCCTGATAAACGCAAACGCAAATTCAAATACATGGCTGTGATAGCATTTGATGAAAGCACATATATTCATGCATGCTGCGTACGCATCTTTTTTCGAGTATAGGCTATAATTCTAATGGCATTCCGGGGTTATATGAATTGAGTACACAGGAATATCATTAAATCAATTTGTTAAAGAACAAACAAAGGAGAAGAAAGAATAGACATCATAAATGTAAAGGCTTAGACATTGCTTCCACTTTTGCCAGCTTTTCATTTGCATCATCAAGACGCATATGCAGCAACTTATCTTGATGATGATGGAATCTTTCATTATGGAAATCCTGTTGCTTACCTACGCTTTCCTCTGCCACTCTGGCATGATGTACCATTCTGTCTTGATGATGAAACTCCCACGAAGCTGAGGGTGACTTTGGTGTGTCTGGTTGTGTTGATGAGGACTTACTCCAACCGGTCAAGATCTTTGGAAGCTTTAATGGACGATCGTCACCGCCAGCAGGTAACGCATTGGCAGATTGAAAGAATACCGTGAGGTAAAAGTAGATTAAAGCGGATGTGAAAAGCATGATCGTTCACTCAAGATATTATGAAAGACAAGAATGAAAATCACTCATTCGTGTCTCTTACATACCTCTTTGTTTTGCGAAAGTACAGCTTGCTATGCATTAACTTTGAGCAGGGGCTGAACACAGCCGAGTACACAAACTGGAATGCTTATCGTGGCAAATGTGCATACTGTTAACCAGGCTGATATAGCACAGCTTAATCTCATAGCGATCGTCAAACACAGGTTGTACAGTATAATAATAAATAAAACATTTCAAGCAAATCATGAGAAAACGTATGGTATGTTATAGAGTATATGTGTAAGGATATGAGAAAACCGATTCGTTGTGTCAATTAAACGATTCTGTATGTGTTTGTTTGTTTCCGGGGCAAATGCATGTAGGGATAAAAAGTACAAATGGTATGGGGTAAGAAACAGTTAACAAAGGTGGGTATGGATTTGGATTTGGATTTGGGTTTGGGTTGGAGGCGGCGCTTCGTGCAAAGTTCGACAGACCGATCAACGGCCTGCTGGTGGTAAACTGAGATGATCATCAGAATCAATGGGTGGTGAACGTTCACCTCCGGCTGCTAAATCTGACCAAAATAAAACATCTCCTCGTTTGAGGTTACGATATTTGCTTGGCGGGTGAGCATAGATGAATGGATCATTGCGATATGCTTTCTCTTCTTCATCTTCGAATTCATCATCATCTTCGTCTTCATCCAAATCATCGTCTTCCTCCTCCTCGTCTTCGTTTTGACGATTTGCGTTGGCATATCTGCTGCTTGGGTATGCTTGACTATAAGTGAGCATTTGTGGGAAAGGTGGAAGATAAGGTGCGGTCATTACGCCTGGTTCTCCGGGAACGTATCTTCTTTCGCGTACTGCAATTTCTGCGCAATGCAAGACGGTTCGATGACCGTTAGAACTTCTTTGATGTTTTGCAACACTGTTTGTGCATCTTTGACATGGTGATACGATGTGATAACCAACCGCATTCCCGCAACCGTAACAGCCCAAACTTTGGGTAAGACAATCACACGTACGTTCAACAACCGGTTCATGAGGCGCAGAAGGTTCTGCCAAGCGGGAAGGAGCATGCAAGGCACCGCAATTTGGCATAGCATCGGTTGAATATAAAGTGATATGTGGGCGCAATAACAAAACCGCCTTCATTCCACGATCCGTCAAAAAGGTTCCGCAACTTTTACAATTGATCAAATAAACACGATGTTGAGATTGAGCTGGATTTTGTGGAACCTGTTGCATACTTCTCGTTGCACGACGACTGAAAGAATCAGCCCTTGCTTGAGCTTGAGAAAGTGCTTGAGCGCGTTGTTCCATCAATTGTTCTTGTTGTAAAAGTGCATCATTTGCTTCCCTTCTTGCACGATTGAAAGCTTCTTCCCTTTCCCGTCTTTCAAAATGACGACGAATTTCATCATAATCAATCGTATCCGTTCTACTCATCGTCGTCGTTGTTGTTGGATTATGTCGCCTTCGCTGTGATGGACGTTCTGCTTGTCTGTCAAGTTGTCTTTGATATTCTTCTCTGTTTCTCTGTAATTCGATCAAATGTTGTGCCCTTGATGGTGTTTGGGTTGTTGGTTGTGCCATCTTTGTGTGGGGGTGAAGTAAAGGTGTAATTTATAGCAATTCGGTTTAAAGGTGTCCAACTGGTAATTGAAGTTGATTTAATGATCGAGGGGAAGAGAAAAAGCGAACAAAGACGATCGATCTTATATACCAATGATGAATTGATAACCCTGATCAAGGAACCAAAAAAAGAGAGGGGGAACGGATGTTTCTTTTGTTGTGAACCTTAATCATATATATACTTTGAGTCTCTTTGAGTCTTTTGAGTCATGATCGGGAACAAAAACAAAGTTTAAAGTTGCACATTCCCTTTGTGGAATATTCAAGCCTTGTTTTACATTTTCTGATTGAGCATGTATGTGTGTGTGAGAACGGATGTTTCTTTGAAAAGAAGAAAGGGAAAGAAAGGAGTTTGTGGCTCGCACTTCAATAAGGATGAGAAAAGGAAAGAAAAGAGATCTTATGCATGCATGCATTCAGTCAAAAGTATAGTGCATACATTCTCCCATGCAATTCAATAATCGATTGATGTATGTGGCGCTGCAAAGTGCATGAAACAACACTAAAAGAAAGAAAAGGGGGAAAGAGGGTGGGTGCTCTCAGCATACGCACGCGTTTCGATCGGTCAAAAAAGGAAATTTGACGCCTGGCATTTAAATAAAAATCTTGTTTTAAGTTGTCGGAAATTCAACTTTTGACCGTTTATGAGCCGATTTTCTTATGATGATTAAGATAGCGTTAAAAAGGTGGATCATTTGTTTGTTTCTTTTTCTTTTTTACATCAGTGCGGATCCGCTTACTTGATTGAGGCTTTTGTACCCTATACGGGGTAGGGTAATCTTTTCTACACACTTTCTCATACCTAACAAGCTAGAATGCTCTTCTAATTTTTATTTCTTCATCCCGTTTTCTATCAGGAGTGGGTCTTCCTCAAGCACTAATTTCCGATCTTCCATATGGTAGGGGCCTTACCCTTAGCCTTAGTGCCTCAGTTTATAATTCTCCGATCCTTAATTATCAACGCCGAACGCTCGTTCCCATGACTTTCTCGAGCTAGTACTCTTCCATTCGAATTGATTTCTATTCGGAAATAAATTTCACATTCACATTCACTTCAAAAAGGGCGGTGACTTGCTTTATTCGTTCTAGACCAATGTTTTAGAAAATAACATTTGAGTATTATGCCTGTGAATAACACTCAAATGTCTCACATCATGCCGGTCCGTACAAAAGGCAGTGTGCCCGTCACTACTCTTTTACGCGTGAGATAGTTTAGTACAGGTGCAGTGCATTAACTCGCATGCGATGCGCGGCTGTACCAATGATCCGGAACAATTCTTGGTTACCCTTAACAAAAAAGTCTCACCATTTTTTAACCCTCGTAGCCGTCATTATCAAAACAAATTTCCATTCGGGTCCGAAAATTGATAGTTCCACTCAATTCTGCACAGCCATTCACAGTGAAGCATTTTCTCATGACTTTTAAGCGAACTTTTTTGCAGATTAAGCTCGAGCCTAAAATAGGTTGTATAATAGGTTTCAAACCTTATTCCATAGTCACAAAAGAAAATATCGCTGACCTACTTAGATTGCAATCAGTGATATACACTCGATGGAAGAAAAGGAGAAGAGACCCTGTCTGAAGTGAGAGTAATCAATCCTCGGTTAAATGTCGACTCCACACAATGACTACATCATTGTTCTTTCCCGTGTTTTCAATCAATCACCGGCACTCCTTTCCTTAAACCGATCTTTGACCAAGATCGGCACCGAAGGCTAGCGTGTGTGTGGGTGTGGGTGTGGGTGTGGGTGTGTGTATTTATAAATATCTCTTGACATGCGGTCAAGTAAAAGAAAAAGAAGGAGATGTTTCGGAAATTTATTCATTTATTTTTTTTTCTTAGCATGTGTTTCTTGCAGCGGAAAGAAGGAAATTGAATTCAGTCAAGACATTTGTGACTATTGTTAACGTCGGAAAATGCGGAGTTGTGAGCATTATGTTATTTGTTACCGAAATCAAGATTTCACATGCCAAGTAAACGTAATTCGCCCGTTTTATTTCCATTCATGCTTGTCATAGCGTGCAACCATCACGGAAATAGAAAGGGGATAAAACGGCTTTATACGACCAGAACTTGTCACTCCCCACGCAATAAAATAACTTCACCTTTGAGAAATAAGATTTGTTCTTGCGTAAGGGCGAAGAAACTGTATTTTAGAGGAAAAGATCATGTGGAAAACTTTAGCAAGCTTAGTCAATATGATATTCAACGACTTACTTTGAGTAGAAGCCTTAGATATCGAATTCCAGTCTAGTTATGACAGGCTTTTGGATGATTTTTGCATGAACCTAAACCTGGTTGCGGAACAGCTTGAACCATAGCGGCTGAAATGATTAAGGCAAAGCACAGTAAAAGATGAGAAAAGCGCATTTTTGATCAACCAAAAGGAAGGTTGGTTATTTCAGATGAGAAGATATTGTGAGGGGAAAGATTGACCTTTCTGTACCTTATTGTGCCGTTTATATAGGCGTTTGTTGCTTTGAACATAATATTGAGCGGCTCATCAGCTTCCTTTGTAAGGAGAAAAGGAGGCGTAAATTCTCATTCTCTATTTTATGAAAATATCGGCGCCCCTTTAGCATGTCAACAGATTATGACGTAAAATTAGCAAAGGAGCTGAAGACAATTCATTGATCCAGTACAAATTGAAAGCAAGCACAAAAACCTTTACGCCAAAGAGAGGCAGGCTCCGTGAAACTCATCGGAGTCAGTTTAAATTCACATGTGCTTCGCACCGCATGACAGCAATGATTTAAAGTACCTTATGAAGCCGTGCGGAACAAATATGTATTTAGCAAGCCGCCTTTTCATGGTCTACGATGGGCTGAGTGGACATGGTGACAAGAAACGCCGGCGCTACACGTGAAGATGCATGCATAAGATTAATAAACGCGTCTGACCTTTTAAAGTGTTGTTCTCCAAAACCATAGAACAGTACACGCGAATCCACCATCATTATTCATTCTCTTCATTCTCAAATGATTATTTAAGAGGCATCCTGTCATGCATTAAACTATTCAAAGCACTCCAAAATGTCTGGTAAGGGAAAAGAACGATCTCTAGGGGAGGATGGCGCGGGATCCACTGCTGATGGCGACAATGAAGGGGACCGGTCATCATCAAAAGACGTTCAACCCACAAATTCAGATGTATCGCTTTCCGATCTCAGCACTATGTCCGCAAAAGAGAGGCTGGCAGCATTTGCTAGACGAAGACTATCAGAGAAATTGAATGGATCTAGTCCGAATGCGAATGGATCTAGGCCGAATGCGATACCCCGAAGACGGGTAAGCTCTGCTGCTGCTGCTTCTTCTCCGTCATCTTCGGTAAAAAGATCTGCATCCACCAAACAACCAACATCTTCGGTTTCCAACCGTCTGGAACCACTCTTTTCGTCTAACAAGCCAGGCTCATCATCACCTGCAGCACCTATACTACGTATTGAACAACGTCGTCAAGAGCGAGCTCGAGGAGCGGGAACGCATGCAATCGAATCCCGCAATGTGAATTTCCCAAACCTGTCACCTGCATCTACCAGTAGTATGATTTCAACGCCCAAAGTGATGAAACCTCCTGTCAGTAATGCAAACCTGGAAAAGCGAAGACAAGAACGAATGAGAGGTAGTGGAAAGCATGCGATTGAGAAACGGCATGTGGACTTTCCTACACAGTCACCAGGATCAAGTCTCAGAGCAACAAGCGAAGCTAGATCAGAAGCATCCACTGAGGATCAAGCATTGCAGAAAACGCCAACAAAAGCACAGCAGAAAGCTTCAATCGAAGCACCTATTCAACCACAGCGCGAGACTCAAGTCAAATCATCAGCACTGCCATTGCCAACATCAGGCAAGACATCCGAAAAGGGAGGCCCGGGTAAATCTAAAACTTCAGCGGAACCAGAAAAATCAGCAAAACCGACAAAGGCACAAGAGGCAAATATTAATCAGAATGCTGGTGCAGTCGCCGAATCGCCATCCGATCTTTCCACCAATACCATTCCCGATATGGAACAAAGAAAGATGGAACGAGTACGCGGGAGTGGTACGCATGCGATCGAACGTCAACGAGTACAATTCCCTAATCCTTCGCCGGCTTCTTCCAGTATTCTTGATTCAAGTCAAATGCCAAGCTCAAGTCCTGCCTTTTCAGCACGCAAGGATGTAGAACCAAGCAGAGCTACAATGCAACAAACGCCATCACCTGCTGCTGACAGAAGCGAATTGCCGGCGTCTGAACAGTCAATCGTCATTCCGAACATCGATCAAAGAAAGCTTCAACGAGTAAGAGGAGCTGCAACTCATGCAATCGAGCCTCAGCGAGTACAATTCCCAGATCAATCGCCAAGCGCATCTAGTGTTTTAGATCGAATCGAAGAGTCAATTTCTGAGCCCTCTGTTATAGTTCCTGACATCGAGAAACGTAGACAGGAAAGAGTCAAAGGAGCTGGAGTGCATCCGGTACAAGCTCGTACTGTGGACTTTACAGATCAATCTCCTGTACCATCTATTGCTGCTTCTACTTTTTCTTCTTTGGTCAATACACCTGCACCCGCTGAAAGACCAAAAGGCATCGATCAACGTCGTCAAGAGCGAGCTCGAGGTGCCGCAACACATGCAATTGAGCCGCAACGTGTGCAGTTTCAAGATCAATCACCAAGCTCATCTAGTACTTTAGACAGAACCGAAGGACCAATCTCTGAGATGTCGGTGGTTGTTCCGGACATTGAGAAACGTAGACAGGAAAGAGTCAGAGGAGCTGGAGTGCACCCAGTACAAGCTCGAATCGTGGGCTTTCCAGAACAGTCTCCGGCGTCCACTATGATGAATGATACGTCATATTTTGACAATTCTTTCTTGGATCCTGCTTTATTGGATGTGAGCAACAACTTTGGTGAATATCAATATACTCAACCTGAAGATGATGTGATGTCAGGAGAAGATGAAGCCGCACCACAGCCGGAAGACGATCAGATGATTGTCGAAGAACCCAAAGACGATCAGACAATGGTCGAAGAACCGAAAGAAAGTACACCTCCAGCTAAACAAAAACGAAAGAGAGCAAGCAAAGCGAAGCAAGTAGACATCAGTCGTGAGGCAAGCGTTGCAACGGAAGACTCTACTGGCCAATCAAAGAGACGCAAAAAGCTTCAGCCACCAAATGACTTTGATCCTAAGATGAGAAGAGCAATTGATCGACCTTTACCGCTTTGGCAAAATCCAAGGGCTTATTTGACAAATGAAGAAAAAGCAGAAGCACAATTGCAATTGGCCGATATAATGGAATTATGTATTCGAAAAGGAACAGCCGTTGGAAGAAAACTTTCTGGTCCTTCAGATGCAGATGTGATTTATACGGTGATCAAGAGAGAATTTCAAAAAGTGGCAAAAACTATACCAAATCACAAAAAACCATTCTTAAGTGAACTTTTGGATGAATTAGTGGTTCACTTTCGTGAATTATCACAAAAGCATACCACTCGACATCAACTTATCAAAGATTTAGAACTTGCCCAACAGAAAAAAGTTTCTATGCGTAGAATCGTACATGAACAGCGTGGAAATGTTGTCGAGGCTTTACGAACGCTTGACGGTTTGAAACAGCAACAAGAAAGCGTAATCATCAAAACAAAGAATGATCAAAGGATTGCTTCTTTCCTGACAGATTTGCGAGAAAGATATGCACCTTTGTGGAATTGAGGCACAGCCTACATGATTTATCCCCTATACCTTTTATCATTTGTACCATCACACAATATTCATCATAACAATATACCTATTATTGCTATTCTAAACGTACATATACAAGACATAGTAAACCTTAACGCTCTCATTCGAGCCCGGACTGCTGTGTGAATTCGGTGTGTTGTTTCAAATCGGCTTCTGTCACCGTTGGTGGAGCTTGTTGGATTGCACGCAAAAAGTCTGACAAGATTAATTGCGGTTCCAAAAGTTCTGATCCATCTACTGCTTCCCATGTCATCTCTTTGGCTTGTGGATCACCCGGACTGCATGGAGTCCAAAATTCTCCCGTTAAACCTTCTTCAGGTTGTGCTTCTCCATCTTTTGCTTTTTGAGGAGCAGTCACTTTTTTGAAATGCGTTGCGCTCAATACCTTTCGAACAGGTTGCATAAGTGCATCACGCACTAAGACTGCGATATCTGAACCTGAATAACCTTCGGTCTTGACGGCAAGCTCACGATAATCTTTATTGGTGAGTGAACAGGGTGTAGATCCAACTTGCAATTCAAACATCTTCTTTCGTGCTTCTAAATCGGGTAGAGGGATATAGATACGTTTCTCAAATCGTCTTTTGATGGCCAAATCCAGTTGCCATGGAATATTTGTTGCTCCTAGCACCAGCACACCACCTGCTCCATTACCAACACCGTCCATTTGCACCAGAAACTCAGTCTTGATACGTCTGCTTGCTTCACTTTCACCTTCTCCACGAGTACCACACAATGAATCCACTTCGTCGATAAAGATGATTGATGGTTTTGCCTCTCTTGCCATTGCAAACAGATTTTTGACCAATCTTTCACTTTCACCCATCCATTTACTGACCAAGTCACTACTACTGACACTGAAGAAGGTAGATTTTGCTTCCGTTGCGACTGCTTTTGCAAGGTAACTTTTACCCGTTCCTGGCGGTCCATAGAGCAAAATACCACGCCAAGGCGTTCGTTTTCCTGTGAATAGTTGTGGGAACTTGATTGGAAGAATGACGGCTTCTTTGAGAGAATCTTTGGCTGTCTGCAGACCGGCAACATCATCCCAAGATACATTTGGTGTCTCTGACAAGATTGCACTGGATAGACCGGCTCGCAATCGCTTTGTCTCTGCATCCACACCATCTTCATCGGCGCCTTTCTTTGTGCCGTTTGCTCCTACACCTTTTTCACTTCCGTTTGCTCCGATTGCTGATCTACCTTTGTCTTCTTTTTGTGAATTAAGATGTGCTTTAAGTGATTCAGCACGATCTAAATATTCTGCCACTTTGTTTCGCAACATTTGTTTCATTCGATCACTCTTTTCGTATTTGATCGCCATCATGAAAAAGTCTAATGAGTTTTGATAAAGCTTGTATGCTTCTTGATAATTTTGTTTTGTATCTTGTTCGACAGCATCTTTGACAATGGCAATTGCCTTGTCAAGAAAGTTTGAATTTGACATGCTTGTGAGGGAGGAGGGAGTAATGGTGGAGAGAAGCATACAAGGCGGGGAATGTGTGTACACTGACTGTTAAGCATACATACACAAGCATACGCAATCTGTATGGCCCAGACCCTGTGTTCATTGATAAGAATTGATGTGGATATTTGTATTGCAGACGCGTCTTATGCCTTGAGTCGGACACTGCACACGTGCGGAACCTTTTTTGGGTCAGATTCGCACGGTTAGAAGAAATTCAAGAATGACAACGATGATAAACCTTACTTTGCTACCAGTCACTCCCTCACAAGAATCGACGATGAAGCCGGTCTTAACGCCGATCATATATTGTGGGCCAGGTGCAAATCTGTATCCGCTATGTGATGAAATTGCATCTCAACCGCCTTCCTCTATAGGCTCAGCGGAAATCTCTTCAGCTAAAGCTCTTTTACCATTGGCAAATAGACCTATGCTAGCATTTGCACTGCAGAGCGTCTTTTCGGCAGGATTATCAAATTGTATCGTTCTAGCACATTCTTCACAGCATGCAGCTATCGTTCGAGCTCTCTCCACTATCAAGCTGGTAGCACCACCCAACCTTGCTTTCTTGACCGACAATAAACGAAGACCCAAAGAGACAAAAGATCATGATCGATCAACACAAGGAACAATCACATTCATTGACCCGACTCTATCTGGACCACCTGCTATTCCGACTGCTTCTAGCTCGGCAGGTGCAAATGCCACAAGCTCAGCATCCGCCATCACCTCATACACTGCCAATGGAAGCATGCGAGTTGAGCTTTTACCTCTAGGACCGTATGATGGAAACACAGGTGTGAACAAAGCACCCAATGAAATACAGAAGAACTTTCGCAGAGGTCCTCTAGGAACAGCTGAACTTCTACGATGGATCGCTTCGATAGGGAAATTAGATTCGGATCCGCTCGTTTTGCCAGTTGATTTGGTAGCTCCCGCTTTCCCTCTACGTGATTTGATCGATGCATATGTCCAGTCCCAGGCACTATCACCTAGAACGCCAACAGCTTGTTGTGCATTGTACGAACGTGGAGCAGGAGAAGGAGTCGGGAAAGAAAGGGAGAAGGAAGGACCACCACGCCTCATCTCTGCTTATGCTCCTGATGAAGCAGAAAGCAGCAACAGATTGGTCTTCCTACAGGATTCAGATTTATCAGAAGATTTGAGCATTCGAAGATCGCTTCTCGAGGAAATGCCCCAGACTCGCATCTCAACGAGACTATTAGACGCTCATGCATACATTTTCAATAAACAGCAGCTCTTGCCTTTGCTTGAATCGAATCCAAGACTGACAAGCTTGCGTGATCATGTCTTACCATTGATCGCCAAGGCTTCATGGATGAAGGGCTTGCGAGAAAAGGCAAATTGGCACTTACCCGGCGAACGAGATGACGAGTCGGATGATGTGCTTATGGACACGACAGAGGATCTTGCTGTTGCAGATTCGAATGGTACACTATTACACGAAGAGGCAATCGGTCGCAATTCGAATGGAAGAAGTGGCTCCAAACAAAATGAGCAGATTCGCTGTTTGACCGTTGTCGTCAGGCTTGATTCGAGCCCAAGCAATGGAGCGGAAGTGTCTTCTTCTACATTACCACGATTCATTGCCAGAGCCAATACTGTGGCTACGTATTTGGAAAGCAATAGATGGCTTCTGCGAGCCTGTCAATCACAGGAAGATCAATCTGCATTTGTCATGCCAGACATTGTCGAATCAAGCATTCAACCAATCTCCGAGCCTGTGGAGGGCACACCAAACATAGCACCTTCAGCGCAAATCTCGCAGGATTCCATCCTGGGTGCTCATGTACGTGTTGGTGAGAGGGCAAGTATAAAACGCTCCACAATCGGACACCATTGCGAGATCGGTAGAGGTGCACGCTTGTCTGGTTGTATTCTGATGGACGGAGCAAAAGTAGGAGAGAATGTCAGGCTGGAAAACGTGATTTGTTGTGCATCTAGTATTATAGGTGATCGCTGTACTCTCAAAGACTGTGACGTTGCTCCTGGTGTCCATGTGGCAGCAGAGACGAATGTCAAGAACGAGAAGTTGGTAGGAGAACATGAGGAGGAGGACGAAGATGACGAAGAGGAGGGATGAAATAACAGAAAATTAAATAACATTGTACAAATACATTTGTGTGAACAAAAAGAGCAACATTCTATACGTTGGCCATTTCGATATCCTTACTTTCAGCTGCTTCACCATTTGATGCTGTAACAGCGGCCAAGTCAGCCTTTGCTTGATCATCAGAAACGCCTGCAATACCATTGCCATTCTCAACCTGCTGTTGTCTTTCTTTGAGTGGGTCCATAATTCCGGGGCCTTTTGATTTATATTCTGCGCGATTTCGCCTTCCGCCTTCTCCTTCATCTTCACTGTCACTCAAATCTCCATCATTGGTGCGATGTTTGTCACGCCATTGTGGATCACGAGAAGAACGAATATCTGCATCCATTTGATCGGCAATCAATTCGTTCTCATCGTCAATCTCTCCATCAATCGCCAGCCGAGGTTCAACATGTCCTTGAACAGAGGGAGCAAAGGTTGTTTGCCTTAGATTTTCAAACACTCTCTCTTTGATTTTGTCCAGATAAGCAGGTGTGTTGAGATCTTCACTGTTGTTCGGCCTGACATCCAGGACGTAGTCAGGACCAAAGTACTCATAATACTCATTGACTGGCAAATGCGGACTGAGTTCCTGGCCAGCAGCAATTCCAGTTTCGTATGCCCATGTTCTACTGACATTACGAATGGTATATCCACCTCCACCCAATAGCAAAAGGGGCAACTTGAACTTCTTGACAAATTCGACACAGTTTGCATGTCCTCGCATAGAAAGGTTGAAAGAACCTAGCTTGTCACCTGCAAGTGAATCGGAACCACACTGTAGCACGATTGCAGTTGGCTGATAGTGTTCCATGATCTTGCTAATGACAGGCTCAAAGATACTCTTGAAGCTCTCATCCGTTACTCCGTCTCGAAGTGGTATATTGCATGAGTAATGCTTGCCCTTTCCGTATCCAATATCACGTACTTCACCCGTTCCAGGAAAGAATTCTCCGTATTTGTGGAAACTGCACGTCATCACACGATCGGTGAGATAAAATGCTTCTTCGACACCATCACCATGATGGACGTCAATATCGATATACAAGACCCGTGGATGATACCGAAGTAGTTCCAATATACCAAGAACGATGTCGTTGATATAACAGAATCCACTTGCTTCTCCCTTTTTGGCGTGATGCAAACCTCCGGCCCAATTTACTGCGATGTCACATTTATCCCGCGATAGACGAGCGGCACCTTCCATCGATCCACCAGCTGAGATTGAGCAATACTCAAACAGACCATCAAATACGGGGCAATCGTCACCTACGTTGAACTTTGACTGTTCACGAACGTATTGATCGACGTTATCAGGAGTAACTCTATTGAGGAAATCCACATATTCATCCGTATGAAATTGCGTCATTTCCCTTTTAGTTGCCGGTTTAGCACGAAAGATTTCCATTTTTTTGTACAAACCATAATTCATCACCAAGCTATGACACATTCTGATCCTTGTAGGTTTCATTGGATGCCCAGGACCATAATGATAATTTCCAATATCGCTATCGAAAAAGTAACATACACGCGAATTTCCCGATTTTTCCGTTGGTGTCATTAATGGTTGAGCGGATGAATTTGCTGCACTTGCGATAGACTTATTCTGCGAAGCCGAATGACCTGAAGGCTGACCATTGGATGGCAAAAAAGTCAACGACATTTTGTGATTTTTTATAGAAGGATATGATGGTGAAGGGGTCCTACATGGTAAGTAGCCCAAGTAATAAAATATATGCACGGGCTTAAGCTTATGACAGGAAGAACTCTCTCTATGGCAGGCCCTGTAGGCGTATGGGTGAACAGCAAAACACGTGTCTGGGAAGAATAGCACAAAATCGGAAAGCAGCCTATTGCGCGCGCACGCACGCCAACTGTGGTATACTGGCTATTCCTAGCATCCCGAAACCGTTTTGGTGGGAATTCCATTTCTTCCTACCATCACAACAAATACAGCAAAGATGTTCTCGACAGCTTCTCGATCAGCAGTTGCGGCTTTACGCTCTTCAGTTCGTCCTTCGATGGCCGTCTCTGCCGCCAGACGTGCACCTTTGGCACCTTTGATGTCCACTCGTGGATATGCCGAAGCCGTCTCGGAAAAATTGTCATTATCGCTAATTCTCCCTCATGCTGCTCTCTTCGAAGGAGAAGTTACACAAGTCAACATCAACTCAACTTCTGGTGAAATGGGTATCTTGGCCGCTCACGTACCCAGCATTGAACAATTGGCACCCGGTTTGTTGGAAGTCTTTGAAGCAAATGGAACCAAGAAATGGTTTGGTGAGTAGACATAGAGGTTGGTATCCAGCAATCGACAGCATGCTAATCCTTTCCCTTTCTCAAAACAGTCTCTGGTGGATTTGCTACCGTTCACCCAAACAACAAACTCTCCGTAAATGCTATCGAAGCATACGAATTGGACCAATTCTCCCCAGAGGTGAGTTTGTGTGCTATAAAACAAGTTGTAACTAGTCACCGACCCTAACCATTCTTCTTTTCCCCCATCACAGGCCGTTCGTTCATCTTTGGCTGAAGCACAACGTGTTGCCTCCGGAGCTGGATCGCCTGAAGCAAAGGCAGAAGCAGAGATTGAAGTGGAAGTTTACACTGCTTTGCAAGCCGCTTTGGCCAAGTAAAGTAAAAGAATGGAAGGATAATTCACACGTTATACACACACATATATGTATACAAATGGTAATAGATATCATTGAGAGAATCATTTACGTGCTGCTACTGTGGGCTCCCAGGGGTTCTATGAGGTGTAGAGGAAAAAGTCAGCAGAGGGCTCGGAACTACCTTTGATTTTGGGAACTCACAATCTTTTGTCTCGTTGTATTGTATGTACGGAAAGATGCCCTCGATCCTGTTGTGCTGTCTGTATGTTGCTGTTTTGAGGAAGAAAGGGTTAGTGAGATTCTCAAAAAAAAGCACACAACCAATGTAGACCGACAAAACGAACTCCTTCTCCCACTGAAAAAAGGTGAGAGGAGCAGATACGCGGTCACAGGCCTGTCAAGGCTTCCTCTGGTCTTGGATCGTTTAGCAGATGGGAACTGCCACTGAGCAATAAAGCAGTCCATCGAATATAGATCCGGAGTATTTGTATTTCCCTACAAAGATACTCACAATTTCCCAGGTCTTATGTGCGGCTTGAACGATTGGGTCGACATTTGGTGGATCTTGTCGGATATGATGAAGCCATGAATGCCATTGTGGTTCAACTTGTACTGTATTGTAGTCATGTGCAGCATAATCGATCCATCTATGACGACCGGGCTGTTCCTCTAGGTTTTCAAAATATTTATTACCGAATCTGATCAGGGTGGAGAGCATAGGGTGTTAAGAATACTCTCTCTGATTGAAGCACTGCACCTTGGCCTACTTACGAATCTGTTCCCACCAATCTACCGTATTTTGGATCACCGATATACTGCAAATCCCTCCACCATTGCTTGAAACCGGCTTTGCGTAGATTGCTAATCGTTCTTGGTAGAGACATTTTTGAGGGAGATGGTTGTGTAAAGCAGAGAGTTGACTTTTGCGCGCTTATGTTTGGCAGGCTGGACTGATTGACTTTCTTTACGCCTACGCCTGCGTGCACGCTAACCAATGATAATCTTCCAGAATTAACACACAGCAGCCATCAATTAGCGTGTGCGGAACAGACAACCAACACTTTCCAGCAAAAGGTATGGTCAGAACAAATGCTGGTCTCGGTTATATTGCTGTTTTTGGCAATTAGTGCGTTTGTCTCATCGTCGCAGCCCCACTCACCACCTGTTCAAGTTCAATTACGATCACCATGGCCCAGTCCACCGCTCGTTTTGGAGATCTTGGAAGCTGTTCACGAAGAAAACGGAGATGCATTCTTTGATTTGATCAATCATTTATTGAATCCTTGGGTTTTGAACGTCAATCCCAGAAATCATGAAGGCGACTACGAACCGATATCCTTGATTGATGCAACGGACGAAGATGTCTTTCGACGTGCTCAAAATGTTATTAGCCAACATCATATGCTCCCAACTCTCGCACAAGAGCTCAATTGGAATACTTCACTAGCTCTAAGAACACAAGTGCCAAAGATTTCAGCATTTTGGCAACTGTATCAAACAAGTGGTGTTCTCGATAGACATGCAAGCAGACAAAAGTCCGAAGAGGAATGTGGAAGTTGGGTAGACTTTGAGGGAAAGGTGATTTGTACCGATGCCGAACTGATAGAAGCATTTGAAGCTTTCACCGGTCACAAGAATGATTTTCAGCCATTTCCGCCCATCACTGCCTCCGATCATGTCCTCAAGACCGGATCAAAGTCTGGCCCTATAGCAATATTGTATGCGGATCCATACACGAGCAACTTTTGGCCATTACACCATCGTTTGACAGAATATACTCTCGGCTCCAGACCAGACCATGCTCCTCTGCAGTATATCTTGCGATGGAAGCCTTCGAAGCATTTGGGAGATGAAACTCTTCCAGGCTACGGGGCTTACTTGGATCTCAAAAAGGTCGACTATCTCGTGATCGATGATCGTAAATTGGTCGAAGCAGATGGGCGTACCACAGAGTCGCACACTGTTCCGGAAGATGCTTTGCAATCTGCCGATGTTCAAGATCGTGATTGGCTCAACAAGCAACTTCATGCCACTGCAGATGATCAAACCCAGAGTATGGGTAACTTGTCAAAGGAAGAGATCAGCTCAATAGGCTTTAAAGCAGCATACAACATCATGAAGAGCTCGGATCCACTAAGAGCACTCCATCAACTCTCGCAAGACTTTCCTTCGCACGCTGTCGCCTTAGCAAGAAGCGCAGATGCGCCCAAATCTGAATTTTTAGAAGAGATGGAGATGCTCCATATGACACGCATCGAAGCAGGAGGAGAAGATGTCTGGATGAACGGCAGATCAATGAGTGGAAAGGAATTCCAAGCCTTCGGCTTGCTTGCAGCCATGCGCAATGAACGTACACTCATGCAATCTTTCACCTTGCTCAATCTTTCCAATCAACAAGCCTTCGAGCTTCTAACATCGGCGGAAGTCTCAAGCGCTTATACTACTGATGATTCTGCCCCTCCTCCTTTCTTCGATGCAAGTGATCGAATCGAGAGAAAAGACGGTGACAATGATACAGTCGGCGCAATTAGCTACTGGAATGACTTGGAAGATCTGGATGATCAACGGTATGGATTCTGGCCTGTAGAATTGGCATCTCTGTTGAGACCGATGTACCCAGGAAGCTTCCCACAGATCAGGCGGAATGTCTTCAACGTTATCCTCGCACTTGATTTGCGTCAGGTAGATGCGGTGAAGTTCCTCTCCGAGACTGTTCAAATGGCCAGTAGCAAGGTTGCTATTCGATGGGGTATCGTTCCATTTCTCTCGTCAAGTCCAGAATCTTCGCAGCTTGCCGATTTGTTTTGGCTTGCTCTAGAGCAACTCGGACCCACTGATACGGCCAAATATCTTCGCAGGGTTGCGTTTGCCGCTCAACAAATTCAAAGCGATAAAGTCAATGTCAGACGTGCTGGAGAAGAATTGGATAAAATGCTTCATACGACATCGACTGAGCGGGAAGAGCTACTTAAATCAACAGAATCGATTTCCCTTAAGCGACAAAAAGCGGCAAAGTGGACGAAGAGATTACGTGCAGATGAAACTGCTACCGGAACAGTATTTGTTAATGGTCAATTGATGCCATTCCATCCTCAGCTTTTACAAATATTACATCAAGTGGTTGCCATTCAACTGCAATCATTGGCAAAGTTGATCTATTATGGTGAAATCAATGATGAAGAGACTGATGTGTCAACATTCTTCTATGACTTGCCGACAACTCACACGGCGCGAAGCATTCTTCTCTTTCCACCTGAGGAAGGTCCAATCAAGACAAAAGCAATCGAATTGACAGGAGAGATTGGTGTGGTGTGTCGTAACGCACTTTCTACCGGCCCAGAAGCGTCCTCTTTGGCTGTCTGGCAGGTTGGGGATGTTGAATCAGAGAGAGGAAAGAAGCTTTTTGACATCCTTTCCACTTTGAGTGAAACACAAGAATTTCGACTTGGGTCATTGTCTTTGTCGTCATTTGGCCTGGGGCAGAATGATGGCACATTTGGCATTTTGATCAATGGCAGGCTCTTGTACAATCTTGATCCAAGCGAGTTCACACAAACAGACTTTGAAGCTTTGATCAAGCAAGAAAAAGCAAAAGTAGACAGCATCCCGAGCGAAGGGCAAGATCCTTGGCAGACGGTCGCAGTCTCTTCGATTGTTCACTCAGCCAACTTTGTGGAAAAGAGTAAGCAAGGTTTCTTTGTCTCTTCTTCCACAGCACGGTCAACTATCATGGATGCTATCGAAGCGGAACAATTCTCATTCTCTTTTGGTGATCGCAATTCATCTGCTCTTCGCTTTTCTGTCCTGGTGAACCCGCTAGGCAAGTCAGTACAGCAATGGAGCGGGGTCCTTTCAATGTTGGCAACGCAACCAGATGTTTACGTCCGCGTGATCTTGAATCCAAAGCAAAATGTAACGGAAGTCCCTCTCAAACGATACTACCGAGACAGTACGCCAAGTCAACTTCAATTCAATCCACAAGGCCAAGTCCTATCTTCATCACTAACGTTCAATGACATGCCAAATGAAGCTGTCCTGACAATGGGTCTAGATGCACCACCTACCTGGCTCACTATGCCTGTTGATGCGATCTACGATCTAGACAACATTCGATTACGCGATGCCGTCACGCCTACCGTTCGAGCGGTATACGAATTAAAGTATGTCCTGATAGAAGGTCATGTTCGTGATGACAAAAGCAAAAGCGTACCTCGTGGTCTGCAATTAGTGCTAGAATCTTTGGATGGCACACAAACACTTGACACGATTGTGATGGCCAATTTGGCATACTTTCAATTCCGTGCTGCTCCAGGCGTATACCGTTTGCGAATCCGTAATGGTCGAAGTTCTGAGCTTTTTGATATGATCAGTGTAGGAAATGCAGGCTGGGATAGTCCAACAGTTGAGGAAACGGGAGATGAGATCATACTCAACACTTTTCAAGGCTTGACGATTTTCCCAAGAATGAGCAAGAAGAACGGCAAAGAGAAGGAGCAGCTGGTAGAAGACGGTGAAGCCTCAACACAGAACGGCGATAGTAAATCCGGAATCTCTCCCGGAAGCATCCTACAGCGAGCACAAAGCATTTTCTCATCTGCTTCATCAAGTATTACGGGAGGCTCATCAGCCCAAGTGAATGTTTTCACAGTCGCAAGCGGGCATTTGTACGAAAGAATGACGTACATCATGATTCTGTCAACCTTGAAACATACGAAAGCATCGGTTAAATTTTGGTTCATTGAAAACTTCTTATCTCCCTCTTTCAAAAGATTCATTCCACTCTTGGCAAAAGAGTACAATTTCGACTACGAGCTTGTTACGTATGCCTGGCCACACTGGTTACGTGGACAAAGTGAAAAGCAACGTTCGATTTGGGGTATGAAGGTACTCTTCTTGGATGTATTGTTCCCGTTGGATCTTCAAAAGGTCATCTTTGTTGATGCCGATCAAATCGTTCGTGCTGATTTATTGGAGCTTGTCGAAACCGATCTGCATGGCGCTCCTTATGGTTTCCCGCCAATGGGTAATGATTCGATCGATATGGACAATTTCCGATTTTGGGAAACGGGATATTGGGAAAAGTTCTTGCGCGGAAAACCTTATCCGATCTCTGCTTTATTCGTCGTTGATTTGAACAGATTCAGATTAGTGGCAGCTGGTGATAAATTACGCGGACATTATCAAGCCTTGAGTGCAGATCCAAATTCATTAAGTAACTTAGATCAAGATCTGGTGGCGAGCATGATTCACAACGTTCCAATCTTTTCGTTGGACAAAGAATGGCTTTGGTGTGAAACTTGGTGTAGTCGGTCATGGTATGATGATGCAAAGAGTATTGATCTCTGTAGTAATCCAAAAACACATGAACCCAAACTTGATCGTGCTCGAAGACAGATACCAGAATGGACTCCTTTGGACGAAGAAGTTGCCGAAGTGGCTAGAAAGTTGGAAAAAGAAGGAAGATTGGATGCAAATGTGGTAGCAACAACTTCAGCAATAGACAATCAACCGCAAGCAACCCATAGACATGACGAATTATGATGTTTGTTTTTGCGAGAATGTACTGTACTTATTTTTTCACATAATGCGAGAATGACTAAATCAATTTGATCCGTTGAGATATCGTAATAATAATTTCAAAGAATTCGAATACATACAACAGCAATGCAAGCAGCTTTTTACGGTTAATTTGCGATTTTTTAATTCTTGTGCAAATGAGGATGATGATGATCTTTTTCTTGTTTACTGGCCTGTAGAGCGCATAAAGCAGCTCCGATACCACTTCCATCTTTGGCAAAGCCGAATTTTGTCTTTTTCTCTGTTTCCGTTCCAACCATTTCGCGTAATGCTTCTCTTACCCAATCCAAAAAGTTTGGTAAATATTCCACAACAGATCCGTCTACACCCAAGTTGTACACCTCTTCCTTATTATCGGGCGAAACTTCTTCTTGATGATGTTTGATCACTGCTGCGACTGCAACCGCACTCAATCTTGCAGCACGTTTTCCGACAATATCACATACCCTTCTCACAGCCTTGATATCCTCTGCGCTGATATTCTCCGGTTTGATCTCCATAGTCTCTGCTAGAACTTTGTATGTTGGTGAACTATTATCCGAGGCATCCTTCTTATCGTCCATGATGGCGGACATGTACGCTGTGTCGAAAGCATATTGAGTGTTCATTTTGACGGAAGAGAATCCCTTGAATAGCAATAATCTGTCCACAAGGGATAAGATTATCATACGCGAAATTTCACCTAGATACATTCCACTGATCATCTTCTCAAAAGCGTGATGGCGAGGTCGAATTGCTTCCCGATCCACTTGATTATCAAAAGGCGTAACAGGCAAAATTGCACGTTCATCGTCAAAACCTCCCCATTCAGCATTCACGATCATGTATGTTGGAGCAGGTTCTAATGGATCATCCACTTGCAACTTTGTGATGTTTTTCCGTAGCTCAACATAAGCGCCATTTGTACCAGTTCCAAAGATACCTCCCAACAAAGCCGGTCCTTTGGATTGATATCCGTGTGCTAGCAATGTACCGACTGTATCGTTCACGAGCGAATTCACACGTACTTTTACTCCCAATTCATTCAGACAGCTTTGTAATAATCCAACAACTTCTTGTCCGATTGCATCATCTGCATCGAATCCTTTTGTCCATTTGATCAGTGTTCCTTGATCGATTGCAGTCTGTTCGCACGGGAAGCTGAACGTGAATCCCAAAAGCAGTTCCTCGCCAGACGAAGCTGAACCGGTCTTACTCTCAGATTCCAAAAAGGTCTTTACGCTTTGTGCAATAAAGGTGAACAAAGTCTTTGCTTTTCCTCTTTTGAGTTCATCTGAAACTTTATACTTTTGTTGTTTCATCGTAAAGCTTCCTTTTCCGTCTAGGATGACTTCGCAAACACGTAGGTTTGTTCCACCTAAATCCAATGCTAAATATGTACCTTTTTCACTTCCATCTGGAACACCGGTAACGAAAGTTGGTATCATCAACATATTTTGATTATCGTTTGCAAGTCCATGAAACATTCTTTCATGAAACCTTTCGAGGATTTTATCGAGAACATCTTTTGATAGAGTTAATTGAACGCCGATTTCATCTATTGCCTTGCTCAATTCTTGTCCGGCACTACCACCATTTTGCACAGCTGTGGGTGCCATTTTGAGCAATAGAGTGGGATCCGATCGGAATAGGAGGTTATCTGGAAAAGGTGACCGGGAGCAGATGAGGGTAGCGGAGTGTGAATTGGGATTGCTTGATATTGTGGGAATTGAATGGGTAAGTAAAATGAACTTGCATTAAAAAACAAAAGCCTCAACAATTCTCTCCCGGTTTCCCAGGCAATTTTGCCAATCTTCTTTTTTAACTCAATGCTCTCAGGGCACGGAAGTTTGGCCTTTTGTGTGGGCCAATACTGTATGTGTGTGTATTCTCCCGAGTGGAGCTAAGTCAACCAAGCACGACGCGTCTCAGCATCCGATGCATGACTGCCAAAAACAGCCTAGAATCAATTGCCGAGGCTTTGAATAATCGATGGGGCGCATTAGAGTGATCAAAGACCCGTGTCCAAAAATTCGAGTAAATGCATTCTTTTACAAATCGTGATGGTATATAAGTGGAATGGAAAAGCTGATTTCTCTTATTTGTTGAATATGACATCTATCCCCTACAATGAATTCGATTCTGATGATCATCCTCATGCAACAGCTACTAACTCTGACATTGGCTGGCCCTCCACTCGCTAGAGTCGTAAAGGCTTTGAAAGAAGGTGCGAGAGATCGAGCTAGAGCCACGGTGACAATGCCTACCGGTAATAAACCTTCAAGGAGGTTGATCCTACATTCAGACAGGATGTCTTTGAAAAGGACTGAATTTACCAGAATAGAGCCTATAGAAGTCGATAAGAGAGCTATCAAGGATTAGTCAATTATATCACGGAGAAGATTTTAGGGCAGTACCCATTCAACACAGCATCTGGGGCTATTGACTCCTCCAGAGAGTGAAGAAGGACATTAAACTAGGGGCACTCGTTGTATTGTATCAGTTCCCGCGGTGTTGCTGGCATAAGAAAGCTGTGGCTATGAAAGGCGCCTTACAATGAAAAGAATGCACATTTCAGGAATGCAGATTATAACAAGGAATATGAGAGCTGGCATTTTGTTATTGTTGTGTTTAGTGTAGCTTATCCCAGTCGCCTTTCTCTCTGGCAACCTTCATCCTAATGACGAACGAAAACTTAAAAAAGCAGTGAAACAGAGTGATAAGCAATTACAAAACGCTATGGACATGGAACTTTTTTGGAGAACAATCTTATTAAATGATTCTTTAAAGCCTTTGCACAATTATGCCAAAAAGCAGACTGAGCATTATGCTCAGAAAGGGCGTGAATTTGATGTGAAAGCAGGTAAAATGGACGATACTCTTCGTAATCACCAAGCTGCAAAAAAGAATCGATTACCTCACGAAGCTTAGTGGGTGTAAATCACCTGACAGCATAATAAAAGCCATGAAGATTAATTGAATTCCACGATGCTCATCACACCTTAATTTTTGACCGTAAAATCAGCCTCTGTTGCATTAGTTAGCATCGTTTACTCTTGAAAGGCTGTGGTTCAAAAACGTTTGGTTACCCCACTTCCGTTGCTAAATGAAGGACGACGATGGGAACCCGTCGAAAGATGATAAAATATACTGGTTTAGTGGGTCGGTAGAACTAAAGTTGAAGCAATTGCTCATCGATCCGGATCAGTTCATTGGACCTGAATTGAATCCGACTTTACGATAGGGCTCGGGTGACAACATCGAAATCCTCTGGGAAGGGGCTGCTGGTGAGGCCAAGACTCATCTTCTAGTGGTCGATCTTGATAATTATAGCTTTCTGTATTCAAGTAGACCGCCAAGCATACTCCTTAGAAATTTATACAGGGTAGTACAATTTGGTTTTCCTGACGAAAGCGAAAGCGTTCATCGTATCAGGGAGTATTTAACAAACACACTCGGTCAAAGTTGCGCTCCAGGAGGAAAGCAAATCATGTTTAAAGCCCTTACGGAACAAGAGAAGATTTGGCTCGACTTTCGTAGACGGCTGATGACACTGAATGATAAATTAAAAGACATTTCGGATAAACAAGCAGAGAGAATGAAGTTTGTTTTAACATGCTCAAGCTCAAGGTCAAGACAATGACAGCATGCGAATCCGAATCAAGTTCTTCCATGTCTTACCACGTTCCACCAACCTGTTGCACTTCCGGTTCGCCATATACGGGTGCGCTATTTAGGCCATTGGCAGGCAAAGGTAGAATATTTTACTTGCCTCTAAAACTGCTTTTCCCAATGTCCAACTAATCGCAAGTCTACCAACTTCATTCACACTTTGGAACAGATTCTTTTCGTCTGCTTTTCCTTGTGCTTCATCAGCGTGCACTCTGCCTTCACCTTCACCGCCTGCGCATTCCATAAAGATTGTTCATATTTCTAAAGGCTATGTCTCGTGACCAAAATGCCTTTTTGTGTATCTCACCGTACGTAGATCCCCGTCTGGCCACACGCAAATCACTACAATGGCTGTGAAAGGCCCGAATAAAATTATGAATCTCTGGCAATGATTGCATGACAAGGTATATAAGATGCGCAAAGTGGCAATCTGTAGCTTGCTTCTGTACTACTCCTTAATACTGGGCAAGCCACTCAATCAATCTTTTCAAGATGCGTTGTGCACATATGTGCTTCACAATTGTATCTATCCTAATCTTCACCACGTTAGTCTTTGCGGCTGATAAAGACAAAGAAAAATTGCAGAAAGCCTTGCAAAAAGCGTCAAAGAAGAATGAAGAGCATGCAGCTGATCAAAAGAAGTGGGAAAACAGACAAGAAAAGAGTCATTTTCCTCCAAAACGCTTTATTGCTAGAAAGATGGCAGAAATGCACAACAATAAAAGAGTTGAACATGCAATGAAGTACTTTAAAGCTGATGGTGCAATCAAAGACATCGAGCAACAATCTTCAAGTTCTCACAACGTCGCTCATAATCATCAAGCATAGTTCTTGTACAAGTTGTTTTTATAGCTCATTTAGTGTCTTTATTTTTTGAAGCGTCTGATTGTATGCACGCGTTTATAGTTTTTGGAAGATTGCTGAGTACCACTTTCTTTATCCTTCAGCGATCATCCTTGTACACTGGTAAAAATGGCGATTCAGATCCTCAATGGCGGTGATGGATCGGATGAATTACAGATTGAAATGTTAGGGGCAGGTCAAGAGGTAGGAAGAAGTTGCTGTGTCTTACGTTATAAAGGAAAGACGGTAGTTTGCGATGCAGGCGTTCATCCTGCCTATCAAGGTATTGCTGCTTTGCCATTCATAGATGAATTGGATTGGAGTACGGTTGATGCACTATTGATCACACATTTTCATCTTGATCATGCTGCCGCTCTTACCTATGTGATGGAAAAGACAAACTTTCAAGATGGAAAAGGAAAGGTGTACATGACCCATCCTACCAAAGCTGTTTATCGTTTCCTTATGCAAGATTTCGTCAGAATGTCAAGCTCAGGTGCAGATGATCAATTGTTCGACGAAGAAGAAATGTTGGCTTCTTGGCGAAAGATTCAAGCAGTTGACTATCATCAAGATGTGGCCGTCGGAGGTGGTTTACACTTTACGCCTTATCATGCCGGACATGTCTTGGGAGCATGCATGTTCATGATCGAAATCGCAGGTTTGAAGATCTTGTATACAGGCGACTTTAGTCGGGAAGAGGATCGACATCTGGTACAAGCAGAGATACCGCCGATTCGACCTGACATTCTCATTTGCGAATCAACTTACGGCACACAAAGTCTAGAACCCCGTTTAGAGAAAGAGGAGCGCTTCACAGATTCGGTGCATGCAATCGTCAAGAGAGGTGGTAGAGTGTTACTACCGGTCTTCGTTCTTGGAAGAGCACAAGAGTTGCTGCTGTTGCTAGATGAATATTGGTCACAACATCCGGATTTGCATTCGATTCCGATCTACTACGCTTCAGCATTGGCACGAAAGTGTATCGGAATTTACCAAACATATATCCACACAATGAATGAACACATCCGAACACGATTCAATAGACGTGATAACCCTTTCGTCTTCAAGCACGTTTCCAATCTACGAAGCTTGGACAAATTTGACGATCGAGGACCATGTGTGATGATGGCAAGTCCCGGTTTCATGCAAAGTGGTGTATCACGAGAATTGTTGGAGAGATGGGCACCCGATAGACGGAACGGTTTGATTGTTACAGGTTACTCGGTCGAGGGAACAATGGCAAGGAGTATTCTCAAAGAACCTGATGAGATTATGAGTCTGGCTGGTCAAAGGATCCCGCTGGAAATGTCGGTGGACTATATCTCATTCTCAGCTCACGTTGACTATACGCAAAACAGTAAATTCATCGAAGAGATTAAAGCGCAACACATTGTTCTTGTACATGGAGAACAGAACAACATGAATCAACTCAAGCGTGCCTTGCAAGGAAAGTTCTCCGATCGAGCGGAAGATATCAAGATTCATACACCGCGAAATTGCGAAACTCTGAAGATCAAATTTCGAGGAGAAAGAACTGCAAAAGCGATTGGAAGAATTGCAGCCAAAACGCCCAAACAGGGTGATTTATTGTCTGGTCTATTGATCAGTAAGGATTTCGCCTTTACGATTCTGGACCCGGAAGATTTGTTGGATTTTACGGGGTTGAGCACGAGTACAATCATTCAGCGACAGCGAGTTGCCATTCATGTTGGCTGGTCTTTGGTTGTGTATCACTTGCAAGGCATGTTTGGCAAATTAGTGGAAGGTGTGGATTTGGAAGGAAAGCGTACGATTCGGATTATGGATGTGTTGGATCTCAAGCAATCGTTAGAAAGCTCTTCTGAGTATTTGCTGGAATGGAAGAGCGGAACGGCAAATGACATGGTTGCCGATAGCTGTTTGGCTTTATTGTTGGGAATCGAAGGAATGCCCGCCAGTGTGCGAGCAACCGTATCTGAAACCAATCATGATCATGATCACCATCAAGGAGATCATCCAATGGCTGATCATGTTGATACGCTCTCAAGAGCAGAGCAACTTGCTGCTTTCTTGGAAGCTCATTTTGGCAGTTTTGAGGAAATCATGATTGGTGGAGTGGATGAGGAGATTGTGGAAAATGGAGGCTTGGCTGTGAAAGAGGAAGAAGAGGAAGCGGAAAAAGAAGTGAAGCAAGAAGGAGACGTCAAAATGGAAGAAGGAGAAGAGGCTGTCAAGCTTGGTTCAAAGTCACCTACTCCAGCACCGTTTTTGCATCAATTTCGTGGCACGCCTGAAAGGATGGCATTGCGGGTACAATTGGACCAAGAACAAGGCGTAGTGGAAACGGAATCTATGAAAATTACTGCCTCCTCAACCACTTTACAAAAGCAAATTGAGAGCATCGTTCAATTAGCTTTATCAACTTCTTCGCATCTATCAGAAACTTTTGTCCTTCAGCCACAATTGACCAGTGAGCTGTTTCAAGGCAAACACACGCTTCCGGTCGAACCGGGAAGTACGGAAGCCAAAAAGATGATTACCGATTCATAGTCATCATGTACAATTAAGATGTATTTTTACCTCACATACACACGCACGCACAAATAAAAATCATGAAAAGAATCACCTTGAACGTATGAGTCTACAAAAGAGAAGAAGAGTAATAAGAGAAAAATCACGTTAAAATATAGCAAGTGTGGGGAGAATGAAAAAGAAAGTATATATAAAAATAATTGAGCGAAACGCTCAAAACAGATTGAAACATGCGATGATATGGTTGGTGACCGTAGGTATTTGGGTGTTGAGATGAAGCGAAAGGGTGGTGTGCATTGAGTTTAGAGGGGCGGATGGCAAATGTAAGTGCTCTATGATAGTGGATGTGTGTTGAAAGATCTTGCATGAATTTCATAGCCCAATGTGTGAGTGTGTGTTTTTTCATTCATTAAAACGGAAGAGTAAGCCACTTAAAGCTTTCGTTACCTCTTCACTTTGTTTTTACAGGTTGAAAATCTGTGTTTTTCGATTAGAGATCACTATTACAGTACCATACATCCTCGGCAGCATCCGCTATCATGTTTATCTTCGGTAGGGTAACGTTCACCTCCCGCTGGTCCTACGCCGCCGACGCCCGGTCTGCCAACTTCTTGATCTTTATTGTATCTTCTGATTTCTCTTACGAGATTGCTGAATGCTTCATCTACGTTGATCCTTTGCTTGGCTGATGTTTCGATGAAACGACATCCAAAGTGTTTCGCTAGTTCTCGGCCCTCTGTAATATGAGAATAGAAGGTTGATTAGCATGAATTCTCCATAACTCCCACAATACCATCCTCTACTCACCATGACTGCCAACCTGTCTCTCATACTCCAAATCGCACTTGTTTGCAACAACGACGACGGGGAAGTAATCCTTATCTTTCACACGCAAGATTTGCTGCTGAAAAGTGAGAATTTCATCGAAACTGTTACGTGAAGTGATTGAATAAACCAACAAGAAACCTTCTCCCGTTCTCATGTATTGTTCTCGCATTGCCGAATATTCTTCTTGACCTGCCGTATCCAAAACATCCAAAAGTGCAACTTCTTCATCGATCACACATTGTTTCCGATAAGAATCTTCAATCGTTGGATCATATTCATCGACGAAATGACTTTGAATGAATTGAATCGTCAATGCACTTTTTCCCACACCACCGCCACCTACAACCACAATCTTGTATTCCCTTGGAACCTGCATTATTGTTTGGATGTGTTTTTAGATGAAACAAGTGAGAAAGGAAGATTGACCTTTCATCAACCCCAATAATAATAATAATGTAGGCGGGGATGTTGTGTGCTAGATAAAAAGGTGTGTGCCAGTGAGTGAGTTTGTGTGCGCTTGTGCCCTGTTTAACGTGCAAAGTTGAATCGCGCTACCCACCCCGTGTGTAGTGTGTGTGCTGAGATGCAATTTCACAAGCGTGTCCATTGAATTGAAATAGGGAGCTTTAATTTTTTTTCTCTCTGTTGCAATCAAGAATATCCATCCCCCCTTCGGTTAGGCTAATTATAGACGGTTAAAATGCCTTTCTTGTTGCCCCCGCTCTAGAATCCTATCAGAAAACTCTAAGCCAGGCTAACGTTTAGCGCACCTTTTCTTCTTCGTAGTGTGGCGCGGATTAAGCCAGAGGTACCAATCAATCACGGATACTTACGCAAAAACGGATGGAAATCGGACAACCTTCGACAGGCACGGCATGCAAGCCTCAAAAGCAAGCAAGCAAGCACGTACGTACGGACGCACACTTTATCGCGCCTGAAAGGCAAATTTAGAAATTCTATGTTTCATATAAAAATCAATCTTGTCTGGCGGCACTTTATCTGTTTCCCATAACACGTAAACAACTGACCCGGCGTCCCGAATTTTTTTTTAGAAAGGAGGCGGTGTGTGTGTGTTGTTTTTAGTTACATTAACCTTCTTACATCCCTTTCTTTTCCTATTCCCGTCATCATTTCTACATTTAATATTCCTTGTGATGGTGTCAAGATGGATCAACTGAATAGTGCGAGAAGAGAAGCGGCGAACAATGCCTTCTCTTCTGCTTTTGCTCGAAATGAAGCAGGTCCTTCTCATTTATCCCAAGAGGCTCGTCAATCTCCGCCTCCCTCTTGGAACGTAGCACGCCGTTATGCAATCATCGTTGATGCCGGCTCGTCAGGTTCACGTATGCAAGTGTATTCTTGGAAAAATCCATTGGTAGACCGAGCAGAACGAGAACAAAAAGGTGAAAAGATTAAAGTTTTACCTACGGTAGAAAAAGGAACATGGGAAGGCAGTGGATTGGATTGGCAACTCAAGGTCGAACCTGGCCTTTCTACTTTTGGAAGTCATCCTCAGGATGTGCATTCATATCTAGAACCTCTTTTTGATCATGCAAAACAAATCATTCCTCCAGAGCTGATGGCCGATACACCCGTTTATATTCTCGCAACTGCGGGTATGCGTTTATTACCCGATGATCAACAAAATGCCGTCTTGCAAAACACTTGTTCCTTCATTTCCGACAAAACGCCATTTAATTTGGGTATTGGCGGCTGTCAGAAGCACGTACAGGTAATCAAAGGAGAAGAAGAAGGATTGTTGGGTTGGATTGCAATCAATTACCTTATGGACGGTTTCCATTTCAAGCCTTCAATTGATGGAACAGAAGGAAAGAGTACATTTGGGTTCTTGGACATGGGCGGTGCAAGTACACAGATCGCATTTGAGCCTAGTGTACCTGCACAGATTGCCAATCCTGATACGCAGGATGACTTGACGCCTGTTGCCCTGCGTATGCTAGATGGAACTGATGTAGTGCACAACGTTTTCGTGACAACCTTCCTTGGCTTTGGAACGAATAAAGCAAGAGATCGATACCTGAACTCCTTGGTTCCCTCCTCCTCTTTGACCACCACTCCGGTAACTGATCCATGTCTGCCAAAAGGACTAGAACTCAAGCTACCTCAGGACCACACCGCAACTGCTGCAATTTCACCCTCTCTCGTCGGATCTGGATCATTCGATCAATGTCTAAAGTCTCTTGCACCGCTTCTTGACAAAGAAGCAGAATGTAGTCGACCTCCATGCCTTTTCCATGGTGTTCATGTGCCTCCGATCGATTTTAGTGTGAACCACTTCATTGGGGTTTCTGAATATTGGTTCAGTTCGAATGATGTATTCAAATTGGGAGGCGTGTACGATTTCGTATCGTTCCAAAAGGCTGCTCAAGCATTCTGTGGCTCATCTTGGGACACACTCTCATCCCAATTGAAAGATGGAACTGTGTTCGGAAAACAAGTTACAGCAGATCGTTTGGAGATGCAATGCTTTAAGTCGGCTTGGATGGCGACAGTATTGCATGAAGGAATTGGTATTCCACGAATCACTGATCCAGGTGGTGAAGGTGAAGGCAGAGTACACGCTGATGAAGCACAAGGAAAAGCAGATGAAAAGAATTTGTTCCAAAGTGTGAATGATGTTGGTGGACTCGCAGTTAGTTGGACATTGGGAAAAGCAGTTTTAGAGGCAAGTAAAAATATTCCACCTTTGCCTGCCAATGGCCCAAATAGCGCACCCGTACATGGAGAACCGGAAGTGCAACAGGTTGGCGGAACATGGCAAGACAATTTCAGTCCAGCGTACCATAGGCCTTCGGAAGCACTCTTATCGGGACGCAATGCGCAATTGCCAGCTCTTGGAATGTTTTTGACCGGTTTGATTGCATTTTTGGCTGTTATGCTTTGTTGTGTTTTACGTGGACGATCAGCAAAGGCAGTCAAAAGGAGGGCGATGTTGCGAGACTTTTTACGCTCGCCTTGTTCAAAACGACAATCTTCCCATGGCGATTATACGTTGGCTGATATGGAAGAAGGCGGTGGCGTGTTGCGAAAGAGAGAAAGTGGAGAATCTTTGGCATCAGTTGCAGAAAGTGAGAGTAGTGGAGATGAAACGGATGGGTTTCGCAGTGGGAGGCGTCGCCGACGTTCATCTGGAAATGGAATCGTGACCGCATTGCTCATACCTCTACAGCGTCTTGGGCTGGCATTAGGTCTACGCACCAATGTTCGGGCGACTTCGCCTACATTACCACAATCTTTAGCACAACGGAGGCAATTTCGACCCCGATACCCCATGCGACATCACAACATCTCCACAACACCAATCACAATGAGTCAGCCAACCTCTCCGAAAGCATATTCGGCACACATTGCCGGTAATCATCAAGGAGCAACAACTGCTGCCGGATTTACACTTTCGAGACCTGGAAGTAGAGCAGGATCAGTTCTTTCACCTCGTGTGATGCATCATGATCATCCTCTTAGCGCCGGTAATCAAAATGGAGGAGGAGGAAACCCAACGCATTCTTCCTATTTTGCAGCATGGCAAAATCATCCTGCATCTTCTCATCCTCCTTCAACCTTGAATTCGGTCGCTGCTACCGCAACAGCGAGTGCCCGTAGTTCAAGAGCTGGATCTCCCACTTTAGGACAATCTTCTGCTCCCAGAACACCTGGATTTGCTCGAAAAGCATGGGAAGATTTGGACTAAAAGTGCGGAAAAAAAGGACAATATTTTTGTACTATTATTATTCTCTTACTCTGGATTTCGCACGCTCAAAATTGGAATTGCATTCATGTTATTACATTAATAGAGCAGTGATCACTGTTGTTGCTGTACATTTTCTGGCCACCACGTAGGTATCCATGGCCGAACGTGAATCGGTTTATCCTTTCCGGTTATTTGCATAGTGAGATCTTTATTCCATCGATTGACTTGCTCTAATCGTAACATCGCCAAGCCGACATTATCTACTACTGAGAGTAATTTTCCTGCTGATCTTCCTCTCGAAGGTCGTCCGGATGCGCTTTCTGGGTCTTTATTCAGCGGCTCCGAGCGAACGTCTATTCCGCCATTGTCTAGTTGTTGATCGAGTTCGAATCGTGAATCTGCTCTATGTTGTATCTGACTGACTTCTGATTCGATATGATCGGCTAGCGAAACGGGTACGATGCGTTTTCGTATAACACCTGTATGATGTGTTCTTGCAGTGAGTTCTTGTCCTATATAACAACCTTTACGGAAATCCACACCATGCATCAGATCCAAATTCTCCTCCAAAGGCATTCCCCCAATTGTGATCTCTTGCGATGTTTCTGCAATGCCTTGCATGGTCCTGTGAACGGTGTATGCCTTTAGATCAGAAAGTGCGGTGTTGCCAATATCCTCTTTTCGTATTATCGATCGAAATCCCATCTCGGGAGCACGTTGATCGGCTATAGATATAAGTGTGTTTTGAATAGGTTCATCACCTGCCCAATGTGCAACGACATCCATCTCTTGACTAACATCAGTCAGCGTGATCTTTGATCTCAATTTGAACTTTTTGATCGCGGCTAAAACGTCTGGTAAAGCATTTTTATCAACATCAAAGAATAAATCTTCTCCAACTCTATATAAAAATGCAAATGCAATCGTTCTTCCTTCGGGTTTTAGGAATGCAGTCAATTGACCTTGTCCATCCGATACTTTTTTGACATCGTTCGTTGTTAAATTTTGAATCAATTTCTCGGAATCTTTTCCTGATGCTCGTACAACTGATCGATTGGACAAAACCGCGTGCAATTTTCTCGATTGTTGTCGGTATACCTGTGCTGCACCATTGCCTCTCAGCACATTCAAGATATTTGCACCACGTATGCTAACCGATGTCATGATCTTGTGCCGATTGATGAGATGATGGCGAAGGGAATGCATACAATCTTCCTATTAACACTTATTTTTTCCTCCTCTCGGGGTTAAGCGTTAGACTGTTTATCCGCGCTTTGTATTCTTGCGTTCCCCGCTTGGTGGAGGTTATGAACACCCTGCAGGTTAAAGAGAAGACGAAACACACACGACACTCTTTGTCTTCTCAATACCATTACTGCTTTGACAACAGGAGGTATATATTGATGTCCTTCATTTCGCCTATTCTGCGTACATCTTGCAAACAACTATTACCAACTTCCTCTCTTCGCCAATTCTCAACCTCAACCGTAAACAAGATGCTCATTAGACCAATCCCACTTCGAGAAGATAACTATGGTTATTTGATCATCGATGAAGCATTCCCAAAGAAGGGTGCATTGGTTGACCCATTCACACTTTCAAAATGTCAAGAAGCAGCCAAGTCATCCGGAGTAGAAGAAGTCGTTGCAAATATTACAACCCACCATCATCAAGATCATGCAGGTGGAAATGGTGATTTTGCAAAAGCATATCCTAAAGCACCCATTTACGGAGGTAGTGATCAAGTAGAAAAGGTGAACAAGATCGTCGGAAAAGGTGATAGTTTCCCACTATTTGAAGGAAGTTCAATCAATGTCAAGACTTATCCAACTCCTTGTCATACGCAAGACAGTACCGCTTTCTTCTTGGAAGATTCAAAAGCCAAATCTACAAACGTGGACCAACAACAATATCAAAGAGCTGTCTTTACTGGTGATACATTGTTCATTTCCGGCTGTGGAAGATTCTTTGAAGGAACGGCAGAAGAGATGGATACTGCATTAAACAAAACTTTGGCTTCTTTACCGGGCGATACGGTCGTGATGTGTGGTCACGAATACACGAAATCCAATGTTGCATTCTCTCAAGGCGTTTTACCTTCCAGACCTGCAATTCAAAAATTGGTAGAATTCGTTCGAAACAATAAAGTTACAACTGGAAAATTCACCATCGATGATGAAAAGAAACACAACATTTTCATGTTGGTCAACGATGAAGAAGTGAAAAAGGCATTGAACCTCCAGGGAAAGGGCTCAACTGAAGTGATGGCCACTTTGAGAGAATTAAAGAATTCCGGAAAGATGATGTCGAAGGTCTGAACAAATGTACATACAGAAGTTCACTCTGTTCCTGTGAGGTAATGGATGCTTTTAGTCGCTTTAAGTTATGAAGCTTGAAAGTAGAATGTGAGTCTGAGAAGATGAGAATTACCAGTCCTCAGTCTGTTTGCATCTAAGAATTGAGTTTACCCCGAATTTTGCATTTCATAGTAATCTTTTATCCATCGCGGCTATCGCTCCTTTGCATATCAGGAAAGCGATGGAGTATGCAAATTTCATTACAAACGAGATGTGTTTTTTTATCAAATTCCAAACGATTATGAGCCGCTTGCAGTATAAGTATCACGTCTTCGTTGACGAGTGAGAACAGATGAAAAGTGTTATCATCATTTTAGCTTTTTGCTTTGCACAAATCATATTGACTTCTTCTTCATCACTGTACACCGATGAAGAATACAAGGTACTGATGCTGTATCGTTAGCCAATTTATATTTCCCAAACGATATCTCATTATTTTGTAGTTTCTACTTTCTACATTTCTCAATGCTGTACTAATCTGAATACTGCCATCGTCAAACACAAACACTGCATTTGTAATCCGTGAATTGCATATAACACAAGCTCTTAAAGATCGGGGCATATATTCGTTGCGATCTGCAAGCAATTCTTTCTTTGCAAACAAGGTATATATACTGACAATTCATTTTCTCTGAACCAACGTCTCATAACAACAGCAAACAAGGATGAAAATAATCCTCCTCTTGCTTTTTTGCTTTATGCAAATTTTTGCTGTCATTTCTGCACCTAGTAAATCAAACGAGCAGATTACAGAAGAAGTCAAAGCTATTCGTAAGGAAGCCGATGGAAGAAAGGAGTTAGCAAACACACTACACTTGCATCGAGATGAGTGGAATAGAAAGTACGATAGAAGTACAACTTGCCTCGGTGGCTGTATTACAAGAATGTTGGCGAGCTGCATGAATTGGTCTGGCAATCGAAATGTGGCTGCAGCAGGTAGATTGAATAAGAAAGCTGACAGATTAGAAAAGACAAAGGTACGTGGAAGGAGCAAGTAACGTTGCAGAACGCCTAGATGACTTCTGCGAGACCAGATATGCGTCCATTCATCTGTCTTCTTTTCAAATCTTTGAGTTATGATCACCTTTTTCATCATCCCCCCTTAGCATGTATCCATGACCGAGTCAATGTATGCTGTACACTGATCAATCGCCAAATCTCTGTTGGTATTCAACCCATGATCCCCACCTAGTTTAACGCGCGCGACGTGTCTTGACTTGGGCTCTTTTGCCTGGTGTTTCTTTGAATTTCTTTTAACCGGCGCGTCAAAAGTCAATGCGAACGAATAAATTGAATTTCGTTCATTCTCGAATTGTGTCTGCCAATTCATCCTTCGCATCCGCAACCATCACCATCATCAAAAAAAAGCGCGTTAGAGAGGATCGAAGGAGGAACCCAACATTTTCATGGGATCATGGCAGTAGGAAAGAAGAACGGAAACGCCGCCGCAAATAGTATGGGGGAAGAAGGATCAGGCAAACATCAATTTCAACCGGGCGATATTGTTTTAGGAAAGATTAAAGGTTATCCTCCTTGGCCAGGAATCCTTTGTCACGAAGATAATGTTCCAAAACGTACAGTCTTAAGTGCTAGACCGGGAAAACATTACCACATCGTTCGCTTCTTTCCCGCTGCTGATTATGGATTCAATACTAATCGAGATTTGAAACTGCTGGGAAAAAGGGAAATTGAAGCTTTTCTAAGTGACCCTCACAAGCGCGCTGCTGATCTCAAGAATGCATACAAGCTTGCACAGGATCCAAAGGAATGGAATAATGAACAAAACGAAGCTGTTCGCGAGGCTGAAGAGCCAGATGAAAACGAAGATGAATTGGCAGACGAAGGAGAGGAAGATGAAGAAGTGCAGCCTGTAAAGAAGAGAAAACAATCCACATCCGCGCCAAAACCATCCGCATCGAAAAAAGCAAAAGCCGAACCAAAAGAGAAGAAGACATCCGTTGCACCCACCAGCTCTACATCCAATCATGCATCATCCACCCATAATCATCACAAAGACTCAGCAGATGTGGAGGGAGCAGATGAAGCAGAAATGGATCCAGAAACGAAAAAGGTCAAAGGATGGCGTCATACGCTACAAAGAGGCTTCTTGCCCAAAGACGGGCATATCAATGCCAGTGAAATGGAACAGCATGACAAAACCTTCAAGCAGGTGGAAGCCTATCACGAAATCACAATCAATCAGCTACGTTCTACAAAGATTGGAAAAGTGATGAAAAGAATTATACAACTGCCAAGTGTTCCACAGGATGATGTATATCATTTCCAAGAACGGGCACAGAAACTATGCGATCGATGGAGTGAAGTGATGGGCATCAGCGGTGGCAGCTCAGCTCCAGCAACAAAGAAAGAAGGATCAGCATCTGCATCGACTCCAGCTCCAGCTCCTGCAAAGGAAGATTCTTCCTCTACACCAGCTCCTGTTCCTGCATCACCCAAAAAGGAGGGAAACGCAGCAACCTCTGAAACACACACGAATGGGGATACGACAACAGCAACGGCCACAACTGCAAATGGATCGTCAGAGGCAATTGCCAGTAACGGAGACCAATAATCAAGCATGGATACATACTCCTACTCCACCTCTTTTCCTCAACTCTGTTTTTCTCTGCTCGTCTCTTTGAGCAAAGCAAGCACTATCAAAGTGTTTGTATGTGATTGTGATTGAATTTGTACGTTTTCTCTTCTCTTCTGTGACAAAAAAAGTGTAATTGATATGGAACTGATTAAAGAGAAGGATAATAAGGGTTGTTTGTTTGTGTGCTGAAGTTTACCATTCTTTGGCAATTTTGAAAACCCAAGTGAAATCGGCATAGACGTTATTGTCGTCATCGATCACCCTCGAACGAACGGTATTGTTACCACTTCTTGCAAGCATGCCAGAAGGAGCTTCTTCTGTAGCGAAGCGTTTGACATAAGGTTCTTCACGAGGACCATAAGAGCCAATCATTTGTTCAAGCTTATCGACTGTAACGCCTGCCCGTTTAACGACATGAATGTACTTTAGGCCGGATAAAACTTCTTGTCCGACAGTGAAAGAGATTGCTACGTTATATTCAACGCCTTCTTTGATCGTAAGAGGTGATTTTTTCACTTCATCAAGTTGAACTTGAGTGAGATTGCTGAGGTCCAATTGAACTTTACCACCCGGAGCTGAAGTTGATTCCAAAGCAAGAGAATGCAGTGAAAGTTTTGGTTTTGAAGGATCACCTGCTGAACCTCCTTCACCTGTGATTCCTAAACTTGCTTTCCAACGATTCAAGCTTTCATCGTTTGCATCTAATTGACTATATTCGGCAACCGATTTCTTTTCGCCTACTTTGTACCCTTTTGTTTCTGTTAATGGAAGGGGGGAAGAAGTGTAAGTTTAATTGCCCTTTGTGCCTGGCAGTATTGCTCTTTCACTCACCTGTAGGTCTCAGTTCCTCATCTGGTACACGATCATTTGAAGAAGACATGTTTGGCAATGCTGGAGATGGTGTTAAGGAAGACAGAATCTGTCCAATAAGAATTTAGGGTCAAATCTCTTGGAAAAGGAGAGATCCGAGCGGCTTAAGGCCTTTAGACAAAGTGTTGGTCTGTTGGAACATGTACTTGTGTGGCCTGAAGTTTGACAGGGCTGCAGTGCCGCTTCTGCTGTTGAGTGAGAAGCGGTGCGTCCCTCTTCTGTGTGTATTTTGGCGCCCAGGCCGTCACACGCGTACAGGCCACACCCAATCTGATGCGTGCGCTGCGTCTTTTTACCAGCAAAAGTGAAGAAAAAAAAGAGAAAAAGGGCAGCAAACACATCTTTACTCTACTTTGTCACCATTGGGAAAAAGACACTCTTGGTAATAATCCTACCTTGAGTTCTCGCTCTCCTTTCAAGATGGCCGCAAAACGAACATACACACAGAAAGAATGGGAAGCCAAATTAAACGGTATCCCAGTAAGCAAAGAGTGAGTAATTCCGTTTTTCGATAAATGATCGCATAAGATGAAATCACAACTTGCAAAGTGGGAATCTCTCCGAAAAAAAATGACGGAAAATGGTGTTAAACAATTCTTTGCCACTGAAAATGGTACACGACAGATTATTGAGTGAAGACGGGATACTGACATCTCCATCCCTTTCGCTTTTATCAACAGAGATCTGAACAGGCTGATAATGGATTATCTCGTCATTGAAGGATACAAGGATGCGGCAGAACGCTTCTCATCAGAATCAGGGCTAAATCCACAGGTGGACTTGGAAAGCATCGAGAACCGAATGATCATCCGTAGTGCTATTCAAAGAGGAGATGTAGAAGACGCGATTGGTAGAGTAAATGAATTAGACCCAGAGGTGAGTATAGAAGCAAAATGATTAAAACACCCCACACCGCCCTGGGATTGAAAGGATGAAAAATGTTCATGCACCACGCTGAGGAATCAAGAAATGCTTTCGAGTAATTTGTTGGTGAAATGCGGATTATGACCACACCTAATATAAGAACCTGATCTTCACTATTTTGTTGTTTTGTACTTGGAGATCGAGACTGACTCTTATTCTCCTTTCCCACAGATCCTCGACACAAACCCTTTACTGTTTTTCCACTTACAACAACAAAGATTGATTGAGCTGATACGGGCTGGCGATATCGCCGACGCATTGCAATTCGCTTCAGAAGAACTGGCACCCAGAGCAGAAGAACATCCCGACCTTTTACCGGAGCTAGAACGAACGATGGCTTTGCTCGCTTTTGAACTACCACGTTCAACAAATACCGCAACCTCTACCGCAGTAGGACGTAAAGCAGCTGCAAGTACTTCCCTAGAAGCTCCTTCTCACATCGCTGAACTCTTGCAACCTGCTCAACGATTACGTACAGCCGGCGAATTGAACGCTGCCATCTTGGCAAGTCAAAGTCAAGGAAGGGAGCCAAAACTTCCACGTTTGCTCAAGATGTTATGTCATGGTGAAGGAATATTGGCAGGTTCTTCTGAAGGAAAAGTTTCTTATCCACATTTGGATCTTCTTGGCTCGTTTGCCGATGAACATTCAACAAGCGCTCATATTTGATCGCCCTTTTTATATACCACTGTTTTGTTTCCTTCTATTGTTTTTCTGTACGGCTGTATTTCTACTTTTTCCAATTGATAGCCTTTTGGCTCACAAAACACACACTCTGGCAAAGTGGATTGGATAGTGGTATAATTGGGTGATCTGATCATCACCTTTGGTATAATTGAATAAGAGATATGGTACGTGAGGTAGAGTATCTTTTCAGGGAAATAGTATACAAAAGGAGGGGGATGGGTAATCACCTTTACCAAAAAGAGGCAACAATATAGGCACGATCAAAAGTATGTTTTCGATAAAGATCAACGCCAAATGTTCCGCCTCCAAGATGAAAGCCGATAGAACGAACGATGTACGACGTTCTTCCGTCAGGATTTGGAACTTGAGCGATTCGAATATTTTCTTCACGTAGGTATACTGTTCCTGTTGCTGGCGTCATTAAATCGTCTGAAGACATTGACATGATCGTATCCGGATGAGCATAAAGTGGTTGAACAGGAACATCAACAGGTTTTATCAACAAATTCCACATATTTTCCACCCTTCCAACATCAGCAGGATGAATGATATCCAACAAAAAAGTTCCCAATAAATCATCTTGACGAACGCTGCCCAACATATTTGGCAAATTTGTACTGTTACGTGCACAATGAAGAGATGTAGAAAGAATCATCCATGTTGACGATTGTTGATGTTGCTGTTGCGGATATTGTTGTTGATTTGGTGTACCGTATGCCATAGCAATGTTTCGTGACATACCACCTGCTCCACTACCGATCGAAGCGGCTGAAATACTTCTTCCGCGAGTGATCCCACTTGCTGCTGCTGCAAAAGGTGAAGTATTATGATGCATTTGACCATAATGAGGAGGCGTAGATGGAATTCCTTGTCGTGGAGAAGAAGATGAATTACTCGCACTAAACATCGTAGTTGAATTGGCCGAATGTTCACGATCGCGTAATCTTGGCCTACCACGTTTTTTATGTCGAACATCAATACATGTGTCCGTCTTGCCAAGATTGATACACCTTCTGCATGGCCTGTTCACATCACATGCCAAATGTGCTTTTTTGCAATTTAAACATGCTGAAGGCACATGAACTTTTGCCATCTTGCGTGAAGAAGGTGAATGTTCTTCGCCGCCGCTCGTTCCTACTTCGTCAATCATTCCACGCGTACCCATATTTTTGCCAACTGTTGAAGTGGATGAAGAAGGCGAATGAGCGATCGTACCTAAACCTGTAGAAGTAGCAGAATGATGAGCGATAGCACTCGCAATACTACTCGTAGTCGTATTTGTACTAAAGCTAGAACTATTGCTCATCGCTCCAGGCGTGAGCGGCTCCTTAAGACTGCCCACACTTTGTCCGTACTGATTATGATGAGGATATTGTTGCCATGCTCCATGTTGAGCGTGAGAGGGCGATCCAGTCTGAGCAAAAGGAGCAGGTAATGAAGGATGTTGAGATCGTGAAGAAGCATCTGATAATTTTCGAGAAAAGATTCGATGAGGCGGTGGTAATTGTCGGGCAAGCGTACCATTTCCACCACCTAAAGAGGAAGGACCATGATGTAAAACTGCGGATATCGTATTGCTCCTTCGAATATTACTCGAAAATCGAGAGAGAGGCGGTAAAGTAGATAGAACGGGACTTCCCCCGCGATCACTACGTGCATAAGCTGGATTTGCGGGTGTTGTAGAAGTAGAACTTGAGTCTATACTTGCATGTGATTGAGATGAAGAACCAAATGGCGGCGGAGGAGGAGCAAAAAGCGTTCTAAACGGAGGTTGATGAGCAGTTGCCTCACTTGCACTTCTCAATCTCCTAGGATTTGACGTGGAGCTGATAGGAGATGGAAGCTGTAAAAAAGGGGTTGAAGCGGGAGGAGATTGTAAGATCGGCGCCATCTCTCGCTTTTCTTCCATTATTGATGTCGGTAAGAGAGGAGGTAAAGTAGGCCTACTTGAACGATTATGATGATGATATGCTGCTTCATCATATGTGCGGAACCTTGTATCAGAATGTGACATTGTCGCTATCCCTCCACGATCTGTCATTGTAGAATCGTCTTGATGTATTTCAAGAGAAGGCGGAGATTTATTTGGATGATTTGATTGTGTATGATAATTTCTTATCCTCGAATTGGCATCCGAATCATCTTTTTCCACTGAATGGTCAGATGCCATTATCCTTCTTTTGGGTGATTTGCCTTTATCGACTTTCAATCATCAAAGCAAAAAGAAGCAGAAAAAAATGCAACAGGAAATGGTGGCGTGAGAAAAAAGAAGAAAAGTAGAAGCAAGATACATATGTCAAAAAAAGAATAGGAAGTTAGGATGAGTTTGATTGATCGATGTTTGAGTAAATGCCAAGTTTTAGCGGCACCACAAAGCGGATGTTCTTTTACTCAATTGTTGTGCAGGAACACAGAGGAATGAAGGGGGTTTTGGGCAAGATTGTGTACACCGACTAGTTCGAGATGATTGAACATGCATTCGACTGCATACACGGCAAAAACACCAGGACAAATGATGATTGGAATCGGGCAAATTTGAAGGTACCGCCCGCTAGCAGGATATGCACATTCGGAAGTACAAATTGAAGTTTAAAAGAGAAATGCAAACGCATCAAATGACGTTCGGAGGTGGAAAAAGAGAAATGAAGAAAAACAAAAAGGCGGAGAAGTGAACAATTTAATACGGATAAGCAAAGAACAATACAGTATGTGTTATTTTGAGGTAAACGACGGAGTATTTTCATTGCACACTAATGCTCATGCAGCACTTTATCTGCAGAAATGCATTCTATCTTTGAAATACGCTAAAGATGTCTTATACATTACCAACACGTAATGAAGGCCATCAACAGAAAAAAAAGAGGCCGTTTGTGTGCCTGACTTCAAACACAAAAGGTACACTTTGCAAAAAAACTCCGCAAAAATGCAAATCAATTTAAAACCAGAAAGAGAATTAAAATAAAAAAACGTGGGGTCTGTGTAAATTAAACACGTTTGCACCAGAGCATTCTATCAAAAAAAGACTTCATCTTTGTACATCAAAAAGAAGATTTGCGTAAGAAACAAAATGAAATGAACTGATTTGCGGGCGCAAAATGACCCAAAAAATACTCGAGAGAGAGACGCGGAACGAAAATCCGGAGAAAAATGACCGTTGCTGGAAATAAAAAAAGTTCGAAATGAAGGAACAGGAACAGTGTTTAAAATAAAGCCGAAAGAATGATACGCATTGTAAGGAAAAAGAGATGCATAAATTGTTTGGGGAAATAAAGTCCTAGTGTGTGTGTATTTTACTCAATGCGCGCATTAGCTCAGTCTTTTTTTCCTTTTTTTCCGCTCGTGCGTGCATCTGTGCATGAAATAATACATACCCACACAGGCGCTCCTGTCTCTTTTTAATTTAATATTCCTATCGTATGATTCTTTTTTCTCGGCGAAAAGGTGAGTATGCAATGCAAGAGGTACGCTCTTTAAATGCATTCATTCGTGTAGTACATTATCCCGTTCTTGCATCAAACATTCTGTTGGGAACTTTAAAGAGCGGAAATTGCAGAAATGTAGGTAAACTGCCAATTTGCGCGCAATCAATTGAGGTCACACCCTTCTCCGGTGATCTACCGAAATTTGTAATTGTACGGTGCCGCCAAATTACACCAAACAAATAGTCTTTTTGTGTGCATCTCATTTCGCACACTTTTGATTGTGTGGGTGCATCTTTTAGAACAGGATCGCCTAACTTACGTCGTTTACCGTGCATGAGCATATGTCAAGATGCTAATTACCCAAATTTAGCAGATAGAGCGTGGGTAAGATTGCTAAAGACGCATAAAGAAATTTAGTATTACGTAATCTTGCCAACGTGGAACAATTTGCTGTCATTGGGACGCAAAGCGGAGCTCGTCATTGGGGCATGATGAATGGGGAATGTATCAATTCGAATACATGGATTTATTCGCCGGAATCAATTTCAGTAAAGGGATCATCCATTATCTTGGGTCTATGCATGTTGTCCGCGGAGGTATTTTGACAGAATAAAGACTCACAATGCCATTGCAACGTCCTCACTCGTTCTGAAAGCACTTTCTTCCAAAGTTTGTCTTTAACCACTGTATCGGACATCATGTACGGACGGATCCTAGAGATAAACGTTTTTCCCCTTTGTAACCAGTTCACAAAGCCATCCTTATGGGTGACATCGATGTAAGAGTGATCAAACTTTATCCTGCCAAGACTCATTCAGAGGTCACCGGTATACTTTCTCCAACCCGCAATACGCCGCTCCGACTATGTATCTCAAACTGTGCAAACAAACACATACGCACGCACGCGTCCGAACAGAGCGGAATCCTTGAAATCGGTAACCGTTCTTCAACGACCGCCGATGCATATTCATTGTTTTCTCTTTTCATCGAGAAAAGGAGAATTTCGAACTTTCATGCGGATATCTAATCAGATGACGTTATCATTTCGTTCTAGTTTGAATTTGATTGTGATTAGCAGCCACAATTCAGGAACAGATTTATGTGCGAACAATGAGTGCTTCCCGCCAAGATTTGAAATACTTCTCATCAAAATTCGTTCTTCTTTTCAAAAGAAAAAAAAGGAAGAATATTAGCCGCCCTTACATGATTCATTTCATTCTCCGATCAGGTACGAAGCCGCCCTTCCCCTTTTCACGCTTGTCTCCGCGTCCTTTTTTTTTATTCAAGGAAATCTCCGCAAGCAATTCGGAAGAATTGTTATTAAAATCATGTGATTTGTTACAATGATGATTGATCATATTCGGCAGTTTAATCTATATAAAAGCACGGGCTCTCAACAGGGTTGTCTGTTCCGCGGTACTTCCGACTTGAGATCGGATACAAAAGAAACAACAGTGCGGATATGCATGCTTCCTCTACTTCTTGACTGACAGAAATATCATTTCTTTTTTGAACGATCGTCTTGTCAAAAAGAAGCATGTCCTAGTCAAGAAGGTCCGAATCGATTTGCAAGAATTTAGCGTATTCTTTCATATCGAAATCCGCCATCTTTTCCTTTTTAGCTCGCTTGTTCGCTTAGATTGATTTCTACAAAAGCCGAACCCGTGCCGTATGCCTATCTGACACAGCCCCTCTTGAGTTAAAATACGCTACAACACACAACAACTGGTGGCATTAATGTATGTATGCTCATGCATGCATATAACTCTAAATGGTAAATGTGTGTGTGTACACTTGATGTTTGAGGTAAGAGACTAACGTTGAACTTTTTGCTTTGCCGATCATCTGTTTGCTGAAAGAGACATGTATTGTCATTTCAAGTAGTCTGAAACAAGCAAGAACATTACAGATCAACATACACCAATGGATGAAGCAAAGTAAGCACGCAAGCACGCTTGTGCTCTCTCCCACAATTTGAATGTTTTGAACGCGTGGGTGCGTACTCATCAGTGCCCCTGTGACCGACCATCTGGAGAATACAACTTGTTTTTTTGTGTGTGGGTGAATCCGCTTAGCCGAATGATTTATTTCATGTTTGAACCAAGAAGACGTGTACGGGGCGGGAAGAAATTAAGTCTCGGAAAGATGGAGTGATCAATCTGGTTTAAGGTAAAAGAGGCGTTTAAAAAAAGTGTACGCAATTCAATCTCACTGATGAGCTGCACTGCTCAAAAGTGTACGTGTGTGCTGATGTGCGCGGGACACCGTTAAACTGCCTTACACCTTCAAAAGAGCCCCAACTCCGCTATCTTGATTTTCCTATCGAGATTGATTTTTTGGTTGAACTTCATCTTTACTCCTATCCAATTTGTCATTTTTTACGATTCACTATCACATTCAACAAAACTTCTTTTCTTTTTTCTTTGGGTCTGGGCTTTCGATTTTTCCTTCTTTGCTCATTTGTACATTTGTATTTGGTCAATTTGCCTTTTGTTTTGTTTCGAATACTGGACTGCAAAAGCGACAAAAAGAAAGGGTAAAGGAAATAGGCTCAAGTATATGCAAATTTGTCCCTCCTCGCAATAAAGAAAAACCGTTAGCAACATCTCTTTGCTCAGTTGTATTCTTCATCGGCTCACATCATCGTTTCGAATCACTTATCCGGTATACAGTGGACTCCTCGGTATCGTCCGAAACCTCAGTGGAGGTACATTCAAGTAATCGTGCTATCGGTGAGATGATTCAATGATCAAATTTGTAAGCCATCTGGTTTGCTCGATTCTCCAAGATAGTTTTAAACAAAAGAAATAGGGAAAGATCGGGTTCGCACGATGTCTTCCTCTGCCGGCGGCTCATATCACAGCCAATATCCGGACATCGAAGAGGACAGAAAGTGGCATGAAGAGAAGGTCTTTCCACAGAGTAACAGCTCGACTGGAATATCACAAGCACCTCTATCTCTCCCGGATTCCAATAATGTTCACGGAATGGGAATAGCTGGCTTGCCAACCATGATGGATCAAAACAATTTCGGCTCCTTACCGCCAAACTGGGCAGATTCCATCCCAGCCGATATGCAAGCACAATGGTTACAACTTCAACAGCAACAGCATCAACATCAACAACAAATGCAGAGGCAGCAGCAGCAAGCCCAGTACAATATCTCGCAAGGATTCTCTCACCCAAACGACGAAGCTGGTAGTAGCACCTCCCGGCACACCAGTTCTTCATACAATAATCCGCAACACAGTCCCGAAGTATTTGTTGGTGGTCAGCATCCTTTCTCTTCGCCGTCTCAATCATCACCGTTTCATGATGCATCTTTCCAACACATCTTTCCGTCACCCTCGCAGCAACAACAACAACAACAACAAAGAACACAATCACCGCATCATTCTCAGCATCCCTTCATGGCTACACAAAATCAGCACGCTCACCATCCTTATTCGCAACACACACAACAGCATCTTTCACGAAATTCCAACGATTCTCCCCTTATGCAAGATGCATCGGCCGATCTGGCTTTCTTGCAAGCTGCAACAGGAATGCAACATCAACCGTATTCGGCGCAGAATATGCCTTGGCAGCAGCAACAAGGATTTCAGCCGTCTTCTCGGAGTAGCGCCATCACAAATGGCAATCAATCTCATCCGATTATGACCCCTGACTTTACAGATAGAGCTTTATCGGCCGCACTGGCCTCTAATGCTCAAATAAGCTCGAATCGTAGTATCACTGGAAGTGGTGTTAATGTGTCGCCAATGACGGCGTCCAATGCGTCGTCTTTCCCTCAAAGTGCTGGAAATACGACACCAACGATTATGGAAGAGGAAGAAGCAATCTTTCACCCTCACCACCATAATGTTGGCCAAAATGATCCTCGCTTCTTCAACGCTCCAGAACATCTCTACCAACCTGAGGCACTGCCGGGACAACACCAAACCCATATGCCAATGCCTACCACTTTGATGCAACCAAGGAGAGCAGGTCCAAATCTATTACGAGCGAGTATTTATCAACAATACTCAAACATCAACGTTGGCATGATGGAAGAACGTTTTCGTGATAGCACGGAGGATTGTTTACCGTTTATTGACGATGTCATCTTCAATTACATCTCCACGCCAAGTCGATTGGGTTTAGGAGAACGTACGGTGATGATCATGACCAGTAAGGTTGCTCAAAAGAGTTATGGTGCTGAGAAACGATTCTTGTGCCCACCACCAATGGTTTTGTTGGTAGGAAGTAGTTGGTGGAGCGCTTGTCATCCTGTCAATACGTCGAGTGATGAAGCACAACCCACAATTCTCACGCCCCCACGATTGGCAATTTCTATGAGCGGTGATTCGCCAAACCAAGGTGGCAATTCCAGTGGAAGTTCCTCACAACAGGATGGTGTGTTGGAATGGGCATCTAGTAGCGGAAAGTTGCTCGATACAGATAATCCGTCATCGGAATTTGCTATTTCTGGACGATCGATCGGAAGACAGTTGTTCATCAATGATTCTGATGAAAAGAGAAGGCATTGTGAAGCATTAGTACAAATTCAAGTTCCTGCTTTGGCCGCCTCAGATCGTAAATCGCTTGGAGTCTTTCCGAGCAAACCGATCAAGGTGATTAGTAAACCAAGCAAAAAGAGACAGAGTACGCGAAATTCTGAGTTGGGCGTCAATCATGGATCGACGATCTCACTCTTTCACCGATTACGTTCTCAAACAGTGTCAACGCGGTATTTGTGTGTATCAGGTGCTCCTACCTGGTTCAAAGGATCAGATGGAAATCCATTCTTGAACACAGATGCAAACACTCATATTCCCAATCAAGGTGATTCACCTTCTTGTTTTGTTGCAAAGACTTCGAGTTGGGATCCGTTCATTCTGTATCTCGTTGACCCTCATATGCAAGCTGGCGCCAATCCCACATCAAATACGACTCATAATCCATCCGTTGAGCAGAACTTCACTCCCTCTGCAGCATTTATGCAATCTGGCAATCCTGGCGACGGAACGGATTCGAGTGGTTCGGCAAGTATGTCTTCTAATGGTCCTGGCTCGAGCGGCACGAACGCACAAGGAAGGCCGGCACATTACCCCATTCCTCCCGTCAACGCTTTACCGTTTCAACAAGGCAATGTTCCGATTCATTACAATCAACCTATCGTATTGCAATGTTTGAATACCGCCGTAGTCAGTCCCGTGATGGTAATTCGCAAAGCTGATCGTGGAACAACCGTTGTTGGTGGAGGTCAACCAATGATGTCTTTTGGTTCAAATGGTCCACCTCCAGGAGAGATGTACGGTGAGCCCGTGTCTCAACTACACAAAGTTGCTTTTGAAATCTTAGAGGAACAACCGGACGGAGGAGAATCGATTCAAGCTGGCAATCCTGGTATTAGCGGACATTTCTTGGGTTGTTTGAACGAAGATGTTGGTCTACGTAAACCATTGGGACCACGTCAGTGGATGCAAACCAGTTCAGGATCTGCTAATGTCGCCCAAAGTGGAATGAATATCAATCCTTTGTTGAGCAACAATGGCGCAGGAGCAAATAATAATATGAGCAATCCGACCACGCCAACAACACCTCTCACACCCATGACGACACAGATGTTTGGAAGCGCAGGTAATCATCCTGGTATGAATCCCGGTAACATGAGTGGCGAATTCAAAATGGATCCTTCCATCAGTCCAACAAATTTCATGATGTACGGTAGCGGCAATCCTGGACACCAACCAATGATGGGCAGCAGTAGTCAGCTCGGAATGGGGGCACCGAGCAATCCTCCAACAACTTACCCATACAATATGAATCCCCAAATGATGCCCAACGCTGCTGTGGCTGATGATCAAGCCGATAATGGAAAAGTAAAGAGACCGAGAAGGGTCTCGTCGTCCGTTCTTGTTCCGCAAAAGAGTGCAGGAACTTCTGTTGCAGTTTCCACTGCAAATAAGAACCGAAGAAGAGGTCAAAGTTTGTCGGTGATTGGATTGCAAAACCAGCTCAATGCGCAACAGCAACAACAACAGCAGCAGCAGCAGCAGCAGCAGCGAAACCAAATGCAAGTTCCCTCTCAACAAACGCAATCACAACATATGACGCATTCTATTCATCAACAACGTCCAAGCTTTACTGCTTCGACTACAAACACCTCCTCTTCTTCTTCCTCCATTTCATCAATGGCTGGAACTTCAAGCGGTCAAACTTTAAGAAGACAAAGTTCTTTCGCACAATCTGATACTTCTTCTTTGAGCGCAGCGGCAATGAATAGTGCAGCAAGTAATTCCAACACAACGATCAATCATTGGACGGTGGACGTACATGACTCGGACGTATGGACGATCGTTGGAGTGGATATTGCAAGACATACATTTTATCTTCCGCCTAAGCTTGTTAATGGAACGAGACCAAAAGCGGATGGTGTGGATGCTAGCATTGCTCATTTGGTAACAATGCCTGCTCCTGCACATCCAATCACTCCGATTCCAATTCTACACAAATGCTCTGGGGGTACAAACGGACTATCAACTTCTCTCAGCAATTCTTCCTTGGCACTTGCTGCTTCTCAGAAATCTGGAAATGGAATGTACCCACCAGACGCTAACCTTGTGGGCACGCCTGATTCACCCCTTCGACCAGCATCGGCTTCTAGCAGCGGGGGAGGTGGTGGTGGCAATGGTGTACGAGGAACGGCATCAGGTTATGTGACTTTGGTTGGTGAAAATTTTACGCCGAATTTGTTCATCTTTTTTGGAGATTGGCGTTCGACGCACGTTTCGGTTCCTAATTCAAACACGATCGTTTGTGCAGCTCCACCACCTTTGGATGAATTTGGAATGTCTCGTGATCATGTTCCGATCATCTTGGTTAGAAGGGATGGTGTAATCTTTCCAACGGATTGTATCTGGTACAAGGCTACATGACGATCGTGTATTGTATTTGTATGAAACCCACTTAGGGTTAGGATTATATCCATCCTAACCCTAAGTGGCCTTTTTTCTCCAGTGCAAAGATTCAAGCGATTTCTCCATTGAAAAAAGAATTCGGTGCTCATCTTTCTTTTTTTGCTGCTCATCTTTCCTTTTTATTTAGCAATTGTACCTGTCTTTCGACTTCATGAGTGTTGTATGATCATTATCACATATATTTCTTTTTGCTTTCCATAAACGCGTGTGCGGCTTAGTAAATATTAATTGTGCCAAAGAACCAAAAGTGAGTGATTTAACCTTAATTCCGAGGTGGCACTCATCCCTCTATCCTTACTACCAACACGGGCATTTTGTCGCAAAGATGGCGTCCGCATCAGTATACTACAAATTCAAATCCCAAAGGGAACCTTCAAGGATCACCTTTGACGGTACGGGAATCAGTGTTTGGGATTTGAAAAGAGAGATAATCATGCAAAACAAGATGGGAAAAGGATTAGATTTTGATTTAGGAGTATATTCTGCGGATACGGAAGATGAATTCAAAGATGATAACTTTATCATTCCAAGATCTTCTCAAGTGATTGTTAGAAGGTTACCTCCTGCCAAGCCAGGCAGAGGATCAGCGGCAAAGTATGTGGCCGATATTCAAGGAGGAGGTGCGAATAGCTCTGTACAGGAAAGAAATCAACCCGCTGCTGGTCCTTCAAGAGGTCAGGCATTTCGTGGACAGATGAGTATGCGATTTGATGGAAAGCAAGACGGACAGCCACAGCAACCATCCGCAGGACCACAGGAAATGGACACAATCTCTGGGGTAGAGGGAGACGAAGCGTCCAAGATTGCTGCTATGTTTCAAGCAACGACCGAACAATGGGATGAAACACAAGAAAAGATGGCAAATGCAACCTATCGTGATCGACCAGGAGCACCTGCTCGTAAGCCAGCACGACCTATGCAAGCTGGTGAAATGAGCAGACCGCAAATGCAACCAAACGTTCAACATGATCGACCACCTCCGATTGGCTATATTTGTTTTCGATGCGGTACAAAAGGTCATTGGATTCATGATTGCCCAACGAACGAAGATCGAGATTTTGATAATAAACCAAGATTCAAGCGTACAACAGGTATTCCAAAAAGTATGTTGAAAACTGTTGAAGCACCACCAGATGGAACGACACGCGAGGGAGTGATGGTTACACCTGACGGAAGCTATGTGATTGCGCAAGTAGACTCAGCTTCTTGGGCACGTAATCAAGCTCATCGACAGAAGAGATTGACAAAGTCGGATATTTACGGCAGTGTACCGAGCGATTCAAAGCTTGCTTGCATGATATGCAATAAGCTACTTCGAGATGCTGTCAAAACACCATGTTGTTCCAACTACTTTTGTCAAGAGGATATCGCCACGCATTTATTGGAACACGACTTCAATTGTCCGGAATGTGGCAAACGAGTCAAAGATCTTGCCGATCTTCAACGTGATGACGAAGTGCGTAAGCAGGTACGAGAGTACATCGATGCAGAGATGGAAAAGAGTGAGAAGAAGATGCAAGAGGCAGAACAAGCAGAGAAAGATGAATTGGATAAAGCCAAACGGGAAAAGGAAGAAGTAGAAGCAGAAAGTAAGCCCGTTGAAGAGGAAACTGTGAAAGAAGAAGCAGGGCAAGAGGCAAAGGAAGAGGAAGGTGGTGAGGGAGATGAGAACGGAAATGGCGCAGATGGTAACCAGAGTGAATGGAATGGTCAAACAGTCCAACAAATCATGATGATGCTTTGTAACCCGCAATTGCCACCTCCGATGAGGATGCAGCTGCAAATGCAATTGCGATTTTTGCACAATCAATTCACACAAGCAAATGCTCGGGCCAATCCTACATCTTCCATGCCTACCGGTGCACCTGCCGGACAAGGATTTGGAATCATTGGTGCACACAACGTCAACCCATTCGCAGGTCAACATCAAATGAACACGCCAAATTATATGCCCTCGATTGGTAATATGGGCAATGTGGGCATGAGAATGGTGAACCCGATGATGATGATGAACAACAAATTTCAACCTTCAGCGCCTCTAAGTCATCAAGATAGCGCATATATGCGTTTACCCGTCAATCCAAACAAGCGAGCGGTTTCCACCAAAAGGGAAAGGCCGGCTGACTTTTTCGAGATTGGAGGTGGAAACAAGGAAGCCAGGACGTCTTAGATCAGCACATCACATTTGTAAATTATGAAAAATGCAATTGACCCAAAAGTTATTATGCTACAGGTTGAAATTGAGATGGATCATTATTATAAGCCATCTCATCTAATGCCACGATACAACTCTCACGAACCACTCTTGGCGCTTGTTGATCTTCTGCCCATCGTTTGAGCGTGCTCATGATCTTTGCTGTAGTGGCTTGAATCTGATCAGCTTCACCACCAGATGCCTCTTCGCCTTCTTCAACAACAGCTCCCAAAGCTTCTGCTGCTTCATGTCGAACCATTTCCTCTTCTTTTGAATCGCTCAAAACCCGAACCATACTCTCTGCACATGCAGGATGAGCCAATTCTCCAAACACAAAACAGATCTCATGTCTGAATAAAGCACTCTTATCCGATAATCCATCAGCCAAAGCTTTGATTGCGTCGTTCGCTTGTGATTCATACTGCTGTCGGACAGATGAGGAGATGTTTGGTTGTTGTGATCTACGTCTGGCGGCATGAACGGCATTTCGCAAAGAGAACATAGCTCTATATCTTTGGAATAATGGCAAAGAGTCGCCTGCTGTAAGTTGAGCTTTGTAAAGTGGTATCGAGGTTAAAAGTGTGTCCACTTTAAGCGAATGTGCAGGAGCGGGATCGATTGGCAAAAATGATCCATCAACGTTGTCCGTATCAGAAGAGGACTCTTCTGGCATGGAAGCAGCTGCTTTTGCACGTGCTAATGCTGCTCCTTCACTTTCTTCTCCGTTTGTTTTGTGTCGATTCGATGATCCTGCACTGATTCCATGATCATATTCAATTTTCTCTAAAGCCAACTCGCAAGTCTCTCTCACGCTGACGTTTTCGTCCTGTAGAAATTCATTGAGAATCGGTAGTGCTCTTTGGGAGGAGATTGCACCCATTGCTTCTGCAGCTTCATGTCGGACCATTGGATGCTCTTTTGCATCTCTGAGCACTCTTTCTAGACATGTGATCGCCCTTTCATCCTGTATCTGTCCCAATACGTATGCCAATTCATGTTTGAGAAGAGCAGAATCGTTATTGTCAAATGCCTTATCGATAATGTTGATCACTTTTTGTGTATCATTAGGAGCCAAGCCTTTCAATGTGAATAGAGCTCTGAATCGAGCATCTAGTGGCTCATTCCCTGATGAATCTTGCAGACTGGCTGCTAATTTATCGAATGATGGTGCTGCCATTGTTTGAATGGTTATTCGAAGCAAAAGTTCTAATTTTAGTTTTTCTCAAAACGAAAAAAAGTTCAACACGCTTTTAATCGTGCCTTGTACACCCGCGGCACGTACAGGCTTGAAGGGAATGACGTGTAGATGAAGCCAAAAAAAAAGAGAAGAAAGCAAGCTAATGAGTTTCAGGCGCAAACGCCCTACAAAAAAAATCATGAGCGAGAATATCGATCAATTGCGCTTTTAACCTTTTTGTGGTTTCCTTTATCATTACAATCAACTCAAAGAAGGCTTCTTCTCTTTTTTATCACTTGCAGCTCATCCATTTTTAGATATCGCATAACTTGTTCAGCATCGTACATCATGTCAGCTCATTTGCAATTTGGACCGGAATGGATGCGTAAAGGAGCTCCTAGTGGTAAAACACCAACCACACCTACTCCTTCCAGTGAATCTCCATTTGTCTTTTCTGAATCTCCTCAAACTGGAGGCAAATCTTCCACATCTTCTTCAACAGGAAGGAGAAATAATTCAAAAGAGCCTACACCTGCACCTGTTTCATCAAATGCTGCACCTTTACCTTCACCCGGTGGCTTTTCGTTTGCAGCTGCTGCTGGTGGTGCTGGCAGTGGCTCAAATACACAACAGACTTCAGCATTTCCCTCAAACGGTTCTACTTTCCCTTCAAATCTAGATGGAGATGGTTCTCGCTACTCAAAACGCCTTTTAAGCTTATACAGTACAGAGCACGGTCCGAAAGGTATACCAACCGAACCTTCCAGCTCAGCAACTGACCGTGCACCGCCAACTGGACCTGCTTCGTTTGCCGGCTTGAATAATCGTAAGAAAGGGTTTTCTGATCGAGACTCTACAATCGGAGGCGGTGGCGGTGGTGGTCGTCGAACACATAGCGTCAATACAGACGTGGCAAATGTATACAAAGATCGCTCAGAATCTCAAAGGACGGGATTGTTTCAAAGAGGAACTGCTTCTTCCAACAATCTTGGGACAAATGGGACTAATCATCCTAATCACTCACCACAACACCCTATTCGAGATAGGCATGCATCTGGAGGTGGGATTCAAGGCGGTGTGCTAGCAGGAGTTGCACCAAATTCGTCTCGAAAGACCAGTGGACAGATGGACGAGCACCAAGAAAGCGAAGTACGCACACCGAAAAGAGAAAGATTGCCAGGTGAAGGGCCTATTGGACCACCAACCGATCGTAATGGTGGATTTGTGAAAGGATTTACCACAGACCGCAGACGAACAACTGGACCAGTGCCTACTCCAACAAAACGAAGTGCACCCTCACCATCAACCGCTGCAAATCCAGACCCGGTCAAAGAATCTAGCGGGCCACAATCTACCGATGTGGACTTGAGTCATCATGCTACAACTCTTGTAGAATCCCTCAACTTGGATGAAGACGATGAAGAATTGGTAAATAGGACAGAGCCTGTCAGTGAACCTGAATGGTCAGCAGAACAAGCTGAATGGCTTTATCGTGATCCTTCTGGACAAGTTCAAGGTCCGTTCAAGGCAATTGTCATGCAAGAATGGTATGCTGCCAAATACTTTAATGATGACCTTCTCGTCCGACCTGCAGAAGCTGCTGAGTTCATTCCGTTGGGCATCATGTTACGTTTGATTGGTGATAACAGCAAGCCCTTCTTGATTGCACCGAGCAATTATGCCGCCGCCAAAGCATCCCAACCAGCTCCTGCACCAGCACTAGCACAACCATCCAATCATATGAACATGCTTGCGCCTGGTGCTGGTGGTCACAACTGGCCTATGCAGCAACAACAATCGCCTTTCCTTGTAAACCCTACTTTGGCAAGTTTGAGTGGTCAGGGAGTTCCATCTTCACCATTTGGTACACCAACTTCTCCATTTCTCGATCTTAATGCGAGTAACACGTACCAGCATCAACAACAACAGCATCATCAGCAACAGCAACATGCAGAATTTTTGATGCATCAACAACGTGCAATGCAGGAGCAAAGAAATGCGCAAATGGCCGCTTTGGCGATGGCACAAAGGAGCGGTGATCCTTCTATGATGGCGGCAGCAGCTTGGAATAGTGCACCTCAACCACCGCAACAACAACCATGGGGACAATCTCCACAACCACAACACGCATTTGCAGCAGAAGGCGGATGGGGAAATGCCATTCAACAGCAACAACCACCGCAACCTCTTCAACAGCAACCGACACAACAGGATCAATTCAACCTGCAACCTCAAGAAGCACAAATGCCTTCTGCTCCTTCACAAGCTCTCCCGGATCCAGTGCAACAAGATATTGTGGAGCCAACATTGCCAGTAAAGACAGAACCACAAGAGACCGTTCCGGCACCTTCTGAACAAGCAGCTGAGCCAGAAGAAATTGTTGAGAGTGTACAAGAACAGAAAGCGGAAGAAGTTGAGCAAGAGGCTTCACCAGAACATCTATGGCCTCAAAGTCCATCTGCAGTAGAATTTGCATCTGAACCAGCGGTGGAAGAGATGGAACCTTTACCAATGACAACTGTGAAGGGACGCAAAGCACGTCGAGGCGAAGCACAAAAGCATTCCCAGGTAGACCCTGCTCCATTAAAGGAAGAGGAAGAAAATCGTTCAGCTGCTGCGGGCAATGTTAAAACGATGAATGAAGCAGACTTTAGAAAACATCAAGCATCTTTACGTAAAGAGGAAAGAAGCAGTTCGTTCGGCTCTGATTCGCTTCAAAAGAATACTGGACAATCTGCTGCAACGGCTAAAGCAGCTCCATGGGCTGGTAATGCTTCTTCTAATGGCATGAGCTTGCGTGAAATTCAAGAAGCGGAAGAAAAGAGAGTGGAAGCACTTCGGGCTCGTCAACAAAGGCCAGTGGCTTCTGTTCGAGCTGATTCGAGTGGTCCTGCAGCCTCGATGAATAAGATGACATGGGGCTTAGCAAGTGTACCATCATCTGCTTCAAATGGAGGAAATGCCAATGTTTCTTCTCCTACTTCCAGTACTGGACCAGTGTGGAGCTCGTCCGCTGCAAGTAAGACTGGCACTCCAAAGAAGACATTAACGGAAATTCAAGAGGAAGAACGTAAAAGGACACAAGCTTCTGCTGCCAATACTCGTTCAGTAAGTCTTACTGGCTCACAAATGCCTGCTAGAGGTGGTAGAGGATATGCAGATTTGGCATCGGTCAATGCAGCCAATCAAAACATCAGCGCCGCTGCTGCTGATACGGGAAGTGGTTGGGCAGTTGTTGGAGCAGGAGGCGGTAAACCAACTACAGCCACTCAAGTATCCACACCAACTCGAACAGTTCCAGGAGTAGCATCAGCTATTGCAAAATCACCAATGGTTCGTACAGCTTCATCTAATGCATCACCTTCCACCGCTAATGGTCAACAAGTTCAACCGAGCGCAGAATTTATGCGTTATTGCAGAGAACAATTGAAGGGATTGCAAATCAAAGTGGATGATTTCATTGAGATGTTACTCTCTTTTCCCCTCGATCCATCTCCTGATGTAGTGGAGATTATTGCTGAATCCGTTTATGCAAACAGTGGAACGCTCGATGGAAGAAGGTTTGCGGCCGATTTCGTTGCTAAACGTAAACAAGATGCTATTCTTCAACGTCGTAAAGTAGGAAGTGTTGCTGCCACTACTTCTACTAACACGCCTAACAATGTGTATGCAAGTACTGCTGCAGGAGGAGCAACAGACTTCTCAGCAAGTTCTGCCTCACCTCTGCGTAATGCAAGTGACGTCCTAAAACAGCCTGCAAGACCTGCGAATGCCAACGTTGTGGGAGGAGGTGATGCTTTTGGCGGGTTCAAGGTTGTAAAACCAAAGGGTGGAAAGAAGCGTGTATGATCAGTAATTTGTGGTGGAAAATTGTACGAATTCATAGCATAATTTAGTATTTAACCTTAAGTTTCTTGGGTGTGATTGCCATCAGTAAATTTGACCGCATAGCCATCCTAGGTCTCCACGGTTGTCAGCTTAGGGCCGCGGTAGCACGTGCATTTAGCGCATTGACTCGCTTAGGTGATTGATTGCTTTGACGGCTTTACCAGCCAGCCAGCGTAACAGACGCGCAACGCACGCTCCAGGCGTGAAGAGCTTTCTTCTCATTCTTTCTGCACAGCTGTTGTGCTAAAGTGTGGCATCATATCCCTCTATTAAAGAGCGGCATACGCACTTTAGCGGGGCTTTGGAGGTAAAAGTTGCTGAATGGCAGAAGTGGAATACTTGATAACCATCATCTCTAACGAATATCGTCCAATATGGCCAGCATTGAAGAGATTGCCGATAGCATCGAAGAACCAACACAACATATTCATGATCACGATCACGATCATGAAGGTGAAGGAAGTGATGTTGAACTTGGCGGTAAAGGTCAAGATGTAACAATCACAGATGCAATCGCCAGTAAATCTGAACGTAAAGCACGTAAGCAATTACAGGGTATCGGCTTGAAACGTGTTCAGGGTATCAACCGTGTTACAATGCGTCGTCCTCGTGGTTATCTTTTGGTTGTTACAAATCCAGAAGTATACAAATCTTCCGTTTCAGATGTTTACGTCGTTTTTGGTGAATTAAAGACTGAAGATATGTCTGCTCAAGCACAAGCAGCACAAGCACAACAATTGGCTCAACAAGAACAACAAGAACGTATGTTGAGCGAACAATTCAGCCAATTGTCCAGCGGAGCAGGCGCTGAAAAGAAAAAGGAAGAAGAGGAGGAAGAAGATGAAAGCGAGCCGATCGACGAAGAAGGCGTTGATGCAAAAGATATCGATTTGGTCATCTCTCAAACATCTTGCTCTCGCCGTAGAGCTGTCAAAGCTTTGAAGGAACACCAAGGTGATTTGATCAACGCAATCATGGCTGTCTCATAAATGGGCGAGATAGGCTGTACTTCCGCCCATTCGCATGTACTTAACCACAAAAAGCCCTTTCATTGAAAGGTAGATCCGACAGGACAAACATATTTGATACATGGTATCGCAATTTCACCTTCGACTGAGTGACTTTGAAGTGAGGTAGAAAGAATTATTATGTGATGCGTAGCGGAGCATATGTGCGATAGGGTTTGTTTACGTTCGATGATAGAATGAACTCACCGCCTTGTCACTTCTGTACACAATGTGCACTGCTCGGTCTCGCCTCCGTGGCTTTGAAAGTACGCAAGTGGGATGCAACGGTACGACAACGATTGTGTATAAGTGCTTTGCAACGCCTCGGTTGCATATACAAAAAGTCTCATTGTCGAATGATATCTCTGTAAAGTTGTGAATGATTCTTTTGATGTCTCTTTTTTCCCTAAAATCATCGTCCTTGACATACCTTTAAAACCCACCAACAAGACTCTTTGTGAAAATGAAGAAGATGTTCTTCTTCCTTTTGCTCTTCTTAGTGTTTGGCAACATAGCTTTTTCCGTCGATATTATCACACCTCGTGAGGATAAAGAAGCTAAAGAGCTTGATTCTGATCATCGCTTTTATACAACGATGGCTAATAACCATAATTGGGCAGCTTTTGATCATAGAGTCAAGAAAGAAAGATGGCAGGCCAGGAAAGATAAAAGCCCTTTCTCTTGCTGGAAAAAGTTTTGTGCGAGTCAAGAAAAATATTACGAAACACACCGAGAAGCTCACGATACCTTAGCCCGTTCACTGCAAGACACAGCAAGTGAAAGATGGGAGAAGTTACGAGCACGTAGAAATGATCATAAAGATCATATACGGCTTCTAGAACAGCTGAAAGAACAAAAACCTAAAGCAAATAATCGTCTTAGGCGCACTCGAAGTTTTGATCACGTTCAACCCTTACAGCAAGCAAAAGAACAACCATCTGAAGCAAGAAGCAGTCACAGACGTACTCAGAGTCATCGCTAGAAAACATTTACCGATGAAGACCGACTTTCCTTGTTCTCGTGAAAGAGTTTTATGCTCTTTAATGTTTAATTGACTCGAGGTGTGTTACGCACCAATCCTACATCATTATATAGTCATGAAAGCATCTTGAGCTCAACTTTCTAAAGCTATGTTGTAGTTCTAGGCTGATACAGTGTACATTGACTAGCAATGATCGTACAGCTGCGAATGATAACTTTTGAGCCCAAAAATAATTGAAGATGATGTATTATTACACAATTTTTGATGGTCGGGCCTATAATATGGATGCAATTCGCTATACGCGAGTGATGAATATTACCCGTGAAACAAGTTTGTGTTGCCTCAGAAAGCCGCAAACACAAGTGATGGTTAAGTGAACGGGCGTACCCATGCTATCTAGGGGCTCGAGGTAAAATTCGAACTACCTCAGTGATTATAGACATACACAGTTTTGACAAAATACTTAGGGTTAGAATAAAAATCCTAACCCTAAGTAGCCCTGTTACCGGTGCAGACTCGACTGCGTAAAAATGCTTTTCAATGCCCCCGTGGCAAGTTCAACTGCGTTAAACATTTTTCAGCCCTTCCGCAGCTTTGACTCTTCCCTTGTTGTCATTTGTAGACCTATTTAAATCCTGTATCTATCCCAGTAACGCTTCTTTACTATCATCGTTCGTCATCCTTGACATCTTATGTCAAAATGAAGACGATGGTCTTCTTTTTGTCCTTTTTGGCATTCAATGCCATTGCTTACGTCGCTAGTACCTCTCGAGAACTCCGTTATCACAATGCTGTGAAGGATGAGTATGCACAACTAGCTCATGACTCAGGACTTAGGAAAGTAGAATGGCAAGCTAGAAGAGATACTGCTCCTTGTCCAAGATTTAAGCAACATTGTCAATCATATGTAGAACATTACGAGAGACAACAAAAAGAAGATGCAGATGTCAGTCGTAAAGCACAAGAGAAAGCTGACCTAATTTCCCTTGATATTGTAAAGCGTAGAAAGCTTAAGGATAACAAAGAGCATAAGCAACTCATAGAACAGGTGCAAGAACGACCACCAAAAGGAAACATTGGTCACAAGCGTACCAGAAGTTACCGTTGAAACGTTTCACGTATTAACAAGGAAGTTACTATAGTTTCTTCATGGATGTTCATAAGCCTGTGTTAGCAGACCAGTGCAACATGGCTCTCGCAGGTGAGCAGCACGTAAAGCTCTAATGTTCACTGCAAATTGTCCTCGCATTCTTGTGTTCAAAAACGCAAGTGACTGCGGCTCATTTGAGTCACCTTTTCGCCCCTTTTTTGGCGTGCACTTTGTACGCAGCATGTAACCATATGCATATATGATCTCTCCCTTGGTTCGGCCCTTCCATATCATCGCTACACCTTTCCCTTGATGTTGATACTCTCTCACCTCATCTTGTCCTTTGCAAGATGCGCATTTCTTTATTCATTTCCTTTTATGTCTTCTTCGTCTCGCTTTTTGTACTTTCGAAAGCCGCTTTTGATGAGAAGAAATACAATTCTCTTACGAAAAAGGCAAAAGCATATGATAAAGAAGCAAAAAAACAATTAGGCAAATCGAAATCATGGGATCGTTGTCATCGTTTAAGTAAATATCGGGTGATACAAAAGATAAGTCTTACGATGTCTACTTGGCGAAAGAATCGCGCTGAAAAGTACCGACAAGGGGCAGAAAAAGCTCGAAGAAGAGCAGATCGTATGGCTGGTAGATTGTAGGGCTTATCAAATGGTTCACGTAGCATCCAAGTAGTCGATCATTCCTTAATGTGTCATGGTGTACAAGTCACCACTTTTTCGAAGGCCAGTTCAAGCCTCTTTGCCGTGGGTTTCACATGCAACTTTACAGCCAAGAGAACAGCTAGCAATACAACCTGATGTTCTATAATTGGATGAATCACAAAATAAATTTTTTGAATAGAGTCCCGGGGCTTGCCTTTTGTTTCTTACACCTATATCCGTATATTTGATTGCAAAAATATGCTAATCATACTGAACCTTTTTACCAGCCAGATGAGAACCTTCTTATTACCGCTTTTAACACAAGTCAAAATATTATTTTGTGCTGCTGTGGGTGATTTCAACGCAATGTTGAGAAGAATGCTTCAAAGATTGAAGAATATCGGGCAAAAAAGCATTGATGGGGCGCTATTCACTGGGATGAAAAAAGAAGTCGAATAGTTCGTAAGGTGGCCTGAAAAATGTACGATAAATCCGGAAAGCAACATAATAAGTCATAGGGAACGCTCTAATGTCTTCAAAGATCGTATGAACAGATCGCAAAACTGAGTTTTAACCAAGGTCTTCTGTAGAAACAGACCTCATTAGAACATCGAAAATATGTCCGAATTCTTATTCCAACGCTATCTTTGTTCATCGTACCGTATGTAGCGTACTAGAAGAACTCAAATGTGTACACATACACAGTAAGCTGGGACTTAATCATATAGACCTGTACAGTCATCTTCTACACAGTCAAAAAGCTTTCAAGGCAAGAATGATTATCGGGGAAAGGGGGTTGATGCTGATAAACATCCGAGGTTGCGCTGGTTCGCCAAGAAAATGTATGACTCTCGCGGAATTTGAGTGATGCACTATACAAAACAATCTGAAGCTCGTAAAAAGCAGTTGAACAATTTAGACGACGTGACTCAGCAACAGTCGAATCAGATCGATGGTACTCCTCGATTCGGGACAGAGTCTGAAGTTACAAGTTTAGAGTCATTATCCCTTACATTTTTTTCTACCTTTCTATCGCCTCTTCTGACACAGCTTTTGTCAGACCCGATCATGCAAGCATCTGTGAAAATGCATTTTGCATTCCTATATATACCTCTAGGTTTGCTTTTGCGGCGACTAGTGAAAGACTACTTATGCTTTGTTGTCATCATGCGAATGAAGCTTGTCGTTTTGATCATTGTTTGGTCAATCTTTACCCCGTCAATCAATTGTGCTACAAATGTTCAAACTCACGAACAAGAAATAAACCAAAGAGTAACAAAAGTAGCAACCAAAATTCAAACAAGAGCAGACAAGAATTGGAAAAAAGCCGATCAATGGTTTAAGCTTCGTGATCGTTGCTTCCCACCGATTAGTACGTTCTGTAATCATATGGCTAATCTACGCGGTAAACAAGCTCAAAAAGATACGATTAGGTCATTGGCTTTGCAGAAAGGGATGAACGATCGTTTGAAGCAAGCTCACCCAAATTCATCTCATGGTTGATTTTTGAGTCCAACACATTTGCGCTTCAGACACCTTGTGTATCCCATCCGCCCATGTATGCAACGCCAATCACACATACACAGACACCATCGCATTTTTGTTTTGACGCATGTCACCTACTTATTTGCTCATCATCACTTCATAAAGTCAATTTAGTTCACAAAAGGTACAGTAGAATGTTGAAAATAAAAGGGTGTGATAGCTGGCAATAGATTTAAGAATGATGATAGTATTGAATAGAATGTATCGAACTTCGCATGTCTTGCAATGCCAGCAAACATAATCATCCTTTCAGTGTAGCATACTTGCTCCACACACATGGAAACATCCCGCAAGGTGGGATCACTCAAACAGCGCTAAGCCCATTCCCCCGGACTCCGCCATACTCCAACATGGAAAAAGTGGTAAAGCTATCAATGGCTTTGAGTACGTCTGTGACGACTACTACTTGCTTCTGGCTCTCGACCTTGCTCACTGCTTAGAGACTGATGTTGCCTAAAGCTTTGAGTACGTCTATGACGGCTATCTGCTTTCGGGTTTCTTTCTTCCAGCTGTTCTAACAGTCGATTGTGCTGTTTATAGTCTTTCACACGACTGTCAAGAATGTCTTCGAATCTGTTAGACTTGCTAATGTGCATCCGACCTACTTTCTCGTTTGCTTCTTCTACTTTACTATGATATTTTTCAAGATGCTTGCAAAGTGATTTCACTAAACAATTTGTCGTCCTCTCTTTTCTAGCTTGCCATTTTTCCTTTGCAAATTGTGCATCGGTAGAGTAGGATAAATAATCAAGACCTATATATTTGTGGTCCATCTGCTTCGCTACAAGCCTCTGATTCTCTTCTTTTTCTCGAGGAGTGGTGATACTGTCGAAACTGGCGGCGTGAACGATACTGTCTAATGAGAATAAAGTCAAGAATAGTAAAAGACGAAAGATCATCATCTTCATCTTGATGAGACAAGGATCACTATTGGGGATGTTCAAAAGATGTTGAGGTATGGTGGTAATAAAGAAATATCTCCAGGAAAGACCCACGAATACGCTTTATATTGCATCTCAAGAACAGTTTTACACAATTGAAAAATTCGTTTTGGTCTTACTTGCGTATTGTGAAAGCCGCGAAAGGCGTTAAAAAGCAAATATACGCAATGCCTTGCACCTTCTTGTCATTTGTGTATTCCATATCCACTTATTCGATTTGCACAAATCCATACAATTTGATTCCACCTTTCTATCTTGAAAACAACTCAATTTCCCAGCGCTTATGTTCATGCATACACGAGGAAGAGCTGAAATTTGAGCTAAACAATCGTCTTTGTTCGTGCTTTCGATCACGATTAGCTTATATGGCTTGGATGATTTCACGGACTTCATTACAAGGGACTTTCTTTGTGTGTAATGCGATGAACACGAATTTCTTGAAATTTGTGCCCGGCGCAGCCTTCTACCCTTCGAATCGTAATCGAGCGGCTATGTACGATACAACGGGCGTTATCCAGTAAACCCCGTCTCACGTATTTAAGTGATTCATTTCAACCTTGACAACAATATCATTATTCCTATTCATGGTACCATTAATCAATCATATTTGCTCTACACACCTTCTTTTACTATATCCCAAAAATTGAGCGCCCTTCAAGCTAGAAGTGAAAGTACAATGCAAAGCTCCTTTGCAGCAGGATTAATTTGGCATTCCACAGTATTGCTGGATCCTCACCCTATACATATTCATAAAGTATCCCAAAATCTCCTGACGAGCGTGTTAGATGTTGCATCAGCTATGAACATGTTAAAGTATTAATAACCGGTTGAACATTAACTCCACACATTCAAAAGATGCATCATTCCTTCATCATGCGTCACATTTTATTCGACATCATTGCTGTTGCGGCACTGTTCGCATTTGTCCTAACAGCGGAGGAAGGAACCTATGATCGACTTAATCCTCTTACGGCGCGTGAAACCAAAGGTGATGGCGACCAGAAAGCTAATTTGATCAGAAAAAGATTCTATACATCGTCAAAAAATGCGACTTGGAAAAGAAAGGAGGAATTTACAGAGGTTTACAGCAAGCGTGATGATCTACCGGAGCCACCTGATCCGAAATTACATCCTCCTCATTAGGAGCAGTCTGCTGCTTACAGAATCTATCGTACAGCTCAACCTCAACCTTTACGATCTTATACATAACTTTTTTCTCGTCTCTCGCCTTTTCTATTTCTTTCTTTATTATATTCGATGTTGTGATATTCTGAATGTTTAAGCAGTACCATTCGTATATGAACTTGAGGACTGAAATCCATATGCATAGTGAGACTGATCATAAACAAAAGATGTATGCTGATTGTATTGGTTTCTGTTAGCCAGGTTGAGTAGGCATTCATTATCTTGTTGATGGTGGGAAAGATGCCAGGCAAAAAGCTAATTGCCTTCTTATGGCTCTGAGTAGTCGGAGCGATCGTTGTGTTATTTATCATTTTGCTCCACCACTGCGATTTACAAAAGAACAAAGTTATCAGTCATACCTTCCAAGTTAGAAATGATAAACTTACCAGCAATATTGATTATTACCAGGGCAGGCATTACAAGCGTGACCTCCTTTGTAAACCTTTACACATGTATTGAAATCACCTAGTCGAGTGGGATGAAGAATAATGGTAAATACGCTTCAACAGACATGCAAAAGAGATCAAAGGCTCACAACAACATTGGTCTGCTTGAACAGATATCATCAGGAAGAAGATGAAACAAACAGAAGTGTAAAATCGTAAAAGAAGCATATCTTGATCTGGAAAAGATGATGATGGTGGCAATATCGAATTGGAAAGTGGCCAAAAAATCTTCGTTGTTGGGCTGATTTGCTCATTGCCTGCCTAATTGTGACTTCAGACTGAGTTTAAATAAAGATTGGTATATTTGTCATCTTTTTTAGTCATACAAGAGTATACTTCGCTTCCACAAGATCTGCAAGTATATGAATAACGCCATAAAAGACGGTGACCGCTTTGCAACTACTTTTGTTGATCAAAGAGACCGATCTTACCCGCGACATGCTTTGCTTGTTATTTGTTTCTCTATAGTCTGCTCTCGAATAGGTGATCGTCATCGATCCCAGTTGTTTCTTCTTGCCTTCTATAGACTCCTAGCTAGTACATTAACTATGAACATACCCCCTATATATTCAGGATTGTTTTCATAGACTCCCTACAAATTTTATGAGTGTTGAAAACACTAAAGCATAAAAAGCTCTGTTATTCGCTTTTCCTCTTCGCTTCTATCAACATCCCATCCTCTCAACATGCGTCTTTTCTTATACATTTGTACCGTCGCACTAACTCTTACATTTGTCCAGGCAACAACTGGAAGCCTCGACGACCAATTCGGTCCTCTTACTGCGCGTAATGTGATCAATGGCGAAGAGAAAGTTGGTCTGATTCAAATGCGACGCAGTGAATCATTGGCAAAAAAGGCAAATTTGGATAAGAAGGAGGAAAAGAGAGGTTTGGTTGGACCACCCATCTGTAAAGGATACAATTGCGATCAAATTCACCCGTAATGTCAAATGTTGGCCACCTAAAGGGGCATAAATAAAAGCCAAATGGAAAGACAGAAAATAAGAAATATTTCTCACTTGTCCATTAGTTCGTCTGCCTCCCGCACTCTTTCAAAATTTATGATTCTCCAACTACCCGCGCCTGTGCCCGATTTCCGAAGACGCGAAAAAAAAAGTTTTGAAATAAATAATAAACTTCTTCCAATGAATGTGAGAAAGACTGAATCCTACTCTCCTTCTATTATCATTGCCTTCACCCATCACGACCTTCATATCCTGCAAAAATGCCACGAACAAAACGAAACAAGTTGGTCTCATTGACAAAAACGCCAAAGCGAAACACTCGATCAGCAAAAGGTGAATTGATCGATCAAATTCAACAAACGGCAGAAAAATATCCAACATGTTGTGTTTTCTTGATGACGAATCAAAGAACTTCTTATTTACAAGAAGTTCGAAGTTTATGGAAAGAGAATAGTCGTATCTTTGTTGGAAAGAATAGAGTAGTTGCAAAAGCGATCGGAAATGATGAACAAAGTGAAGTTAAACCTGGTTTGAATGGGATCGGAAAACAGTTGCAAGGACCAGTGGGTGTTTTGTTCACTACCAGTTCACCAGAAGAAGTACAGGAATGGTTTGAAGATTATTCGAGAGACGATTTTGCACGAGCAGGAAATGTGGCCACAAAAGATGTCATCTTGGAACAAGGTCCCGTTCAATTGGCTTTGGATCCACCAGAAACCCTACCGCACAGTTTGGAACCGCAATTACGTGCTTTAGGAATGCCAACCGAATTACGTAGAGGTGTACCAACATTGATCGAACGATTCAGCGTTTGCAAGCAAGGTGAAAAGATTACATCAGAGAAAGCACAAATTTTGAAACATCTTTTGATCAAAGACTCCAAATTCCGATTGATCCCCTTTGCTTATTGGACAGAAGCGGATGGAGAAGTGAAAGAATTCGCATTAAAGAGCGCAGAGGATTCAGCTTTGATTCAACAACATAAACGTGCAGAAGCCAAAGGTAACGGACAGGTCAAACATGCACGCAAGGCAGCCCAAGCAATGGAAGAAGATGAAGATGAAGACGTCGATCTTGATGCAGAAGATGACGAAGATGAAGACCTAATCGAATCTCGCGATAAGGCAATGATGATGCCCGTTGGTGTTTAAAAGGTGGCCTTCCTAGATTTGCATTGTACTATAGCACTTTTTTCTCACTCAAATAAACGCAATCGCTTTTTTACAAATGTCTTTAGTGCGTGCAAGAGAAAGTAGTATACATGGTATCGGAAAGATGAAGCAGATGTGAGTAAAAGGGAGTTTTAGATAACGTCGGCGATTCCCTCCTCTGATCCGCTCACAACGGACCATTCGTCCATACTTTGAGCCTCTTCATCCTCTTCTCCGGAAGGCAGAAGGGTTGTTTCAAGGGGTGTGATTGTTGTGGGATTTGGCTTGACTCTGCTGCAGGCATAATCCCAATCGGCATAGATTGCTCGGATTGCATTCGATACACCTTTCTCCTTTGCAATCGAATCTGCCAAAGTACGTGCATTACGCTTCATTCGTGCATCTGTGGTGCAAATTCGTAGAGCATTGGCAAATGTATCCACAGTGAATGGCTTATTGGCAACGCTTACACCGATCTGTAAACTTTCTACTTGAGATGCCCAAAAAAATTGATCGCCAAAGAAAGGTCGTACAATTGTGGGAATACCTGCACGTAAAGAAGCACCTAAAGTACCTGATCCACCATGATGGCAAGCAGCATCCATTTGCGGGAACAACCAATCATGCGGTACAGATTGAATGGTAAATATATTTTGCCAAACATCGTCCCCTGCCTCTTCGATTTGACTGGTCGAATCTTTACCTTCTTGTAATCGATCGGACCATCCTTTCGAAATGATTGCGCAAACGTCACTCTTTCGTACAGCTTCAATGACTGTTTGCAAGACCGCATCTGCATCTGCGATCACGATACTTCCCCATCCGATATAAACAATCTTTTTCTGATTTTGTTTTGCTTTTGCGATGAACTCAATCAATTCTTTCGGTGCTTGCCACACTTGTGATGATCCGGTCTCATCCGCATTATCCAAGAACCAGAAACCGCAAACATGAATCCAATCTGACCAATCCAAAGGTTTGGGTACCAAACTTGGACTAAAGTTGTATAAGAATGGGATCTTGTGTTGTTCCAGCTTGTCCATATTGGTTGGTGATAATCGCAAACATTTCTTACGCCATGCATTAATCTGACCAGCCGATGCTCGCCAAAATACCTGATCAAAGATGACGTAAGACATATAGTTATAATTGCCTCCTGCTCTTCTTGAAGGTACTGCAAATGCATGAGGATAAGATCTTGTTCGTGTCCATGGCATGGTGAATGCTCGATAATACGGTATGCGTAATGCCTCGGCGATGTGAATGCCTGCGATCGCACTTGGACTTTCGATGATTACATCCGTGCCTTGACAAGCGTGCCAACATGATAACAACAAATCATCCAACCAACCTCGAAATTTGGTGACACTTTCCCGCACAAAAGCCAACGTAAATGTTCCATTCTCGATACAGATCCTCATCAGCTCCGCCGGATCCCCTCCGATCTCACAGAATTCAATACCAAAAGATTCGATCCACTTCCCAAATTCTGCGTGTGTTGCAATGCGAACCCGATGACCTTCTCTTTGCAATCCTCGACCAAGAGCAATATACGGTTGTACATCACCGCGTGAACCAACGGTAAGGAATGTGAAATGCATATTCTCCTTCGGTTTGATGGGCACAAAGGAGGAAGAAGAGGCAAACAGACTGGACACAGAGAGATTTTGTGATGAATCACTTCCACTCTGGACATCGAAACCTAAATCTGTCAACGAAAGCGAAGGAACTCCCTCTTCATCATCGTTATGAGGATCTTGCATGTGTCCAATGGGTTGCAGTTCAATGATCGAAATACATTGATCTCGTCTATGCGTCGAGACAAACTCGAAGAACAATTCTTCATGACCTCGTACGATAATCACCAGTCCATGTCTGCCGTATTGGACGGCATTATTCTTGGCAACAGAGATGATTTCCTTGCGTGGTAATATCATCATTGTCCTACCAATCGTCTTTGTTGCCAGTCGTGATGAACGGAAGCACACGTAGTTCGTCGAAACAAAAAGCCGACCTGAAACAGGAAGGATTCGATACAGATTGGTGCTGGTATGATGCAGCAACTCTTCATCATCGGGTAGCGAAAAGCACGAACGAAATTGTTCCAAGCTTTCTTGTTCCTTCATATCCTCTTCTTTTTGCACATCAGCAGCGGCAGCTTCGCTATCTTCCAAGACAGAAAACGTTGAATGCATAGAATTCATCAAATCATCGTCATTAGATGGATCAGATGATTCTTTCAAATGTTCCTCTTCTCTTTCGATCACACTATCGTGTAGTGGCTGTGCTGACCATTGTTCTCGTACTAAGCGAGTAGGAAGTCTGTTGGTAATAGCATGTAGGCCACCAGAAGTATTCTGTGCCAATCTACCCGAAGCTTCTAGTAGCCATTGTGGAATCGACCACTTCTTATCGCCTCCACCAAGGAGTGAATCGATTGATGCTGGATCTATGTGTGGCGATGGCGGATATCCAGTAGCCGAAGATTCAAGTGGAGCTGCTTTGAGCGTGGTGACCGATGTTGACAAGATAGTGGAAGCCGAAGGGGGAGTGCTGATTGATGTGTCATTGGTTGCGTCTGCTAATTGCGATTCCAAAGCAGTATCTGTACCAGCCCGATGAACGGATAAAGTAGGCGTCCTGTTCCCTTGTCGAAGAGTTTCCGTTCTGCGTAATCCAGATGCGATCGTCTTTGCAGGACCGAAAGAGGCACGAATTTGACTTCCAGTTGAGGCTTGAGAAGAGACTGCATTTATCGATGCAAGCTTATCACGAAGAAGAGCAACGAACTGAGCTTCATCTGCCATGTTTGTGAAAAAGTATTCGTCCATCGTCATTTCCGTCTCTCCAGGCTGTGATTGAATCACCTTGATCGTAACAACGGCAACGTCTTGGATTCCTTTGCCATGCTCAGCTTTGGTGGTGTGACCGGCCACAGGGTTGGCATTACTGCTGTCAATGTCGAGCATAGCTTCGTATGGTATCGTGATTCGAACATTTTCTCCTTCATTTTGTGCGCGAAATGTTGATTTCTTCAAGGCAGCAACCCACTCATCTGCATCCGATGTTTCGAATAGGAACGTTCGATAAGGAGTTACCACTTCGAATTGAGGATTGCTCGCAGTGCTGAGCGCATTCACCTCAAGGACGTCCCTCAAGTCAATCTTGTCTTGAGGAAAGTATGGATCGTATTCGCTCTCATACCAGCTCAACGTTCTGCCTCGCAAGATAGCCCAATGAGAAGAAAAACGACGAGTCTTTCGAGTCTTTTTACGTAAAATACCTGATCGTATCAACTTGTCTTGTCGAGATGGCAAGTTTGCATAAAAGCAAAGGTTGTTTGTCAAAACATACAGGTACCCTTGCAAGACTATATTGCGGAATAGCCAGCACGGATGACTTGAGATAAGTTCTTCCTTTTCGTCCAGGTCGAAAATGTGATGCAATCGGCGTATCAATTCATCTTTTGCTTGTATAGGTGTTGTCTGTGGATGGCTTTGATCTTGTTCTAAGTGATCTTTGAGTATGCTAGCATCAACTGGATCGTTGCTTAGATCAGCCACAGATGAAAGTGCGTGTAGACACAAGAGTTGAGAACAAGTCATAGATGCTCTCATCCCTTCGCTATCTTCTGCATCATCATCGTCATCTTCTCCAGATATTTCTGGGGAGAGGTTGATTTCTGCGTGTTGTTCGTCGGTTGTATTTTGTGGTAAGGCCGTCTCTTTGACGGCTATGGGAATAGACGTCATTATGTTGTTCGTATTAGATCGTTCATGATCATGACATTCATCATTTTTTTTGTGTTGGATGGTGTAGGTAATTCTGAAGGATATGGATGATGTTGCCAAAGATAAAAAAGAATCAAATTTACGCGATGCCTCCATATATAACAACAGTTAACAACAGTAAGCAGTTGGTCACCCTTTATGCACGCATCTGCATCTACTCAATTTTCAGCATCGGAGCACTGTTGTATATTTCCCCCGCGTCTTCGATAACGGTCAATTTAAAAGGAGGCGGGTCTTGCGCCTATCGTACGCGTTCTTTTAACAGGCCGCTTTTTGTGTTCCAAGTCACGTGAGCATTGTTCAAAATCTCTTAAGAATTAGTGGAACTTGCAATTCATTCCACTCTATGCGTATGATGCAATAAATTATACACGCCTTTCTCCATCACCTTTTGTCGTTCGACAATCACTTGCCACCTGTTCAACACAATCACAAAATGCCGCCAAAGAAAGGAGGTGGCGGTGGAGCACCTGCAAAAGTAAAAGATGATAAAACGTTTGGAATGAAGAATAAAAAAGGTGGAAAAGCACAACAACAAATCAAAATCATTCAAGCACAAGAAAAGACTGCAGGAAAAAATAAAGAACAACTTGCAAAAGAGAAAAAGAGAGAAGATGAAAAGAGACTAAAAGCAGAAGCTGAAAAGCAAAGACTAAATGATCCTTCGTTTAGTATCGTTCAACCTAGAGTACCTTTTGGTGTTGATCCAAAAACGATCACTTGTGCTTTCTGGGCTGCGGGAAAATGTGATAAAGGAAGCAAGTGTAAATTCGCACATGCCAAAGATGCAGGACGGAAAGTTGAAAAGAAGGATCTATACACCGACATGCGAGATGGAACAGGAGAAGGAGAAGGGGAAGATGATAAAAAGAATGACACAATGGACAAATGGGATCGAGCAAAACTAGATTCAGTCATTCTATCGAAACACGGAAACCCAAAGAGTACAACAGACAAGGTATGCAAATTCTTCTTAGCAGCGGTCGAAGATGGAAAGTATGGTTGGTTCTGGATCTGTCCATCAGGGGATAAGTGCATGTACAGACACGCACTACCGCCAGGATTCGTATTGAAATCACAAAAGAAGGAAATGGAAGCAGCCGAAAAGGCAAACGAGATCTCTTTGGAAGAATTCTTGGAAACGGCCAGACATCAACTTGGATCGAATCTAACGCCGGTCACGAAAGAATCCTTTGCTAAATGGAAGAAGGATAGAATGGACAAGAAACAAGCTGAAGCAGATTTGATCGAAAATAAGAAGAAACAACAAGCACAAGCCAACAAGATGATCGGTTTGAGCGGTCGTGAAGTATTCACACTAAATCCCGAATTCTTTGAAGGAGATGAAGAAGCTGCTGCAGGTGATGAATTTGATATGGCAACTTATTTCAAGAATTGGGAACAAGCCAGAGATGAAGAAAATCAAACAAACGGTCATGCACACGATGACGAAGAAAATGGCGAAGGAGAGGATGAGGATGATGTTGCAAAGGTTAACGGAGAACTAGAGCAACTTTCTGTATCATGATTTCACTAATGTACATATGATTCCATTGCATCTACGCATACAAAAACAAACACGAATCTACTTGAAAATGGCTATTAGCATGACAAGGATGATGATTAGCACAAAGATTGTCCATGTAGAACCTGAGCCGTAGGATAAGGTGTCAGCAATGTGCACCTGTATTATGCATCTGCAAACTCACCATGCTCTTTTAGGCTGTTTGTGAATTGATCTAGCCTTCTGGACGCCCTTCCCAGTCTTGCACCTGTATTTTCCACATCTCTGTCCATCTCATCCAACAGGGTAGCATGTGTCTCAAGCTCTTCGTTCATCTGTAAGCTCAAGTGATGTTGTCTTCCGATACTAGCAGATAAGTGATCGAGTTGATTATCCTGACTTGCCATCTGTTGCTGTTGTGATTGTAGTAGTTCTGCATTGCTTCTTCCATCCTCTTCTTCTTCTATTGCGTATGGATTGGACTGTTTGTGTGCTGGATCATCTCTGTATGGCGATATTGTTTCAATTGTGGCAGCTTTTGTCTGGATTGCTTCAAATAGGTTTGGATGGCTAGCAAGTGGGGAGAGAGTGAGTCAATTGAATGCTGTTTATGAGATATTACTGCTTGCACTCACTTTTCCTTCACATCTGTTAATAGTTCGGCAGTAGTTTCATGTTTATTCAACACTTCACATAATCGATCCCAAGCACCTTTTACCTCAATCAATTCATCTTCTTTCCTTCTGACTTCCTCTAGGGATACTTTTGATCGTTTACCTTCTTGTTCCAATATGATCTGTTCATCTTGTAATGCCGATATTCCAGCTGCTACTGTTGTTAAATTTCTCTTGATCGGTTTAAGCAAGGAAGTTGAAGGTTGTGAGACAATCGATAGTGATCGTACTAATTCGTGTGATGAAGAAAGTGTTGAATTCAATAATGAAAGTAATTTTGGTGCATCACGAGGTGCATTGACAGCCAAGCCAGATCGAGACATTTTGGTGTATGCTATGATGATCGATGGTCGTTGTTGATGGAAGTGTTGGCGTTGTTGTTGCCATTTATTCTCCACTAATTATTGTACGGCTTGTTGTAGTCCGCATACATACACACCTGTTGTGGTGCGGTGAAATGAATGACGCTCTTCCGCCTTGAAACGCAACTGTCAGGCACGCGCCTATTGCTTTTGAGTGTTGTTGTTGTTGCTATTATTGTTGCAGTGCAGCATTTATTCCAATAGGCGGGAGTAAAGCAGTTTATATTCAATATATGCGTTTTCTGCAATTCACCGACTGCTCTCACTGCTCTGGCGGTTGATAAAATAGGGAACCCTAATTTAAACGCCTGATTGCAATGATGATACATGTACTGCTCCTTTCCTCCTACCATCGACAATAACGACAAAACGGATCTTAAGTAACCGAACTGTCTCAATTTTATACTTGTTCACAATAAACATACATGCGGAATCTGGCATCTCCCATCTTCAACGTTCACACGACCACTTCATTCCTTGTTTCGTGATGATTGCAGATACCATCTCACGTGCCAGTGATCGTTTATCTAGAACGGGAAGCTCAATCTTTAACAGAGATGGACAAGAACAAGATGAAGGGAATAGCAACCGACAAGCGGAATCAACTTCAAAGAAAAAATCAAAAGGTTTACCAGGAGGAAATAAAGCGATTGCAGCATTCGTGATAAGTTTATTTGCATTCACTGTTCAAACAGAAGCAGCACAATACGTTCAACAATCTTTGGGATTCAGAAAACCATTCTTTTCGCTTTATGTTGGACATAGTGCTTTTACGTTCTTGTTTCCGCTTTATATGGTATGCTTGCGGATCTTTCAGCCAAAAGTACCGCTCTCACACCAATTACACTTAATCTCCATCAATTTGCACTGGCAATTAAGCTCGCCTACCCATAGCCTACCGAAACCGGGAGCAGATTCGATACGAAGGCGATTAAGCACGCTCTCGATGCGTACAGAAGCGAATGAAACGGAAGACTTCGATATAGAAGAAATACGCCAAAGACCCCGAACAAAAGCACCACCTCCCCGAATCACTTGGAGTGAAAGAAAGTTTGGTTTCAATGTGTTTCGATTGCTAGGAGTCTTTGTTGTTCTGACTTTGGGCTTAACGGTACCTGCTTTGAGTTGGTATTCTGCCGTTCCGCTAACTACCATGGCCGATATTACAACAATCTACAATACGTATGCCGTTTGGGCTTTAGTGTTCTCAATCTTCTTTCTAGGCGAAAGTTGGGAGCGGAGAAAAGTTTTGTCGGTGCTATTGGCTTGTGGCGGTGTGGTATTGGTAGCATACGGCGGAGCAGAGCATCGGAGAAGACCCAGAGAGCCAGAAGGTGATACGTCAACCCCGGTTATATCAGCGGTAGAGCATATTGCCAAACGGGTATGGAACTCCATACCCAGCAAAAGAGAGGGTAGCACGGGCAATTCGGCCGGGAATGCATTCTTGGGCGATATGTTGGCCTTCATCGGGGCTGTGACAATGGCTGCTTATGAAATGGCATTCAAGATCGTTGGTACCTTACCGGATGAAGAAGAACAACGGGAAAGATTTGCCGGTACGGGAGGCGGAGAGAGATACGGACGACATTCGAGATTTATAGATGAAGAAGATGCTTCTTATGGAGAATCTGAGACTTTGCTTAATGATGGTTCTTATGATCGTTCGCCAGGCACAGCTCTTAGTAGCACACAAGCAGAAGAAGAAGATGAAGTGGTCGATTTGAAGGCCAGCACAGAAAGAACCGCGATCTTAGCATCAGAGAACGGTAATGGACACACATCTTCGCCTTCTTACCAAAGCATGACTCCAAATGATCAGGAAGATGAAGAAGGAAGTGCTGATGGAGATGAGGATAAAAAGACACCTTCACTCGCACAAGCATCAGAGGAGGCCGCTAGACAGCGTAATTCGCAAGATGATGAAAGAACAACATCGCAAATGAATGGCGTCGAAACTGCCAAGACAGGTTTGGACGAATGGATACCACCTCCAATGCCATTCGGTCTGCATCCGATCATCATCACCAGTGGGATTGGATTCGTCACGCTTTGTACTTTATGGGTTGGACTGCCGATCGCCAATTTGCTCGGATGGGAACCATTTTCAATGCCTGGCAATCTCAAAACATATGCTTATTTGCTCCTGGTGGCAATGTCAGGTATAGTGTTCAACGGATGTTTTAGCATCCTTTTGGCTTTATGGGGACCGGTGTTAGCCAGTGTCTCATGTCTTTTAACCACTGTACTCGTCTTTGTTGCCGATATCCTTCTTGGACATGATTTCAAGTGGATTTCAATGTTGGGATGTTTGAGTATCATCGCAGGCTTTGGCGTCTTGGTCTCTGGCGATGGTGTTCATTAGATAGCTCCTTTGCATGCAATGCTTTTGCTCAATTTATGTAGAATGTATACATTGTAGAATATATTGTCGATTCAAAATTCTTTGCACCGCTGACCTTTTCGCTAAATTGCAATGTATTAAGTGGCCGCTCTTTCTGCCTTGGAAATAATCATATGACCTAATTCTGAGTTTCAATTCTCGATCAAAACGGTTACGCCAAGCGTAATTTCAAAACTTCTGATATCATCAAGAAAAGTTGAAGGTATAAATATGACTAATTTACCTCTCCCCACTTTTTTCATCCATACATTCATTCTTCCTCTTTAAGAAGCAACACTACACCTTTTCAAACTTTACCAATCATGAAGGGTAGCAAATTAGCAACGATCCATCGCTCTTGTAGCAGCTTTAATGCTGACGCAAACGCTCGCCATGCCTAGGGTGAGTACCTATATAATTTCTGAGAATTATAACTTCTACTATGTATCTTACTTTTTACCCCTCTTCTTTTTTGATTTCTAGCATGGTTCTCCAGGCGATGACGATAAACCTCAACAAGCACATGATGGTGGTGATGATGCTCCTTGCTGCTAGTAAAAGAGAAACGACGTTATACTCAGGATATTCAAAGCTTTTTTCTATTCTCACATCCGTCCTTCTAATCTCTAATGGTCACCCGAGAAAGTGTACAGGCTATTCATACTCTTTGGGCATCAATATGAAGCAAGGAAAGAGATTGTAGATTATAAGGTATGAAAACAGTGTGAGAAAGAATGAAGCCCGGATCCGAGAAATGAAAGGGGGTCATATGCATAGGTACCGCCAGGACGAAGTACTTTCTGTTCTCTCCTCTCCACAATTCTCGTTTAATCATTGAAAGTACAACCAATCGACAATCAATCAATCATGAAGACTACAAGTACCTTATTGATGATCACCATTATTTCACTGTGTATGCTCACTCAAGTCTTGACTAGTCCTGCGGTATGTATCTGTAAGTTGCAGAACGTGAATGAGATCAATCACATACTTAACGATCTGCTATTTAGGCTCATATCCTCAAACGATTGCCTGACAAAAACGAACCCATTGCTCCAAATCCAGGTCCACAATGTTGTGGAAATTAGAGCCTGGAAACCAGCATATATTCGCTTCTCTACCAATGTGTTTCCCCCGCTTCATATGATGATGATCATTGTGAATAAATGCACTGTTGTCATAGCTTATCTCTAAGAGCAGCAACGTGTGCATGTACCTGTGGCTGAACATTCGCGCACAGCCTACCCGGCATCTAAGAAGCTTCCTCTGCCCTGACGCCTTGATGATGTGATGTGCCTGTGTACAATGAGTAGGCGTCTTGAATTTATCGGAACAAAAGGTTCCTAAATACCATCACCTTTCTTTTGCTCCTATTGCTGTTGTATACTACAATGAGTGCATCAACAAATCCGTTCATTACAGGCACCGCCACCGGTACAGGATCGGCTAACGAGCCACCTCACTTCGCTCAATCAACAAACAGTGAACAACATCCTAATAATCCATTCCTAAGAAACACCTCCACAACCATACCACCATCACAATCACAACAAGAAGCACCAATTGAGCCACAACAACACTCTAATCCATTCCAGTCCACACCAAAAGGGCCATCAACAATGGCATCCGGTCAACCTATAAAACAGGAATCAGCTTTCAACACCGTTGGTCAACAAGATTCAGCTGATGCAATCACACAATCACTCAGCGGTTTGGATTTCGGATCTGGTGCTACTTCTGCTCCTGAGAGACAGCCAAGTGCCATAGTTAACCCATTCAGCACAACATATCCTTCTGGCAGTGCAAATGTAGAACCGGTCAGCAAAACAACGCCAACCGCATATGCACCTCCACCAGGACCGCCACCAGAAATTCTGGCAGCACAAAATGCTGCAAATCAATACTCAAATGGAAACACTTTTCCATCAAATGATGATCAATTTGCAGTCAATCAAGTGCGACAGATGGAAACTGACGAAGAGTATGCTCGCAAAATCTGGGCTCGTGAAGAAGAACGTCATCGTAGACGTGATCAACGAGGAACCGGAGCAGAGTTGAGCTCAGCCGAAAGACAAAGACAGAAAGAGCGTAAGCAATCTTACGATCCAGCTCTGGCAGCTTTGGGAGGAGCTCCTGCACCACATCCTTCCGGTACTCCAGGTCCAGCCATTGCTCCTCAAGCACCTTTACCGCCTTCTACTGGCGATTTGGCCAACGAAGAGAAACAATGGAACACGAAGGAGATTTATTGGAAAGGCAGATCGCAACGGATCATCGTTCAGAACGAGAATGGTCCATGTTCCTTGATTGCGTTGTGCAATGTTTTGCTCTTACGTGGAACTGTACAGATTACGCCCGAAGATCGTCCTGCAGTATCTTACTCGTATCTCTCTTCGATGTTGGGAGAGCATTTGATTGATGCCATTTCCACCAACCCTGGTGCTGCATTGGATTTGGAAGCTGCTTTGAGTATCTTGCCACAAACACAATACGGTTTGGACGTCAATGTGAAATTTTCTGCCATTGATGCATTCGCAACCGAAAGTGAGCACACTGAAGCTCCTGTACAAGATAGCCCAGCTGGTCCTTCAGCTTCTTCATCTAGTGCGGCTATGCTTCAAGCACCGGCCAAGTCGGACAAGAATGCTCAAAGGGGTGAGCTTGCTTTGTTCAAGCTTTGCAATGTTCCTCTCGTCCACGGATGGCTGGCAGATCAAGCTGATGCAGAGACGTGGGCTGCTGTGGTAGAGAGGGCAGGAAATTATGACAAAGCGTTGGATCGCGTCGTTGCTGGAGATGACATCGCAAAGACTGCAGAAGGAGATGCAAGCTTTGATGTTCGAGCAGCTCAAGTGATGGACACCATTTCTCCAGAGCAACGTGTGATCGTACAGGATGCTTCCCTCATTCGTCGCTTCCTTGAATCAACTGCTACTCAATTGACTTACCCAGGCTTGTATGCTCTCAGTACATCACTCGAACGTGGTGTTCTTTATGCTCTATTCCGCAACTCACACTTGTCTGTACTCTACAGACCAACGGAAGAGGAATTATTACAAGCAGCATCATCAAGTGACATGCATTCTCAGCCACAATTGTATCAACTGGTGACCGATTCAACACTAGAAAATGAAGATTCGATCGTTTGGGAAAGCGTGGAGGATATCGATGGAAGTGCTAGCAGATTCTTTGATGGCAAATTCCGACATGCTCGTGTTCAAGACTTTGTCGGAAGAGGAAGTGTGGATAATGCCAATCAGGTGAATGAAGATGCTGATTTCGCATATGCTCAACAATTGCAAGAACGTGAAAGACAAAGAGCTGATCGCCATCAACGTGCGGTTGATACGTACCGCAACAAGCGTACGCAATCCAACAACAACAACGCCAATTCTAGCGGTGGAAGCGGTAACTTAATTGCGAGAATGTTGCAAAATCGCAAATCATCCAAGCATGCTCCATCAAATTCTGCTTTGCACTCAAACGTCGATAGCATGATGGGTGGCAGAAATAACGCTCCCGAGGATGAATTTGCAAATTCTTCTAGACCTCCTGCATCAAACTCAAACGGTCCCGCACCGGGAGAAGAATACCCACAGAAAGAAAGCAAAAAATGGTGGAAGAAGGTGTTTTGATTGTAGGATAGTACATCATTGTTCCTTTAATTGTGCATACTGTGTTCACGCCGTATAGGCTATTTGTGTGATGAGGAGAAAGACAACCGGTCGGACCTGCATATGAGCTAAACTCGTCCGGGGCGCACTCAACTGTCGAGTAAAGTGGAACTCTTGAACCAGTATTGAGGATGCTTTTTCTCTTCTTCATCACCAAAACTGAAAGATGCGTTACCTGTCTTCTGTTCAGATGATCTTTCTGTGGAGTCAAATTTCCTCACTTCAGTCAAGTTGCTTAGATCCACACAAAGTGCTAGAAGCAAACAAGGATACCAAAAGGTTGAAGAATGGCTTAGTAGAATTGGGTACTTCTCATAAATATCTGAATGACGTTTTACGATGGCGAAAAGAAGATCAACCACGCACACTCGAATACGAATATTCACAATTACCACACGGTTACAGTCACCGTAAAGAATTTCGCAATTTGCTCGATCAACGTGATCATCATGAAGATAAAATCGCTCCTCTCATTCACGCAGGAAAGGTGTGGCATCGTGAGAATAACCTCATTAGTCAAATCATGATTTCGAATGCTCGTCAACATCGATCAAGTTCGCAAATGATTCAGCATAAAATGAACAAAGTCCGTGAGAATGCACAGTTGGATCCTTATTTTCATGAAATTCGTGCTGGTCCATCTTCGGGAAATGCCCAACAGAAAAAATGATCGGAATTCAAGCGCTGATCACAATGTGTATGCAGTAAACTTGCAAGGCTGAGAAAGCATGGGGCGTGCTTATTTTACCAATTGATTTATGTTTTTGGCAAAAAGCGATGACTGTGATGCCCCGCAGATGCCACGCAGATGCCAAGTCAAAGTTTATATGCATTCCCAAATCTACTCCTCCATCACACAAATGTGTCCAATTTTCTCCCTATTTGTAATAATATGCATGCTCACAGTGTTGAGAATTGCAAAAGGTGTCCGAGATCCACACTACATCTTGCACACCGACAAGAATGCTGAGCGTTACAAGAATGGTTTGGTCAAGCTACCTCCGACCCATAAATATCTCAATGCTGTACGAAAGTGGAAAAAGGATCCGTACGTAGGACGAATTGCATATTCGTACGGCCATCTACCTTATGGCTATTTTGGCAGAGAAGAGGTAGACAAATTAGTGGCACAGCGTGAAAGGCATGAAAATAAAACAGAGATGTACGTAAAAGCAGGTAAGCTACTATATCATGACAACAAAGTTGTAGCCGGACTGATCTTTGATCGTGCCAAGAAACATCGCACAAAAGCACAGAATGTGCACGAAGAATTGGAAAAAGAACGTTCAAAAGCTCACAAATACACTTCCTGGAAGAAGAGGTAGCTGAGTCCAGTCAAATTCAGCAGTGGCGAAAAATGAAGTATGCCTCATATGCAAATTTTGCATTCTTGTACGGATCCGTACAAGGGCTGATGAACTCGGCGTAGCCAACAGAGGTTTGGCGTCGTCCAGAAACACAATTGGTAAAGATAAATAGAAAGTCGGATGTGAAAGTTTGTAGTATACTATCATCTCTAATTATGATTTATCCTCCAATGATTTCGATAGTTCTACTCATTACCTTTCTACGCCTGTCTTTCTGTGTGAGAGACCCAAGAGATCCTCATATCGACCTTCCATTAATGAAGAATGGTCTTCCGGAAACGAAAGATTCACACGGTTATCTTAACCGCATCTCGCACTTTAAGAAATCCGGGATTAGTGAAGATCACTATGAAAGCAGTCAAATGCCTTTCGGATACACTGGACGTAGAAAGTTTATCGAATTGATGAGCAATCGTGATCAAAGCGAAGAGAAGGTGGCAGATTATGTAAAAGCAGGAAAACACATGACAAAGGTAAATCGAAATGTAGCTACCATCATGTTTGATCGAGCACATCAGCATCGAACCAACTCCCAAAATATCCAAAGACAAATGAATGACGTCAAATCAGATTCGTTTAGGGTAGAATTGGAAAAAGATACGCAATACATGCATATGCTAAGCAGACAATTAAAACGGCATAATACGCTTTCTGCAGCAAAAGATGAAGCTGGTAACAAACATATGAAAAAAGTTGATGGCAAAAAGGAGCACAGGGGCTAATCAACTCCACAAATGACATCCTATACACCAACACACTGCAAAGCGAGCTTCTTTACTCTCTTGATAGCCTACTTACCCGTGGGGCGGTAACAATAGCATAGTTTGCATCCTAAGCACCGAGGACTAAATGTACTTCAGCACCGAGGATTACACATGAAAAGGACATAATGAACCAATTTGCATTCTTTTTCTTACTTCCCAGCTCCCATAAACGTCTAGCAAGATGCTGTCTGACAAGTATCTCATCGTTCTGCTTTTTATCTTGCTTACTTCTGATGCCCTATTGGTCTTTACAGTAAAGTCTACGGCCAACCATGAGGACTCCACGAAACAAGATGATTCTCATAGACACTTGAATGCTCTCACTCGCATGAGAAAGAAAGCAAGGTTGGCAAAACCTGAAGAGAAGAGACAGTTGTGGGACAACTATAAAAACTCTCAAATCGATGTCAAGCATAAAAATCGACGTAAATTTGTGCATAGGATGTGGAATTACAGAGAGCCGATTGAAGAAAGAGTTGAACGTCAAGTTGCTGCGGGTACAGTGATGTATGCTAAAGAACATGAAGCAGGAAGAATCGTTGGCCGTTACATGTTTGATCAAGCTAAAAAAGACCGTGGTAAATCTCAAGAGATTCAGAGGGACATGTTAAAGCTTAAAAATGATTCTGGTCCGACTCACAATCACTGATTGCATCTTCTCATTCTTGAGTGTATGTATATAGCGCTCTTATCAATCCAATCCTACTTTCAATGTTGACAAGACAGGGGGCATTAAGATATCCGAGAATAAGCTCTTTCCTTCCCCACCTTCAATTACGACATGGCTATCAATCAAAAAAAAAAATCAAGCACTCTTGGCATATCGCATAAAAACACAGAATCTAGACGATAAAAGACATTCAAAAGCTCACGAATACAGGAGAAGGAGGTAGCTGACTCTGGGCAAATACAACAGCTGCGAAGAAGAATAGATTATGCCTCGTATGCAATCCCGTACAGGGGCTGACTAAAGCAGCATAGCCAACGGAAACTTGGCGGCGTACAAATACACAATTGGTAAAGATGAGTAGCAAGTCAGATGTAAAACTATTTTTCATACTATCATCTTCTATGACGATGTTCTATCCGGCGATGATTTCGATGATTTTCCTGGCTATTATTGTGCGCCCGTCTTTAAGTATGCGACGGCCAAGAGATCCTCATGATAACCTTCCAAGGAAGAATGGTCTTCCCGTAACAAACGATTCACACGCTTATCTTAACAGCATCTCGCAATTTAAGAATTCGGGAATCAGTAAAAATCACTACAAAGATAGTCAAATGCCAAAAGAATATAGTGGACGAAATAAATTTATTCGATTGATGCGTAATCGTGACCAAAGCGAAGAGAAGGTGGCAGATTATGTAAAAGCAGGAAAATTCATGACAAAGGTAGATCATCAGGTAGCTACTATTATGTTTGATCGAGCACATCAGCATCGAACGAAATCCCAAAGTATTCAAAGAAAAATGGAAAATGTCAAAACGAAATCGATTCCGTCAGTTTCAAAGACTAATATGACGTACATTCACCTGGTATGCAAGCAACTGAAAAAAAATAGAACGCTTTTTGCAGCACAAGAAGAAGCTAATAAAATCATGATGAGAAAATTGGGTGGTAGTAAATACTATAAGGATTGAAATTTGCAAAGATGGTAAAACCTGAGAAGCAGAGACAATTGTGGGATGATTAAATTAATTCCCAGATTCAGTCGCAAGCATCGAGATCGACGCACAATGTAGGACAGACGAGAATTGATTTCATATTTGATCAAGCCGAAAAAGACCGAAGACAATGTCAAGTGATTCTGATCAGACTCACAATTGATGATTGCTTCTCTCCCCTTTGAGTGTATTTAGCGCGCTTATGAATGCAATCCAATTTTATAAGCTAATAAGATAGGGACACAAAAAAAGGATCATCCTTAAATCCGACAATAAGCTGTTTCCTTCCCCACCATCAAGTGCGACATGGCTGTCAATCAGGAAAGACAGCCACTATTGGCAGCAAGGGAGGAGGATGAGAGAAGGGATCGATATGATGGCAGTGTATCACAATCGAATGCCAGATCAGACGATGTTGAGATGCCGCCAAAAAAGATGGTGGTCACTTTGTGCATCACTGTTTGGGTACCAGTCTTTGTCGCTGCCCTAGATTCAACAATCGTAGCCACATTGGTAGGTGCAATCTCTTCTTCGTTTAATCGAAGCGAACAGGCTGCTTGGCTAGGTACGAGTTATCTTCTAAGTGTTTGTTGCTTTTCGCCAATCTATGGACGACTGTGCGATGTGATGGGTAGAAAGTATGCTCTGCTTCTAGCCATGCTTACGTTCGGGATTGGAACGCTTTTATGCGGGATCGCACCTTCAATGGAGACTCTTCTTTTTGCTCGTGTGATGGCAGGAGTGGGTGGTGGAGGATTGACTACATGCACTTCCACAATCTTAAGCGACGTCATCCCATTACGACAGAGAGGGCTGTATCAAGGCTTGACGAATATTGTGTATGGAGCAGGGAATGCACTGGGTGGTCCTGTAGGTGGACTTCTCAATGATTCGATAGGATGGCGAAATGCTTTTTTGATTCAAATTCCATTTCTGCTTTTGGCAACTGTTCTTTCGCTCCTATTTGTTCACGTCAATCCACCCCAACCAAAAGGCAAACCATCATCACCGCAACAGCTGATCACACGATGGGAACGGATAAAGTCGATTGATGCTCTTGGATCGTTGACTTTGGTCGGAAGTGTGGCTCCTATACTTCTGTCGCTTTCCTTCATGTCCGCAAACGATTTGCCGTTCACCGATCCATTAGTGTGGGGAACATTGTTTGGTGGAATTCTTTGTGGATTTGCATTCTTTTGGGTAGAAACACGATTCGCCAAAGCGCCAATCTTACCTATCGAACTGGTTCTCACACGAACGGCTGGAAACGCAGGATTGGCAAACTTTTTCTTGTCGGTCGTGACCCATGCTACAATTTACAATTATCCACTCTACTTTCAAGCAGTTCGATTGCAATCCAGTTCGTTGGCAGGCTTGCATCTTGTGCCCAACAGTGTTGCTTTATCCATTGGCTCGGTTTTGGCAGGACTTTGGATGCGTAAAACAGGAAGGTACTATTGGCTAACGTTTTTCAATTCTTTATTGATGGTCGTTAGTGCGATTGCATTCTTGACCATCACTCGTTCAACACCCGAATGGTTCACATATGCAGCTATCTTCCCCCACGGGTTTGGCGTAACGGGTGTTTTGACGAGTACACTACTGGCTCTAATCAACTCTGTCCCACGAAGTCAGATCGCCGTTGCCACGGGAATGTCATACTTATTCCGAACAACGGGACAAGTGGTTGGTGTAGCAACGAGCGGTGTTGTACTTCAAGCGATGCTAAAGAAAGAGCTTCAAAGCAGGCTAGGTGATCAACCTAAATTGATAGAAGATTTACGACATCAGCTTAATATCATTCGAACATTACCAAAAGTACAACAAGAAGCTGCAAAACAAGCATATGAAATTTCATTAAGAGCAGTGTTTGGATTGGTTTTGGTGGCTGCGATTGGATGTTCAATTTCTTGTTTTATGATGGAAGACATACCTTTACCCGATGCTGCGCCGACCCCTGCAGAAAGTCAATCAAACAGTGGAACGGCGACACCTTCTCGTCGATTAGAGGAGGGCCGACAGTAAACATTTGTACACTATACTTTAATGCAATGCATGCTTGATTAGACCACAATCTTTCTCAAGTATGGATGTGGATTGCAGTTGTTTAGAGAGGGGTAGAGCTATGATATAGGTGTAATTTTGATTGGCAACATTTAAAATCCTCGCCCCCTATCATGCACAAAAAAGTCTTTTCCTCTTTAAAAGCTTTATAGATCGATATTTTGTTAGAGTAAATCTTTCTTACGTCCCTTCAAACCCGTATAATAAAACACCAAGAGCAAAAAAGCAAGGAATTGTTAAAATGCGCTTCTTTATCACCACAATTTTCGTTGTGTTTGTCGCAATGGCAATCACTGTTCAAGCTTCACCAGCGAATGATCCAAGCGCACCTGCTGGAGAACAACAAAGTGGACCTTTCAAGGATGGAAAGTACTAGGGCTCATATGCGTATTCAAATACGCAAACAACGTATAAGCACTGACGAAGAATCATTACTTCTTCCGGCCGTTGCTGCAAAGCACCCTTCATCCCTCATCCCACCTCTTTTATTTTCATTCATTCATACACTTTTTAATGACATCCCTTTTGTTAGATCTCGCAAAAGTTTGAGGAATCTATGATATATTTGCAACTTTTCATCAGTATATATGTACACTATGAATCTATGATATATTTACAACTTTTCATCAGTATATAGGTACATTATTATTGTGCAGCTTCAACATCTTCTTTGTTCTCTTTGGCAGGTTGATCGCCACCTTGCATGGGATCTTTGGCATAGGAAGAAGCGCGACGAAGAGCTGGACCAAAGTAGAATAGAGCATAAGGAATAACACTCATCAACAAAGCGATTGAGCCAAGCAAAGTACAACCCCAAGCGACAGGGAAATTCTTTGGTCCTCTATTCAAGTTGTTAAACATTTGTCTACTGACCAAAGGCATTGCAGCACCAATACTTGCACGCATGAAATCGTTTGCTGAGAAAACACTTGCGACGTATTCGGGATAAGTCATACCAAGGTAATTCAAACCAGAAGTGAAAAGACCAAAGATACCGGGCGAGAAGAGCATTGTACCGATGATGGGTACGATCCAATGAATAGACTTGTTTGCAGTCCATCCGAAGAAGAACAGAGATGCCGGTAAGCAAAGACCACCAACCATGGCTGGTTGAAGCCAGTATTCTGGAGCTACACGGCCTTTCTCACGGATCATCTTGGGTCGGAAGTACTTCAAGAACCATAAAGCGAAAAGACCATAAACGGCCAAATTGGCAACAAAGATTCCCAAATAAGCAAGTCCAGATTCTCCAAGATTGAAACCGTATGTCTCAGTGAACACGATTGGGAATGCTTCAAAGAATGAGTAAAGTACTCCGTAAACGAGACCGATGTGCAAATTGATAGAGAGTGCGATCGGTTCCATTAAACCCAAGCGGAAAGGACGAACGAACGTCATCAGAGCAATTTCACGGCCAGTCATTGTTGCTTGGAATAATTCTCCCTTACTGCGTAAATGTGGGTTGCCAGTCGCTTTACGTAGTCTAGCAGCTCTGCGTGCCAAGATGTTTGTTCCAGAAGTTTCATGCATTCCAAACGTCAAAACACCAAGTGCGATTCCGGTCAAAATGAGTAGTGGCCAAATTGTCCATCTCCATGCTCCTAAACCCAAAGATGTTTTCTCGAAGCCTTGGGCTGCAAAACCACCGATCAAAGGACCCAAAACAGGACCTGCAGAAGCTGAGATACCCCAAGCACCCATTGCTAAAGGAGCATTCATTGGCGTCCAAACGTCTTGAACACTTGCACCACCGGTTGCCAAAGGAGGTGAACCGAATAAGCCAGCAAGGAAACGTAAAATCATAAATCCTGCTACATTATTAACCAAAGCAGTTGGAATTTGAAGAATAACAAAAATGAACAATGTTAAGATATACGGAATCACTCGACCGATCGCAGGAATTTCTGAAGCTGCACAAAGACCGATCATTGGTCCGATACCGTAACCGAAAACGAATAGACTCAATGCAAGAGCTGCAGGAGTCATACCGATGTGCCAGTATTCTGCCATGAGTGGTATAGCGGGCGAAACGATGGAAGATCCCATGTATACACTCGTGGTAAGCAACATGATTTGGAACAAGAACCATCCTTTTTGTGGACCTGACCATGCGAATGGGTTGTCAGGATCATTTTCTCCGTTCCAATCAACCAAGTATGGATCATTGTCATCTCCCATTTCTGGTGTTTTCTCGATTTCATCATTTGATTTTTCGTTAGGTGATGCATTTGTTGAGCTATTTGAACTTGATCCACCGGGAGAAGTTGTACCCTGTTGCTGTTGTTGTTGAAGTCTTGTTTTATAGCCGGGCATAAATCTCTCTGGTGCTTTGAAATCTGCCTTTTCCTCAGGATATTGGAACGTTGGCCATTTTGCCAACTGTTTATGGAACACCAAACCGAAGAACGTTTCGTTGAAGCTTGGCATGATGGGCTACAGGTTGAGTAAGGTGGTATGATGAACAGATGAGTTGAAGGTGGATGTGTGGTTTATATATCTCATTCAGGACGGGCCCTAATCGCCGTTCTTTACAACAAGAAAAGACGTCACTACCCTTACATCCATCCTTACGGACGAGAGTCATTTATCTGCATTGTGCAATTATCCGCGGTTTGAATGATTGTAGAATACCAGCGTTCTTTACATCTTCTTTCCGATGCAGTTAAAATCTTTTTTTGATTTGATCAGCATTTGCTTCCATGAGAAAAAGAAGAACTTGATAAAAGTTTCAATGCATTTTTACTCCACTTTCCCTTTCACTCATCATGCGCCAAGAATTGATTCCCTTCCCTTCTTTCATGTAATCCGATCTGCCAAAAAGGGCCTTGCGCGGAAAATAAACTAATTAATTGGGAAACGCGTATCGCATTCAAAAGCCTGGCAACCGCGGATCGACCGCGCATCATACGCCCGTGTAAATCGACATTGACAAGTGTGGCTTATGAGGCTCGATGCGGTGTAAGCGTACCATGGCCATCGAATACAATTGTATGATAAGAGCAATCACCGAACATTTCATTTTGATGACAATAACAATCACCGATATTCCGGATGACTAAAAGAGAGTATACAAATCAGCAAGAGCTTGAGATTCTCATCGAGATTCTGATAATCAATGGTACTACCTCCCGAACTCCTTCCATTTGTTGAATTTCTAATTCCATCAGCCAATACCCTATCTTTTCTTGCCTTGGGCTAAATTACGCGCGTTGACCCCTGATCGGATTAGTATTGTATTTGACTGGTAAAGTGCACAATAGACTATAGAATCACCTCCACCGACCCAAACCGGTGTGCCTGAAGGGTGCGTGCATGCGTACATACGACGCTGAGTTAAAAGGCTGCATACATTCGACCATATGGCCATATTGACAATCAGATGCAACCCTTATCAGTGTTTTCCCCACCATCTCCTTCAAACAACTAAAAAAATGGTATCAAATTGGCTTTCAAAAGCATCAACGGCATTCATTTGCTCATTGGCAATCTCTTCAAGCGTTGCTTTTGCTCGTCCTTCTCAACAATCCGTCGTACAAACAGAAGACGCAGAACAATTGCACTTTGATGGTTTAGGCAATTTGGTTTGGCCATCCTCTGAAAAAGTTGCAGATGCAAAGTCATTGTTTGACAATATTCAATCAAACATCGGCTTAGAAGCTGAACAAAGATGGGCTCAAGCTAAATTGGCCGCCGAACATGTTGGTGAAAACATCTTGGCAGGTGCTGAACATATCATCGATGAATTCGATGTTGCTTATCAATTGACAAAAGATAAGGCAAAAGCTATCAAAGATCGCGTTCATCGTATGGGAGAAGATGTTTTGCACGAAACGTCTGTAGTCATCGATGGCTTGAAATACCAAAAATTGGTTCACCCCGCTTTCCCTGAATATGCATTGCGCATCAATCAACAAAGTCAAACAGCTTCATGTGATCCAGACGTGCAATCTTACTCTGGTTATCTCGACATCGGTCATGACAAGCACCTTTGGTTCGCATTCTTTGAATCTCGTTCCCGCAAGTTCGCAGCAGACAAGACCAAGGAACCTATCGTCATGTGGCTCAACGGTGGCCCAGGTTGCTCATCGACAACCGGATGGCTGATGGAAGGTGTTGGACCATGCACGATCGCCAACAACGGTACCGCTGTCAAGTCGAACAAGTTCAGTTGGACAAACAAGGCATCCGTCTTCTTCCTCGATCAACCGGTCAATGTAGGATACTCTTACAGTGACTCAGGAAGTGTCAACAACACACCCGACAGTGCTTCAGATGTATACGCATTCCTCAACATGTTCTTTGCCAAATTCCAAGAGTATGCTGATTCACCATTCAGCGTTGCCGCAGAAAGTTATGGAGGACGATATGCACCTCTAATCGCTTCCAAAATTTTCAAAGAGAACAAGGAACGCAAAGAAGAAGCTCAACGATACGGATTGCAAGCTCCCAAGACCATCAACTTGGAGAGCATCATGATCGGTAACGGTTTGACTGACCCTAAAGTGCAATTCGCTACGGTGTATGACTTTGCATGTGAATCTGAGCAAGCAATCTTTAAACCTGACAGCGAAGAATGCCAAACAATCAGATCAAAAGCTCCAACTTGCACAAGCTTGATTGACAATTGCTACAAATACAACTCTCGTTTGACATGCTTGCCCGCAGGATTGTACTGCTGGAGTGGAATGTTCTCCGGTTTGCAAAACTCTGGACGCAACTTGTACGACGTCCGTAAGAAGTGCGACCGATCTCCCGAAAAGGATGGTCCATTGTGCTACCGTGACGAATCATACGTTGAAACCTACTTGAACCAACCTGATGTGAAGAAATCTTTCGGTGTGCCCGAACAAGTAGAATTCCAAGCATGCAACATGAACGTCAATCAAGCATTCTTGTTTAACGGAGACGGTTCGCATAACTCTGCCGAAGTTTTGCCTGAACTTTTGGAAAGCGGAATTCGTGTTTTGGTTTATGCGGGTGTTTGGGATAGTATGTGCAATTATATCGGAAACGTTGGTGAAAAATCTTGGGCACTTTCATTGGAAAGCGTTTATCAAGATGAATTAACCAAAGCAAAAACTATCGATTGGAACGTGAAAGGAAAATCTGCCGGAAAAGTTCGTAAAGCCGGTAAAGGTGCAGGTTCTTTAACTTTGGTTCACGTTTATGGTGCAGGTCATATGGTTCCATATGATCAACCAGAAAATGCTGAATTCATGATCGAATCTTGGCTCAACAACAAGGCTATTGCATAATAGATCCTTTCACATATTTTTTATTTACATGCCACTATTTTTCAACTCTTCTCAATTCATGTTTCGTAATCATGTCATTAATTTCCAATGCCAGTTTAAGTTATTTGCAAGCCAGATTTCAAGCCCATAAGAAGAGAGTGATCACAAAGAGGTTGGTTGCCAATACTCCTGCACACCAATGGGCATGTGTAGCCCCATTATGGTTTGAGCTGTTTCCAGAAGAAGAGCTGCTGGAGCTAGAGTTGGGAGCAGGTGTTGATTGACTGCCGGAGTTGCCACTTTTGTTTGCATCGGGTGAGTAGCAAACATTGTCTAAAAAGGTTGGAAAAAAGGGTTAGTGTCGAGAACGACAAACAGTGCATTGTTTCTATCTTTTGTACTCACTAACGACAGGTCCAGTACAGCATCTACCGTTCACCAAAGAACCATTACATGCTCCATCCGAAGGTTGCGTGAACGGCATTGTAGAATGACTAACTGTGATTGATTGAAACAAGTTTGAAAGAGAGGTTGACATTGCTTCACCTTGTTGAGAAAGTGAAGATTGAATACCTGAATTCATTGTTTGGATTGATGATTGAATGGCAGAATTTTGTGCTTCAATGGAAGATTGTAAGGATTGTCCAAAGTTTGGATCAAGTTGTCTTTTTGCTAGATTTGCTCCGTGTGCTGTTGCGAGGAAAGCCACGGCCAGGAGCATAAAGGTGGAAAAGTACGATGTTTTTGCAATCATTTTGAGAGAGTTTATTCTGGAAGAAAGGGTGATGAGAGGTACTTTGTATCTTTATTTTCAACTAATACTGGCATTTAAATACCTTTTTCAATCCCGAACTCAGAACAAAGGATCGAATTCACTTATTTAGCTTTTATGTTTAGCGTACGTCATTTCCAATCAAATGGTACGCTTGAATGCTGCCAACTATCCGCTAAGAACGCCTTTTATCAACAAAGGAAAGAAGAGCATTTATAGTGATCATGTAGCGGGAACACAATTTGACAGAATAGAATCCACATGTTCTTTCATTCGTTAGCGTCATGCAATAACGCCCAACGACTTAAAAGATTGTTTTGGTTGGCGTCAAAAATCCATGCACGTCTGAATCATTTCTTAACCATGCTGGCAATCTAAAGTACCGATGTGATTGTGACAAGAGATGGAAAGGTTTGATGTGTGAAGGCCAGAGACAACTTAAAATGTCAATTATAAGCAGCACCATTACTCTTTCAACGAATGCAACAAGTGCTGTTAGTGTCCTGTTGAAGTAGCGTCACCTTTAATAGAGCTTATTCCTATAGGCACGTGTAATATTGGTAATCTCAATGGGGCTTATGTCATCATTCCAGACGAGCGCGTCGGAAGGTAAAGCAGAAAAAGACCGACCAATAGGGCCCACGTTGTCTAGGCAGGCTGCGAAGTAATCCCACTTCATATGCTCGCCACTTATACCTTCTCACCACATCCATCACAACTACATATCCCATAAACATGCCTCGCTCATCACGCTCTGGAGGTGGTCGCTCTGCGCCATCAGGCTCTCGCGGAACTCACACAATGGCATCGCAAAGACCAGCTCAACAAACACAACCTGTTCCACACAATCAACATCAAAACGTACCTGCCGCTCAACAACAACAACAAGGACGTGCACCAGGATTGTTTGGTCAAATGGCTTCTACTGCAGCTGGTGTTGCAGTTGGTTCAACTATGGGTCATGGCTTGAGTAATATGTTGTTCGGAGGTGGTGGCTCAAGTGCTGAACCCGTTGACGCTCAGCAACAACAACCCGCTCAATGGGATCAACAAGGTCAACAATCTTCTTTTAACGGTAGTGGTGTAAGCTGTGAAGTACAATCTAAGGACTTCTTGCGTTGCTTGGAGGCCACCAATAACAACATGGACTCGTGTGCATTTTACCTTGATCAATTGAAGGCATGTCAAGCTGCAGCAAGACCTTATTAATCATATCGATGAAATTGCTTAAATCACCACTCAATCATGTCATGTCTATAACAGTAATTAATGCATTGCATTCCAGCTAGGAAGGTGCTCTATCATCTTTTCGATATATGCCTGTGAGGAAGATCATTTATATACCAATCTATTTTAGTACTGCTCTGACTTCACGCACCACTTTGTGATTTGCTAGCAAGGATTGTACGCGTAATTAGCGTAGGTGGCTTGTTCGCTGGTTGAAAGGAATGATTTAAGCGCTAAAAAGGATGCCAAGACAAACGGGATAAGTCAGGCACCTGTCAAGAAGAGGAGAGCTTTCCACACACGACATACTCCTTACCATCATAGCCATCAGCACCGAAAAGATGGCAATTTCCACTCCAATCTTGCTGGCAATCGTTATATTGCTTTGCATCACCCTTTTGACACCATCTGTTCATGCGTTTGGCGCTGGTAATATCCCAAGCTTCTCCTACTTGGAAGGTAAAGCATTTCGTCATGGCGATATTGATGATACCATTACCGAATTGGCCAAGAAAGCTGGAGGTGGCTTACTCGGTCTAGGTGGAGGAAGCAAGTTTACCGGACTGGATGTCAAGCGCATTTACTTGGGAAGCTTTTTGGCTGATTACTCTCAAGCAATGGACATAGGATCTTTGGAAAAAGTGTCTAAACAAAATATCTTGAATATTATTATGGTTATGGGATTCATGGCTTTTGGTTACGCAACGAAAGAATTTGAGATCACTATGGACAGATTGTCTGTCTACTTGCCAACCGAACATATTGATAACCCAAAAGGATATGGAGCTGGTAAAGACCCTCGTCAAATTGACCCAAGATTGCGTGGTCCAGTGCGTGATGTAGAAATGGAAATTGACCCTAGAAGTGGAATGAAGAACTACATCGCCAACGAATCCGGAGATTGGGATACAAGCAGTGCGCTGGTACGTAAACGCTTGATCGAATGTATCGAAACCGGGCGAAGGGCAAGAGCATCAGGCGATGAAGCTATGCTGTTTGAAGCTTATCGTCAATTGGGTCGTTGCTTGCATACGCTGGAAGATTTCCCAGCCCACAGCAATTTCTGTGAGCTAGCCTTGATTAGAGCTGGTCATCACCAAGTATTCTCTCATGTTGGAGACAATGTCAAAGTCCAGGCACCTGATGGACAAATGGTACCACCGCTCGTGACCGGAACGTTTGGAGGAGCTGATTTCATCCACAGCTTGCTCGGTGAGGCCCAAGATCATCTTTCAGAAGCATCAGTTTCTGATCTTCAAAAGACTGTTCATGATGCTGGCAGTAAAGGATCAAGCCCAATCAGTGATCTTTTGGGTTTGCTTCACAACATTCCTGGAAGTACCAGCAGCGGTCTTTCGCGTGATGCTGAATCTCTTCAACAAGGACCTTCACGGGATCCTGCAACGATGAACCCGCAAGAAATCTATGCAAACTTGTTTAGAATTTTGAGCTTCCGCGATAGCGTGATGATGTCTATCGAGAAAACCATGGAACGCATTCCCGGTTTGAACTCTTTGGTGGAGAAGATCAGTAATTCAGTTTCTGTGTTTGTATACACTCTGCTTGAGCCTTATGTTCAACCAATCGTCAAGCAAGCATTAGGTGGTTTGCAAGCCTCAAGTCAACAAGTGATCAACAACGAAGATCAATTTGAAGTATTCACAAACCCGAATGCTTCTGATCCAACTCATTCTATGTTGAGCAAAGATCATTTCGGACTTGTGTTGAATGAAGTTGGAGGTAATTTGGGGATGATTATCGTTCGTCACTGCGTACCATTGGTGGTAAAGGCATGGGATGATCCCAGCTCCGATCCAAAACAAACTGCTGATGAATGCCTTGCTGTTCTCTTTCACCCGAACTGGTTCAACCCAAATCATTGCCACCCTGTCCAGGCCAGGATGATGGGATTCGTGGAAGAGTGGGCACGATCCAATTCCAGCGAGGTACGCAGATTGGACAGAGAGTCTGTCCGCGCTCATCGTAACACACGTTCAGGTAATGCAGAACCACACAGTCATGGTGGTAACACGTACGGTGTTTCTGTTGAAGGACAACAAGGATATGATACAGGTTCGGGAATGGCCCATCAATTCCAAGGTTATATCGGCGGAAAGATTAGCAATGCGATGGGCGGTCAAAATTTCCCTGGCATGGGTAATTTCCGTGAAGTACCTGAAGGATCAGAAGGAAGAAGTGAACAAGAGTCTACTTATCCCCACTTCCCTTCCCATGAACAGCCAGACTCGCAACATCATCAAAATCCTGATTATGACGCACCTTATCACCAACAAGAATCAGAACATCAAAATTCGCATTATGATGCCCCATCCTTCCCGCCTCCTCCATCTGAGTTCCCCGAACCGCAACAACCGTGGCAACAAGGAGGTCAATACGAGCAACAACCTTTTGGTGAATCACAGTACCCACAACAAGGCTATCCACAGGAAGGCTATCCGCAACAAGGCTATCAACCGGAAGGCTATCCGCAACAAGGCTATCAGCAAGGCTACCAGCAAGGATATCAACAACAGCCTCCTTACAATGCTCCTGGCTACCCACCGTATTGATGAGTGCTACTAGGTAGTGCGATATATGTATTTTCTTCACTAAAGTTTTACAATTAAATACCATCGTTCATCATCATTTGAGCAGAAGATTGTGTAATGGCTTGTGCTGAAAATTAAATTCTGTGAGATTTTGCGGGGCAAGGCACGGTAGCGCGGCAGTTGAAGAGGGAATCTTGGCGTGCGTGCGTACCGGGCCAAACTGTTATACTTAGCCGGAGATAGTAAACGTTTCATCATGACCACCAACTCGACAAAGTTATACCATAAAAGATGTCGTCACAACAGAAGAAAGGCAACAAAGAAAAGCCTGTGCGGGATGTGAACGTGTTTCATACGCTAAAGGAAGAATATCTCCGTCATCCAAGCAATTACTTCAATACGCCTCTTCGATCACCTCCCGGCCACCCGAACAAGAAACCGAGTCAACGTCGATACTTCTATCTTGATATTCCTCCTCCTGGCGGTTTAGAAGAAAAAGCTACAATTTTGTTGTTGCACGGTTTTCCAGATTCAAGCTATGGCTGGCGTAAAATCCTCAGTCCGTTATCCATGTCAGGCTATCGACTAATCGTGCCCGATCTGTTAGGCTATGGCAGGACGAGCAAGCCGGTCTCTTTGGAAGAATACAGTGCACGTTCGATGGCATACGATTTAGCAGATTTGATGACTTTTGCCATGCAAGGAAAACATCAAAACAAGTTTGCCGTCGTTGGTCATGATTGGGGTAGTTGGCTTGCATGGAAGCTGCCCCTTTGGATCCCGGAAAGACTACTCGGCGTTCATGGTATTTGTGTTTCTTACGTTCCACCAACGGATAAGTTCATTTCTACGACACAATTGGCTTCTAGATATCCACAATTTGGCTATCAGATGTGAGTAGCAGGATTTTTTGCAAAACTGCACGGAGGCTGACAGATGAATGATTTGATACACAGGTTCTTTGAAGAAGAACGATCAACAAAGATTATTGAAGATAAAGTGAGTTGGTGTGATACCAATTGCAGCTTAAGTATTGACCCTTGCCTTGCATCCCAACAGATTGACATGTTTTTGCGGATATTGTTCATCGCACCTGCCAAGCTAGTGGAAAAAGTTGATCCTGAAGATGTTCTCAAAGTGTTCGGAGCAGGTAAAGATTCACTGGAAAAGAATCTGAACGAAGGTTTGCAAGGAGATGCTGCGAATGCATTTGCAGAAGCATTTCTACTTACTCCTCGCGAGAAGATTGTCTTCAGTAGTCTATTCAATCCACGAAATGGTGGTTCCATGGACGGGCTGAAGTGGTACAGAACTCGACCGATCAATTACGAGGAAGAGAAGGGTGAGCGTTGATCTAGATATTTCCTTTTATTCACATCAGCTGACCAATCCCCTTTGCAGCACTGCCGAGCAAAATGCTACCTAAGCTTCCGTACAAGATGCTATGTCCAAATATGGACCCTACCGGGCCTGCCAATCTTGCCGAAAAAGCACGCAAGTTTATGCCACCAGGATCATCCTATTCAGTCGAGGAACTGGAAGCGACGGGTCATTGGGCAATGCTTGAAAGACCCGCAGAAGTGATTACAAGCGTGACAGAATGGATGGAGAAAGACGTATTACCGTTTCATAATTCACTCTTGCAAAGGATTGCATCTCGCTTATGATGAATTGAATTGATGTGTAATAGTACATTGATGAAAAATCTATAAAAACGATTAGGCTTTCTCTACGTCTCCCGTAACGTTTTTTCGTCTTGCTGCCCTTCTTTCGTTTCTTTCGCGTTCTTGTTTCATCTTGATCATCCTTTGTTCTTCTTCCGCTGCCAATGCTTTTGCAACTTTACTCTTTGATCGAATTTTACCGCCAACGAAAAAGAGCATGAAAGGACAAACTCCTAAGACGGCAGCAATGACGCCTAAAACGGTTGATGCGATTGGCGGTGTGAGGTTGTGATACATTCCGGTTGCGAAAAGAGGAAAAGAACCTGCCAAGACGTTTCTTAGCCATGATTGTGCAGCTAATCCTGAACTTGCATAAATTTCATAACATTCGGCAATGTATGTGAATACTGCCAAATAAATCCAAAATGATGCACCTGCAAATATAACCAATCCAATGATCGGAGCAGCAGGATGAATGCCTGCTCTACCTGTCCATGCAAAGATGAAAAATCCAATCGGTGCAAGTATTCCGCCCAAGCATGCATAATATAATCTTGCTTCGGGAGCCACTTTTTCCGGGGCTGCTTTTGCCACTGCTCTGGCATACAGTCTTTCTTGGTGGAAGTTGCATAGCCATGCAAAGAATGCACCGACGGCTAAGGATAGAAGAACGAGTGACTTTTGTGGATCTGTCCAACCATAAACATCAAAAACGATCGGAACACTTTCCAACAAAAGGAAAATGCAACCCCACAAAAATCCAATCCAAAGTGAGAAACTTGTTACGATTGGTTCACTTATTAGCCACCATGCAGGACGTGAAAGACTTATTTTTACCGCTTTCCAGAAACTAACTCGATCATCATCTGCTGAACATTTGTATTGTCGCCTTTGTGGATCGGATTTTGTCAGTGAGCGTGCCCGTCTACTCAAAAGAACAGGTCCTCGTGTTTCACGAAGAAAGACAGCCATCAAAACGAAGACCAAAGCGCCAATAAAGCCTTGCCAAGCAAAAACCCATCTCCAACCAAGTTTAGGATTTGCTACGGTATATGAAACGGTGAAAGGTCCAATAGCCTGTCCAACATAAATCGAAAGAGCGAACAAGCTCATCGGTAAACCACGTTTCTTGGAAGGAAAAATATCCGAAACTGTTCCTCCGACCATAGAATTTCCAACGGATGCAACGCAACCTTGTAAGAAACGAACGATCAAGAAACCGGCAAACGTTGGTGTCAAAGCGGCAGGAATGTATAACAATCCAAAGATTGCGGCTGAACTCATAAAGATTGGTTGTCTTCCAAAAATTTCTGATAGAGGTGCTAATAGTAATGGTGTAAATGCAACACCGATACTCAAATAGAGTAAATTACCCAACAAGAAAACCGTTTGTGAAATGTTAAAAGTTTCCATCACTTGTTCTTGCATTGAATTGAAACCTGTCCCGTTAATTGCTGTTGAACCAGCAAAGAAGAATGTACAAATAAGTGTAACAATCTTTTTCGGTAATGACCAGTTCATTGGGTTCTGTGGATCTCCTTCTGGGAATTCGATATAGATATATCCACCTTCACTCTTTGTTATGGATAGCTGTAGTCCTCCTGCAAATCCTTCATTGGTTTGTGGCTGCTGTTGTGATTGATCAGTCGGCTGTTGAGGTTCTTCATGTGCTGAAAGTGTATGGGAACTGGATCCGTGTGATTCTGTTTCATGGGTAGTCGTTCCACTTGGTGTTTTCTCTATATATTCTGATTCTTTCCTTCCCTCCGTATGATGACCTGCATCATAAGTTGAACTCATTTTTGAGGGAGCATTGAATGATGGCAATCAAATGCAAAGAAGCATGTTCGATATATTTACGAGTCATTACCAATCCTGATTCTATCGGAAGTACAACTTTCTTTAACCATTCCCGAATTTTTTTCCAAAGGCAGTTTACCAGTTGGAAATGCGTACATTTCGAAATTCTTTTTCTGTAGATCCGATCAAAAGTTAATTTAACGGCCAAATGAGAGTAAAATTTGGTGCATAAACCGTTGAGAGGGATTTTTATTAGATTCTCAGCGCGGGGTTCTTCTGTTTCCCGCCTTTACTTAGAAACGGGGGTTTTCCCGCTTAAGTTGACTCTCCTGCATTTATTTTTTCGCTTTTCTTCGGTTTAATTTGCATTACATGCCTTTGTGTTGCTTTTGCCGCCACCACATGATTTTTGATTTGTAGGGTGCTGTTCTCCACAAATGCCGCCCCTTTTTCTTGTACGCGTTGTGACCCTTCCCGCCTTACAAAAAAAAGATAAGCGGTGTTCGGCCGTAAAGGCATGCTTTGGCTTATGGGATTGATATGATAAGCAACGCAAGTCTGTGCAGGAACATGTGTTGATCATCATAATGCTCTTCTCAACCTCATACATGTCGTGGTCACCATGAGCGATCATTCGAATGATGGTGCTAGCACCTCAAATCAAAGTACAAACGATGATTCAATAGGAAACCAACAATTACCAGTAATCAATTTGGGAGCAGGTGGATCAGCATACGGTGATTATGTTGCAGAGATTGATTCTTCAGCTCCGATTATGGCAGATAGAATATTCGGGGATTTAATTCCACCTCCTTCAAATATGAACAGATCAAGAAGCAAAAGTTCCGCTAGATCTGGTAAACAAAGTAGAACAGGTGAATCAATACAAGAGAATGTATATGAACAAGGCGGAATCGACGATTCAGAGGACGATGAAGAAACCACAAACCCAAAGACAATCGATGACGATCATTTGGATTGGGCAAAAGGACTACCATGGTATAAGAGACCATCAGAGAAATGGTTGCGACCTGTGGTCTTGCTGCTTGCTATGGGAAGTGGAATGATCATGGGACCAAAGATTGATTTAGGAATGCAATTGATTTGTGAAGAAGTGTTGGGAGTTGAGTCCGTTATGCCAACACCACATGAACGTCCACCTCTCTCAATGCAATGTAGACAGTCAGACGACGTTGCAGCGGGTTATTCTTCTTTGGCTTTACGTATCACATTGGCAATGGGAATCGTTTCGGCAATCACTACTGGCTTTTGGGGAACGTTATCCGATAGACGTGGACGAACGATCCCTTTACGGCTGACGACTTTTGGGATCCTTGTTAGCGATGTTGCCTATATCGCTTTGGGCTTATTTCCGCAATCTGCTGTTCCTTTTGGCAAGAACTTGCTGGTGATCGCATCTTTGATTGAAGGCTTGTGCGGTGGCATTCCAACCCTTTCAGCAGCATTTATGGCATACATTGCAGATGTAACACCAAGCGGAACAAGAGCAACATTATTCAGCTTTTTTACGGGGCTATTCTTTTGTGGAATCGCAATCGGTCCTGCTTTGGGTGGTTTGGTCGCAAAGCATACGCACAGTACGGTAACCACATTCTACATCGCTTTGGCAGCACATTTGATTTGTTTCATTTGTGCGGCTTTCTTGTTGCCTGAAAGCAACAGCCCTGATCGAATGCGAAAAGCACAAGATGAATACGATGAATATGCAATCTCAACCGCAGCTAGAAGAGCACAGCCAAGAACAGACCGAACGAGAATATATGCTGCTTATAGAAGATTGCGATCCAACGCACTTACGCCACTCAAACCGCTCAAGTTACTTCTCCCGCACAGAAGACATGATCAAGTTGATATTGATGAAACAGAAGCAATGGCATCGCATATATCCGTTTCGCGATCACAAAAGAATTCATTGGATTGGAATTTAACATTTGTTGCAATAGCATACTTTTTAGAAGCTTCAGCGATTGGAATAATGACGCCAAAGATTAATTATGCTATCAAGAAATTCGAATGGGATGTTTTGGAAATTGGATATTTTTTAAGTTATGCAAGTTTTACAAGAGTTGCTTGTTTGACAATCATTATTCCTTTTTTGGTTAGAGTTGTTCATAATCCTGTCAAACGAAGTGCACTTCCACAAGACGGTAGATCAGGCATCATCGAAGAGGAACATCAAGCGGATTCTTCGCATTTAGATGAAGATGGAAGACCGACTGCAGATGAATACGAGAATGCGCCATTACTGCAAAAGAAGAAAAAGAGCACTGCTGCTCCGAAACGCTCAGGGTATGGAGCGACAGACAATACAAACACATCATCTGACAGCGATGAAGATTCGGAAGATGATCATCCGACACGGGTAGAGAAGTTATGGGCGATGCGGGCACGACATTTACGACAAATTCACGATAGCAAATTCGACCGAAGGCTGGTGATCGGTTCATTAATGATCGCAGCAAGTTGTTATTTTTTGCTGGCCATTTTGTCAAACGCAGGACCGATTCCTTTTGTCGCTCTTTCTGGTTTGATCAGTTTGGGAGGAGCAGCTTCTGCGGCTTTGAGTAGTTTAGCATTAGCACTTCTAGAAAGTGATCGAGATGCCGGAAAGTTCTTTGCAGCTTGGAGTGTATTGAGCGCTTTAAGTCAAACGATTATCGGACCGATCGTGTTTACAGAAGTTTTTGTTAAAACTGTCTCTTTTGCACCTCAAAGTATTTTTGTTCTTGGTTGTGGTTTGTTCATCTTTTCGGGTTTGGCGGTCTTTCTAATTCGTGTTCGTTCTACCAGATCTTTACCTGGCTTACCGCCAAGACCACACACGCCTGCTTCTCTCAGAGCGCTACGAAAGAAGAAATCTGGTATTCTGGATGACGGTCAAGGCACAGGACCGTTCAAGAGTAGTAGTAGCCGAATCCGTTTACGTCAGAGCAATCCTTTCCAGTCTGCTCAAAGTGGGGGAGATTGATACGTAGATACTATGCTTAATTGATTGCAATGCACTTGCTATTATACTGTATGCTTATCATGAGTTAATACCATCTTTACGATAATTATAATGTATTTGAGCAAAGGAGTGCGGGGATCGCTTTCTTTTGGCCTGTGAAACCTTCGAAATCCCTTTCACAGAATCCCAAGTTTTACACCGAGAATACTCCACACTAAGATTTAGAATTCGGTGTAAAGATTTGGGCACTTTAACACTCTTGCGGTTACCGCGGAAATCGGCTAAACTACTTTTGAAAACTAAGCGGGAATGGGAAAGGGTACAAGCTCATATGGAACAGGGTTACCTCATTGCCATCACAATCTCACTTTTAAATTTCTACAATATGGCTGAAACAGGATTACCACTAGGAGCAGTTTACACTGGAGCAACTGTTCAAACATTAGATCAAGCAAGAAAAGAAGCAGAATCAAAACCAGAAGGTTATTCACCAACTGCATTTAACCCGAAAACATGTTCACAAAAAGGATATTGCAAAGTGGCAAGGACTCGTGTGCCAGTTGGAGGAAACAAAACACCATCTCCAGATGCGATTGCGAAAGGAGCTAAAGTTCCCTACGAAGGTGAACAAGACAAAGATAAAAGAGGATTCAATGTATACTATGAAGTACATGGAACAGGACCAAATCACGTCGTCTTCATTATGGGATTGAATAACAGCTGTTTCGGATGGTTGAACCAGGTAGAACATTTGGTCAAAGATCCTTCCTTTTCATGTTTAGTGCTCGACAATCGAGGATATGGAAACACAGACATCCCTTCTGGACGATACAAAACTTCCGAAATGGCACTGGATGTTTTAGAGGTCTGCGATCATGTTGGCTGGACAGGCCTTCGTGATTTAAACGTTGTCGGAGTATCGATGGGAGGAATGATTTCTTTGGAAATCTCAAAGCTTGCACCTGAACGTGTGAAGAGTTTGACATTGATCAGTACGACCAGTGGACGTGGAAATGGCGAAAAGGACCTTAGGATCAGCTTGCCACCATTCACGGGTGTCTCTACCATTTCTAGATTGATCGCCGGTCGTACACTAGGATTCGATAGCGATCAATATCGTGTAAATAGAGTATGTGAGATGCTCTTCCCGACAAAGTTTCTCGAGACTGTCAATGAAAATGACCCCAAGAAACGCACAAATCGCGAAACGTTCCAAGAAATGTTTGCATTCCGATACACATTCACACGTCGTCAAACGTTGTATGGAGCATTAGCACAAGTACGAGGAGTGGTGACGCATCGAGTGTCCCCCTCACAATTAAGCCGTATAAATGAAGCAATTCCAAAGATAACAATCATAACGGGAGATGATGATAATTTAGTCAACCCAGCCAATTCACATCATATGAAAAAGCATATGCCAAAAGCCGATTTACACATTTTACCGGGTGTTGGACATGTTACTGTAGTACAAGAGCCGGAAAAGGTCAATGCTATTTTGGATGATGCTTTTGCTGTTGCTTCAAAGAGATTGCAAGAAGGAAAGTGGTAGAATATGTATACAGAATAGAATAGATAGAATGATGATGGCGTGTATATAGAGAAGGCGTGTGCGTGTGTGTGTGTGTGTGTGGTTAAGCGTGACGCGTTAAGTGGAAATCTTTTTGGTGACTTTTTTGTTTCTTGCTAAATCTTCTTTCGGACTTGCATCTGAAAGCATCCACTCGATCACACCCCGAAGATGCTTGTGTGGGAGTGATTACAACAAAAGGAGATAGAATAGATCACGCTCATACTCTCTTCGATATCGAAATTTACTGGGGGATAGGGCGACTGGTCTACAGAACACTGTGGAGGAAGGTCGACTTATGCCGAACAAAGGCAAGCAACAGGATAGCAGCTCTGAAGATTCATCATACGAAGAGCAAATCTTGATCAAGGATCCTAACCAAAAGTCAGATAAGGCCCATAGTAGCACCGAAGCGTCACCATCCACATCAGCCGATGATCCAGTAAAAGATCTGCCTAGTGCATTCTCCTCCTCTCTAACATTCATCAAAGGAGATCAACCCGGCATCATGATTGCACGACCAAGTATGGCTTCCACAAGCCTATTCAATAACGGGAATGCATCTTCTACAATCCAAGAGCTCGGTCATACAAGTCAAGCAGGCTCGTTTGGCGGTGGTTGGAAGACAGGATACCGAAAAAAGAATCCGATCGGTTATATGGAACATCGCGAAAAGGCGAAATCCACTACAAGTCAATCGATCAAGAGCATCATCAGTCAAATGAAATTACACTTTGCCAGAAAGTTCCCAGCCTCAAAGTCAAAAGTCGATGAAATTTTACAATATAGCGTTCAAGTTGCAAGAGCTTTGGATGACCATGCACCTGAAGATCAAGTCAAAATTCGACACTTGAGAAACATCTTGGATGCTAATAAACTTAAACAAAGGCAGTCGCTGCACGTACCTCGCAGAGCAACCAAGGAAATCGAAAGGCTAGAAAGAGAACGAAAAGAAAGGCAGCGTAAACTACGTGGAATCCTTGGAAGACAGCCCCTGCCGATAGAGTTGGATGACGAGCAAAGCACGTTGGTGGATAGTACATTCCGCAAGCAAGGCAAGATTGCATCAATACCCGGTGCAGGAGTAGAATCACATGATATCCAGAAGCTATCACCCAGACAATGGCTGAACGACGAAGTGATTAATTTCTACCTGAAGATGATCGAACGAAGGAGTGGTATAGCTGCACAAAAACGAAGCGAAGCATTGCAAGCGAGAGAAAGAGTAGAGGCAAATGTATACACCGACGAAGCACAACGAACGAAAGATCTTGAATTGATTGCTGACGTGAAAAAGAGATGGAATGGAATATGGAACGTACACGTCTTCAATACGTTCTTTTACGAAAAGCTCGTTAAGCAAGGTTATGCTGGTGTCCGACAATGGACACGAAAGGTTGACATTTTCACAAAAGATTTGATCCTCTTACCCATCAATCTTGGCCAAGCACATTGGGTTTGTGCGGCCATCAATATGCGGAAATTGCGATTCGAGTATTATGATAGCATGCATTCGTACAATCGCAAGGCATTTGACGTATTATCGGATTATGTTCATAACGAATACAACGATAAGAAGAAAGGTGAATTTGGACAATTAGACCTTAGCGGATGGAAGCGATACTTTTCTCAACAGAGTCCCATACAAGCAAACGGATTTGATTGCGGTGTATTTGCCAGTATGACAATAGAACAGCTCAGTAGACGAAGTCCTTGGGATGGACCTCTACCGCCTGCTTTGGATGCTAAACAAATTGTCGTCCGAAGTGCCGAGTTGGCTTCCCAAAAACAGGACTCAGATGATGAAAGTGATGCGGAGGAAGAAGAGGAATGGAACTTTTCACAAGATGATATGCCATACCTACGTAAGCGGATGGTGTATGAGATTGCAACAACGAATCTGTTGGATTGATTCGTGTATCTGAATTGTACTGTAATAGATTCTGTCAAAGTATGTATGTAAATTATTCCCACAATTATATCACTTCCACAAGAAGACATCCAAATGATAATGTGAAATCTCATTCACTAGATCTACATGCAACTACAAACACTTCTCTTGCCTCCTTTACGATTAGTTTACTTCTTTTCCTCTTCCTTTGGCTTTGGAGGTGTGAGTTTATATTCTGCAGGTCTGTATGATTCACCTTGACCAACTTGTTCCCAAGGCGAAGAAGATTCAAAGTTACGGAAAGCTTGAGTGAGTTGTAGAGGTTCGGTAACCACACGTTTACGTTCTTCATCATAACGAACTTCTGTATAACCGGTCAAAGGGAAATCTTTACGCAACGGGTGCCCCTCAAAACCGTAATCGGTCAATAGACGACGTAAATCAGGATGACCGGCAAAGAAGACACCATACATATCGTAAATTTCACGTTCATACCAATCTGCACTGCTGAAAAGTGAACAAGCAGATGGAACGGGCGTCACTTCGTCGGCATATGTCTTTACACGAATTCTTGCATTAAAGCGAACGCTCAAGAGATGGTAAACGACTTCAAATCTTTGCGAACGTGTTGGGTAGTCTGCTCCGCTAATGTCCATCAATGCCTTGAATTGTGTTTGTGTATGGTCACGCAAGAAATGCAAGACGGGCAAAACGGATGGAGGTGCGATATAAAGTGTTAATTCATCCTTAACCACGCTGAATTGTTGAATATATTTTGGTAAACAAGAAGTGATGTAACTTCCGTAGTCGTGTAGAGGTCCTTGAATTTCAGCATACTTTTCTACTGGATTTGATCCTGCTGTTTCTGCATAAGGTGAGAATGAATTCACTTGATCTCCTTTTCCGGCAGGTTGTGAAGATTTGACAGAAGAATGGAAACCGCTACGAGCAACAGAAGGCATCAAAGCGATTCCTCCTGTACGTAGCAAAGCATTCTGTGTGAGCCTCCTCGTGGCAGCCGAAGTGACTGTTTGTCTTATCGTAGCAGCCATCTTGTGTAGTGGTGATGATCGTTCTTGGGAAGAAGTTGTTTGTAAGCTGTACTCTCTTTGTTGTACACGTCCACCTTCTTACCCGCTTACGCATTTCCAGATTAACTGATTGGCTGCCGTGCAAGGCTGATGATTGATGGGCGGCGTATTCTGTCTGGCTAGCGCTTAAAGGTCAAGAAGGTGTTTTGTTATCAACACGTGACACAACACGATGGACAATTCTGTGGAGCGTGATGGTGATTGTGACACTCTTCCTGCTTCCATCCAATCGACAGGAGAAGGAAGATGGCCTCTTCGGATATCGCCTCGACTTCGTATGTAGCTGCAAGGGACTATAAAGCAAGCTTGCCGGCCCACGATGCATTACCATACTATGACGATGAAATAGATCGGGTTGGAATGCGTGCAAAAGTGGAACGTGAATTGGCAGCAGAGATGAAGAATGGTGGTGAAATGGCAACATTTGATGAAAGCAGACTTCCACCAAAGATAGATTTTTTTACAAACAACCCCCATCTACTCGAACAATTGGAAAGAATACAACAATTTATCCCACCTAGCGCAATTGACACACACCGATATCGAATGGACGATCCATCCGATCCAAAAGATGAAAAGGCATGGGAAGAAGCGATTGCAAATGCAGAAGCACAATTGATGCATTCGGATATCCGATCGACAAATTTGGAGTTGCTCAAGAAGTTCGGTTCAAATCAATGGCGCTTACACAATTTCCAACAAGAGGCATTCGTACGTGCATTCACACAAGAAGGAGAACGAATAAAATCACAATCGGACAATATCAACCGAACCAGAAAAGCCGAGCAAACGCAAGCTGGAGAGGAGCTTTCCCGATTGAATAAACGCTGGGCAGAGCTTCTGAATCGATCACTATCAGTTGAGCTGGCAAACGTTGTTGCACAAGGCGATATAGAGGAGCTCCAAGCACGTAAAGCGAAATTGCAAAAACGTCTTGCTGAACTAGATTCATCGGCATGACAACTGTATTATAAATTCAATCACTGTACAATATACAAAACTATGATACATTAGAGCAAAACATATTAAAAATCATCTTCAGGTTCACTTTGAATGGAAGCAGTTTCTGATCGATGATGACCTTTTGGTCTTTCATGATAACTACCATCTTCGGATTCATTGTCCTCCTCTGATCCTGAATCATCTCCTGCAAATTCACTCCCTTCTTCTCCACTCAAGACGCTCGAAGATTGAGGAGCATTTGTAGACTTTTGACCTTGAGACATGGATATAGCACCTTCTTCATCCTCATCGTCTTCATCTTCATCGCTATCGATTGTGATCGTTTTGGTATTACGAAGTGGATTGAGTGGAGATCCTGTAGCAGGTTGTGAGGCGGCCAAAGCAGAAGCTCCAAGAAGTGATTGTGCTCGTGAAGGTCCATCTTCCGTTCGCAACTTTTTGGGGTCGGAACTATCTGTCACAGAAGGACTTGCGGATCTTTTGGTGAACGAATGGGATAGATTAGATTTTGATCGTTTGATAAATTCATCATCGCTTACAACACTTGCCCCATCATCATGAACAGGTGTTGCTCGTTGTAGCGGCGTAGAAGCTCCGCTCATCAGCAATCCTGCTCGTTTCCTGTTCTCCAGTGCGGTCTTCACTTTGGAATTCCCAGTAGATTTTCCTTTTCTGCGTGCGATTCCTCCCTTTCCTACACCGACACATGATGCTAAATGTTGTGCATATCTATTCGCAGATACTTGCCTTGAACAAATGATGCATGATAAAAGTGGATTGTTGTGATAGATCTCTAATCCTTTTGGTTGTACTGTATTTGATGCTTCATTGGATGTTGAATTCTCCTCTTCCTGTTTGACCGGAGCTTCCTTTGCGTTACCGTTTGTCAATTTGGCTGTATGAGCAGGGTCCAATGGTGACGCTTGACAAGCAGTTTTGCATACCGTACAGCCACCTTGCATCTTTCCTTGTGATTTCCTTAACCTAATGATATTCTTATGTGCCATCAATGCATGATCAATAATTACTTCCCGCATCATTGTTGCTAATAAACTTGAAGCTAAAGTGTATTTTGCATCATCTAGCATACCACCAGGTGCGACTGAAGATCTTGAAGTGCCATCTTCAGGTGCAATACTTGATTGATGGGTTGATGACCTTCTTGCATTTCTAGAAGGCATCTTGAGAAGATGAGAGTGATGTCATTGAAATGCACGCGATCAAACAAACAAACAATATTCAATACAACATCATAAATTCAACGCGTGGTGGAGCTACAAGTACACCCGCCCGAACCACTCTCTGGTTTGCAGATATCTTTTCTACAAATTAGAGAAACAGTAGGTCATGGTGCAGGGGGTCTCGTTTCGTTAGATCAAAGTTCGGCTTCTACTCTTCATGAGATATACTCACCTCTTGCATCCCTTCAAACACAGTGTTGATGACCGCCCGGACAATAGCCTCCTTCGCTTGAAAACTTTCCACGCTTAACGGATTCTGATTCGCTCTCCTTACCCATTGGGGCAGCAAAGACGGATGAAATTGTCATAAAGACAAGAAGTAAAGTGATGGCTTTGAAGTGCATTGTGAGTTTGATGGTGTCTGAGAGAAAGGTGTGGATGGATGAACAAATGAACAAAGGCAAGAAACAGCAGCACCCTCTCTTCAACTACTCCGAAAATTGGCGGCGTTGGAATATGGAACTGAAGCACAGACCGCATTTAGGAGGGAGTTGCTGTCACTAAGGAATTTGAACATACGAACGATTTGGACATACTTTGGCGAAGGCCACTTAGGGTCAGGATAGGAGGCTATTCTCAATATAGCTGCTTGGAAATATCTTATGATCTGATAACTAACCTAAAGAGGCCGGTAGTATGTTGAGACTTTAAAGAATACAGCTACTACCGTCGGAATTGACCCAATGGTGCATCCATGAAACGTCTGCAGCAAGGACAAAGGTAATTATAAAAAGTAAACAGATGAGTAAAGCTTATCGAGCGTTTTAAGATTGCATCTTGCAAAGAAGTAAAAGGATATTTGTTGGAATGAAGATGACTCATGTTTATTGCTTCCCATCAAACATGAAAGTGAAGTGCGTTGGGAGCAAATGGGCTATTTAGGGTGTAATATGTGGATATTAAAAGTTGCAAAACAGGTGATAGCTCATATCATTCGAATGCTCTCATATCGTTCAAGTATTGCTCAGGAATATATCTCATAGAAATCAGTATAAGCAGTTGTTATCAGCAATATTTAAATCTTAGACGGAGAAAAGACAACGTCAGTGCCAATGCCAAAAATGTCTTATAGTCTAATCACTCACGAAATTTCAATTTGCTCTGCCAAGAATTGGTGTACAGTTACTACCGTCGGGATTTTTACAACCTTGACGCTTCCACTTTTCAGTGCTGCTTTCTGAAGTTGGAGCAGCAATGAGTAAGGTAGTCATGAAGACCAAACAGATGAGTAAAGCTTGTTGAGTGTTTTTGAAAAGCATTTTGCAAAGAAAGATGGAGATGAGATGAGATGAGCTGTGACTGATGGGAATAACAAGATGACAATATAGAAATAAAGCTGCCTTGTTATAGTGGTATTCCGTGAGATTTTTGAATGACAAAGTTACAGAGGAGTTAGGAAAGGAGTATAAAGGCAAGAGGGGTATTACAAGGAGAGAGGAGGACAAAGAGAGGAGAGACTGATTCAGGGGACTTGATTGAGTTAATCAGCAATTTGAGTGACAAAGTCACATATGAGTGGGGAAGGGGTATAAAAGCAAGAGGGGTATCACAAGGAGAGAGGAGGACAAGGAAAGGAATGACTGATTAAGGGGACTTCATTTAGTTAATCAGCACTCCCTCTTCCACAAAAAAGTTTCTGTTTTTTTTTGGGATGGAGATGGTTGGATGTTGAATAAGAAGCAGGATGAGAGCCATCTCTGTGCTGTAAAAAGAGAGAGACGTGAAAGAGTAAGCATACAAGGTCTGGGAACAAGGGTGATTCCTTTGCATGTCCCTCGGGTTGTCAGGGTTAAACACGCGCTGCTTTCTTATCACTCCTGTTCAACCTGCTAAAATTGGTATATTAAAACAAAAAGATATAATACACATTTCATTTTCCAAACTTTATATCTTCTTTCCTGAAACTACTAAAGGTGCCATTCTACCAAAAGTGAATGCAGGCCTGACAATTTTTTTGACGGAACGTGGTGAAAGGATTGGTCTAGATTGAATGATCGAACTTGGAGATTGTATCCTCATCCGTTTTGCATCATCCGTACCGTTGATTGTTTGAAGGGGTTCCAATTCACATGATCTTCGTTTAGAATCAGAGCTACTTCTTCTCTCTGGTAGAGGTGGTGTGGTTTCCTTTTTTGTGTGCGAGTCATTCGACTTCATCACTACATCCGGCACGTTTTCTTTGTCTGCATCTTCCTGCTCTCCGGTCACGGTAAGCGCTTCCATGATGTCGCCCAGTTGATTCAATTCGTCTTCCCGATTCGCCTTTCTTGCAGAAGGAGGCGATGCAAAGAACTTTGGTCGTGGAGATGCAACGGGGATTGCACTCTTTACTGCAGGTTTTTGGCGTTGTTTCAGAGCTGTAGATGATGAAGATGTTGTAGCGTTCCCTAACAGCTTTCCACGTGCTCCCATATTCTTTGTCAGTGTGCTCGTCCTCTTCGAGGCAGTGGCTGTAGCTGGCGTTTTATTGCGCTGAGTTGCCTCTTTTGGTATCGGTCGACTTCCAAATACGTCTGGTGATGTTGGTCTAGAAACAGGATCAACGGGCGATCGTACAACCCTCTGCGGCATAACGGTACTCTTTGATTCGACTTTCGTATTCTTTCGCTCTTCCAATGGCTGCCGCGGCAAAGGAACTCTGGCAGGCATCCTTTTCGGCGACGAGTGTTTCTTTGATGCTGCCACAGCAAAGGCAGTAAGAGCAGCTCTTGAAGAAGATCCCGCTTTCAAACCATCTGTTCCGCCTCTCGATCGTACTTTCATCTCAAATTGTTCCAATGCAAGACGAGCGGCAATACCTCTGCTCGGCGTTGCCGATGTCATTCGTGCCACTTCTGCTTTCAATATCGCTCTTTCTCGCTCTTCTGCCGGGTCTATACTGGGTAGCACAGGCACAGGCGGTGGGATATCCTGCATTCGAGTCTCTTTATCGCTACTCGGTGTGTTCTGAGTCGATTTAGAGGAGGTAGACACAGATCGGGAAGATTGCTTTACGTGTTGGGCACTCGTTGAACGTGCGGACGCAGATGCATCTCTCTGTCTCTTTACTGTAGTGTGAGTTGGTTGTTTATTCGAAGAGGCTGAAACTGCACGAATGACTTTCTCCGGTGATGCACGAGGTCTCTGTTGTTCGACTGGATTGCGTGGTATAGGCTTGACTGAAAAGTTTGACGGACCAGCTTGTCTGTCTGTGTTCTTTAATGCAAGGTACCTCCTCGTAGTTGGTGTTAATGGCGCAGTGAATTCATCCAACCTGTACGGGAATCGTTCACCGTACAATTCAAACATTCTTTTTGACCATTGTCTTACTTCTGGATCACGATCTGTCGCTGTACTCTTGATGATCACTTCTATATCTCCCACCCTTCTTTCCAACTTTTCCAGATTTTCAATCGATTCCACCAACATCAACGTTACTTCTACGGCCACATTTCGTAGCGTGATGGATTTGTCCCGTGCTGCGTCTCGTAGATATGATAGCAGCGATGCTAGCTTGCAATGTTTGGCAATGAGTAATAAACACTTCTTTGCCCGAACTAATGCCACTTTGTTTGTCCTCGCACAAAGTTGTAAAAGTGGAGGAATGAATGTGCTGATCAAAGGTTCGAATCGATTAGCAAGTCTAGGCGCTACTGAGGTGAGCAAATCAGCCGCTGATCCTGATAATTTTGTTCGTTCGGATAATAAAGAAGTAACGATTGGAGCTGAATGTTCTTTGATAAGTGGAACGAATGCTTCATTTTTGTAGGCTCCTGATTTTGTAATTGTTTCTAGCTTGCTCAATGCACCATCAATCTTTTGCCATGAATCTTCGGTTTCAACAAGGTGTAATGCTGGTATCAATTGTCCTAATTGGAATTGCAGTTCAGCACTGCTGGCCATGATTGTTTTATTGAAGTGTTGAAGTGATGATTGTCGTTAACAAAGGTATGCTTTTGAAGTGTTACTTTTTATGCAGAAGATCAACATCTAACTGTTGATTGTATGCGGGTGAACACTTTTCTTAGCGTGTTAAAGTGTTGTTCCGATAAGGCCTTGTGTACGCGTCGGTTGGGCGCTGCTAAAGTCACAGTGCTTTTTACGCCCAATCCACGTGCTGTTGGCAATCGAATATTTTTGAACAATTCAAGCAAACATGGTTTCTCCATTTCACCATCAAATCATTGAAGCGATTACTTGGATGATGCGATGAATAACATTTTGCGAGACTCTGAAGGATGGAGTCAAGGTGCAAGGGAATCAGTAGCGAGCACGTCACGACATTCTATTTCTCCTCGTTCAGCTTCAATTCGCGTTCGAATTCGTCCTCATGCACCTTTGCCCCAACAGCCTCTACTAATTCCATGCGTCGAACAAACAACTCTGATAGCATTCAAAGAACGTATAACGACACTACTGAACGCCAAATCCGATTCATCCATTGATTCAGCAAAGATTCGCCTAGAGATTGATGGATATGTAATTGCAGATGATTGTGTGGTTGGGGATGTAGTTCGGGAAACAGATGTTGTAGAAGTGCATTTGGAGGATGGGCATAGTACAAAAAGGCCTGTGCAGGCTACAAAGGCTAAAGTGCATGCCAGATCTGAGTCTAGCGAAAGCTCTACCTCGTCTTCGTCTGCTTCTTCTTCCAGTGAGGATAGCTCTAGCGAAAGTAGTGAGAGTGACAGCAGCAGCAACAGCAACAGCGACGAACATCAAAATGAAGGCACCGCAACACGCACCAACGGTTCCGCCAACGGCTGGGTTCCGCCAGGCCAGGGATCGATACGAACTCAGCGTAACAATGATAAAAGACGAAAAAGGGCTCGTGCTGAATTAAATGCTGAGCGTGAGAAACGATTGATCGAAACGATTAAAAGAGTGGAAAAGCAAGCATTGGCTGAGGGCGGTTCAGTAGATAAGGAAACGGAAGAGGAGAGCTTTGCTTTTGATAAAGAAGGTTATCGTGCAATTTTATCGGAATTTCAGAATGCAATTCATTCTGCTTCCAACTTTGACAGTACAGTGACATTACCGCCAGGAGGTGGTCTGCTTGGCCTACCAACAGCAGATCTTTCGACGAGCAGTACGATGGAACAATCATCGCCAACAGACAAAATGCGAAAGGCAAGACAGCATCGGCGAATCCTCCCGCCATCTCAGAGGGACGAACCTGTGCCTGCCTGCATTCGACTGACTAGGGTGGACTGTGATGAGTGTGCAACTCCATGGCCTGTTGAGGAATCGGCAGCCCCTATGGATGTTGAAGAGAGCGATAGTCCTGACGGCGGGGATATTGCGATAGCTAATGCTGATGCATTATACCTCGCATTTAGAGCTCAAGGTAAAGAAGCACTGAACAAAATGCGTGCTGATGAGGAAAAGAAACAAAAGGAATCCGCCTCTTCAAAGGCAGCCGAAGAGGGGGCGATCTGGCAACCAGCAACAATGGGCTTGCCTGCAACATTTGGAAAGCCAGACGGATGGAATGGAAACGATATTCTTACTTCAAAAAGTCTTGCTGCTGCTGCTGCTAAAGCGCCTTTGAAAGAACAACAAGAGTCCTCTCCTACGCTAGATTATGGCATTCCAGAACAAGAAAAGACGGAATCTGCCACAGAAACTCTTGATCGTTTGCGCAAGCTTCGCGATCAAGCAAAATTACAAACAACTTCATCCACTATAGACCTACAAGCGATTCGCCAAGCTGCCTTACGATCGATCAGAAAAAAATTACCCAGCTAGTATAATTATGACTTGAACATCACCCAATGACTTGTTTGTCAATCATATGTATCATAGTGCTCAATTTACACATATACCTCTAATCTTGTCAATTTGATATACCTTTATCAGAAATTGTGATCGGCACGTTTAATAGGGGCTCAAACCCTGAGATCATATCATAATGCCATACTCCAGATTTATCTTCTATCTAGTAATTTCTGAAGATCTTTTTAATTTCATGCTATTCCATTTGACATACCGGGACAATAAAGCAATTTTCAATGATACGTCTATATGAAATGAATGTTTCATAATATCGCATACCAAGCACGATGAAAGACGTCTCAATTTGGTTCAAGGTAAAGGTATAAAAGATAGGAGTTGACGGGGAATGAAACCCTGATTTTCCCCATCTTTCTTCCATCAATCAAACCTCATCACAACTTCCCCCTTACAAATTCTTACAAACATTCTTTTACTCGCTATCACGGTCGTTTTCATCCAAGCAATCTCAAAGGGTCGCTCAAATTCTTAATATACGCAAACATGACGCTCAATCCTTTCGCTACTACTAAACAAGAAAAAAGTTACTTTAACCCTACTCGATACTGGCCACAAAGTAAAGCAAAAAAGAGGGCCTCATGGTTTCCAGAACATACAAACAAGAGAGCTTCTTGGTTCCCAGAACATGCAAACAAGAGAGCTTCTTGGTTTGCGCCGAAGAAACAAAAGACATGGGTTCCCTTCACGTAAGGTGATGCCAGTACTAGATCGGAAAGCCATGAGTGATAAGCTTCGTCATCAACATTGCTTTTATCTAACCCCTATACATAGCATTTTTTAGAACGTCATACACCCTTATGCTACAATAAACTCTCTTACCACATTCTTTGCAACACAGTAAATTTCCATCACTTCTTTCTTACAATTCATTTTCTAACTACTTTACTCCAATGAATACCAAGCTTCACCCTTTCGCATACCGAGCACAAAAAGACGTCTAAAATGCATCTTTGGTAAGTTATAAAAAGCCAGATATGATTGGAAAATATCATTTCTTTTTTCTATCCAGTCTCTACTACAGAATGCGCTTGCATACTCTTCCATTTCTGCTTTTACTGACGCTTACGGTCACTGTCACTCGTGCGTGGGTTTATGATCCTCATCGAAGAAGACCTGATGATGCGGATCCAATGAGGAGATCGAGCGTGGAAGCTGAACAAAGACCGGAACTTCTTAACAAAAGATTAATAGGCAAATTACCGTTTTTCGAGAGTGCACAACCAGCTCATCTGAAGAACAAAAGGTTGGAAGCCCTTCCCATTAGGCCACACCGACGAGAGGGGCAGAAGAAAAGGTTGGAAGCCTTGCCACCCTATACAAAAGCTGTAGCACAAGTCAATCACAAGAAAAGGAAGACAAAAGTACCACCTCCAAGCGGCAATGGGCCACAATCGAAGAGAGATGGGAATGAACCAACTTCTGGTGTTGACACAACAATAGCACACAAAAGAGGAGGTGAATTACCATTAATTGGCCCCCACAAAACAGTCGATACGCATGACCCAGCCCCATAAATTGGCCCCAAAAAGGAGTGATTAGCATTTTTCCCAATCAATAGCCATGATGGTAAATGAATGGACCGATATCTCCCTTATGTTTTTGATCGATTATGTCTTCTATACTTCTTATATTCTCTCGATTCGAATCTATAATGCTTTTCCCTACGAACCTCTTCTTTAAGTTTTATTAGCAATAACGCGTATATTCCCGAAAGCCGAATAAATTTCAACCAATTCTTTCTTCTTCTCATGCTCATTCTCTTTTTTTCACGACCAAGTGGAGCTTCAAAACAAAAGGATGGGAAAGAAGGGAAAAGGGGATCTTTCAGCTACAAAAGCAGCTGCAAAAGCTGCTAAAAGAGCAAAACAAGAATCAAAAGCAGCAAGAGCAGAAACGAAAAAAGCAACAAAGAATACAAAACCTTCAACAACTCCTGCGAACAACAAAAATCAAAAGGGTAAAAAGGGAAAGGGCAAACAAAATGGTGGTGGTGGCGGTGGAGTGGTATTCGATGAAGGGGAAGACCTGGACGCTTTACTGAAACAATTCAGGGAAGATTGGGAAAATGAACATAAGACCACAGAGGAAAAAGTTGGTCAAGCTCCAAGCCGACGTGCAAATGCAACGTTGACAGCTTGTCCATTGGGAACGGATCTTTGGCTGTTTGGTGGAGAATACTTTGATGGTGATCGTGCGATGTTCTATCCAGATCTTTATAGATATACACCCGCAACCGTTGCCGCCTCCAATGCAGCTTCTGCAGATGATGCTATCGTCGATCATGGAACATGGCGCATGTATGCATCACCAACACAACCTGGACCCAGGTCAGCTCATCAGATAGCCGCAACAGCTGCAAATGGTGGTCAATTGTGGCTATTTGGAGGAGAGTTTGCAGGAATGCGAATGACAAGTTTCCATCATTATAGAGATTTATGGGTATTCCATATAGCCACCAAACAATGGGAAAGAATCGATACAAAAGTTCGACCAAGTGCTCGATCTGGACATAGAATGGCATTTTGGAAACACTTTTTGGTCTTGTTTGGTGGGTTCCAAGATACGGGCGCTCGAACGACATACCTGGGCGATCTTTGGATCTTTGATACGTCCGAATACAAGTGGCACGAGATCAAACAGAACGATTTACGTAAACCGACATCTCGATCAGGTTTTAGCTTGATCACTAGCACAGACGGTATCATCCTGCATGGAGGATACTGCAAGCGATACGTCAAAGGGCAGAGAACACAAGGTGTCGCATTAGAGGATACATGGCTGCTAAAGATGACACTAGGGGAAGATGGCGATCTGTTCATCAATGGATCGATTGAATGGCAGAGAAGGCGAAAGATAGGATATGCACCTGGACCCCGAAGTGGATGTACGATGGCAGTTTGGGGCAACAGAAATATGGGTGTTCTGTTTGGAGGAGTAGTAGACACAGAAACAGACGAAGAAAGTTTGGAAAGTCAATGTTTCAACGATCTTTTCGGATATCAAATTGCTGGAAATGGAAGATGGATCAGTCTGAATTTGAGAAAACCCAAGAAGAAGGGTGGAAGAAGGAGAAGGAAGCCTGCTGCTCCGGTTGTGCAGCACAATCAGAATAGTGATGACGACGAGGAGAATGCACAGAATGAAGACGAACAATCTGAGGAAGAACCAGAAGATGACCCTGACGATCCGCAAAAAAGTGTCCCAATCGTTCGTTACAACACCATGCTTGCAGTCCAGAGAAACACTCTATATGCATATGGAGGAATCCACGAAACAGCAGAGCGAGAGTACACAATGGACGATTTTCATACCCTTGATCTTTCAAAGATGGATCGCTTTCAATGCCTCAAAGCTTGTCCAATTGATAGTCTGGAGTGGAATGAGTCAGCCTCGGAATCAGGAAGTAGTGATTCAGATGACGACGACTCGTCCTCCTCGTCATCAGAGGAAGAAGAGTTACCTGAGGGTGAAGAGTACGAGGCAGAAGTCGTTCGCGAGGAGGATTACGATCCTCTTTTGCAAAATGAGGAATTATCTCTCGATGATGAAACCCTGGCATTACTAAAGCGACAACGAGAAGAACGTGAAGAATTGCGAAAGCGAACGGAAACGTTTTTGGGTGTTTCCAAACAATCGAATCGAACGGAAGAAGATGTCTTGAGTACTCCATTACCGGGAGAATCTTTACGTGATTTTTATTCACGTTCAAAGTCATATTGGGCAAGTATTGCACATGAACAAAGTCAAGGTCAATCACGCGGTAAAGAAATGCGAAGAGATGGTTTTGAACTTGCAGAAAAGAAATACCTGGAAGTTAAACCGGTTTTGCAAGAAATTGAACGTATTCAACGTGAGGCTGGATTGGACGAAGAAGAAATGAAAGCAGCTGCATCGGGTAAATCTGGACCTGGTGGTGGAACAGGTGTTGACAGTAGAAACAGACGGTGATTGTGTGTCAAACACATTTGTGGTAGAAGTCTTGCATTATTGTACTATTATACATCGAAAAATCGCATTTGCCGTATCTCAAATCCCTTCGTCTTTTGCTCTAAGCATTTTCGCATTGACTTCGATCTGTGAGAGGAAAGTAGTTGTGTAAGTATCACTGCTGACCGATTCGATCGTCATTTACCCACCTTTCTGATCAGATCAGAGACGTTTGTATCATCTGCATTGAATTTCTGTGTCTTTTTATCGGAGTATGTCACATCTATTCCTTGTTCTGTATCTTCAGCAACTGTTGTGAGTGATGTAAGCGGAACTGCTTGTTGACCTTTTGGTGGTTTGAATGGCATTGAAGAAAGTAGTAGTCGAAGCGATTGTGTTGCTTTTGATCGACTCATTGGTGCGATCCTAAATTGAACAGAGGTGATGTACCGTAGCGTAGTATGTGAGAATTGTGCGGCTGCCATGTTGACGTCGATAGGGTTAGAGTGTGGTGATGGCGTTCAAGATTAAGAAGAAAATTAGATTTCTTTCTTTCACCAGGATAAAAAAGTTAAGCCTCACGCGCCATAAGAACGGAAAACGGAAAAGCCAAGGCTCAACGGATTAGTTCGGCTTTTACCAGTCAGAAGAATGAGAAGATAGCGCATGTAAAGTGTGGAGAATGATAACCAACCTTCCAACCATCACATTACACATGTTGCTCACTCGCTCAAGATTGTGCATTCCCCAAGTGTCTGCGCAGTCTTTTAGCCGCTTACCGCCAAGCAGGAAAGCATCTTCTTCATCCTCGGCGGCCAAAGATATCCCACCAACATACCCAACTCTACCGCGAATTCAAAAAGCAAGCTCAAGTCAAGATGGACCTTTACCGGATATTCAAGTCGATCATTTGGTCGTAGGAGGCGGTGTGGTTGGGCTAGCAATAACCCATGCATTGGCAAAAAGGTTTCCTGAAAAGTCCACATTTATGGTAGAGAGACATAAACGGTCAGGAGAAGAAACTTCTTCGCGGAATAGTGAAGTAATTCATGCTGGTTTATACTATCCTCCCGCTTCTCTCAAGACAAATCTCTGTCTTCGCGGAAGAGAGCTGATGTATGACTTCTGCAAAGAGCATGGCATACCACACAAACAGACTGGTAAGTTTGTTGTCGGAAACAAGGAATCTCACGATCATTTGCAGGGTATTGTCAATCATGTCAAATCATTAGACGAAAATGTAGAAAACAACATTGGAGCCCTTGTAGCAGGGAGGAGGCAAGGTCCACCTCTACGCATCATCTCTGGAGACGAGGCAAGACAGCATGAGAAGGATATCGGTCCTGAAATAGCATGGGTTCTGGACAGCTCTAGAACTGGAATCGTGGATAGTCACGAGCTGATGGCTACGCTGGAGAGACTGGCTTTGGATAGCGAGAGTGCAGAGATTGTATACGATACCAGTGTGGTCGGGATCAAGCCTCTGCAACCAACGGGAACTTCTGGCAAGCGAGGCTCTGGCGATGAATCAATGTTGGGCTGGATTGTTGAAACGCAAACGGAAGGCGGAGAGGTTGACCAGCTCAAAGCAAGGCATGTGATCAATGCTTCGGGGCTGAATGGCCCTGCAATGCTGAACGCACTTGCTCGTGATGGATACTTTGGTGAAGGAGAAGGGGGTATGATTGGAATGTGGTATAGCAAGGGAAATTATGCCACTTACTCCAGAGCAAAAGGAGGTGTAGACAGTGTTCAAAGGTTGATTTACCCTCTACCGGATATGGGCGGATCAAAGGACAAACATGGACATCAAGGTTTAGGTACCCATTTGACAGTGGATCTGAATGGCAACATTCGCTTTGGCCCTGACACAGACTGGCTAAGACCATCTGCACATCAGACACAAGCAGACTGGTGGAATCAACACATGGTCGCTCTTCAGCCTTCGTCTGCCACCATTAATCAAGCTGGAGAAGAGGAACGCTTAGACGCAATGTATGAAAGCGTCACTTCCTATTTGCCAAATATCAAAAGACATGGTCTTTCAGCAGATTATGCGGGTGTACGTCCTAAGCTTGTCGGCCCAGCAGGCGGATTTAGTGATTTTACCATCTTGCATCATACGGCCACTCAACTACAAGATCAAAAAGTCAAGCAGCTTGCATTCAATCATGATGATGCCGTTCAAAGCAAGGATGCCAGAGATGCATTGTATGTAGGATCATGGCAAGATTCTCCTCAACCCAGTTTGATCACATTGTGTGGAATTGAATCGCCAGGTTTGACATCTTCTTTGGCACTTGCTGAAGTTGTCAGTAACCTGATCGGCAGGAGAGGATGGGGAACACGACTAGATGCTAAATCGTCTGTGAAAGGAGCGCAAAATGAGCATGCAGGCATGGTAGATCAATGGGCATAATACTGTATGTATTTGAAAATGGTATATAATTCATGTCCTAAGTGCAATTAATTATAGATCCGTGGTATAATTAGCAGGTAAACTGTGGGATGCAAATTTGGTCAGCGATTGTCATTTACGGTATCATCTCTCCTGCAACTCACTTTCCCATCCTTCCGTCCGCCGAACGACCCAGCCACCAGTCATCCCGATTATCCGTTTTACGTAAAATATCAATCACATCGCCCCGTTTGAAACTTAAGTCGTTTTCTTCCTCTCCAACAAAATCAAATTGTGCTAGCACTTGTACTTCTACCGTGGTCGGAATAGGTGGTGTGGCTCTATGTGATTTTGATTCACTTATTAAGCCCGCCGTAGGAGTTGCCGATCCAGTTCTGCCGATCGCAGCTGCAACGTATGCAGCAGGCGGAGTTGTACCTCTGCCCAAATAATCCGGTCCAGGTGATGGTGTTGTACGGTGGGCTGCATTACTACCTGATCGTTTTCGTGAGCTGGATTCTGAGTAGAAAGGTTTTGGACTTGCTTGACGTGCTTCCCAAGATTCCGCAAATGCACTTCTTTGAGCGCTTTGACTGTTGCCACGAACACGATTCCATAGCTTTTGTGCACTACTTGTTCTTTGATGCATCGGTGGGCGTGTCGGTGGTGGTGGGGCAGCATAATCATCATCTGGTAATCCGTAATCCGCTCTCCATCCTGCAGTTGCGGTCGTGTTGCGAGTTTTCTCATAAGAGTATCGATCTCGACTTTCGTCGGTATCGACACTTTCTCGTCTCTGCTGTAATTCTTCGTCCAAAGAATCCATTCCAGTTGCTTTGCGTCGGGAAGATTGTCCGTATGATCTTGAAGGAAGATCATCATCTCCCCCGAAATCGATCAGATCAGCTTGAGGTGCTTGAAAGGGATCTCGACGACGTGAAGAGAGTGGCGATCGACGAGCAGATGAAGGGCTACTGTACGAGTCTTCCACGAAATCAAAAGGGTCTTTGTTGGCTGAACCATTTCCATTCCTGGCATCATAGTGCTCATCCTCGTCCGTATCATCTCGTTCAAACTTTGTCGGGAAATTTGCGAAAGCTTTTTGTGAACGTGCTCTCGCATCATTTTCGTGATCGTATGTGAAAGGCATGCCAGTAGATGCGCTGGATCGCCTTGCCTGTACGCCTGATCGTGAGAATGTATCGTTAGACGATGTGTTACGACCTGGGTATTTGGTCGAGGCTGCAGTGTATGGCAAATCAAACGTTTCCGATTGACCGCCACCATAGTCCGTCGCACGTACACTTGATGAATTGCCACCCAAAAATGACTTTTTCGTTCGAGTTGGTGAGTTTGTCAAACTTCCACCTTGTGCCGATCCAAAAGCATAGCCTGAAGTAGAATTGCTGTTTGTTCGACTGAATGGGTTTTTGTCTTCGTAGTCATCTGAAGGCGAATATGAATTCCGTGATATGTTTGTCGCTCCAAACTCACGGTCTAAGCTGTCTAGATCGTTATCGTCATAATTTCCATATCCTCTTGCACTTGCTGATCTTCCGTCCATATCTGCACGCATTTGTCCGGTCATTGTGTATTTTTCAATCAGAGAAATGAGAGGAGTTGAAAAGCCGGGTATTTCCGTACTTCCAGAAAGGACTTGTTTAGCCGTCACACTTCGATGGTATGCTTTTGAGTTGGCATCTGAGCGATCTATGAGAATTGTACCTTCCACCGAAACACCGCCATACAATCCTTTACTTTTCGAGTAAGAAAACATGGCAGCAAGATTTCCCGAAGAATTCACAGCCCCTGTCGCTTCTGCCGCTCGCCCTAATGGCCCGACTGCAACCGACAAGTTTCCACCTAATTGCAAGCTTCCAGTTGCCATGAAACTACGTACAGCCTGTTTGCTATTTAGCACAATCACGAAATCAGTCACTTCTAAACCTGCATTGAATCCAGCTCCGACTCCACCCAAACCTATTGCTGAAGGTGCAGACCAAGAGTCATCCTGTAAACGTGCAAGTACGACACCTGAACCTGCTCTTGCGCTCATTAAGAAACCTAGACGAGCCACACTAAAGATTGCCAAACCTTGAGCTTTTCGTAAGACGGACATTGGAATGACTCTATCCAATCCACCATTTGCCGGATCAACGAATTCTGCCAAGATTTTTTCCGCTTTTCGACATTCTTGTGCCAAGTTTAGTGGAAGAGGATTACCCATTTTTTGGCGATGACAGAGATGATGATGATGTTAATTTGGTAAAAATAGATTATTGTCCTTTTGGTTGTGGTTCATACTTGGCAGTGGAGCAGGCTGTGTGACTTAGTTGCCGTTCATAGAATATTACGAGTGGAGTAAAAATGGCGGCCCGAAACAATTAATAGGTATGTACTTGAGTACGTGCTGCTGCTGCTGCTGCGTGCGCTAACCGCTTCAGATTAAGGTTGAGTGTATGCATCCTGTGCATATATAATCAAGGCTTACTCCAAGCGTAAACTGTCACAGTAAGCATACATTACGGATGTCAGCCTTTCAAGGCGCGTTTTTGGTTTGCCATTTGTGGCTGCTTTTCTTCTGCCTTTATAATTCCCTTTCTGCCATCATCATCTACTGTCGCGCCAATTCTTCAGCTCGAATTCTCTGTGTGGACTCTTTCTCTCCACACCAACTCGCCATCCTGTTTTCTCTCATAACAACATTCATCAATTTGATTCAAAATGAATCTGAATAACAGTAATAGGAATAATATTAATAATAATAATAATCAACTTCCTTCAAACCAACATGCAATGAACAACAATCATGTCATCCCTACCAGTCAAAGTACCACGCCTCGTAGTGTAGTCAGGTGGTGGTTTTGACGTGGCCAAGGCAAAAATTCCGGAGCATCAATTTCGCTCCGGTCAATGTGATCCTGTGACAGGGGATACATTGTCTTCAAATGCGACTGAAACATCAACAGTCGCTTCCGCTTTGGCAATCAACCACCACGGAAATCGAAATGTAACTCAACAATCAAACGCAATACGAATGGTACCGGTAAATTCTACCTCACGTACTTTGAATCCTTCGCATCAATTACCACCTTCTCCTCCTTCAACCCCGTCTCATTCACCGCCTCAAAGGGATGATGCCATACCTCAAAGTTGGTCAAGTGAAAAAGAGGATGAATTGCGTCACTCGCTATCATCCATTGCTATTCAAGAAGGAGAAATGCCCGATACTCCCGACGCTTCCCCTTCCGCAATCTCACCTGCAGATGCTGTGCTTCGTCAAAAGGTATCTCTTTCATCGCGGGAGTTTGTGAGGGAAATCTTGCCCAAAGTGCTCACAATCAAGGAAAGAGGTCAAGGTGACTTTGGCGTTCAACAAGGTCGTTATATCATCGAAGATGCTTGTATGGAGATTGTTTCGCAAACATGCATCGGTGCCGTGTTGATCGATACGAAACCGACCTTTACCGCACATGCGTCTGCCATTTCTTGTTCATTTTCTCCTGGCACGCCAAGAGCGTGGAATCAGACATCTTCTCGTATGTCACGATCGTCCTCAAACAATTCCAATGCATCCAGTGTTGGATTGGAAAGGCCTTCACCACGCAGAACGCTTTTGACTCGAATTAATGGAATCGGTCATCAGATGGACTCGAAGGATTTACGTGCTCATATCTTGGATGTGTTGGATCACGCCACAGAGAAGTTGCATGTTGACAATATCATCTTTGTCTTGGATCGCTCTACTTTGGATGATGAGGAATTCCGTGCTACAGTGCATGGACTTATCTACGTTGGTGCATCAATTATTGGTCGTGGCCCCAAAGAAGGAGAAGCAACTCCATTTAGCGAGGGAGGCGGTGATCCAAACGAAAGTATCCATGCTCCTCGTTTTGTGGGAAAGAATTATGTCTTGCTTAGTGTTGATGCGTGAATACGTTTTCGGACTAGACTTCACATTGTTCTATCATTGTTCACTACTTTCATCATTACAACCTTTTTGTACAAATAACTCTTATCTCTCTATCTCCTTAACGATTTTATGATTTATTCTATTTTGACTCATGAGTTACATGCCTGTTTGACCAATGCCAAAATACCTTCAAACCTCTCCCGCTCGTCATTTGCCAGTATGTCAAAATTTTCGTCTTCATCTTCTTCCTCTTGGGATGTCGTGGTATGTTTCTGCTGCAAAGCAAGACCGACAACGATCGGCTTCTCGGACAAGGAACCCGTATCGTTAGATTGCGTGGTGGAGGCAAGAGCTTGTTGGGTTTGCAAGGCGATATGTATGTTATAAAGATCATATAATGACTTCTTTCCGGGAGGATGTGTTCCAAACAGTCTCTGTTGATGACAATTACCGAGCATAGCCGCTTGTTCCGAGCTCAAAGAGTCCGAGACAGCAACAGGATCAGATTGAAGGTTTGCTTGACGTGCAAAATGCTTTTCAACTGCATCATCATCGTCCAAATCAAAAGCTGCTTGTGCAGCTGAGTAGTTTGGTCGTTTTTGAATGGTTATTTGGGATAAACAACCAACTTTGCCTAATTGACTAACGATCACTAATGCTTGATCAGCAAATTCTTGTACAATCACATTTGTTGGTGTGCCAATTATTGTATTGCTGGACTGTCGGATACGAATTGGCACTGCTTGTGAGGTCAAATGAGCCGGTACTTTTGTAACTTCAGCTTGTAGTTGCGAAGTTGAGGCTGCTGAATAAGAAGCCATGTTGAATGAGCAATGGTTGTGAGAAGAATGGCAACGCGGACATACGACGCCCTGTTTAGCCTGAACGCGAAAAATTAAGGTTGCATGTCCAAACTCCACAAGGTGTTCGTTTGTTTGTTTTAACTTTCCGACTTCCATCTTTTTGTGTGCGGATACGAAATGGATGTTGATAAGCTGTTCAAGCTACCAAAACTTCCACAATCATCAATCAACAAACGTAAATGGCAAGAACCTGATGCAAATCAGCTAAAAGCAGCTCGGGTAGAAGATGTTGGAGAAGAAGATACCAGCGGACCTTCACGTCTGTCTCGTGTACAAGATATAGATCAGGAGGAAGACGCTCCAGATTTCGCACCTGGAAACGATGCAGATTACTTCATAGACGAAGATGATGAAGGCGGTAGATTCTTCGGAGGAGGCCTAACTTCACAGCAAAAGAGGATTCTCGAATTGATGAATGGCGCAAATGCAAATCAGAATGACGAGATCCTAAAACCCGATCAAGAGCTCAGAACGTTGAGGAAGAACATCCTGAGGCTGGAAAGATCAATAACGAAAAATCAAGAAATGCGAGTAAAGTATCCAGATGATCCGCAGAAATTCTTAGCATCCGAAGCTGATTTGCATGATGCAATTCGATCACTCGTCTCAGTCACCACCAATCCCGCCCTTCTTTATCCGGAATTGGTCAAACAGAATACAACAGCATCGCTCTGTAGCTTGCTAGCGCATGAGAACATTGACATAGCTGCAGGTGTGATTGAGCTCCTAGAAGAAATCTTTGATGATGATGTTCTGGATGCCGGTTTGGAAGGACGAACGGAAGAAGAGCAGCTGGGTGAGGAAACAGGACAGAGGAAAGGTCAAGTGGCTGTAGAATCAGTATTGGACGCACTTTCTGAGAATTCATTGGTGGATCTGCTCGTTCAGACACTGCCTAGACTACAGGGAGATGGTCAGTCGGACGGTAAATCGATCGCAGCAGAGGCGAACGCGGAGTCTGACTCCGATGCAACTTTTCATCTGCTAGGATTGATGGAGAACTTGATCTCGCTACGTGCCTCGCTGGCGGATGAGCTATTTGGGTCAACATTCCTGAAATGGATACTAGCCAAAATTTCACCCAAGACAACATATGATCAAAACAAAGGATATGCTGCTGAGCTTTTATGCATCTTGCTTCAAGCTGGTCAATCTTCCGAACAAAGAGCGATCAAATTTGGGAAGGAAGGCGGGATTGACCAGCTCCTCAATGCTCTTGCGCCACTTCGTAAGACTTTGTCTATAGGAGATGAAGTGCGGGAATTTTATGAAAACTTGTTCGATGCGCTTTGTGTTGCTTTGACAGCCACACCCAACAAAAAGGCATTCCACGATGCGGAAGGAGTCGAGTTGATGTGTTTGATTATGAAGGCGTCGAAGGGTTTTGTGAGATTGCGCTGTGTAAAGCTGATTAATCATGCCACATCGGGACCGAGAGGGTCGAAGAATTGTACAAGATTTGTCGAATGTCAAGGACTGAAGGTTTTGTTCCATTCGCTGGGCAATGAACATGTAACAGTGCAAGATGAGGACAATGTCTTGGAAATCATCGCATCGCTGCTCAATAATCTAGCAAGTGATTCGGTCGAGCGCATCCGGCTAATCTCTAAATTTGTTGAGAAAGAGTACGAAAAGCTGGACAGGCTGGTAGAAGTACACTTTGCAGCAAGAAATCGATTGCAAAATGTTGAGGTCGAGCTACGCAAAGAGCTTGCACAAATCAACGATGAAGATTTGGATGAAGAAGAATGGGAAGCAGACGCATACATTCGAAGATTGGACGGAGGAATGTTTACACTACAATTAGCCGATTATTGTTTGGCCTGGCTAATAATGGAAGATGATGGTATTCAGAAACACGTAAAGCTTTTGTTTGATCGGAAAGAATCCACCCTTGATGATGTGGTCAAGACACTTCAACAATACCACGCAAATGTTGGAGAAGAGGTCGTTATCTCTGAGCCGGAACATGATGATGAGGAGCCCCTGCGGCTGACAGATGTTCTCGTTCAGTTGGTAAACTACATCCTACCAATCATCTAGATAAGACTCATTGTACAATAGAAGGCTATTTTTGACAATCATCATTGCTATTTTACAAGGGTGAAAACATCTATTAGGTGTAAGGTATGATACAGAATGAACGACACTTCTCTTTCACGTAACCGAAGCTGCTGTCTCGGCTGCAGTTCGCATCGAAGGAGGCGTTGCTTTTAACGTGGAATGACAACAAGGACAGAAAGCTTGTTTGGTGAGCCATTGAACCAAACAAACAGAGTGTAATTGATGTCCGCAGTCCAAAGTACAACAATCTTCTGGATCTTCCGTTTCATCAACAATCTCGAAACACATTGAACAAACCGAACCAGCCCCAGCAAGCGATGAAGATTGTTCAACTTTCTCGTCCGGCGGTGACTCTTGTTGTGACCATCTCCTTTGTACGAATTCGAGACATTCTACCGACCTGCGAGCTGAACACCATGTCATGACTACGGACCCGAGCGCAGAACGAAGAGATAACAAAGAAAGCAGAGAAGGAAAAGAAGTCGGCGTAAAGGTAGGAAGTGAAACAATCACGACGATATATTGAATCGCCCCAATCGCATGTCCATAAAGAATGACTACATTCTCCAGCAACCAACTCGAATCAACATTGACACGCATACCTTTCATCCTTGGCGCTTTTCCAGCATTTGCTCTTGGCATCCGTAAAGGTTCTGCTATGCCACTCCTTTGACGTTGTTGAGTGTTGGGAGGAGGTTGATCAGTACCGGTTGCATTTTCCGCTCCTGCTCCCGTCAGATCACCAGCGTTGATACCCGGTAGCGGCGCTGCGATCATGTGCCTGCCTCCCCCATGCCATTGGTTTCCCATGCGTCTCCTGCTATATGTCATCGTATCTTCTCGTGGTGCTTTAAAGGCTTCTATCAAGCCAGCCGGGATCGGGAGCAAGTCAAGCAAAGATGGACTGTGAGACGGAGATGGAAGAGAAATCTTGCGTGGCAGGACTTGGGCTAGAGGCGATGTTCTCATTCGAAATAAAGGCGGCAGGAAAGATACAAACGTGGCCGATAATTCGAGCAAAGTCAAGATTTGAATCGCAATTGCTGGAGTTGTATGTGTGGGAGGCCGTATGATACCCCATCTCTGAAAGACTGTAGACCACGAGAAGAAGCTCGATAGAAGCGCTAGAAATGCCGATCCGATCAGGAACATATAGGATTGAGATGAGGAAAGATTTGATGGCGCAGATGTATTATCCTTGCCAAGCCTATCTTCCAGCATCATTGATCCCAAGCGAATGGCCCACAGTAGATGTAACGACACCAAAGCTGAAAGTGCATCTGCATTCAACACCTTCGCCAGTAGTGAACGATAAGTCTGTTCTTTCTTCTTTCCTCCTTTCGACCTTCGAAGTGGGCTTGAGAAAGCGGGTTTACTTGATCGCTTTCCAGAGGCTAATCTATCCCTTAGTGACTTTTTGATGTGATCAGCTTGCGTCTTGTCAAGTGCGACTGCTTCTGTTGCTTTTGGTGTGTCTTGACTCATGCCTTTCCATGTCAGCTCACCTGCTTTCTTGGCCCACCGGATAGCAAATGTCGATTTATCCAACCTCATCCGATCTGGAAGCTGGTCTAAAAGAGGCGCAAGCTGTCCAATGAGTCCTCCGTCTGAGCCAGTGAATTGCGTCACCTTCAGCTTTCCATGATCGTCTCTTATGGCCTTAGCTGTAGATATCTTTGTATCGACTGGTTGATTTAATTGTCGATTTTGTGCTTGTTCATGCTGATGTTGCTGTCCAAGGATTAGTAACAAGATCAATAACAATAAAGACAATCTTGGTCTATATACATCCCTGTGAAAACTATCCAAAGTTGTCCGGTTGATAGGTGGAAATAAACGCATGATTGTGACCCCCCAAAGCGGTGATGATGATGGTGATGTATGGAAAGTGCATTCACATGTCAAGAAACAAGACACAATCCTACTGCTTACACGCATAGCCGCACAACGCCTCTACTCCACACTCTTTCATTTTTATAGTGTGACTGCATAGAAAGTGTTAGCGCCGAATATAAAGTGTGCCCCGCCTGCTTACACAACCATCCTCTAATAAATGCTGACTGCCATGGATTAATATACCCTCCTCAGACTTGTAATATACTAATGGTCAAAGCACATCTATACACGTCCGTCATCGATTGCCATCTGTACGATTGCATTTTAACCCCTTCTTTTGGCCGACTTTCTACCCGTGAATGAACACGCATAAGATGTCATCGAGGACATCGAAGCAATAAAATCGGTCAAAGAATCATCTCGAAATTTATATCATCTTTACCATTCTCTGAAAAATATGCAAAAAAAAGTAAATAGAACTGCAGCACCCAGGATTCCCGCGTGGTCCCCCACCGCAGTACTGACTAGGCGATACCGTGCTTGACTTCGCAGATCGGACGGGATGCGGTACTTTCACGGTTCTATGGCCGCAGATACGCTTGAGGGGTCGAATTATGCTTAAGAACAAAATTGAAAGGGAAGACTTGAGAGAATGATTGTGTGCTTGCAGGTAAGTCTTGAAGATAAATCCTATAAGTCGAAACTTGCCACAAACCCTATTCCGAGGCTTGTACTTACAGTAGTCCATATGAATGTTGCATTGTTTCGGAGCCCATTGTTAGCTTTTCTCTAACGCGTGCGCTGCGCAGTGCTGAGCGTATCTGCGCAGCGCATGACTCTTATATGCAAGAACCGCATGCTCAGTACTTCGAATATACTATCTTTCTTTCTTTCTCTCCACCACGTCCTTTCATTTTTCTGTAGTACATAATGTCTGAAAACGTTCGTAGCACCCTTCTTCAGGTTACCAAACGTAAATTCGACAATCTCAAAGCCGAAAAACATCGATTTGATGAACAATATAAGAAAGCTTTAGAGAAAGCTAAACTTCAAGAGAATGCTGTGGAAAGATTAAAGACTTTCATCAAGGACATTGAAGATATGAAATTGGTCGCAGATAAAAGTGCAATTTCACGTCATATTTATCCAATCCATCCAAAGTTTGATTTCATGCATCAGACTTTGAAACAGGCACAGTATGACACTGCAATTACCGCAAACATTGTTGAACGCTGGCAAACACAATTGCAACAAAAGCTCGATCAACATAGCCGTCGTCACGATTGTGCTTTGCTTTTTAATGATTTGGTGATGGATTGTGTTCATTCAAGCACAAATGAGCTACAAGAAGAGGGAAACTATGAAAAAGTTGCTCGCAAAGAGATGCACGAACAACGAAGCGAATGGGAGCGCTTGGCCTTCTCCCAACCAACCATTGATGTACAGCGCATCAATGCGTACCTTGAAGAGACTTTCAAGGCTGCAGGAAAGCCCGAAAAGACTGGTCAAAATTCTCCTTTACAGGATTTGCGCGATGACATGAAAAGGCTTGGCGATCATTTCCCTCGTTTTGATAAATCTAAAGTTGAAAGCTGCATTGACGGTGTTCTCAGTGCTGACCTTTTTACTGGTGATAAAAGAGATAGTCTAAAAGACTTGAAAAAGCATAGCAATATTCTCGAAGAGATTGCTCATATCCTCAATCAAGATTTAGACACGTTAGAAACTTGGTCGTGGGCAGACGGACATGTCGAGTTAGACATGAGGCGTCATATTAATGGCAAATATAGAGTGTATATGGACGAAGAGCTTTACCAAGCAATCTTTTTACACCATATCGGCCGAGAATGGTCGGACCAAATATTCGACAGCTTCACCGAATTCCGTGAGAAAGTCTGGACTTTTCAATCAGAGTTTCCTATAGACCTCAAATCTCAGCAAAGACGCAAGAAAATGGGTTGCGCGGATGGTAGATCTTCCGACACTGTGAGTAAGTACCGCAAGGAAATTTTCAAGAACGACTTTTGGCTATTAGCTTTGAAACATCAGAACGCTCTCGGTGACTATGAAGAAGGCAGCGATAAAGGTAGCGATGGAGGTAGCAATGAAGGCCCAAAGAGCAAAACTTCTTTTAGTGATCTTAAACAACGTATCTTACGCTTGATCACCACAGAAATGCAGTTGCAGAACGAGTTTTATGGATCATTTACCGTTTGGCAATCAGACTTCAAGTGGTTTGGTCCTTCTTTACCTCACGAAACCATCTTTGCTGTGCTCAAATTTTTAGGAATGGACGAAATATGGCTGAACTTTGTGCGCAAATTTTTGACACCAAATCTTCGCTTTAAGGACGACAAAGAGGACGCCAAGAAGCGCTCAAACGGTATACCAATAGCACATCAACTATGCACAGTCTTTGGAGAGTCGCTTATGTTTGTGCTTGATCATGCAGTAAATCAAAAGACAACAGGAGGCAATCTGTACCGCATTCATGATGACCTCTGGTTCTGGGGCCAAGAAGGACGATGTAAGATTGCATGGAAGACTCTAGAAGAGTTTGTCAAAATCATGGGCCTAAAGTTGAATGAGGAAAAGACTGCAGCAACAACAATTGCAGCGAAGGCTACTAAAGCTCCCGGCAAGAACGCACCCAATAAAAGTTCTCTGACCTTGAAGGATGTAGAACTCCCGAAAGAAAAAGTGCGTTGGGGCTTCTTGGTCTTAAACAGTGAAACTGCACACTGGGATATTGACCAGGAACAATTGGAAGAGCACCTGACAGAATTCGAGCTACAATTGAACGCTACCAACAGTTTAATGGGCTGGATCCGGGTATGGAATAGCTATGTGAGTAGCTTTTTCACAAACAATTTTGGCAAGCCGGCCATCTGTCTTGGCGCACGTCATGTGAGATTATGTATGGAAGCGTTTCACACAGTTCAAAAGAGACTTTTTGGCAACAATAACCTAGCAACGCACGTAAGCAATCGGATCAAATCTGAATACAAAACTGTAGGAATCCCGGATTGTGCTGTCTACTTTCCTAAACGTTTAGGTGGACTAGAGGCACACAATCCACTGATCATATTGGCTTCTATTTCAGAGGAAGACGATGCTGCTCAAGAGATGTTGAAAGAATCCTGGAACAAATGTGAGAACGATTATGCTAGAATGAAGAAGAAATGGGACGAAGATCAATTGCTCAAATCGATGAACTCTGAAGAACATAAGCCAAAGCCGTTTTTAGATTGGCAAGAATATATCAGCTTTTTGGAAGATACAGAGTCGCACTTCGAATGTGCTTACATGTATCTCATGGAAGATTGTCAAGCGACTTGTGCAGTATTATATGGTAGTATTCTCAACGAAAGTCAATTTAATGGATTACACAAATTTGAAGAAGCGATTGGGTGCAAGCGCAAGGACAATAAGTACTGGGATCGTATCCTTGCCTTGTATGGCGAAGAGGCTGTCGAAACGTTTGGCACTTTGTCCTTAGCCGATCCAAGCAATTTACCGTTGGGTGTTGTGGACTACTTGTTCTCAGAAAAGGTTCGCTGGCAGGGATAAACAGGGAAAGGCAAGATACCCGAACCAAAACATGTATAGTAGTAAATAACAATTCAATTCATGTACATTAAAGCCATTCATTTTCAAATCAGAGTTGAACGAAAATATAAAAGTACAAACTATAAATACAAAAAAGTCATGTTCCACTACTTGCTGCTGAAGAAGCTACGAATATCCTTTGTTCCTTTTGCTGATTCTTCCAATTGACGCTTTTTTGCACTGTTTCCCGCTCCTACGCCTGGGGAAGGATGTTCTCGCTTCGTTGGAGTTGCCTGACCACGCCTTCTGTACGGCGTCGGATCGGGATTATCCACCGTGCTATAACCTCCTTTTGGCCTTTCAGGTGAAAGAGGCGGATTGAAAGGCTCTGGTGAATATTTAGAGGAAGGTGTGCCGTTGTTGATGTCTTTGTCTTCCTCTTTTGCGGCTTTGTTCGCAGAGACAACTTCTTCTTTGATGGGAGCATTTGTTTCGGTCGTAGCAGACTGTTGACCTTTCTCTTCCTCTTTTGTAGCTTTTTCTGTAGAGAGACTTTCTTCTTTGATAGGTGTCTGTTGCTCTTTATCTTTCTGCTTTGCCCTTCCAAATGCTGCTTGTATGCCGTCTTTTCTCATTGAAACCGGCAAGATGAAGTTTGCATTATCGTTACCCACCTTTCCTACCTCTCTTGGAACAGGATAGCAGTCCAATTGTGCGGGATACGGCCGCAAAAGCTTACGCACTTCTTCCTGCGTCACATCCTCTCCAATACCAAGCCAAATACGCATAGCCCTTTCATCGGGTAGAATAACGGGCATACGATCATGCAAAAAGTTCAATTGATCGTTTGAATCCGTTGTGATGATCGTAAAAGAGTACACATCCTTTCCATCGATTGTGCACTTTTCCCATAATCCTGCCATTGGCATCATCCCTCTCTGCTTCCCATCAGCATCCTTTCTACCATTTCCGGGTATCTGCACTCCAACAAAATGTGCAATCTTTTGTGCACCTTCATCCTTCTTTAGCCATTCATAGAACCCTTGAGCAAATACTATGCAACGCTTACCGGATCGTAGAATAGGAGTCCACATACTCCTTCCACTCAACACAGCATCATCACGAGCATTAATCGTTCGCATAGCATCCACTCCACGTGGAATAAAGGTTGTGTGATGTGGAAGCAATCCCCAGCGCATACATTGAATCAACAAGGCCTGATCGCCACTTTTGCCGGAAGAAGTCAGAGGGACAGGATCTTCTAATCGTACGATTGGAACTTGAACACCGGGTGCAACATTGTATGTCGGATGATAATCTTGTTCGCCGACTTGTGAGTGGAGTTGAAGCTGTGGTCCAGACTTGATGTTCTCACCACCTGAACCTGAGTCGCCTTCTTTTGGCCTCCTCTTTCCTTGCAATTGATCGTCTACGACATCATAATAATCTCTCGGTGGTAATGCTTGTGCAAAGCGACCACACATGATCGATTTGAGGGAAGATGGAAGCAGAGAGATTAACAAGAATGCATTAGCGCAGATGGAGGATGATCATCATTTGATTATATAATTATGTAATTCCAAATTCCCATCCTTACATCCTCGTCGACTTATCGGCCCGTTGTTAAAGTAGAACATCGAAGAAGAATAAACTCGCTTAAATTGTGTGCCTTATATATATATATGGGGCCCCAAAGAACAATCAACATTCATCGGAGGAATTCAAGAATGCCAAGGGTAGTGAGTGTATGATGGTGAACACAGTGTTAGCTTTGATGAAGCATTTAGTCTACCGAATGTTGACCGAAATCAAGCCAAAGTGCGTGGGAGCTGCAGCTGCACTTAGGCAGTCTGCCTTTTCCCCCCGCGCGGTGGAATTAGATTAGTATAAAGGAAGACCCCGCGTTTACTCGTTGATCAGGTACATGGTCAGTATCCTTTTCTTTTCGCACGGACATCCGATCATACTTCTTGTCGGTGAAATAGAAAAGGTATAAATGGAGCGCAGTTTGAATTCCTAGAAACCTTACTCCTTCTTTCTTCTCCATAACCCCCCTAACTAGCAAAAATGGCTGTCAACGGAACTCCAAAACGATCTGGCTGGTGGAAAGATGCCATCATTTATCAAATTTGGCCTAAATCTTTCCATAGCGCAAGAGGTTCTCCAACAGGAGACATTCCCGGTATCATTGCCAAGTTGGACTATATCAAAAGTCTTGGTGTAAACACGATTTGGGTCTCTCCCCACTACAAATCTCCTATGATCGATGAAGGTTATGATGTCGCTGATTATGAAGATGTCAATCCTGATTTCGGTACAGTCGCCGATGCAGAACAACTTATCAAAGAAGTTCATCAACGTGGAATGCGAATCATTTTCGATTTGGTGATTAACCATACCAGTGATCAACACAAATGGTTCCAAGAATCACGCTCGTCCAAAACAAACCCAAAGCGTGATTGGTACATTTGGAGACCAGCCAAGTATGACTCAAACGGCAACCGTCAACCACCAAACAATTGGGCCAGTAACTTCAGTCAAAGTGCTTGGACATGGGATCCTACAACAGAAGAGTATTTCTTGCACTTGTTTGCAATCGAACAACCAGATATCAACTGGACAAATGCAGAATGCCGTAAAGCCTTATTGGAAAGCTCAATGGAATTCTGGTTGAAGCGAGGTGTAAACGGTTTCCGTGTGGACACAGTCAACATGTACTCCAAGCCAATGGACTTCCCCGATGCACCAATCACCGTTCCTGGAAGTGATATTCAACCTGCTTCCAGCCTCTACTGCAACGGTCCAGAGATGCACAACTACCTTCGCGAAATGGGAGACATTTTGGAAAAATACGATGCCATGACTGTGGGTGAATTGCCATGCACTTCCGACCCAAAGCAAGTTTTGGAATACGTTGGCTTTGCAAGAAATGAGCTCTCGATGGTATTCCAATTCGATACTGTCGACCTTGGAAAAACACCTGGAGACGTTTTCGCCTTCAAGCCTTGGACCGTTTCCGATTTCGCAAACATTACCAACAAATGGCAAACATTCACAAACGGAAACGATGGTTGGACAACCAGTTTCATCGAAAACCACGACCAAGGAAGAGCCCCTTCTCGCTTTGGAAGTGATAAGCCAGAACACCATGACGCTTCCAGCAAGATGCTCGCCTTGTTGACTGTTTTGTCGTCCGGTACACCATTTGTATACATGGGACAAGAGCTTGGTATGACTAACGTTCCTTTGTCCTGGGACTACAAGGAGTATTTGGATTTGAACACGATCAACTATATCCAACGTTTGAAGGATCAAGGCAAGAGCGATGATGAAATCGTCAAGAAGTACATGCCAGCCATCAACTTGCACGCTCGTGATAACTCTCGTACACCTGTTCAATGGACCGATGGACCAAATGCAGGTTTCACAAAAGAAGGTGTTAAGCCTTGGATGCGTGTGAATGATAACTACAAACAAATCAACGCTGCTCAACAACTCGAAGACAAGGACAGCATTTTGTCGTTCTGGAAACAAGCAATCGCATTGCGTAAAGAACATCCTGCTTTGTTCACCTATGGAAAATTCACAAGCTTGTTGGATTACTCTGGCAAAGAAGACCACAAGGTGTTTGCATTCGCAAAGGATGCAGCAGGTGACAAAGCTTCTTCTGCTACCAATAAACAGGCAATCGTTTTGCTCAACTTTAGCGATCAAGAACAAGACGTTTCCAAAATTGCAAAGGGTAAAGTAGCACTTTCTTCTCACAAAGACACAAACGCTTCCGCTCCTTTGAAGGCATACGAAGGTAGAGTCTTGCTCGTTTAGATTATATAGAATGTAGACATTTTCACTTTTTTCTTTCGAATATAAATTTCATTCAATGCAGGGTATAACGTGCGTGACAATAGAGCAATAACTTGATAACCTCACTTACTCCTTCTCAGGGTATACCTTCGGGCTGCTGGCATGACGCTTGCTTTCGTGCTTTGCATCTGATCGCGCAAATAGCGATACTTTTGCAATGTTTCTTCCTGGACAACTGCATCATTCTGACCTTGACGTTCAATTGTGTCCAATTTCTCCAAAAGATCATGAAGAGCTTGAACGGCTTGAGCATGTACTAATCTTGTCACGCCCATCAATCGATAACAAGCCGGTCTGCCACTTCTGTTGAAAATCTTTGGTCGAACGGGAGGTAAAGTGGGAGCTAGATCGCCCTCACTCGCTGCACCACTAGAAAAGCCATTCTCGCGAACTTTTGCATCTCTTGAAGCTATTCGCAACGCTTTGATCAAACTCCATTGAATGCCTTGTTGGGATTTGACAACATCCACAGCCAATCGTACGGCCGGGTTCTCACGACCGAGCTGACCTCCCAATTGTCTGAATTGACGTTCTCCCATGAACACTGTAGAAGCAGCCGAGAACATTCTCCAAGAGATGACCAACTTTTTGATATAAGAATACGTTTCATCCAATAGCCAGACATGTGACTTTTCAATGATCACGCTTAATGCGATACCCAAAATCCATCCTAATGGCGTGAAAAAGAAAGGTGTAGCCACACATACCACCAAAGCGATATGCGTCAAACCTGCAATAACAAATGCACACAAACTCTTTGCGCTTGCCATACTTTCTTCTTCGTGACTCGAATACTTTTTGGCCAAGTACCAACTGATCGAATATGCCGGAACGTACATCAACGCCAGAGGGATAACGTATGGCAATCTGATTGTCAAGGCAAGAATTTGACGGATGAGGTACAAGGTCGCTGGCAGGATTCCCGGCACAGCTCTTTCCGCTCTTCTCCTCGTTGGCAAGACGAGATCTTCGTCGTCATCTCCTGTTCCTATTGCTGCAGGTTGCATGGCACGACGAGGTAGCGAAAACAATTTGGCAAGCGCATTGAGTGTATACACATCTGTTGAAGAAGCCAAAACCAATCCTTGCAAGGCACACAAGGTCTCATTTGCCGTCTTTGCTTGAGGTATAGGTGCATTGAGGACGGCAACGAGTGCATTAGAGATTGGAACAAGATCTCGCAAAGGCAACTGGCCATTCTTCTTCCAAATCAATTCTCGAGCCATCTTGACCGAATGCCATGTAGTCCAATCGGGTGCATCGATTGTCATTTTGTAGATCTCTGTTCCGATTCTGTCGGTCAGTTTGGAGACTGCATTTCGTGCCGAAGTTGTATTGGAGGGTGCTTTTGATGCCTTTTGGAGTATTTCCTTGGAAGGCACCTTGCTTTCATCCGCACTTGTTGCTGTGCCAACATCCAACCCCAAACGCATCCGACTGGGTGGATGAGGTCCGTCTGTGCCATTGACAATCACGCTTGGTCCTGGTGTTGGGGGCATACCTGTGTCAGATAGAGCAGATGCAAATGCATTGTTTGCTTGTAATTTGCCATTCTCTCCCTCAATCGCTTTACTCATGAATTCTGTCATGTATTCATCCACTGTGAACGGTTGACCGAACTCAAATACGGCTTCTGACCTGAACCGACTCTTGTCAGTGTAATTGATTGCTGCTGGTACAATTGTGACTTTTGATTTGGTTGGATCGTCAATCTCCCCTTGCAAGAGTAGATGTTTTGCGTATTCCAGAGCTGCCCAAGCTGCACCAGCTTTCATACTGTGCAATCTGTGTTCGGTGTAGGAGCCACCTTCGGGAAATAGACCAATAGGCTCGCCCGCTTTCATGGCTTGAAACGTTCCAGCAAACAAGTCTTCATTGCTCTTCTCCTTTCGGTTCACCTGAATATTTCCCGAATTTTCCAGAATCCATCGAAAAGGTTGACGTTTGTATAATCCCCTTTTTGCCCAATAATGAATAGGTCTGTCCAATTCAGCTGAAATGATGGCAACATCCATCAATGTACTAAAATGCGTACAGCAAAGGATATATGTGCCTTTCTTTGGTACACGCTCACCACCCACAACCAATATCCTTCGGAAGAAATGAGCAGCACTTCTTTCACCAACGAATCTCATAAAAGTGTATGCAGGACCAAAGCCTGCGCCTTTTACTACTTTTTGTGTATCTTTTGCATCTTCTGCTTTTGCGTGTGCGATGGCAGGAGGCGGTCCTGTGTTCTTTGTGTTGGTAGATGCCATTTTTGCGTACCAGATGATAACGAAGAAGAAGTAACTGGAGAATCATCGACCCACTTATTTCGCGCTCGAACCGTTACTCCACCTTTGCACCCTCAATAGCGGAGGCCGGGTTTTGAAAGCGAAAGGCAAGCCGCTTATATAATCTCATCTAACACGTGTCAGATTCCACTTCCACGGAACGTACGCCAAGACACGCTATCGGCTTTCTCTGCCAGTTATGGCTAAATTGCGGTGTAGATATTGCCTATTTAGCGTGTACTTGTGTAAGAATGACGATGTACTATTTTCTATTTATGTCATTAAAGGGCATGTTCACTCTTACTGTTTGCGCATACGCGGGCTTTTTGCGTCGATAAGCGCGTGTTTGTACATTAGGAACATGCGCACAATTTAAGCTGTCAAAAAAAAAAGGCAAGAACTGCTGGGGCATGGTTTGAAAATAAGCTAGAAATATACACTGATGCACTGCTGCTTGTTATGCAATTTATGTGCATTCAAAATTTAAGCTACTCCCTTATGCACACAGCCATGCATTATAATCTTAGACACAATAATATACAGTATATCACATGGTGAAGGACCCCCCCTCCGTTCTTTAATTACAACAATCACGCGGAATCATATCATCCGTTTCATACGACGCCGCCCGTAGGAGTTCCGTAGGAAACCCAGAATGAAATCAAGTGGATCAGAATAATCTTCTTTACAAAATGGACGACCATATACACGACATGTCGTATTCCAATTCTTCAGCTGGATCGTCTGCATCTTCTTCTTCCGGTCATGGTTGTTATAGCGATTCGATTCATTCAGAGAACGTTGAGTACTTTGCTTTAAAAATACAAAAGGAGGATCATCGCAATTCTTCAGATGACGAGGATAATTTGAGCGTTCTCGCATTTACCGAGGATGATGTACGATCTCGTAGCAGGTCTAGATTCCGTCCATCATGCGCAAATTGGCAACGATGGTGTATGTTTGGCGCATTCATTGCTAGTACTTCAATTCTTTGCTGGGCTTTTCATTGTCCTTCAACGATGTTTGTGTATTTGGCATGGCTGTTTATCATCATACCTGTTGAAGCAGCTTCCTTTGCTCGATCTTTGCTGTCGAGAAATCGAATCATTTCACTGGATTTCGATCAGTACAACATCAAGCGTACAAAGCCAACATACTTTTCGCTGGTATCCAAGAGGCTACGGATTGCATTGCTTATGCTTGGGTGTTGCATTTGGTCATGGGCAATCGTAGAGAGCATGATAGGTCCATACCCAACACCCCAAACCTCCGAATCTATCGGTCCAACATTCATTGCCGCCAATCTATACAACAGCAACAATCTATTCCCCAAATACGGTGACGATCTAATCAAATTAGTTGAAAGTATCGGAGGACCGCAAAACGCATACATTTCCATCTTTGAGAGCAATTCCGAAGATGGAACAGAGAAGTCTCTTGATCGACTCTCCCATAAACTGCAAACGCACAACATCCCTCATACGATCATCAGCGGCAATAATGCCACAAAATCTATCCCTACCGACCACGTTGGCATCACTGATGATGGCAATAGACGCATTGCATTTCTGGCAAATGTACGCAATGAGGCCATGCGACCGTTGTATGAAAATACAACTTCCCTCAAGTTCGAAAAGGTGCTCTGGTTGAACGACGTCATCTTTGATTCAGACGAAATCAAAGAGCTCTTACAAACGAATGGAGGAATGTACGATGAAGCATGTGCGTTTGACTTTATGCCACTTGGATTATATGATACGTGGGTCACACGAGACATCGACGGCAATCGTGCCAAACCACTTTGGCCGTACTTTGCAGCAGATCGAGATGTGAAAACGTTGGAAGAACAAAAGCCAATTCTCGTAGACAGTTGCTGGAATGGTGCCGTTGCATTTGATGCTCGTTGGTTCCGTGATTCGACTGCACCTCTCACAAAGCCGGACAAGCACCACTTGACAAAACGTGAACAAGATTCTGCCGCAAAAATGCCACTACGTTTCCGCAATAGCAACATTTGCCTGTCTTCGGAATGTCTACTGACTTCACTTGATATCCACCAAGCCTTGCAACCGATTCGACCAGTCATTGTCATGAACCCCAAAGTGGTAACTGCATACGATCGCAAGACGTTCTATTTGTATCACAACATTATGCGTTGGCACGTCACTCAACCATGGAGATTGGTTTGGGAACGATTTGTGTCGGCCTATCTGTTTCAATCCTTGACGGATATGGGACGAAAGCCTGCGCAATGCTTTGAAGCATTTCAATCACTTTGGACTACACCTCATCCTTTAGCACAAAAAGCCAAAACCAATACCGAGGTGCTCAAAGATGTTTTGGCCAAGCGATGGCAGTGATTTCTCTTAGATTCTGTAATATACATTTCAATCTTTTTTCAATTGTACAACATCCATCTGTGTTCTTCTAATATTACATCTATGTTACATATTCTTCAAATTCCGCCTATATCCCAATTAGCAAATGCTCCCAAAACGGCTACAGTACCACGACAAGGTTGGTTAGACAAATTGCTGGGAAAGTTGGGAAATGGGTCATGCAAGTGACAAAGGCCAGCCAAGGCAAATAGTGTAGAGAACAATATCTTCCAGCTATCATTTTCGGAGGTATTGTCCAGCACTTTGGCAAGAATTTGAGCGGTCAATTGTCGATAGAGTGGAAAGCTGGATTGGGCGGAGAGGTGTAGGGAATTGTCTGCTGTCAGATCTGGTTGCATCTCTGTTTCGGCGAGGATATTTATCCGTTGAAGCTGAATAGGATGCTTGAGTGTATCTCCTTGGTGGAGGGATGCCCAAAGGATTGCTGTTCCTACTTGATCCATATCGATCCGTAGTCTGATGAGATCTGATCGTAGCCATTGCGTGCTGTACGATAGCGAAGCAGCCGCTTCAGCATCAATGTTTGATAGTGTCGATTTCCATACACTCAAAGCGCTTTCCACAGATGGAGCGTCAGTAATCTTGGTAAGGATGTCAGGTATACTATCCTGACCGGGGAATTTGTAAGACATTCGAGGCATCGCAGTATTTCCCTCTCCCTTTTTCTTGCTTTGATCCCAAGTATCGGGAATGTTGGATGTACTCTCACTCAAAAGTCCCAAAGAGCCATCCTGCCGCCGTCGTTTCCGTTGTTCTAGTATGGATGTTTTATTGACAAGCTGCGTACTGTGATCTCTTGCTATTCCTCTTGCCAGCTCAATTGCATCTCCCGCTTGTCCAGCTTCTTTCGTTTCACTTCCAAATCTTCTGGCAAGGCTATTTGCTAGGGTGAGGTATTTTCGTGGTTCAAACTGCATTGAGTTTGGCTTCGATAACGGTTCCAACAAAGCTGGCACCGCCCCATGCAACCCACCTGTTGGAATCATGCCATCTCCTTCTTCTTTTGTGTTTGTTGTAAGAATTTGGGCAGCATTCGCTGACGAGAGCAGGTCCTCTAGGGACAGATTCTGATCTCCTTCTAGTATTCGCTTCACATACGTCAATTGATCTAAAGCTGATCGTATCTGTGTCGAATTGGGCTCTGTTGACATTTTGTATCGAGGTGGAAGAGAGAGAGAGAAACAAGTGTGCCTCCCCAACTTATTCGCGCCTTTCTTACCTTCTCACACGCTAAAGCGCCTGATCTGTGCATATAAGAAGCTTTCAATCCAACAACCACCTCTAAACAATGGCAGCAACGAGTTCATCTTCTTCTGTATATTTAGGTGTTACACGATCGAGAACGTTGTTATTTTTGTCTTATCGCGATTCAGCCACGCGAGATCACTCATCATGGGACAGAAATGGAACCGTTGATGCAAATGGCGAAGATGAATACGGAGATGATCAAGCATTGATAGGGAAGGGAAAAGGTGTAGACAGACGGAAAGGTGCATACTATGATGCTTCTGGGGAGCTACAAGAGCATGGAGATGAGCTGTCGTATCCTCCCCGTCCTTCAGCCTCTACATCGTATTCAACACAACTTCCGCCAAAATGGGTCGATATATCTGACGAAGTGGATGCGATCCTTGCCTCTATTAAACCAAAGATGGCACAATTAGATCGACTACATGCAAAGCACATCCTACCTGGATTTGCAGACCGAAGCGGTGAAGAACGAGAGATCGAACGTGAAACGACAGAGATCACAAAGCAATTTCGAAAGTGTAGCAAATTGATTTCCGGAATGGCACAACATACTCAATCACTCTCGCGTTCTGGACGTGCATCTGCACATGAGATCGCAATGGCAAACAACGTTCAAACTGCATTGGCAACCAAAGTGCAAGATGCAAGTGGCACATTTCGTAGAAAACAGAGTAATTACATGCAACGATTACGTGGACACGAGGAAAGACATCAAGCGGGACACATGCCAGATTCTGAAACAGCGATGCGGGAAGATATGGAATTATCAAGACAACATCTTGAGCGCTCTAGATCACAGCAAGATCAATTGCAAGCTCAATCTCAGCTGCTCATCGATGAAGAACAAGCACAGGCGCCATCACAATCGGAGATTGACATCGTTCGAAGGGATAGAGAGATTGATCAAATCGCAAAGAGCATTACTGAATTGGCGGAGTTATTCCAAGACTTGAGCGCTCTAGTTATTGATCAAGGAACGATGCTGGATCGAATCGATTTCAACATAGAGCACATCGGTCAGGATATGGCCGAATCAGTGAAAGAATTAAATCAGGCAACATCATACCAAAGACGAACTTCTAGAGGACAATGTATTTTGTTCCTCATCCTGTTGATCTTATTAACTCTGGCGATCATCATTGTCAAGCCATTTTGGCGATAGAAATGTCATGCAATTACTGTACATGTATGTGATAATGAATTTACTCTTTCTCTAGTAGCCACGCACTTCTTGGCTCGATTCCAGTCTTGTAGTATTGTTCAACACGTTCTTTTTCGGTGAATCCGTTTTTCTCGTAAAACACCTTTGCTTCTTCATTGCTTGTTTGAACGTGTAGGTAAATCTTGGCGACAGTGTATGACTTTGTCTGTTTGACTTCTTTTTTGGATGTTGATGGTTTGGCGGTGGGTTTTGTTGGTGCTGTTTTTGTAGTATCATCAGAGAAAGAGTCGGATATCTCGACCTTTTTGCCGGGAGCTGCATGATCCAGGACGTATTCCAACAAGGCTGTTGCGATCCCCATCCTCCTATAAGGTGCCAAACATCCCAAAGTCATAATGTGAACGTTAACTGAATCATCTTTTGTGGTGCTCTTTTCGAATCGACAACAGATGTTTCCAACAGGAATATCATTGAACAAAGCATACTTGCAGATCTCCTTGACATCCTCTTTGAGTACGTCTTTGTACCACTTTTCACCAAATCGAACAGGAAACAAGACTGAATTCAATTTACGCAATTGACCGATATTGTTCTGGGTTAGGTTTGCGATATCTATTCTACCTTGCATCTTTGGCTTTTGTGATTGATTCGAGGTGGAAGCATCTCGATTAGTGGTTGTCTGTACAGGTAAAGTGCGAATTGGATGCTCCAGCGTGGGAGGGGTACGAGTAACGGCTGTCATGTTGTTCGATGGATGATGAGAAGAAGAGAAGACGTGCTAGCCTCAAAAACGCGACTTCCCTTTACACGCTTTCCCCACGCGCCACTCATACACGAACACTCTCATACTAAAAGTTAATGAATGCATTGATTGATATTGTATGAAACCCACCTAAAAATATGAATTGCTCAAGACATATCCACCACGCAACGGATACATTCTCCTGATTTCATATGATCGAAACCTTGGCTGATTGTGTCAAGTGTGACTTTATGAGTCAAATAACGATCAATTTGAGGGCTAGAATCAAATTGTTTCTTCATATAACGATCCACCATTCCTGGCAATTCAGTCTTACCCTTTACACCACCAAATGCAGATCCTTGCCATTTACGACCGGTAACCAATTGGAACGGACGTGTAGCAATTTCTTGTCCTGCTGCTGCAACACCGATGATCGTTGAAACTCCCCATCCTTTATGACAAGCTTCCAAAGCAGAACGCATCACTTTCACGTTTCCAGTGCAATCAAAAGTGTAATCCAAACCGCCTCCACTCATTTCTACCAATCTATCAACGATTGATTCGCCCTCTTTGAGTTTGGTAGAGTTTACGAAATCAGTTGCTCCAAATTTAGTTGCCCAAGATTGCTTGTTGTCATTGATATCAATGGCAATGATTTGTTTGGCTCCTGAATGTTTTGCACCTTCAATTACCGCCAAACCGACACATCCTACACCAAAGACGGCAACAGTTGCTCCTTTTTCAACCTTGGCAGTGTTTGTAACAGCACCGTATCCTGTAGTGATACCGCATCCTAACAAACAAGTTTGTTCTTGAGGTGCTTTCTCGTTAACGGCTACCAATGAATATTGACTGACAACGGTATATTGCGAGAATGCAGAAGTTCCCATAAAGTGGAACAATTCTTTACCTTTGCAACGGAATCGTTTTGTTTCATCTGGCATAACACCTTTACCGGTATAAGCACGAATCGATTGACACAAATTCGTCTTTCCGGATGTGCAGAATTTGCACTTTTTACATTCGGCAGTGTATAACAAGATTACACTTTGTCCTGGCTTGAATTCTTCCACTCCTTCTCCAACAGACTCTACGATACCTGCACCTTCATGTCCTAAAATGGCAGGGAAAGCGCCTTCTGGATCACTTCCTGATAATGTATAAACGTCTGTATGGCATAAACCTGTCCAAGTAACCTTTACACGAACTTCGCCTGCTTTTGGAGGATCAACTTCAACATCTTCGATTGAGAGAGGTTTGCCTGCTTCCCAAGCGACGGCAGCTTTGCAAGTGATTGTTTTTCCTGTAGTGCTCATTTTTGTTGAGGGAGATGATGGTTGGATGGGAAGGGTTGATGGTATTACCCTTTATTGTGTGTGATGTGGCATGTTACTGTCGTTTGACATCTTCGATAAGGATGCCTTCAACACAGCTCTCGTGCCGCGCTTGAAGCGCTTAGATCTCATTTACTGCATTTTAACCGCGCTTCTCATACAAAATACGGCAATTCCGTTCGTAAACGCGCTCAGGCCTATGTACTCGTTTGTATCGGAAATGCATTTATTGTATTCGTGCGGAAAAAGGGTCAAATACAATTGTGGGTATGTGAATACAACAACAAGGTGGAGGCACTATTCAATCAACATCATCCTCATCTTCTTCTTTGACGTTGGTGGCGGTGGTGGTATTGTTTTGATCAAAGTACATGTTTGCTAGTTGACGGGGAGTACTGGCTTGTTGTGGTGACTTGTCAGTTCTTCGTTTCATAAATCGTGGAAAGCGAAGCGAAAGTCCACGTTCATCAGAAACCAATCCTTTTGCCGCGGTATACACGGGTGAAAGAGTGATATCCGCACCTCGAATCTCCCAAACTTCATTAGGGGTAAACCAGACATCCGGTACTAAGCCTCCCGTTTCAAAGGAATCTTTGCATTCATTCTGGTATGCATTGTAACACGTTTCCGTTCCTTCGACAAATCGATTAAATTTGATATCCTTATATTCCGCATCAGTGAAACCTGAAATGCATTTGCAAACGGCTTGATATTCATCATTTTCTGCATCATACACTGCCAGCAGGACAGGCGACCACCATGCTGCCTTTCTTCCCATTCCATGCCATCCCGCGATCGGGACTAGATCCAGAGAATCTCCAATTCCATCCACGTAGTCCTTTTTCACTTTGAGCCATGATTCACATCGTTTATCTGGCTCGTAGGTGCTGAGTAGTGCTTTTCCACGGCCATTAACACCTTTTCCAGGAAGAGGCTTGGGGTCGGCTGCGTCTAAGTTCGGCTGCGAAAGATCATTATCCACTTCATCTTCCAACAGTTGAATTTTCGCTTCTGATTCACCCGACTGGTTATCTTCCCAGTGGTGGTCTAGGGATTTCACCATGATGCCTTCACATTTATTATTCTGCGCAAGCTCAAAGAAGCTCGTCACATCTTCCTGATTTCGACTTTCGGTGTGTTTTACATAATCAAATCGTGCAATTCGAACATCTTCTGGCTTGCATGGTTTGATGTTTTGAAAGAGAAGGTTTCTCCGTTTGCGAAGGGAGGACTTGAGAAGGCTACGTCCGTTCAATTGCATAAGATCAAATGCAAACACTCCGACTGCCACTTTGATATTGTGCAACTCGACATCTTTCCGACTTCGATTGGCTAGTGTTTGAAATGGTAATAGCGTCCCGTCCAATCCCATAGCAACAATCTCAGCGTCCATAATAAATGATTTTACTGGAGGGATATCGTCTTCCCTCATCTTGCCTTTGCTATCAAGTTGCTCCCCACTCAATCCCATCATCATTGGCACGAGGTTGACAATGTCTGGATATTTGTCAGTCATATCTTCCAAATGACGACTGAAGAGACGAACATAAATGTCTTTATTTGGTCCGGTCCATTTTCCCTTCCCACTTGAGGATAGCATCTTGCGTTTTTCGTTGCCCTCCTCCTGCACATGCTCGGCATGGATTTGTACACGTTGACCATCATATTTGAACTCACAAACGTATGCTCTGTCACCCAATTTATCAAACATTGCTGGCAGAGATCGTGTAATACTACCCAACATGGGCGAGATAGGTGTTCCCACACGTAATGGCACACGCTCTGCCAAATTCTGTAATCCTCCCTCCAGCAAAGCAGGTACGATCGTTCCAAAGTTGGGATGCCGAGCACGAATTTCTCGCAAGAGTGTTTCAGCTCTTACGATCTTATCCATCGCAGCCAGCCTCTTGGGGTCAGCTCTCTGTTTGGTGTTTGGTGGATTGGCGAGTATGCCTTGTCTTTCTTCTACAGACAAACACCAAGAATCGCCTTCATCTTTAAGGGCAACATTTCTGTCATTCAACACAAATGCCCTCGCGATTGCACTCGTGATCGTCGTTCGAACGGCATTGATTCGTAAATGGCTGTGAAGTGTCCTGACCAAAAACCTAGCCTCCTCCCCTCGAGAAGCAACCAAGAGTTTCGTTACGTGTGCCATCTTTGCCGAAGAGGAACCTGTGCCTGAAATGGCAGCAATCGCATGTAAGGTTTGAAACAACTTTGTGATTTCGATCGGTTTTGTGGAGTGACCAATCAATGTCTTCACATCCTTCTTCGCCTCAAAAGCAACATCACCTGGATCTCCAGTCTTGTTCCACAACGTACGTAAATGAGAGGCAGACTTTCCGGTCACATTTCGAATCGCTTGATTGACAATTGCTCCTCCTAATCCCAACTCCACGCCATCATACGGTGGTGCGATATGATTGCTTACCAAATAAATGCATGGGAGTAATGCTTCTTCGTCATGGTACATCAACACTCGCAGTAAATTTGTCAAAACGGTAACGATGATCAGTCGGGACTTTGTCGTGCTGAGCAGGATGCATGCGTGAGAGAGGAGTGCATATGGTGCACTTGGAACATTTCCAGAACGGGTTGGCCAGCAGCTGACGTCTACTTTGGCTGGATCAAAGGTGAAGATGTCCTGTTGTAGTTCGATATCCTCTATAGCTCTATCTAGAGCCGGTAAATTGAACGAGGTTGCGGTGGATCCCAAAGTGGTCTTTGGTGGTTTGGGGAACTCCTGCTTGGGAGGAGGTGGACTTGCGTATGCTTGGGTGTTACTGTTGCTGCTGCTGCTCACGTTCTGTTCCTGTATACCATTCCCATTCCACTCCTCCTGTAATCGTTTGGCAAATTCTGCATCCTTTCTTTCTTGTTCCGAGCGCTGATCCGCTTCATCTGTCGCATTCGATGCAAACCTAGCGACAGCCTCCCTCTTTGGACTTTGAAAGAATGCGCTTATAGTTGCTTGTCTTTTAGGCGTGCCAAGTGCATTCACCGCTGATCTTTTGATCGGCGTAGAAGGCATCGAAAAAAGCCAACGCATCTAGTTCATCATGATCAAGAGGATGGAAGTTGTGTTGTTGTGTAAGTATTATTTTGGCAGTGGAGGTTGTATAATCACTTCCGCCAAAACACCGGTTTTGGTTCTCCCGCGCCGCCCTGCACCCGCGCTGAGCAAAACATCCAACGGCCGGCTTGCATGGAATTTTCGCACGAATAAAACCCTTTTCCCCGCAAGAGAATCATCTTTCGGCTAATAGAAAATATGCTTGTGCATACGTTGGCAATTGTACCTTACCGCTTTTATTCGGCGTAAAGGATGCCGGTTTGCAATAAACGATACATACCCTTCTTGAAGATTTCCGTTGATTTATAAAAGAGAATTCTGTCCCGCTCTTATCCTTTTCTCATCATCTTTTTCGTGCTTCATCATAATGGCCCCTACTGCTCGTGAGCTGTTTGGTCCACTAGACCCAATCCCAGTAGAACAACTGGCAAATGATGAAGAAATCACTCGTAAATTAACCGTTGCCGGATCACCATATGAACTGCAACAAAAGTACATCAACGGAAGGTTACAAACAGTATATAAAGATTTACCTCAATCTATTCGTCAATTTTGGTTAAGCAATGTTGAATTGTACGGGAAGCGAACGTACATCGTCTTTGATGATCAAAGATATACGTACGCCGACATTCATCAACAGGCTTTACGCATGGCATCCATCTTAGCCACCCAATTCCAAGTACGCAAAGGTGATCGTGTGGGAATTGCTTGCAGAAATTATCCCGAATTTGTCATCTCTTTCTGGGCAATCCATCTTTTAGGAGCAGTCACTGCGATTCTAAACTCGTTCCACGATGGTGAAACGTTGACATTCTCCATCAAGGATGTATCATGTCGAGCTGTGATCTGTGACGGAGAACGATTCGAGCGCATAAAGGATCACCTCCCATCCATCCTCCAGTCAAACGAGACACCATTTGCCGGTGCAATCGTTATGCCATGGATGGGAGCAAAGCATATCCAGCAAGAACAAGACAAAAAATGGCTACAATTCAACGGAAAAGGAAATCACTTGATATACGATTGGCAGAATTTAATGAACGCTCACAAAAACACAACACCAACATTACCTCCCGTTGACATCTCCCCTGACGATAACGGTGTGATTCTTTTCACAAGTGGAACGACTGGCAAACCCAAAGGCGTACTCTCAACACAAAGACAACATCTTTCTTGTTTACGTTTAGCAACATTCGGTACAGCAAGAGCACTTTTACGAAGACATAGACCTTTACCTCCTCCTCCTGATGTAAACGATCCTGAACCCGGATCAGTCTTGGTTCTTGTTCCACTCACACATACAACGGGCTTGCAATCCGGTTTAATCCTTTCAACAGCAGCGGGTGGAAAGGTTGTCTTGATGGCAACCTACAATCGCGATAAATCCATTCAAATCGCACAACGTGAACGTGTTCGTCATATTTTAGGCATTGGCTTCATGGTACGTGAGATTGGAATCGCAGGTCAGGACAAACTCCCTTCCGTCTCTTCAATCGCACATGGTGGTTCTTCTTCATCGAAAGAGTTACCGTCAGAGCTGCGTAAGTCCCATCCCAATGCAATCTCATCTGCAGGATATGGTCTTACGGAAGTGAACGGTGTAGCTTTGGGCTTGGGTGTGGATGACTACCACGCAAGACCTTCTTCGGCTGGCGTTCCTCCTGTTGGTGTTGAAGTGATCATCGTTGATCCCGCTTCAATGGAACGTGTAAAAGACGGCGAACAAGGAGAACTTTGGATTCGTAGTCCAGGTCGTGCACAAGGTTATTGGAATCGATCAAAAGATACTGCAGAAGCCTTTTTACCCGATGGTTGGTTCCGAAGTGGTGATTTAGCAGTCGTTGATCCGAAAGATGGTTTCTTTTATATCGTTGATCGATTAAAAGAAATCATCGTTCGTAAAGGTGAAAACATTTCTTGTGGTCAAGTAGAAAATGCAGTTTATAGTCATCCAGGCGTTTTGCATTGTGCTGCTGTTGCCATTCCAGATGGTTCAGGAGGTGAAACGGTGGCTGTGGTCTGTACACCAAAAGACGGTCAACAACTACCCACACCCGAAGAGGTGATCGAACAAGCATCCAAACATCTACCCAAATATGCTGTTCCAGAATTCGTTTGGATTCGTAAAGAGGAACTGGAACGTAATCCCAACGGTAAAATCGTTCGAGCTGCAGTGCGAAAAGCCACCATCGAACACATGAATTCGCTCAAAATCGGAAAGGCAAAGTTGTAAAGATGAGAAATGATTATAGCATTTGTGAAGTGTAGTGTGTGTGTGTGTGTGTAAATAGCGAATTACCACCATCCCGCATTGGTATTCATATCTCCCTCCTTTTCTCGAGGTTCCACCTCGATGATATACTCCTGCCCCACTCCAAGAGCTGAGACATCGACTATTATTCGATCGTCTGCCTCATGCAAAGAAACAGCATGAGCGCCCAAGCCGTTCACTACCGGTTGCAAGATGCCGAATGGGAACATACGCTGTCTGTCGATCATGATACTGTATGAACCTGGTTTTCTGACATGATGCCTGTGTTTGGAAGATCTTGTTTCACCATGCCAGAATGTGGTTTGAATCACCACACAATCTTGCAGATCAAGCACATAAGGAGGCACGCCAAACCTCTGCATTGCACCGCTCAACCTTCCAATGACTTTTGGCAGTTCCATACTGAAAACTTTGTAGATGTAAGTAGGAATGTAAGTCATCAAATTTGCCTCTCCCACAAACGTGACATCGCATCCGTTCAATTCCGGTCTCCATTCGATACGATAAGCGCCAAGTTCGATATCCATTCGTACTTTTCCTTCTTGGATAGGCACTTCAGGTGCGATGCAACTTTTCCAAACGATTTGAATCTTTTGTGAGTTTGGTAAAGCGAGAGATTGTCGTTCTCCTTGTGGTCCCCAGCAACGTATATCCTGAATGCCTACCGCATCTCTTGGACTGTAAATTGGTCCAATTCCTCTCCAGACGCAATAGAACAAAAAGTTGTGATAATCATATCGCTGTAATATCCTTCCTGAACTCATACGAACGTCCCAAATGAGTCGATAACTGAACAAATGTATGCATGCCAACACTTCGATCGGTCTGCAGTTGGGTATAAATGATTTGCCTTTTACGGAGGGGATATTTTCCTTGTGATCCATATTTCTTGTTGAGGGTAGGATTGCAACGCCATCCGAAAGAATTGCATTTTGCCAATGAGATTCTTGAATTGATGCTAAAGAGGCATCCATCATATCATGTGCTATATCTGCTATGGATTGATATGGATTGGCTAGATAGCCACTTGGTGCAGGACTATCGGGTATATGCAAAGGGAATTGCATTTGTGGTTCAAATTCTTCTTTGATGATAGAAGCTGATGAGGAAGCCATATTTTTGTGATGAGATGAAGTGATGGTGATGAGGGATGGCAAGATGGGAATTCGGACTAAATTGATGTTAAATGTGTGTGAAAATCATGTCGTTTTTATTAAGGTTTTCTATCTGTCTGCTTGAATGCTGGGGAAAAAAGGGAAGAAACGAAATAAGACCGGCAAAGAAAAGTACGCTAAACCAAATCCCATACTCACGCTAGATCATTAAGAGGGAAATTTTAACCCGGTTAAAATCATCTGACTTAATGCCACCATACACACGCTTGCCGACTTTCTCACATGCACGATCGGTCATGTATAGAAACACTTATCTATGTATCTAAAATTAACATTTGAGACTGTCTGAAGTCATCCGGGCCATATTCAGTGCGGTAAGGTAATGTATGCGGCTGTATAGGAAATGAAGCAGGTTCAGCACAGCAACCGAAAGGCTCCGTATAGGGAGAGAGAGAGGTTCGCGTCGGCGCCGTTTTAGAGAGGATGTATTATAGCAGTCTGCATTGCAAAGGCCTAGACAAGCAAATTCTCAACCCGAAGAGCAGCATGCTGTTATATATGCCAAGCATAGGAAAAGGGCATATCAGCAGTACAAGTTTCCCCACTTTTTGCGCGTGTGTGCAGTTTTGTGATGCGCTGTGCATTTATTCATTGCAGGCAGGCAGGCTCTACTTCTGTTGCCCCCCTTCTTCAAAAGCCGCGGCCGCCACCGCTTCCCTTTACGCACACGTTGTTCTGTTCATGCACTTCAGCCTGGGGTAACTTTAATTTTTGTTTTTACACTGTCAGATAAAGAAGGCTGTCAAGAAAATACAGTGGGTTTGCCAATGCAGTGCAAAAGGTTAGTGTGTGTGCCTGAGATTGTGTAAAACGGTTCGTTTAATGAGCATTCGACTCTCCGTTCATATTAGAAGGTGAGGTGGCATTTGTGTGCGTTTTAATTTAGAGGGTCATTCTCTCTTCACCACCACATCCTCATTTACACATACACACACACAAAATGGATTTCAAACGTATAAGCATCGCTTTGAAAAAAGCCAGGAAAGGCGATCACGATAAACGTCCTTCAACATCTTCTTCATCAAAACGTAGTAACTTCAGACGACAGGCATTGTATGGATTTGCAGATTCGACAGGATTCGAAAGCAATGGAGCACTGTATGCTGAATCCGATCCTTCTCTGGTTGGAGATGCTCGTTATCAATTCGAATTGCTTGCTGTTGGGAACAAGAAGTTCGCAGATCTTGCCCCTATTCGTGGTACATTAAATGAAGAAAAGTTGGATTATTTCACTTGGAGATTACATCATCTCTTTGTCGATCAATTGGATCGTGATCGAATGGAGTTGCACGATCAAGACAATCTTCCTCAACGATCAGAGTCCAACTCCTCCTCCTTCTCATCCAATTCAGCGCATTCATCCAGAGAAGAAAGACACACTCCAATGGCCACCGCAATGGAACGAATGGCAGATTTGGGTATAAGCGAACCTGGTTGGGTTACCATGCAAAATTATCGTCAAATGACACAAGAAGAAAAACGTACATCATACAGGCATGCGATCGTAACAAGTGATGCTTTGGCTGCTGTACCATTGTTGGAATGCGAAGAGCGTCATTTCGTGATTGCAGAAGAAGAACAACGAAGGGATGAATGTGATTCACTTTTTGATCACTTTTACGATGCAAAACCACAACAGAAACCGGTAGTGGATGTGCGTGATGCAGGTGATGAAGAAGCAACAAAGCCACTTCCACCGCCGCTTTTGCCCGCTTCTATGTTCTATCGTGCTTCGTTTGGTATTCGACAAAAGCCATCTCGCAAGACATCAAGCAAGTCTATTCATAGTGAAACGGACAAAGTGTCCAAATTACGCACATTCTTCAAAGCACCTCTACTCCGAAGAGCTGATTCGGAAGGTGCTCATACTTCAGTATATGTCAAGTGATTCAAACAGAGGGTTTCCGAGGGGTTTTCATTGTCACTATTTTTTCATTTTTTGCTCGATCTCACTTTTTTGTGTAGAGTGTATATATATTCTTCGTGTCTCATAACATACATAAAATTGATTCAAAGTCACATGATCAAGCATCATTATCGCTCAAATAAGTTGCATGAACCTTTGCTGCGATGTGATGGTTGATAGATTGTGGTTCATGTTCATCGCCATTGTGTAAGAAGCTGTGTGTGGGGGGGAGGGGAAGAGAGGTTTCTATTAGCAAGAGAATCAGGACAGTGTCTTTGGGGCTGTTAACACTTACACGCAAGCAACTTTTGCTTCTGTCTTTGCATGTTTACCGTGATAATCTCCAGGTTCGCAAACCGAATAACCGTATTTGAGCGATTGATCTTTTGGAACGTATTCTTTGCATGCTGTATCCCATGCATCACAGAAGTCACTTGAGGTGGGGTATTCTTGGTGGCTATACTTTACCAATTGACGGAAGTCATAAGCACGAGCGGGAGTTGCGATCAAGACAGCTGCTGAAGCTGAAGCGATGAGTAAAGCGATTGAAGAACGCATCTTGGTTGGGTGAAAGAGTGGTAAGGGTGAGGAGTTGTGATTGGGAATTGGATTGGATGGTGAATGTTTGGAACATATTGGTGAGAATGACGTTTATTTATACCTTTTACCTACTCGTATTTGCGAGCATGTATTAGCCAACAGCTAAAACATTTTACCGGCGGTCCATGTATTTCCGCGCAGCCCCGCACTAGACTAGGCACTAGGTACAACGAATCGGACTTTGGCGTACGTTAGGGTTTCACTCAACGGGCCAAACCAAAAAGGCTGCCTGCCGAGCGTGAAGCCGTTGACGTATATTAGACACAGAAGTCCGTAATGTCTACATACATCCAGAATTAGAAGCATCATCATCGGAGTTTTAAGAGCTTTATTTCGTGTTAATATAGAAGAAAGATATCATGTCATTTGTGAGAGGGATCGAATATGACACACACGTTTATTCACTTTTATAGCGTAAATACGCAGTTGTAGATATATATCAAACAGGTAAACGAGAAGAATAGCAGTAGCAGCAGCAACAGCTGTATCACTTCTAAAGCCACCTTTGATCGTGCTTCTTTATTATTCAACAGAAGTCATCGCTAGATCAGCGGGCAAGATGTTCAATTCACACCTTCGTTGAAGTAATTTTTACTCAGAAGAGATAATCAAAATTATGCTCGCACTTCAGCATACATTAATTGGTTTTCATTGTCACTATTGTTTCCTTTTTTGCTCGATCTCACTATATTGTGTAGAATGTATGTATATTCTTCGTGTCTCATAACATACATAAAATTGATTCAAAGTCACATGATCAAGCATTATTATCGCCCAAGTATGTTGCATGAACCTTTGCTGCGATGTGATGGGTGACAGGTTGTGGTTCATGTTCATCGCCATTGTGGTCGAAGCTATTGTGGGCGGAGGGGTAGAAAGTATGTCAGTAAGAGATTCGGAAAAAGGTAAGGTGGATATTGTACTTACACGCAATCAACCAATGCTTCTGTCTTTGCATGTTTACCCTGGTAATCTCCAGGTTCACAAGTTGATCCTTCATATTTGAGAGATTGATCTTTTGGAACGTATTCTTTGCAGGCTGTATCCCATGCATTACAGAAGTCACTTGAGGTGGGGTATTCTTGGTGGCTATACTTTACCAATTGACGGAAGTCATAAGCACGAGCGGGAGTTGCGATCAAAACAGCTGCTGAAGCTGAAGCGATGAGTAAAGCGATTGAAGAACGCATCTTGGGTAGAGTAAGAGAGTGGTAAGGGTGAGGAGTTATAGTTGGGAACTGGATTGGATGGTGTAAGGTCTGAAATATATTGTTGAGAATGACGTTTATTTATACCTTTTACCTACTCATATTTGCAAGCAGCATTTACAGGTTGAATCAACAGCTTAAACATTTTGCCGGCGGTCCATGTATTTCCGCGCAGCCCCGCCCCGCACTAAGGAACAAAGATCGGACTTTGGCGTACGTTAGGGTTTCACTCAACGGGCCAAACTAAAAGGCTGCCTGCCGAGCGTGAAGCCGTTGACGTAGACATAAAAGTCCGTAATGTCTATATATATCCAGATTTAGGAACATCATCATCGGAGTTTAAAGAACTTTATTTCATGTCATTGTAGAAGAAGGGTGTCATGTCATTTGTGAGAGGGTCGAGCGTGACACACTTTTGTTAAATTTTATGACGGAAATGCGTAGTTGTGGACATATATTAGACAGGTAAAGAGCTGCAACAGTATCACTTCCAACGCCACCTTTAATCGTTAGTTTTTCATGATGTAACAAAAGCTATCGATACTGAAATGGGCAAGATGTTTGATTTACACAGCTAATCAAGATGATGCTTGCACTTCAGTGTACTTTAATTGACTTAGAGGTTCTTCAGATGTACAGTATGACGAATATAAATTTTAATCGTATCTCATAACATACAATAGCGGTACAAGAATCTATCAATCATCTGATTGAGTGATGAATGTTGCATGAGTCTTTGCTGCGATGTGCTTGTTGATAGATTGAGGTTGGTGTGAATCGCCATTATGGTCGAAGCTGTTGGTATAAAAGCTGTCAGTAAGAGATTCAAAAGAAAAGCAACTTTATGGCAATTGTACTTACACGCAAGCAACCTTTGCTTCTGTCTTTGCATGTTTACCATGGTAATCTCCAGGTTCACAAACTGATCCGGCATATTTGAGAGATTGATCTTTTGGAACGTAATTTTTGCAATCTGTGTTCCATGCATCACAGAAATCAGTTGAGGTTGGGTATTCTTTGTGACTGTATTTCACCAATTGACGGAAGTCATAAGCACGAGCAGGAGTTGCGATCAAAACAGCAGCTGAAGCTGAAGCGATGAGTAAAGCGATTGAAGAACGCATCTTGATAGAGTAAGAGGGTAGTAAGGGTGGTGAGTTGTGAATTGGGATTGGGATTTGATGGTGTGGTGTATTGAAAAAGTGATGGAAACAGTGTTATATTTATACCTTTCTGTTTGTTGATTTACTCATTGTGGCTTTTGCATTTCATTACCCGCCAGGCTAATGGCCTATGTCCGCGCCCCCGCATAAAAGAAGTAAACATCGGAGATTGGTGTACACAGTCTGGGCCTAGGCGTGTTGTTAAGTTGGATGGATGGGTCCGTTACTTGCATGTAAGACACATAGTTCATAGGAGTATGTTGTCGTTATTCCGTCGATCAATCCCTTACCTATGCTGACTTACATGGAATACATATTATTCCATTCCCGCTATTCGATAGAATGTCCCCGCGTCATTTCGGAGAGTGTCTGACGGAGCCGGAGAAGAAACAGAGTACGTCATCATATCATGATCTTACAGCCATTCTTTCGGATAGCGTTCTAATTCATGTTCCCGCAAATCCGTTGACTGTTTATCAATGCATACGTGCATGACATCTTTCGGACGCATTCCCGAAATTCAAGAGAAGTGTTTTTTCAACAGATAAAAATGGTATTCTCATAGATACAGACAAAAGAAGACGAATAAAGGTTTGAATGGTATATGCTTATGCGATTGTGGCATTAGTGGCAGCAGCAACGTGCTTGAGAACACTTTTTGATTTGCCATTACTGTCCTTGAATCTGTGGGTAGAGAAGAAATTTCAGTTATAAGATCCTTTTTGATGATAAGCTTACAATCTATCGAACACTTACGTGCAAAATACACGAGCTTCTGTATCTCTGTTATTACCCGAAAAGTCACCAGGTTGACAATAAGCCGTACCAAAAGTTAAACTTTGATCTTTTGGAACGTAATTGATACAATTGCATCTCCATTGATTACAAAAATCAGTTGGTGTACGACCAGAGTATTTTACCAAAACACGATTGTCAACTGCTTCTGCTGGTGTGGCAGCAAAGAGAGCAGCACTTGCTGAAGCGATCAAGACGGCAATTGTGAAACGCATTGTTAGGGGATAGGGATGGAATTGTTGTGGGTGGGTGATGGAAAAGCAAGACAATCGATCAAGAGGGCCTCTTTATATGTATAATTTCTAGGTACCCGAATTGATTGAATGCATGCATGATCATTATTGTCGGATAGCCAACCTCTCCCTCCCCGCACTATGATGTAAAAAGAAAGGCTAGAAAAGCTCTTTTTAAACCAAGCAGCCACCCCCTTAGTAAGGAATGGCATGTGTTGTTTCTAAAGATTGACGCGTTGATTGTTTCAATTGTGGCTTTTTCTCTCAACGGGTCTTGGCGAACATCAAGCCCAATTTATGTAATACTGACACTATTCCACAACGAACGCTAGTGAAATGCTCTGAAAGGCCGCACACAACACGTGATGTCATTTACCGATTTACAAGATCATAACTCGACTTTCATATGGCTGTAATCTCTCGGAGGGTTCATCAGGAGAATAATTGGAAAGGAGAACCTTGCCTTCTTGCAAACCATCGATTGGTACGTCTTGCATTCCTGCACTAAAGTTGAGAAGGACAATAGCTTTCGGAAAACTCTTTTCTTCAGAATGAGATTGATCAAGTTTTGCAAAAGCCAATACTTTTGAACCTTCGTGCTTGTCATCATAATAGAGTAAGAGGGAGAATTTACCATTAATAAATAAAGCCGGATACTGTTTTCGAACAGCGATGGCCTTTCGGTAAAAGTTTAATACGCTATCTCCATCCGTTTCTTGTTGTGCGATATTAACTTGTTTATAATTATCATTTATTCGCATCCACGGTTTAGCATTCGCTGCTGTGAATCCTGCATTTGGACCGTCGCCCCATTGAACAGGTGTTCGCGCATTATCACGGGCAAGTAGGTTGATACCTCGCATCAATTGATTGATCTCTGTCTCACTTTTTCCCTTCTCACGCTGTTCCTTGAGAAAATTGATCGTTTGTACATCCAAATATTCTTCCTGGCCCCAGAAAGATGGTATATTGGTCATCGCGATATCCATCCCTTGATACAAAAAAAGTGTTCCCGACAGCATAACCGTGTACACGCACAGCATTTTAGCCGAAATAGAATGAAACTTGAGTGAATCGTTGCTGAACCGTGAAACGCTTCTTGCGGTATCATGACTCTCCAGCAGTGTTGTTTGCCAAGCATCATGATCGTCAACATATGTTTGGAGTTTCTCGGTCAATTTGGCTAATTCGCTTACCGTCCATGGCTTTGGAGTGAACTTTTCGCCTTTCACACGACCCATATTGACGACGTCAAACAAAAAAACCATCGAAAGTTCTTTAGCGGAAGAGGCAACGTATTTCAATGCCTCTTCTGTACTTGTCGATCTTCCTAGCTCACCAACGGAAACAGCATCATACTTTTCGAAAATTTGACCCATTTCCTTCAAGTATTCATGGATATGCGGACCATTTGCAATGATTGAATCGGGAGATTGCCATTCTGCCTCTGGTTTGGTGATTGGTGCATTTGTGAAAACTTCAGGTTTTGAGTAAATATTACACGTATCAACCCTGAATCCATCAAGACCACGCTTGAGCCAAAACTCGATGGCATTCTCGTAAATTGCTTTTCTGCATTCTTCATTTCGCCAATTCAGGTCAGGCTGCTGTTTGGTGTAGGTGTGCAAGTAGTACTGTTGACGTTCTTCGTTCCATTCCCAGGCACTGCCGCCAAAAGAACTTGCCCAATTGGTAGGAGGTCTTCGATTGCCATTAGCATCCACTTTTGCCGGTCGCCAAATGTACCAATCCCGTTTCGGGTTCCCTTCTGCCGCTGAACAGGATTCTTGAAACCATTTATGCTGATCGGAAGTATATGCGGCAACCAAGTCAAAAATTACTCGCATTTGACGATCATGACATTGTTTGATCAATTCATCCGCATCTGCAAGTGTGCCAAAGAGTGGATTGATATCTTGATAGTCTGAGATATCGTACCCCTCATCGACCATAGGCGATGCATAATGCGGCGAAAGCCAAACTGTGTCTACCCCTAGCGATTTGAGGTAGTCCAGCTTTTCGATTATGCCTTGGATATCACCTGTAGATGTACCTCGAGCGCTATAGAATGATTTTGGCCAAATCTAATCGAGCGAGTGTCAGTGCCGCTCCTCCGAATCACAAGTTCCTTCTACCACTTACCTGATAAACAACAGCTTCACGCCACCAAGGCACCTGTCTCTCACTGTCACACATTTTGATCGAGATGGTGAGAAGGATGTATGGAGGGAAAAATGACTCATTTCTTACTTACGAACGTGCACAGTAGAGCAAGCAAATGAACAGTTCACGGCACCGGACTGAGAGCACATCATTTCATTTCAGAATCAGAAATCATTATTTACACATCATTAGTTAGAGAATAGCAAAACACGGCCTTCGTATGGCTGCAAAAGAGCATCAGGCTTCACTTCGTCATGTGAGGATAATGCAACCTTTCCACTTTCCAAACCGGTAATTTTGACACCTTGCTCTTGATCGCTAAAGTTCAAGAGCACGATTGCCCGTTTTTGGCCATCAGCAGACGCATCCTTCCTCAAACCCTTTACAAAGGCAAACACCTTTTCATCACTCTTTGGGTCGCTGTAATCCAACGCATTAGAGTACTTTCCATAAACGAATAGAGCGGGATACTTCTTACGCAATTCGATAGCTTTGCGATAAAAGTTCAAAATGCTATTCGGGTCATCGATTTGACTTGCCACATTGATTGTTTTGAAATTATCGTTCACCCTCATCCATGGCTTGACACCTTCTTTCGTAAAGCCGGCATTTGGTCCATCAGTCCATTGAACGGGCGTGCGAGCATTGTCACGGGCTAAGAGGTTGATATTGGGTTTGAACTTTTCGATATCTTTATCAGATTTACCACTTTCACGGAGAGCTTTGATAAAGTTTACTGTGGCAATATCCAAATACTCGGAAAGATCCCATTCCAGTGGCACGTTTGTCATACCGATCTCTTGTCCTTGATAATAGAAAGGTGTTCCCGACAAGAGAGTCGTATATAAGCTCAACATCTTGCATGCATCTGCGTGATGCTTTTCAGCATGACTTGCAAAGCGTGATACACTCCTGCCGAGATCATGATTCTCCAAAAAGGATGTTGTCCAACCGTCATTGTCATCGAAAAGGGTTTGCAGCTTTTCCGTATTGGTTGCAATTTGAGCAACATTCCAAGGAGCAGTCTTGAAATGCCCTTCTTGCCCATCCATGCCAACGAGAGCAACATCCGGGGCAAAAACCATTGAGAGTTCATTACGAGCAAAGCTGATATACTTGAGAACTTCTTTATTAGGCAACCTGCTCAGCTCACCCACCGTCATTGCATCATACTTTGCCAAAAGTTTACCCATCATGCCCAAGTATTCGTGGATACGTTCTCCATCAACGATCAAATCCCATGCGGTCTGCAAATAGCCAGGTTTGGTGATTGGAGCGTCGACAAGTTGTTCAGGTTTTGCGTAAAGTGAACAAGTATCAACTCTGAAACCATCCAAGCCACGTTCAAGCCAAAATTCCATTGAACTTTTCAAGATTGCACTCCTACAATCAGTGTTTCTCCAGTTCAAGTCGGGCTGTTCGACGGCAAACATGTGTAGATAGTACTCCTCAGTCTTTTCATCCCATTCCCATGTACTTTGACTGAAAGCACTTTCCCAATTGGTTGGTGGCATTCGTTTGCCATCTACATAGCGTGCCGGACGCCAGATGTACCAATCACGTTTAGGGTTTTCTTTTGAAGAGCGCGATTCCAAGAACCATTTGTGTTGATCGGATGTATGGTTGATGACCAAATCAAAAATGATGCGTAAACCGCGCGAATGACATTCTTTGATGAGATGTTCGGTGTCTTGTACCGTTCCAAAGATTGGGTTGATATCTTCATAATCTGAAATATCATAACCCTCATCAATCATTGGCGAAGCATAATGCGGTGAAAGCCAAATCGTATTGATGCCCAACGATTTCAAATAATCAAGCTTGGCAATAATACCAGCGATATCTCCTGTTGGCGTTCCACGGCCGCTGTAGAATGATTTCGGCCAGATCTGTGAGATGGAAATGGGTGAGCAGATGAACAAAAAGTGTCACTCAACTCAAACATACTTGATAGACAATCGCTTCACGCCACCAGCAAGTTCGTTTATCTTCGTCAGACATGGTAGGGCAGGGGGACATGGATGTTGGAAGCAAACGTTGTTGTGCTGAGCAACCACGGGCTTAAATACCTTACCAAGACCGTGCAACAGAATCGGCGCCGGTGAGACTTACTTCTAGCCCGGCGATCACACAAGCAATTGTCTAACACATAATCCATTACCATTACTGAGCAAATGCAAAGATCTTTACAAGAACAAAACTCTACCTTCATAAGGGGAAAGGGGAGCAACCGGATCGGTACTTTGATGATGCGTAGAAAGCGCAACTTTTCCACTCTCCAAACCGGTAACCTCGATCGGTTGCTCAGCATCACTCAGATTGAGGAGGACAACGGACCGTTTAGGTGTAACTTCGGTTTCGGTTCGGACATCTTTGGCGAACGCAAGCACTTTTGAATCTTTATCTGCTCCTTTGTAATCAAGCAAAAGAGAGAACTTTCCATGAACAAACAGGTCAGGATGTTGCACACGGAGAGCGATTGCTTTTTGCCAGAAATGATAAACGGAATCTTTGTCTTGCAATTGTTGTGCAGCATTGATTTCCTTGAAATTATCATTGATACGCATCCACGGCTTCACATTCTCCGCTGTGAATCCTGCATTTGGACCGTCAGTCCACTGAACTGGGGTACGTGCATGATCACGAGCTAACACTCGTAAAGCTGCTTTCGCACGTTCCATATCTGCTTCACCTTTGTTTGCATCTTTTACCTGTTTCAGATAGTTGATTGAACCTATGTCTAGGTACTCTTTCATGTCCCAGGAGGCAGGTACATTTGTCATTGCTAGTTCTTGACCTTGGTAGACATACATTGTACCGCTTGCCATGGACACCAAAAGGGACAACATCTTGGCAGAAGTAGTACGATGCTCGGGAGAATCGTTTCCAAAGCGAGAAACACTTCTACCTTGATCGTGATTCTCCAAGAATGACGTCTGCCAACCATCTCTTCCGGAATCCGTTAAAGCGGTTTGCATCATTTCAGTCGTCTTCGCAAGATCCGCAACCGACCAAGGCTCTTGTATATACCAATCCACTTGCGATCTACCTAGATTCATTGTTTCGAATTGGAAAACCATCGAAAGTTCATTACGTGAAAAGCCAACGTACTTCAATACTTCTTTGACATCAGGTGTATTACCTAATTCTCCAACGGTCATTGCGTCGTATTTCTCCAAGATATCACCCATTTCACGAAGATAGTTGTGCATCTCTGGTCCATTGCAGAATTGATCGAAAGCAGGTTGAAGATACGTGTCTGGTACAGTGACGGGAGCATCTTCGAACTGTTCAGGTTTGGAGTACAAGTTCACCGTGTCCACTCTGAACCCATCAAGGCCACGACTCAACCAAAACTCCATTGAACTTTCCAAGAGTGCTTTCTTGCATTCGTCATTACGCCAATTGATATCAGGTTGCTCGATCGCAAACAAGTGAAGGTAGTATTCTTCAGTTTTCTCGTCCCACTCCCATGCGCTTTGATTGAAGCAACTGAGCCAATTTGTTGGCGGCATCCTCTTTCCATCAACGTAGCGGGCAGGTCTCCAAATAAACCAATCACGTTTTGGATTTGTTTTGGATGATCGTGATTCTTGGAACCATTTATGTTGATCACTTGTATGGTTGATGACCAAATCAAAAATGATTCGCATACCGCGATCATGACATTCTTTGATGAGTTGTTCAGCATCAGCGACTGTGCCGAACATTGGGTTGACGTTTTCATAATCGCTGATATCATAACCTTCATCGATCATAGGGGAAGAGTAATGAGGTGAAAGCCAGATTGTATTTGCGCCAAGTTGTTTGATATAGTCTAGCTTTGAGATGATTCCCTTTATATCACCCGTTGGTGATCCATTTCCGCTAAAGAACGATTTTGGCCATATTTGGTATACGATTGCTTCTTTCCACCAAGCTGTACGTTTTTGCTTTGTATCGATCGTCATTGTGAGGGTGAGGGGATGTGGGAAGACTCTAGAAATAGAGTTGGCTCTTTATATACCATGCATTTCTCTACATCTTGACTGCAATGGATGTTGGGAGAAGCATTTATTCGGTCACCGGCATCTAACGCGGGGGGGAATGCAAGCCAAGAAGACTGCATTCTTACCCTCTCCTCTGTTTTGCGGGGGAGATTAGCGCGACGGTGCTCTTCTTTTTCGGTCCGGCTTCGGTGAAAGTTGTTCAATTCAGGAACACCATTGTGGGGGAATAAAAAAAGCTCTCTCGGGAGAATTATTCAAGGGAGACTCAGCATCAACAACGACAACTCAGCACGAATACTGAGCCGGATTAGAAGAAGCTGATTGACTCATATTGATTCACGCAGGCTTTAGCACCTTCTCGGTAGTCCGAATTAGATCTGCAGCTGAGAATTAGCAACAAAATGCCGTGGAAATAGCAAAACTTGAAAACCAGCCCATCTGAAGAGCTGTCACCTGTTTACCTCTTATGACCAGTGCATTGTCCGCCGTCATCATCAAGGTAATGACAATCATATTCGCACTGACAATTGCACAGCGCGTAGGGAAATGAATACAAGTGGAGCAAAAATGAATACAAAAAAGGAAAATCTTCTTAGCGCCAAATACAACATTAACATTATTGTATGCAGCGCGCGAGAAGAAGAATTGCCTTTTTTTTTGGTTGCAGGTTCTAGAGGCTTCTTTGGTTATCGCGTGTCGGACATACGATCAAGAATAAATGTCAAGGTAAAAGACTCTTTTTCTTTTTCCACCACCACAATACCAATCGCCAGAATGTCTTCAGCTGAATTGAAAGCTAAAGGTAATGCTGCTTTCTCAGCAAAGGATTATCAAACAGCAATTCAACATTACACAGACGCAATCGCAGCCGCAAAAGGTCCAGAAGATGCAGTTCACGTTTTGTACTCCAACAGAAGTGCTTGTTATAGCGGATTAAAACAATGGGAAAAAGCATTAGAAGATGCAGAAGAAACAATCAAACAAAATCCAACATTCGCAAAAGGATACGGACGTAAAGGTGGTGCATTACACGGAGCAAGACGTTTGGATGAGGCCATTGAAGCGTATGAGCTTGGCTTGAAACAAGCACCAACTGATGCTGCACTCAAAAAGGGTTTAGAGGATGTTCAACGAGCACAAGAAAGTGAAGGAGGACCTTTAGGTGGAATGGGAAAGATGTTCCAAGATCCACAACTTTTTGCTAAGCTATCTGCCAACCCCAAAACTGCTCCACTTTTGGCCGATCCTGAATTCATGCAAAAGCTAAAGGATATTCAAGCAAATCCAGACAAAGCAATGACTGCCTTTCAAGATCCAAGAATGATTCAAGTAATGGGCGTATTGATGGGAATTGACTTGCAAGCATTCGAACGACCAGAAGGTAGCAATGATTTGCCTGAAAATTTGGAACAACACCGAGAAGGTATCGAAAAACAAACTCAACCGAAAGAGGCACCCAAACCAAAGGCTGAACCAGCACCAGCTGCAGCTGCCGCCTCATCCTCTTCTGCCCCCGAAACAGAGATGGAAGATGGCGAAAAGGGAGACAAAGCAGCAGGCGATGCTGAGAAAGCCAAAGGTAATGCTCTTTACATGAAACGTCAGTTTGACGAAGCAATTGTGCACTACCAAAAAGCATGGGAGTTGAATCCCAAGGACATCACATATCTCAACAACTTGGCTGCTTGTTATTTCGAAAAAGGCGACTACCAAGAATCGATCAAACAATGCGAAAAGGCAATCGAAGAAGGCCGCTCTTTACGAGCTGATTATAAGTTGGTCGCCAAGGCATTCGGACGAATTGGTTCGGCGTATGATAAGTTGGACGATTTAGACAAGGCTATCTCCAATTATGAGAAATCATTGACCGAGCACAGAACGCCAGAAATCTTGAACAAATTGCGTACCGCGGAAAAGACCCTCAAAGAACGTCAGAAGCAAGCATACATTGACCCTGCAAAGAGTGACGAAGAGCGTAACAGAGGTAATGACTTGTACAAGGCTGGTGATTTTGTTGGCAGTGTTCAAGCATACACTGAAAGCATCAAACGTAACCCAAGCGACCCAAGAGGATATACCAACCGCGCAAGTGCCTACATCAAATTGGTCGCCTTGCCTGAAGCTTTGAAAGATTGCGAAGAGGCAATCAAGATGGACGAAACGTTCACCAAAGCATACATTCGTAAATCCAACGTATTGTTCAGCATGAAGGATTACACAAAGGCCTTGAACGCTGCACAGATGGCCAGTGACATTGATGGAAAGCATCACAACAACGCTTCTTCGCGCGAGATTCAACAACAAAAAGACAAGATCATGCAAGCCTTATACGCCGAAAGAAGTACGGAAACCGAAGAGGAAACATTGCAAAGAGCAATGCGTGATCCTGAAGTGGCACAAATCATGCAAGATCCCGTAATGCAATCAATCTTACAACAAGCACAATCCGATCCACGTGCATTACAAGATCATATGCGAAACGATAAAGTTCGTTCAAAAATTGAGAAATTGATTGGTGCAGGAATCATTAGAACTCGTTGAAAAGATGTAATAAAGAAATGTCATTTATTTTTTTTGAGATTATATGGGGCCAATTGTGAGCCCACAAAAGGAGGCTTAAAGCTATGCAATGATGTCTAAAGAAGGGATACGTTTAGGGAGAAGGAATGTAGAGGAGGTACCATAGATAGGGAAAATGGTAAGGAGGCGATGGTGTAGAGCGGAATAGTGGGTTAAAAATAAAATTCTCGCAAATATTGGCTGAAGAGGGGGCTCAGTCAATAAAGTCTTCATGTATCCCTATCTAAGAATTGTTGTCAAGGAAAAAGGTATTTAAAGAACGATAAAACGCATTTCACAACGCCCTCCTTCCAACAATCCACCAAAATGTTTTGAAAGCCATCCACTTTGAGCCTCTTGTTCTTCGCACTCGTTGCGACAGTCTATGCAGAGGTTAATCTCGATCCAAAACTCTCTGTAGCACATCCCGGACCGGATAACACACACGCTTTGTGAGTTGCATTGTACTGAGTCATGAAAAGAAAACCACACTGACCCTTAATCTCCACAGCTTCACAGTTGGTGACCATAACGGTGTCCGATTCTCAATTGTAAAGAAGTCTGAAGCAACATGTGCGAACACGGTAGCAAATTCCGACAATTTAGACGGAATGAATCCTTTCTTCACTACGCCATGTCAAATTGATGCTTCCAAGGCTGATCAAACTGTTCAAGTTCAATGTATTGATCCTAAAAATCCCAAAAAGAAACTTGGTGGCAAAGCAACGATTACATGGTATAAAAGTCCAAATTCTGACAAACAACGTTCGTTCGGCTTAAAGGTTTCAGCAAACAAAAAGATTTGGTTAGGAACAACGGCTCAAGAAGAGGCTACAGCACCTCTCATCAATGGTAAATGGTCTAAATCAGGTTTGCAAGGTGCTGCGATCATTATCAATTGCGTTAATAACACACGTGCCGTATTCCAAGATGGCAAATACAACTGAAAGATAGGCATTGATGGTATATCCACTTGTGTCCTGACTTCCTATTCTCCTTTTCTCTAGATAGATTCTTTTTTGAAAAATCGAATATGTCCAAATTTTCTGCTTTGACACCGATTGAGTTTCACAAACTCCTGACATCTTTATAACCCGCATTAAATTTACATCGTCATAATATTACGTAAAAGTACAAATTAATCTAGAAAGACACAACTTTGGGTTTCTTGTTTATTGGGCCACTCTTGCGAATATCCGTATGGGTACGTTTGCGTGAGAATGCATGGAAATCATCTTCATCGGCACCTGTTCGCATGTTGTGCATATCCGATAATCCAATCGAAGCAGTAGAAGCAGCCGTACTACCCCCCGAACGTTGTGCTTCGTTAAGCGGACAATTTTTCGCTAAATGATCAACGGAATTGCAAAGTTTACAACATCCTCCGTCTGGATAAATTCCACGACCTTTGTTTTCCGCACATTTGGATGCTAAATGTCCACGTTTTTGACAGATGAAACAATGTGCGAATGGTAGTTCTGATCCGGTTTTCGGGGAGGGTTTCCTGCATTTTGCCAGCGAGTGCTCTGTACTTCCACATCTGTAACAACAAACTACTCCTCCGTTCAGTTCGTTTGATCTTTGTTGTTGTTCCTTTTCCTTGGGACAATCTTTGGCTGCATGACCAAATTCTCTGCAGGCAAAACATCTCGTCGTGGCTTCTCGCTCAATCGTTCGTTTCTCTCGACGATGTGCTGATCTTTGTTCATTCTTCGCTCGCCTTTCGGCTTCCATCGCTTTCCAGGGGTTGGAAATGCCCTGTGAAGCTTTTGTGCGGGGTAAGTGGTCATCGCTCGATGTTGAGGCGGTAGGGTCTGCTTCGTTGGAAGATTGTGCAATCATACTTTCTCTAGATTTGTGTACTGTAGCGGGAGCGCCTCCCAAGCCCTCTCTTGCTTTCTGTCCGTTCAGGAAGCGAGCTCTGCCTTCTGCTTCTCTGATTTCTTTTTGGAGCTCCTTCTTCTTTTCTGGAGTTTTGGCTTTCTTGAGCTTTAGACGGAGCAACTTAGCCCGTTTGAGTAGTTTGCTAGTCTCACTGACAGCTTTTCCTGAAACTTCTTCTGATCCTTGTTCACTTTTATCTGCATTCTCCTCAACCTGCTCACTGACGTCCTTTCCCTGCACCTCTGCATCTTCTTGTGCACTGCTTTTGCTATACTCTGGTTTCCTTCCAGTCAATTTGGCATATCTCGTCATGATGAAGTTATCGTGTGACAGAATGAGAAGATTGCCACAAAAACAGAACATCACCAATTCTTTGCTTCTTTATAAAAAAAAAAAGAGTGAAATTTTATATGCACTTCAGCCAAGACGCGTTTTCTCCATGGACTAACAACAAATTAAGCGCGGAAATCTGGCGGGAATTGAATGTGTGCACTTTGACACTCTCAACGGTTATTCTGTTTGTTCTTTCTTTTGACGTGCGTACATGCACATACATGATGAACAACGAGGGGTCCAAGATTTGGTCATCTGATTTTAACATCATGGTACATACGGACAAATAGGGGAAAGACTGAAAAAGTGCACGTTACTCACCCTTTTCTCCGCGGAGAATTTGTCATTCTTCTTCTCTATCCTGGTGCCATCTTGCCTTGTTCGGCACGTTCGAGCATGGGTCATGAATCTCTTTTCTCTCAACGGCCATCACATTGCGATCGTAGGTGATCATGTCTACCTCCCATTCAATCTCGAATGAGAATGAGGATAGCAACAATATCACTCATTCACCAACCGAAGAAGATCATGAGATCGAAGAAAAGATCATAGATGGTCCAATCCCCGTCAAGGGAGAAAAAGAGGAACTTCTCTCTCCAACTGCATTGCACAAGTTGTTACGTGAAATTGTGGCAAGTTATGAACAGCTACACATCACTTGTCGACCAATGGGAGTAGGATTCGATCAACTTACAGTAACAGGAACAGGTGCTGGAGTTGGTAAAAATGCAACAATCTTGAGCATTCTCATAGAGCCATTTCGATTCGGACATCATTATCAAACAATCACACGACCACCAATCAAAACCATTCTGCACAACTTTAGCGGAGTGGTCAAACCTGGTGAAATGTGTTTGGTTTTAGGTAGACCAGGTGCAGGATGTACAACACTACTCAAAACATTGGCAAGTTACCGAGATGGATTCCGTGAAGTGAAAGGAGAGGTGCAATATCAAGGATTTACACACAAATCCGTTGAGACTCTTTTACGAGGAGATGTAGTATATGTTGCAGAACATGATCAAAACTTTCCTACTCTAAACGTCGGTCAAACGTTGGGCTTTGCTGCTTCGGCTCGTACACCTGGTGATAAAGTTCGTGCTGCATTCCCAACCACCTCGAAGAAGCGAGCCTCATACGTTGAACTCGTACGCAATACAGTCGGCGCAGCTTTGGGATTGCGACATACATTCTCTACACAAATCGGTAATGAGATCCTAAGAGGTGTTTCAGGTGGTGAATCTAGACGGGTAACACTTGGTGAGGCACTCTCGACAAGAGCACGAGTGATGTTACTCGACAACCCCACCCGTGGTCTCGATTCTTCAACGGCAGTAGAAGTTGTACAGGCTTTACGTACACTTACAGATGAAACTCAAATCTCTCTCATCTCAAGCATGTATCAAGCCGGTCAATCGCTCACAAGGATGTTTGAAAAAGTCACTTTGCTGTACGAAGGGAGACAGATCTACTTTGGACCCTTGTTGGAAGCACAAGAGTACTTTTATGAGATGGGATACGAACCACATCCACGTCAAACGTTGGCTGATTTCATGGTAGCTTTGACCGATCCGACGGCACGTATCGTTCGCAAAGGATATGAGAATCGCGCTCCTCGTTCACCGGATGAATTTGTTCAGTACTGGCTTTCATCTCCTCAAGGGCAAAGATCACAAGAAGAGACACGACAATACATCACGCAAATGCAAGAAAGATTTACCAAAGATGAATCTGCAAAGACTTCCTTCTTGACTGCAGTCTACCAAGAAAGATCCGCTCATGCTCGCAAGACGTCTCGCTATGTTTCTTCTTGGGCACGTCAAATCAGTCTCGCCATTCAAAGACGTACGCAGATTCTCATTGGTGATTATGTTGTACAAAGTGCATCAGCCATTTTCATGGTCGTAGAAGCACTGATTATCGGATCAGTCTTTTACCAAATGCCTAAAACAACTGCCGGTCTTTTCAGTCGTGGTGGTGTTTTGTTCTTTGCTACACTTTTCAACTCCTTTTATGCGCTTGTTGAAGTCACTTTGGGTTATGCTCAACGTCCGATCGTCATTCGTCAAAACAGGTTTGCATTCTTGCATCCTGCTGCAGATGCATTGGCTAACACGCTTTTGGATATCGTCTTACGTGTGGTGATGGTGCTATCGTTTGCCATTCCGCTCTACTTCCTTTCTGGGCTTTATTACTCTGCAAGTGCATTCTTTATCTTCTTCTTCACGACTTTGCTCCTTACCGTCGTTTTGGTAGCAGCTTTCCGTTGCTGTGCCGCCGTGACACGATCAGAAGCAGTTGCAACAATGTTTGCCGGTTTATTGATCATCAACTTTTCGTTATATGCAGGATACGTTATTCCTCGTCCTTCGATGGTGATTTGGTGGAAATGGTTAAGTTATTGCAATCCAATATCGTTTGCTTTTGAAATTTTAATGACGAACGAATTTCGTAATTTGGAAGTTATCCCTTGCGTTGGTGTAGTTCCATCGGGACCTGGCTACGAGAACGTTTCTCCTGAGAATCAAGTTTGTACAATCACAGGATCCGTTCCTGGTCAGACAACCATTAATGGATTACGATATTTAAGCGTCAATTACGGATACGAATATGCTAATCGCGGAAGAAATGTTGGAATCATTATTGGATTCTTTATCTTTTTCATTTTCATTTATGCCTTTGCTTCTGGTTGGCAAGTTGATCCTTCTGCAAGTGGGTCTCAGTTGGTTTATTTGCGTGACAAGGTTCCACAACGACTAATCGATGAAGAAGAAGCATTGCGATCCAGCAACTCAGATGTAGAAAAGGGTGAAATCGCTCAAACACACCACAAAGAGGCGGAAACACCTACAAATGAAGACGATGAAGAAATTAAACGTGCAATTCAAGCAAGTGATGAAATCTTTGCGTGGACAGACATTTGTTATGACATCAATGTTGCAGGCGGAAAATCCAAGAGATTGCTCAATAACGTCAGCGGATATGTGGCACCTGGTAAATTGACCGCTCTTATGGGTGCCACAGGTGCAGGAAAGACAACTCTACTCAACGTATTGGCACAACGTGTTGATGTTGGTGTCGTACAAGGACTTTTCGAGGTTGCCGGTAAGCCCTTGCCGAAATCCTTCCAAGCAGATACGGCATACTGTCAACAACAAGATACCCACTTGTCCACACAAACTGTTCGTGAAGCTTTGCAATTCTCTGCTTTACTGCGTCAACCTGCAGAAATCTCTAAAGAAGAAAAGTTGTCGTACGTCGAAAGGGTGATCAGAATGTTGGAAATGGAGTCATTCGCCGATGCGATCGTTGGTATTGTGGGTAATGGTTTGAGTGTAGAACAACGCAAACGGTTGACGATTGGTGTTGAATTGGCTGCCCGACCAAAATTGCTTCTCTTCCTTGACGAACCTACTTCTGGTCTCGATGCCCAAGCTGCTTGGAGTGTCGTCCGATTCCTCAAGAAAGTCGCTTCAGCCGGTCAAGCAATCTTGTGTACGATCCATCAACCTTCAGCGGAGTTAATTGATCAATTCGATAGGCTACTCCTGCTTCAAAGTGGTGGTAAGACTGTTTTCTTTGGGGACATTGGACCGCAGGCTACCAATCTGTTGCAATACTTTAGTCAACATGCTTCCCGCAAACCTGATGCAGACGAAAATCCAGCGGAATATATTCTGGATGTGATCGGTGCTGGTGCAGCTTCTGCTGCTGATCGTGATGCAAGCAAGACGCTCGATTGGCCTGATTTGTTTTTGCAAAGTCCACAGTACACCCAACTGCGACAAGATTTGGATCGCATTCGTGCCGAGCAAGGCAGTATCCCCAGATCGGCCGAAGATGAAAAACGAGGAAATCAAGAGTATGCCACTTCTGTCTTTACACAACTCAAAATGGTCATTTGGCGTGCATTTGTTCATTATTGGCGTTCTCCCGTTTACCTTTCTGCAAAGTTGATGTTGAATTTGATTGCAGGTTTATTCATCGCAAGTTCATTCTGGGCGCAAGGATCAAAGGAGACTCTCGCTTCTTTGCAAAATGTCTTGTTTGCCATCTTTTTGGCTTTCGTTACCAGTGTTTCACTTGCACAACAATTGCAGCCGGTATTTCTCTTGTTCCGCAATCAATTCGAAGCCCGTGAAAAACCTTCGAAAGCGTACAGTTGGCCGGTCATGGTTACTGCTGCTTTATTGGTAGAGATTCCATGGAATTTGCTGGGTGGAACGCTCTATTGGATTCCTTGGTGGTACATGATCGATCTTCCAAAAGGTAGTGCAAGTACAGCATATGGATGGGGTATTATCATGTTGTACGAAATCTACTTTCAAACATTCGCGTCTGCCATGGCTGCTTTGGCACCTGATCCAATGCTGGCTTCTTTGTTGTTCTCACTCTTATTCTCGTTCGTCATCGTTTTCTCTGGTGTTGCACAACCTGCTGCTTTGATGCCTGCTTTCTGGCGTTATTGGATGTTCCCATTGAGTCCATTTACTCATCTGATCGAAGGAATGTTGGGAGATATCTACAAAGACAAGCCTATCCGATGCTCACCCGTCGAATTGAATCTCATCAACCCACCTGCCGGTCAAACATGTGATCAATACTTATCCGGCTTTTCCTCCCGATTAGACCAAGCACCACGTGGGTCTGGTTATTATGAAGTTTTACCTGGTGCAAACGGAAGTGAACAATGCGGTTATTGTCAATACAGATTCGGAGAAGATTTCTTGGCAACCGTTGGAACAAAGTCTTTCTCCTTCAAATCTGCCGATAGATTCCGTGTGATTGGAATCGTTTTTGCTTACATTGCTTTCAATATCGCTTTGGCTTATGGATTATTTTATCTTGCTAGAATTCACAAATGGAAAAAGCAAACCGTCAAAGCGCAACCGAGTGCTTCCGTCTCAAAAGCAGATGATGAAACAAAAATCATTGCTTCTGCTGGGATGGCAACTTTTGGTCCGCAAATACCCGCTACTGGCGCAAATGCTGCTGCTCATGCCAATGCTTCTGCTCCCACTTCTTCATCGTGAATAGATAGTATACATGGAATGTCATTGCTTAAAATACATTTGATTGTGCCTTTGATTTTTCTCGTTGTGCTTTTACAGCTTTGTCCATTGCACGGGCAACACGTTCAACGCCCATTCGATGTTTTGCGCTCACGTTCCAAACCGGGACAGGGCGACCGTGAATGGTGTTCACCTCTTCCCTTAGCTTGAGAAGTTTGGTTCTGGCCTCACCATCTCCTCCATCGACATCTAGAGCATCACATTTATTGGCAACGATACCTTGTACTTTTTCCGATAATCCTTCTCGATACTTTTCCAATTCGTCAAACACCAATCGTACGTCATCCCAAGGTGCTTCTGCGGTGCTGCTCACGTCAACGACATAATACAATGCTAAGCAACGTTCGATATGCTTTAAGAAATCGTGTCCCAATCCTCTGTTGTCGGAGGCGCCCTCCACCAAACCGGGTAAGTCTTGCAAGATAAATCGAGATGTTTCATCAGAGCCAAAGCGAGATCTGACAGGCTTTTTCTGTGTGACATCTGTCTCTTCTTGTGTCTCTACAATCGGCCCTTCGTCGATCCCCAACAAACTCTGCTCTCCCAGTCGTACCACACCAACATTGGGTGTCAAAGTGGTAAAGGCGTAATTGGCAATGCGAACATTATCTCCCGTAGCACAAACGGACTTGAGGAATGTACTTTTGCCGGCGTTTGGTAATCCGATCAATCCGACATCTCCTTTGAATTTCCATTCGAGATGCACGATTGCTTCTTCACCTGATGAACCTCTGGTGGCTAGAGTTGGACTTCGATTCTTGGCAGAAGAGGCAAAATATGCATTTCCCAAACCTCCTTTGCCTCCAGCAACGATTGTCTTTGGTGTATCCATTTCTTGTGTGATGTCGAATGAGATCACATCCGTATCTCCAATTTCTTGTTGTGCGACATCTGCATCTAGCAGTCGAAACGCAAGACGTCGCTCTGCTTCCCTGAATGATCGACCCAAAGCCCGAATATCCGACTCAGAGTCGGCTACCTCATCAATGTCGATGAATTTTTGTTGCTTCTTTTCCCGCTTTGTGAGATCCTCGTACTCGTCGTCTGCTTCCTCTTCTTCCACTTCCTCCTCACCCACCTGCTCATTTTCTGGAACACGATGGCCAACAGCACCGGCATAGTGGCGCCAAACAGAATCTCTCTGTTCCCGCAATTGTTCTGGTGTAAAGTCTTCTCCATCAACATCTTGCACTTGTGGCATTTTGACTCGACGTTTTCGCATGTATGCTGATCTGAACTTACGTTTGAGGAGAGCCTCATACTGTTTCCTATTGTGCTCTTCGGCCACTTCAGTTGGAACGATTTGCACTACCGTTCCTATTGGAACGTAAATGATTTTATCCATCCCTTGCTTTCCAGCCTGCCAATCTCCCGAGCCATGTTCGCCTCTATCTCCGATAAATTGTCCCGGTATCCGTGCGAGTGATTGCATAGAAGGATCTGCTTGTATCGCAATCCCACCTCCATTTCCTCCATCTGATCCGGAAGGTGGACCATAAGGATTGAACTTTTCTCGTGCAAATGCCACACAACCATCACCGCCTTGACCGCCTTTTACACGAATTTGCAAAGAATCTGCATGAGTTGGATTCTTTTGCATTCGTTTCCATTGTGCTTTCCTTCTTGTGGCGGAGGTATTCAAGGCTGTTTCCGGTATTGAGGAATATAATCGACATCGTGCTCCTCGTATGATCGGCACCAGGCCTATAAGTATTTGCATCACAATGGTTGTCCGGATCAAAAGTGAAAATTCCCGGTCCTGTGGAGTTGTAGTGTGAACAACCCCCCGGACCCCCTTTTCGATTCACGTGAAGATCCTGAACCCAACACTGCTCTCCTTCTCCCCACAGCTAAGTGGAAGGTTGGGGCCAAATTAAACGTCGCGCTACCGATAATCGCCAGGAAGATTGTAGCAAACACTGGAGAGGTGCCTTGCTCACCCTCGGCCAATAAGCAGTCCGGACGAACAAATGCATAACGATAAGCGGTCATCAGACCATTCCTTTTCACCATCACATACTCAAAAATGTCACGAACACCATCATTATTGCGCATCAGTGGGCAGCAAACCTCAAAATGTTTTGCTGCTCCCAAATTGATTAGAGGAAGAGCAAGTGCAGTAGAGCCTCAAGAGAGATTATCACCTGAATTATTGGCAACAAAGGGATCTTCGTCTTCTGTTGAAAATCGCCGTTCATGGAAACGTTCAGAAGTATCAGAGATTTACAACGGAAACTTGATGGACCTCATCTTCCGTGCAGCAACCGTTCACAGAACCACACAACCAGCAAACAAGATCCAACTATGCACATTGATGAACATCAAAGAAGGTGGTTGCAGTGAAGATTGCGGTTATTGCAGTCAATCTTCTCGCTATACAACCCCTTCAACACCTTCCAAATTGAGCGAAGTTGATGAAGTCTTGGTAGAAGCACGCAGAGCAAAAGAGAATGGTTCAACACGTTTTTGCATGGGCGCTGCTTGGCGTGAAGTTGGTGGAAGAAAGCGTGGATTCAATCGAATTTTGGAGATGGTCAGTGAAATTCGTGGAATGGGAATGGAAGTTTGCACAACTTTGGGCATGCTTTCTCCCGAACAAGCAAAACAACTCAAAAATGCCGGCTTGACCGCATACAATCACAATCTCGATACCAGTCGTGAATATTACGGAAAAGTTGTCACTTCACGTACGTACGATGATCGTTTGAGCACATTGGAAGCTGTTCGTGATGCTGGTATTTCCGTTTGCTCTGGTGGAATTTTGGGATTGGGAGAAGAAGAGTCGGATCGTGTTGGATTGATTTGGGAAATGAGTAAATTACCCGAAGCACCGGAGAGTTTCCCAGTGAACGCATTGGTTGCCATTCCTGGAACACCAATGGAAAAGAATGAACCTGTAAGCATTCAAACTATGTTACGTACAATCGCAACTGCACGTATCGTATTGCCAACCTCAATCATTCGTATGGCTGCCGGTCGTCAACTGTTCAGCGAATCAGAACAAGCAATGTGTTTCTTGGCCGGAGCAAATGCAATCTTTACAGGTCACAGAATGCTTACCACACCTACTGCCGGTTGGGATGAAGACAAGGCCATGTTGTCAAGATGGGGATTGAACGGTATGGTCAGTTTTGAAAATGAAGCCGTTGCCGCCAAAGAGACTCAAGGAGGTGATGCTGTGAAACAGGAAGCAGCTTCAGCTTAAACGCAGACCAAACCTATGTACAGTGTAGAGACTCCTGAGATATAATTTCATCTGATTCTTACAAATGCTCGGTATAAATATCATCCACCTGAAACTGGTGGAATAATGGCAACAGTCTCGCCTCCTTGAATGAGGAATGACTGTAATTCATCTTCATCAATCATGCTCTCGTCGATAGACCATTTGGATCCTTCAATCACTTTTTTGAGAGAAGCACCATCATACTTTTCAGAAGGAGGATCTTTTTCGAATGTGATCAAGATATGATCACGCAAAGCACTGAGAGTGACCGCGTTTGTTCCATCTGTTGGTAGCAGTAGAATGTGCTTCGCTTTTCCTCCTACTGCTTCTTTTGCTGCAGCAAAGAATAAAACAGTGACACCTTTTCCTTCTAGAGAAGGAGGCAATTGTTCTGCTGCTGGGGCACCTTCAACTTGATTCTCCTGTGCTCCAGTAGTTAATTTGGAGACGGTTGATCCTGCCGTACTCTTTACCCTTTGCATACCATAATATGCTTGATCAGCAACAATCGATCCAACCGCTCCTGCAGCCGCTTGTGGTCCTGCTGCTCCTGCTACTGCTAGAATTTCATGAGGAGCAGGTACCGAAGCTTCTGATGTTGGTGAGATCGGCTCTTTACTTTCAGCAGCAGGCGGTACATCACTAGACGATCGAGGTTGATCTTGCGATGCACTTCTACGTGAATCAGGATGAAAAGCGGCAAATAGCTTCGAGGCATGCAATTTACGATCCATCTCTTTGAAAATGGTGGAAGCTGTCTTGTTGTGCGGGCTTGCGTTTGGGGAATCGGATGTGGCCATTTGCTGCTCCTTTTCTGCCTTTTTGGTTTCTTCTTCTTCTTCCTTTGGCTTTTCAGCAGTCGTTTCTAGATTAGGTGCTTCAACTGGTTGCTTTTGTGTATGGTGTGCATCACTGCTTTGTGTGGTCGAACTGAATGTACGTTCCAAGGGATCTTTGTTGAGTTGATCCAGTGGAGTCTTGAACAACTCCAACGGTGAAGAGTCACGCATTTCAACGGCTGTAGGTGTAGCTATACTAGAAGAATTGTCTGTCGATGTAGTTGTAGATTCATGTCCCACTGGTTCAGATTTTTGCAGGGCAAGAGCGAAAGGTGAATTGGGATCGTCACCTCCGCGAATGACCCATTCAGAAGCGCCGATTTCTGAATTGCAATCTTCCTTGAATCTCCGCAACATTGCATCCCGTCTATCTTTTGTGATTCTGAGTAAGGCAGGCCAATAAGCATCATGGTCGTATGCAGACTTTACATCACCGCCGAAATCCGCACTGAGCTGATCAGCAGGCACTTGGTTTCGTACTGGGTCGTCGAAATGGCATTTATTCTTTGTGACGGGATCAATGAATGGCTGAATTGCATTCCAGAATACCTTGAACACCCAAGGCACATTCACTGACCAATTCACACCCAAGTTTTCCACATAATGGTTTTGCAAGATGTACAACATCAGCTTGGCATTGGCGATGCTGGTCGGGTTGCGACTCTTGTGTTCAAAATTAATTAGAAGCGCCAATTGCTCCACTCCAGGAGGCATCATATCGATGCATCTCTCTAACAAAAACACAGCGAATTGCATTTGTCGCGGTGATTCTTTGGTATCGCTTCTATGTGGATGCATGTAGTGCACCGGTCTTGCATATTTGTCATACCCCAAAACGGTCTCCTTTCCGCATCTTGCTTCCTTTGCCATCTCTTCAGGGTTGAGATTTTCCACGCCAAATTCTCTACGCCATGCAATCGTCTCCGTCAAGCGCCTCTTTGCTTGTCTGACATCCCATTTGGTTGCTCGTAAGTATCGCAGCATGCTCTCCTTGCTTACCATACGCAGCTTTTCCCAATCGCTCAAAGGTTCACGACGTTTCTCTTCCGGTTTGAGGGAGACTGGGAAGTCTTTTTGGGATTTGAAGTGCTCGAAAACTTCTTCATACTTTTGTTGTTGTTCTTCTGTCAACTTTGCTGGTGGTGTAGGTTTGCAATCGGGATGAGGAACGGGAAAGATTCCATCAAAGCCTTGAATATGCTTTTGCTTCCCTTCTCCATCTATGCCGTATCCTGATACTCCAGTGAAAGCGGCCTTTTGATCAAATTGTTCCGGCTCCTGCCATTGATTGCGATTGCCCAATCGAGAGCCACGAGAGGAAACGCTATGGTATGCTTTGGATAACAAAGAAGGTCTGCTTGGACTGCCACCTGTACCAGAAACAGAACTTGATTTACCATGACTTTGCATGCTAGAGCGCGAGACACGCGATGTTTCACGTCGGACAGACTCCATTGTGGGAATGAGATGGTGGTAAAGAGATGAGATGATATTCACCCGAGAGATCTCGATGATAAAAAAAAGGAGAAAATGTCAAAGGGTATGACGAACTCTCCTCTTCTTCCAGGCCTCTACCCTTTATGCATAAAATGACGCCCGTTAAAATGCATTCGCAGTATTTTTTGTTTCGGGCTTGTGATCCGTTTGATTATTTTGCTGGGTAATAAGATCGCGCCGCGTTTTGTTTTGTGTACGCGGAGTGGAGAGACAGTCAATGTCCCGGACATTTACCAACCCGATTAGACCGCCGCGGACGAGGCCTAACTTTAAATTTCATGTAGAAAAGGCCACATTACGTAGCTTGCACGGTCATGCTCATTCGGCCCAAAATGGCACTTGAGCAGTGTTTTTGCAATTTTTTGATTGAATACAATATGCACGTTTTACGCTAGTGAGCTAATTTTCTAAATAAACGGCACTTTTTCAGTCAAAACGCGTCGAAAAATAAGAAAATCAATACAAATTCGTTAAGTTCACAGATCCAGTCAAAACAAGCAAAAAAAAATCCCTAGAACTCTAACCCTAACCCTAACCCGAAAACTAACCCTAACCCTAAACTAACCCTAACCCTAACCCTAAACTAACCCTAACCCTAACCCGAACCTATACGAATCCGATTGAAACTAGATGAGATTATTATTGCCGTCTGTGAAAAAAAGCGGAAGCGAGCGATTTTTTCCGAAAATTCTACGCGTATTAAAAAATGAATACAAAATAAAAATTAATACAAAATCGATTTTGACGTGCATGAGCGCAAAAAAATGGATTTTAAAGATAAAGTGCCTAAAAAATTTTTTGGGCCGAATGTCTTCGACCAGCTTGCACGCCTTGGCTGAAACCCTTTCTATCATCACAACAAACACACATTCTGTGGAGGTATTCTTCTGCAATCAACAAATGATCGTGATGACTTGGTGATAAACCGCGGATTTGATTAGATTGACAGGCTCCGCGTATTTTGCGCGGTCAAAAGTCGGTCCAAACAAGACCGACGTTGTACAAGTGCTGATGTAAGCAGACGTTGAACCTTCCTCTTCACGCGAAGCTCCTTAATTGTGATTAAATGCTCCTGTTGGCTGTCATTTTGTTCTCACACCATTTACACTGATGCTCGAATGACCTACTGCCATGTTCTAGTCTACGGCGTTAAGGACCGGCCGAAAGGAATATTTTTTAATGCATAAAGTTGCTGATCTGTATGTACGCACGCGTAAGATGTGTTTTATTTGTAAGCCAATGCAGAACGCCTTTATAACTTTTACCCAGGGCGCAACTTACACACGGGCGTTTTATTCAACGGGTAAAGTGCTACGAAACGCAAAAAGAAAAACTCTTGATAGTCAAGTACATCTTCTGATGCAAATATTCCCGTCTTTGCCATCATCATCGCAATCATGTCGTCTGCCTATTCATCAACGTCAAAGTTGATGATGAGCGGGATGACGAATGTATGGCAGAGTACACAAAGGCTGCTTCGAGATGCATCTTCCATTTCTCCCGCAAATCATTTAGCATCAGATCCATGGATTGCTACAGGTGAAGGTTCTTCTCTGGGTTCGCATTTGTTGCTCAATGAGGCTGCGAATTTGTCCAATGTGACTTCAATACATGCCCCACTCAGCTATGATCAACATACCGCATCATTTTTGGGGAAAATGTGCGATAACGCTGAAGGATGGGGACCATCTTCTACAGTTCGTGATCTAGATTTCACGCCATGCTTTCAAGATGCCGTTTTGACCATTGTACCGGGAGTGTTGCTGGCAATCTGTGCTGCGGTGACGATTTCTCAAAGAATGAAAATCCCTGCAAAGCCACTATCGCACGCCAGTCACACGATCCTGATCCTCAAACATGTCTTGGTCGGTATTCTATGCTTTTGTGCGGCACTAGAGGTTTCTCTGTCCTTCGGATCCAGCAAAATCACCAGCATTCGATTCCTCGCATCTCTCGCTCTTTTGGCTTCTTATGCACTTTCTTTACCTCTTCAACACTACAATCATACCCGCGAAAGACGTTCATCAACTGTTTTGCTCTTTTTCTGGCTGATACACTTGGTCTTTTCTCTGATCAGATTACGTACGTTGGTCACCTTTCCTTCGCCTCCAATTCAGGATAACATGGTAGAATTTGCTCTCCGTGCGACCCGAGTCAGTTTGGTATTGATCGTATTTGCGTTAGAGTGTGTTGGTGTGGAAGTAGGCGGACCCAGACCAAGTGCAGGAGGGGACCCGAAAAAGACAATTGCAAACGGTAATGGAACATCACGTCATCAGCCACAGAGCTCTTACGATTCAGCAGAAAATCCAAGTACATTCAGCATTCGCAGCGATTCCAGCGATGCAGTAGCAGGAGAAGATGCTCGTGCAGACACTGGCGAGAAGGAGTGCCCGGAGAATGTGGCCAATATCTTCTCCCGGCTATCCTTCCATTGGATGCAGCCAATGATGTCTCTTGGCTCAAAGAAATTTTTGACGGAAGAAGACATGTGGTCCTTGCCACCTGGTGAAGATGGCGAAAACTTGGGAAAACGATTTGAAGTATGGTACGGCAAAACACGCGATAAAGACGGCAAACCAATGTTCTGGACTACATTGGCAATGGCATACGGAGGACCATTCTTGTTTGCTGCCGCTTTGAAGGCTGCCCAAGATGCATTGGCTTTTGCACAACCGCAATTGCTTCGCAGGCTGTTGCAATTTGTGCAAACGTATGAAGACAAGAACGCTGTCAAAGAGCCTGCCTTTCACGGATTCTTCTTTGCTACTCTCTTGTTCATGGTGGCTGTGATTCAAACGTCGTTCTTACATGCATACTTTCAAAGATGCTTCACTACTGGAATGCGTGTTCGTGCCGGTTTGGTGAGCGCCATTTACAAAAAATCTTTAAGGCTCTCGAACGAAGATCGTTCGGGTCGCGCGACAGGTGATATTGTCAACTTGATGAGTGTTGATGCGACACGTTTGCAGGATTTGTGTACGTATGGACATATTGCTTGGTCGGCTTTGTTCCAAATGACGTTGGCTTTTGTTTCATTGTATAATTTGCTTGGATGGCCAAGTTTTGTCGGTGTTGCAATTATGGTCGTCTCAGTCCCGTTGAACACCGCCTTGGCACGATATATGCGCTCTCTTTCCGAACGTACGATGAAAGTCAAGGACAAGAGAACAAGATTGATGAACGAAATTTTGACAAACATCAAAACGATCAAATTGTTCGCCTGGGAGGAGGCCTTCTCGAAGAAACTCTTCAGTGTTCGTAATGATGAGGAATTATCACTTTTGAAATTGAGCGGAGGAGTGAATGCTTTCTTCAACTTCTTTTGGACGGCAATCCCATTCTTTGTCTCACTTTCAACATTCATCGTTTACAGCGTCGTCAATCCCGACAAGCCATTGACGGCAGATGTCATTTTCCCTGCTTTGAGCTTGTATGCATTGTTATCTTTCCCACTTGCCATGCTTGCAGGTATTGTGGCCGCCATCATTCAAGCGTTGGTTTCTGCTCGTCGTCTTTCGGCATTCTTGGATGCAGGGGAATTGGACAGAAATGCACGTAAGCTCATCCTACCACCACAGCCTCTTGATCCACTTTTGCCAGATGCACAGGCGGATATCGATACAATATCCAACACAATCGAACTCAAAGGAGCCGAATTCAAATGGTCTAGAACACAACCTGTTCCTACATTGGCTGAGTTGGATCTAACAGTCTCCAAGGGAGAATTGTTGGCCGTTTTGGGAAGAGTGGGTGATGGAAAGTCATCTCTCTTGGCTGCAATTTTGGGCGAGATGCACAAAACGGATGGTGAATGTATCGTTCGTGGTAGAACTGCTTACTTCACCCAAGGCGGTTGGTGTATGGGCGCATCCGTTCGTGACAATATCCTGTTTGGACTCAACTATGAACCTGATTTCTATCAACGTGTTTTGCGTGCTTGTGCTTTGGAACCGGATTTGGCCATCTTGCCGGATGGAGACATGACAGAAGTAGGAGAAAAGGGTGTTTCGCTTTCTGGTGGACAACGTGCTCGTGTTGCTTTGGCAAGAGCTTGTTATGCCAGGGCTGATATTTATCTGCTTGATGATCCACTTGCTGCCGTTGATGCTCATGTCGGTGCACATCTTTTCAAACATGTCATTGGTCCAGAAGGTATGCTCAAGTCGAAAACGAGAATTTTGACAACCAATACCGTCGCCTACCTTCCTCAATGCGATCAAATCGTATCTCTACGAAGAGGTGTCTTTTTGAAAGAACGTGGTACATATTCCGATTGCATGGCTGCTAAGGGAGATATCTACAATCTCATCAACGGTCTCGGTAAGCAAGCTGCAAGACATCGAGGAGAAGAAGAGGCTGCAGAGACTGGTACTTTACCCGATCCTGAAAAGCCCGAGCATGAAATGATCGATTACGATACAGAATTAGCACATGGCGCTCATGGAGAAGAATCACTCAAAGAAACCAAACTACACAGACGCCTCAGCACAGCTTCTATGCACAGACCTCGACCTCTCTCTAAACGTCAGATCAAAAAGGAAACCGTTCGTCAACTTCGTGAGACAAGACAACAACGAGAAAAATCTGAACAAGGCAGTGTGAGCTGGAACGTGTACAAAGAATATGCTTCGAGTGCAAGCATGGTTGGGTTCACGCTTTACATTGTTGCACAGGTCATGACGCAAGTCTTGCAGGTTTCCCGTGATATCGTTTTGAAGCAATGGGGTACGCACAACAGTGAGACAAACGGTGGAAAGCCTGCTGATACGAGGTTTTATTTGACCTTGTATGGATTGGTAGGTGTTTTGGCAAGTTTGGCTATTTGTATTGCTCCATTCATTCTCTATACCTGGCTAGCCATCTCCTCCGCAAAGAAGTTCCATGATGGTCTTTTCCGCGGTATCAGTCGTGCGCCTTTGCAATGGTTTGAAACGATTCCAACTGGACGTCTGCTCAATTTGTTCTCACGAGATGTCAATGTGGTTGATGAAGTTTTACCTCGTGTCTTGAACGGATTCTTCCGAACGATGATCGTTGTTATGGGTGTCTTGGTCGTTGTCAGTGTGAGTGTGCCACCGTTTTTGCTGGCCATCATTCCACTGGGTTTCATTTATCGTGCTGTGTTGCGATACTATCTCGCCACATCTCGTGAAATCAAGCGATTGGATGCCGTTAGTAAAACACCAATCTTTACATGGTTCCAAGAAAGTTTGGGAGGATTGAGCACGATTAGAGCATTTGGACAAGAATCAAGATTTATTGCCACAAATGAAGCCCGTGTGGATCGTAATCAAATGTGCTACTTCCCTTCAGTGACTTGCAATCGTTGGTTGGCTGTTCGGATTGAATTTATTGGATCAACTGTGATTCTAATCGCTTCCACACTTGCGGTTGCATTGGTTGCTTCAGGTGGAAGAATGGATGCCGGTTTGCTTGGTTTGATGATGTCACAAGCACTTTCCACAACGCAAACGTTGAATTGGGTCGTTCGATCTGCTTCAGAGGTGGAACAAAATATCGTTTCAGTTGAAAGAATTATGGGCTATACGGAAACCGAACCAGAGGCACCCTACGAAACCGAATACAAACCGCCTGCCAATTGGCCAACGCAAGGCAAAATCGAATTCAAGGGATATTCAACACGTTATCGCAAAGAGTTGCCACTTGTTCTTAAAAAGCTCAACATGACGATCAAGCATGGCGAGCGAATCGGTGTGGTTGGAAGAACGGGAGCGGGAAAATCTAGTTTGACATTGGCGCTTTTCCGAATTATTGAAGCTGCAGAAGGAGGCATCTGGATCGATGATGTGGAAAGCAATAAACTGGGTTTGAAGCAGTTGCGTTCTTCTTTGGCTATTATCCCGCAAGATCCTCAATTATGGGAAGGTACATTGCGTGATAATGTCGATCCGGGAGAAAAATACTCCGATGAAGCTCTCTGGAAAGCATTAGATCAAGCTCGGTTAAAAGAGCATGTCAGTTCTTTGGAGGGTGGATTGGATGCCATGTTGACAGAAGGTGCTTCCAATTTCTCAGCTGGACAACGTCAACTGTTGTGCGTTGCTCGTGCGCTTCTGAGGGGATCAAAGATCTTGGTATTGGATGAAGCCACTTCCAGTGTCGATTTGACAACAGATGATCAAATTCAAGAAGTCGTCCGCAAGGAGTTCAACGGGACCACCCTTACGATTGCCCATAGATTGAACACCATTTTGGACTCTGATCGTGTTTTGGTACTCAAGGATGGAGAAATTGCCGAACTGGACTCACCAGAAGCCTTACTCAAAAACAAACAAAGCATCTTCTTCTCCATGGCTGTTGAGGCAGGTTTGGCAAAAGTGTGAGGGGGGCTTTCCTGGAAACGGATTTGTTGCTTTTCACATGCTTTCTTGTATTGCACATATATAATTATAATTACATGTTATCGAACGCTCTCATGGCGCAGACAAGCAGATATCCATAAAGCTGTGAGGTGGGGCAAAGAGGTTAGAAGATGTCCCGTAAACAGCGCACCGCACCACTCACTCATCGTAGGAAATTGTGATTCGACCAGTACGTTGCACATCACGGCGAGCGAAACTTTCTGTTAAGGTCTTGACGACCACGCAACATCTCACAAAGCTGTTGAGGGGGGAAAGATGTGAGAGCTTTGTACGAAGTTCGCTTTGTTCTACAACTTACCCATCAAAGGTGATCGTTCCACGTGTACTACCTGCGACATCGGAAGAAGTGACTGCATGAGCAAATCTTAGAATGGTTTTTCATACTCTGTTAGTTTTCGAGTCTTTACCACTTACCAAACTTTTGTGTCATAAGATGCAAGAGGCGGGGGTTGAGGTTGTAGCCAAAGTTTGATAGTGCCCTGGATAACTCTCCTTGATCGATTGAACCACTTCTATCAGCATCGAAATGACGAAAGACGCCCTGCCAATCTTGAATATATTTCCACAATCCAGCAAACTGCAGAGAGGGAAGAAGGTAAGTAATGGTACCACTACACACGTCTTACATGCACTCACCTCATTAAAGGTAATTGTTCCACTACGATCATGATCAAACATGTTCATCAACAACTTAACACAATCTGTGGAGAATGGCGTCCAATCTCCATTGACGAGAGCTTGTTGTAGTTCGGTTGCATTGATTTGACCACTTCCATCTCGATCGACCGACATAAACCAACTCCACAATTGAGGATCGCCTCCTGGAGGTGGTCCAGAGCCCTGATTGAATGCTTGTGGTCTGCCACCTCCACCACCGCCATATTGCGAAGATTGATATGGGGCACCTCCATATCCACCACCTTGCTGATAGCCACCTTGCTGATAACCGCCTTGCTGATAGCCACCTTGTTGTTGAGGTGGAGGTCTGCCGCCACCACCACCTTGAGGACCGTAAGAGTATTGATATGACATTTTCGTTGGATGAAGGAGAGAGGGTGAAAAAGAGTGCATGCATATACTCGCATGGCTGTATTTCAACGTATGACTTCACGCACCCCGCCCTGTAATGTACTAGTGAGACGTCTCGCCAAACTTTTTTACTTCGAGCACCACGCGTAATGAAAAATTAAGACGCGAGTTGGATGACGGGGGTGTTGCTCTTTCTCCAAACCAACACCATCCCTATTTCTCACATCTCATCTGGCATTGATGAACCATGTCGTCAGCCCAAAATGGCGGTAATACAAATACTTGCTCGGTCTCTCTGCATGTCCCAACTTCCTCGGTACATTTCGGACCCGATATAGTTGAAGATGAAATACCAGCACAATTCAAAGCACCTCCTCCGTCGCAGCCGAGAAGGCCACATCCAGGTGGATTGGATACTCTGCAGGAAGCATCTCATGTCAATGCATTATCACAAGCAACAGGACCTTCACCTGCAAGCTTACAAGCAGTAATGGAAAATATCTCACTATCTCAAAAACAAGGAACAAATCAAAAAGTGGAAGCACTTTTGACAGCCGCTTTAGCATCTCTATCTCCCAGCAATCGTAGTCGTGCGATCACAAAGGCAAAAGGGTACGATAGCATAACAGTCCAGCTCGCCAACGAACGCTGGAGAGAGAGGTGGAGTAGATTATGCTTGGCTCCAAGTGAAACAGTTGCGTCTACTTCCGCGTCTTCAGTTGGAGGAAATGCATCAAAAGCATTTGCAGCAGGCGATCCAGGAGGTATGGGAGGTAGCTGGGAAGTACTTGCACAGGCAAGCGGAGCGGGAGGATTGAATGTGCCGATGGAAGGTGCTCTGAATGGTGCTACAAAAGCGGGAAAGATGGTACGAAGTAGTAGCCGAAAGCATATAATTGAAACGGCACCTGCAGGCACAACATTGAGCTCATCTGTCACGCCAACGCTTGGAAGGATCGATGAAGGATCAGAACGTGTTCGAGAAAGCAACACATCACCCATCAATGAAACCCAAAAAGAAGCTGAAGCCTGGCGAAAGTCACCAAGCTTTAATCCGAGCGAATTGAATCTTACAAAGTATGAGGATAGCGATGGCGTGATTGCAATCATCAGTCCATGGATCGAGCTTGATTCTTGGGATGAAGGTATTCGATTAGACTCGGAAATTGCACTACGCCAAGAACTCTCTTACGCTTCGCATTTGGGAATATTGCAAGTTGTTCTTCCTCCCCCATCCAGCGATCCAGCATGTCGTCCTTATCTCGTCGACTATGCCCGTGCAATCGCAGGCTGTCTTGTCTCTCGTGGATCAGAAGCTCCAGCTGCCGGTCATTTCATGCGCCTTTCTATCAGACTACCGATCTCCAGCCCATATGCATCAGCTCAAATGATGCTCAAAACAGGAGTTGGCGCCAGGCCTTTGAGTATTTCCAGTAATAGCTCCAACGGTACAGCACAGATGCGTTCAGAAGACGATTGGAGTTGGCAAGCATGGCATGTGATTCAATCGGTGTGTGCATTTAACGCACGATTGGGTGTTGCTATCGATCTTTCAGCACCTCTGCCTTCTCCTGCTATCCTGGAGAGATGGAACGCTGAACCGGTCTCACACATTTGGCTACCAGCGAGGGCATTTTTGAGTAATGCAAAAGGCTATCCCGTTCTATCAAAAGCAACACAATCTTTCTTGCGTTCCATCATTTCGGTCAAAGCACCTCAACTTGCCTTTATCTTGACGGGTACGCAAACGCCTCCAGAGAACCATACTCGAGGAGGACAGGCGGCTTATGAGCAGTACATTCGACACACTGAGCGAAACATTACCTCCAATATGACTGAAACAGATCTACAGGTTCGCTCATACTCTGATTACCTGCAAGCTCCATTGCAGCCGCTATTTGACAATTTGGAAGGACAAACGTATGCCACATTTGAAGCTGATTCGATCAAGTATGAAAAGTATGAAGAGGCAGTCTATCAAGCGTTGTCTTCGCTACCTCCCAAGAATATCATTAGTGTTTGGGTATGCGGTGCTGGTCGTGGGCCGTTGGTGAGTCGGTGTATTCAAGCTGCACGTAAAGCATCGAGAACAATCAAGGTTGTTGCTCTAGAGAAGAACCCAAATGCGATCGTTGGCTTGCGTGAAAGAGCAACTAACGAATGGGGACAAGATGTTGTACGAGTGGAAATGGGAGATATGAGAACGGTAAAAATCTCACCCAGCGAGAAAGCGGACATCATCGTCAGCGAATTGCTTGGATCTTTTGGCGATAATGAACTAAGCCCAGAATGCTTGGACGGGGCAATGCGGATCTTGAAGCCGAATGGAATCTGTATTCCACGTGCCTATAGCTCGTACATCACACCAATCTCAACGCCAAAGCTGTATGCAGAAGTGTCCAAAGGAACACCGATTCAAGCCAGCTCAGGGATTTCCTCGGAAGATCGAAAGGTAAAGGCAGCCGAAACGCCATATGTGGTGCTCTTACGTGCAGTCACTTACCTTGCAGGTCGTGGCGGTAAGGAGGAAATGCCGGAAGTGCAACATTGCTGGACATTTGATCATTCTACGCCACCTGCTGTGCCATTATCGTATGACGGCTTACCGCTCACAAACGCCCACAACGTGCGTTTATCTTCACACACCTTTCATATCCCTCGCCAATCTGTTTGTCATGGCTTAGCAGGTTCATTTGAAGCACATCTTTGGGGGAACGTTGTTTTGTCAATCCATCCAGACCCAAGCCGAGCAACGCAAGGGATGAATTCATGGTTCCCACTCTATTTTCCATTCAAAGAACCGCTTTATCTGGCCGCTGAATCGGAATTGGATGTTTCGATTTGGCGTCTAACATCGAATGACCGCGTTTGGTATGAATGGATGGCGCAATCCTTTGCAATTTCCAACAAGCCAAGTCGAGCAACATCTCTATCTGTTTTAGAGAACGAAAGCGTTCGATCCTCATCTGTATCATCACAACCACAACAACAAAAGAATAACGGTCGGGTACGATTCGAAGGTGTCAACTCTGATGCTTTTCAAAATGCTCCCAATACGCCAAGGTTATCCGACACCACTTTACCGGGCGAACCATCTACTTCGCAAAATGCTGCTATTGCTGAACGATCGCTAATAGGAATGACTGCATTGATGAATCCGGGCGGAAGAAGTTCTTCTGTGTACATGTAAAAAAAAAACTTGCAATTGAATGTGTATTTTACCTATAACCCGTTGGGATCTCAGGAACGTTGTTTGCAGAGTTTGCCGTTCAACCCTCTTTAGGGCGTACCGAACGCCGCCTTTTACCCAATCGAAGTGGCTGCATTTCAATGCACAACGAGAGAGATTCGCGTAAATTTGTGTTTGTGTTACTCTTAAGCGCCTTTTGGCGCGAATCTTTGGGCTAAAAAGATGTTGTAGAAAAAGTTTTCGTTAGTGCTGCAGTGCTTATCTTCCAATGCGGAAAAAAATGCTTGCACTTCATGATAAAATAGGGAAAAGGAGATCCTTGCTCGTCATCATCATCCATCTTGCCTTGCTCACTCACCGATAGGTGAATAGCATCTAAACAGCTTGGCAAATGATGATGCTTCAACGTAGTGCAAATGTCGCCTTTCGAGGTTTATCAGTGTCGAGAGTTGTGCAGAGAAATACTGTCAATCTGACGCCGCTCTCGAGACGATTCAACACCACAGATGCCACCGTTCCTCCACCACAATTCAACACTCCTTCTCCAAAGCCTTCCAAACCTGTTGCTGAACCCGTAGCACCAGCCACACCGGTCACGCCAGCCACTCCGGTCAAGGTCGAACTCAACAGCGCACCCCCACCACCTCCACCATCTGCGCCTTCCCCCAAGAAGAAGAGAGGATTCTTTGGAAAGGCGAAGTTGGTTTTGGGATATGGTTCTTTGGCTTTCTTGGTTGCCGCTGGATACTTTATCTATGAAGCAAACCATCCTCCTGCCGAGCAATTACCCTTTGATCCAAGCAAAAAGACTTTGGTAATCCTGGGAAGTGGTTGGGGAGCAACAGCTTTGATTGACAGCATCGATACGCAAGACTACAATGTGGTTGTTATCAGTCCATACAACTACTTCTTGTTCACACCTCTTTTGCCTTCAGTCACTGTCGGAACCTTGAACGGTCGCTCAATCACCCAACCTACTCGTCATATTGTCCGTTACAAGGATCGGGAAGTCCAACTTCTCGAAGCAGAAGCTACAAAAGTTGACCCAAAGAGCAAGACTGTCACCTTTGAAGACAAGAGTGATATGTATGGAAGTATCGGAACTGTGCAAATCCCTTATGACTACTTGGTGTATGCGGTCGGAAGTCAAAACCAAACATTCGGTATCGAAGGTGTAAAGAAACATGGTCTCTTCCTCAAAGAGCTAAGTGATGCCGAATCAATCAGGAGAAGATTGATGGATTGGTGAGTATTTGTTTGAGTCTGCACAAAAGGATGAATAACACACAAATCTTCCTTATCTACATTATCGGACCGAGCTTCCCTTTCGGGAAGTCTCAGAATGGTCGATAAATTGTGCAGGGGTTCTGATTCACCTGGTGTGCTTTTGCGGGATTTCAACTGACATGTTCTTCTCCCCCTCATTTTAGCGTCGAGAAAGCTTCTCTCCTCGGTCAGTCAGAAGAAGAAATCGATCGTCTCTTACACTTTGTCGTAGTAGGTGGTGGTCCAACTGGTGTAGAAGCAAGCAGTGAATTCCGTGATTTCGTTCGGGATGATTTGTCAAAATGGTACCCAGCAGTATCAGGTCGTGTCCGCGTCACCTTGATCGAAGCACTACCCAACATTCTTCCTTCCTTCTCCAAGAACCTCGTCGAATTCACCGAACACGTCTTCAAAGAGAATGAAATTCAAATCTTGACAAAGCACATGGTAAAAGACGTTGACGAGAAATCCGTCACTGTTCAAGATCCAACCGGCAAAATTGTCAACATCCCAACCGGAATGCTGGTTTGGGCAGCGGGAAACACAGCCAGACCACTCACTCGTGATCTTCAGGAACAGCTAAAAGACGAACAAACAAACCGTCGTGGCTTGTTAGTCGATGACAACCTCCGCCTATTAGGCGCCGAAGAAAGCATCTTTGCAATCGGAGATGCAGCAGCAACCAATGCTCCACCAACCGCCCAAGTTGCCAATCAACAAGGTCGTTATTTAGCCGGAATCTTTGAAAGTTTAGCCAGAATCGACAGAGTAGAAGCAAAGCTAATCAAAACCCGTCAACAACCTGAATCTCCAGAAAAAACAGCCGAAATCAGCAGACTTGAACGTAAACTAGAAAGAACAAAGGCAACCCTAAAACCTTTCCACTACACCAATCGTGGTGCAATGGCTTACATCGGTACCGAACAGGCCATCTTGGACTTGCCATACGGAAGCGTTCAACTTTCTTCCGGTGGCTTCCTTACCGGATTGGCATGGAGTAGTGCTTATTGGAGCATGCTCTTCGGTATCCGTTGTCGTGCTTCTGTGGCGCTAGATTGGCTTCATGTCCGTATCTTCGGTCGATCAATCGAAGCTTTGCGTTGAGATCATAGATGCATGTACTAATGAATGATATTTATATAAGATCACATTCTTTGTGTGATAGTGATGTTAGGGTTAAGTTCCTGCTTAAGGCACTCAGGAACATTTTGATCGAGACACTTCCCGCATGGTTGAAGGATGGGAGCGCAAAATAGAAAAAAAGTGATCCACAAAAAAGAGGTCAAGAAGAATAAAAAAGGAAAAAAAGAAATTGCCCCCTACTGGAATCGAACCAGTCATCTTATCATGGCGGTGATACTAGTGTGATATACTAGTGATACGCATCCCCAAACTGCTCAGAGGGCAGCTAACCCTTTGGTTACAAGCAATCATTTTATTTGGGATAAAAAATTTAACAAACAAGTACATCCAGCAAACCCGTTGCCGAATTTTGTAACAGGAGTTTGTTGTCGGAGTCGCGCGCCCCTATGCACGCTAATGCACGCAAAGGGCCTGTGCCTCGCCCACTTCAAAGAATATTCCCTTCCCGCACATGCCAAGAAGTGGGCTTTTAATCTTGCGCATGCATTTTACGGAGTTCAGTGGTAGAACGTGACTGAAACAGTACAGGTATGTACGCATTGTATGTATGTGAAGCTAATCCACATTGGGTTGCGCAAGGCACAGGAACAGTCCAAAGCGCAATTCATTTTACTAGCGTAAATCGAATAGTTCAACTGCACAATGTTTACATGCCCTCATTAGCTAACTTTGTGTAGATTTTTGCTCCCCGTGTGCCGCTGCCTAGAACCGCCGCTTTGCATTCAAGTAAGGAGACACTGACTATGTGCGGTTTCATGCGAGGCGGAAGATGGTGTCATTATCCGCACAAATATATAGCCCGTAGGCCCAGAAAAAAAGAAAACAAGGATGAGCTAGCGAACGATTGATTGATCTAGCTAGGGCTTCTATTTCGAATCCTTTGCACCCTTTACTAGATTCACCCTCATCCATCTCTTTCCCGCCATCATCCCTACCTTCTTTTACCATCACATTACTCTCATTCAAAATGACTGAGCCGCAAAATCCAAACTTTTTACAAGAGCACAATCGGCCAAATACGCCAGGTACGCCGGGTACTTTCGATACAAGGTACAGTGGAAACTTTCAAGATAATACCGCCTTTGCTTCGCAGTATGACCCCCACAACCGCGCTTTGTCCCCTTCACCTTTACAAGATTCCAACAAAAACACATACTATTTCGAGAAGAATGGTGGAGCGGCAGCAACAGAAGCTGGCGCTGCCGGAGGAGCTGGTGCAGCAGCTGGTAACGGTGCATCAAGAGGTGGAATCGTGGGATGGATTAAGCGCCACCCTTTCATCACAGGATTAGTCGCTTTGGTGATCGTTGGTGCTGTAGTCGGAGGTGCAGTTGGAGGAGCTGTTGGATCGCACAAGACCAATGATATCGCCAACGGATCCCACGATAATGCAAGCGGAAGTAGTTCAAAGGGCGGGAGCAGCAATTCCGGCTCAAATTCAGGCACTAACGGTTCTGGTTCTGGTTCTACCTCCTCCAAACCCATTACGCCTCTACCAAAATGGAACCTGACCGACCCAGAATCCAAGATGGTCGGTGTTTCAATCGGTAATTGGCTTGTGTTGGAACGTTGGCTTAGTGAGGATTGGTTCGTTAGTGAAGTTGGCAACGGTCCAATTTGGGATGAGTGGGGATTCACCCAGACTTTGGGTAATGACAAAGCACTTTCAGCACTTCAACAACATTGGAATACGTGGATCAACGAGAGTGACTTTGACACGATGAAGTCAGTGGGTATCAACACCGTCCGTATTCCAGTCGGCTATTGGGCATTTGTTGACACTGCTCAAGGTGAACCATACCTGTCCAAGGCAGGTCAGACTGATCAATTGCAGAAGGTGCTTGGATGGTTGTACGATCGTGGGATGTATGCATTCATTGACTTGCATGGTATGCCAGGATCACAGAATGGTGATCAATCTTCAGGTCATAATGGAACGATCAATTGGTTCAACAGTGAATACTTTGGTTACAGCTACAACGTCTTGAATGCCACCATTGACTGGGTCAAAGCAAGCAATTACTCGAGTGTGGTGCATTCCATCTGCCCTGTCAATGAGCCAAGGCCAGGAACGGATTCGGGTAAACTTTCTCAGTTGACGTCATACTACGAAACAAGTTACAATCTTTTGAAGAACGCCGGCTTTATCATGCAATTCCATCACGGCTTCCTCAACAACCCATTCCAAGCATGGGCTGACTTTGCTACCGGCAAGGATCCCAACTACATTGCATTCAACAATAACCCATACCCAGGTTGGTTCCCGTCGAATCCTAATGCGAACAATATCATCTCACAAGTGTGCACTATTGCACAAGAATCGTCTCAATTCCCGGTTCCCGTTGTGCAAACGGAATTCTCTCTTGCAAATGGTGTTGGAACTTCTTCATTCAACACAGAGTTCTACAACACCGAAGTTTCTGGTTACTCATGGTCAGCTGGAAGTATCTTCTGGACATGGAAGGCACTTCATTCTTCAAATCCCATCCAAGCAGAGCCAAACAACATTATGGATCTTTACTCGCTGGGCACAATGATACAAGAAGGAGTTGTGCAAAAAGTGAACCCAAGTGCCAAGCCGTTGGATACGGTTAAGTCACTTCCCAACCAACAATGTGGTACTATTCCAACGGTTACGTGGAGCAACCCATCGGGAAATACGCAGACCAGCAAGAAGCGCTCATTTGCTGGTAAGCGTATGACTTCATCCCATTAAAAAGGACATTTTCTCTGTATCCATTACATCATATTTTTACTCACTTAGCACTTGTATATACATATTCGTTTTCTCTTCATTCCGATCATTTGGATTTTTTCTTGCGTTTGACGATTGAGGAAGTGAATGCGACATTGTATTCGCTTGCCGCATTGATGCGAGATCGGCAGGCATCATCTTCTACAACGACGAAATCAGCTTTGGCGGCTGGGCTCGGATTAGGAGGTGGAAGGCTGTTGGATCATTATCGGGCAGACGTGTGCCTGATTTGTAGATCGACGTCGGAAAAGGAGATTTGTTTGGATTGCCGAGAAGGAGAGTCGTCAACGTCTTTTCAGGTGGAAAGCGAGTTGAGATCGTATGAAGAGCGTGCATGGAGTATTGATCGGATCTGTTCATCTTGTGCGAATGGTGATGTAGCAAGTGAACATACACCATGTGTGAATTTGGAATGTCCGATTTTGTATGAGAAATATAAGACACAAGACGAGTTGACAGCTCGGATCGAACTACAAAAGAGGTGGGAAGCAGCAGTCGATTCCCGCAACGGCTCAACGGCTGAGTCGTTGCAGTGGTAATGTAGATTATTTGTACCATAAACATAACATCAATAGAGCAATCATCAATAGGTCACAATTTATCCCATAGCACTGCCCTCTCTAGCGTAGCCTGTCAGAACATTAATAGAGTAATAATCAATAGGTATTCGCTGATTTGAACAGAGTACATGTACAAGCTTTACAGATTATGAAGTTGACCCGGGAGGAATCTCTCCCTTCGCAGCAGCAGCCTTAACGGGCTCAAAGTATGGATGATCTTGCGCTTCTGCTGCCGTCAAACGCTCTTGGTGATCATAGCGCAGTAATTTATCCAAGAAGTCGATCGATTCGTTGGAGATGTATCGTTGGTTTTCCGTTGTGACGAATCTTGACCAGGGCCTTCTTTGCCATCTTCCACTCAACACGTCATCCAATTCGGGATCCAGATCGATCTCATACTTTTCCAAATAGGCATGGAAATCATCCGTTCCTAGAACGCGAACGATCTTTTCCAACTGGTTGCTGTTTGAATGACCATGGAAGAATGGCTCTTTACGGAAGATCATACTTGCAAACATGCATCCTAAACTCCACATATCCAACGAGTAATCATACTCTTGAAAATCAACCAACAGCTCGGGACCCTTGAAGTACCTTGATGCAACCCGGACGTTGTATTCTGTGTACGGATGGTAAAACTCAGCCAATCCCCAATCAATCAGGCGCAACTTTCGCTTCTCATGATCGATCATGACATTGTGTGGCTTGACATCTCTATGCATGATGCCGCGGGAATGGCAGAAGTCCAACGCTTTCAGGAGTTCGAATATGTAGAATCGAACGTCAAAGTCGGTAAATTTAGGGTATAATGTCTTGAAGTCTGTGTTGTTGACGTATTCCGTAATAATGGAAGGCGTTTTTGACTGTGGATCTCTTACAACGTCTAAAAGTGCCACAACGTTGGGACCGCCGGCCAAATTTTGAAGAATCTTGATCTCACGCTTAATCTTCTTCTTTTTGACAGGTTTCAGAACTTTGATGATGCATTTTTCTGGTGAAGAGGCACCAGCTACCATTACGCCTTCGAATACTTCGGAATATTTTCCTCTTCCAACTTTGCGAAGGCACTCGAAATTGTCTTGGGTTCCCCACTGAACGGCTAAATTATCATAGTCCCACCATGATCGACCGAATTTGTCGTTAGCGTTTGCATATACCCTGGCAACGCTTCTGCCACCGGACATGATTGCTGTAGATGGTGGTGGTTGAGAGATGGCTTTCATGGGCGCGTGCGCTACGCCTGTTCTTTCAATCTTCTACAGCCTGCGCGCCGCGCAGGCTGACTGACAGGCTACGCTAGAGAGGGCAGTGCTATGGGATAAATTGTGACCTATTGATGATTGCTCTATTGATGTTATGTTTATGGTACAAATAATCTACATTACCACTGCAACGACTCAGCCGTTGAGCCGTTGCGGGAATCGACTGCTGCTTCCCACCTCTTTTGTAGTTCGATCCGAGCTGTCAACTCGTCTTGTGTCTTATATTTCTCATACAAAATCGGACATTCCAAATTCACACATGGTGTATGTTCACTTGCTACATCACCATTCGCACAAGATGAACAGATCCGATCAATACTCCATGCACGCTCTTCATACGATCTCAACTCGCTTTCCACCTGAAAAGACGTTGACGACTCTCCTTCTCGGCAATCCAAACAAATCTCCTTTTCCGACGTCGATCTACAAATCAGGCACACGTCTGCCCGATAATGATCCAACAGCCTTCCACCTCCTAATCCGAGCCCAGCCGCCAAAGCTGATTTCGTCGTTGTAGAAGATGATGCCTGCCGATCTCGCATCAATGCGGCAAGCGAATACAATGTCGCATTCACCTTTGGTAATTCACGAAACCAGGATTCGACATCAGCTCCCAACAAGTTGAAAATGCGAGACAAAGGTGGAATGAGTCCTCGGGTAATATAATATAATCCGTTGATAGTTTGACGTCGATCTTTGAGCATTGTCATCGGATCGCGAGCCAAGTCGATTAGTCTGGACTTGCCCGCCCCTTGACTGATCACATAAGGTACCCGTTCTCCGTATTGACATTGACTGCGCTTATCGATCAGCATTCGTTTGGCAGCCAATGCGGCTCCAGGTGGTGGTACTCCATTTTCACTGTAGCTTCCCAGCTTGACTTCTTTGGCAAAGGTAAAATCTTGGATGGAAATCTTGCCTTGAAGGATTTTCATCCATTGACGTTGACAATATGCCTTTACTTGAGATAAATCTTGCGTTCGAAATAAGATTCGGATACAAGCTTCCACCATTCTTTGTTGAGCGGGAAAGCCGTCCCGACGAACGGTTTCGATTCCCTTTGCATTGAATGCAGGAACGACATCCGATAGAGTTTCATACATGAAACCGACGTACCTTTTCTTCGCTAAGAGTACGCTAGGAAGATACACTTTTTCAAACTTGAGTTTAATCGGTTTGGGATTGTTAGCAGTGATTGTATCAGCGATCTCATTGCCGATTCGGAAAGCTTCTTCCTTTGTGCGATTTTCAAGGTAGATGAATAAGCTGTCGGTATCTCCATAGACCACTTGTGCACCCCACTGTGACGTTCCGTGAATGGTTTCAATGGCTTTCTCAAGTGTCTCCCTACCGTATCTGACAATGCTATCGGCAATTTCAACGCAAGGCATTCTTCCTGAAAATGTTGCACTGGTGTAGCCATATGTGACGTTTGCCAACAACTTCAAACTCAATTGACGGGCATTCTGCAGTCGTACAAAAGCACGGTCATGTTTGTTGCCCTTTACACTTGCCTTGACCATCACGCGGGTGTCCAAGATTTCTGTCAACATCTTTGCCAGAAGGGATTTGCGAACATGTGATTTGGCATAGAGGATACCATTTGGTGCAGTAAAGCAGTCCTTTTCCAACATGGTGAATAAACCTCGTGGTAGATCATGTGACGTATAGCCAAGCTTCCAGCTGTCCCTAAATTTTGAAATACGACCCAAGCAGGTGCTATAGCAGATATTGTATGCAATCATTACACTTGGATACAACGATTGGAAATCCAAAACCAACACTGGCCCTTTGTAGAACGCACTCAACGGTTCCATGACCAACGGTAGATCTTCAGCAGCATTCTGAATACCTACTTGTTGTTGACTAGGTGAAGGAAGAACGAAACTTTCTGGCTTAGCGATCCTAAACATTACACTCTCGACTTTGAATTGTGAGCCTCTACTGATGACCGAAAAGAAGTCAATACCATAAATACGAGCGAATTCTGCCGTTCGAAAGACCATTTCAGAGATTTCAATGAGCTCCAGATCTGTTTCTACCCTCTCTACCCAGTACAGAAGCGCTCTTCCTCGTTGTTGTGGGACATTGCTATTGTACCATTGTGTGATTGTTTGATAGTCAAATTTCGGCACTCTCCTGCGCAAAAGATGAAAGACGACATTCTCATACGAGTATACGTTCAACGCCAACTCTCCACGCATCAACCTCCAAATGTTCAGAGTATGCCGGCCTGTGAAACGTAAGCTGGAGTATTGCGTTGCTCCCCATCGATCATCACGACTTCCAGTGCTGAAAGAGTTTACCCGTCCAATCTCGATTGTGAGGTCATAATTGAAGTGCAATGCCGCTCTTTCCACAAGATAGCCCCAAGAGGTTGAATGGATTTCATAACCAACAATGATCTCAGGATCAAAGAGGCGTACAAGATCAATCAAAGCATTGAACATATCCAGCTCTGCATCAACCATCTCCACAGCCAGATGGGAGATGCCTAGTCGATTGGGGTTGATAGTTTCCGAGCTGGATTGCAAAATGATCAATCCTGACCGCAAACCAGGTCTGCTTCCTGTATCATCCAACGTTTCATCTTCATTTTGAAATGAATAGGCAATGGCTTGAACTGCATCTTTGGCAGGATCTGGATGAAGCGTTCCTCGAGTGCAAACCAAAATCTCAACAGCCAATATGGTCATATGCTGTTTGCCACGTTGAACAAGTGAAGTCTTTTCACGTTGACTGAGTTTGAATCCAAAGGTGGGTGCTTGAGTGATTGCAGGCTTTTGCGTCATGAAGCGTTTTTGCCGATCTCTGGTGCGCTGAGAAGAGGCGATTGCTTCTTCTTTTGCCCATTCTTTTAGCTCTGATCGTGCTGGTGGTAGCCTGCCAAACTCCCATTGACGAATATGCTTACCATCCACCTCACTCGCCTTACTTGTCTCATCAAAAGGCAGCAAGTGTGGAAGGGTTACCGATGCAAATGCAAATGTTCGACCTGCATATTCTCGTGCTTTTGGAACGTCGAATGGGTTGGAAAAGTACGGGTCCTTGTGTTCCACAATCGGTAAGCCAAAGTATGGAAAAGAATCCATCACTTCTGTTTTTGTAGGAGCACGGGCACCATAGACCCACTGCGTTTGCTTCTTGTCGACAGCAGATGGTCTAGATGGGAATGAGCTTTCATCAAATCGTACTCGTGTTCTGGCACTGGTTCCCTCGCTAGACATAGTCTCATCCCGATTCCTTTTCCGCTTGAATGGAGACTTTGCAGGTGATGAGCTTTGGCCGGAGTATGATTTCCGTTCTTTCTTCTTTTGTCGTTCCTCTTCATCGGATTCATCATCGGCTCTCTCTGCAGATTGAAGCTCTTTTTCGTTTCTACTCATATGCTTCTGGAATGCCTGACTCGAAAAGAATGCCAAATCCATATCTGCAAAGATTGGCGTCGGTTGCTTCCCGCTGTTATTTGAAGCATCCTTCAAATCTTTGCTGTTCGAAGAAGAATCTTTCACCGGAGAGAAACCTTGCGACAATCTTTTCTCCAAGTCATACACCGATCCGATTTTGCCTGTTTGAGATGCACTGACATCCGAGGTGCTGCCACCATCAGGTCGTGCATTATGTTTGTCAAACCCATGTATCAGTAGAATGCTATCAAAAGTGGTGACAATATGTGCATCCAAAGCTGCCACTTTTGTAAACGTATTCTTGGATCTATCACCTGGTTGCAAGATCTTTTCCTCATTCTCCCTTCTGAATTGCATCATCGATTCATGCCTTTCTGCTGCAAGCCATTTGGGCGATTCATCCTCAGCAAACTTTCGTTGATCGCCAGATGTGTCAGGTTCGGGAATCGTGGGAGAGAGACCCGCATTTATCCGACGAATTTGTTCTTCTTCCCACAGTCCGGTTAAACTTGGTACCAACTTTTGACCTGTACGTTTTTTCAGCACTTGAGTCTCATCGAATGTGTTGTGTTGATTTCGGCTAGAGAGTCGAAGTCTGTTGAGAATATCAATGCAATGACAGTCAATCTCAAGAGCACAATAGGAGTTCCTCATTATGTTTTCCGGCAAGACCAGCTGTGTGGGAATCGTGACGCTGTTCCATTGTTTCAGCTGACCATCAACACCATCATGACTTTCTTGCGAGCGAAAGGGATCAGCTTCGGGAAGAGGTAAACGGAACATGACATGCTCCAAACCCACATAATCACATCCGTACAAATTGAAGTCCAGCATAAACTGTAGGTTGTATCGTATATGCACTTCATAAGGCTGCATTTTTGTCCCCATCACCTTTCCGCTTTGCAGAATTGTAGCGATCCGCACATTTTGACCAGGATCAACAAATGATATTTTGAGAAAGTAACGCCAGCCGACATGATATCCATAAAATGGAACACCTTTGCATAAATGAATTGCTGCAATAAACTGAGCTTTATCCATATCATTTGGATCACGACGAAGAGATGCTGCGATGGCTATGTTGAGCTCCCTTCCAAGTCGATGAATGTAGGACAACACTGAATCAGGCTTCAAACTTCCTTTGTAAGGCACATAGCAATACGGAAAAACTCCATGAATGTGAGCGCATACCCGTTGACCGGCCGGAGTTGCACCGAAGATTCGAATGACGGGAACTCTTCTCAACAGCTGACCGGGTGAATTGAATGCACTTTCTGCACGATCCAGTGGACCGGGAGCGGTAAGTACATGATCTATGTTGATCAAACGAACGCGAAACAAAGGCGTTGGAACGGATGCTGCAGTCGTTGCACTTTTAACGTCTTGATTGATGTCGGAGTTTTGACTGGACCTAGGGAAAGAAGGCATCTTGATGCTCGTCACCGAAGTATTATCGTCATCTTGATCCTGATGATGGTACTGAGCAATTGATTTCTCCACACCATTTTGATTGGAACGCGCCCTTGTTATTAGCTGATCCAATTTCCCAAGCTTTAGTTAGGGTCCTTAATCTTATCTATAAAATGAAAAGCAGCCAATCAACTAGAATTTCTTAGTGCATTTCAAATCTGTAAAACATCTTCCTTCTTCCACAACGATCATCATTAGCCACAATGGAGACACCTTCAACGGGTGCGTCCTTGATGCTAGCCTTTCGTCCTATCGGCCGGAAGATCATAGTACTAGGAACCCGCAGATTAGCAGCTTCTCGAATCGTCAACATTCTAGAAGCCGATGCGATTCCCGTCTTGATCGGGATTGATTGCGCATCAGTACAAGAAGCAAGCGAAGAAGTTCGATGGAGGGTGGAGCAAAATCAGTGTACGTTCCAACAAGCACCACAATACGATACACCGTCAGCCTGGTCTTCACTACTGGATCAGCTGGATGAAGGAAATAGAAGTGTATTCGCCGTTTGCATCTGTGATACTCTACATGCAGGGGATGAAGAAAAGATCTCAAACTCCTCTTCTTCCGACAAGCTATCACCGCTAGACCGTGCAAAAGTCGTTGTCCAACTCTGTCGGGAAAGAAGGATACCGGTCAATGTCGCGGATCATCCCGAACTTTGCGACTTCACTTTTCCCGCCTCGCATCGATTTGCAGCCACAAAAGTGGGTGAAGACACGAGTCTATCAGCCTCCGCCTCATCTTTGCAAGTTGCAGTGACGACAAATGGACGTGGATGTAGACTGGCAACTCGGATACGAAGAGAGATTGTATCAAGCTTACCTCGAAATGTAGGGGATGCGGTTGAAAGAATCGGAGATATGCGAGAGATGGCAAAGGGAAGGCAGGAAAGACGAAAGAACGGCGCAAGAGAACCTTCTCTTCGTAGAAAGGCCTTTGGAGGAGAAGAGGTGGAGGAAGAAGATCTCTCTTTTGATACAACACCCATCAACAGTCCCGTACCACAGATTGGAAACACAAGCAAAGAGTACATCAGTGCAGGAGTAGCAGCAGCATCGGAACGCTTACTCGCAAGGGAAGCAAAGTTGATGGAAGACAGAAAGAGGAGAATGCGCTGGGTAGCACAAATGAGCGAATACTGGCCAATCGCATACCTTGGCTCTCTTACGAAACCGGACATGGTACGAGCACTTGAAACGTATGCAGGTGAAAACAAAGATGATCCACCGCCTGTACCACTAGACGTGGTTGATGAAGAGGCAACAAGGGGAAGAGATAATACTCGACCAGCTACGGCAGATCAGGTTCCTGGAAGACGAGCATCGTCTCAACACAGCTTGGCGATTCCTCAACCAACAAGTTCGCATACGAGCGAAAAAGGGCACATCTATCTGGTCGGATCTGGACCTGGTCATCCAGGGCTGCTAACGGCAATGGCATATCGACTCTTAACATCCAAAGATACGGATATTGTTTTGTCGGATAAATTGGTCCCTTCTCCCATCTTATCCTTAATTCCAAAACATATCACCTTGCACATCGCACGCAAGTTCCCGGGAAATGCAGAAGGAGCTCAAAGCGAATTGATCGCATTAGCATTAGAAGCTGCAAAGCAAGGAAGATGTGTCGTTCGATTGAAACAAGGGGATCCATTCGTATACGGTCGTGGGGGAGAAGAAGTTTTGGCATTTGCAAGGGAAGGTATAAGTACAACAGTCATTCCTGGAATCAGTAGTGCCCTTGCCGCTCCTCTCTTACTCAACATTCCCGTCACGCAAAGAGGAGCTGCTGACAGCATGACTTTGTGTACTGGTGTTGGGAGAGGCGGAAAGAGTGTCAGATTGCCAGGATATGAACGTAGCCGTAGCTTGGTCATTCTGATGGGCGTTGCACGATTGCATGATGTCGTCAAAACGCTTTGTCATGGCTGGAAGAGTGCATTGGGCGAAGGAGCAGTGATTTCAGACACGCCAACTGGTGTTCGACTTGGTATGCCTTTCCCGCCTTATACACCCATTGCAATCATTGAACGTGCTTCTTCAACAGATCAAAGAATGGTAGCATCTACTTTGGAAGGCATAGAGAAAGCCTTGACTGCAAGTGGAGAACAGAGGCCGCCAGGGATGATGCTTGTAGGATGGACAGCAATGGCATTGGACGGAGGAGGAAAGGGAAATGTGGATGTGCTAGATGACGAAGACAAACTAGGTGATGACGCTGCAATGCTGGAGAAAGCAGATCGAGACAGAGTAGACAGATGGTTAGGCAAAAAGGGATGCATTATTCGTGAAGGTTTGGACGACGCATATACCCGCGAATTAGCACTTTCAGCGTCATACCCTGCTCAAATGGGAGAGGATGTTCCCGAGACATCCACTCGAGGACCTTCTGGCTGGGCACCACCACGATATGGAAACGATGGAATTCCACGCGGAGGCTGGGGTGAAGGTGAAAAAAGTGTATAATATAGAAAATCATAGAAATTTCATGTTGCTATAGCTGTTACAGTCTTCCATTTGGAGTTCTTCTTAACGACCTCCACCAGTTGCACCGGCAGAAACTTGATTGCCGAAGTTCTTTGAATCGTTTGTAGATCCATAACGGTCCTTTGCACTTGCACTTTGCAATTCACCTTTCTCGAGAATTTGTTCTACAACTGCGGTATCGTTGTGAGTTCCAAAAATGGTATCCAATTGTTGTTTTGAAGGTCTGCCAAGAATACCTTGAGCACCTTGACCGGTATGGAAAACTTCGAAAGCATCAACGACTTCTGTCAATGGGATGGTTTTGTCACCTGCTTTCCATTTTCTGTATTCTTCGCCATTGACGATCACTTGGAATAAATCCGTTTCAGTTGGGTCGTGCTGAGAGAGAGAAGGAGATAGATGTTAGCTATATGCTTGTGGAGGTGAATGACAACAACTTTATGAGACATACACGGTAGACGACTTTGTGGAATTCTTTACCCATGATTGTGATTGTTAGATTGGTGGTTGGTATGATAGTATTGAGAGAAGATGATGAGACCTCTTTCGATGGAACCTTGTTAGCTTAGCTCGCATTGACCACAAAAGTGCGTTGTCATTGTGCGTATTATGCTGTGTTCTCTCGCTAAGCCTTATTATGCTCACGCGAGCCGAACAAATTAAGTCTTCCCAGGGCGGCGCTGTCAATTGAGAACCTACGCGGGGGCTTTCTCTTTAATGATGTCATTTTATACACAATGCGGATGCTCGGACGAAAGGCGCGCTGCTTCTTACATAATCCATCAAACACCTCATCCAACACTCCGAATTCCGTGTTGCATGTAGCTTTCAAACATCATTACCATGTAAAGAAGATCATTTAAAGCCGGGAAGTCGTCATCGTTGGTTGGACACCTACTACCATCACTCAACATGTCATCTTCCTCCAGTGAAGGCGCAAAAGCGCTCTCACAGCCATTCACTTTACCATGTGGAAGCACAGCTCCAAACAGATTGGTCAAGGTGAGTGTGAAGCATGGTATGTCCCTAAAGCGTTTTGCTGACTCTCTCTCATATTAGGCACCAATGGAGGAAATGATGGGATCTCTCGGAGGAGGACTTCCGAACGAAAAGCTGCTTAAAATCTACAAACACTGGGCAGATGGAGGTTGGGGCATCATCATCACCGGAAATGTTGCAATCGATTCTACCCACCTTGGAACGCCTTTTGATATCACACTTCCATCAACGAATTTACTGAAAGATGATAAAACGATCCAGACTTTCAAAAAGTACGCACAATCAATCAAAGGGAAAGGAGATGACAAATCACCTTTGGCAGTTGTGCAATTGGTACATGCAGGTAGACAATCGATGAGAGGATCGGGACGATACCCTTGGCAGCCAACGCTAGCACCATCTTCGATTTCTATGAGCACGTCCAAAGGTTTGATAGGGAAAGTTATAGATTACGCATTGTGGAACACGCCCAAAGAAATGACCCAAGAAGAAATCAAACAGCTAATTCAACGCTTCGTAGAAGGATCAGTCTTATGCCACCAAGCTGGATTTGATGGTGTTGAAATTCATGCCAGTCACGGCTATCAAATTGCTGCTTTCTTGAGCCCAAGAACAAACGTCAGAAAAGATCAATACGGTGGAAATGCTCGGAATCGCGCCCGTCTGCTGCTAGAGATCATCGATGGCGTTCGTCAAAGGGTGCCTAAATCATTCGCCGTTGGTGTGAAGTTGAATTCGAGTGATTACGTTCAAGGTGGATTAACTGAAGATGATGCATTGATGAACGTCAAATGGCTGGCAGAACATGGCGGTGTAGACTTTGTGGAAATCAGTGGTGGAAATTATGAGAATCCTTGTGAGTACACTGCTTCCTTTTTAGAAGACATAAGCTAACATCCCCTCTCTCTCAGCATTTATGATGGACAGCTTTGATTCCGAAAAAGAGCTCGCCAAAGTCAATGGCACAGCCAAGACTCCATCCAAGCCTCCCACATCAGCCCGAACACAAGCACGCGAAGCATTCTTTCAAAATTTTGCACTTCGAGCTCGTAGTTCGGTACAAGACGTGAAAGGACCAGGTCGTGAGATGGCCTTGATTTTGACCGGAGGTTTACGTTCGCGAACAGGAATGGCTGGTCCTGTTTTGGAAGGCATTGTTGATGGTGTCGGGATCGGAAGAATGGCTTGTGTTTATCCTGATTTACCAAAGACTATCTTGAATGATAGTGTGCCTGACACTGATCCTAAAAGCAGTCCTCCGAAGTATACGATGAAAGGAAGTGGTACGGTGGCATTACTACCATTGAAGATCGTCAACGCTGGTTGGGGAACGTGAGTATGCAAACGAGAATCACCAACAGAATGTGACTAACCCTCTCCCTCTCCTCCCCAGCCTATGGCATGTCGGTATGCTCTCTTACCTTTCTCGCGATCAAAAGCCAAACGTGGAAGCAGGACCGTTGGAGATTATCTCCTCTGTTTTCATCCCGGACGGTTTGCATTCTGCCATCATTCCACTCGTGACGATTACTGCTGTTGCCATTTCTGCTTTCGTTGCTCTACTTAGATGATTATGTATTGGATATATTGTGTTTAAAATTACAAATTAACGAAGCTTGCTGAATGGGTTGAGTACACCACTTCCTCCTCCACCAATTCCTCTCATACTTCCGCTACTCGTTGAAGGCGAGAACAATCCTTTACCACCGCCACCACCAGAAGAAGAGTTGAGATCCCAAAACCTCAATGTTTCGTCTCCTGCTCCGCTTACCACACTTTCTCCATCGGGACTCATTGCAAGGTACAACACACGCATGGTATGACCCATCAATGTTGCAACTTGTCCCATATCGGGATATCGCCAAACTTGAACTTGATTGCTAACCTTGCTACCGCTGAAACCGTGCGTGCTGACGATTTCATTGTTCACCTTTGACCATGCAAGGTTACAGACTTGAGATCCTGTGTCAACTTCTGAAAGAAGCGTACCTGTAGTCGTTTTGAAAAATCGAATATGCATATCTGCCGTACCACCTCCTGAAGCCAACAATCCGCTCTCATGAGGACTCCAAGCGATCGCCTTCACAGCAGCTCGATGATGGCCGAAACGATAGAGAGGTACAGTATTCAGTCCATCCCAGACAAACAACTTGTTATCGTTTCCTCCGCTGGCAAGCTGATTAGTGGCCGTATTCCATTTGAGACCACAAATCTCTTGTGCATGCCCTTTGAGTTCACGAATAGACTGGTTGCGTACTCTTACATCACGATGAAAGATCGTTCGATCTCGTGATCCTGTACTCAAAATGCTCTCATTCCAGGCCAAGCTGCCCACCCTAGCTGAATGTCCTGTGAACGTTCGCAACAGCTGTACACGTTCTGGATCCCAAATTTGTACAGATCCTGAATTAAGTCCAACAGCCAAATAATCTCCTCTGCCGCACCAATTCACAGATGTGATCCTGTCCCTTTCACGATCTACTTCGCACAATTTTGTGACATTGGAAGTCTTTGCTGACCAAAGGTATACGCAATTCGACAGCCCAACTCCCAAAACATTTTTGGAAGACCAATCTACCAAATTGAGGTAGAAATCATCGGCGAGATCTGGAGCATCAAGGACTTTGTATGGCACCTTACTGACAGATCGATACGTCTTGCGTGGACTTTGCAGCACCCGTTGACTTTCGATCGAGACCGGACTTGAGCTGTACAAATCGTGAGAAGGCGAGTCCAACGTGTCAAGCCTTCTATTCGGAGATGGTCCTCCAAACAGAGCACCGGATGGATTCGATGTGATCGAATTACGCCTACTGGGCGATCTCGATTCTGATCGCTTTCCAGATCGTCCCGGTGTATCTCTAGCTCGTGAAATGCTAGATGTGGGACTTTTGCTGCCGTAATGGAATATATTTCGCTTTGTCGGTGTTGTGGGCTGCGATCCACCGTTCCGCAAACTTTGTCTGCCAGAGCTTGATCTACTGGCTGTTGCAAATGGCGATGGTGTATTGCTGTGGCTGCTACCATCGATCGCCTTTCGAACATTGATCGCCGCTGCAAACGCATTGGAATCTGACCCAAACAATTCCGATGACAAAAGTGTGGTGAATGTCTCATTAGCCTCTTCTTTCTGTGCATCCATGTCAGCCGCAGAGATCTTTCGTTTATGCTTCTTGGGTGTGACTGGTTCATTAGACATCAATTCGAAAGCGGCTTGTATGTCGGAGTCATCTCGATTGGGTATGAAGCGATCTCCTTGCATGAATTTGCGAGTCTTTCTTTCCCTTTCTGCATAGCTGTCCCTCTTTTGAGAGGAGTGAGAAGAAATATTGTCTATTGCGTCATCATCATATCTATCAATGCTGAGATTGCTTTTCGACGAGAATGGATCACTGGCTTCCTCAGCAGAATATCTTTTTGCAGGGGAATGCAAACTGTTGGAACGTGAATGAGACGGTGAAGAAGTGGATCCAATCTCTCTCCCTGCCGAATGGCCCCGTAGCCTTTGTGCGAATTCTGTATGATACATCGCAGGCTCTAATCGACATCAGCTAGCATGATCGATGTGTGTCTACCTTTGATCAAAAGGTGATGGTGATTGCCGTGAATGGGGTTGTGATGGATGGATGAGATGTTGCAAGACAAACACGCATGATTGGTTATATTGCATGTAAACTGGTAAAGTGCCCGTGTTTATCTGTGCATGAAATGAACAATAGGAGTTTCGATTGTAGCACTTGAACAGTGTATTTAGTGGAGTCAATCTCTTAAACGCGTCTCAAGATTCTCACACCGAATTGGGCACATGAGCAAAGATTACATAATCATCTCACCCTCTCTTATCAACAAATTCGAAACTTTTGTTTTTGCTCACCAGCGCCGCAATCACCATTAAGCTCCCAAGAAGTGCATCAATACCATCCGCAGCAACCGCAGTATCAACCGCAGCAAATCATATCCATCCCATCCGTTGCTATCCATCAGAAGAGGGTCACTTGAAAGCATATCAAGACTGCTCCCAGCAATTTGTGCCATCTGACAAGTTGTAGAGAGGAAGCGGGTGTATTTATCGTCATCGGAACAGACAGCTTCCCCCTCAAGTCTTTGTCATGGCGGCTAATACACAAGCTGCAGTGTCTATAGCAGACCTTGAGGCGGTCGCTCAAGCTGCTATGGGATTAGACACAAACGGCAATCCACTCCCAGGAAATGAAGAGACACACAAAGCATTGGCAGAAGCAGTGAAACGATTAAGTGCAGTACAAGCAGCAACAGCCGCAGCACAAGGAGGAGAATCGTCAAGTTCGGCAAGTATAGCAACGCCAACGAAAGATTCTCTAGCAAAGAAGCCAACCGAATACAGTCGTACGACAGGCAATTACGCCTCCGTACCATCCCGCTCCACACCACAACAAGGTTCAACATCAACGTATTCCGGATCACAGCAACAATTTGACGCAGATGGAACGCCGGTCAAACGATTCCAATGCCATCTTTGCGAACGTGCTTTTGCTCGGGCCTACAACCTGAACACACATTTGGCCACACACGACCCCGATCCAGCAAAATCCAAGCCATTCCCATGCCCTTATCCTTCGTGCAAATCTGACGGTGGACGCAGCTTTTCACGCAAGCACGATCTACAGAGACATGTTGCCAGCACACACGAACATGAACCTATACCGGACGATGAAGAAGAGATTGATGAAAATGGAGTCAGGGTAAGCCAATTGGCCAAATTGGGCTTGAGCACACCAGGAAGGAAATTCCGTTGTGAAGAATGCGGAAGGGCATTTGTGAGAAGAGATGCACTTAAACGGCATCAATGTATGCCAATGCCGCTCGATCATACAGGACCTAATGGAGAAGAAAAGAGCTCAGCAAGCACACAACCTTCATCGGCTTCTTCATCCCCCGCTCCAAATGCCCCTGCTGGTGCGAATGGGATCAGAAATGGTGAGGATTTATATTCAAATGCAATGCCATCTGGTTTATCGTTGTATACTTCCACAACACCTCAACCTGGCCAACCTGCACGCAAGCCAGCTCCTACAGCAGCACAACCCAAGGGTGAACCTAAACAAGAGCTTGATCCGCCATTCTATCCTTCCAGCATCACATACGAATCTCTAACGCGAGAAGTACAAGATATGGCTATGCATTTGGTAGCACAGGCCACAAAGTACAATCAAGCTCATTCAGAGGGCGGACCCGAGGCAAAGAGTGAAGGTAGTGTACCTGGCAAAGGTACAAAGACATAATGTTGGGTTAATTGAAAACTGTATTTTAATAGATGTATGCTATCGAACTATTGTAATGGATATATTGCACAATGCTTCACAATCCTAACCCTCGTCTAGCCTCCTCCAGCTTTGGTCGCACCCAAGCACTTCCACTGACCTCAATTGCTGTCATGACCGCACGTTGACCGATTTCCATTAATTTCGGGTCCAATCCATCAGCGAAGCGTAAACAATCCATCTCTGCTTCGATCGAACGTTCTTCCGGCAAATCAGAGATGCATCGAGCGATGACCAACTTTAGCAAATCTGGTGCTTCCGTTGCAAACCTCTTCAGAAGTCGCTTAGGTGAAGGTCCTGCAGGAGGTGGGACCATTTGATTTGGATTATATGGATTTACCTCCTCTTCATCCTCATCCCCTAGCAAGCAGCTCAGATCAACATCTTCAGCAGTTGGCAATGGTCGTGTTGCCGAACCTGGAACGCCTACATCACTTCCACGTCTACTTTTGCGACCATTCGATTTATCGCTGCTTGGCCTTCGAAGTAGGTACGTCCTTCTAAACGAAAGGAATGCCTCTTGCCCTTTTCCGAGAAGAACTTCTCGAATATCCACATCTTCTACGTTATCCCGCAATGCAAACGCACGAACGATATTGCAACCCAATGCCCACAAATCCGCCGAAGGACCAGCTCGACGACCTTGTGGTCCCAAGAACGCCTCTGGTGGAATCCAATCGTAACTGGCTAAAGTCACCTTTCCATCTCCTCCTGGGATTCCACGGAACGGATTGGCATTCTCGTAATCGATCACCACCAGCTTTCCGCTTTCATCAAACATCAAATTCTCCAATTTGATATCACCATGTAACCAACCTGCAGAATGAAATCCAGTGATCGCACGTAGAGCATTGACAAACACGAGGGAGACCACCGGCTTCAATTCATTCTCCTCGCATCCAGCAATCACGAAGAACGCTTCTTCCGGATAATCTTCTTCCAATCGTAAATATTTGTTGTCGGAAGTGCACAACACATGTGAAACAGCAGTCCTATCTGGATTCAACGTTTCTGCTTTTTGCACTTCATCCAACAGATCATCAACATATCGTTCTCGCAATCCTCTCAAAACGCTTTTAGGAATTCCATTTCCAGCCGTGCTAGGATCGGCTGCTCGCATTTTTGCTTCAATCGATTTGATTTCCATCGCAGCATAAAATTTACCTTCACCGTCCATAGCCCATCTGCGAAGCTTTGCGGCAGAAGAAACACGATTGTCTGGCGTTGTGATCAAATAAGTGGTAGGAACCATTTCCTCATCAGCGACTGCTACATCATTTGAGGTGGAAGCATTCGATTCATAAGCGGCAGTCTGACTTGCATCTTCTGACGAAAAGAAACGTACACACAATCCATCTGTCACAGCACCTTCTCGGAATGGGCCAGAACGATCATAAAGAGTACCTTCAACACGAACGGGCTTCCTTCTGGGAGCCAACTTTAATGCTGTACTTGAACTAGCTTGATATTGTCGATCAGGGTCGTATCGTGTTTCTGCATCTTGCTTTTTGACTGCATCCCATTCATCCAAGAACTCTTTAGAGATTGAACGATCTCCTTGTCGTTCTTTGGAAATCGCCGATGCAGCTGCCAAAGCGGCTTTTTCCAACATCTCCGTTGAACGAACATGTTTGATAGGCTGATGCTTCCCGGGAGATCCTCTTCCTTTCGACTTTTCCTTTTTCTCATTCTTGTGGGGTGAGACTGAGATCGAACTTCTGCGGCCGCTTGGTGGTGTTTTTATTTGCGACAAGGGTGCCAAAGCTACCCTTGCAGAAGAAGTATTGGAGGATGACGAGTCCCTTCTAGGTGTATGAATGCCGATCACCGTTTCATGTCGCAGAAAGGCAGCCTCCGGACCATTGGAAGAAAATCTACGAGGTCTGTTGGGGAAATGTGGGCTATCTGTACTTCCAAACTCGCCTCCCGAATAGGAGGAAGATCCACTATCGGCTGCAGATCCTCTTCTTGTATGATCTGCTTGAACGATTCGAGGGAATGCCTTTCCATGTGATTTTGAGGATGATCTTCTGATGGAACTTCGTCTACTGCTTGCGCCTTTGCTAGAAGCGGCTTCTGTACTTGCACCATCTCCAACGGACAAATGATCATCTGTTTCCGTATCAGATGTATAGGTAGAGTATCGGTCCTCCTCATACTCTTCATCATCATCACTCTCAAAATTGGAATGACTTCCGATTTGAATCGTACTTGATGTGCCAGCACGCCATGCTATTCGTAAACCTGCTCCACCAGGACCGTCCATACGTTCTCGTTCGTATTGTTGCCATCTTTCATGATCTTTTCCTAGAAACAGAGTAGCAGCTCTAGGTGTTCTACCATTTCGTTGAGGTGGAACTGTCCATTCGTTTATGGGTTTATCTTGATTTTGATTGATTGCATCTCTTTGTTCGAACATTGTATTTGTACGTAGAGAAGCAAGATCGATTCGAGTTGCATGTTTTGTGGGTGATGATGATGAGCTTCCATCTTTATCATCGAGCCCTAGCTGTGCAATCTTCTCTTGCAATTTATCTCCCGACATAATGTTGGGAGGATGTTGTGGAATCTGTCCAAGAAGTGAAGCGGGAATGTTTGTAGGGAAATGAACTCCACCTTTAACAAGAACAATAATAGGCTTGTGCGCCGGGTGCAAAAGGGGTAAAGGCACAATTCCAGTGTCTGTCAATCAAGGGTACATGCACTGTTCTTGGCTGTGTAATACCATCAAGAAGGATGAGTACGCCAAAAGAAAAAGATCGTGATAACGATGATGACAGAGGAGGCAAAAGGCAAAAGGTAGCCATCGATGAAGATGAATGGGCTCGATTTCAAGCAGAAGTACTTGACTCAGTAGCACTCTTGCCGCAAAAGACTTTTACGCAAAATGCATCAACAACAATCGAAGCTGAACCTGTTCTAAATAACAACAAAGAAGACGTTTCACAACCTGAGCCAAAAAGCAAAGATGACCTAGAGGGACCACGACAAAAAGCAGAACGAGAAGCAAAAGAAGAAATCCTCTCTCGACTAGACGAAGAAGAACGCGCACAAGAAGAAGCAGATCAAAGGGTTCAAGCACTAAAGGACCGCTTACAACGGATACGAGAGAAGCGAAAAGCAGGAAAAACAACAAAGCAAGCTACTTAAGTATGACATTGATATGATCTTACAATTGTGCCATGATCGACTTTCTCAATGCATCGGCTGTTCTCCATACATCTTCAAAAGAGGAATACTGAGCAACAGGTCCGAAACGTAAAATGTCCGGATTGCGTACATCACAGACAACTCCATATCGCGTCTCGATGGAATGATGAACACGAGCAACGAATGAGCTGGCATCGATTGGTGGTGGAACATCAGACTTCCCATCCTTTGGTGCTCCATTTTGCCTTGTTGCTTTTCCCGCTCGATTTGGGATGCAAACAGATAGCTGACTTCCTCGGAATCGACCTTCTTTCGGTGTGACGATGGAGATATTCGCTTCAGCAGGCAAGAACCCTGGGGTCAAGAGTAGATGTTCCAGGTATGCTGTCAGTCGTTGACTCTTTTGACGCAATGCCGGCATGATATGACCGGATCCTCTCACACCGCTTGCTTCATCCATCTTTTTGACATACTCCTCCGAACCAAAGTCTACCCCGTCCAGCTTCTTGTCCAACAAAGCGGGTGCCAATGCCATCGTTTCAAGAGAGCCAAGCAGAGCAGCCATATCCAAAGCTGAAGGGTTGGACTGTTGCCATCCGGATGCGCCTTGGATTGCATCAAAGGAATCTGGCATGGAAAATCGACTGGCCTTCTTTTGTCCCCACCATGCTGCCGGTCTGGGCAATCCACTGGCCCCTGGTGCATTGCTGTTCTCTGTCAATTTTGCTTCTCTTCCGATGCATGTCTGAAAGCCAACATTTCCCCAACGTTCATGCACAAACAAACCTGCCATTCCTCCTGGACCAGACGAACCATACTTGTACGTACACCAAACGGCAAAGTCGGCATCCCAATCATGCATTGCCAAAGGGACGTTTGCGAACGCATGTGCTAGATCCCAACCGACAATAATACCACGAGAACGAGCATGTTTTGTAATCTTTTCCATATCGAACATCTGACCTGTTTGATATTGTACATCACCCAATAAAATCATTGCCAATTCTCCCGTATCTGCTTCGCGATCGATAGTTGCGAGAATGTCTTGTGTTTCTAGTGTGCGATCTTTCTTGCCTTCCAATGCAATCAAGCTTGTCTTGGGGTCGAATCCTGCCAATGTTACAGCGCTTGCTAAAGCATATTGATCAGAAGGGAATGCGAGTGCTTCATAGATGATCTTGTGTCTTACCGGCTTGTTGCCAGCACTGTTGGGAAGCACAAGTTGAGGGAGCGCATTTGGTCTGTAAAATGTTGCCAACATGATATGTAGATTGCTGGACAGTGTTCCCATTGCTACCACTTCATTCGGTTTTGCGCCAATGATATCGCTCATCAGATGTGATACTCTCTCTTCGCATTGTGTCCAAGGACGACCAAAAGGATGATCCCAATGACCAAGAACGGCTTTTCGTCCCCAAACCTGCAATTCTTGTTCGACATACTTCTTTGAACGTTTTGAGAGGGGTCCCAAGCTATTTCCACACATGTACAACGAAGTTGCTTGTTCATCTTTCTCATTTCCCTCCACTACATCTTTCATCAATGGCAATTGATATTCTTGACGTAAGGATTTCAAGCCATCTTGGTTGTCGAGTTCGATGGCCAATTCTCGTGAACTAGAGCCATCTGCATAGCCTTTCACTTGTGCTAGTTGGCTTAGAGTATCAACAAATGCTGCTGTATCAAACGGAGTCGTCATTGTGGCGAGGTGATGGTAAGCAACATGCGGGGAGGCGCAATTCCAATTCCCACTTCCGCGTACGTACGACAAATTTAGACTAAAAACGGTAAAATCGGATTCTTCTCCGGGGGGCATGCTTATCATCTATCAATTCTGTAAAAGTACATCTTTATCTAAAGGCCATCATCCCATACACCTCTTCTGGCAGCAATCTCTTTATTTGATCCATCAATATCTGCTGACGGACTGGTACGCTTGAAGCCGCCGTCAATATCCGGGAACTGTTTTCGCAACACAGCCAATCGACTTCGGAAATCGTCATGATTGATATAAGCACCGCATAATCGTCTATTTCCCGTAAAAGCAGATCGTCCATGTAACACTCGATTATTGTCAAAGATGAGCGCCTGACCAGGCTGAAGTTGTGACCAATATTCGCTGTCTTTGTTTGTGAGAATTTCGTGCCATTTGCCCAAAGCGTCGTAGAATGGAATCACTTCTTCATCCCGCATTCTCAAGACGCTTCTGTCATCATTGTTATATCGAACTCGAATCAATTCTCCAGTCCTTCGATCATGCTCCAAGATGGGATAACCTCCGCTCTGTAGCGGCCTAATCAGCGTGGAATCATCTCCTGCACTATGCGTTGAAACTCTCGTGGTTGACAGTACCCTATATGCTTCTGGATATACCTCTCGCAAGATCTTTGCTGCAAAGAAGCCATCAACTAAAAGCGATTCTCCTCCTCTTGCTGGCGAGCCGTCTTTTGTTGCTTCGGTATGACTCAAAAGATGAAACATCTGCAATCCAGCAGGATCAGTAAAGTACGTGGTATCGGTATGTGCACCTAATGCCAAGTTGGTGTATGCTGTATCCCCATGCGATAGATCCGAAGTGAAATCCCAAAAGCCACCATAATGAGTCTCACGAATGAATGCGATCCTTTTTATCAGCTTTTCGGTATCTTCTGGTGTAGCAGGAACGCCAGACACGAAACAAAAGCCAAATTGTGCAATCTTGTTGACCCATTTTGCTACGCCACGTTCTGAAGTTGTATCCATAACTTCTTCCCATGCAACTGTTGGTGGCTGTTGTGCTATTCCACTTCCCCACATGATCGCATTTTCGGCACTGTGATCGGTATGCGATCCTCCAAGTGAAAGAGAAGGTGAATACGAATTAGCATAAAGCCATGACCAAGGATAAAGTGATGCATGGAGATTGTGAATTGATTCACCCTCCCCCTCCACAACGGCAACATCTTGAGATGAAGCTGGAAGACTAGAGCCAGATTCGGAAGAAGACAATCTGGGCCAATGAACTAGCAAGCCTTCTGTTGTTGCCTCTACAGAGTGTGGGTGAATATCCAACGGAATGGAAGATGTAGCAAATTGACGTTGTTTCGTTTGAGGATGATAGCATTCGGCACATCTGCAATGATCTCGTAGCCAAATAGTATGATATTTGCTTTCTATTCCGCTACTCCAAGTTACGCCCACTTTTCCATCTTTTCCGTCTACGGTAACGATTGGATTTTCCTGAGACGTACTGGAAGTTGATTGATCGGATTGTTGTTGAGGGGTACTGGAAATTTGATCGACTGGACTGGCATGAGATCGCCTTTGGGTGGTAGTGAGGGATCTGTGATGAGGGATCGGTACCCTAGCCTTCAAAGCAAAGGCTGGCAGCCTCTGGCATGCTGCTATCTGCCTTGATGTAGATCTGAGAGCTGCTATCGGCAATCGCAGTGTCATTTTTGGTGGGGAAATCAGATGGTTGTTGAAAGCCAAAGGTTGAGTGCCAGTGCTGCTAAAAGCTTAATTAACACGCGACAACACTTTGTGTCTGCATACAACCATCCCATGGATCATGCCGATCAAATAGCAAGATTATGTTTACAACAATATAATTCTTTTGGAAAAGGTGGTGCTAAACCAAGGATTAGACAAGATGGGAGATATGAATGGACAGTATTGGCTGGAATTGTTCTTTCCGTTCAATCAGAATGGCATTGTATCGCTTTGGCAACAGGCGTGAAAGCGTTGCCATTCTCACATCTTTCCAAACATGGCGATTTACTGCACGATTCTCATGCTGAGGTATTGGCTAGAAGAGCTGCAAGACATTGGCTTTTGCAGAGATTGCTTGACGAGAATGATGATCTGATATCTTCTCATCTGAAGGGTATACCACGCATATTTGTTAGAAATGACAACCGCTTCGGCCTAATCGAAGATGCACACTTGCATCTGTATTGCTCGACTTTACCATGCGGGGACTTGTCCTCCTCACTGATTGCTGATGAAAAGCACGACAATGAAGCCCCATCCCCTACAGTCTTACGAGGTCGGACTATGTCTTCCTCTACCCAAACACACATTCGAACCAAACCTGGTCGCCCTGATGCAGAACCAAGCATTTCGATGAGCTGCAGTGACAAAATTGCCCATTGGACATTGATGGGTATTCAGGGTGCATTGCTGTACGGAATCATTGGAAAAGTCTCACTGCAATCATACGTGATTGGAAATCAGGCCTTTCCAGATCAAGCTGATGCGCTGGAGAAGTGTCAGAAGATGTTACGGAGAAAGTGTGGAAATGGACCCATCCCGCAAATTGCCTTCGCTACCCTTCCTTTTCTACACAGTCGAGAAAGTGTTCAAGAAGATCTACTCAATCACAAACCGGACGCATGCGTCTCGGGTCCATCAGATGAGCGAGATCTTGTGCCAAGTGCGAATTCTCTGGTTTGGTGTTTGGGTGCAAAACCACAAGGTATCGTTGAAGGACATCGTCAAGGCGCAGCTCTACGCAGATCAGCCGGTGAACCTTTGAGACAATCTAGTCGATCTACCTTTTGCAAGTTGGATTGGTTCAGGTTTGTTTGTGATGCAAAGAAGCGTCTGGATATGCAACTTACTCCCAACGCAACTTACTCTGAATGCAAGGAGGCCATAACAGAATACCGCAATCATAAAGACCTTCTGCGTGGGTTATCCGGAATAAACTCTCTTGATCGCCCAGCCTATCAGCAACAATCAATCAATGCTTTTCTAGGGCAACAATCGTTCCCTTCTCCTTCGCTTATTGACAGTGAGGCCCCCTTCGCGGGCTGGTTGGTCAGTAGTCACTCCCTCGAGCAATTCAATCATAATGGTCACGAGATTGTGCAATAATGATAAATTATTAAAAATACAACGAATTGATGCATGTGTTCATCCCGCCGAATCATTGAGTGAACTTGAATCAGCGCCGTCCTGACCAAATCCCCCCACTAATCGAACTTTTGGCTTGAGATATGTTTTCATCATTCCATTTCCTTCGCGTGTAATAGCAGTATGCTTTTTCCCATTCACCCTACCGAGTTTGGGTTTAGCAGCAATTTCTACAGCTTCTTCCTCTTCTTCGTTGGAATCTTGATTTCTTTCCGCATCAGAAGATGTTTCACTTTCGGATCCGTTATCGATATCAATCAATACGCCATCCTCATCTTCTGTATCATCTTCGATCACTTCGTCATCGTCATCGTCGTCGTAGTCCACATCATCTTCATCCTCTTCTGCATCATGTCCAAACGTACTATCATCAAGGCCATGCTTTTGAGCGGCAAACGTTACCTCTGCAACCTCCTCCCTTGCGGGCAATGGAGAACGAGACAAAGAAGGTCTTTGTGCTCTTGTGGCTTTGTCGCGTGCCATTGAAGACAACCTCTCTGAACAATTCATTACCTTTTGTGTGAATTCATCGTCCATCTTGACCTCGAATAGTTCCCAAATATACCTTCGAACAGATTGACGTAAAGGTTGTGTTTCCATTAGATGTAATGCTCTCACAAACATCTCGATCGCCCGCTCAATGTTCATCTCGACGGCAGATCGATTGGTAATGAACAAATCAGGATGACGTTCTTTCAATTTGAGCAAGGCACGAGAAGCTTTTGTAGCCACGATTGCATTGCCTAAACTGGAAAGATGCAAAATCACGTTCCTCTCTAACCGACTTTTAGGTGGTGGCAATCGATTTCCATATAAACCATTTTGAGGTTCCCATGGCGGTAGAGCCAAAAAGGTTTTCGGTGGCAAGCAATAGCCGAAAGGTGCATCTTGAGCTAAGAAGTGGGGTGTAGAGATCGTCCAGCCGGCATCTTGAAGGAGTTCCGATCCTAATTGGTTGCTCGCAATCAATCCACAAACGAAATAACACGTCCCACGCAAGGAAGACACTTTTGTATTCTCTGCCATCTGTACAATTGTGGTAACCAAACCTTCTCCCTCGAGGAACTGTATTCCACCTCTGTGTGCGCCGATATTACCGACCGCCCACAAAACACTCTTTAGCTTCATCAAGACTTCCACATCATTCTCCTCTTCCGAATGTTGTACGATGAAATGTGCAAAGTCAGCAAAGTGGCCTTTCCTTTCCAACAATTCACGACCTTCTTCCGTTTTGATCAACTCTCCATAAAAGTGAGCAGGAACGGTACCATCCCACTCCCCTCCCGGAGGTTGTTGTCGAATGTCGAGTGCTTGACTTAGTAAAGCTTCAATTCGATTGGCATATACCAAATTACCCACATGTAACCATTCATCCATTTCGCGATCGATATAATCACCTTGCATGAGATAACGCAAACCATGTGAGCTAGAAACAAATTTGAGTAGAAGAGATTGGGCTCCGTCAGGAGATAACATCGGACGCATATCCACCACCATATCCAATGTGGCAGAAGACGAAATGCAAGCCTGCAACAAAAGATCCGAAGCAAGATTACGCACTACGATTGACGAATCATACAGCTGATTAACCAACAAGCGAACGTTCCATGGATTTGGCTTTTGACGTATCATTTCTGCTACCCTTTGCATTGCTTCCACCCTAAATTTGCGTGACCTATGTGCCAGCATTCTGGACAAGATAATCCGATAATGGCTATCTTCCGAGAAATCCAAATGGCGAAGCATGAGTCTTGCCAGGTCCAAACGACCACGTTTGTCAATGATGCGGAACAACGCAGTGAATAATCGTGACTGCGAAGCGACTGCTATACCTTCAGGATGTTTTGAAAGCACACCTATCAGCTCGAAATATCCAGCAACGGCAGTGTCTTGCAACCGCTGCTCGGACATGATATCCGTCTCCAAGCAATCTGCAATCTCACGTATCAAACGATCCTCAAGAAGAAATCGAACACCATCCGGATTCGATAACAGAGTCTGCAAGATTGTGCATCCCAACTTTGTGTACTTTTGATTCAATGTAGAAGACACTTTGGGCAAAGAAGAGTATCGCATGGTGAATGGGTGAAAGAACACCAAAACCCTCTTCACCAGCTTACTTGCTCGCATGGCTTCCTCCAATCGTTTAGGATGCACAAGAACCGTCTCAAAAAGCATTTGCAGCGCTTCTATATTCCACTTGGATTGATCTTTAGAGTTGATCACATTTGCCTCCAAGCACAAGCTGCGGAAAGCATTGTCATCAACTTGCACTGGAGCTTTTGGTGCTTTGAGAACGGAACTTGCTCGAGGTCTCTGGCCGAGAACAGTCTGTTTCCTAGCTTGATTGGCAGAGAATCGATCAAGAATGGACAGCACCTTTGATGCCCTCTCACGCTCTTCATGTTGATCTTGCTGTGCTTCTCCTTTGAGCCTACTGGTGAACAACTCAGACAGAGAATGCATCTGATAATCGTATTCGCTTGGCAGTCGAGCCGAACTAATATTGGTAAGCATTTCCATGAAACTCAATGCTTTCTCCGATAATTGCGGTCGATCTTGAACAACATGCACTAATGCACCTATGATGTCATTGTCCAACAAGATCGTCACAAACAAGAGAATGAACGAGTCCAACAAATTCACTCGAGTCTCATCCCTGAAAAGCTGCTCTTCCGTACTTTTATCCAACCCTGGTCCACGTGCACATTTTTGAAACAATTTTGGTCGTACTCCAAAAAATGTTATAAACATTGTGATGATTTCGTCCTGGATTGCTGTTGGATTGACCCTCAGGGCACCAATGATTGACTTGATTGCACTCTGATCCTCTAAGCACATGAATAGCAAACCACTCCAAGATCGCATCAGCATGGATACAGCTAGTGAGGTATTTCGTAAATATTCAACGCTTTCTGTCGCATCTGTGAATCCGGAAATGCACGTAACAAGATCGTAACCTGGTCGAAAATAGCGTCTTGTAGAAGGCATATCGGCAAGATATAGCATAATGGCAAGCAACTCTGGTTGTATGTCCACCGATACGTCACCGGCTGCACTAAGCAAAATTCTCATTGCGCCGCTCCGTATCACCAGATCGACATCATGTAGCACCAACTCCGCCAACGTCTCGATATACAACGAACGCAAACGCTCTTCTCCGTGCTCCAAAGCAGCACACATTGCCCGAATGACACTGACACTTATGAGTGCATCGCCATCTGTTTTGTCGAGAGAGGCGCATTCCATAATACATCGAACCAATTTGAGTGCTTGTTCTTTTTCGATGGTGAAACGTGCATCACGAGAAAAAGTTCGAACGATATACAGATCCAAACCCCTTTGCCTGCAAGCACGAATCAAATGCCAAGGAGGACGGACAACAGCATGACGTAAAAGACGATATGCGATCGCTCGAACTTCTTTCCCTGATGAATCTGCCAAACATGGTATAGTTGCCTCTACCAAGGTTTCAATCGGACAATCGTATCTCACTCTGATATTCGAAACCAACAAACTCGTCAAGCGATTTAAAAGGTCGATTTGCCTATGAGCAATACTTCCCAAACCATTAACGTGACTCGGCGTTCGATTATGCTGCGGTCTCGTAGCCGCCGTTCTTGTTCGTTGTGCTTGTCTAGTCATACTTGGCGTGACCGGTGGAGCCATAAGCGGAGATGCAGATTGACTTAGGCTCGCATTTGGATTTGTAGAAGTCGAAGCTGCTGCTAATGGTGATGAAACATTCGGTGTAGCTCCATACACTTGACGAGTTCCAGTCGTTGCTCGTAATGCTTGCATAAGCGTGAATGCTTGTCTCCTTACGCTATCACGAGCAGGTTTTTCTTCTTCCACCTCACGTTCTTGTGATGATACATCCATCAACTTTGGAAGCCTTTGTTGAAATGTTGGAGAAGGTGAAGAATGTTGTTGAATTTGTCCGATCCTTGCTTGTGCAACGAGTAATTCATTTTGTACTTGCCTTCGTAATTTCTCATTACCTCTTTCTGTTGCTAAGATTCTTTGAGCGCCTTCAATAACTTTTTGTTCTTCTTCTAGTTGGGCTTTGACGCTGCCCATCGAAGGGACTACGTCGGACGCTGTCCCATTTACAGAATTCATCTTTCATCAATCCATTGCTGAAAAAGAAGGATGATGGTAGCCAGCAATCATCTAACTGTGGCCCGTGCTATTAGGGGGGAGAACGGAGAACACACACACAACCACTAACGCGTGCTGCCTGCCACTCATCAAATCCTCTCCCCCCGCGCTCCTGCTGCTAGCTTACAAACACATTTCATTATGGTGGAGATATAAAGCACATTAATACGTAATATAAGCAATGTTCAACATGGGGAATCCAATCAACAAACCCGTCCAAAAGATAATGTTGCCTAAAGTCTCGTTCCTCTTGACGAACGGAATTTGACTGATAAATATAAGAGGCAATTGTGCCATTTGCATAGCAAACAGATATCCACGAATCTTTCCACTAACGATTGCCATCACCAATTCGTGCAGCAAAGAAGAAAGCAAAAATGTTATAAACATTGCAACACCTTTTGGTAAACCAGCAGTGATTGAACTTGCATAAACATGTCGTAGCAAAAAACTGTGAACGGGTCTGTTCCATCTTCGTGAGAAAACGTCCATCGAAGTTGCATTCCACCAATCTTCATAAAATAATCGATCCGCAAATCCAGTCCATTCGGCGAAAAATTGACAAATACACTCAAACATGATGTAAAAGATCAACAAATAATTCAACATCATCGGTACGGCCAATTCCAAAAATGTATGCAATAGCGGCGTATCGGGACTTGGTTGACGAGGCATGATCCAATGTTCAGTAATCACATAGATCACAAAGAATGTTCCAAAAGTAGCCAGAGCCTTTTCCAAAAGGTATAGAGGACGTACTGTCTTGAGACGTGGGTAGGAAAGCTCGTACACCAATGTTGGCACCAATAAATAATCGAAAAAGTTGGCAAATGTGACATTGCTTGGCCATGTCACTGTTTCCGTGTACACATCTGGATTCTTTTCATCGATTCCAGGTCTGCTGGAAGTGAGCTCTTCACGTAATAACTCAACCTCACGTGCCAAGCTGTTGATCAATGGATCAGGATGGGTAGCAAGAGGATGTGGATCACGGATCAGTGTCTCTTGATTGTCCTTATGTTTGCTCTTTTCGCTCTTCTTTTTATGATCTCGTTCGGGGTGTTGAACGGATGGCTTCCGATCAATGATGGTAGAATTTGCTCGTTGACGTAGAGTGCTGGTGCCGCGTTGCGCTTGCAGATTGTCCCACTCGCCAACTTGTGTAGAGACTGCTTCAGTTGATTCATCAGTATCCACTGCTAAATGACCGTTTGCATCACCTCCTTCTGCTTTACTGCGCAAATCTGTTTCGTCTGCGGCTGCTGCTTTTTCAACTGCACGCTTCCATGCTTCTTCCGATACGCCTCCTTTTCCGACCGGCTTTTCACCTTCTCGAATACCTTCCACATCAGCGACCCGTTCTTCGATTGTGTGTTCCAATCGTTTCATCCTGTGATATGTATCGGCAAGATATCCATTGATGGCCATATAACTGTGAATTTTCATCAACATTGACAGTGTATGCAAAACGAAAAAGCCAGATTGAACCCATGGCCAATCACGATAATGGGACCATTTGATGACGATACCCAACAAGCATGCTTGCCAGACGTGTTGAAACCAAATCAGTGTTGGCCAGTATCTGCACCAGCCATTGACCAAAATTTTTGCAAAAGGAACACAGATGAACAAGCTTCCGATCAATACACCATCGGAGATGGCCAAGACGATTGCATCTCGACTGAACAAAGTGGCGAATGTTAGCGATAAGATCTGTCCAGTCGTTGCAAACGAGTTGTAAAAGGTGTTGAGGACAAAGATCATCAAGCTGATCCAGAACAAAGTATAGAATCCTCTGAATGGATCCTTTGCCGCTTCTTTGTTGAACCTGTCAAAGTGAGATTCTCGTGCTTTGAATGACACTAGAGTGCGAATTCGATTTGTCTTTCCACTCCTTTTTGGGAGAAGATGAACAGCACCATCCTTGTCCACTTTATGAGATATACCTTTGACACCTTGATGAGTGAATGTAAGGCTTTCTTTCTTATCACCTTTTTTTCCGATTAATTCAGTCGTTACTGTTGTATTGCTCACCACCCCTCCATCTTCCTCTGATAATTCTGATCGAGGTGTCCCATTGACAGGAGATTTTTCTGTCGTCGTGGCCATTATGATTGATGAGGTGGTGGTGATGATTTCAAAGTGCATGTAATCGTTCATGACACTTTGTCTTTAATAAATTCGGAAATCCTATTCCATCGCCGGCGAATTATTTTTTATTTTTTATCTTTTTTGGGTCTTCTCTGCATTGTTTGTCCGCGCTGTACCTTTTCTGTCGACGTCATTTAATGCTTCACCGCACAGACAAAAATTAGGGTTAAAATGGTAGTGCACTAGACGCGTCAAAGCATATATAAGAGTGTTGTTCTTGATTGATCGAGCGAGCTTAAAATCAAAGAGGGCCCACAAAAGAGATAAAGCGTGAAAAGGCATTTAGGCTCCGAAGAGAGGTAAGAAAGTGGGGAGGATAAGTTTAGGGGTATTGTAACAGAGAAGGCCATATAGAAACGTGCGTAGAGTTGAACAAGCTTTAACGATACAATAAAGACAGGGGTCATTCTTACCAAACGGGAACAACCCGCGCCAGAGTATATGCGGTGAATGCTTGACCTGTCATCCTCGAAGCTTCGAAAGGATTATATAAGTGTCGATCACAACAAACATCCATATGGTACTCGTCCATGCTCTAGTGGCAGTGCCAAGATGTTGTTCGCTTAGTCTATTGCAGTAACTCCTACGGCGCACCTCCGTGCCGATAGAAAGGGGAGTGAGTGCGGAGAGAGTGAGAGCTTAAAGCGTGTGTCCCAGTACCGGAACAAAAGAAAGGATTGGCATGCATTCACTTAGGCTGTGCAGCATTTTAGCGCGTGTATTCAACAACTACTACATTCAGTTCAAATCTCCTGAATCATTCCTTCCATCATCATCATCATTTACCGGGAATTACTCGTCAAAGTGATAACCACCACTAAAGGCCATCACGTTAAGCCACTGATGGTCTAACCTACACCTTACACACACAATGAGATCAGCAACTCCGGCAACTATTTTGGTTTTGGCAGCGTGTATTCTACTTGTTCTGGTAACATGTTCTACCCCTGTCATTAAATCTTTGTCTTTCTTAGAGGCAACGATTGGTGGAAACGGTACCGAATCAGGTCAAAAGGCTACGCTAGGATGTCTCGGCTATTGCATTCAAGGAACATGCAAAGGTCCTACTATCGGATACTCATTTAATCCTACACAACTTCTTGGAATCGCAACAAATGTAGATGGGTACCAGGTCGATTCGAGTAAATATTCTACAGCCGTCATCAAAGGTTTGACATACTGTCTCGTCTTGAACCCGATCGCATTGGCAGCATGCGTTATCACACTCTTGACCGGCTTATTAGCTCATTGCGGTGATATGTCTTTGGTCTGCATTAATGGATTATTTTCTGGTCTGGCGTCGACATTAACACTAGTCGCTGTTGCACTTAATTTCGCTCTTTTTGTCTTGGCAAAGAAGCGGATCGACTCAATCAATGGAGCCAGTGCTTCATATGGTGTAGCTCTCTGGTTAGCATTGGCAGCATGGATTTTAATCGTTTTGAGCTCATGCGCTTTCTGTTGTAGTTGCGGCGGACGTGGAGGAGGAGGAGGCGGACGGAACAAAAGAAACAAGATGCAAGATGAAGATACTTGGAGAGCACCTCAAAATACCGGCGGTGGTGGTTATGGTGCCAATAACGGATACGCAGATCAGATGAGAATGGATGCTATTCAAGCGGAATCGGATCGAAAGCGAAGACAAAAGGATTTACCCAAATTTGCAACATACGAGACTGAACATGTAGAAGAATTACCATTAAAACAAGATTATGAAGATTACACACCACATGGTCAAGGTAGACATGGAGGACTTCCACCTGGCGCTGGATACCATGGAGCTGGACAATATCAGCAGGATTACGGTTATGCGTACGGCGATGACGGCTCGTATGCCATGCACAATGCAGCGGGTACGGGTGCTGGCAGTAATGCATACATTGCTGGCGTAGGTACAGGAGCTTTACGTGGATCTCAACCACAAACTGCTGCAAGTAGATATTACGATTCTTCGGTCCCAAACAGCTCCAACAATCTTGCTGGATATGGCGCTCATGATCTTTCATCACCTGCTACTACCGTTCCACCTCACGTTAACGGGTATGGAAGTGCTGCAGGAACGCCAATGGGAATGCCTGAACCTGTTCATGCGAATTCTGCTCGCGGTGATGGTAATATGGATTATTTCTACAACGCAAATCCAGCCGCAAATCATCCTACTAATGAATCCGAAGGGCTACAATCGCATGATGTGTATGGTGGATACACGAACGATGCACGATCACAACAGAATCATCAGTATGAGCAATCTGGCACATATATGAACGATGCACGATCTCCGCAGAGTCATCAGTACGAGCAATCTGGCGCATATCCTTATGAACCTTCATATCAAAGTCATCAAGACATGGCACCTGCTTCAGGACATGGAACAGATGTCGAAGGCGGAACGTTTGGACCCCAGAGCCGATCGACCAAGCACAGTCAATATGCACATTCTCAGCATGATCAGTCTTATGGTGCAGGTGCTAATGGAACACGATCGAGAACACAATCGCAATCTCGACAAAACGCACCAGCAGAATCTTCTCAGTCTCCCTATGATGCTGTTCAACAGGCAACAGCTGCAGGAAGATCAAGAAGATTACCGGCCATTCCAACAGGCGCTGCAATCAACTCTAATCCTCAACAATCAGCAGGAGAGATACCCTATTCGCCTACTTCGCCCTCACAGCAACAGCCAATGCAAATGAATGAAGGATTTGGAGTGAGTTCTGTTCCATCGCCCAGACAGACGACGGGTGATGATGGATTCGGATTGGCTGTTTTGAAAGCTGGAGCGGCAGCTGCTGCATCAAGTTCTCACCATCATTCTGATCTACCGCCACCCGGATACAGCGAAGAACAGCCATCATCAACCTATCATAATCCTTATGCTTATCCATCCGAGAAACGGTGAGAAAGGGGACTATTTTGTATATAATTGGCTCTTTTCTTTTATTTTAATGGACATTGATTTCTGAAAATAAAGATGCCGAAACAAAAAAAGCTTCTTTTGATTCTACGCTAGTGATCAGCCACGCACGCCATTTCTATGCGGTACTGCATTGCACCATTCCCGCCTCCACTGACGCAGACGCATATGCATCGAATCAAAACAAATGTTTATTCGGCAAATTAATACTTCCAAAAAAGATCTATTGCTGACACACTGCAGCCATGAACAATTGCAACTCTTGTTCCTGACCGTCAATCATCTTTTGTCGAATATGACGACAGAGAATCAGCTGGAGAAAGGTCAACACCAGCAAGGGACAGAATCACCGATTTCAACACCATCACTGCATGACAATACACCCGATCAAGATGATATCTCTGAACCCAAATCAGAAAAGCATGCAAAAGATGATGGAATACTAGTAGAATTCTCAAAAGACTCTCACGATCCTTCCAATCCGGCAACATTTTCAAACTTAAAGAAATGGTGGATAATAGCGGTAATTTCAACAACCAGTACAATGGTAACATGTGCATCTTCCGTCGTATCGACAGGCTATCAAGGAATCGAAATGGATCTACACGTCAGCCATGAAGTTGCAATTTTGGGATTGTCATTATTCGTTTTAGGGTTGGGTTCTGGACCGATCTTCTTGGCACCTTTTTCGGAATTTTATGGGAGAAGGCCAGTTTATCTATTAAGTTTAACAGCATTCTTCTTACTCGGCTTCCCGGTCGCTTTTGCAAATAATCCTGCCGTATTCTTTATATTTCGCTACCTAACCGGTTTCGCTGGAAGTGCATTTTTGAGTGTAGCAGGAGGTTCGATCACCGATATGTATTCACCGAAATATTCCTTTTTTCCAATGGCCGTTTATACTTCTTCACCTTTTATGGGTCCCGTCTTGGGTCCTGTTTATAGTGGATTCGTCGTTCAATTTGCTGATTGGAGATGGTCATTCCGGGTAATCATCATTTGGTCTTTCGTTCAATTGATCTTGGTCGCCTTTACACCAGAAACATTTCCGCCGCAACTGCTCATTCAAAAAGCACGCAGGATACGCAAAGAGACGGGAAATAACTCTTATTATGCTCAACACGAAAGAGACCTTGCGGCAAAGAGTCTCGTCAAAACAATCGCTGTGAGCGGATCAAGAGTGTTTTTGTTACTCGCACTAGAACCAATGCTGCTCTTGCTCTGTCTATGGTGCGCAATCCTTCTTGGAATCCTCTACCTATTCTTTGAGTTGTTCCCGATCGTTTTTGCCAAGCACAACTTTAACGATTACCAAAATGGGTTAAGCTTTTTAGGTCTAGGGATTGGAGTAATGAGCGGTGTCGTTTTGATGAAATTTTGGTTTGCAAAACGATATACGAGATTATCAGAAAAGAATGGCGGAAAAGCACCACCCGAAGCACGTTTAGATCCTGCTAAATTGGGTGCAATCTTGTGTCCCATAGGTCTTTTCATCTTTGCATTCACTTCTTATCGAAACGTTCATTGGATCGCTCCAATTATTGGCTCAATTCCATTCGGTGTCGGTTTCTTGTTGATTTTTACCTCCGTTTTCACTTTCACGACCGATAATTGGCGTCCTGTTGCCGCTTCAGGTATGGGTGCAAATTCTGTTGCACGTTCAATTTTTGCTGCCGCTTTCCCACTCTTTGCAACTCAAATGGCAAGCAGACTTACAACAACAGGAGCAGCAGCTTTACTGGCAGGTTTGAATGTTGTCATCATCCCGCTCCCTTTCGTCTTTGCTCGTTATGGACCGCAACTAAGAGCAAAGAGCAAATATGCTATGAAATAGGACTTTATATACCACGTCATTAATGAAATCGATAATATTGGATGGGTATGAAGGGTATACATGGGTATGAGTGAATGAGAGTGAATCAACTCCACCAGCCGTCGTTGCTTAATTCAACGGCACGACTGTTGGAGATATTTGATAAGTTGGAACGCATTTGATGAGATGAAAAGACGGTATCATTGAGATTATTTCTTGTTGAATCGAAACTTTGATCGACAAAGGTAGATTTTTGATTTTCATTGGATCCGGATGAAGGGGCATAAATCGATGCCCATGTTGTTGATCCATGACTAGGCGAATGTGGGAGACCGTTTTGATCGGGCATCTTTGTAGTGGAAGATGATCTGGCAAGGTGTTGACCTCTGTCAATCTGTTGTACAAGCATATTTTGACGTTGGACTTGAAGATCAATTTGATGATCGTATTGTTCCTTCTGCTCTTGAATTCTTCGATCTCGCTCTCCCAATTGTCCCCGCAACTCTGCAAGCTCTTCTCGAGCAGATGTCAAGTCTGCTTGACTTTGTTCCAGCTCGTCCTTTCCGACCAATGTCTCACGCATGGACATCAAGTCTCTTTCCATGTCCAAGAATCGGGCTTGGTAGCCGGCCAATTCCTCCCTCAAGCGTGCTTCTGATTCGGTGCTGTTTTGCAATCTCTTTTCCAGATCTGCTCGATCGGCCAATCTTCCTTCCATATCTTGCAATCTTGCACGGGCAACGTGTAATTCTCGATCACTTGCTTCCAATTCCCGAATACGTTTTTCCGTTTCTGACAACTTTTGTCCGCTTTGTGCTGCTTTTTGTTTTTGGGTTGCATTGACTTGTTGTAAGTTGCCAATCTTTGTATCTTGATCGCTGATCCGTTTCTCAAGCGCAGCCAATTCTCCCTCTGCTTTGGCTGCTCTTGACAATGCAAGCGCGACATCATCCCGCCTATTCTCCTCCAACTTGCGTACATGTGCCAAGAGCGTTTCGATGTTCTCCTGTACGACTTGCGAAGATTTCTCCGCTTGTGTGTGCCGCTCCTGTAAATGGCTGTGATGGTCTGCTAACAATTTGACAACTTTTTCGTCTAAAGCGCCGATCTGTCTATCGAACGCCAGCTCCCCCTTTGATGCATTGATGATATCATCAGAAGTTCTGCCTTCCAACTTTTGCACATGGTCAAACAACAATCCGATCTTCTCTTGAACGAGTCGCAAAGGTTCATCAGCTTGTGCCTGTGTGCTTAGTTGCGATAGTCTTTCCTGCAGACGGTCATGGTGTTCCATCAACAAGCTGGCAACTTTGTCGCCCAAAGAGCCAATCTGCTTGTCCAGTGTCGATTCTCCTTCGGCATCTTCGGCCTTTTGCGATGCAACTATGGCATCACTCGGTGCACTCTCTTCTATTTTGCGTACATGTTCCAAGAGCGTCTCAAGTTTCTCCTGTACAATTCGCGATGACTGCTCTGCTTGCTCATCCTCTTTAAGCTCCATGAACCTTTGCTCTAGAACGTCATTATGATCGGCCAACAGATTACCAATTTCTCTACTGAAAGCTTCCACCAAAGTCTTTCGTTCCAGACTGTCCAACGTGACCATATTGACCGGTCGTACCTGACCCATGATCGTCACTTCATCCAAAATCTTACCTGCCCATCCTTCCAATGCTCTATCCATTCGCTCGCCCAATTCTTCAATAATGTCAGACACTGTATCGTCGTCATCATCTCCATCCTCCTCATCATCATCAAACCGGATCTCATCGTCAGGATTGCTGATTAATTCCTCTCGCTCTCTCTTCGGGATATCGATCGGCTTCATAAACGGACTAGGCTCATCAGGTCTTCGAAGAGAAATAGACTGCGATCGAGGTAGACTGAATGTGAAGCTGGTTTGCGGTACGGTGGACAATCGATCTTCAGTTGCAGGAGGCTCAAAGCTTGGAATACCAGCCCTACCAGCATTGCGGCCAATGGTAGGATGGAAAGGAGCTGCAGTTGGTTGGAAAGAAAAAGTTCCCAATGTTGGCTGCGGTGCAGCATTAAGAGCCGCGATTCCAGAAGAGTTGCCGGGGATAGAACTATTGAACGGAGGTGCAGAGGTTCCATTGATGGCATCACCATCGCGCAGAGCACTTGGAACACTCGCAGCAGACGGTTTCGGTCGTGGTGGACTTCCTACCATCAAAGCATCTTCGTCTGCACCCGCTTGCTCTCCACCTTGATGTCGAACTCGTTTCTCGCGACCTTGGCTTTCGCGTGAGGGGATGAGAGTCGGTGCAGAAGAAAGTTGAGGTAGCTTAGGTGCATTGCTAGGTGCTGTAAAGGTAAAGGAGCCCGGAACGAAAGAAGGGGCAGCAGCATTGAGGTTTCCTCGCATCGATGTTGACCCTTTGAATGATCCACCAAAGCTGGAATTGGCAATGCTTGGAAGACGGAAATGATCTGGAGCCTTTGCAGTAAGGTTTGGATCACTTGGTGTAAAGGCGGGTGCATTGGCACGGAAGGTGCTTGCCGAATCCAGAGGACCACGAGACATGACATTGATATCAGAGGATACTGATGGCCTTCCAGCATGCGGATCTGTATCGCTCTGCGGATGCCATGTGCCACCTCCCAGAGTACTACTTGCAAATGTTTCCGCTGTTCCGGCCCTAGGTCGATTGCCTGCAAATAAGAGGTGATCTCGATCAAAGTTCTCAGCTTCCTTCGCTGCCAATCGTTCTGCACGCTGCAATCTCTTCTCAGCTCTAGCGGCTTCTTCGTCAGACGGATTGCTGTAATCTTCTGACAAAGTTTCCAGTTCATCAGAATCCTCTTGCATTCCATTATCAATACTCTCATCACCAGTGATTGCTTTGAACGGCATGTTTGAAACTTGCCGCCTCTCCTTCAGCCAACTTGGACCATTTGTCTTATCGACATCCTCGTCCAAATCTGAAGCATCAGCATCTTCGCTCGGATTGGATTGCATATCCAGATCATGCTCAAGAGTCCTCTTGCTGGATTGCATAGTTTGCGATACTTCTTCGTCATCCGACAGATCTTCTTCATCTGCTTCTGGGATATCATACCCGAATCCGCGTCCCAAATCTCGCCAAGACATGTTTTTGTTGTGCGATGATTTGGTAGGCGTTGATATATTGCTGAGAATAGCAGGATCGGATGCCTGACGATCAACACGAGGACGAGCTCCCAAAGCAGGCTCACTGCGATCTTCCGAGTCAGAGTACGCCTTCTCATCACCTTGCTTCTCTGACGGACTTGGCAATCCAAGAGCAGTCAATGTTGCAGGACCAAACGGTTTACCACTCGAAGAAAGGCTAAGAGACATCGTTGTCATATGTGCAGCACGCCTTGGCGTTAGGATGTCGTTTAATGGGCTGACTTCCTCATTGCTATAGCGATTGCGTTGCTTATCAGGAGAAAGACCAAATGTGCCACCATCGCCACCACCTGTTCCCAGACCCCAACCTGCATCAATTTCGTCAGAAGTATCAAACTTTTCAGCCTCTTTTGCTGCTGCTGCTGCTTGTAATGCTTCCTTTTCCATTCGCTCTAGCGCAAATGTTTCTCGTACTTCTTCCCATGCACTTTGACCGGGTAAGAATATATCAACGAAATCAGGCAAACCATGCCCATTATCATTGAGTGAGGGAAATGTATCCCGAGAAAGAATACAGTCAGAGGGCGTGATTTGACCAACATCATTCACGTTCACACTAGAAAGTGGTTCACGTCGTATCCAGTGCTTTCGTAAAGCATTGACAGCGTCATCACGTTGATCGCCTTCTTTCTCTTCAGTGATTGTGTGTCTGAACACGTTTTCTTGGCCTTCAAGTTCGATCTCTATCGGCAACTTGACAGTGACCTTTCTCTTTGGCTTTTGAGATGCCAAAGCTGCTGCAAAAGCTGCAGGATTCAGACTGACTGAAGGCGTGGAATTGTGACCTGTTGTTCGTATAGGTTGAATGACGGGAGGTGGTCCTCTTCCTTTGCGTGTTTGGCGATTCCCATTGATCGAAGCAGCGCCCCAGCCACCACCATTGTTGTTATTCACGCCGAATGGGAACCCGGCACTTTCCACAACTATATTTGGAGATGAAGCGATTCGAGCATTAGGCGAAGAAGGAGACAATCCGCCAGGCGAAGGCAAACCACCCATGATTGGACTCATTCCGCCCGGACTTAACAGCGTTCGTTGCATACCACCACCGTTGCCGCCCATTTGAAAAGCTGGTGCAGCCGCATTCAATGACAAGCCAGAAGAAGCAGGAGATCGTTGTCCTTGTGTTGAGCCGGATTGAGACCTTTGTTGGTACGCATACATTGGAGTACCTTGTTCACCAAATGATCCTCTTGGACTTAGGCCTGGCATTCCTCTTCCTGGTTGAAAAGTTGCGGCATTTGCACTCATCATTGCGCTGCCCAGTCCACCTGGAGAAGGCGGGCCTGGATATCGACCATATTGATCGTTTCGATATTGATACGAGCCATTAGTGGGAAAAGTGTTCATTTTGACCGAAAACAAAGGCGAATGCCAAAGGTCAAGGTAATCTGATTGCCAACACTAATTGATTCCTATATCGTCAACGTCATTAATCAAGTATCGAAAGTGAGATGCTTCTTTTTGAATGTGAGATTGAAGAAGATAGCTAAAAGAGAGAGAGTTATTCCGTTTGTGCCATGTGCGGTGTCTGTGTTTGTGTGCATAAGCTTCATCACGGCTTCCACTTTCGCTCCGTAATATGTGGTTTAAGCTATTTTTATGAAACCAACACCACATTGTTGTACTACTACAACGGAAGGGGGCGGCGGCATTGCAGCACTGCCCACACACACACTCTCTCTTGCATGCCAGGCAAATTCACGCTAACAAGCACTTGTCACAATTTTGTACAGAGCGTGAACGCGTTCAACAGAAAATAAGGTTGATTAATCGAATGCTCCATGCATTGCATTTGCTTTAATATCACATTGCATGCAGATTTCAAGATGGCCAAGAAGAAAAAAAGGACGATTTTTTAAAACAAAGGAAAAGTATCGGTTACACATTGAAGATTACGGAAACAGAACTTTTTTTGCTACGTGCAATAAACGCACGAGGCCAATTTTGTACAAATTTTGTATGACTTTTATATATGTATATCACTGTATTTATTCATAGTCGCTTTCACTCTCATAATCTTCTTCTCCTGACGAACTATCAGAGGCTACAAGATCATCATGTCCAGCAGCTTTGGTAGCAGGCTTAGGCGCAGAAGTCGAAGAAGTGCTCATATCGGGATTGTCGAATTGATTCAATTGGGCTTGTAATCTTGCAATTCTCGCCGCTTCTTCTTCTTCATCCAGATTCTTTCTCTTCACACCTCCAGTTCCACGTTTGCGTCCATCGGAAGAAGACAACTTGCTGGTGGTAACCTTTTTGCCTTTTGGTCGAACGACATATCGGTACAACTTATAAAGCGTACTTGGACTTAAATCATCAATGTCCAATTCGATTTCTTCATCATCGTTTGCATTTGGTGGCTTATCTTCTGCAATAATCTTCAATGCACCATCCAAACGATCATCAGGTAATTGGGTAATCTTGGCTGCCAATTCTTCCTTTTGTTCGTACGTGACTTCGCGTACTTCTTCATCACGTCTTCCGCCACCGCCTCCGGCCTTCTTGACTCCTGTACTCTTTTTGGCTTCTACCGACCCGGACGATTTGGCCTTCTTTGCTGCAGGTGCTTTCTTTGAGCCTGCACTTTCAGACGGTCTGCGTTTCTTCGATGCTTTTTGCTTGGCTTGCTTCGCTTTGCCGCTCAAGCGTTCCAGCTCTTTCTGTAAAGTTGCAATCTCTTCACGAATTTCAAACATTCGTGTCTCTGGATCTTCTTCCTCAAATTCATCATCATCCTCTGCATCTTCATCTTCGTCGTCGTCAACCACAGGCGGATTGGGTCTCGGCATCTTGGCCATCTTATCCTCCCAGAGACTTCTCAATTTATCACCCATGACGTACACTTCCGATGCCTTCTCATTGAAAGTGAAGCAATTGTCGAACATCAGCTTCATATCATTGTTTGGTCCATCAATATCCTCGTATTCGCCCGAAGTGATTCGCTGACGAATCTCTTTGAGCGAAATTGGGTTCTTGATCGTGTTATAATAGGCTTGAGCGAAATCCAGATTCATCGCTGGCTTCTCAAAGAAGACCCAGGCACATTGTGATGCCACTGGCTCTTTGTGGAAATCATCAATCACCTTGGCTGCATACTTTAGCTGATCTTTATCCAACTTTTCGTAAAAGGCAATCTCGCGTGATGACATCTTTCCTCTTGACTTTTTCCGTTTCACCAAAGAGCCACTAGCCGATTGAGGTCGATCAGCATACGGCAGATCTTTGGGTGGAGGTGGGTGGATGTCTCGCTTTGGTCTTGCTGCTGCCACTCCTTCTGATGGTCTGCGAGCTACTGCCAATGCTGCTGCACTTGCTTCAGCTCCATTGTCATCGTTTACGTTAGCAATGATTGACTTCATCTGTTTATCGAAAACGCCATCCAGCAATTCTGCTGTTTTCGATAGAGGATGCTCGGGACCGTTGAATAGGATACAATTTGAAAAGATGAGCTTGACATCCTTTTCAACATCTTCCAATGTCTTGTATACATCCGTCAATGGATTTAGTCCCATCTTTACACCCATCTTGGTCTTTTCTGTGTGTTTATTGCCTCCTTTCTGGGCTGCAGCTGTGAATGCCAATTTATAATCAACCGTTCCAAGATCCATCGGAGTTTTGATGATGGTAAAGTAGTGGGGAACACCAGCAGCAATTGGATCAACGGGTGCATGGAATAGACCTGAATCATTTCTTCCCTTCAATCCTTTGATCGCATTCTGGCAAGCTCTTATTTGAGCACCACTCATCTCCGTCGAATCTGGTCCTGCCAAAGGTGGGAGTGAGCCATCCTCTGCTACGACAGCGGTAGAAGCTCGACGCGAATCAGAAGTTTCTGGGGTTGCCGATGATTGTGGAGCTGCTGAGGTCGAGATTGGGGCTGGAGCAGGTGCTGTTGGAGTGATTCCATTTGGCTTTTCATCTTTCATCTCCACAGCATTCGTGTTCGCAGACACTGGCTGTTCTGCGACAGGTGCAGGTGGTTGAGGCGCTGCTTGTGCTTGGATGGGTGCTGGAGATGGGGATGGAGCAGGTTCTGGAGCTGTTGGTGCGATTCCATTTGGCTTTTCGTCTTTCATCTCCACATCTTCGTCTTTAGCGACAGGCTCACTCTGAGGAATAGGTGCTTCAGCTTTAATTGCTGTTTCTTCACTTGCGTTGTATGGATTCTGAGTACCAGGTGCACTTGGAGCTGCAGTAGTTTGCGAGTCAATCGATTGCGTCTCAACTGGCTGCGCTTGGACTGGCTGCATATCAACCGGTTTTGACTCTTCCACTCGATCCTGTCCATTGGTCATATTTTCTGAAGTGACGACTGCTTGAGCAGCGGAAGCTGTTGCAGGATCATCTTGAGGAATTTGATGTGCAGTGGCTGGATGCGAAGGTTCCTCTTCACGTACGGCTGAAACTTCTGGTGGAGGTAAATGCGGTTTTAGAGGCGTGAATGCTGGAGGTAAAGGACCGCCAATTGGACCATTTACTGGTGGTGCTGATCCATTTGTAGTCGAAGCGGGAGCAGGAGGTTGGCCTGCTTGATCATGTGTCGGAGTAGAATCAGCATTCATCGTTTGGCGTTTGGGAAGATTTACTGAACAAATTGTTGACCTGTAAAGAGATCCAATCAATGTTTGCTTCAAACAATATTAATCAGCTCTGATGGAATGTACAGCGTAATTTGATCAATCGCCACTTGTCACAAACAAACAAAATTGGAAGTGGATGGCGAATGGATGGCGATGAGGATGGTGTGCGAAGATTAAGAAGCTAAAGCGTGAGGATTTATTTTAGCAGAGAGCGCGCCGCGTGCGCATCTTCTCTTGACGCGTAACTATGCGCGCACGCTCGTGTTAGGCACAAGAACAGTGTTTTTCATCTGGTCACCACATCACGCCTCATCAAGGTAATCATTCTTTTGTTCATCGTTATCAATTGTAATAGTACATGCTTTTTTCAATCAATTTTGATAGTTCTCCCATGGTGCCTTGATTGGTTCTATGAGCTGTTCTACCTCATTCGAGCTTCCTGGACTATCTTCTATGAGTTGGCTTTGGCCTTGTTGAGTATTTTGAGGCAATGTGTGATTTGATTCTGAGACGATCGCATTCTGCGGGAAGAAAACCGGCGCATTCATTTGACTTTGTTGCAGTCCATTTCTCTGCATCAAAAAGGCAATCAGCTTTTGTGAACACCTTCTCTGAACAACTGCAAGTTTGAAGGAAAATTGAAATCCACGTTCGAAATCCAAATCAAACGCCAAACAACCATCTTCCATCGTTCTCACAGCCACAATCTTTTCGACCGATGATTCCCATGATGGCATCAATCCGTAATGACACATTGCAACTTCACGTGCAACAGTCTCACGTTGTTCTTCCGGAATGTCTTTTGCTTTGACTGTTCGAAGATCGAATCCTGCGTACATGTACGCTGAATCAATCGCCTTGCTTGCACGTTTGTGTTTTGGACTTCCAATTTGAAGAAATTTTTCATGTTGCATACGCTCTTGCTGCAGCCTATCGTTGTACTTTTTGAGCATCTCTGGACATCCTTCCAGACATTCTAGTGGCTCCCATGAATTCCATTCAGGTTTGTATCCTTTCCATGCAAGCAAATAACGCAAATTTCCTTCTTTTCCCATGTAATTCGGCCAATGATCCAGGATTGCTTCCACTTCGTAAGGTTTATCGGGATCATCTGAGGGTAGTTCTGGTTCCGACTCTTCGTATGGTTCTGGCTCTTTGGGTTTCTGAGTGACACGTCTCTTTTTGGGAATCATTCTGGACAATGTAGAGAGAAGGATGATTTCGGAGGTTGAAATCAGGCGCGCAATAAAAATTAAAATTCATTTCAATCTTCTCATTTAAAAATACAATAATACACTTCAACGATCACACTTCCGGCTCACGTAATGTTGCTTCGACATCCGTTCTATCATCGGCCGATCGAGCGACCAATTGTGGATCAGGAAGAAGACCAAGTTGTGCATCAGCTTCTGCCGCATCGGCTACATCAATGACATTCGTGCTTTCTTCAATAATTGGAGCTGTTTCGGACCTTCGCTTGCTTTCATCCAATTGAATCGGTTCTTCCAGCTTCTGTGACGATCCTCCTCTTCCGTTGCTGATGCTACCGCTACTTCCTCTACGTAATCTTTGATCGGAAACTGCTGTAATGCTAGGTGTACGATCTCTGCCTCTTCTCTCTCCCTGTACCGGATTCGCTTCATCCTCCTGTGATGCAATACTTATCCTTCTACCGCGGGTAACATTTGATCGACTGCTTTTCCCGATTGTGCCAACGGGAGAATTGGTCGGAGAAGAAGCACGAGAAGTAGCAGGAGAGCTGTTCTCTGATCCACTTCCTCCGACAGCATTTCCAGTAGACATGTTCAGCTTTGGTCGAACTCGTGATGAGCGTGGTGAAGATCTCGTTCCTCGAACAGAAGAAGCAGGTGATCCTTTCTTTGGCTGTTGTTGTTGCATAACATTTCCACCTTCCATACTGATTGGAGCACTTTTAGGCGATGGCTCACTTCCCCCGCCAAAGATCCACCATCCTCTCCATCCGCTCTGTCGTCTCTCTTGCATCTTCTCTGCCCTTCTACGTTCGAATGCTGCTCTATATCGCTCATATCCTTCGCGGAATTGATTGGACACTTTGCTACTAAAGATCAATTCACCACGTGGATTGGAAGAAGGTGGAATGGTGGGAATGTGTAGCCTTCGAGCAGCAGCAACTGATAAGGTTGGATGTTTGTTAGCTGTTCCATCTCCGCCAACATTTGCAGTAGAATCCGCACCTTCCCGATTCACCTGTGCCTCCTTATCGTCCGCAATGGACGGTGTCCGACGTAGAGTAAATGCGGATTCTTGCTGTCGAAAGTATGAGAATATTGATTTTCTCGGTGCAGCCCGGGTATTAAGATACATATTGAACGATCGCAAGCTCCTGTTTGCTTGTGGGACGAATTTGTTAGCTGCCGTTATACGTTCGGCATACATTCCACTCGCAAAGAATAATAAGAGCATAGTCGCAGTGATCAATAGAACAGTGACATTGAGATAGTGCAGCGGTTGCCATTTGGATGGCTGAACGAAGACATAATAAGAAAACAATCCAATCGCACCACAAAGAAGTACCAGAAAGGTCTGATACTTTTTTCTTCGTTTGACTAATCGAGCAGCATTTTGCTTTAGCCTTTCCTCAAAGATCAAAAGGTCTCTATATGTTTGTGCATCGGCTGAAGGATAATAAGGCACAGAACCTGATGGCGATGCCATACTTGCTTTAGCCACCATCCGTCCGGAAGCCCTGTGTGATTGGTGTGCTAGAAAATCAACCTTCTACCTCATATCTTGTAGCCGTTTTTGATTTGCGACAATGATGGTGTTTCCCCAACTTTATTTGATTCAACCCAAAATGTGTTTTGTGTGGTGCCCAATTTAATCTCCACACGCTTGGCAACTTTAAAAGGCGCGAAGTCACACGTGAACAGGGATTATGAAAGATGACAAACACATCAGGAAGGAACTTTCATTCTCGCCATCATCACATTGACTCAACTCACAATTAACACAATGATACATAGACAGAGTAATGCACTACTGCGAAGGGCGCTGCTAAACTCTGCCAGATCGCATCCAACAAAGACGCCAATTCAGCCACTTCGGGTTTTTTCTTCTCTTGCCTCTGATCCTTATACCGATCCAGCATTTGCAACGACGGCCGATTTTGCCAATGCAGCAACATCTTCATCTCCAGACACTTTGAGTGAATTACAACGTAATGCTCTTGATTCGATGTTACGTGTAGATCATTCGGGTGAGATTGCAGCCAATACGATCTACATTGCACAAGCAAGAGTGTTTGGCTTATTGGGTGACCAGACAACGTCAAAGATGTGTTGGGTTTTGTTGGAAACGGAAAAGAAGCATCTCAAAGTAGCGGAAAAGCTACTAATGCAACATAGAGTCAGGCCAAGTTTATTGAACCCGATTTGGGGTATTGCGGGAAGTGTATTGGGAGGAGCAACTGCACTAATAGGCAAAGAAGGCGCAATGGCTGCAACAGAAGCGGTTGAGACAGTGATTGGAGAACACTATGATGACCAGCTGAAGACTCTATCAGCAATGACTTCGGGAAGTGAGAAAGTTCATCCTTCCCTTGAGCTATTGAGGAACATCGTACAAGAATTCAGAGATGATGAATTGGAGCATTTAGATACAGCCGTTGAACATGACGCACAACAAGCACCAGCACATGCTCTTCTGAGTGCAATTATTGGGTTTGGATGCAAGGGTGCCATTGAAGTGGCCAAAAGGTTTTGATTATTGTATAATTCTTATGTATTTTAGCAGCTTAATGAAATTTGTTCAAGATGATGATTACGTTAGCTCTCGCCTCCACAGACCATAAGCGCTAATGCAGGGATCTACAACCACACGCTTTGACATGAGAAGAGTTGAAAGACGAGCAGCTCAACCTTTTCCCTCCTAACGCCCAAAATCAACCCTTTTCATGTTTCGAGTAGCATTCAATCATACTTTACGATCATCTTCTCTTACAAAAACAATCGGCCATCGACAATCAAACCTAATGACTGATTACGTAGCTGGAGCGTTGTCCAAAATAGGACTCAACGGAAAAGAATCGACAAATGCCTATTCCTCCACAACCCAAGGATCAGGAGCGGCAAAAGAAGATGAAAAGCAAAATGCCACTGAAATTTTAACGCACAATCAATACAAAACCACCGGATTGGACTGGGATGCACTTTCTCCTTCTGCCTTGACGCAATTTCGTACTTGGTTTCAAGATGCGATCGATCATCCAGAAATACCCGAACCAGAAGCAATGACGATCAGTACAGTTTCCCTACAAGAAGGGCAGGATGGAAAGAGTATCGCAAGACCATCCTCAAGAATCGTTTTGCTAAAACGTGTTGATAAACGCGGATTCATCTTTTTTACAAATTATAATTCTAGAAAAGGTATGGAGTTAGAACGTAATCCGTTTATCGCCTTGACATTTTATTGGCATGCATTGCATAGAAGTGTTCGTGTTTGTGGGAAAGTGGAAAAATTGTCGAATGAAGAAAACGATCAATATTTCAATTCAAGACCTTTAGGGTCAAGAATGGGCGCAATCGCAAGCCCTCAAAGTCAACATATCGAAGGTAGAAATATCTTGGAAGAAAAGGTAAAAGAAGTGGAAAACAAATACAACATTCCCGGTGCAGCAGGTTTGGATCCCGAACAACAATCTGACCAGTATGAAGATCGACATGTTCCCGTTCCCGATTACTGGGGAGGATTCCGTGTGATCCCGGATGAGGTGGAGTTTTGGATGGGAAGGAGTAACAGATTGCACGATCGTTTCAGGTACACTCGAGATCTAAAGGAGGAAAAAGATGAATGGGAAATCAGCCGTTTAGCGCCATAGAGAAAGAAGAATAATGTACAATTAAAAAGTGTAGAAACCATTACATGTTTTGTTGTTGTTTAAAAAAGAATAATGTACAATGACCAAATCCCATCAGGAGCATTTCAATCGCTCTCTTCATCTTCTTCGAGTGGCACAGTTTCTTCTTCAGTGATACGACGACGTTGACTTGAGCGGCTTTGCACTGTTGATGATCGTCCACGTTTCGATCCGCTATCTTGCGTTTCGCCAAGTTCGTCTTCCTCTTCGGAATCTTCAGAATCATCCGTTTCCCCTGTAGAAGCTCGATTTACAGACGTAAACCCGAGTGGATTTTCACCATTGTTGCGGTTGCTCCTTCCTATCATCATCGTTGATGCATTCGTCGTATCACCAACTGTGAGCGGAGACCATGGCTTCTTACATTTTGCGCACAATCTGACATCACCCTTTGTTTGCAACATCGAAAGCAATCGTGGTTTGCAATAATGATGTGCATACAAATCGCAACCTTCCGTTGAGCATGCCAATCCACGAGTGACGATGTCCTTGCAAGCGTGACAGGTGTGCATGTACTCTTCATAAGACCCACGTAGATAACTCTGCAATTCCAATAACGATCGCGGAGAAAGGAAGTAAAAACCGGCATCCTTTGTGATCCAACCTTGCGAAACAAGCTTCTTACAAAGTATGTCAGCCTTTGTAGAGCTTAATTCCGGATCCATATCCTTTCCGAGACTGATTGCAACCGTTGACGAAATACAGTATGCACGACGAGGAGCAGTAAAGATATTTTCGATTAAGCTTTTGATGAATTTGATTTCATGCGGCGTGAATTGGGTTGCTAATTCTGCAATTTCATCGGCTTTCGTGTTGACGATAGCGAGCATATGCTTCTCTGTTTGTTCATCAATCATTCGTCGAATTTCAAGATTGACAACAATTAATGCGTTATTTACCTTTTTGATGCACTCAGCATAGTCACGTTGGGTATGCTGTACCCGACATGCTTCCGTTGCCGCTTTGAACATGGCTTGTGATCGTTCTTCCGTCACGATTCTATGTGACATCATACCTTGAAGCCATGCCTGCTGCGGCAGTTCCAGTGCCTCGACCATTGTAAGGACTCGCAGAAGGGATGATCGTACTTCTGATGGAAGGATGAGCATCCCATATACACGCAATTAAGAAACTCGTGTTCGGCCTACGCCAACAACGCGTAGCGTGCGTTTATAAAGAACAACACCTAGAGCAACACAGCAAAAGTGGCACACGCAGACACTATAAACTTCAAATGATTGCATTACGATTAAAACCAGCTACATAAAAGATGCTTTACGCACAATAATCAGTGAAACATTTAGAGCAAGCACTTGGTAAACTAGCAGATGTCTTCTTCAATGTAACACAAGCAACACATGTATCATATCCAGCCGTACCATTATACGTTGCAACTGCTTGTCCGTTGGCCAACATACCATCGATTTCAGGTTTCGTATAAGAAAGTTTGTATGTGGACGTATTACTTGGATAAACATAGGCATTGTTTGGCAAGTATACGATCGTCATCACATCTGAGCCTTGATCACATCCAAAGAATGTAGGTCGTGTGTTGTATCCTTTTTGCACAAATTCAGCTGGTGTAGGAATTGTGGGCATACGTGAAAGTCCTTTTGCTTGTGCTTGAGTGTATGTTTCATAAATCGAACTTCCATTAGGGAAATTATACTGAGTATCAGAACTGCTATCTTCAACGAATAACACATCAATCTGACGATGCAAGAATGGCCAAATCGGGTTCACTTGTCCGCTAAAACCTCCGTCCATCATGTACAATTCCGTTGGTTTATCGGGGAACAATCTTCTTTCGGGCGGATAAGCAGAAGCAGAAAGGGCTTGCTTATCAAAACTGTCAGGGAAAGCAGCATACACATCCCGGAACGTAGGCTTTTGTATTTGATGCAAGACTGATTGGGTAAAGTTGTACACCTTTTGTGCATCACTGGCTTCCTTTTTCGGTACAGATGCACAGAATTCTGGAAAGATGTCCGATGATGCTCCCATTATGAAGCCCAGGTTGTCAAATCCGGTAATACAACTTGGCACGCCATCGTTACCAACAATGCTTCCAGTATAATTTGTCGGAATGAAACTTGCAATTGCGGAATCCCAACTGCCAAATTCGAGCGGTGAATATTCGAATTGTGTTGCACCGATTTCATCATCGCTGCATTGTTGAGCTGCTTGAGACTGAACGGTAGTGACAATAGGGAAAGGGTAGTTATGGTTTGCATAATTGGATTGCGAGGTGATAGAAGACAGAGTTTGCTTGATTCCTCCTTCACTTTGTTCCAAGAGAGAATATCCCAATAGACGTCCATATACATCAATCAAGGTGGGATCGTATCCGGAGACCTTCTTTGCCGTAATAGCCGCAAGAACGTCTGCGTAGCTGAAAAGGAACTTACTCTGATCGGGTAACAAGGGGGTTCCGGGTAATGTTCTGTACCAAACTTCTTCCTTTATTTGAGTGATTGTTTGCCAATTGTTACCCATGATTGAGCCCAGCAGCCAAGAACCACCTGAAAGACCGGATTCATAGATGAGTGATTGATACAAACCCTTCAATTTGGATGCATTTTGCTCTCTTGAATCCAATGCTTGATGAACACCTGCTCCGGTCAACATGGCTCTAAAACCACCTCCTGAAGAAGCCAAAGAGAGCACAGGTGTTGTACTTGAATCAACATTTCCAAATCCCGCATTTAATGAATTAATCCATTGACTGAATGCTGTTTGAGCGTTTGGTTGACGAGCAGAAACGTATGCTTTTTCATCTGGATTGATACCTAATTTTGAAGATCGCGCAAGTGTATTAGAAGGACATTGAGCCCTTTTTGGAGCATAATCGCTAGGAGAACGTCTATCCAGCAGTTCTAAAGCCCTTGCATTTTGAACGGGAAGAACGTTTGCTTCAATGATGCTTATCGATACGAACAAGATGGACAAAAGGCTGTACAAGTTGACAAAATGCATCTTGCAAAAGGGAAAGGAGGGGGAGAGTGGATGAGGTTGTTGGGTGAAGAAGAACGTTTGCTGTATTTATAGAATTAACCCCCACATGTTCTTCATCTTTAGGATGACATGTTTGTAAATATTAACGTGTAATTTAGGTGCAATCGGCACTTAGACCCAGACTTCTTAGAGAAGCATTCACCGCGGAAATCCATGCTTGTCATTTGAGCAGTATCAAAATAAAGTTCAATTTTCAGGTACAACAACTGCATATGCATCATGCATAAGGTCTAAACGCACGGCAAGCCGAATTCATTAGAACGCATGGCGCCTTTAACCCAGCACATGGAAATGAACTGTTGCTGTCCAGAGGGATATTTACCCGTGACACATACTGATTGTATGCAAGGTAGAATTTGTTCAGTGCCACACGCACCACTTACCGTAAAAATAGAATGGAGAACAAGACGTGTGGCGTAAGTTGACGGTGGATCTACAATCGTGAATCTATCTTATGGTCTAGACTTCTACTCTACAATCGTGATCGGACATATCCAATCACCTTTTCGATCCCTGTAGGCTTTGTCACTGGTTCGTGTTCGGAACCGAGAAGTTTCTCGTGTAACACTTTAGCCACATCTCGTCCTGAAGGAGTAAGAGAAAACAAAAGTCAGCAAACTTGTCTAGCATCTTATTCGCTTCTTATACTGACCAAACCCATGAGGATCTTCTAATGGGTATAAATGACCCTTTTCCACATATTGAAACGTGATCGACGGAGAATTTGTTTTTGCGACCTGTTCGCAAAATGTATACACTTCCGCCACGATCTTGTCTGGGAAATCGCGGATAAACGTTGATACCATGAAATGTGTCCAGCCATTATAGTTCCGAGCTTGCACTTCTGTTGAAGTCCAACAATTCAACCATAATTGACAAAATGACAGTGCTTCTGCCCATTTGGATATCTTTGGAATAAGGAAAGTCTTTTTTGACTCTTCACCACCTTTATTGGCCACTTTGACTTGTTTGAAGCCATAGTCTGCATAAAGCTTTTTGACACGATCATCAAATGTCTTGAACATGGGTACTTTGTTCAAATACTCCATCAGATCATTTTTATCGATGAAAACGTCTTTACGTACCAAAGTAAGGGCTACATTGGACTCGTTGTGCGGCAACGGTTGCAGTAATAAGCTTTCACGTATCGGAAAAGTGGCATCAAATGCTACAAAGCCATCAACCAACTGCGTTTTTGGCTGATTGGCTTTTGCAACTGCATTGATCGCCATGAGTAATGTTGCAGCTCCTTGACTATGACCGATTGCAATGATTGTTCTATCTTCTCTTGCTCGACCACATTCTTGTCGTTTTAAATGTAAGGGATAATTATCGAATCCGTCTTTGTCCTCTGATGCACTTCTAATAGGCAAATAAAATTGAATAAATTGTTGAATATCACGAGCAATGTCATGACTGGAAATAGCCGGACCAACAAAAGGTGCGTTGAGCAAACCTGCATCTCCCGTACGAAAGTTGTCTAAACTCCAAATTTCATCGATAAAATAAGTGTTTTGTGTCTCGAATGATTTGATCAAACTTTGAACGCTTGGTCGAAAGATCTCTTTATGAAATCCAGTTGCATGTGCCAGGACTATTGTGATCGGTTTACCTTTTGGACGTTCACGGAATGATGCAATACGTTCAACACAGCCCCAAAGTTGCGGTTGACCTGATTGTGCGAGTACTTTGGCTCTTTCATTGGCTTCCTGTTCACTTTTAGCAGGTACAAAAGGTTCCAAATCAACCTGCTGAATGATCGAAAGACCTTTTTTGATATCATCTTTCCGTTTTTGCTTTAGTTCTGCAGGTGTCAAATCAACGTTAAAGTTCATTTTTGGCTCAAATTCTTTGCCAGGCGTAAAAACGCTTTGAGGATGACTACGAGGATAGGCTGCCGGAAAGACATGCTTTGTTGCCATCCAATTTTGTTGATAAAAGTTTTCCTTTGAATTTTCTTTTGCGTTGAACGCAACTTCGGCTTTCAATTGCCACTCATCCGGCCATAAGTGAATGGGAGCATATAGCGCATTATATGCATCTTTTGGTGGTTGCAATAATGGTAAAAGGTGTAACTTATTTGGCATATCATCTTTCCAGCCTGCATCAGCAAGGCTGTAAGGCTTTTTTGCTGTTGCCATTTCTGTCATTTGCGTTGGTGGTGATAGTTAGAAGAGAAAAGAAACATTCAGCGCATCCTCCGAGAATTTAAACAATCACACAAAGATCGGAATCAATACCTCCGCTCGCACGGCTATAAATTGTACGCAATCGGAATGAATAAAATGACAAGAAATGACAGCTGGATTATAACCGCGTATCAGGAATGATCATCTTTTGCTCTGGCCCCTGACCCAATGCAACAAGTTCATCGGCAATCGTCTTTCCTCCTTTTTCCCTTCCGGTATAGGCGGCTATCATACCGTCAAACAAGTCCAACTTTGCCGGACAAACGTGACCTAATCCAATCAACATTCTTCCTTTTTTACCAATATTCTCCCTCTGCTTTCCTAGAGTACATGCAGGCCATTGCGGCCCGTATCGTCTCATTTCATCTTTTGAAGTCGGTGCCGGAACGTAGAAATGCGTGAATTGCTCAACATCCCGAATACTATCTTCGTATGATCTTGCTTCTTCCAACAAACCGCCAACCAATAGCCATATCTCTTCTATATGCTTTTTCCCTTTGCTTTCAAGCTCTAGTACTGCTTTGTGAATAACGTGTTCCCATTCTTTCTTGTCAAGCTTGGCAATTTGTGTCACGACAAGTGTTACTCCTCTTCCTTCCGGCAAGATAGACATACCACCTTCTGTGCATGGCCTTACCGGTACGATCCTATGTGCCAATGTCCAAAGTTGAGGTTGTTTTCGGGAAGCGAGATCTTTGGCTAAATGTGTAGCGACCTCTTCACTAGAAATCTTTGGTGTTTGTCCTGCTTCAAATCTGGGATAAGCCGATGGAAAGACATGCGAAGATTCTACCCAATTCGTTGTTCCATACTTTGAGCTTGTTTGAAATGCGATACGCTCTTGAGGAAGCTTCCATTTTGGCAGCAGATGCAAAGGTGGCGAGGATGAATGCAGTACATCACGAGATGGTGTAAGAAGCGGCAAAAGATGCAACTTTGGTTCTTGCGTGGAAGTTCCACCTTGCTTGAATGATTGGATGTGAGCTTCAGTCATGATTTAATCGTGTCTGAAGGGAAGATCGTGAAGGATACATTGAAGGGAAGTCCATCTGTAAACCCCAATGCAAAAAAACTCTCCTCTACCGGGCCGATAATAATGACCGGAAAGGCAACAAAAAAGTGGCGCATGTACCTACATCATCAATAAGGCTAAATAATATAAAGCAAGCAGTCTGTCTAGCGTGGTTTCCGTGCTTGTTTGATTGCGTATCGACAACCACGCGTAAAGATTCATTGGGCACACGCATTCATCCATCTCTTCTTCCATCCATACACACCTACCTACACATTGTCATCATGTCACATCGATATGGAGTACGGGCAAATATAGAAAATGAACAGAGACGATTACAGAGAGAACCAGTAGCGTGAGTAGTAAAACGAGGTAAACAGGTTCCTCATACTGAAGCCATCTTTACCACACAGGGTATGGAAAAAGGAATGGGTAATACCGCCAATCGCAGCAGGCGCACAAAACAACGTAAAAGTATTGAAATGGGTACGCACTTCAGACACGATTCGATTCGATCCGGAAGAAGAACATATGGTAGGAGAAGAAACGATGGCAAATATGGAAGTAGATCCTGCACCCGCACCTATAGAAACACTTCCAGTCCTTCCTTCTGTCGATGTCCTTCCAGGAGATTCACAAACCACTTCAGATGCTCTACCCGTCACATCAGCCACACCGGCAGATACAAATGCTGCCAGTGTAGAACAAACAAATGATGAAAGTATGGATATAACCATGGATCAATCAATCAATCCGACAGAAGAACAAGCTCAACCTGCTGCTGCTGCCAATCCTGATACGGCAGCCATTCATGATTCAGTTGCGATCGTAGAAACAGGTGTACCAGAACAAACTGCAACATCAACTCCAACGCAAATTACAGAAAAGGAATCATCATCTATACCACCATCACAACCTGTTTCAATGACGACCGAACTTGAATCAACTCAGCCTTTAACCCAAGCCAGTCTACCAATACCAGCTGAAACGCAAGAAGGTGAAGAGGGAGGACAAAACGTGCAATCGATCGGCAGCATTGCAGAAACATCGATTTTGCCTCCATCGACAGAATGAAAGAGCAAAAGGGAGAGAGAGTTTGTACTTGTATATCTGAAAATTGCATATTTAAGATTGTGTAGACTACAGTATAGTGTGCATTAGGTAAGCTGAGAACTCGGCCTTATTCGAAAGCCGATATTCCGTGCGTGAATGAATGATGATGGAAAATGCGGAGAAAGGGCCCTTTCGCGCGTAAGGTGAATGAATGCTTCAACTTCATACCATTGCAACCACCAACCTCTTCATTTGTATGCTCATAAGAAATTGCTTTCGTATTCTGCAAAGAGATCCCGTATTTGTCAAGATGGTCAAAGTCGGTGATATGGAATTCACATCTTTTACTGAGGCCGGTGTTTCAGTGCCTTCTCCTGTTCAGTTGCATCTATTACCACTACTACAACCACAAAAACAGGTTAAGCCCCCCTTAGAAAGATTACGTAAAGAAGCATTCTCCAATCGTATTGCGTACAAGGTCGGATCAACATCTTGGACCTCTTCCAATCATGTCTTCCCTGCAGCATTCCCACGATCACATTTCCATGCGACGCACAAACCCGGTCCGGCACCGTTGGGAGTGCATGCAGAAGTACTGGAAGGAGGAAAAGAGGTAGAACGTCAAGTTCGTCAAGCGGGCATGCAGCAACTTGAAGAACAACTTTCTCAATGTCCACCTGAAACAATCTACCCACCACATACACAACAAGAAGCAGAACGGATCGCACAAACTTTGGCAGATTCAGGTCAACCACAATTATGGGGAAGCATTCAACGTATTGTTCCTGATTCCGTACAAAAGAAAGGCAAACCTATCACGCTGTTCCTTTCGCATGCCAATGGATTTCATAAAGAGATCTATGAGCCAATGCTGGAGACAGTACTGAGCGAATTAGAGTCTAATGGAAGTGATGTATTTGTCGAGGAGATTTGGAGTATGGATACGTTTAATTCTGGCGATGCAGGTATACTGAATCGTGATACGCTGAGCGTTTGTACACCTTGGTGGGATCATTCAAGGGATATACAGCAATTCCTGCAAAACTACCTTCCACCCAAATCACAAACCGCAAAAGCGCAATTGGAAAGACAAAATGAAGGAACAGGCCGCAAAGACCGAACGATTATTGCTATTACTCATAGTCATAGCGGTGCTGCAGCTTCTATGCTGTTTGCTGGAATTGCTGACCTTTGTGATGGTCATATCAGTGTAGACCCAATGATGACGCGATTTGATGATTTTGCAATTGCTGCTTTACCCGGCCAACATCCGCTATTCAAGGGAGCCCTTATTCGTAAAGACGTATTCAATAACAAGCAAGCACTCATAGATTATATGGAGACCAAGCCCTACTTTAAAGCATGGGACGCTCGTGTACGTGAAAATCATATCCGATATGGGTTCTATCCATTGGCAGGACACGAAAATGAACCCGATCCTCCCCTCACCCTATGCATGACAAAATGGAGTGAAGCATGCCAATTCGCATTCTCATGGTGTGGAGCATGGGGAGCGTTAGAATTAACCAGACCAAGAAATAAAGGTTTCACACATATCATTTGGACAGAATACGCACGTACAGTTACGCAATTGCAAAGGGTACGTGAACAAATCGCAACTAATTTTGCCAAATTTGGCGATCGATTTTCTTGGTCAGATTTAGATGCAAATCATTTGGCCGTTCAAGAAAATCCCGATTTGACAGGAAAAGAAGTCGCAAAGATTATCAAAGACTCCATTGTCAAACACCATAAAGATTCTGCAAAATTGTAAAATTAGACTGGCATTGTGGAATATGAAAAATATAAGCATGCATTTAAGTAGAAAGTCAGAAAAGATATTGTCCTTGTAACAGAGAGGGGAGAGAAAAATAAAATGTGAATATGCTACAGTTCGTGATGATCGTCCGGTATTCTTGATCTGGCGCCAAAGCTACTCGCGAGACTGCCCAAATTTCCACCTGCGATATTCTTGAGGATATCGCTGGGAATCGGACAATCAAAGTTGATATCCTGACTGAAAGCAACCGGAACCGGAACAGAGAGAATTTTGAGTTTTGCATTGATGTTTAGTTCGAGATCCAATTTACTGTTTGAAGTACACTTTGACACCAAATCTTGCAAAATCAGCTTATTCTTATCGGCTACATAATTGTATCGAATCTGGTATGGGAAATGAATCGTACTGTTTGCGTTTGCATCAATCTTTGCGTTGTCAATGCTTCCTCTTCCGATATCTTGACTCTTATCGACATTGTCGTACACTTTTGCATCCAATGAGAGCGCAGAAGAGATTGAATTTGGGTTGGAGACGATGAAGTCAATTGAACCATTGAATGTGATCGCATTTCCGTCCAAGCTGACCGAATTCGAAGAAGGAGGTGTAACGGTTCCCACACCAACATTGAACGGCCTTGCAAAGATGACGACCAAACAAATAATACTGATAATCACAATGATTGCATTGATGATGATGCAAAATAACACTCTGAACAATTTTGCAGGAACGCTCCTTTTTGCCATTGAACGTTTATCATCGTGAGACCAGATTGAGTTTCCGGTATAGATTGGATCAGGTGCTGCTCCTCTTGCTCCATAAGGTGAATTACCTTCATTGTACATCTTTTCACTCTTTTCCGGTACATCAGGTCCAACGGCACTTTGATCATGAACGTTTGTTTGTGCATCTCTGGCATAAGGATCACTTTCGTATGAATTGTGTTGATTCAAATTTTGATTTTGATCGTATGAATAATGCCCCTGTGATCCTCCATTGTTGTTGTATGCATTGTGCGCATAGCTGTCTTGCGCATAGTGTTGATTTGTGAAGGGGTAAGACATTTTAATGAATTGAGCTGCTGTTCCAGCTGTTGAGTGAAAAGGTCTTCTTGTCTCGATTCACGAATTAATCCTGTCTTTTATGTTAAAATAGGTTATGTGAGCGAACAAGTGATGGTAACAAGACAACCTTCAACATGTCTTCTCCGAATTCATCTTCACTGCCACTCCACACTCTGCAATATGTTGTATGTCAAGTTTTTTATTTTATTTTTGCCGTCTACGCACGCAGGCAGGCTGCATTGCATGTAACTTTGGGCGTTTGTTCTTTCTTTTGTCAGACGCGGGCCCAGTCAAGGGACCACTTCATCAACACTGAGGCGGTGCTTTTCCACTGCTTTTGCCGTTTGTTCATTTTAGTGCAGCATGTGTTGCACTGTAGGCTTTGCGTCCGGCTTGTTGTTTGCTGCCCTCCAATTGTTAATTCGCCGAAAAGGTGCGTTGCGTTGCGCTGCGCTGCGTGCGCTGTGTTAATAAAGATTCTATCGCGTTGTGATAGAACGCAAGCTTAAGAAGAAGCCTTCAATGGTAAGTTGCTATTTTGGGTTAGAGTGGTTAAATTACGCGTGCTTGCAATAGATGTTTAGCCCTTGTCATCATATCTGACGGCTGCAATCATAATCAAGCATTGACAGATTCGCTTATGTAATCGCTATCATCCCATCAAAATGAAGTCTTGCCGGTGCTCAACTGGACACATCTACTTTAAAGCTTCGATCTAAGCTTTTTCGGGCTTCACCTGACCGACAAGTTGGTAAAGTCTCATAATGATAAGAATGCATGCAAACACAATCCATGCTATGATTGGTGCGCCAACTAGTTAGCGGGAATCGTTATCAATCCTTATCTTTGTTTAACCATTCCCCGGTCCTGATTAGCGCGCTACAAAAGAAAGGTTCACTTCTTCTCCACAGGTCATCCAATCTCATTTCTTGGCAAAATCACAAAACAAGAATCATCTGATTTCAAAACCCTATCAACCAGTGTATAAAAGATGGCTCTTCTTCGATCTTCTCGTCTCGCTTTTGGACGTCAACCTTCAAAGCTCTTCCCTCCAGCAAAAACCATCTCTAAATTCCATACAACCGCGATCAAAATGTCAAGTCAACATACAAACAGACCTGCCATCTTGAGTGAATTGGCTCCGGTATTCACTTCATTACACGATGCAAAAGTACAAAAACAACTTTCATTCGAAGATATTTCAAAAAAGATTAATAGAAGTGAATGGTATACAGCTGCAATCTTTTACGGTCAAGCAAAACCAGAAAAAAAAGATTTGAAAGCACTCAGTGAAGCATTAGAAGTACCTTTTGAGGAATTAAATGCCGTCATGGGCTCTCACTTTTATCCTACAAGAGGTTTAGGTCAATTCCCTCCTCAAGGTGTGTATTGGTGATGACTATAGAACTGACCCGGGACGCTGACACCCCCTCACCTCTTTTCAGATCCTACCATCTACCGCTTATACGAATGCTTGGTCGTCTACGGTCACCCACTCAAAGCAATGATCCACGAGAAATTCGGAGATGGTGAGTATTTCAAAAAGACAAGCGATCTGCAGTTTTGCCTAACATTTCTTCCCTCTTCTCCCTCAGGTATCATGAGCTTGATCGACTTCTATGGTGACATGGAGCGCGTCAAAGACCCAGCTGGAGATCGTGTCAAGGTGAGCATATGCGTGTTTGACATGTACGTAATGGTGTTTATTAACATTTCTCCGCTTCCCAAATAGATCACTCTCAACGGTAAATTCTTGCCATACAAGAGATGGTAATACTCAAATTTGATTAACGATTCGATGCGTGTGTGTATTGTTGGTACAAATGTATGATGTCTGCTTCATGATTCTAATTCATCTTTCATTGCTTCCATTGCTTCATCTCTTGAAGGTGCACGAACGCCAAAACAATCCGTTCCCACTCTCACATTATCGCTTCCCGCTCGAACAGCCACTTCCAAATCATTACTCATTCCCATACTCAACTCCAACCCACCTTTATCATCTCCAGAGAGAAGTGTCGGATAGCGATCTTTTGCCGATTGTATCTCATCACTTTTTCGTAAAGCATTCACTAGCACTTGCCTAGTGGTGTGCAGCGTATCAAAGTCTGGATTCACAGATCGGGCCTCGGCTGCAATCTCTCCAGGGCTCTTGTTTGAGTCCTGCATATCCCCTTTCTCCTTGCTTGCCTGGCTATTTGTTGCTGCTCCAATTGTCATTACCCCTTTCAATTGGAGGTGTTTGCATTCTTGAATAACATGAACCGCAAGCTTGTACACTTCAGATTCATTAGCCTCCCCTTCAGATTTAAGAGGTGATAATCCACCCTTGTTCTCCTCTCCCGATGTGTTGATTTGCAGATAGACACCTAGTGGTTCCGCATTCTCCAGCCCTGCCCGTACTTTCTCCAAAGCATTTGCTAACTTGATCGAGTCCAGAGTTTCAATCAAGAACAGATTCGGGATACTTGCCACCAGCTTTGCCTTGTTACTCTGTAACTTTCCCACAAAGTGCCATTGTATCGATTCAGGAAGTACTTTCGCTTTTGCTTCTAATTCTTGCGCATAATTTTCACCAAAATGCACTTGAGCAGGTTGACAATGTTTATGTGCCGCCAAGATGCTGGTAGGAGGATGTAATTTTGAGATGGCGACTAATCTTGGTTCATTTTCTCTTTTAGCATCCGAGCTTGCTTGTGAGATCCTTTTGTGAACTTGTGAAATCTTTTCCGTGATTCTTTGAATTTGTTCATCTGTTGGCGTTAATTGCTTCTTTGTGGATGAAGAAGATGCTTCGGTTGCCATCTTCCTTGAAGTGGAATAGAATGAATAAGTAGATCGATTGAACAATACTGTACCGGTACGAAGCATACCTTGATAGCCGACAAAAGAAGGAAACCGTTGGATCGGCTACTCGGGATGATATAGGTTACCGGTAATGGTGGTGAGAGAAGACATGATTTCATGCCATGCTTGTCGCGTGCGTGTCTGAAATCATTTTCTTACAAACTTTATCCGTAAGCAAGAAGTGGAGAGGGCACTTGAACAGTCTAACAGTTTTTCTCACGCGTATTCACCATCCCTAGCTTTTGGCTGTCATCGAATTTATAGTCTAAACGTTTGCGGACGTACCTGCTTGCTGCTCAAACAAGTGAATAGCGTGATCATGATGATAAGAGATTAGGAGTTACAGTTGCAGAGCACTATACGCGATAAGATAATGAGGTAGAATAGCACCACAAGCAAAAGCACAGGATGAAAATGAGTACCCTGTCATTGCGAATTCCACATGGACGGGCAAGACATCCCTGAATGAGTCGGTGTGAAATCGGCCCGATGACGCTATCCAATGTTTTTAAGCTGTCAAAGCGCTCTTTACCGGATGGAATGTCGGATTAGCATGCACGAAAATGCAAAAGAACGCCGCTATGAATGCATGGTCTAGACCATCTTCCCAATATTCGGACCATTTAAAGACACAGCTTTGTTCCTACAAGAAGGCGCTTTTTCTGTTTACGATCAATCTTGCTTTCTCTAAACGTAACCTTGCAATCGAGCACTTTGTCTCAATCTCCCTCTACTTGTCCGCAAAAAGATTGTATCCGACAAATAGAGTAGCTCTACATGGTGCATATGCACTGTCAGGGCCAACGCAACACTTTCCGTATAGAACGGATGGCTTCATTTGAAGACGCCTATTTGATTGACACGTATATTGTATGTGCATATACTCTAAATACACTTCCGCAATTGATCTTCAGTTGGGGCAAGGATTGGTACGAATCACTTTTATCTAGATATGGTGACTGCTTGATGCCAACATAGCGTGTGATCATGCTTCTCGATTGATCGTGAGCGTGTACTTTCGATTTTGACCTCGTGATTTTGAAAATAGGGATATTTTTTGATTTGGTCTGACAGGTAGAATATATCACTCCGTGGAATAAAATGTCGCAATATTCTCCGAGTAAGCATGAAATTTGTTTTTGATTTGATTTTTGGTGCACTTTAGCCCTATTTGAGCGGAAAGAAGGGTGTATGCGGACGCCAGTGTCTTTTTTGTCCTCATGGAGAGAATTCATGCGGTGGACATCAAACTCCGAAGTGAAAAAGTGACTGAGTGTACTCTCTTGATTACCATGCGTGCTCTTCCAAGCAATGCGCAATCCTCTGTCTCTTTTTGAAGCAGAAAAACTCAGCTAACGAAGACGACTGATCATACTCCGACAATTAACGCAAACAAAACTTTAATTAAAGTTAGTGTGTGTTAATTGTCAACGTTGTTGGACGTCTTTTGTTTGTTGTAAAGAACCATCATATATAAATACCATCTCCTACCGTCCTCTTTCCAACTCTCATGGAACCCACATAACCAACAATGAATGCATTTAATCAATCAACTCAACTTTACAGTACCGTAGATCCACCTTTGCGAATCGAACCTCGACAGATTCCTCTTCCACCACTGTTTGAGTCGGGAGATCAATCTTACAAGGATGACAGTGATACAAGCTCAAACGATTTGCCACTTCTCAATGCATATTCACCGTCATTGCAACACCAGTCTCCTTCCAATTCAAGTATGAGAGTCAGACAAGGTCGACAATCATGCGGAAGAAAGAGAGGAACAGGTGCATGGACCGAAGAGGAAGATCGGACGTTGCATGAATTGGTGTTGAGATACGGTCAAAAGAATTGGGTGAGAGTGGAAATGGGAATGCTGAATCGTGATAAGAAACAATGCCGTGAACGTTGGTTCAATCACGTCAATCCACACATTAATGATGGCCCATTCACAGAAGAAGAAAGCATTTTCATCATCGACTTTTACATTCGAAATGGAAGACAGTGGGCAAAGATGAGCAGATGCCCAGAACTGAAGGACAGACCAGACAACTCGATCAAAAATCACTTCAACACAAACTTACGCGAACATTACGCTGAATTGTGTCAACGGTACGGAATTCCCCGGAGGATGCAAAACGACGTTAGTGAGATCGAAAAGGACGTGTATGAACGTATCCGTGGCAAGATTACCGCACCACAATATGATACGATGCGAGGAACGAAATCATCGCGCTTCTTGACAGCAAATGAACAGTTCGATAAGGCACCTTCAAGCGAGTGGATGGACATCAAAAGTGAACCCAGTCGTCCTACCACACAAGATGGCTCACCGTTCTATTGGCAGCCCGATTTTGATCGAACTTGGTCATCCTCCTCTCCCGTCAAGGTTCGTGACAGGTTCACCCGCACTTCATACTCAGCAGGTACGCACAGTCAATCAAGCACAAACATGTACAAAGATGAGGAAGGGCGCTACCAGCTGCCTCCTCTCCCTTTGCCTGGATCATCAGCTAGATATCCGGGCTCAACGCCACATGCAAGAGAGCGCAGTCATTCGAACATCGATGAAGAGCACAAAAATCGTTTATGGCAATCGATCCAAATCGCTCATAAACCTTCACGCCATAACAGCCTCACACACCAATTCAATGAACACCTCACGTACCATACCCCAAGGCCAGAATTGCGTCGGCTCAGCACACCGATTCGAAGGCCAAGAACAGATAGCAGTGTACAAGCTGCTTACAATTATGGGAATAGACCGTTCGATGATTCCTATTTGACGTCACAGTCACATGAAGTCGACGACGTCTTCTCAATCGGTCCCGCATCACGATCCCAAGATGTCCAATTCGATATCATGCGAGAAACAACTCGCCATACACAATACGAAAAGCAAAAAGAAATTCCATCCCCTTATCTCCATTGATGTACATTCCAAGGTTCTCTCTCGTCACGTTATCCAAATATCTGTAGCTATACCCACCTATTCTCTCTTTACCCCATGAGAACAACCCTGACTCGATACGATAGGCCCTTCTCATTAATCAACATGCATTTTGTTGCAAGCTCCACGCTCGAAATGATGATACATTAACCCTGATCCAATGCTTGAGCAAGTAGAAATACACTGAGTCGAATCTATACAGATGTCATCGGATGAACTTCTTCACCAGCAAACCATATCTTGTCTATGACGCCATTGCTATCGGCTTCGAACCGGAAGTCACCATCTGCTGCCGGTTGCATGTCACGCTGATACGTCTTGCCAATCTGTTGAGCTACCAAACCAGATACCTTTTGCACATCCAGTACACTCTCTGGACCAAGCTGCAGCCCTGGCTCGATCTCCGCAAAGTCTGCATTTTCCATCCGTTTCTCACTCTGAGGAGCAGCTTCACGATCAGGTCTTGCTTGTTCTTCTTCTTGGATCCGTAAAGCAAGTTGTCTTTCAATGCTGGTCATATGCTTGCCCACAATACCGCAAGCAACAATATGTTTAAACCAAGAAAGAAGTGGTTGCGCTTTCACATTCAATGCGAAACCATGTGAAGTAATCCTTTGACGAACTTGAATACCGATCGAAAGAATTTTATGCATCTCATCCGTCCAAACGCCCGTTGCTTCATCTGGAGGTGAAACTGTTTGAATTTGAAATTTATCTTGTAGCAAATCACGAAAACATGTTTGCATTTTATCAACATAACAACGTGTTGATAAATTATTCATTCGTGAAATATCCAAGATTGGATAACCAACAATTTGTCCTGGTCCATGAAAGGTTATCAATCCTCCTCTTTGAGCGACGATATAATCTGCTCCTAATGCACGTAATCGCTTTCCTTCTTCATCATCACCAATCGCATTCTTTGCTCCCTTTCGTCTTCCTTCTGTGTATACCGGGGTATGTTCTTGTAACAACAAATAATCTTCCCAAGCGACCTTTTGCGCTTCTTGAACTTGTTTGGGTAGTGATTCATTGCCAGCAGATCGTACTGAGGGAGAAGCAGAAGGTTGTTCTTCAAGCAACTGTTTTGCTTGTAACCTCTTTTCCACAATCCTCTCTTGCAATGCCAATCCGTGCAAGTATGGTACTTGATGGGGTATGTGAATCCACTTTATAGCACCCAATTGAGTACGCAAAGCAGAAGAAGAGGCAGCCATTATTGCAATAAATGATGATTGAGAAGTAAGCTCTACTGCCTCTTTCTCCACACCTCCTCTCGGACTTCTTGTTGCATGGCCAACGTATTTCCGAGTTCCTTGCTTAGTAAGAGACTTCCAGACAATATCACGTGTTTTTGCTGCTTCCCTTCAAACATTTTCTCAATGATTCCTTGTGTAGCGCTGCGCATGCCGCAATCAAGAATTTTAACCTCATGCAAACGGGCACGCGACCAGTGTGCATCCACCCCCTTCACGCGCGCACCAGAAGATTCAAGTTCTTTATACCCTAGCCCAGGCTTAAACCTCTCAACCGTTCTTGCAGCTGTGCAATTTGCACTTTTTCGCCAATATCCATTCTTCCTTTACCATCATCGACCCTATCCCGACATTCGATTCAAGGTATCGTCGAAATGTCACACTGCAAATACGAACAACCAAGACACGGATCTTTGGGTTTCTTGCCCCGTAAGCGTGCCGCTCGTCATCGTGGACGTGTGAAGGCTTTCCCAAAAGATGACCCAAAGAAGCCCGTTCATTTGACAGCTTTGATGGGATACAAAGCAGGTATGTCACACATCGTTCGTGATTTGGACCGTCCAGGAAGTAAGATGCACAAACGTGAAATCGTCGAAGCAGTCACAGTTATTGAAACTCCACCAATGGTCGTCGTTGGTGTTGTCGGTTACGTTGAAACTCCTCGTGGTTTGAGATCTTTGACAACCGTTTGGGCAGAACACTTGTCCGATGAAGTCAAACGTCGCTTCTACAAGAACTGGTACAGATCCAAGAAAAAGGCATTCACCAAATACGCCAAGAAGCACAGCGAAAACAACGGTCAATCCATCAGCCGCGAATTGGAACGTATCAAGAAATACTGCACAGTCGTCCGTGTTTTGGCACACACCCAAATCCGCAAGACTGGATTGAAACAAAAGAAGGCTCACTTGATGGAAATCCAAGTCAACGGTGGATCCGTTGCTGACAAGGTCGAATTCGCCAAGTCCAGCTTCGAAAAGACCTTCGACGCCAAATCAGTCTTCGAACAAAACGAAAACTTGGACGTCATTGCCGTTACCAAGGGTCACGGATACGAAGGTACTACCGCTCGTTGGGGTACCAAGAAGTTGCCCCGTAAGACCCATCGTGGTCTCCGTAAGGTTGCTTGTATTGGTGCTTGGCATCCAGCTAACGTCATGTTCACTGTTGCACGTTCTGGTCAAGACGGTTACCACCACCGTACCGAATTGAACAAGAAGATCTACCGTATCGGAAACGGTGCCGAAGAGAAATCTGGTGCAACTGACTTTGACACAACCAAGAAGACAATCAACCCAATGGGTGGATGGCCACACTACGGTATCGTCAACCAAGACTTCATCATGATCTTGGGATCTTGCCCTGGTGTTAAGAAGCGTGTCTTGACATTGCGCCGCAGTCTCAAGACCCACGCCACCCGTAAGGATCTGGAACAAGTCAACCTCAAATTCATCGACACAAGTTCCAAATTCGGTCACGGTATCTACCAAACCGGAGAAGAACGTGTTGCATCCGAAGGTGTTCGCAAGATCAAGGTTACCCCAACTGCTTGATCGGTTCATCTCTCTTCCCCCTTTTTTCGCCCACTCCCCATCCCCCAATTCCCACATTCCCCCTTGTACGGTATTCACTCTACAAAAAGCGTCACAGACGTCCACTTTCATGCAATATACAATATGGCCAACGGCTGTTTGCATCTGAGAATCATTAATTGTGTGATTGTGTATTGAAGATATAGTACAGGGATGTCATTATTGCTGTAAAAGAATGGATGGCTTTCATGAAGGTGAAATTAAGCATGCTTTGAAAGAGAGTTTTACTATCGTGAAGGGGTATATGTAGATCGTGTTGTTGAATTCATGGTAAAATTTGTGATTGTTGTTGTTGCTGTTGAGATCGTAGAACTGGTGGATGCATCCAAATTCCAACATTTATTGGCAAGAGGACTTGGTCGAACGGGAGCATTTTGAATAACTTTTTTGCGTGCCAGCATATCTGCCAATTTAGGAGGTTGTGATTGTGATGAAGTGCTGCTTTGGTTTACTTGATCGTTTGAGGGAGGAGCTCGTTTTGGGGTCATGGATGTTCTGCGTCCGGAAAAGATCGCTTGTTTACCCACTTCGACAAGATAATCGTTTTCGTCAACTCTCTTGCCTTCGCGTAAGCAATGCAAGATCCAATTCACTCCAACGATGACAGGCTCACGTCCTGCTTCTACTTGACTACGATGATAGTGTAGGGTGGCTGGCTTTCCGTTTTTGTAAATGATACAATCCACTGCGGGTGCATATACTTTTTCAGTCTCCACTTTGTTGCTCGAACTACTTCTAGACTTCCTTGGCACTTGAGGTACTTTTGTATACACTTTTGCGCCTACATTTCGCAACTTTTCCGTCCAAAGTGCTGATGCATCTTCTCCATCTTGATCTCGTACATCCACCAAAATTCGAACGCCTTGCAAGAATTGACGTACTTTTCCGTCTTCTTCCGTTCCATGACTACGAACAAGATCATCCACACTCTCTTCACCAATCTTGATCGAAGAAGCAGACGTTTCGCCTGAATGATCGTATTCTCCCAAATTGCATTGCAGTTCTTTGTCAACCAACTTTGGTGGTGTGTAGGAATACAGTGATCGTCTTCTTCGAATTGGATTGGTTTGCGTTTGTGCTTCTGCTCGCAATGGGGTATTTTCCTTACGTTCTTCCTTTTGTTCCTCTGGCTGTGGTGATGATCGAGCTTGTTCTACTCTTGCCAAGAATGATGATCGTGGTTTGGGCTTTTCGGACATATCCGAGCCCGGTTTAGCCGTTGTCTCCATCTGTCTAGAGCTAGCACGGGGATTCCTTTCCGATTCAATCCTCTCTTTCGAAGGCGATAAAGCCCGATTCAAGCGTCTTCTACTAGATGAGTCTAAAGGCTTACTGGCGCAATCCGATCGTGCACCAATCGGAGAATCATTTCCGACCCTACTTGTTTCGGGTGATAATGATTTGAGCTGCTGCAAAGTCTTTTCCAATGTTGCCAATGCTTGCTTCGTTTCTTCGGACAAATGTCCTCTTGAGGGCTGTTCCTTCACTTCTGGTGTAGAAAAGATATCAGTCCTTCTACGCACTTTCTGCGGAGATCGTTTGGGTGGTGAGGATAGAGAAGATTCCTTCTCGCGCTGTTCGGCTCGACTTGTTCTTGATCTGTAGTCTTGTCGGCTTTGGGTCTCTATATGCTCAACTTTTGATGCATTATCTTCACCTTCTGCTGTGGTTTGTCTTCGTCTCAATCTGGGTCTGTCAGAGGACTGCTTTTCAGATTTCGCAGTTTGTGGTGTGGTTGAAAGAGAAGGAGGAGAAAGATCACTTTTTGTGAGTGCGCTCCGAGTCCGAATTGGCTCTCTCGGTGTTATGCTTTTCGTTACGGCATTGTTTGTTGACGGACTTTTTCGACTAGATCGAACTTCATTCAGTGTCAATTCCCTCGCATGAGCGTTCAAGGATCGATCATCGAATGGATTTTCAGGATCATATTGTGGTGTTGCTAATCTAGTATGATTTTCTGATGATTTTCCACTTGATCGATTTTCCTGTAATCTTTGTAAGCGTGAAATTGTTTCTTCAGTTTTTTTGAAATCAAGCTTACGCTGTTCTCTTTGCCTTGACACTGTTGAGCTCATTTGATCCTCTCATCAAATCTTCATCTAGAAGACCGATTTGATGGATTGAATGAGGATCACTTTTGAATGGTTTCTTTTGACCAACAACAACACAACTTTAATTTGCTGCTCGGTGTCAATGCAATTACGGGTGCTGTAGTGCCGTTAAGCATACGCAACAACCTTTAGCGTCTTGAGTCGGACAACGGGCAAACGCGCCTAAAGTCCGATTGACGCGTTTGATTTAAAGCGAAGAACAACACCTTTCACGTGTGTTGTTCTTGCAACTTTTTTTTTCTTTTTGAATTATTCTTAACGGCCGAAATGAAGCGCAGCTTAGTGCGCGTGCCTTGTGAGCAGACTCGTGCAAGAACAGTGATTATGCTCGCATAGCTTAATTCCAAGCATGGATGCATGAATGAATGAATGAATGCATCCACCTTTTCATCATCATCAACAATAGCATGAGCGTATGATGGTGACAGGAATCATTGCAGAATAAAAATGTGGAGATGGATGAATGAAAGATATGCGAGGATAATTGTATGCATTTTATCATTTGACTTCTTAGAAGTAACCTCAAAGATTTTGAATATAAAAAGACTGCTTTCCTAATATGAATTAAATCACCTGTTTTCAGTCTGGATATTATCCTTAGGCTAAATCTCAATTTGCTGCCTTCCGGGACCTAATAAAACCAACGGAATGCTGGCTTATGAGAATTTGTGGACCTCGGGATATCCATTTAATCAATTAGCAAAAGCCGCTTCAGAATTTAAATCACAAGATTTGGCGCGTTGATGCATTTTATGAAACAGTTCACCAATTGATCAAATTGTACAAACGCTAATACAAAAACTCTCAGACAAAAATGTGAATTAATTGATTGGATCGGCATTGTCTTTATGCTCTTGGATTTCCGAGGAGTGGGGCATAAGAAATGGATGCAAATTGCAGATGGAGGAGTTGAATAGCGAGAGAGATTAGGAAGTGATGATCATGATGTCTTCCTCACTTCAAGGATGGATAACCTTTTCCTTTGTAAAACTGAATCTATCACTATCTTTCCAAATCATACCATTTATTGACTTGTATTCCTTGCCAAGATTAGGATTTGATAAACCCTCCCTTTAAGATGATTACTGACCTCATTTCGGTTACCCGAGCAAGTAGTGTAAGTACGCGCCAAAGTGCCTTTTTGAAATCTTACGCCTACTAAGTGTACGGGCATAAAGTGAAGACAAACAGGGCTAAAGTGCATGCATGCGTTATGCGAGCAGTAGCAGACCATCAAGTTCTCAAATTTAGACGCGGAGTCAATAGGATACCGATCCATCCATTCAAAAAACTACATTCCCATCCAACAAGTCAGCATCCAATTTAAAAAAGTATTATTTTGGAACATCATTGACCTATTCAACTCCACCGAATAGAAAAAACAAATCATCAATCAATCAAACCCGTTTTTAAACGAGCAAAAACTTCATAAATTTGCTTCCGCCCAACGTCGGATTCGAGCTGGATACGCCCCTTTCTTGCTCTCGATCTTCATCAATTTTTATCAGCAAAATTATTGCATCCACAAACATCCAAAAGAGTATCAAACAAGCTCTTTTGAGACTTGAAAAACGAATCATCCACTTTTATCATCACAAGATTGCCATTGGCATCTTCGCCAAAGAGGTCAACCTCCACGCTAGATAGCCTGCATCCATTCAGGCTTTTCTAGTTGGAATCTTTTTTTGCATCCAAGATGCATTTATCAACTTCTTCATCAAATCTTATACCCTCAACAACAATGACTTCAAGTCCATCCGATCACAATGCTTCTTCCATACCAGCACCTCCAGCTAAACTCAAGAGAATCGATACGCATGACTTAAAAAGCAAGCTATCCAATGCTCTTGGCGCCAATGGAAAGAGGTATTGGTCTTGTCTGTTCGAATTCATGACTGCAAAGATTGACAGAACAGAATTCGAAGAAGAAGCAATGCTATGTCTAAAGCCGCAGCATGGTATGTGATCAATGCAATAACGGCCTTCTTCACCTGAATTCCTAACTGACCCATCCATCCACCTTCCTTTTCTTATCTTTAGTTCATTTGCACAATTCACTTGTCCTAGGTTTGCTGTACAATGCATCAGCGGATGTTCCCGGTCCATCATCCCGAGGTGGAGCTGGGATGCATCATCACCGTAATGCTAACGGCCAATTGGTCGATGCGGACGGCAATGTGTTAGGTCGCTTATTGGACGAAGATGATGATGATTTGCAATTACTGCAACCGGCAAAGAAACGTTTACGTTTGCTGACCGCAGGTCTATCAAGAAAAGAACGTTCTCGCATCCGCAATGTGCCCAAACAATTGACAAATTCTCATTCGATGGGATCCAACGGAGCTTCTTCGCTTGGTTGGGCAGGTGCAGGTGCGGATATGTTGGAAAAGAAACGAAAAGAAGAAGAAAAGAGACGATCGATTGAAGAAAAACAAAGAGCAAGAGAAGCATATACGGAAATTGGATCAAAAGATTGGAAAAGTACCGCTTTACAATCACAAGCACAAGTTACACTTGCACATGATAGGCTATCACTCATTACACAACAGGAGATCGCACGAGCAATGGCAATGCCACTATGTGTCGAATCGAAAGAGTTACCGGATCTGGAATCTATGCGTGATCTCATGACGTTGTATTCTGTCGAGAATGGTCTAACAAGCGGTGCATCGGCTCAAGCGGCTGCTTTACTCCTAACGTCCCTTCAATGTCATCTTCAAAATGTTATGGCAAGCATCATCACAAAGATTCGAGCAAATCGTCAAATGGGTATCCGTACAACTGGCATCCAGCGCTCTGCCGCTTCGACCAGTGCTGCGGATGAATTCCAGCTCGTGACGGATGCAGACAGTGCTCGATCTGCGGATGATTCTTTCGAAACGGTGGCTAGTGATCCAAACCCTACGCCTAATCATCTTCATGTTGCACGTAATTTGCTACACGATAGTTCAAGTATATCCAGCAGCTCTATCTCGCTTGGCATTGGATCAGGTGCAGATTCGAGTATGATGTCTTTGGCAAGTACTGCGCCTACCAGTATTCCGGCAGGTTCAATTGCTTCTTCAGAAGCTGCAAGCGCAAATGAACATGGTGCAAGTAGCAACGGTAGTGCGGCTGCCAAATCAGCAGGTGCGGATGGAGAGGAAGAACAGGCCGATACGAGTATGTCTGACGGTCAAGATGCATTGCAAAGAGGAAAAGAGAACCGTGACCCACGTAATGCAAACACACTTGAGCTTCGTCATCTGTCTTTCTTGTTGGATATTGCACCTCATACGATCATTGAATCACTCGGACAAGGATCGCAAGAACGTTTGCTGGCAGCAGAATGGAGTCATTCTGACGAAGATGCGGAAAGAAGATTTGAAAGTACGCCTGAAGGAATGCTGCAAAAGCAAGCCCGATTGAGTGCAACTGCCAAATTGAGCGGAATCTCTCCGGCTGCCATTGGCCAAAGTGCTACCGGCGGACAATCTTCCGCCCGTAATAACTTCATCATCGATCAATTGGCACCTATTCGCTTGTTCGACAGGAGAACGTTAGCCGAGAGTAATGCTACTAATAGCCAACAAGCCATCCGAGCTGGTGGAAAGAAGGGCGGTTTGCGTTTGCCAAGCTCAAAGCTTTCGGCTGGTAAAGGTCCAGCTAGCTCAGAAGATGTTAACAATGCAAAAGATCAACCGGAAGCCAGCAATGGTTCTCCCGATGAAAACAAAGCTTTGGACCTTGCCAGTATGATTGCAAGTCGTTATGGCACACAAGGAAATTCAGCACAGCCGCCGGGAAGCAATGCTCAAGCGATTAACAGTGCCATCGCGGCAGCCGCAGCAGCTTCTGCCAATCATCACCGTGGACAAGACCCGCATTTGTACGATGTCGTGGACCCAGTTGCTTTGCTAGCATCTCTAGTTGCTTAGGGATGTTACCTTTTAGAGAAACTTTTTGCACTATATTTTCATGATTATCTTATTAAATAATCTACGTATACTATTACAGCATGAAATGAAACATGTATTACTAAAAGCGTTCTTCGTGAGAATCACTCTTTTCGTCTGATAAGGTTTTGCAGCATATCAAAGCTATTGCCGTCTGGCTGCAGATCGATAAATTGTCCGGTAGAAGTAGCAGATCCCCATGCTAGTTCGCTATCGGCATTTACCTGACCAAAAGACGTTGTTCCGTCCGCATGTACCGGCACACAACGCAATAAACCATGGTCGGAAGTGATTCCAACGATTCGAGCCCGAGTGGGAGGAACGGTATCGCTCAACAGTGTTTCTTGATCAGAATGCAACCAAGCTCTTCGGTATGCTTCAATAAAGGGTACAAAGCTTCCGCCATATCTCAAGAAAGTATTCCACATCCTTTCAAACGTAGCCAGGATTGCTCCCGCAAATCGTTCTTGAGACACGATCTCGAGAGGTTTTTGATCTGGATGAGTTAGATTGTATGCTTCGATCAAATCAGACAAAGATGTTGTCGGCCTTGCGTTGAGAGTGTTGATTCCACATCCAACCACCAGAGCCAAATCAGATCCAGCAAATTGACTATTGACCAAGACACCAGCCATTTTGGCATATGTTTTGTTCCGATAGACGAACGTTCCTTTTCTCTCATCACCGACTTGTGCATACACATCATTCGGCCATTTGATACGAATTTTGTTCCCGATCGCTTGTGCATACTCTTGACCAAGAGCCCCACTCCTAACGCTTTCAACAATTGCCAAACCAGCCAAATATTGTACAAATACGATAGCTCCCATGCCAGCATGCCAGAATGTCTTTTGTGGTGTGGGAACATGTAGCAAAGTTGAAAATTGCAAACACCCAAGAGGAGAAATCCATGCATTCTTTCCACGACCACGACCTGAGACTTGATGGGTAGCAAATGAAGTCAATCCATTTGGCAGCCGAGTCAAAAGTTTGTAGTTTTTGTCAAGCATCGTTTGCGTACTCGTGACGACAAATGTATACGTATGTGCATCAGCAAGGACGACAGGCTCATTTGTGCTATTCCATACACCTCCGCCAGACGTTCCAAGTACCCATCGTTCTCGTATCTGTCTTTCGATGATCTGCCGCGATGAGTCCAAATAGCTAAGGAAAAATTGTGGATTCCAGTGAGGTAATAAGCGTTTGTCGGAATCCGTTTCGGGAGAAGTAGAAACGATGACATACTTTGGCACCTTTTGCAGATCCACTTCCATTTCAGGTTGAGAGCTTTGACCGGCTCTGGCTTCATCGGATGTTTGCGAGACAACCGGGGTCATGTATGGCGTATAATCCGCTCGCGAACAGATTTCACTCAATGTTGAAGAACTTGAAGAATCGTAAAAGTGTACCACATCATTCGTATCCGAGACAGAAATCAAGAGGCCAGATTCAGGTGATCCTGCTAACGATGCTGCTTTGTTAAATGAGATCGAAGCCGGCTGCAGAGACGAGATAATAGACTGTGCTTGCTGTATTGCTCGAGTGACCAGTACCAGAGGTGTGAGTTTGGGCTGCTCCGATTGCACAGATGCGGTTGAGGGGAATTCAGGAAGCTTGACTTCCAAGCCAAGTAATTGCAGTTGCTTCCCGAATTGATACAGCCTCTTTATCTCTAGCTCCTGCAATGTTGCAGCAACAGATGCCGCTTGAGCTTTCTCTGGCAAAGCTTCTGGAGCACCTGTCTCTTGTGTAGGTTTCTCTTGAATGGAAACAGGAAACTCTGGATGTGTGCCATACAGGATAGCTTTGCCATTTCCCTTTCTGCAGAAAACGATCGCCGCTTGACCTTCATATTCCGGTTTCAGCCTGTGCTGTTGTACGTCTGAGCTTGCATTGGATGCATTTCGATCACTGACGTATCTTCCCAGTATCTCTACACCTTGTTGTTTGAACTGCTCAGCATTGATGAATGCACCACCTCCGTTGTAGTATGTTGTCCATTGTTTCTCTGCTTCACACTGTCCTTCCATTGCAACATCGATCAGCCTGGCACCTTGATCGCTTTCATAGACGAAGCCTGGATATGCTGTTCCACTGCATGTTCCTGGGTAGAACTGTAGTGCAGGCCGATCACCCACAACCTGCATCACGCGATCGCCTCGTTCGAATTCGCATGTTGAGCTTGCGTAGTAGGCACCTGCACAAATTCCCACGAATGATCCTCCATGTTGTTCGATATATTGTCGTATCCTTGCATCAGCTCTTGAGGAGGTTGTAGAATTTGGCAGTCTATGATGTTGGGCCAGTTGATCAACATACGGTAGATCCCTTCCGCCTGGGATTACCAATAATGAAGTAGACTGTATCCATGGATCGACAGCCAGTGATTGAGCGTTGATGCACTGAACATCATAGGAAGGTAACAGAGTACGCAATGTTCTTAGCGTATGTGATAAAGCTGAAGCTGATACTCCAGTACCAGAGTATACCAACACATTTGACATTTTGTAGAGGAGGTGATGCGGAAGAAGAAGAATAGTGATCATCATTTATCTCCGCTCGAGTTTTCTTCTCCCTCCCCCCAAAAAACACTAGACTAGAGTAAAAAACCTTAATTAACACAAACACGCGATTCGGGGCACTGAGTGAGTGAGATTGCATTGATTGTGCCCCACCATTTCATGCACACACACGCATACAATCAAATCACCCCCACCCTGACTGTCACTTTCCCGCTTCCATCCGAGTAAATTCAATGATGACGACAAGACAAGATGTCCAGATTACCAGTATACTGGAAAAGCTCGATATCGATCTGATCAAACTAAAGCATGATTATGAAACACAAGGATACGTAATCATGGACGGAATATTCGCTGAGCAAGACCTGAAAGCATTACAAAAAGCAGCACATGAAGTTGTTCAATTGACAAGGCAAGGTAATTGGCCACATAGACGAATTGTTGGAAAACAATTTCCACCTTTTGATAAAGTACAATCAAACGATTCTTGGGGCGTTCAACATCTCATGCATCCTGATTTACCAAATCATACCTTGTTTACTAAATTTTATGCTTCTTCACCTTTATTGGACGTTGCATGTTTCTTATTAGGAGTACAGGATGAACAACAGCTACAATTGGAATTATTCAACCTTTTGATCGAACCGGAAAAGCATTCATTCGCTCTAGGATGGCATAGAGATGATGTCCGAGCTGATGTGACGCAAGAAGAAGAAAAGACTCGTTTAGCAGCTCCCACTCATGGAATCCAATGGAACGCATGTTTATATGATGATGATTGTCTATTCGTCGTACCCGGAACACACACTAGAATACGAGATGAAGCAGAACGCAAAGCAAACGCAGAAATACCACCGGCCGCAAAACCATTCAAAGGAGAAGATGATTCTGGATTTGATGGTGATTGGGAAATTGATCCGCCTACAACGTTACGTGTAAGGCTAAAAGCTGGTCAAACTGCTTTTTATTCACAAAGAATTTTACATCGGGCTTCTTATCTTCCTTCTCGTCATAGAGCGACCTTGCATGGCTGTTATGGCGAAGTGGGCTACGCTAACAGCCAAGATGAGCACAGCACTTCAGCCAGTGAACGGGCTAGAAATGTCTTGCAACATGGGGTTGAATGGATGAAAGAAGATGCATTCGGACAACAATTACCAGAGAGATTAAAGCCAATGTGGAAGAACTTACTCGTTATGAGTGAGAAGAATAGACCGGAAGATTTGGGTTACAGTCTGGACGGTTGATTGGATGTACTGCTTCTATATGCATTTGTATACTACTTCATCTTTGGATTCAATCATTGCACTTATTTACCGCGTAAAGATTAGAAGATCTACACGCGCCACACTTTAGCTCAATTTTAACCTTCTCGCAAAAGAATAAAACGCATTCACTCCTGATCATCATCCCTCAAAATGCGTATGGTAAGTGCTACAAGCTTGTGAACAGAGTGTTTGTCAGTCATCTGACTCATATGGTCATTCTCACCTTTTGACCAGCTCGATGATGAAGAATCCAACGACGTAGAGGTCAGTTGGGCCGATCAACAAAAGATCAATCAATTCTCACGTCTAAACAATCGACAGACCGAAGCATTGGCCGAATTAGAAGCGATTCGAACAGAAAAAGAACAAGTAGATGAAGTGTTTGAAGAAGTACAATTACTTGAAATGAGTGAAGGATTCGAAGATGATCTCGGAACATCGGACGATGAAGATGCAGAAAAAGAAAAATCAACCAAGACGACAGGTGGCGTGAAATCAAACTTAATCCCTTTCAAGATTGGAGATGCGTTTGCTCATGTGACTTTCGAAAAAGCAACTGAACTGTTAGAAAAAGAACAAAAGAGACTTCAGGCGGAGATTGAACGACTGGAAACGCAATCGCAATTGGGAGAAGATGAAATGAAAAAGCTCAAAGTCGATCTTTATGCTAAATTTGGCAGTAATATCAGTAAGTGCGGCATTCCTTAATGACCTCAGCGGAAATGCGTTACTGACTACTTCTTTCACTCACACAGATCTAGAAAGGGACTGAGCGACTATCACCTTGTACACTATCAAAAACACACATAAACGCGAGGCAAATTAATGATGATGATAACATTTTTTCATTTGATTAGCAGACAGCAGATTAAAAACAAATTATTGCAGCAAAATTAACAGTATGACGATGCGGTAGGAAGCAGAAAGCTTTCTTTTTTCGGACTTATTTGCCGACAAGACCCTTGAGAACCTTTTCACGGCTTGCTTTCAATTCATCAGTCCAATCGGATCCATAACCGTTATTCAAAGCACGTCCGACGGATGTATTGGTAACGGTTGTATCTGTATGACCAAGGATTTGAACGATACGTTTTACCCAATCAGGCACAGAACGCATCCAAGGCAAGATACGCATGAATTGGGGCATGATGATATAATGACTTAAACCTGAATCGATTGCGTTTACCATTGCACGACCTACTTGAATTGGCATCAAATTGGGGGTTAAGAAAGGCATGTTATGATCTTCCATTCCATCTCCTAGCGACGTTCTTACTTTTGTCGGCGTACAAATTGATGCCCGTACCTTTGGTGCCGCATAACGTGCATTCAATTCTCCATGTAAAACTTCATGGAATGCTAATGCTGCCGATTTTGAAGTTGCATATTCACCCATTTGCGGTAAACACATATAACTTGCACTACTTGCAACTGTGAGAATGTGACCGTGATTTTGTTTGACGAGATGGGGTACGAATTCTTGTGCGGTAACATAGTTTGACAAAGTGTTTACTCTCCAGACTTTTTCCAAATTCTTCAAATCGGTATCAAAGATTGTAGATCCAGATGCAATACCTGCACAATTGATCACGATGGATGGATCACCATAACGTTTTCTAATTTGATCGGCAACTTGTTTCACAGCAGCTGCATCAGTTACATCCACTTTGAAATAAAGAATTTCAGGTGCGCCTGCAGGAGCTGGTGCATAAGTTGGAGCAGCCAAATCCAAGACTGCCACCTTTGCTTTCTTTTCATGAGATAAAACTTCTACACATGCTTTACCAATTCCAGCAGCACCACCTGTGATTACCACAACGTCCTTCTTCCAATCCGGTCGATCACGTCTCCATTGTCCATGATTGCGTGCATATCTTGTCAAAGCGTTGTTAATATTTTTGACTAATGTGAAATAAAACAAACGTCCTATCCATTTGTATGCGTTTGTAGAAGAAGGTGAGAGTAATTCTCTCAAAAGTGTGAATGAAGGAGCTGGATATACACTTGGTGCTCCTGATGAACGTTTGTCCAACAAATACACCAAAGCAGGATAAACCAACAATGCTAATGGATGAAATGCTGTCCTACACAAGAATGCATATGTTAAATCCCACGTGAATGGTTCTCTGAATTTTAAATCTGGCTTGCTCGGTTGACGAGGTGTTGTGGTTTGAGCATTGCCATTACCATTGGCAGGTTTTCCGTTAGATGCCATCTTGTGTTTGAGTGAAGGGAAGATGATGGATGAAGGGAGGAAAGAAGAGAGCGTCTGCTTTCCTTCCAATTCAAAGTATACCACTCAGTAAGTGGCCACTTCCATCTTTTTCGAGAGAGGATGTTTTACCCCATGCATCCATCTTTTCATGTTGAAAGCCAAAGATGAGCGTTTTAGTGCCCTTGGGGGGGTTCAACGAATTCATGCATTGTCAAATGGCTAAGGCTCGGTGAAAAGAAAGAAGAGTAACTGTCTTTTTGCCTCTTTTCACTTGACCGAGCAATTGGCCCGCCGCAAAAGGGAGAAACAATTAGTGGAGTAAGCGTCGGATAATTTTGAGTACGCGTAAGAAGGCAAGGCCTGCACGCTGCGCCGACATATGAAACAAAGTCGTGGAGATTCCCATCTGTGAAAAGAAAAGTCATTACATAAGCAAATTGCTTACTTAATCGCTAGCTCAACTTCCTTTACTCGACCTTAAGCGGGAAAGGGGCAAAGGCAGAATTGGTAAGAGGAACGAACACGCACCAGCCACTTTTACGCTTACGCCTGCCTGCCTGCGCGTTTCTCCTGACTATCTCTATACAAGCAGCCAGCGCCTAGACTGTGCTTACCCAGTCTGATCCATACTGCCAAATCGATCTTGATCTCCTTTTCTCATTCTTAACATCCAACAGACATCCACATCCTCTCATCCGCCATATTCTGCCCAAGATGTCGTCTCGACCACTAAACGATGAGGAGGTCTTATCAGAGATGAAAAAGATGGTTTCATTCATCAAACAAGAAGCAATGGAAAAAGCAAGAGAAATTCAAGTAAAAGCAGATGAAGAATTTGCAATCGAAAAAGCAAAAATTGTACGTCAAGAAGCAATTTCGATCGAAAATCAATATGAAAAAAAGAAAAAACAAACAATCACCGCTCAAAAGATTGCAAAGAGTGATCAAACAAATAAATCAAGATTAGAACTTTTACAAACACGCGAACAACATTTACAAAAATTATTCGATGGTGCTCGTGAACGTTTAACTGAATTAACAAAAGATCAATCAAAGTATGAAGAACTTTTACAAGGTTTGATCTTACAAGGTCTTTTGCAACTTATGGAAGAAAAAGTAATCGTCACAGCAAGATCAACCGATGTTCAACTAGCACAAAAAGCAGCAGAATCAGCATCAAAACAATACACAGAAAAGAGCGGTCGTCAGACAAAAATTGAAGTAAAGGATGGCTTGAGCAAAGATTGCCATGGTGGTGTCACCCTTTCTGGATATCAAGATAGAATTCATATCAACCAGACGCTTGATGAACGTTTACGAATCTTGGAAGAAAAGATGTTACCCGAAATCAGAAACGATCTCTTCGGTCCAAATGAGAACAGAAAGTTCACCACTTAGACGTTTCTTTCTCTACATATTCCAGCAATAGGATCTCATCAGTCAAAAATGTGCGAAATAATAGATTGTGTGATATGATACAGTATATTCGGAAAGGATTACTTGCGCACTGAGGCGGCTCCTTGTTTGCTTCGAAGCAAAGCATTGATCTCTTGCACAATCTCTGTTGCGATCTTTGAATTTTCCGCTTCAAAGTCGTACCGCTTTTGATCATTCTCTCGCATCACAATCACCTTGAAAGAAGAAGGTAAACGTGATTGCGTACAACTCACAATAGATGGGATAGGATAAGAAGTTGTGGTTGTATGTGTTTGAAATGCGCGTGTTTCAGTAGGAATGATGTGTAACCAATCGCCATCGATCGTAAGAGTACGTTCATGTCTTCCCAAGAATGTTGGCATTCTTCGATTGACAGTGTACGATTTGTAAACGGAGGCAATCTCTTTCGCCGCTGCTTGATAGCGTGGTTCAGGCTGTGAGATTCGTTTAAAGATAGAAGCGTTTGGATTTGTGCTTTGAGTGGTAAAGGCACCCGAATGTTGAAGACCTAAATCTTGTCTGCGTACCAATGTAAGATCATAATTTCCTTGCAGACTCTCCACCGTTCGATCAAGTGGAACAACGATGTCTTTCTCCGGCACTACCAATGCCCACTTTTCAGGCGATCCCAGATCACGTCTCTTACAGATCGTTTCCAAAACGTCAGCCAAATAACGATCATTGGTGACTTGCAGAGTGGTTTTGTATCGAACATCCTTATTGGGAGTAACGAGAATACGCAGAAAGATGGGCGGTCCGTGATTGGAAAGATTGGGACTCGTTGCTGGCCCAAAGGATCCAGAAATCTCTCCACCACCATCTCTTCGAAGGCCCAGTAGCGATGTTGGGAACATCGGTGTGGCCTGAACGGTCAACATGGAGGCATCTTGAATGTCTCCCGTAGTACTTTGGGCCTGTGATGGCGTCATGGCCGGTTGCTTGGAATTTGCCGCACCTGTGGGTGGCTGAAGGGCTTGCAACCCTGTAGATTGTTGCCTCTGTCGCGAAACTCGCCTTTCCAACAAAGCAGAAGCGGATTGATTTTGTTTAATTTGTGCTGGTGTCGCTTCACAGATTGCCAATTCATCCGCTCCAAATTTACCAACAGTGAGCGAACGATCTAAAGCGGGATAATCGTCATCCACTTCACCATCTTCGACCAAGCGCAATGTCCATGCAATCGTACTTAATCGAATCTCTCTCTGTTCTTCAGCAGCGTCTTGTGATAGCGTGCTATCCAATGTAGGCAGCCAGCCTTCTTCAACGTAACAATACAACCCGTATCCGATCAACTCTTCCATCGTTGCATCCTTGCGCACGCTCAATCGCATAGATTTCGTATCAACATTCACAGCCAAGGCACCACTGGAAGGTTTCATCGATCTTGGAGGAGCATTTGCTGCATTAGCAAAGGGGAAGAATACTTCAATCACTGCACTTCCACCTGCAGATACACTACTTCCAGCCACATTCTTGTACCTTTGATTGAATGGGTTATCAGGACATTCGCTGCGTGTGCTCAACAATGCTGTGAGTGCTGAACTTTTGTTGCGACTATCAAATTGTTTCTTGAGCACCAAAGGATTTGTCTTGACAAATGGAGAAGGTGATCGACTTGTCAAATCTGCAGGTTTAGGATGAAGAGATTTTTCGCCTCTCCTGATAATCTCTTCACTTTCTCCGCCTGCAGAAGAAAGACCCGGTGTCAAGTCCACCGATGCATAGCCCTGATCCAAGGCAAGCCCGGTCGCAATAGGAGCAACTGGCTGTTGCGATAAAATGTGTCCGCTATTCCCTAAAGGCGAAGCGAGTCCACTCGGTGAGCCATCGGCAAACAGTCCAAGCTCGCCATTCACCTTTTCCCTTCCATTGAATGGGGACAAGAGGTAAGTACTCGAACCTTGATTTGAGACATCCAGTCCATCCAGCTTTTGCGCCGGCGATTCAGACAATTCATCTTTTTCGGATAGCAAATGTGTTTCAGGATGCTCGGCAACAGGTGCAAATGTCGAGCTTGCCGGGTGTTGCCTGTCAATGTTCGAAACTGCTTCAGCCGATCTCAGAGATCCGTCACTCTGAAGAGATCTGTTCGAAAGGCCGCGCTGTCGAGTGATGCGAGGTGAGGCCAGAGAAAAAATTGTCGATTCACTTTGTGTTCTACCCATGTATGATGCCGAACCAAGTGTTGTAGAGCTTGGCTCTCTGGGAAGGTTGTGCTCTATCTCTTGGCCTTCCGCATTTTGCAATGTTGATAGAATGGGTCTAGAAGGAGGCATGGAGCCTGGCATGATTGCTTCCGACTGACTTCTTTGACGTCCATCAGCTTGAAGCATTGGATCTTCATTTGTTGACGTAGGTACCGCAGAAGCAGAATGACTTGATTGTTCGGAAATTGACTTTCTTGTCCTTCTCGCTGGCCTAGGAGGAGGAGCATATCTACTGGTCGAGGTAGAGGGAGACTCAGTCAAGTCCTGCTGCGAGTCTACTGCCGAGCTCATATCCTCGAATCCTCCGGGCATTGTGGTTCTGCGCTCGTTGGATATCCTGCTTGAAGATTGTGTCGGCATGCCTTGCTCACTTTGCGAGACAGAGAGCGCAGACAGATTGCTAGGAAGGCCAGGCCTATGAGGCTGACTGCTACTACGATTACGAGGTTTGATCTGACCAAGACTTGATTCAGATTGCTTCGATGATAGTTCTGGAGACTTGGATGGCCTTAGCATCGTAGAAGATCTGCGAACCATATGATCTCCCTTTTCATCCATATCATGTGAAGACGGCTGGACAGCAACTTGAGGGATCTGCATTTGATTTGAGAGGAATGAACTGCGATCGCTTGGCGTTCCGTCTACGGCCGTTGAAGTTGAGGAATGATCTGACAAACGTCCCCTGCTTGACTTTTCGAAATTGGTAGATTCTCCAGACGGTGTGCGTAGCGAGCCATCTCTCTTCTGTCTGTGAATCCCAAGCTTCTCATCACCTGTTCCTTGCCCCACTTCGCTCCCTTCACGAAGGTTCTTTCGTCGCCTTCCCTCAATGCTTACATTTCTCCTTCCTGTCACTCTCATTCCCAAGGCACCAGTTCTTCCAGGTCCATATATTGTGGTCGTATGTTTCAGTCCATTGGCTCCGAGAGAAGCAGCACGATTGCGGTTTGCATCATGTAGTTCACCCTTCCCATTCATTACACCACTCGAATCGGCCAAGAATGGATCATCGCCTTGTCTGCCTACCGCTTGCAAGTTTTCTGCAGTAAATTTGGGCGAATGAAGCGTTGTCAATTCAGGATGTTTGCGTGCATCATTCAAGCCTGCAATGACGACGAGAGAATCTTTGGGGTAAGGTGGTATGATCGAATGAACAGATTCATCCTCTTGTATTTCGTTCTTTACATCGGCAGTAACCCTTGTAGAAGCAGATATAATTTGATCAAGATCGGTGAATGACCTTTGAGTTCGTAAGGTTGATTCTGATGCACTTTGCTGTTGTACTTTTTGTGATTTGTTGGGCAGATTGACGATATCGGGAACGGTGATCACTCTAGGTCCTGCATGATCGTCAACTCTGCGTAAATAGGCCAATCTTAAAGAAAGGATCAAATAATCTTTATCTGTCAAAAGCGACATGATGATCAACAAAACAACACTTGTTGAATACGCCCAAAGTTGAGCATAGTCGCGATCAACATTTGAGTTCTGAGTGATTTGCTGACTATCCCCTCCTTAGCACTACCGCCGCACGATGATGATGATGATTACAATTGAAGAGTGATTGATGCTTTTAAAGTGATGCTGCATGTTCCCCTCAACTTTAGTGAATGTGTTTAGCGCATGGACCAATCTCAGGCCCTAAACACTGATCTCCTTCACGTGCACCCGCGGAGTGCATGAATGTTCACAGTGCAAGAAGAAAGTTCAAGCTGCGCGCGTTTCTAACACTTCAATCAAAAGAAGAAGTTGGTCATCACGATCACTTCGAAGGCCATCACTTTTTACACACAAAATGGCAGAACGTGTTCAGGCGCAAAATTATGCAATCGCTCAACGCGGTGAAGCAACTCAACGTCAACAAGCAGGCTTCTTCGGTCAAGATGTTGACGATGATGAATTCATTGGTGATGATGGAGATGTAGATCTAGGTATTCCAGATGCATATGCTAATAGCGGATTCATGGATGAGAGTGCATTGGCAGAATCACAAGTTCAACAACAAGTAGCTGCTGCAGCCGCTCAACAAGCAGCAGCTCAGGCTTTGGCTGCAATTCCAGATGCAGTACGTAAATATATCGTCCTCTTCCGTCAAGCTGTCAATAACGGCAACGTAGCAGAAATTACAACCGCATACGAAGCCAGCTGGAACAGACTAACAGAAAAGTTTTATCAACGTACCGAGTGGCCTGAAGCAGAAGTAATTGCTCCATTAGTAGAAGACGACCAAAAGTTCCTAACCCTTTACCGCGAATTATGGTACCGTCACGTCTATTCCCGCCTTTCGCCAGATGGTGAAGATCGATTCCACAGTTACGATAATTACTGCGACTTTTTCAACTTTGTTCTCAACAGTGAAGGACCTGTTCCGCTCGAGTTGCCTTCGCAATGGCTTTGGGACATCATTGATGAATTCATTTACCAATTCCAAAGCTACTCACAATGGCGCAATCGCGTCTCTGCCAAATCGGAAGATGAACTTTTGCTCTTGCAAGATGGTGGTGTTTGGAGCAGCTACAGTGTTTTGAACGTTTTGTACAGTCTTATTCAAAAGAGTCGAATCGTCGAACAATTGCAAGCTGCACATGAAGGTGAAGATCCAGATGAAGTGGCAGGAGAATTTGGTTCAAGATCACTCTACAAGCAATTGGGATACTTTAGCATAATCGGTCTATTGCGTGTGCACGTTCTTATGGGCGATTACACCTTGGCACTTAAGATGCTCGACACAATCGATCTACACAAAAAGGCACAAGCTTCCGTTGCAGCAGGCTCTGCTTCAAGCGGTAGTGGTTTGCCATCTCTAAATCGTGTTACAGCATGCCACGTCACATGCTACTATTACGTTGCATTTGCATACATTATGCTACGTCGCTACCCGGACGCTATTCGATGCCTCTCCCATATTCTTGTTTTCATCATGCGGTTGAGACAGTACCACACACGCAGTTGGCAATATGACCAAATCGCAAAGACAGGCGACCGCATGTACGCTCTGTTGGCAATTGTGTGTGCCTTGTGCCCAACTCGATTGGACGAAAACGTGCAAACAGCAATGCGTGACAAGTATGGTGAGCAATTCGGCAAAATGAGCAAAGGAGGTGATGAAGGTTTGGCAGCATTTGAAGAGCTGTTCTTGTATGCTTGCCCCAAATTCATCACTGGAAATGGACCTCCATACCACGATGATGAGGCTTTACGCCCCTTCTACACCTCACCAATCCCTGATCCTGCACAACACCAAGTCCGCATCTTCCTTTCCGACGTCAAATCACAATTGTCCAATGCCAACATTCGCTCTTTCTTACGCCTATACACAACGTTGGGAACAGACAAATTGGCCAATTTCCTCGAAGTCGATCAAGAAGACCTAGTGGAAGAATTGATGGTTGCCAAAGCCAGCAGCAGAAGTGTTAAATGGAACGATGGTGGTTTATTGGAAGGTGAAATCGTAAACACAAGCGATTTGGATTTCGTCATCGATACAGATATGGTTCATATTGCTGAATCACGCGTAGGAAGAAAGTATGGTGAATGGTTCTTACGTCAAGGTGTTCGTATGCATCAAACATTGCAACACATCAAATCTAAACCTCTACCTATCGTTGATGAGAAAGCACAAGCTGCACACGCAGCCGCCGTTGCAGCAGCAGCCGCAGGAAATGCAGCTCAAAACACAGATGGCAACAAATCTAGAACTGGTCAACAAGGCCGTACGGGAGGTGGTGCTGCTAAAGGAGCATGGGGCGCTCCTCGTGCCAGTGCATCCGTAGTTGCAGCAGCAGGACCACAACCAAATGGTGCTTCAGCTACAACAGCTTAAAAGAGTAGACTCATTATGAGCGCTACAATGATTATTATCTCAATTGTACAATGTAAGCGATTTTCTAGAACTAATCAGATGTTGATTTAGGATTTATCGATGTGCATTGACTGTTGCGAACAAAGTAGTAAAACAAAGATAAGATCTGGGGTGTACATGAAAAAGGTGGAAACTCTTTGAAGGAGAGCGATCATTCATTGATGGAACTGTTTTCATTCTTTCTGGACCATAAGAATGAAGCACGCTTTGGTTTGTCTTGCGTTTGATTTGTTCCGCTCGAATTGGTAGAAGTAGCATCTTGCTCATTAGACAAAGTAGAAGAATTATCTTGAGCTTGATTGAGATCGTTTGCTTGTTCTTTCGAGTAGGATGAATTGCGCCAGAGAGCAAATCTGCTTTGCTTGTTGGTAGCAGGTGCAATACGTACGCTAGACATAGCATTGCCGGAATGGGTAGAGAATTGACTGCCATGGGATGTTTTGCGCTCTAAAGGTAAGATCATATCATCAAGCCAATCCGTCGGACCCGGTCTCAAACCAACGCCACTACTTCTTGCACTTCCGATTGGATTCTCAATCGCACCACCATTGCCGAATTGTTGTCTCTTTTGCGAATTACGTAAAACATGAGTCAATGAATCAGAGTTTGTACGCATAGGATCATGAATCGCATCGGCTAATTGAGATGGCCATCTTGCACCGATCGCAGCACTGGGACGTGGATCCCAATCGTGTGAAGATCTGTTTGGAATTTCTGAACTCAAACGAACGGGTCTATCAGACTCAAAAGCTCGTTTCACACTATCGAAATCTTGCTTCGTGTTTGGCAAATGACCTAACGATGAGTTCCATGTTTGCTGAATCAACCTATCATCTTTAGAAGTTTGAGCGTCTGTCTCTGCATTTTCTTTGTCCTGTTGTTGACTGGGATTGCGTCGAAGTGAGCCACGGAAAGATTTCGCACCAGGATTGAGTGACAATTTTGGAAAGATTGAAAGTGATCTTCGCTTTCCGGCACTTGATCCTTCGGAAGTTTCTGATCGAAGTGAAGCAGCTTCAGCTGTTGGTACTTCATCCGTTCTTGCTCCTTCGTTATTCTCCGATTTCAATTCTGACATTGGTGCAATTCCATCGCCCAAAGCACGCTCTTTGCTACGTTGTCTACCACCCCACCAACTTCTGCCTCCAGAAGAGGTAGACCTCTTACGCCCTATAATGCTCTTTTCCTCCTTTTCCACATTCTCATCTTGTACAACCTCAACATCAGATGTATCAGAATTGTCGAGCCCAAATCTGTTCAAGGCAGCCTCAATTTGCTCGGAACGTGTTCCTGGCAGAATTCCAATATGTCTCTCATCTTCATCTGCGTTTTGAAACAGATTACTCGGTAACAAATCACTTGAGAAGGGAGAGATTGGCGTGATTGAGCTCATCCTGCTTCGGGAGAGCGAATCAATGCTGCCCATTGGCACGCCACCAGATGTGACGTTGTTGGAATCGTAGGAGAAAGGTGAAAACCGTGCATTTGCCAGAGAATCTTCTTCTTGACGTTGACCGGATGCCAGGATGGTGGGATCAAACGCATCATCTAACATTCCTAACTCATTATCATCGTCCATCATCGCAGCCATGTGTGCCAAGGATCGAGCTTGTGGAGCGATTGGACCGACAGAATGATTGTGTGAAGTGCCGTTCCATTGCATTGTTTCATGCATTGGTTCATTTGGTTGCATAGGTTTGCCTTGTTGCATCATCAAATCATAGTATGCTGCACTTTGTCCGGCATCAAGTGGTCCTTGCCCTGACGTGTGAGTCTGTGGGTGCTGTTCATATTGGTGAGCATAGGAATGTAGAGGTTGCTGAGGTCCATAAAATTCTGGGCCAGCATACATTTGCGAAGAGTTGGACGAGTAGTCGTAATGATTGGCTCTTTCGGATGCCATTTCTCGTGCTGCTTGTAGATTTCCTTCCTCTTCCAAAAGTTGCTGTTGTATCTTTTCCAACTTGCCATTCAGCACATTGAGCTCATTATCAACTGAGGCTTCCTCTTCCTTCTTTTTCTCAATCTCGCGACGTAAGTCATCAACTCTTTCAGTCTTTCGCCTTCCACTCTCTTCGGCTTTATTTTGACTTGTCGCTTCACGTTTTCTCAGTCCAGCAATTTCCTCCGACTTTGCTTGAATCTTGTTTTCTAGCAATTCTTTCAATCCTTTCGCAGCTTTTAATCGCCTTTCTGCCTCCCTTCTCGTCCCTTCAGCTTGTCTCTTATGTTCATCTAGTGTTTTCATTCTCCCTTTCACATCGAGTCTGGTTGCATCTTCATCCTTTTTCCGCGTCCGCATCTCGTCTAATTGACTTTGTAGCAACTGACGAGCAGATTCGGAAGCCGTTCGAACTTGATCAAGTTGTGCTTGAGCTTCAGCGATGGCTTCAGCCTGTGATGCATCAACGATGGAATGCTTTCGCTCCCCATCTCCTTTATTCAGTTCAAGTTCGCCATTTAGCGTTGGACTGCTAGGCATTGTTACTTCCCCTGCTACAAGTTCTTCGGCCATTTTGGAATCATATGATGTACTTGCATCCTTGGTCATTGTCGCCTGAAGTGGTGAATGTGATGATTTTGCTTTGTTCCCATGTTTCCTCCGTCGTGCAGTTGATGCTTTTTCGACATTTTGGTCCAAAGGCACAGATTCATCGAGACGTGCATTGGCAGACGTATTTGGTGATCGAGAAGACTCTTCGTCATCATGTGGCTGAGAAATGTTGCGCGATTGCATGTTCAAGATACCCCAAGCAGATTCTTTGCTGGATAGTCTGTGTTGAATCACACCGCCAGCCCACCATTTGCCAAAGATACCGATGAATCTTCTACTTTGTACCATTCCTAGATGATTCTGCTCAGACACAGTGACTGTACTCAGCAGACCATAATCACGTCGATGATATGCCGGCGTTCGAAGTGAGACAGAGACTCGATTGGTGAAAGGATGCACATGAGGTAATGGTTCTTTCTTTGCCAAATTTTGTATATCGTTCGAATCTTCAGCGATGGAGATGGATTTGTTGGAAGAGTCGATTGCATCTTGACGAAAGTGATGCAAATGTTCACGCAGAGCCAAATCTGTAAGAAAGGATCGGAAAGAATCATCGCTTGGATTGGTAGCAAATGCAAGCAAAACGACCAAACAAAGCATTGAAGCAAGCCAAACAAGTGTTTGCGGATCGATTTCGGTGATTAGACCAATACAAAACAGTGATAAACGACGAGCATTCTTTGCAATTTTAACGAAACGTGCCAAAAAGATGTCGATTGTCGAAGATCCGGTGACGGGAATGCTGTCATCGCTCGCATGCCATAGACTTAAGCCACCGAAGATGACGGAAGATAGAGCCATGAATAAGCTATACATTACCAATGTCATCTCGCTTGGTCCATCTTCTTCTGATTCATTCGAACCAGAAGTATGCGACGCTTGTTGTTCGATAGTCATTTTGATGATTACGGCGGCGAAATCTTGTCGATCAGAGCGGGCTCAAAGATACCTTCTCAAGTACTTAGGCCCGCCCTTTTGGTTGAAGAATAGAAGTAGAATACAATCGATGTCTTTTGCGTATGCTTCCCGATCGATCCCATTCCATCAACGAAATCAATAACCAAGCAATCTCGATAATCAATCAATGATCATTCAAAGACTTTCTCAGCTTTGAATCTCGTTGATGTTGGGTTTGACTTATAGTAGTAAAAAGGTACTCAGCGATGGATGGAGGTGACGGCGTCATTACACAACACACATATTTAAATCTCATTACCAATTGAAAAAATTCCCATATTTCCATTTGCATCCGAGTCCCTCTACACGTACGGAGTTTTATTGCCCGTACGCTTGGCTGCTTGGCTGCCCGCCTGCCTGCAAGCCCTTCCTGTCAAAGGAATTTTTTTTCTCGCTAATGACTGTATGTACTGTCACTTTATTCAAATTGCAGGGACTTCTTCTAAGGGTTCTATTGCCCTACGCGTTGTCAGGGTAAATAGTGAAATTGTATTCAATCTTGTACTAGAATACAACTTCGGGATGAAAATTGTATTCAAAGGCTCAGTTTGTATTGTGTTGCTTCAAAGTGTAATGCTGCTATTGCGTTCGGGCCATTGGAATGTCGTAAGTGCTGATCCTTCTGATTATAGAGCTCACCCTCCTCAACCATATCCACCAAAGAAAGCAACATGGCATCTTCTATAGCAGCCTTTGAGTCGAGGCAGGCTCTCCCGTCCACATCGAACAGCCCTGCTCTCGATGTTCGCGGTCACACCCTAATCCTTCCATGTGTGTCAATCGGAAACGTCGGTCAATTAGCAGTAGATATCTTACTAGCATCAACACTTTCAACAGGAGAAAAGGCGGAATACTTTTGTGACTTAGATGCACGGTATTGTGTTCCTTTCGTAGGTGCTTCAACAGAGGCAAATCATCCATCTCTTCGTACGCCTTTACAAGTTTTCACATTTCCAAAATCGAAATTGACAATTATTCAACAAAGAAGTCCGATCTTAAAGACACACAAAGATCAATTCGTTGCCAACCTGGGGAAATGGGCACAAGAGAAGGGTTTCAGTGAGATTATTTGTTTAGCTGGAATAGATGCAGGTCTTCGAACCGATACACAAATGCAACATCCCTTTTGGCATCTCACATCTTCTTCATCCCAATCGGTTTCATCATCTCCACTGAGCGCCTCTTTTGCAAAGCTTTTACCGGTCTACACGAGGGCAAACACTCATGCAATTCATGAGCTCACAAGAAACACAGGCGGCAACGACGATAGCATCCCGCCAATGCCTGCCGGTGGATTAGTACGAAAACTTCTCAAAGCAGCCAAAAAGGAACCGAATTGGCTACCAACAACCGCTCTTCTCGTCTTTGCAGCCGAAGGAGATAATCGTGCAGATGCAATGGCAATGGCCAAACTGATCGTCAATACATCGCAAGACAACAAAAACTCTCAGCTAAGCCAACCTTCCGATTGGAATTTGTTATTTGGTCCGCCTCTGGAACCTGGTATGTTTTGAAAAGGACGCACAAACTTTGTATGAATAAAAAAACACTTTTTTGAATTTCTTTTTAGATCACTTCATTTTGCGGCGAAGTGTATGTAGTTGTACATGAAATGAAACATTTTTATATAAATAATTTGAGATTGCCAACGACACCGCAAAGCACTCGTAGCAATATGTTCACCATCCTTTACGCAACCTCTCCTTCCTCCAACTCAGATTGAGCACGAGAAACAGGTCTCTCTAGCTCAGTCGGTGGGACATCTGCAACAACTTCTTTGCTCTCCTCGGCACCTTTAGCTTCTTGGCTTTCAGCCTTTGTATCAGCACCATCGGTAACGATTTCAACCTTTTTCTCCCCTCCAACAGGCTCGACCACATCGCCATTCACCTCGACTTCATCAGTCTTAGTAGCAGGTTCTTGCTCTTTTTCAGCCTCTTTCTCCGTTTCTTCATTGCTGACGCCATTTTCTGTTGGCTTGTCCTCCTCTTGTGCTTTCGATTGTGTCTCGCCTTCGACTGTCGCTGCTCTGTCTAGAGCAGAAGTGAGCTCATTGGCAGCACTCAAAGCGGCGGGAGCACTAGCATCGTTCTTTTCCTCTTCCTTCTCCTCGTTGGGTTGTTGTTCCTTTGGTGCTTCTGTTGCCTCTTCAGCTCCAACAGACGGGGGTTGCTCATCAACCTTTGAAGCGGTAGAAATGGGTTCAGGATTGACTTCTCTCATTTCCGTATCATCCTTTTCATCTTCTGGTGCTTTCGATTGATCATCCTCATTTCTTGCACGTTTTTCAGGCAACCCTTCCGATCTTCCATCATCCTCTGCACTTCTCTTTCCCAATCCTTGCATCACACCACCTTCCTTCTCTGCAAGATCTTCCGCATCAGCTGCCACTTCTGCCCTTCTTTTGATATCTGCAAACTTTTCGGCTTCAGTTAATTCTTGCTCTGTTCCATTTACTTGAGAATACTCTTCAGCTTTGGAGATTTCGTTAGGTGGTGGAACGTTTTCAGCAGGTGCAGTTTTACTCTTCTCATGCGAAAGAGGAGCAGAAGCAGATGCCGCACCTGCCAATCCCATCAATGCATCTGCCGCATTTCCATCATAATCTTCATCGACTAGTCTTCTGGCAGGGGCTTGATTAGCACTGCCAGCTGCTAATGGACGATTGCTACCCGAGGATGAATCAGAGGCTGGAGAAGCTCGAGAAACATCACCTTTTCCTGCTTTCTTACCACGACCTCCTGCAGGTGATTGTGCACTGACGGCGGAACGATTGCCAACTTGTGGGGAAGACGTTCTTGAATCATTCTTCAAGCCAGCCTTTTTGCGGGCGGCAGAAGATCCGTCAGGTCTAGATGGAGGACCTGATCCCTTCGCACCTTGAGGACCGCGTCCCTGCTCAGCCGATTGATCATATTGACCATAGCCTTGTTGCATAGGAGGTGGACCACCTCCCTCATAATGATGTCCACGACCACGATCGTCATATCCGCCAGGAGGACCATACTCCCCTGGATGGCCTCCATAAGGACCGTTTGGTGGACCGCCAGGATGAGACCCACGTTCCCATGCCATATCTCTTTCTCGCATTCGTTCGCGCTCGTATTCTGCATTACGTGACGAATAGGCTTGTGCCCTGGGAGAAGTACGTCCTTGAGTTTGTTGACCGGATCCATAATGAGGCGGAGGTGATTGACCAGGACGAGGCGCCTCCATCGGTGCCAAAGCATGTTGTGATGGACGATGAGCACCTCCGTCATCAATGTTGGGAATAGAAGGTGGCGGCCCATCATGGAAGCCATGTCCACCTGGTCCAGGTGATTGACTATGACGTCCCGCGCCAGGAGGGCCATGTGGTCCATGACCATGATCGCGTGGACCGCCTTCGCCTCCCAAATGGGCTCCATATGGTGCAGGTGGGCCACTTGCGCTGCCAGGATGATTTGCATACGCTGTGGGATGAATGTCTTGCGGAACAGGTGCAGAAGATACTTGTTCTCCGCGTGCTTCAGCATTGCGTAATAAGGTCAATCTTTGTTGAATGTGTGGGTTCTCTGGGTCAAGTTCAGCAGCACGAGCGTAAGCATCAATTGCATCGGAGATTTGATTATTGCACGATTCATAAAGACTACCCAAATCGAACCAAACTTCCGAAATGTAAGGATTGAGTCGAATAGCACGTGAGTAAGCATCCAAAGCATCACGATATTGACTAATTTGATAGTACAAAACACCGATCGAGCACCAGAATGTCGGATTCTTGCCGTCACGATAGACTGCTTGTTGGTACGCTTCGTATGCTTTGTTGTAATTGCGTTCTGCCATGTAAGCTCTACCCAGTAGATACCAGCTTTGTGCATCATTTGCATCACTTTCCAAACTTTTAGTCAAGAATTGAATAGCCATATCCTGGTTTTCAAATCCGGCATTGCTTTGGTGATAGAGCCAACCGAGCTGTTGCAGAACTTTAGCATGTGCAGGATTTTCGGCCAATACACGTTCATAAGCTTCTTTTGCGGCGACAAAGTCTTTCTGTTGTTCGTAAACATGTCCGATTTGAAACCAGATATCAATCTCCGTTAATGGGCGAGGTGGATTGTTGAGAATATAGCGGAAGCATTCCAAACTGGCTGAGAACTTGTTTTGCTGTTTGTAGATGATACCCAATCGGAAGTAGATCTCGTTTGCTTTCTCGTAGTTGGGATCCATTCGTACAACGCTTGCGAACGCCTCTTCTGCATGTTCAAGACTGCCATATCTGTCGTACAAAATACCAATACCATACCAAAGTTTTGGTTCTTTTGGGTTTGGCAGATGGTAAAGAGCTTGCTGATAGGCGGTATAGGCTTTCTGCAAATCGTCCATCATCAAGTAACAATGTCCCATCGCACCCCATGTTTCCCCATTTTCAGGAACGATATTCAAAACGCGCTGGAAGTAATCAACAGCCTTTTCAAAACGATCCATTGTACGATGAACACCTGCGATAGCATTCATTGCAGGAACAGAGTATGGATTGTGTCGTAAAGCGGAATCGTAAGCTGCGATCGCACGTTCATAATCTTCCATTGCTTCTGCAGCCGATCCGATTGCGATCCAAGCTTGTTCGTTTGAATGAGCTAGCTTTTGAGTCATACTGACAGGTTGACTTGAAACGCCTGCTTGACCAACATCGTATGGGCCAGGTCCAGGTGGATGTGGATGTTGCATGTGATGCTGACTGGCTGCAGATGCTGTTCGGGGCGGAGGAGGGGGCATGGATGAATTGCCATCGGTAGCATGAGGTGGAGGAGGTTGAACGGGAGCGCCAGACATAATCCTTGGACTTGGACCGCCGGGAGGAGGAATGCCGTTTGTTTGACCTGGCAATGGAGGTGGCCCTCTTCCTAAATGATGACCGCCATGATGGCCATGCGAAGGAGGCGGTGGTGGAGGACCTTGGGATGGATGCATTCCATGATGAGAGCCAGAAGGTCCTGAAGGCATACCATGTGAACTGTTTGGAGGTCCACCTGGATGTCCACCACCATACATTGATGGAGGAGGAGGATAACCACCGCTAGAAGGATGCGGGGGAGGATGATGAGAAGGATGATTCATCATCTTTTGTTTGAAGTTCTTGTGATGTCGGAGTGAGTTTTACAATGAATGAATGAGAGGTGATAATCTCTTTTTGCTTGTGATCGCGATTTGAAGAAGAAAAGAAAGCAAATGAAGACGCAATGACAGTGGACACAGACGAACAAATGAATGAATCACCCACTTGCCTATCCGCAACGCAATCGATGATGGATTGTATACGTGATCGTATAAAAAGCCTATTGATCAGGCTGCCAATTGATGTGGTGAAGTGAATGAATGTCAGATTGGGGAATGGATGCAAACGCTGATAAAATATGTTCATGTGCTTTTTTTTCTTCTATGCGCACTCAACAACAAGGTTCCACAAAAGTACATACACATACGATTGCGCAGCGCGAGCATGAAATGAAAAAACGAAAAAGAGCAGTGCGCACGGCAACAAAATGCCTTTGCCTGCATGCCTAGCTGCCAGCCTAAAGTGAGAGAAAGTGCCACCACACGCGATAAGCTAAATTGTGGCTCACTTGAATTCGGGATTTAGTGTATAGAACCAAGCAAGGCTGTCTGTCAGAAATGAAAAGCAAAGCAAAGCGCAAAGCAAGCAGGGAGGCTTGTGCCTAAATGAATATGTAAAGAGTTACATAGATATTCTGCATAAACACGATGGACGTGCATATTGAATGGTATTTTGCCATATTGTGGGAACACAATGAGAAGTACGATTGCGTGTGCGTCAAGCTATTATACAGTGCACTTTGATTGAATTGATATAAAATGCAATTCATTTAAATACAATGCAAGGCCAATCCGAGTGAAGATCCGAATTTACCTTAATTACCTTTTAGCGTAAGAAGGATACAAAAGACCTTTAGTCTGGGCTGAAAGAGGGCCGCAATGAATGAAAAGCAGACCCAAACTCAATTGTTGACCATGTTTGAATCTTTCAACAATGCTGGGCGTATTCGGTTTACATCATCAATATGACAGACATGAAATTGTGTGAGGTGTTACAAGTTTGTTCGGTGCTGGAACTCAAAATGGTCATCATCCATTTCATTAATTTAATCCAAACGCGGGTGCTGCGCCCTTGTTTAAACTGTTGAGAATAAGCTCAAGTGTTTGGTTGGGACTTTGAATGCGGACACCGTTGAAATGCTTTTTCTCTTTTTAGTCTTTCGGGGAAAAAAACGGCTAAACGTGGTGGACTTTGAGGAGACCGTCATCATGTACATTAAGCGTGAGAAATGAGATTAAATTGATGCAAGACGAACAAATTAACATCATGTGAATGGTGATAGGTGCACTTTTGGCGGCCTATAAACATCTTTTGATAGCGATCAACCACCCATCACTCACTCGCTCTCAAGATGGTATACCTTCCACCTAATTCAGCTCTGGATCCAGCGTTTTGGACACCTCAAAATATCCTAGTAGCTTCTGGAACTGCTCTATTAGCACTCATTTTGCTGGTGATCAGATACCCGAAAGATCTTATCGGCACTTCTCGACGATCACATAATGTCTTATCATTACCTAGTGCATTACCCTTATTGGGTGATACTCTATTAGCACTCCAGATCTCATTCAAACAAAAGAAGCTATTAGACGAAATTCTATACCATCAACATCGTGTCGGCAAAGGAGGAAGGCCTGTTTCGATCACATTTCCTTCTTTGGGTGCACGTCAGTATATCTTGAATATGCCACAATATGTGCATTATTGTCAAAAGACCGACTTTGAAACATTTGCCAAAGGAGATAATTTCCATCGTCGCTTATCAGATCTTTTAGGTGAACATGGTATTTTCGTTGTCGATGGCGAACCATGGAAGCGACAAAGAAAGATGGCAAGTCATATTTTCAGCGTGGGTAATTTCCGAACCTGCGTTCAGCAAACGATTGATATAGATCTCACAAAGATGGAAAGACTGTTAAACAATGTGGCAAGAGAGAATGTCTCAATCAATCTTCCCGACCTATTCTTTCGATTCACACTTTCAAGCTTTAGTCAATTAGCATTCTCGGCAGACGTTGAATGTTTGCCTGAAACCGTTCAAGGTCTAAACGTTCGAAACTCGTTCGCAGATGCATTCGATTTCGCTCAATTGGTTGCAGATGAAAGATTTGTAGCAATCTTTCCACTTTGGTTTGAACATTTCACACCAACAGGCTTCAAGATGCGCAAAGCCTTAAAAACTCTCCGAACATATTGTTATCGAACGATCGATTTACGTCTTTCTGCTCGTGCAAGAGGTGAAAATCGAGGTGCAGTTGATTCGAAGAATGGGAAAGATTTATTGGAATTATTCATCGATATGGGCTTATCACGTAAAGAATTACTGCCAGTCGTTTTGAACTTTTTGATCGCCGGAAGGGATACTACCGCTCAAAGTTTAAGTTGGTTCTTTTTGGAAATCGCTTCTCATCCGGAAGTTGTGCAAAAGATTCGTGAAGAGATTCAAGATTCATTTAGTGACCGATTGAACGAAAGTCATCTTACGTACGATGATATGAAGCAACTACCTTACCTTCAAGCTGCATTCTACGAAGCTATTCGATTGCATCCTGCCGTTCCAAAGAATATCAAACAAGCCACTCAAGATACCGTTATTCGGCCGTATGCAACAAATGACATCGACGGAAAACGGGATTTACCCGGAGGAGGAACAAAAGAGCCTCTGCCGGATATCACTATCAAGAAAGGTGAAAGTGTGATTTGGTCAGATTACGTTATGGCTCGAATGCCGGAAATTTGGGGAAATGATTGTGCAGAATATAAGCCTGAACGATTTTTGGAGACTCGAGATGGTAAAACGTCTGTTCGACAATTCTCACAGGCAATCTTCCATGCATTCAATGCGGGACCTCGTGTTTGCTTAGGCCAAACGCTTGCAACGTATGAAGGAATGGCAGTGATTGTTGCCATCTTGACGAACTTTGATATCATTTACGATTACGAAAAGCTAAAGACCGATCCGCCCACATTTGCCGAAAGCTTAACACACCCAATACAGAACCCTTACAGTGTTCGCGTTCAGAGAAGGAACAATCACTGACTATCTTATCGCTCGCTATTCTATACCCTTGCTATCTTATTCTGTCCACGCTTCCTCTAATATTATATCATTTCCTGCAAAATGTCCAAGCCTGATCAAGATAAAGATTGCGTTTCTATATATCTACCATGCTTCCCACTTGTGATCTTTGCCCATCGATGCCAATCGGTTGAACAATTCATCCCTTCTAGGCAGAGCAGTAACGATGAAAGTTTTTCCTTTTTTATCTTGTATTTCTAAACCATCCGTAACTTGACTATCCATTGCCCATCCTACAACCAATTTACCTTTCCATCCCAAACCTCCAATCTTTTTCAACGAAACGATATCTTCCACTTGAACGCTGAAAAGAGGAGCCGGTCTTGCTTTTTCTGCTGCATCACGTAATAACTTCAATGCATTTGGTTCATCTTCACCTTCTTCGTTGTTCGTTGTTGTCTCGCCTTCACCTTTACTGGCTTTCTTATCTTGAACTTCTTTTGCCTTAATGTAAGCAGCATGAGCAGCTTTTGCATGAGCTGGCCAAACACGTTCAAAGCTAACGCAAGGCGTTGTAGCAGTCGTACTAACCAAAACCAAACCACGTTTTCCATGATGTCGTCCATGAAAGCTTGCCGGTCCATCACCAAGAACGTCGGGCTCTTTGTTCACAACGCCAACTTTTTGTTTTGCACGTTCAAATCCAACTTCTGCTTTTACTCGGTTTGTTCCTAATGCAGTTTCTGCGCCTGCACGTACACCACCTTTGAACAAAGCCAGAATCTTGGATCCCCTTTTGGTTGGCTTTTGATCAGAATCATCAACGCCTTTAGTTGTAGAATCTTCTGTCTCAAGCTCTTGGCGATGCTTTTCGATATCTTCTTTGTATTCTTCCGGTAACGCTTTATCAATCTCTTTTCCTTCTTTTGCACTTGGAGGAGGTGCAACGACAGCTGGTGGAGGAGGTGGAACGGGACTCTTGTTTGCTTCTCCAATTCGTAATAGCGTGATCGTGATTTGTGCGTTGGTTGGAACACCTTTGAGGATGCTATTGCGTAATTCAAGATAACGTGGCCAATCAGGGATATTCTTGTCAAGCCATTGTTTGAGATCGGAAACTTTCATTAGATCAAACACCGGTTGACCAAAGAATGCCAATCCCATTAGCAAAGTAGATGAACGATACACCATATTGACAGAGACAAAATACGTCAATAAAGCCAAAGGTGCAAATATGCTTGCGATGCGTAATCGAGGACCATGTTGTGGGAACGGGTAAGTAGGCGCCAAGGCATTTCCAAATCGCTCCCAAGTATCAGCAGCGTCCTCTAGACCGTGCAAGATGGGTTGTGTGGTAACCCAGATTGATTGTTTTACCGGATCGGCTGAAGCATCTTCTTGTTTGGCATCGGCTTGTTTACCACCGCTTGCTTTGATTTGCGCTTTTTTACCGGACAAAGTGACCGTTGCACCAGGATCTATGCCAGTCTTTTCTTGTCCGTCGTCTTGATCACTTTCATCGTCATCGTCTGGAACATCATGATTTTGCACTTTGGTTGAATCATTCCCGATTGCTGTACTAACTGCTAAATGAGCCACAGATCCAACCACATTAGAAGCTTCTTGTTCTACTGCTTCTCCTTTATAACTTTCTGCGGCGCCAGTCAAGCTATCGCTTCCAAGGTGACCGGCTGTTGGTACTTTTGCTTCTCCTGTCTTTGCAGAAATGGCAGCTAAAGGAGCATGAGGGAACATGAACGATCTTGCTTTTGGAGAGCCAAGCAAGATGGCAATAAATGCAAATAACGCTGGCATGACAATATTCAAAATCCAAACGATCAAAAATCCAACAAAGAATGCAGCTGTTCTCTTTGTCTCCTTCCATGATCGTACTCTGGCAATGTGTTTTACGAATCCTGCCAAACTTAAACCGATTGTCATATAAATTCGTTCCAACGTCGATCGAAGCTTATCGGGTGTGAATTCATCCTTATCTGCGATATTAAGATCGATACCGCCTTGAGGAACTTCGTTATCGGGAATCGTCTTTAGATGATAAACCTGTTTATTAAATCTTCTCACGAATTGCCAAATTTCCTCATTTCGCAAACCATGTAAGACTGGAATACGTGCTCTGGGATCTTCTGACCAAGGCTTCAAGCCATGATCGATGGGTTGATCTTCATCGTCTGAATCAAGCAACGCATTCTCTTTTGCTTGTGCTTTTTGTTCGTCTGTCGGGACTTCAGGTTGACTTGGATTAAGGTTTGGATCTTCTTTTGCTGCTTCTCTTCCTTGAATGATTTCCGCATTTATTGGAGGTGGAGCAGTAGGCAAAGAAGTCGTTTCAGCGTGGATGCCTTGCTGTCCTTTTTCTTCTGCTTGACTGGACATCTTGCCTATCACACTCAAGCAAGATGATGATGGTGGTCAAAGATTGAGATTCCCATCATCTTTTCCCTTTTTCTCCTATTCCGATTGAACCCTGGTAAGATGGCAAGATCTATGATGTAATTATGCACAGGCACAACGTCACTCGATGATTGGGAGAGATACACTCTGCGCTGCCCAGAATTTAGCGTGCTCAGATCTCCTCTCCACCTTTACTACCATAAAGCAAAAAAGAAGCATACAATTGACCAAAATACTGTTTACACATGTTGCAAGGGGAGATAGACTAGTGATCTATTCAATGATGACGATAAGAGGAGAGAGAGAGAAAAAAAAAAGGTTAAAAAGGGTATGAATCCTGCAAAAAAGGATTGAGAGGCGTGCAAATAATTATTCTTGAGAGCGTTTGACCATTATACATGTGAAGGGAAAAAAGAGGAGTGAAATCGATCAATGATCCAAAGAAGAGGGAGGAGCGACCAAATCTTTGGCTTCCAATTCCAAGAAACCGGTATCGAGCATATGTCTAAGGGCAGGATAAAGCGCTCTTCCAATATTGCTTCTTCTTGAGAGAATGTATGCGGGTGTGAATCCTTTGAATTCTTTAAACATCCAAAATGCATTCCTTGCTCTCAATTCATTGGAAAATCCATGAATGATCCATGTTCGCCTCCAATCCCTTCTCCATCCCCAGTTGAAATCGTATTGAAAGGTTTCCAGCACGTTTTGATCGGTTCGAACTTCTACTGGCTCTTGGAAATTTGGATCATGATCGTGTACTTCGTAATACATGTTCAATTCATCACCGATCCAATAACCCGGGAAGAAAGCATCTTTTTCCAAAACCAACGAAGAGCGATCGCCTGGCAAACGTGAAAAGTGAACCATCAAAGCAGTCACTAAATCGTTGCTTGCCCTTAACCATTCACCGTTAAAGACAACTTCTTGTAAACGTGCAAAAGCGAGCATGAGAGGATTCATTGGCTTACTCAACCAAGCAGCTTGTGCGATCCTTGCTCCTTCATCAAGACTAAAGATGTTATCAAATCCGGATTGACGTAAAGGTTTCAAATCGCGTAAAACCCATGCGTCATCGTCTAGGTATTGTCCACCCATCTTTGCCATCACACGTGTACGAACGAAATCACTTCTATGAGCATATTGATCGATCTTGACACCTTTTGCTGTTACGTTGGGGAAGATTGCAGGCCTAAATTCAAGATTGGGAATTCGGAACAAAGCTCGAGTATAGATATCACCGTTTACACGTGCATCTTCAAGCATTTCTCGAGGCGTATCTGTCCAGAAGTAGATTCGATCCGGATTTAGATAGTGGTGACAAGAGTAGTAGCTGAGAAGATGTCTGAATTCCACTTTGAATGGCGCTTTTGGCGTGTAATCCTTATCACGATTAATCTGTCGAACGAAATGGGCAATATTGGGTATATCCTTCTTGGGCGAATAAGAAGGTGTATTGGTTAGTGACCATCTTGCCGATTCCGGTAGAGCGGGATCCCAAGCGGGTGCATCTGAATCAAACATCTCTTGTTCATGATTACCGTTACCACTACCTCGCAGAAAAGTGATCAGAGTAAACACTCCTATTAATCCAAGCAAGACTCGAATGCGTGGCGATAATCTCGAAGTGAGGCGTGTGATAGATCTATTATTCTTTTGCAAGTTGAATGAATCCGTACCGTTTCCCATCTCGTAATCATGATGTGCATTGCCGTTCATCCTCGGTCCTTCTTCATCTGCATTGCCTGAAAGGTATGTTTGCTTCATCTCGTTGCGGAACATCTTTCCTAGAAAGTGAGCAATCCAATCTTCAACAAATCAAGCCAATGGCGATAATATAAGCAGAAAGTTTCTTTGTTGGTGTAGGTTGCTTTACTGATGATGGCAAAAAAGGTAAAAATGGAGAAAGACGGAGGTAAACTGTATTCTATGCATGTATGAATTGAACTTCATGTGTTTGTCTCCGTTTAAAGGATACAACCTTAATACTCGGCTTCTAGCTCAAAGGGAATTGGGAGAACAAGATCTATGTATTGGGTCCGTTGAAGCGGATAGAATCACAACACACAGGTATGATCAATATAACAACCGCGGAGGTAAACCAGATGCAGTCGTTCTGCCAAGAAGTTTTTTTACCTTATATGCACATCACTCTCCGAACAATCCAAAAAGCAGGACAGAAGAAAAAGAGCACATGGTGCGTATGTATGTCTGCATTGTATTCACTCTGAACGGCATACATGTGTAAACGATACAATCTTTGCCGTTTGCAAGACGTGATTTTTACGGATGTATTCATCCATTAGGAATTTGACTTTCGTAATCAATACGGAAATTTGATCGTCGAAATCGGATAAAAACGTTTCTTCATCTAACCTTATTTGGTTTATTTTGGCCAGTATTTCAGTAAGAAGCCCTGGAGGGAATTTGGATGCGTCTTTCCTTTGAGTGATTGGCGTAGTTTTTGTGTGTGTTCGACTTGCTTGCATATTTTTGCTAAAGCACGAAAAGAGCGTAAGAAAACAAGACTGCACATTTTCAGTAAAAAGGCACACGCTAGGTAATCGGATTTTAATGGACAAAAGTTTTTTAGACCCTTCAAATGGGACAAGTCAGCACTTCGTCACACTTTGCTCTGAGTTGGCGGAGACCCGTCGGCGGCCAGTAGCACGCGTGTACCTAAAGCAGTCGAATATGCACGAACGTGTTCTATCTGATGGTAAGATTCTGTCTGCCGAAGTGCATGTTCCGGTGTTCTTGTGTCGGAAATTTTACTACGCAAACGAGTAACGACCCTTGCACCTTAGCTTTATGCCAAGACTAGAGGGCTGTAAGCCAATAGCGACACCTAATCGGGTCGTATCGCCTGCTGATTAAGCAAAGAAGCGGATTGTTACTGACTAATTACGACCTAACTTCTATCTGTACAGGCTTCCGATGGAGTAAAAGGTCACAGCTGCAATGAGAAAAATATATAATTAAAGAGATTGTTCATAAAAGACTTGAAAAATGGGTCGCCTGTCAAAGAGCGAATATGAATAACTGATAAGATATTGATAGCATCACTTGTGACAAGTCCCACTAGAATGACCGACCAAGGAAAAGATAGCATTCAACGAAAATGACGGCGAATCTCTCGGTACCATATGACCTGAATCCGATACTATGATCAAGCGTAAGCCTCTTTCTTCAATAGTTGCAATTGCTTTTTGTTGACCTTCGAGATCATACATTGGTATACTTGGTGGTGCTCTAAATCCTTGACCGCCATTCCAGGTAAGATTTTGCAATGCAAGTTGAACACCTTCTTTTATCACCAAGCCATCAAGAGCTCCTGCCATGATGACAAACTTTCCGCAAAATTCAATCATTTGAGCGAAAAGAGAATTCGAATAAGATGGTGTACTATCCCCTGCATCTGATAGATCAAGATTTCCTCCGGAGAAAACGTCTTTACACATTTTAAATTGTTGATTTGGAGCGTGAATATAATTTTGAACGTTGACATCATTCAAAAACTTTTCTGCTTCCGTTTGTTGACCATCAGCAACTTCTTTGTTTCTGTCGATGTTATAATAATCAAACATGGGATTAAGTTTCTTGGCAGTATCTTGATAAAGATCGAAAGGATCGCAATTTGGTGAGGCAACCGGTAATCTACCCTGTGCAGGATATTTGAGATATGTAGGAATAAAATTGGTCAGATTACACTTATCCGATTCTGCTTTGACGGCTGCTACGTCCGCATCGGAAAATTTGAGCTCCTTTTGATGATCTTTGACGAATTGATAGGTGGGTGCCTGAATTTGAGCAGCAAAATCGGAAAAAGCGGGTGCAATTAGCATACCCCCTCGAATGAAGAGCTTACTAGTAAGAGGATGACGTTTGATTGCCTGAACTTGGTACGGAAACATTTGACCCATATAACTTTCTCCCGTGATATAGATGTTGAACTGTAGAAGTTCTGGAAACACTTTAAAGAATTCTGCTAGCCATAAAGCTAATTGTTCACTGACTTGTTCTTCGTTTGAGTTAGTTGTTGAACCTGTCGTAAAGGAGACACCAACGGGCTGAGAAATGTAAAGAATATTTGCTGCATTTGTCCAAGAGTATGGATTTGGTGTTGGTTGACCTCCATTCATTAGAAAAGGGCCATTTTCAGTTAATGCACCAAGAAGTGAAGAGCATCCTGGTCCACCATTCATCCAAATGATTAATTCTCTTCCGGCATCGATCGAATCTTTTCCCCACATCCAAAAAAATAAAGAAGCGTCTTTTGTGGTTGCAGTATCGGGAAAGGCAATACTACCTGCCCAAGAAGGTTTCGTTTTGAATGGAAGGGTTGGAATATTTGTTCCTACTTCGTATTTTGCAGCTTCTTTTCCAGCAAATTTTAAGCTTGATTTGCATTGATTGCATCCCGCAGAAGGCTCAACAGGAAGAAAGCATTTTGATGGATGCGGTGCAGGTACGCCAAAAGTGATAGAAACAAAGACTATCAGAAGAAGGAATGACGTCATAAACATCTTGAGAGATTGCATAAGAAGTTTAAGGAGTGACTGCTAATGAATGGTTCTTTTGAAGATAAATTCTGTGTGGGGTAATGATGAAGGTGTCAGCGTTATTTTTATCATAAGAGAGAAAAATTCAGGATTGTACGACGTTCTATATATAGACGGCTAAAGCTGCTTGCCCGCTTCAACTTATCCCACAATTCCAAGGAACAACAACATTAAGTCATACTCGGCACACCTTTTTCATAATAAACCGGGCGTTGTCTTAACTAAATTTGGACGCCGAATACTCCGCCCTCCCGTCATGTGAAGACGTCATGTGAAATTAATTATTTCGGTATGCCATCACCACCTGTAATGGAACCTTACATTCTTTCTTCTGGCGTATTTTTTCTTCGGTTCGATGGGACACTTTGACATAAATTAATACTTTTTGTGATTTGATTCGGAGACGCAAGATAATCTAGAGTGTACATAACAATGTGCGTAATTTCTCAGACTGCCAAGAAATTGATAAAATTAAGTCTTTTTGGTAAACCATTGTCCACGACCTAGCAAAGCGTTCAAAGCAGAAAGACTGAGTGACGGCTGATCTCTGGGCAGCATGTGACCTCCTTCCGGAACCACTACCAAACGAACGTTACGTTCTTCATTCGTTCCTATTGCTCTTTTACGTCCTTCCATATCATATAATGCTTTTGTAGGTGCATTTTTGAATCCTTGAGCGCCATTCCAGGTTAAATTTTGTAACGCCAATTGAACGCCTTGCGAGAATAAGAGTCCGTCTAATTCACCAGTCATAACAATGAATCGTTCACTTTGCTCAAACATTTGGCCTAAAACAGATTTTGCAAATGAAGGATAACGATCTGCAGGTGGCGATTGATCTGCATTTCCATTGATGAAAACATCGGTGCAAACTTGAAACTTTTGTCGTGGAGCATGAATATAACTTTGGACGTTTGCTTGATTAAAAAATGTTTCCACTGCACTGGATTGATTTGCGGATCCGACAAGTGGATTCTTGATATTGTATATATTGAAATCTTCATCCCGAACGACAGTTTCTCGGACGTATTTTGCAAATGGATCACATTGAGTAGAAGGATCCGGTATTTTGCCTTTGGGTGGATATGCAAGATAGGTGTCAAGAAAGGTGGCAAATTTACACTTCTTTGACTCTGCCGCAATCTTTGCAAGACCTCTATCGTTGATATCCAAGATCTTTTGATTCTCTTTTGCAAAAGTAGACACTGGAACTTCTACCTGTGTAAAAATACTTGAAAACAAAGGCGAGACTAGCATACCTCCTTTCATTGCCAGATTCTTGCTTTGAGGGTTTTGTTTTATTGCGTTCCACTGATATGGAGCCATGTTCCCCATATAAGATTCTCCAGTTAGCCAAATATTAAATCTGGAAAGTTCGGGAAACACTTTGAAGAATTCGATGAGGAAAAGTGTAAATTGTTCGCTGATTTGTAATTCGTTCGAATTACTGGCTTTACCAGTAGTGAACGAAGCGCCTATAGGTTGAGCAATATAAAGCATATTTGCCGCAGTTGTCCAACTGTAAGGATTTGGTTGAGCTTTGTTGGTGTTAAATATGAATGGTCCATTTTCCGTGGTCATGCCAACAAGACTATTGCAGCCAGGTCCACCGTTCATCCAAATTACCAAATCATTACCCGATTGAACAGCATCTTTACCCCAAAGCCAAAAGAATAATGAAGCTCCTTTTGCGGTTGGAGTATCGGGAATAGCAATGCTACCCGCCCAAGACTGTTTTGTTTTGAATGAAAGGGTGGGAATACTTGTTCCAACTTGAAATTGTTTAGCTTGTTTTGATTTGAATGTGATACTGGAAGTGCATTTTGTACATCCTGCAGAAGGTTCAATGCCTTGTGGTAAAAGTGCTTTTGGATCTTTAGAGAACATGTTTGACTTTGATGGAGGCTGTGCACCTACCGCTCGTGATGATTCATCTCTCTTCTGCAAAGATGCATTGGCGAACAAGGTCAATACGGAGTATATCAGAAGGTGAAGAGTTGATCTTATAACGATCCACATTGTGATTGTGAATGGTAGAAGAGACGGACAGGTTCATGCCTTACATGTGTCATGTATGCTACCCACTCTTGGCTAATCGTACAAAAGGTACAGTACGGGCATCCGCAAAAGTATAAGAAAGATAGACAGGGCCAAGTGAAAGATGTTGCGAGTGAGAATAGAAAGATAAATTATTCAGACTCCGAACGGAAAAGGCGTAATAAATATTCATCATCCCAAAATAGACTCGGTACCGTTTTATGATTCACTACACGGTTTCATAGAATGCGAAAAATCACCTACAAATCTCCGCAAAGCAGAGTGTACCAATGCCAGAGTGTTTCTCCAATTCTTAATACATTATAGCTCTGGCTGTAGGGCTTTTTCTATGCCAAGATTTACTCAACTTCATCAATCTTTTCATTCTCTAACGGACCGTCACTAAGCGCCCCTGAGTTAAATTTTCCTAAATGAGAGCATGAACTACATTACAAGGAGTTCCGGCTTATACCCCTATATTCAGCTATCAGATTGTTTTCCCATGATGAAGATCTTCTTGTGACCAGCACTTTTCTTTCTTCCAATATGGACGGCCAAGCAAGGCAAATAAAGCATTGAGAGCAAATGAAGGTTGATCGGCTGGAAGTATGTGCCCTGCATCGGGAACAAGTACGTAACGTAAATGCCTTTCTGATTTGGTAGCGATTGCTCTTTGCTTTCCTTCGAGATCATAAAGTGGAACGTGTAATGGAGCATTAAAACCTTGTTCGCCATTCCATGTCAAATTTTGCAAGACCAATTGTACTCCAGAAGCAAAGATTAAACCATCAAGCGCTCCGCTCATAACGATGAATCTTTTACTTCCTTCAACCATTTGTGCAAATAGAGAATGTTCAAATGACGGAGTTCGATCTGATGGACCTGATAAATCTCCCGAAATTGACAAATTATTTTGCTGAAAGACTGATCGACAAAGCTTGAAATCTTGATGAGGTGCGCGAATGTAGTCTTGTACATCTGTACGATTAAAAAATGCTTGTACAACACTGTTGTAACCAAGATCTTTGGGTTTGTTTACGTTGTAGATGTTATAGTTGGGATCATTATCCGTATATGTCTCAGTATACGTTTCGAAAACTTGACAGTTTGTTGATGGATTGGGTAAGCGACCTTTTGGTGGGAAAGACATATACTTGGAGATAAAATCTGTCAATTGACACGTATCGGATTGGTTCTTGAGTGATGCTAATTGTTTGTCCGAAAAGTTGAGTTGACGTTGATGTTCAACAGCAAACGGATAAGCAGCTGTAGCCAATTGAGCTGTCAAATCGGAAAAGAAAGGTGAGATTAACATACCACCTTTTAATGATGATGCTTTTCCAGTTGGAGGATTTCGTTTGATCGCATTGAAAGCGAAAGGCATCATTTGACCGTCGTATGATTCGCCTATTAACCAAATGTTCGTCGATCGAAGTTCTTCAAAGATGTTAAAGAATTGTTTTAAAAATAAGACGAGGTGTTGACTTACTTGGTCTTCATTAGTGATGTTAGAAGAAGAAAAGGTTGTAAATGTAGCTCCAACGGGTTGAGTGAGGTAAAACATATTTGCTGCCAATGTCCAAGAGTACTTATTAGTACTAAGGGTTCCATTCGCTGAATCAAACAGAAATGGACCATTTTCGATCGAACTCGCCAATAGCGATGAACAACCTGGTCCACCGCTCATCCAAATCACCAAATCTTTACCCGGTTCATGATCATCTTTTCCCCATAACCAAAATGATAAAGTTCCATTTTTGACAGAATCAGTATCGGGAATTGGTATGTTTCCCGACCATGAAGTTTTAGTCTTGAATGGAAGACCGGGTATTTCGTTCCCTACCAGAAAATCATTCGACTTTGGATTACTGAATGAAAGACTTGATTTGCAACTTTCACATCCTGCACTTGGTTCAACTCCAAAAGGTAAGAAAGAACCCGTGGCAAGGTCTGAAGTGAAAATGATGCCGAGTAGAAGTAAGAGTAGTGCGTATGCTTGCTCGAATAGCATCGTAAGATATAACAGCATGTGGACATCAAAGGATAGGAGGAAGAGCGTTTTGTGGGGGATTTTTTAATTTTCAGTAAAACTTATACGTATGAATATAGTTTTTCGATCACCATCGTTATAAAATTGTCACTCAAGAGCTCATCTCGGACCAGGAATGTTCTCATTTTCTAGCTCAGAATCGCCATGAAAAAGGTACAGCCAAAAATATTGCAGTCATGCGGAGCCGATATCGCTATTGTATTGGCAGTAAAAGTCTATCTTGTTCCTCACAGAGACCTCCTAGTCTTAAAGTGCGGCACGGAAGGGCGGTGACCGAAGTTAATTCTACGTGGACGCGGGTTGTTGACGGAATCCCCTGACAAGCTATTTACTCATTCTTGCATCAAGATAAAGATTGTGATGAGAACACATTCTTCTTTACACAACCGACATCAAAAATGATGATTACGAAATTGAAAGTCAGTCTTATCTACCTCTTTGCCCTTGCTCTTGCCATTGTTGCACATGCGCGTCTCGCTCAAGCAACTTCCAATGTTGCGGAACCATCAGCCGGCTGTGAACAATGCCATTCAAGTTTATCTTTCGAAGGAAAACAAGCTGAACAGTATAAAGTAGGAAACGATATACCAACTTTGCCATTCAGAACAAAGACTTCTTGGGCAGGTATGATGCCTTTAACCGGTCCAAAGATAACCAATGCTTCCGTATTCTTTTGGTTGTGGGGACAAGATGCAACAGTCTCAGGTGAGGATCTGGTCATTTGGCTTGCTGGTGGACCAGGTTGCAGTGCGGTGATGGGCGGAATGATGGAACAATCAGGTCCTTTTATCTATCGTAACATTCGTCATTACAACACTACCGTTAATCCCTACTCCTGGACAAAAGTTGCCAACGTTCTGTATGTCGAAAATCCCGTTGGAGTCAGTCTTTCGGTCGGAGACACTGATAATATCTCAAGTGAAGATGCTGCAATTGATTTCGTTTCATTTCTGGAAAACTTCTTTGCAACGTTTCCCGAATTGTGCGAAAAGAAGCTTTGGTTAGCGGGAGAAAGTTGGGCAGGCACAATGCTGCCATACGCTCAAGCAGCCATTTTGGATAAACAACCAAAGCATGTTCCAGAAGTGCAAGGAACACTCGTCATCTCTGGACTCGAGACAACACATAATGTATCGGAAGATTTAGTAGCGTATCAATATGCAAAGGTAAATCAAAAAATCATGAACTTAACCGATGGAGATTTAGCAGGCGTCAAGGATGAATCAGACCGATGCAATCTTACTTCTTATCTTGAACAAAATCTACATTATCCTCCGCGAGGACGCTTGCCGGGTTTCAGTTCGAATGATTGCGATCCTTGGGAAGCGGGACTGAATGGCAATTTTGATGCATGTGAGTTTGAATGGGATATAGAGAAATAACTTTGCTAACTCTTTAGCTGCCTCCAATATGATCAGACAACATTGCCGCCCCTGAAGCCAGCAATGAAGACAGCCAGGCATACGGTGCGATCCCGAACTTCTTCAGAAACGAGACTGTCCAAGCATACATCCATTCTCCGCCAAAAGACGATGCGAAGAGATGCGTTCGACATATGTTTTACCCAGACGGAGATCAGAGTTTGGCTCCTGATCGATCACCAGATTTCAACAGACCATTATTAGCAAGAATGATCGAACGAAGTAAAAAGTATATGCTACTTGCGTGCGAATATGATTACAAAATTATCACAAATGGTACCGCTTTGGCTTTGCAAAATCTAACTTGGAACGGTTCTCAAGGATTCTCCAAACCTCCGCTTACTCCTATCTTCGACGTGGACAAGATACAAAGAGGCCTGGCAACTACTGAGAGAAATTTGACATTCGCTACTATTAAAGGAAGTGGACACTTGTGAGTATTTATGCTGATTTCGCATTTGAAAGTGTAGCTGATCTAACTTTGACCTATCCCGTTTGCAGTATGGGTCATGACTTACCCGCTTTAAGTCTTGCTGCAATCACGGAATTGATTGGCAAAGGAGATTGGACGAAGAAGTAAGCACTATGACTCGACATGAACAATGATTGACATAATGAATTGCATAATCGTAAGCCGTTGCGTAAGACCGAGAAAGAGAGAGAGTTTGTGTGTGGTAGTGAAAGAGACAATTATACATGCAGTACAGAAAGACAAGGGGTATAGTGTACGAAACAAGGGCCGGTGGCATGGCTTTTAGATGGAGTCAAGATAAGCTTTCGCCTTCTTCTCTGCTTCTCCACCTGCTTTGACGATAGATCTTAGACGATCGTAAAGACCAAATTCACCCATTCCATGTTCGGTATAGTTTGCTTGACAAAGTGCACCTGCTTGAGGTGAGTAATACCATGATCCGTCCATTGACCAAATCGTATGATCTGGATCAAGCATTTTGTGAGATAATCCACCACCGTATTTATTGTTTCGCAAAGATCCATTGATCCATGCAGGCTTACTCAATGCTCTTTGATGTGCTGGTGGTTCGGGAGTTTCTTCCATTCCAGGCAGAACGGGAGATCCTTCAGGTGCTTCAAAGAAGTGAAGAGGATGTTCTCCACAAAATTCGTCGGGAGATTTGATGTGATGCTTCGAACCCAAATTACCAGCACCATGATTGTTCATATAGTAGGGCAAACGTGCAAGCTCAAACGCAAGCCAGAATGATTCCTTGTCACCATGGAAAAGCCAGTATGTCACTTGATCACGAATTACTTGCAAGTTCATCCAAGCGGTAAATAGAAGAGAGGCAAACACATGTGCTCTGCGTTTATCAACGACGACCACACCAGACTCTTGTCTGTAGTGGGTGACATGTCTCCAGAAATAGCTTTGCTCTAAGGATTTACTTGGACCGCGAGATTTTTCACCTAATTGATCCAAAATCCAATCATTGATGGTTTCACGATAATCGTCCACATTTCTATCACTGAAGAACAACGTCCCGGAATTCTTGTAATCTTTTTCTTCAAAGAATGCCTCCGGTGGTTCTAGCAGGATCGTATCGACATCTGCTAAGATCACTTGACTGAATTGCGATGCAACAACTGCAAATGCTTTTGTTGCCCATCCCTGTGCGCCCACTTCTTTGTTATCGAATACTGGCGTTCCCTTTAGCCCAAGCATGCGAACGTTTGTGAATGTGGAAGTGAGATAGTTGCGCATAAATAGAGGAAGATCTTCCTCATCTCTGTATACAATCTCAATTGGCATTTGACTCTTGTGAACATCTCTAATTGTGGCGATAAAATGATTGGCAAACAAGAACGTGTTTCTTCCAACGGAGATTGCGATACCTCGTCCGTTCTTGTTTCCATACAAGGACAAGTTTGATAGTCTGTTGTATGTATGGCGTTTGCGTAATTCACGTACACCTGGGATGAAGAACCATAAGCTGCTCTCGTATGCGTCCAAAACTTCTTCTTTGATTCGATGATCTTGCAGCATTCTTGCATACATGCGTGTAAACAATCCCATTTGTGCAAATGTGGTAGAATCGGCCAAGCTGTTTGGATGATCGTGCAAGAAAACTTCAACATCTCCGATATAGCTATCGATCAATTGAGCTGTATCATTTTGATCGGACGTAAGCTTGAGTAAACCTCTGCCTTCTTGATTCATGGTAAAAGCTGCGATCAAAAATGTTAACAATAAAAAGATAATGCTCAATAACATCGTTACCGAAAGCCTTTTGAGCGTTTGTGCTGCTCGCCTATATGCTGCACTACTGGCAGCTGCTTGTTGCATCTTTTCTTCAAATCGTTCATTTGTTGGACTTTTGGGTGATGATGACTGACTGAGAGCAGTGTAATGCAACTCTCCCGAATCTTCACCGCGAAGCCAGAAAGACATTTTCAGAGAAAGACTTGTGACCGCTATTAGTGAAGAGAAGCAAAGTCGATCAGAACAGGACGATGAATGTAGGTCGTGATGGAGGCAAAGAAGAGGATTGCTTAAAAGGAAAACTTCATCTCCAAGATGCTATTATGCTTCCATGGCAAGTTGAATCATGTGCCTAGATACGTATGTAGAATAGTCGTGAAAGTATGCGTCCGGCATTTGAGTTTGGTTGCACCTTCAGGCTTGGCATTAGCCCAATTTGCGGACAGCATATAGCACTCATTCCTCAATCACATTGTATAGATTTGATCAATGACTGGTTCACTATGTGTCAAATCCCCGTTTGTCTGAATGGCAATGGTGAGAAAAGGAAAGTTTTGCCAATAATGATAACGCTAAGAGATGTACACGCCTGTCTAAATGCGTGCCTAAAACGAAGCTAGTGAACAATTTAATCTGTCAAAGGTTGATTGATAGACTGCGATTGCGCCTTTTCTGCTCTTTGGCATGCAGCCACGAGCTAATTCCGGACATGCTGCACGCTTTAAACAAGGGGGGATGATATAAGCATACTGTCATCATCATGTCAACCAAGATGTCAACAAGATGTCACATACCTGATTGATTATTGCATCAAATTTCACAACACCTGACAGAAAGACATTTCTGCATGATGCACACTGTTCCTAGATACTGCACTGCTTGGGAAACAAACGTAAAAGGCAGCTCTTCAGATGGAGCTCAAGGCCAAGCCAGTATTAGGATAAAGTCTCTGTAGGACAACAATCTTGAATCTTCTCACAATCATCTGTCTTTTTGGGCGATGATGATTTTCGAGAGTTCCTCATAATACATTAAAATAAGCATTTGCAGTATGAGCAAAAGTTCTTACTTCTTACAACTTTACCAGCTCAAGAAATGAACGCATCTTTGAACAACGGTCCGGTCCTTGATTTATTGAACAACATCAGACTGTGTCCATGGAGTTGATTCAAATAATTATGAACTGATCTCGATACTTGACCAGGTCGTACCTGAAACTTTCAATCACAACATTGCTGACAACACAAATTGGCGTAAACTTGTAGCATCAGCATGCAATTATTACCTTTCTGTCACTACGTTCGGCGCCGAAACAAACACTTTCTGCCGACAGGAGGAATACTTCTGGTCTGAGTTCAAAATTGTGAAGAAGACATTCATAAAACGGCGCCGGTCAATAATGATATTTATGGTCTTTTGAACTTGCATTTATTCGCGGTGTACCGATATGGAAGACTTCTCTTGCAGTTTTACGCATCGATCGACTAACGTTTGCTCGGTTGTACCTGAGAAGTGAAGAATATTTTCGATACTTTTCACGTCCTCTCACTTCCTCCTTTATAAAGACAGCCAGCTCAAACAAGAGCAGCCATCATTTTCCCTTTCGACCATACACACTCTCAACTTTGACGAACAATGATCTTCCCCACATTCTTTACACAAGTATCATTACTCTCTTTGCTACTTTCTAATGCACTCTACGCAATAGCTCAAGGCCCTGGCCCTGCTCCTGCTCCTGGTCCGGCTCCCCCTCCTAACCCAGTGCCGGGTCCAAAGCCAGGGCGTGGCCATAAAACCGGTCATCCTCCTAAACCAGCTCGTATTCCCGCTACAGCAAGAACGACACCCGCTTCAACAGGATCGGTTGATAATGGCGATACTTGGCATACCAGACCGAATCCTATTCGACCACCAATACTACCAAATCTACCACCACATGCAAATCGTTCAGCAACTAATTTACGCAAATATCTTCCGCGTGGCGTTGAACCTTCTGCAGGTTGCGTAAAATGTCATTCAAGTTTAAGTTTCGAATTTGATTCTTTGGCAAAACAATTTGAAGTTGGATCAGATATTCCCGGCTTACCTTTTCGCACAAAGAAGTCATGGGCAGGCAATATTGAAATCCCCGATACCGCCACGGTAAAGAATGGATCGTTGAATTTTTGGCTTTGGGGTAAAGATGCTCATGAACCTGGTGATGATATCATTTTTTGGATGAATGGTGGTCCTGGCTGTAGCAGTCTCATTGGAATGGCCGGTGAAACAGGTCCTTTCATCTTTGGACCAGATGGACCAAAACCAAATCCTTATTCTTGGACTACCGCAGCAACAATGGTCTATGTTTCGCAGCCTGTCGGTGTTTCTTTTACAACCGGTATCAATAATAATACCAATGAAGCACAAATTAGCGAACAACTTGCGTTATGGTTATGGAAATTCTTTTATCATTTCGTTGAATTGTTTGATAAAAATGTTTATATTGTTGGGGAATCGTACATGGGAAGATATGCGGCTTGGCAATTTGACGCTTTTCACAAAAATCCGGCTGGCGATACACCCAGAATGCTAAAAGGTGGGATGCTCATCTCTCCTGCTTTTTCTGATTTCACTGTTCAATTGGATACAGCCACCTATGATTTCGCCAAGAAGAATCAAAAAGTGTTAAATTTCACCAATCAGGATCTTGCATCGGTGAAGAATGAATCGGATACTTGTAATTTGACCAACTTCATTCATGATCATCTCACTTATCCACCAATGGGACGCCTACCTACTCCGGACGATCAGTGTTACACATTTGATACTTACATGGAAACAGCACAAGAAAAGAATCCAAATTTCAATATGTACAATATCAAACAGCCAAAAACGGATTCCGATCCAAATACTCAACTGGTAAAGTTCTTCAATCGGACTGATGTTCAAGACTATATTCATGCACCACGTCAACACTTCGAACTTTGCAAGAAAGTCTTTAACGATGATAACCAAGATTCTTCTGAACCGCCAGATCGAACACCTTCCTTTGCACATTCAAATTTTGCCAGAATGATTGAAAGAAGTAGAAAATTTATCATCATGAATGGAATGCAAGATGGTTTGGTGTTAACTGCAGGAACTGAGTTGGCATTGCAAAATTTGACTTGGGGTGGAGCACAGGGATTCAATTTACCTCCCGTTTTTCCAATGTGCGATATGGAAGGTAATGTTCGAGCATACGCCACGGATAATGAGCGTGGATTACGATTCATGGTTGCTCCAAATGCCGGACATATGGTGAGTGTGAAGGCTTTGAAATGCGTACTTTTGCTTTATGACTAATCTTTCCGCTTTCCACCCTCAAATAGGTCCCAGCAGATGAGCCTTCTCTGGTTTTGAATGTTGTGTTAAGCATGCTTGGTCGCGGTACTTTATTCTGCTAGCTTGCTCTGATGTTACTCTTATACAACGATTTTTTTAATAATAAATACATCTTTCTCACAATGTGCTTGGCAGTGCGGGGCAGTGTCATCAGTCCGGCTCATGCGAAAGCCCGGTAATGTTGTCGGCGCTCCAATAAAAGTTTGTGAGACTAATGAGCTCGAGAATACTAAAGTCCGAATTAGCAAAGTACAACGGCTGTCCGGTCAGACTTTATTTGTTAATATGGCGAAAGATTGAATTACCGAAAATGAGTCTTGGAAACTGTTCATATCTTCTAAAAAGTATTTTGGCAGCGCGGGATTATGGTATTGGAGTATGCATGATGATAAAGTCAAACAAAAGCGTTTATCCGTGGACTCCGTGATGTTGTCGGACCTCATAAATCATCATGTGAACATCGGTACATCATTTCATGCGTTTGAAATAGGAAAAGTCCGAATAAGCCACATCCCAAAAAAAAGTTTATCCACTAGATACAAATTGAATGGTACCGAAAATGATTTCGACCAAGAGAACAATTCTTTCATTCTATAATCTTGATGGATGTTAATGAAAATATGCAGGGACAACGGCTCCGTTGTTTGCATGCGCGCCACCCGTTCCATATCCTTTAATCGACTTCGGCTTCATAAATATATCATTTTGGTCATATTACGTTACTCCGCTGACCAAAAAAGCGGTTCCCCATTTAGCAACAAATGATCAGAATCATTCCGTATTTGCCTTATTCATATCGTTAAAATCCAGAAGATGAGATTTGATGACCACAGATGTTGGTATAAGATGGTTCTCTTTTAAAAGCATCCTCCATCGCCAAGTCTCTCCGAGAATCTCTATGAAGCACACTTTTGGATTTTTTCTCTCTTCTTCAATCTTCCTTGCTAGATCATGGGGTCAGTGGTTTTCATTATTCGAATAGCAATCATTCTGCTTTGTTTATCAAACATTTCATGTAGATCAGCGCAGCATACTAAACCATCCAAAAAACGCTGGAATGGTTCTCATTGGCAAAAATTCCCAACTCGTCCAACTCCAATTCGACCGCCCCGCTTACCAAACCTTCAGGAAAAGCCGATCTACTCAAGACAGACGGTGAATAAACACTTGCCTCCTGGAGTTGAACCATCAGCAGGCTGTACAGCCTGCAAATCAAGCCTACAATTTACCAATAAAGAAGCCAAAAAGTACGAAGTTGGTACAAATATTCCCGGTTTACCTTTTAAAACAAAACAATCATGGGCGGGTAATATAGCTATGCCAGATACGCCAACGACAAAAAATGCATCCTTACATTTTTGGCTTTGGGGTAAAGATGATTTTCGTCCTGGGGATGATTTGATCATTTGGATGAACGGTGGACCGGGCTGTTCAAGTCTGGTTGGTCTGGGACAAGAAATTGGTCCGTTCATTTTTCCGCCTGGTGAAGATCAAGCTCGGCCTAATGCTTATTCATGGACGATTGCAGCAAATGTTCTCTTTATTTCGCAACCTGTCGGAGTAGCGTTCACAACAGGAACAACAAACAACACAAATGAAGATCAGATAAGTCAGCAATTTGTCACCTGGCTATTCCACTTTTTTGCCGTTTTTCCCAATTTACGGTTCAACAGAATATGGATTGCTGGAGAGAGCTATGTTGGTCGCTATGCAGCTTATTTTCTGGATGCGTACCGTAGAAATCCTGCCGGAAAATATCTCCAAGGAATTAAGGGCGGAATTTTATTTTCACCAGTGGTTTCCGACCTCACGGTGCAATTGGATGCAGTTACGTATGAGTTCGCTAAACTCAATAAAAACATCTTGAGGTTCAAAGAAGAAGATCTAAAGATTGTCAAAAACGAATCTGACACTTGTCATTTGACAAATTTCACATACAATTATCTGACCTACCCACCTCAATCAAGATTACCCGACCCGAACCCAGAATGTTTGACGTTTGACTTATACCTCGAATTGGCAAGACAGCATAATTCGCATTTCAACATGTATAATATCGAGGAACCGAATATGGGATTACCCGGGCAACCAACCGCTTTGGAAAAATTTTTCAATCGAACAGATGTTCAAGATTATATCCATGCTCCTCGTCAAAATTTCAAGATTTGTAAGCAAGTTTTCGCCGATGAAAATTATGACGAATCAGAACCACCAGATCGATCGCCTTCTTTTCAAAAATCAATACTTGCTCTAATGGTTGAGTATAGTACGAATTTTACTATTATGTCCGGTTTACTTGATGGATTGGTGATGAGTAGAGGACTTGAATTGGCTTTGCAAAATCTCACATGGGGAGGAGAACAAGGCTTTAATTATCCGCCAAGCGGTAGGGTACCTTTATGCGATATGGAAGGAAACAAGAGAGCGTTTGCAACGTTTAGTGAGCGTAAATTACGCTATGTAGCGGTACCTGATGCTGGACATATGGTGAGTGTGGAAGCGTCTCAGTGATGATGATTTGTTACTGATCTTGTCTATCTTACCTCTCTCAGATACCAATGGATGAGCCTTCTTTATCACTCAACGCTGCATTATCGATGCTTGGACGTGGAAGTCTGTTTTGTTGAATCGAAGATTAACTTTGGAGTACATTTTCGGATTATTTCTCTTTTTAAGCAGGCATGTGTAATATGCAATTTGAAGCTACATGAATGACGTGCAAATAGTACTATACAGGTGTGTGTGTGAAGGGCAGTGCAATCAATACTTGGTATTTTCATCAAACTGTTGAGGTTGATCGAGGCTTTCGCTAGGAGTCATTCTTGATTTATCCTCTTCTTCTCTTTGAGGTGCTTCTACATGATCTTCTGATGATAGCCGACCTTCTTCAATGTTGGAAGGTGTTGAAACAAAGCCAGACTCTTCAGGCAGTACGGCATTGAGCGAGATACCGACTATAGCAGCAATCAGATAAGGCTCTTCGACCACTAACACAACAGCTTGAATTAATCCTTTGAGACCTTGATTGTTTCCCGAATAAGTGAAGAAATAATCAAACCAAGTAGGAACGCATAAAGAAGCCAAACCTAAGGACATTCCACAAGTGGCAATAAAACGAGCACGTCTATCCCACTTTGCGTATGCCATTACACGAATTCCAGAAACGGCAACTGATCCAAAAAGAAAGGTAGAAAAGCCGCCTAAAACAGAAGGAGGTAAAGCGACAAAGATTGCAGCGAATTTTGCCACAATTCCCATGATGAACAAAAAGATTGCACAAACGTAACCTGCATTGCGAGATGCATTTCTGGTGATTGCAATCACACCTGCATTTTGTGCGAATGTGGTCAAAGGAGAAATCATTGCTAACGGTGCAAGTGAAGCGGAAAGTGCATCAGCAGCCAAACCGCCTTGAATTCTTGATTCAAATTGTTCTCCTTCGATTGGTAATTGTGAAACATCGGAAGCTGCGGTCACATTGGCAACCGTTTCTGCACAAATGACTGACCAAGCAGCCAGCATTGGCAGAACCAGCTGACCCCGTAAAGAGAGCGGGAACGTTTTGACCCATAAAAAGGTAAAAGCAGGCGCAGAATCAATCGTCGATTTGTCAAAGTATCCAAGTGCACCGGCAATAATCATTCCAACAATCAAACCAATGAAAACCGAAGCAGATTTGATGAAAGGGCTTCCAAAGAGTTCACAAATGATAATTGTGATAAAAGCAGAAAATCCTAATCCGATCAAAGGAGCTGATCCCCAAAGATGTTTTGTGACTGGAGCATTGTTCGAAGGACATAACATCGAATGGTCACTCATACAAGGACCAGAACCGCCTGCCCAATTTGTTATTCCACTTTTGACGAGTGAAGCACCGATCAAGAATAACATCATTCCAACGATCAATGGTGGAAACAGTCTTCTGATAAGCTTTGGCGGAATGAATGCTAGACCGATAAAGAATAAACCAGTTAAAGAAGCTGTTCCTAATATTGCTCCGAATTCTTTTGGACAAGGTAGCTTTGTACCGTCTGCAGCAGTTGGACAGATACCAGATGCATATGCTTGCGAGAGATATGCTAATGCCACATTCACGAAAGCGAAAGAAGTTCCAGTCACGTTTAAGATCCCGGTGCCTATAAAGTATCTCGATTTGAGTAATTGAAAACGTGATATCTGTAGGATCGTTCCTAACCCACACCATATCAACGAAGCAGAAACGATGTATTGAACATCATCCTCGTTCAAATTTGCCCCACTGGATCCTCCAATCAGTAGAGGAGGCGTTACCACACCGCCCACCATTGCCAGAGCATGCTGAAAGCCTAAGATAAGAAGTAGAAAGTAGGGTATCCGATCGTGAACTCCATAGAATGGCAATTCCCTTTTTGTTTTTGTTACAAATGGGATTGTGGGTATGAGTAAAGTAGCATAATCATGATCTCCAATCCATGCATCTTTTGAAATTAGACTTTTTGCGAATCGTTTTGCTTTTTGTTTGATTGAACGACTTTTTGGAATGTGGCCTAAGTCATTATTGCCATTATAGCTTTGAATGCTTGTCTCTCCTTCCGTTTTTGTTGTCATCTTTTCGATACCGAGTTCATCAACTGAAAGTGTTGATGGTGGTTCCCGACCGAATCATTGGAATATAGATTTGATTGAAAGAGTGCTTTATATATGATTGAATTTCTCTCTCCTTGTACGCGTAGTAAAAGATAAGCCCCGCCACGATAAAGAGATAGCGCAGCGCATCCTTCCCGCCCGAGTACGCGAAAGAGTAACAGAGTGCACAACAATCAAACAACCCTTATCAAGAAGGAACGGAAATTGCTAAACCGAACAAGGAAAAAGATAAAGAAAAGGTGGGGTAATCACAATAGACATCACAGAATAGAGGCCTGCTTGGGACCTTGCATGTTATAAAAGAACAGATCAGGAAAAAAAGGACGAAACTTTAATGGGATGTGGCAGAACGGCAGATTTAGTGGCTTTCACTACACTCAGGAGAGCAATCCTTCCTAGACTAAAACATTCATTGATTATGAAACAAAGATTCACTTAAGTACAACGATAATGTCTGTCTCCCTAATTATAATCCACAGTTGATTTGATTAGTAAGAAGCCCGTAACTTCAACGATTACTTGGGCAACTTCTTGTCGGCTGCTTGAACTTGTGGATCTGCCTCGATGTTCTTGAGCCATGCATTAACTTGATTGTAAGGACTCAAATCAACCTTACCAAAGCCAGCGATACGAACCCAAGTAAAGAATGAAATGTCGGCAATGGACAATCGATCGGTTGCAATATATTTACTGCCTTTCTTTTGTTGCAATTCGAGTTGTTGTTCCATAACTTTGTAAAGGCGGTGTGTTTCACCTTCAAAACGGGTGAATACACTCTTGCATGGCTTTTCACCGTAGGTTGGTTCCCAGTAGTGATGGGCATAGTTAACATTACCCTGAACAGGTCCGAGACCACTCAATTGGAAAGTGAGCCATTGCATAACAACCGTCTTCTCGGCAACATCTTTACCGAAGAATTTGCCTTCTTTGTCGTATTGTTCAACCAAATAATAAAGGATTGCTCCACTTTCCCAAACGGTGAAATCGTTCTTGCTATGATCAACCAAAGCTGGAACACGTCCGTTAGGGTTAATCTTTAAGAAATTTTCACTCTTGACACCTACGAGAACAATCACCGGCATTAGCACAAGAATCTTCATTTCATTAGAATCAATCAATACTCACCTCTCTTTGGATCGTCACCGAAGTCTAAATCGATCACATCGAAGTCCAAACCGAGCTTTTCCAACAAGATTGCTGGCTTGAGAGGGTTTGGACCTGGTCCCTTGTGAGTATAAAGTGTGAATTGAGCTGGCATTTTCGTATAAAGATTGGTTTTTCAAAAAAGCTTACTTTTTGAAGAACACTTGGAAGTATTGAGTAGAGAAAGAATAAATGCAATGCTGTTTATATAACATGAAGTAGCAGAACAAATAACTGTGTGGGTACCTGGGAGAGGACTCCACATACCCAAGAATAGCATTGTACATGAAGAGCGTATTTCTTCTAGAAGACAGTTCAGCATGCTTCCTTCGTAGTAAAGAGATGGAATCATGCTTTCCCTCCAAAAGTGCCTTAAGAAGCTCTATTATTCTTGCCACTTCAAGAGCATGAAATCAATTAAAGCAAAAGCCGTTGCCGGTCATAAGGAAGAACGCTAGCATGCGCTCGCACGTACCGTTGTTGTTCTTAAACCCGATCGGTGTTGTGTTAAAGCCGTTGGATCAGTCAAACATGAGCATGCTTGAGTATGATTTTATCCACGTCTATAAACTTGTTGGAATTTTTGTACATGCATGCTTCATGTTCACACACTTGCCTATCGTGCAGATGTGGATGCCAGCGTCAACTGTACGACAATTACTCGCCTACGGATGACCCATCGCACCAAAAGCGAAGCCATCTCTCTTGATCATTATCCTGCTGGTGGGTAAAGAAAAGAATGTGATCTCATCGAATAGAAGAAGATTTTATCGATAACATGGCACTTAACAAACATGCGAGCATTTCTGGAGCGCCTCTTCAAAAGTCACTCCGATAAAGAAACAGGACCACCTTCGCAAAAGGATAAAGATATCCAACAAATCCGTCAACGATTCCAAGATCAGATTCAAGAGGGAGTCAGATTTCAAGGTAAAGAAAAGTACGAAATTCAAATCGCAAAGTCTGAAGGTGAACATGTAAGAGATCTTATGGCTAAAGCTTATAGCCAATACGGCGGTATCGTAATGCTTGACGCTGGGATAACCAGCGAGACAATCTTAAGTGGTGGAAATGGTTTGCAAGCTTTACTGAAAAGGCACCAGATTTGTCGTGGTTTAGATGTATATTTAGAGGATTCGGTAGGTGTAGTGGTAAGACTTAATGAACAGGAAGAGAGGAATCTTATACGCCAACGGGCAACAGCAAAGGGATATACGTTCTCAATGACAATCTCTTACTTGGGGCAGAGGGAGAAAGCATGAAGACATAGAGCATAAAGTGGTCAGTCCAGCCAAAAGATTGGCCAATGCATCACTTCTGGATAAGGTACAAGGCATAATGATTAATAGGCGTCTATGTTTACAATCTGCTTGACAAGATCTCTGATTGAACGGGAACTGGTGCTTTCTCTGTATTTCTACTCACTTTTGCAAGTCTTCCAAAACCATCTTTATGTTCCCACTCCGCCTTACTCAAAACACCGTATAACCAAACACTACCGTCCAAATCACCCAAGCATGCAAATCGATCTCTAGTAGAAAAAGGAGTGATCATATGCGTATTGATCGCTTTCACTTTTGCCGATTCACATTCTCCTGATAAAGCTGCACCTTTAAAATTTACCTGTCCAAAGCCCAAAGCACGCCAATCCGTCAAGCCACAAAAACGTCCGTTTGGCGTACAAAAGAAAGGCATCTTTCCGTCAGATTTTGCTTTTGCTTGTTTTGCATCAGGTCCATGAACCCTTTTCCAAGAAAAATGATGAAGATTAAATGCGAAAAGATCACGCAAATTATCGGAAGAAGTTTGTTGAACGATATCTTGATGAATTTGAGAGGCTAATTCAGCCAAAGGCATTTTTACCAATTCACCTGCTGGCATTCCGGTAAGCGGTAAAGCAACTGCACATCCTCCCAAAGCATGTGAAAAGTCTAGATTAATTCCAGTCACCTTTTTGCCTCTTGCATTGGCAATCGTGATTGGTGTTAAGCTCTTGGAAGGGTCGTTTGTTGCGGCGATATTTTTGACAATAAAGGCTAGAACGATATCCGATCGGCTGACGAAATGATTTGGAGGATTTGCAGGAGAGCTTTGAAGGTACTCATTCGCCTCCTTTTGTAGTTGACTGACGTATGTTCCGGGCAGGTGAATGTATTTGGCTTGCATGGATTTCTCCGGTCTACCGAACTGCAAATCGTACAACATATTCGCCATCAGTTTCACTTTATCTCTCAATCCCAATAAACGGTAGCGTAAAGGAAGATTTGGCTTTGCATTCACATCGATAGAGGCAAAATTATCTCTCAAAATTGCTGGTTGAGGAGGCGGCTGAACACCTCGAATGACATCAGTCCATGCTGTAAAGATATTCTTGATGCAAAATCCGTCTCCAATGATATGTGCAAAAGAGAGACTGATCATAGTTGCATCACTAAACAGAGTTGCTTGAGCAGTGAAGATAGGTCTATCCGACTTTATCAATTCATCAAATGTTCTGATAGCATTATGTGATGTCATATCTTGTTCTTCTTGGCTAGAAGGGGAATCGCAAATGAAAGGTGTTTCACTCAAGTCTCCCTGTAAACGATCAGCGCCTCCTGGCCAATAAGATTGAAGCGAACGATTACTGCAATCGATTGAAAGGAATTGTCTTTGATTCTTTGGTAAAAATGCTTCTAGAGGAGAATGTTCTTTGAGAACGTCTTCTTTAGGTATATGATATGCTAATCCACTCTGTGCTTCTTTGCATTCCCGTACCTGGGCTGATAGGAAAGGCCATGCTTCGACTAATTGATACCAAGCCTCTTTTATGTGTGTCAAGTCTAATTGTTTATCGAATAGGAAGGTGATACGAGTTTGAATGTCAATATTACCAGTAGTAGCATCCAGTACTGGAATTGGCACGATATCGAAATGATCTTGGTGACGACCTCCCCTCAATCTTGTCCGAGAAATCGTTTCAGTATTTATTACACCCATGCTTGAAAAATCTTTATGGTTGTGGTAGAGGGGAAGCTGAAGAAAGGTTCACTAAATAAATACAAACTCAAAAATTTCGATCTTTTCGGTTCCTGGCCGATTGTACTGCTTCTATCGAAAGTAGTGTGTGCTACATACACCCTATTTTACACCGGATACAGAACACAAATCCAAAAAGTAATCAAGCTCCTCGGACCTGACTAATATCTTTCCGCTTCTTTCCAGAATTTGTTGCTCGATAATGTTTTTGATATGCAACGTTGCTTGTTTATGTCACAACGGATGTTCGGAAAACTAGACAAGATACGCTTATCTCTAGCGCAAATTATGAAAAGAATCGAACAAACAATAGATGGAAAAGACTTTAGTTGTGCGGATAAGGATTAGGGTTCTTTTATCGGAGATTTATGTTTTGCATTACCGGTACAACCCTATCTCTAGCGTGAGACTGAAACAAATTGCTTTAAAATAATGATGAAGGCGTAATAGACAGAAATGCAATGTGATTATGCATGTATGACAATGGTTTGCAGTACAAACAAATGATCAAGTTTATCTTTTCTGGCCGAGTGGCGTAATATCAGTCGCCGAGGCTTCCAACGGACGTTTTCTATTTTTATTCGGTTCATCCAATTCAAATCTCGTACGGATCACAATCTTTAAAAATCACGCTAACAGAAATTTAATTTTCATTGTGACATCTGTTTTATATGGTAACGGCACTGTTTCACTCTCCAACGGTTCCGATTCAATAACGATTAGCGTATCTTTAATCATAGCCGAGTTTTCACAATCACGATTACAACTCTGCCAAGGATAAGGTTGTCATTATTGTGTGATCGTACTGTACATACCATGTCAACGTAATATGCATGTATCAATCTTTCCGAAGAATTCCCGCACTTATACTTGCATTCATTGACACATCAACAAAAAATGTCAATCGAGTCGAAAAAAAAATGAAAACTTCCTTATCAAGGGTTGAGGTTTTCAGTTATGTCTAATTGTCTGAGTTTTAATAGAGATCACATGGTAGCATGTTTGTGATCTTGTGAAATGCATGTAGTATCAACAAGGTGCTAAACAGTATTGTCCATTATTTAGCCGGAAGACTCGGAAGTTTAATTTCTTTGACTTGTCAGTTCGGCATTTCTCCCTGCAATTTTAGACTTCTTTTTTCAACTTTAAATAGAGTTCTCAAAAGTTATATACTGAATGATAATACCTGACAATGATTCTTTTACCATCATCACTCCATTCTATCAAAAATGCATTTTGCATTCCTAACCATCCCTTCTAGCGGAGAATTTAACGTTCAGCTCGCAACTGCCAATGAGCTAGTCAAATCTGGAAATAAGGTCACTTTCCTCAGCGGAAAAGAATTAGGCAAACATGTCGATAATCTTCGGAAATCCCAATCTGATCCGATCTCTGCACATTTGGTCAACTTTATCCCTCTTGGTCAACATAAATCAGTAACAGATTTGTGAGTACGGATATGAAGTCGAATGTCAAGGGAAACGAATACTCAAATCGAATCTCTACCCTACCCGCAGCTCACCAACTGTCAGAAATCGACTATCTCAAATGCGAAGGAAGCCTGGCGATATTCGAAGTCTTCAAGCTTGCATCGATATTGGCTTTCCATCTTGGGAAGATTTTCACGCTACCGCAATTGACGTTTCTGAAGTATTGCAGATTTTGGATCCTGATATGGGTTAGTGTACAAATTAGGCGGAACAGGATAAGAGATACTGATAATTCCCTCTTTTCCCCCTTTATAGTCGTCGTTGATGCTCTATCACCGGCCATGATCACTGGAGTTCGCCTTACCGGTCGTGCATTTTATCTCACTATCCCATGCTCACCCGGATTAACGGCATCAAGCAATCTAACTTCTCCACATGCTGCTAGTGAGAAAAGGGATGGGTTGAGTAGTGTTCTAGAAAGTGAGTTGCACTTTAATTGTGCTGGTATTGAAGGGCCATCTGACATTCATATGTTTCATCACAGGCTCATATTTACGCATGCGAGACTACTTATATTGCATTCAAAAACCTTCTTACTTGAGCAAATCTAGAAAGCTTCAACAACAGCTTTCACTTAAATCATTCGGACTCCGTCAAAATGTAACGCTTTTACCACCATACTGGAAAGATGCAAATTGCCTGGGAGGAATCCATTTCAATGTACCCGGATTGAATGATTGTCCTCAACAACCTTCTTCGGTAACATTTGTCGGAGCAGGAATATCACCTTTAGAGCCTAAGCTGGACAATCTGTTGACTCAAACAAGAACTGATACAGAGCAATGGCTCGATGATGCATATGCCTCGGATCAATCTGTCGTTTTTGTAAATATGGGCAGTATGTTCGTCTGGTCAAAGAAAGAATTTCAACAAATGATCTCAGCGTTCGAGATTGTACGCAATCACTATCAAGGGTCTGTACGATTCTTGTTCAAAGCAAGTTTAAAGGATGGCCAATCCGCAAATGCACTGACGGAAAAGCAGAGTGAGTATATCAGACTCTCAGGTTGGATCGAAGATCAAAATGCCGTTTATCAACATCCTGCTTTGAAAGTCTTTCTCCATCATGGAGGTGGCAATTCATTTAATGAGGCAGTATTTTTTGGAATTCCTCAACTAATCATTGGGCAATGGCTTGATCATCACGAATATGGTTTTCTAGTGGAAAGATATGGAATGGGCCTACGATGCAAGAAAGCACCTTTGATTGATTCACGTTCGGTTTCAGCTTGCTTGATCAAAATGTTAGGACCCGAATGGAAATCTATGAAACAATCAAGCGTTCAATGGTCAATACGTTCTCAATTAGCAGGCGGTCCAAAGACGGCTGCCAAGCTGTTAATTATGAACACAAAGAGACCATCAATTTCATCCGTTTCATCTGGACTTTCAACGCCACTGACACTTTTGGGAGATATGGAGAAGAGTAATCTATAGAATACACTTTTTTCCACACATATAATCATCAAATCGAATCTTTAATATTGTACATCTTTATACATACTTACTTGGTATCTTTAATTTGGGAATGAATGTCATCTACTACAAACGAGCACTATCTTGAACTTCGACCTGTAAACCACGTATAATATCTCCGACCGTTCTTAAGACCTTGTCAACTAGTGCAACTTCGAAGAACTTTTCATCAGAGATTGTGGCGATGCGTAATGACGCATGAACAGAGTAAAGGGCAAAGCAGCTGATAGAAATGATCAAAGGTCAGCTACATACTATCCAGTAAAATGCGTCTCAGTACACCTAACTCACACTGTAGGATCCGTGTTCCTTCCGAAATGATTATAGTCAACGATCTTGATTTGGTTAGCACCGTTTTGGTGCCCATACGAGATCGGCATAGGACCTTGTGATGTCAATACTGCATTGCTCTTCTCTATTTGAGTCTCTTGAGTTCCAGCTGACGGGCTGCTTTTTAGCATTTGCGCTATTTCCGAAGCATATGCCATTGAATGAGGTGATTTGAGAAATTCATCTTGTTCTTTCGCTATGATCTTAGCAAATTTCAAGATTACTGTGCTATCCGCCTTTTCAAAATCTTGAGCTTTTGTTGGAATCCATATTGCGCTAGGAACGATAGCCATGGATACGACTGGCTCTCCTGTTTGACCTTCGCATGGAAGATATCTTGACGCATGTGTGCTAAAGTTCAGCGTACATCCTTTAAATCCTCGATTTTGCCCCGGAAAAAGCTTATGCGTTGCACACAAGATCGAAGCAAATACTGCAGTAGTTGGTGAGATCCCCATTCGTTTTATACCAGAAAGGATCCGTTTTGATTCATATTTGTCAAATTGTACCAGTAAATTTTGCATCAAGCTTCTTCGATTCGCAAAGGAACGGTGTACGGGAATCCCAAGTTTAGGCGTTTGCTCAGAATTTGCTATCGTCTGCCTTTTTCTTAGTTCTTCGGATATATCATCAGGTGAAGGCTTATACTTTTTCTTATATGCATCTTCAAGACTTCCAGGAAGACGCGAAGCGAGTAATTTGAGATCTTCAGGCTCAAACGTAGCATCTATACCCTTCTCGAACTCCTCCTCAGCCAGCAGCTTGGCAAAGGTATCCATCACCCGTACACTGTAATGTCCGGTGAGAGCATGTGAAGTATGCAAAACCAAACCAGCTTGTCCTTGTTTCGGACCAAGAACCAAGTATGTCTTACATACCCGATTGGGCGTTTTTAGAGGTTCTTGTGCCACTCTTCTACCAAAATTGTTTACGCTGTCTGATGTTGAGATATGGACCGTCTGTGTTGATAGCTTTAGCCATTCTTTCGCTTCTTTGCTGTTCTGAAGCGCTTTACAAGATGCTTTTTCGAGTTGCTCCGCGGCATATTCGATTCCTAGGAGGGGATATTGTCGCCTCAATGCCAAATAAGCAGGACCAAAACGTGTCCTCAGTCGATCGTGAGGTATATTGGTGTCAAGAGTGACTGTGAAAATCAATTGATACTATCGTGATTATCCGTTAGTCTTCGCTTCAAATCTTTCAAAAGTTAGTTAAGCACTCACATTTCCTCCTTGATGTTGCTCAGTAGCATTGATCAGGAATTCGGCTCCCTTGAGATCACGCTGTAAGGTGTTGTCGTTGATCACTTGCCACTCCGACATCTTCAAGTTGCGTCGATAGAAGACTTTGAGGATGATGTGTTTATAGCTACAAATTTTTGATGAACGAATACATAAATATACAACGCTCCGTACTTTCGCATACACATGCAGATGTCAATGAAATCACATCACCGGAAAACATCCGGTTCGATTTCCGAATGAACAAAACGATTTGTTCTTTTTCTTATCTTTAAAACAATTGTTTCGTATATGCACAATTCCATGCAAGTTTAGCGTAAGTTTTAAGTATGTCTGCATGGTGTGTGTATTGATGCATGAAAGTCGTTGATTGATTTCAGTTTCATAAGGAGAATTATGACAACCGTTAGCGTAAAAAATGAAACGAAACTTGAGTTGCATATGCAGAATACAAGCAATCCAAACAGATCGTGCATGTTGCAATATAATATTATTTAAACGTTCTCGGGTTCAGAAGATATGAAATTGCAAGAGAGAGAGGATAAAGCAGATATGACTTCTTTCAACCTCCTTGCCATCATCTATAATACGCAATATGGACTCTTATCTATGGAAGGAAGTACAGCCAAATGTTTTTCAAAGGCCTTGCACAGGTCAAGAGCATTCTGCAAGCTTTAATCAAAATATAGCTGATGGTCATACAGAACTTTCCCTTGCGATGAAATTTGATGTGAATATCGATAATGAAGAGGAATTGAACGAAAGGATACGCTTAGCATGGAAAGCATCACGTGTACGACATCCAGAGATCGCATTAGAGCTATCGACTGATATGAGTACACCTCAAATGATGATTTATAGACTTTTGGAAGATGAGGAACAGATAAATAAATGGATGAAGGATACTCTGGTGATCTGCGACAAAATAGAAGATTGCGATAAAGTGACTGCAGTGACGTACAATCGTCGTCTGCCGACACCGGGCAAACAATCTATGCTTTATTTCATTCCCGCAAACAAACAACGTGATCCACAATCAAAGCATTGTATCGTTTGGAACGTTTCACACGCAATCACAGACGCTTTCAGTATCATTGCATTCATGAACGACCTAGTGGAAGAAGTTGTGCTTGCTAAGCCAGGATCGCAGCATCGATTCAATGATAAGCCACGGTATGCACTTCAAAGATTACCCGCAAGTCTTGTTGGAACGTATTTGACTAAATTTCAGCCTTCAAAAGAGGATGAAGAAGAAAGCATAAGCTCAGCACGAGAGCAAGTGGCATTATACGAGAAAAAGGTGAGTTAATTTATCTTGAATCTTAGAAGAACGTCTCCTGATATTTACCTCTCTTTCTTTAGCTGCCTTTTTCTGTTGCAATGAAGCCAAGAAGTGACCATGCATCAAACACCCACTCAACTCATTGTCTATTTGACAAATTCAGTAAGGCAGAATCAAGAAGGATTATTGCAAATCTCAAAATGCAAAAGATGAGCGTTACATTTGCAGCAGCTGCAGCCACGATTCTAGCAGTGACTGATTTATACGGGACCGGTAAGGAACAAGGTGCATTATTAGGAATGACAAGAAATGCACGTAGATGGTTAAACACACAAGGTGCTGATGGAGGTGCAGCGATTCCAATGGCGACTGATGTGGTGTTTCTTTGGATTCCTTTCGATGACAATGTTCGAAGCGGATCAAATGTGAGCCGTGTGTTGTCACTTGCTAGACGTATTCGTCAAGAACTTGCACCTCATTTACGTGGTCCACACTATATGGCATCTATGCAACTGATGTGCAACGAGTATGTTGATACTCTACGTAAATCACTACCTGTCTCAAAGCAAGATGAATCATTGGTCAAAGAAAACGACGTTCCTGCATCACCTCCTGGTTTCTCACCTCAAGGCGTGCTAGAGTTGAACAAGACGTGGGAGAATGACGGGATAAAGGTCATTCGAAGTGAGTTCCATCATACAGGAAGACAAGTGAACGCATCACCTTGGATTGGGATGTTCTCGTTGGACGAACAATTGAATATCTCAATCGGTTTTGACGAGAAATATTATGAGCCACACATCATTGCAGACTTTTTTGCCAGATACAAGGCAAAACTGCTCGATCTTGCAGAGCTCAAAGACGCAGACCAGCCCCAATCAAGACTATGAGTAAATCAATCAATAATGTATGGCATTGTGCGACGTAGTAACATATTCAATATAATAGCATCATCCCCATAGCAATGCTTCGGCAGCCTTGTTTGCACGACCGCCAGAAACGTGGGCCGCAGGCACGAGCTCATTCAACTCTTTTATCTGTTCAGTTGACAAGGAAATCAGACTTGAATTCTCGTGAACTCTTTCAATTTTTGTTGCTCCTGGAATTGGGATCATTTTACCCGTCTTGTCCGGATTAGAAAACATCCAAGCAATAGCAACTTGAGCTGGTGTTGCACCGATTCGTTGAGCAAAATTTCTGATTTTCTCCGCTAAAGCGACATTCTTTTCCAGATTTTCACCTTGGAATCGATCAAACACCAATCTGCGATCACCTTTTGGAATATCATTGATGCTCTTTACTGCACCGGCCAAGAAACCACGTCCTAAAGGTGAATATGCGAGGATTGAAATGTCAAGATCTTTTGTTGCTTTACCAACGCCATTTTCAAGGATATCCTGTGTGAACATTGAAAATTCAACTTCTACTGCACTCAAAGGCTGAACAGCATGTGCTTTACGAATGGTTTCTTCTCCAACTTCCGATAAGAAGACACCTTTGATCTGACCTTCTTTAATTAAGGCTTTGAATGCTTCCATAGTTTCTTCGATTGATACGTTTTTATCACGTCTAGCTGGACCAAAATAATCGACAGCTTTTGATGATCCCAAGATTGTTTGACAGTTATGCAATGATTTACGAACACCATCTGCACTTGAATCCGTACTGAATGTTTTAATATTAAAACATCCTTTGACATAAATTGAAACCTTTTTTGCATCTTCTGGATAACGATCAAAGTATCTTCTTAATAAATGAATACCAGCATTAGGGTTCTCTTTTGGCCCATAAAATTCAGCCGTTGACCAATGAACAGCGCCCATCTTTATTGCTTCTCGCATTGCTGTGAATGCTGTTTCATCATCCACTTGATCATCCCTCCAAGTCATTCCCATAAGACCATAACCGATTGTATTGTTTGAAGTCATCTTGTATTAGTTGTTTGTTGAAGTGATGGTGTAATGGTTGGTAAGAGCATCTTGCAAGTCTCTATTTATATACCCTTTCATCAACTGCATCATTCTGTTGTCATATGACGTACCCCAAACACAAGAAACGGATTTAAATAGCCTTCAACGGTTATGTCAGCGGAGATACTACACAAAATTTGCTTAACACCTTCTTACTAAGCAAAGTGTTTTCTATATCCGCTTGCCCAAGTCTTATACCCGCGGGCTAATTAAGGTGAAGCTGCATATACTCAGCACTACTTGTTGCCAACATTCCATTCTCATTTAGCAAGATAAAAATGATGTTGAAGGCGTGGACAAGGCTGCCAATCATGAAATAGACTCATCTCAGTCTAAGATGAGAAGAATTCCGACATAATGATCGGGTTATAGCGCTTACACGAGATGGTAGGAACGAGCGCCAAAAATCACCGGAAATGCCATATAATACGCAATAAAGAATCAACAAGCTCTCTGACATTGCATCCCTCTGACAAATTTGGCATTCTGTATTCCTAACACTACAATCTTCCACTTGATCCCACCGAACTTCGCAAGAGAATAAAAGGGGGGCGGACCAATATATGAAAAAGCGGTCCGGGCAGGGCCGCATAAGGCGTCATTAAATGCAGTGTTAACTGGGCTGTGGGAAGGTATTGGTCATGCAAAAATTCTGATTGGACGATTGAAATGGGCTCAAAACGATCACTAGGACCCACTCTGAGATCTTCTCTTGATCACATTTGAGCCCACGCAATAACCAGTCTTTTGGAGCAATGGGTAACCTTCTTGCAAAGCGATCAGCAAGTGAAGTACATGGCCCTCCTGGAGTTCCTACCGAGCACAGCCAAAACGCTTGTCAGAAGGACGAAAATGGCATGACTTCAATGCAACTTCCATGCTATCCCAAACCGCCAAGTCATGGAGGTGCAACTGATACGATCAATGGTATTGTCATCGAAGATCCTTGGCGTGCATTGGAAGTGATGGAGAGTGAAGAAACCAAGAACTTCATCAAAGAGCAAAATGAGTTATCGCATTCGTACTTGCATTCATCATCACGCAAATCATTCGAGGAAATCGTACATTCTACAATCAATCATCCTCGATCATCTTGTCCAGAATTGCAAGGCGATGGATTCTACTACTGGAAGTACAATCCAGGCGAAGCTGCTCGTGACATCATGGTACGATCGCGAACGTTGGAGTTGAGCTTTGGCAAAGGACCTACGGATAAGAATGGCCCGGAGCTATTTTTTGATCCGAGCAAAATACCCAATACATCTCTGTATAGCTATTCATGGAGCCCAAGTGGACGCTATTTCTGTGCAATTCTACAAGAGTCTGGTTCGGATTGGCAAACGATTCGTACAATTGATACGAGAACGATTAAGTTTGTTGATAGTACGCTATACAAATCGAAATTCGTCTTTGGAGCATGTTGGGTGCAAGATTTTGGCTTTATCTACAAAAGGATGTTGAACGTACCGCTAGATGTCCATGACGAGAATGCGGATGGTCAATTCGGTTTATTCTACCATACACTCAACACACCACAAACACAAGATGTCAATATCTGGAAAGGCACTGGAGCAGAAGCGCAATTGCTTACTGTTGAAAGACCATATCTGTGCACTGCAGATCCAAAAGGATGCAACCAAAGAAGAAGTTGGCTTTTTTTTGATGTGTATCGTAACACAAATCCAGAATGTGAGGCATTCTTGATTGAACTTCCAGAAATATCCTCTAAAATGCCTGTCATCATTCCGGAAGATTTGCAGAAACTATGCTTTTCCGAACGTAGATGGATTTCACGTGGTTATGGAGGTGAAACAAAGTACATCGGAACATTGTCCGATGATCGACTTTTATTTTTGTCAACGTCAGATGGGTGTAGTATTGGACGTGTTATATCCGTTTCTTCTGAGTCATTCGATCAAACATCTGCTGATGGACAGCTCTCGGTTGATCTATTGGTGCCTGTACATCAAGAAGGGTATGTACTTCAAAAAGCTCGCTTGGTCGGCGATAGCCTTTTGGTGCTCGTATACCTCCGTCATGTTTGCGCTTTGGTTACTTTTGTTGATGCCCGAACAGGTGAACAACTCGCATACTCGGACTTTGAAAGCGGTGTATCAGAGGCAGGCCTCTTACCTGATGATGAGAAAGACTCAATCATCCCAAAGTACTCTTCTATCAAAGCCGTATTAGCACGTTCTGACTCCGACGACTTCTTTATGAGTGTGGAAACCTGGATAGAGCCACCATTTGTCCTACGTGGATCATTTGACAGAAAGAGCCGCAAAATTCACCTTCGAAAAGCTATCAAGGCAAATAAAGGACGCAATATACCTGTTGATGTGGTTTGCAAACAAGTCTTTTATCCCAGCCATGATGGTATTCAGATACCAATGTTCTTATGTCATAGCCGATCGTTGGACCTATCAAAGCCTCACAAGACGCTCTTGCACGCTTATGGAGGTTTTGCTGTTCCTATGCTTCCTCATTACGAACCGTGGTTCATGGCTTTTGTTCATCGGTTGGACGGTATCTTGGCTGTAGCATGTATCCGAGGTGGAGGAGAGTATGGTAGAAATTGGCATCAAGCAGCAATAGGTCTACAAAAGACAAACTCTTTCGAGGATTATGCCAGTGCAGCACGATATTTGCATCGTGAAAGTCTCTCTAAACCATCTTCAACAGCAACTTTTGGAACATCTAATGGTGGCACTCTGGTGATGGCGACTGTGAATCGTAATCCTGAATTGTTTCAAGCATGTATGGCAGATGTAGGCATTGCTGATCTCATCCGATTTCCACTCTTTACCATTGGACGAATTTGGCAATCGGAATACGGTTCTCCAACGGATCCAAAGATGACGCAATTCCTTCACGGAATTTCCCCTTTGCACAATATTGATCCAAAAGATGTACATCCGTATCCCGCTTTGCTGGTCACAACAGCTGACAACGATACCAGAGTCATTCCCGGCCATTCTCTCAAATACTTAGCGGAAGTGCAAACGAAGAAAGCACACAATCTTAATCCATTCCTAGGTCGTATTTACATTGGAGCTGGTCATGAAGCCAATAGCAGATCGACGAAAGAGAGAATCGAAGAAGCTCTCGATCGACTTACGTTCTGCTCATTGATGTTGCGAGAATGATGATGGTTACGATAAGAGCTAATCAATCATTTCACGAACAGACAATTTTCAAGGGTGTATTAATGCTATTTTAAAGGTATTGTACGTTAGAGAAGTAGAAATATATGCTCTGCATGTAATGATGTGTATTGGAAAGGGTTATAAAGTTCATTGGTGATAAGAATTTAGAATATCTAAATCTGCTCAAAGGAAAATAAAGAGTGCACCGCACATTCCCGCGATCGACATGGTAAATAAGGCAAAGATGGAAGGTAGTGAGAATGATCCCATGGCACTGCTCTTTGCGTTGTTGTTTGCGGCCAAACCTCCTCCTGAATTGGACGATCCTCCTGAAGAGGCGCCACTTGATGATTGTGGGTTGTTGCCTGCTCCGTTTGATGCGGTTTGCATTGTACCTCCTTCGCCGCTCATTGTGCCTTGTGGAACGATTGAACCGCTTGTTGCAACTTTCATGTTTGAAGCAGGCAATCCTTTAGCATTAACGTTTCCACTTGTATATTCTGCAAAGTCTGGGTATGTGATGGCTTCTGGGTATGGGTTTGTGATGTTCAAGCAAGCGGTCAAAGGAACAACATTCTTCCATGCTTTCTTGACGGCAGGGTATTGTTCAATTGTCATGTTCATTGCTGCATCTTCAAGTTCATGTTCCAAAACGATAACACCACCTGTTGCAGCAGCAGGTTGAGTTGCCATTGAAATGATACTCGAGTAGGTTTGTTGAAGCGATGCAGTTGGAATTGGACCGTAAGGTTGAACGTTCCAATCGTTTGTGTCAACGTTCCACATCATAGTACGCAATCCCAAACCTTGTGCAATACCACGGATACGGTCATCGACATCACCGTAAGGAGGTCTCCAGCATGTGACTGTGATTCCCATAACATACTTGATGGCTTTGATTGTGTACCATAATTCGGCAAATGCTTGATCGGTGGTGAGAGCGGTCATATACTTGTGCGACCAAGTGTGAGCGCAGATGTGGTGACCGTCAACGATTCCTCTTTGGGCTTCTAATGGCCAATCGATAACATTCGATCCAATATACATCAAGGATGCTTTTTGGTTGTTCTCCTTCCACATATCATAAAGAGCATTGTGCGTGCAATTAGGACCGTCATCGAATGTGTAGCCCCAGGTCATAGGTTCGTCACATGTTACGATGTCTGGCAACAAACCTTGATGTTTTGGAGTTGTGCATTGTTTATCAGTCCACCAACAATCAGGATCTTGCCCCAATGGGTAAGAGCCGTCAAGACCTGCTCCCGATAAAGAAGCTGGTTGCGTGCCGCGGACGCCAATGTCGGATGGAATCAAACCTGAAGCGTTGATTGTCTTCATAAATCCGATTGCTTCAGTATCACTTGGAAGCAAATCAGCAACATCCCAAACTGTTGGGAACATGTTTTTGATCGTTGCAATAGCGGGTAAATTGTATGGAGTGCATTCAACTTTTGCATTATTGATACCAGCAGATTGTTCTTCGGTACTTCCGTGTTGAGCTGCATCCCCGGGGTCGTTGTTTGAAGTTGTAGCTCCGAATCCACTTTGTCTCTTTTGCAAAAGAGGTAATGAAAGACCGTCTATCTTTGCAGCTCTTGCTACGTTTTCTGAAATTTGATCGGACAAGGCACGTTTTGATGTTCTGTGGCTATGTGCGTGGGAAGATCTTCTGATAACGTTGTACTCTTTGATTCTATCCGTTGTCTTTCCTACACGAGGGATCAAGTTTTCATGGGAAGGAATACCTTTACCAATGTTGGCTTGAACATCCTCTGACACCAATAAGCACCATAAGATAGTCGCGAGGGGTAATGCGAGAAGCTTCATGGTGACGATTATTTTGTTGGTGTTGGATAAGTTAAAAGGTGGTGTAAATGATGTGGTAAAAGGTAAAGAAGGATAAATATCAATAAATTTGAATTTAAATAAGGTATGCAATTTTTAGAAACACCGACGAGTGATTGTGCATTACACAGTTGATCAAGGGGACAATCGTACATAAAGACAAAAAAGAGCAGCATGCCAGTGCGTCATTCTGTCAGGATGAATGAAAATCATTATGACAACGGGCTGGATCGCAAAGTGGCAATTTCCCATTATTGTGGGAATGTGCCCCTCATAATCCCCTATCCGAAGGGAAAAAAAGAAGGATTTCTATTTGGTTTTCCATGCTTCTGTGCCTGTTGATAGCACTTTTTCCTTTGCCGTACGTGCCGAAAATGACAATCCTTCCCGCCGGCGAACGCATTAGTGCAGTAAATCAGTCTAAGGGTTAAATGTTTTACGCCGCGTCGTGCAGTTGTCGTTCGACAGTCAAAAATAAGGCGGGGGCGGGTACGGTGCCCTGCTTAAAGAATACCACCACGGGTTCAATCTATCATACGTTCGTTGCCCTTTTTCCCCACCGTTTATTTCTGGTATATATATGGCCGATTTGCCGATTAAATACACATGATCGCAAGTCTCGCAGTTCCGTATGCAATAATATAAAAATATATACCATAAACATAGGGGCATTCCGATTAAAGGCGAGTAGACAACTTTAAATAGATTCCCAGATTCTTGGGTGAATTAACATATTTTCAATCAGGAAGAAGCCAGGAGGATACATACATGGGCATGTCATTTATCCGAGGTATATTGACACAATAAGTTTGCATTTAGGCTTTTGCCAAGAAATTCCGTTGATACGTCAATCTAGCCAAATAATATAATATGCCCGCAGCTAATAATATTGTACCGGTAAACCACATCATCGGGTGGAAATCTTCAGGTGTGGTAAGTAGATCGGGATGTGATCCAAGTCGATTTCGAAGCAGTCTTCCGGCGATTGGCGGTCCACCTAAGCTACCGAAAGAGCTAAATTGACAAAGGATAGCAATATACGGACCCATCAATCGAAGCTTGGGTTCCGGCACGAGTGGAATGATAGCTGGACTTTGCATCGAAACACTTGCTCCGCTAAACCAACCATAAAAGATGACCCAAACAAAGATGCCGGCATTACTCTTTACGCCTTGCCATGCGAAAGCTAGCATTGAACTGATAAACACGGTAAGCAAAAGAGTGTTTCCATGTCCAAATTTATCCGATAAACTTCCCATCACGAAACGACCAAAGAATGTGGCAGCATTAAGGACAGCTGAAACGTAAAAGGCCGTATACGAAGAAGCTCCGATTGCTTGTGCATAAACAGAAGCATAAAAGTATGGAATATAAATTCCAAAAAAGTGCAAAAGCAAGGCGAAAGCAAAGGTTACCACGCCTACGCTCTTGACGGCCATCATGAGGGGTGTATGGAAAGAGCTCAATTTGACAGCTTTATTTCTTGGTACGTTAGATCGAATCAGTGCGATTGCTGTACCCATCGTTGCTAATTGAATAAAACCAATCGCTCTCATCGTCCAAGGATATCCGACACCATCGTGATTGATCATCTGATTCACCATTACTGGCCATATGACCCCGCCAACCGATGAACCTCCTAGGGCTATTCCCACGGCCAAGCCACGCTTTTTGCTAAACCATTGGTTTGGTAATCCAACGATTGGTAAAAACGTTAAACCGATTCCTATTCCCGTACAAACGCCATGAGACAATAAAAATTGATAATATTTCTTGGAGATACTTGCCATCATTACACCAAAAACGGTAAAGAACGTTCCGATTGCTAAAGTGCAATGAGGTCCAACATGAGCATTCAAGATCACACTTGGTATGGCCATTCCTGTAATACACCAAAGTTGAAAAGAACCTATCCAACTAATATCGTCCGAACTTCTACCGGGTAAAACGGATTCATAATAAGCTTGAAAAACACCAAAACCAGTAACGAATCCAAAAGATGCTAAGAATGCTAAGAAGCAACCCAAAACAGTCAACCAAGCAGTTGTGCCGCCATCCGGAACAGGGTTTGGGGTTGGTGTAGCTTTAGGAGTCGGATCTTCACCTGCTGGCTGTTCATGTGTTATCTTTTCGTCTCTGGAGGATGTCAAGGTAAGTTCTCCTTCTTTTCCTGTTTCCGCCATCATCACTTCGCTGGTTACAGGTTCAAGGTGATCATCCGTTTCACTTTGATCTCTTGAGGAGGATGTCATTTCTAGAAAGGTGCCATGTGGATGGTGAATAGAAAGGAAGCCTGGCAAAAAAGCGATTGATAGCTTTCAAGTTTAGATCGTATCCGCATCTCAATGTACCGTTCTTTTGCCTTTCTCATCTGTATGTATAATCGCCGATTGCCTTTCCCGCAAATCTTAATTGACAAAGAACACATGCAGACAGAATTTAGCGTATCCCATTCCATTTTCACCCACGTTTGAAACGTCAGCATATCTATGCACAACCGCTGCGCTGCTCTACTTTGTAGTACATCATATTATTATTAAAAATAACCTCAATGGATTCGAACATCTTCTCTTGAATGTATGACATATTCAATGACTCCCTTCCGGCTTCTATCGAAGATCTCTCATAAAGGCTCATAGAGAGCATTCGTGTGGCAAACGATGTAATCTTGACAATTTAGTGTGGGCGTAAAACCGTTGGCGTAAAATAGTGGTACGCTAAAAGTGATGATGCATCGGATAGAACATAAACCTACTGTTCTAGTGCTTTTACAACGATTCTACACTAATGACAACCGGTTAATCTTACCGAACAGGCACCAAGACAAAGATAAAGATGCAATTTATAGCATTACATCAGAGGTGCGACTTAGAACCACTGGAACGAACCTTTAACCATTCACATACGTTGTGTGCACAATCATCAATACGTTCAAAGACGAGTTGATGTGTTGTATTGGGCATCCAAACCAATCGTTTCTCTTGTGGAAGTGCATTGAAGACCTTTTCGAATAGTTTTGGTGGTGTTGCAAACGGACGAGAAGGCATGATTGCATTGAGAGGAATTTGTAAATCTTGTAATCGATCAAAAGCATGAACGCATGTCTCTTTATCGTAGTACAATGCCCATTCCAATCTTGGTGGCGAAGTGAGTTTAAATCCTCCTCTTTCTTCATCTTCAATCGTGCCTCTTTTCACATACATCTCCACCGCCCTTTTATCCCATCCGTTTGTACGTTTATTCTTTCCAACGATTTCCCGTAATGCATCTCTTGATTGAACATGTTCAGGTATGAGTGTACAAAATACGTCATTTGGTAATTTGGTAAAACCTTCTAAAATCTTTCCTGGAGGAATGATTGCAGGATCAAAAATTGTTAGACTGCTAAACAATTCAGGTGCATGTGCGGCAGCCAAAATTGACGATTGTGCTCCCATGGAATGTGCGATAACATGTAGATTCTCTCGACTTTCTTGTCGACCACTTGGTTTAGGTGCACGATACTCTAATCGTTCAGGTAATTCTTTTTGTGCTTTTACTGGCAAGTATGCGGTGATGAAATGAAGAACATCACGAGCGATATCCTTCTCGTTGCCTGTCAGAAAAGTGTGAAAGAAAGCAGAATTAGCATCTATTCTCCAGAGCTTTTTGCTCAAATACGTACCATACAGGTAGCTTGGTGGATTTGCTAATGCTGTTTCGCCTGACATTGGCATATCCAAAGACCAAATTTCATCAACTACCACATTAGCTGAGGCTAGAATAGGTAGCATTACCTCGAGCATCGGCTCAAACATCTGTATGTGGCGGAAATGTGTAAGTATATGTACAAATCGATCCCACCATCTCGCTTTAGACTCACTTCTTTTGGAACACCCATACCTGGCAGGATGAATAAAGTTATGCCAGGACCTTTTGCTTTGTTGGTAGTGGGAATATATCGTTTAACAACAAGGATAGGTTGCGGAACGATATCATCCGTTTCATTTCCGCCTCTTCCCGCCTCTCTTTCGTATAACCAGTAATCTGCATCGTTACTGTTCGTCGTTGAAGCTGCTTGGCGTACGTTTGCCGTTTGAGGATCGTATATTTTATCGTATTTTGTATCAAATGGAATCTTGTTTGCATCTTCATGAAATCGTGTCGCAGGCCATGCGGCTGGTGAAACTCTGTTTGCTGCTCCAAAGAATGTATGCGTGCTGGATTGCCATAATTTCGATGTGGTTGGAGGTAATAGTTGTGTTCTGGGCTGTGTTTGCTTTTTATCTGATGAGAACAAGCCTAATGGTTGTAAAATATGCCTACCATAAGAGCGAACTGCTTCGAATGACATGTTTGAATTTAAAGAAGGGTATGATGGTTTCTTTGATAGTTCTCCATACCCCGGAATGCATGCACTAAAAGATCGGTTTCAGTCAACGGTAGGAAAGTTGTCATTCAACCGAAATTATTAACGGTACGCCCAAGAAAAAGACGCTAAATCGAACAAGTAGTATGTGATTGATGCGATTCGAATTCGATAGGCACAGCTGCAAAGGCACTATGTTTCAGATGACAGTCATAGAAGGTGAGGGTGAGTAAAAGAGTGTGATTGGTGTATTATTGATGCATGCGCGCATGTGTGCACGCTGGCTGAGGTTTGTTTTGACTGAGCATGCACGAGATGGCCAGTGCGTGACTCAGCACTTGTCTACGTGTATGCAAGCGGCTAAACGAGCACGAGGTATAGAATGCGCATATTCTAACAGTGTCACATACGGCTGGTATCGTAAAGCTCATCGTTATTGAAATAATCATATAAACGCTATAAAGACTTGTCATTGTTCTCGATCAAAAGTATCGGAAAGATTAGCAACATCCGCCACCTCCGCCACCACCACCGTCTCCCCCTCCACAGCCACCACCGCCGCCGCCCCCAAAGCCACCTCCTGCAACTCCTCCGCTTCCCCCACCTCCTCCTCCTCCATAATTGGGCAAATTGTTAAATGGTACAAAGGTGATGAACGGCAAAGGGCGATAATCGGCTATTTGTGATCTATCTCCGGTTCGTTGCATCGTTGCAGAATCCTGTAAATATTGTCGTGTATATTTCCGTTGAAATCGTTCGGAAGCATCAATTCCACGAATGATGTAAGAAATGAAAAAGATCCATAAGCCAACAAAGATTACCACAAACATCGAAATCGAGACCACCAATGGCCATGCATAATTGCTTAAGGTTAAGGGTTTATTGGAAGGATCTGCTGTGTCTGTGATGAGTAAAATCCGTGGGTCAGTAAAATAAGTTTACACGAATTAGGCTCTGACAACTTACAGGTGTAGGGGTTCTGAGAAGGATATCCACCGCAGATAAGCCTTTCCCAAGTTGAATACAAATAAGTATCCTTACCACATGCTCCCGCATTCAGGAAAGACTGAAGGTCACGGAAATTGGTTCCTTGAATACCGATTGCCGCTCTGAAAAGAAGGGGTGAAAGGTCAATTGAATACTTTGTCTTCTTCCTTAACGGTCAATACTCACATTGACATGATCCACAACGGTATTATGAGCCACAACCATAATCCTCCAAGAGAGGCAGGCGTTAAGAGATAACAAGCTCTCATTAATCTACTTTGACTTTCTTCTTTTTGTCGTTGTGCTTCTTCCTCTTCTTCAAATTCATTTGATCGAATTGAAAATATGAACCTTGATGGAATTTGTTGTGCAGTGTAAGGTGGTGGTGATTCGGCTTTGTTTTCCTCTTCGGCGGCGTTTAAATCATTTTCCGGTACAGAGCGGCTAGGATCTAACGTTCGCCAAGCGATTGCTAAATTGATAATAAGTTGCAACAACATCGCAAGGACGAAAGCGATTGCGATACCTTGATAGACTGTCATGTAGATCCTTGCGGGATAGACTGGTCTTGGTATGTGAATATTGAATGTTGTCTGAAAAGGAGCAACAGCTGAAGATGAAACCACATAACCTTCTAAATAAGACGAGACTGCACTTTTGGAGGCAGAATAAGAGTCTAAGTAACCTGTACGGCTTGCATAGCCAGTTGCAGAAGCAAAACGTGAAGTTGGAGCTGCATTGGAAACGCTTGTGATCGTACTTGAGCCTGCTCCTACTGTGACTGTGACTGTTGTAGGTGATGGAGCTGCTGTGCTGGTTGGGTATCGTTCACTGTAATATGAACTTGGTGTAAAATCAGCATCGTCACCGCTATATCTGTAAAGATAAAACCGTGGTGGTGGTGAAGATGTTGGCAAGGCGGTAGATGTGGTGATGGGACTTGTACTGGTTGCAACTCTACCTTCACTACATGGATCGTCGCCACGACCATTGCAAAGGTAAACAAGTCTGTAAACATCTTTTTCGTATGCACAACATTGTGCCGTATTCTGGTTGTTGTTGTATGCATATGCCACGCTTGGGAAAGGACTGGCAGTGTATTTGGCTGGAAACGATTTGAGAGGTATCCATAGTGAGATGATACCAGCAATACCTGCTCCGATGACTATACAGCAACCAGCTATAAGCATCGGTAAGCTAATCTTTGGGCTGACCATCTTGGGAGTGAATGGGGTTGAGGGAAAGGATGGAGAGTTCTCAAGCAAAGCCGCATTTTATAGTATCATCTTTATTGTGCTCAGCATTTTATTCCGGTCAAGGCCGAAGAGCGGGACAAGGAGCATCACTCCCACATGATTAGCGAACGCTTTTATTTACCATTGATCTCCGGCGGTCTTTTTCGCAACTTTAAAATAAGTCTTGGCATTTGAAGCGGATAGATCTCAAGGGTTGTTCTACTTAGAAATGTATCAATAGATAAGCGGGGAAATTAAAGAATAGCATGGTACAAAAGGCTATGATTGATGCTAATGGACGTCATCGTGCCTTACTCTTTTCACATTTAACTTGTCCCTAGACCCAAAGATACAATCGATGCACCTTTTTAGCGTTTGCGCAACCCTAATTCCTGCATCGGCCAAGTATTTAGCATGGTAAGCGAACAGGCTAAACAAAAAAGAGGGACAGACAGATGTCAACCCATGTCAAATAACACTTCAACAGTACCTTACATCGGATAAGATCGGACAAGTTGGAAGTGAATATCTCGTACGAAACATTTAAGGAATTTCGTGTGAAAGGATTGTGTTAATGATAAATTACCCCGGATTATTAAGTGGAGAAAATATCTTATCACACAATCACAAATTAAGCCCTTTTACCATACTTGCTAAGCTTCATCAATGCGGAGACATCGGGTCTTCATCCGTAACGTTGTCATGATCACGTTCCCTTTTAACAGCCACAAGATAAGAAATGATCGGAAACTCAGCCGCAAAATAGCGATCCTAAGTACGAGAGAACCAGAAGCTATATTATATTTAAGCACGTTCGTATTGCTCAGGGAACAAGTCATTACTGTTTATGAACCATAACATCTCGAAGCTTACAGCGTATGATTGCTGGTATATAACCAAAACAAAGATCTCTTTCAGGATTTCTTTGTTTTCACGTGCTCAGAAAGAAGTCATTCACGTGGTCGTCATTTGATTCTATCAACACTTTATTCTTATCCATCATTTATCGACGTTCTGATTGATTGTTGATAATAGCTGGAAGTATAAAGCTGGAAAGCTTGGCAAGTAAAGGTATAAATCGAATGATTTCCGTAAAGAGTTGTACTTTATTTAACTCTAGACTGACAGTACGCTAAGTTTTATTGTATACCAAGTGAACCCCGGGTTGCCAAGGATCTTGAGTTAAATTTAGTCTGTTTGAATAAGCCACTTGCGGTGTTGCGCAGGGAAATGTGAACAGGGTTTATTAAAGCTGTACAACGGCTGGAAAGGATGGAGCGTAACGCGACGTCAAAAAACAACTCACACACGTTCACAAAGAGCCTGAAAACTTAAATCCCGTACCATGATAGACGCTGTAGATCTAGCAGTCATACATGATACGCACGAAAAAGGAGCCCCAGGCACACAGTTAGCTATACTTAAGTTGGCTTGGCGCTCTTATATTGTGAGAAAAGAGGGTAAGACGATGAAAAGATGTACGTAGAATTATTTTAATCAAACGATCACCAAGGGGCTTCTCCGTGAACGTTATAATTCAAGCCCGTTCGAGACAAGAATCAGTCTTGGCAGCGGCATTATCCCTTTCTAGTCTCACGGCGATTCATGGACCTCCGGCGCACTTTATAAAGATGTGGGATATTGATTAGGAGTTTTAAATATTCATCCGGGCATCATGCCATTGATGTCATACATGCCAAGAAAGAGATCCATGTAAATGAAGCCGAACAAGAGCCATGTATCTGGTTCTTCTATCTTGTTTAATTGAAGCGTAATTCATAAGCTTAAAAAGTTATATAAAGGAGTGGATTTGACAACATCTTACCACAAATATCACCAAACCTCCCATTCCCCCAACCTTCACCATGAAGATCTCTTTTACCCTTCTCGCACTCGCTTTAGCTTCTTACGCTCTTGCTGCTCCACCAATGGAAGCAAGAACATGGAATGACAAACACAGTCAGAAAAAGCCTGCCGGTAAGCATGTCAAGGAACCAAAATATTTCACATCTGCTTTTTCCACCCGTGCAGTGAACACTACAATTATCAACAACAACCAAGAACCTGTTCCAGGTCAACCAGGAGCATTTGGTCACTTTGCTTTCCGTATTAACTCTGATCAAGAAATAATTTGTTGGGACATTCGTACAGTCGGCGTAACGGGTGAATATCAATCACCTGCCTTTACTGCCACCCATATCCATCAAGCCGATGTCGGACGTGCTGGACCACCAAGAATTGCATTCACAAATCCTAAATACGAACGTAATGATATCACCGGAGCCGAGATCCGTACAAGTAAAGGATGCTTGCAAGGACCATTTGCTACAAATGTCACTGCTAACGGTCAAGATACTGGTTCAGCTTCCGGTTTCAAGTTGAAGAACATCGAAGAGAACCCTGCAGGTTTCTTTGCTGATACCCATACTCAAGCATTCAGCGCAGGTGCAATTCGAGGTCAATTGTTACGTTCCGAACTCGAAGTCAAGAAGCCACGTTCGTTCACAAGTACTTTACGTACACATGCTACACCTGATCAAATCATCACAAATGCAGGTACCAAAACAGCCGGTTTGGAAGGTGCTTCAGGCAAGTATGAATTCCGTATCAACACAAACGAAGATGTGATCTGTTATGATATCACCCTTAAGGGATTCCCAAAAGATGAAGTATACTTTAGCCCTGCAAAGACAAGTACGCATACACATGCCGCTCCATTCGGATCTGCTGGACCACCACGATTGGCATACAAGAACCCTGAAAGGAAATCATACCTTTGGGGTAAGATTAAATCAAAGACTCGTCATAGTAGCGCATGCATCAAAGGTCCGTTCACCACTGGCTTGTTGGGAACAGATGGTAAAGATACAGGTTCATCAAGTGGTTTCACCTTGAAACAATTGGAAGATAACCCAACTGCTTTCTTCTCTGACGTTCACACCGAATCACGTCAAGCAGGTGCCGTTCGTGGACAAATGTTCCGTGTTTGATGGTCTGACAAAGAACGATCTGTGCTTCTTTAGTGTTGATGTAGCTACCCCGTATAATTTCATTCCTTCCCTTGTCGAGTCATGAGTGTTGCTGAGTAAAATAAGTGTTGCTTAAAGGAATGAGGGATATCGGCATGTAAGGCATGTAGAATAATCTGATAAGATAATCGGTTGTAAAAATACACGCGTATAGTAACCGAACGGCTTTAAGCTGAAGACTTGAATTCTGCCGGCGGTCAAATTCCGACTTTTATCTCCGATCAACGGACATCTTTTTTTCTTCTTTTGAACGGATAAGCTCAGTTGCAGCTCAGCATGCAGAAAACTACCATAACTACATTCTTCAGGGCTGAGCAGTAGGGTACTGTCTCGCCTTCGAAGTATATAAGGACACCAACACCCAATCTAATTTCATCCCCTTCACCCAGACACCAAGGATGACCATTTGGAGGACTCTTACTCGGCTCAAGATGACGCATACAAAACACCAAATACGATCAATGGCAACAGAAGCAGAACCAGGGCTTAAAACTGTTTTAGTCGCAGGAGGTTCCTATGCCGGTCACGAGGCCGTTAGAATCCTATCAGAAACATTACCTGAAACACACAAGATTGTTCTTCTAGAACGAAATAGTCATTTCAATCACGTTTACGTTTTTCCACGTTATTCAGTCGTTGATGGACATACACACAAAGCTTTCATTCCTTATACAAATATTTTTGGTTCGTCCTTAGAAGGAAGTCGACATGATCTGGTGCAAGGTACATTACTGAACATCAATCCACCCGCACAAACAAGTCGAGATGGAGAAAGTGGTATTGCAACATTTATGCAAAACAATGAAGAAAAGTCTTTGCCTTTTGATTATTTGGTGTATGCTTTGGGAAGTTATAGGCCCGGTTCGATCGATTTGTGGAAGTCTGCATACTCCGGAAACAAGGTTGACGGAATCGAAAATGTAACAGAGATTCGAAAATCAGTCGAAGCTGCAAAGAATATCGTAATCGTTGGTTCCGGTCCTTTGGGAATCGAATTCGCAGCCGATATTGCTGATCATTATACTGGCGCAGAAGCAAAGAATGTTACCCTTCTTTCTTCTTCGGTAAAGCTGCTGCCTAAATTGAAAGATGAAGTTCACGAAAGAACGTATGAATGGCTTAGCCAACATGGTGTTAATGTCCTCTTGGGCGAACGATTAGCAGAACAAAGCCAGGATGCAAATGGTGACATCAACGTAAAGACAAACAAGGGGAACACGATTCAAGCAGATTTAGTGCTTGACTGTACAGGTCTGAAAGCAAACACTGCACCTTTAAAGCCAATCTTGGGAGACAATTGGCTAGATCAAACGCCAGCATGGACAAACGATAAGCTGCAATTGCTCAACGTTTCACCTGATGAAGATCCAAACAAGATTCGTTCATTTGACAAAATCTACATTGCAGGTGATGCAGGTCATGCATTTGGAGCTCATAAAAACGGAGCAAATGCACGAGAACAAGCCGGGATCGCAAGTAGAAACATTTGTCGTCAAATCGCAATCACACAACAACAAAGCACAAACCCTGAATCATCTTCTTGGGCAAAGAAATTTCTAGCGGAAAACGGTGAACAGCCAGATGTATACAAACCCGGACCGATCAGTATCAAAGTATCACTCGGCCTCAAAGATGCAATCTCACAAGGTGCTTATGGCGTAGCTTATCGCAAAGGAGAGGGAAGGCCAGATATGAATGTTGAGAAACACTGGATAAAGCGAGGATTATCACTAGACGAAATGCATCTATAGTGCTTTGCGGGAGAGGAAGAAGAAATGCATTCCATAATAGTGTACAACCGAGTGGTCTTTCGGTATCACCCGTTCAGATGATCTCGAGGTGCTTTCAAGTTGAAAGGTGTGATATTCTTGTCCAACGATCCAGAAGGTCTGACACAATTACCCGGTAAAAGATATTTGAATCGTTCGTAATCTGTCAAGACTGCCTGTGGAAGGTAATCATTACCAAGGGTATGCTTTGCACCGTTCCAATACTGGATCAAATCTCCAAAAGAGAAAACTTCAGGTGGCATGTCATACAAATCTTTTCCGTTGCATATTCGTTTTTGGATTGAAGAATCGGTCAAATAAGACTTGTATGCAGGACGTTTGAGTAGCCTATCAACGTGTGATGCGGACAACATCTTGTACTTGAAATCGGCCAATGTTGAAAAGCAGAAGCTGATAGAAACGTTGTATATTAGCATATAAACTTCTTTATAGATTCATTCAAATAAGTTTCAAACTCACCTGCAGTGCCAGCCAGACGCTGTTAGAATCTGCTCTGAAACCTTTCCGTGAGAATATCCACTGGCATCAGACCACCTTTGAACGGATGCTCGCCAACTATCAGCCAAAGTAGCAAATTCGAAGCTATACAAATAATTTTGTAGTTGTAGATGAAGCGGTAAAGGTGTATCGCATGCTTTAATTAATTCAATCGTCGCCCTATTTGGGATTTCATCGATATCTGCCATCAAGATCAGAGTGTCTTGCGAGGGAGATTTCTCATTGATAAAAGCTGACATCATAGCACGTTGTTCGTTGGCCAGGGTGAAAGGACCGTCACCTTTTCGTAACGCTCTTCCTTGTACTACTTTATGATGCAATTTAGGTGCAAATTGCAAGAATCTTTGTGAATTTTGTTGATAATGCATTTGAGTTTTTTCGATCCCCGTCATTGTATGTGTTGATTCCATGACTAAAAATGAATCCACTACATCCCATAATTCACGCATTCGAATTTCCAACATATCCAACTCTGTACTGATCAAGGTTGCATCCCAAATCGTGACAGGTTTCTCACGCAATTTCCATCCATGTCGAGCACATGCTGCTGAATCGTTTGTCGGTACTGTTGGTGAATGAAGATGAGCAATGACGGATTTCGGTACTTCGGATTTATCCCATAAAGGTCTTGTGGAATAGGAAAATGTATCTTGTAGGTTATGTCGATAGGGTATTGCAAGAAAGAGTGATAATATCAAAAATGCTGCTAATATTGCCCATAAGGCTGCCCTTCTGGGTATCCTGTTCACTGTTGGCATGTTTGTAATGACATGATGATGGTTGTGATTGTATGCATATAGTCGGGAAGCATTTCATTTTGTCCACTTCCCGTCACTCAGCGTCACTCAGAAACGGGCTAATTCTTGGCGTTCTTGAATGAGGCGCTGTGGAGTATTAATGTGGCGCGGGCGGCGTCATTTAGAGCTTGAAAGATTGCAATCACAACTTTTTATTACGCGACAACGATCATCACCTCATAATCTTGCAAAAATGTCATCAGCCCATAGGCCAACATGGGATCCAGCAAAGGGAAGAGCGGATGATAGACACAAATCTGCACGAGTAGGTGCACGGCAAATGCCAGCACATACGAAGCTAAAATTCAGACAGCCACAGCAAGGTGGTCCAAACGATGGCGAAGGATCATCATCAAAGGCAGAAACAAGAAGGGATCTGAAGAGAGAGTTAGAAGAAGCTGAAAGAGCAAGCCGGAACAAGAAGCGTAAGGAACAGGGTCTAGCTCTGGAGGAGGACGTAGAACAGCAACCCAAGGCGATCGAAGGCGGTGACGTTGAGACAGATGCAGAGAGAAGGAAACTCATCGCACAATTACAAGAATTGGATGCAGATGAAGAGAGTGATGACGAAACACCAGGATCGCAATCCGGGAGAAAGACTGCAAAAATTGAAGCAGATTCCGACTCAGATGACAGCAGCGAAAGCGAAGACGATGATGAAGAAGATGATACAGCAGCGCTATTGAGAGAACTAGAAAAGATCAAGCGGGAACGTGCGGAAGAGAAAGAAAGGCAAGAACGAGAAAGATCAGAGATGGAACAGTCATCACGGGAAGAGGAGATTGCACTGGGAAATCCCTTGTTGAACTTGGAGCACGCATTGAAAGGCGCTTCATCCAGCAGCAGTCAAGCTGAGAGCACGGGCTTTGGAGTGAAGAGAAGATGGGACGATGATGTCATCTTTAAAAATCAAGCTGCCGGCAATGAAGGAGGCGATAAGAATGGATTCGTTAACGATTTGACCAGATCAGAATTCCACAAGAGGTTCATGCAAAGATATGTGCGATAGAGATAGTGTATCTTATATTTAATCGATAACATTACAGAATTAAGAGGGGGCTAACGGCTTTTCTGAAGGCGGCGGCGAGGTCAGCAGAAGCCTTCGTTTTCGTCCCAAGGCGGAGAGTGATTGCATCAGATAGACGAGTAAAGGCACCGGATCTCAACATGCGGATCCGAAAACACTCAGATACATAGGCTTTTCAGCGAATATGACATCATATCAAAGCATTCTGTGGGAACAAGTGGTGGTTTATTAATTGCACAAAATAAAAATACAATTCCTTTCCTTTTTTCTACGATGATTGGGAAGGTGTGAATGCAAAATTAGGATAAGTTTGTCCTCCATTAGGTCGATTGACAGCTTGTTCGGCAGTTGTTGTTCCTCCATTCATGAGTTCTTGTTCCAAAGCTGCCATCAAATCAAAGCCTGCATCGTAATAGTTGGGAAACAAACTTTCCAAAGACCATAAAGATGGATCGTACATATCCAAAGAAGGTGTTGTACCATCGCTTGGCGATGCTTCAATCATCGAACCAGAAGAGACTGAAGTTTGATTATGACTTGTAGGTAAAGTCGAACGATCAACACTTGTATTTTCGCGACTTATGTACAAAGGTGTTGGCCAAGGATTATCCGTTGAGAACAAAGATTGATTGATCTCTGTTCCAGAAGTAGGCAAAGGTCGATTATCTCCTCTGTATTGATCCAACGTTCCCGCCCATCCAGTGTTGAATTTTCCCGGGGACATTGAAGGTAGAACAGATTTGTACCATGGATCCTTTTGACTTTGCTGGAGTGTACTTTGCATGTATGGCTGACGTCCTCCATCTTCAGTTGCTATCTCATCAACGGAAGCACCTTTTCCGTTCCTCTTATTCGGGCCTCGCCGTTGACCCTCACGCAACTGGATTTCACGCAATTGAGCGGCTCTTCGTACTTTGGCACCCTTTAAGAATGACTCCAATCCTGGCATAAACTCTTGCAATTTTTTGATAGACTCCGCCCTGTTCCTTAGAAGTCCTAGACATGTATTCAACTTTTCCAATGTCTCATCAATATCTGCAAGGTCATATTCATAGATGAATTGGGTCGTATTTGACTTCTTTTCATGCTCTTCTTTTGCGATTTTCCATCTTTCCATCTCATGAAGCAAGACGAGCTGAAACGTTAGAGCAGAGTGAACCAAGTGACTTTGCAAAAATGTTGCCATCTGTAACAAAGAATTTGCTTTTTCCAAGTCAATTCGAGCTTCGTAAATACCATAGGCAGCTTCCAAGCATGCCAAAGTTGATCGACGGAATCGCGGGTCTTTGATGCCTTTTCCCAAATAAGATCGATGAGCATGCAAGAGGCGAAAGTAAGCCTGATCGTTGAGCACAGAACGTTGCAACGTATAAAAGCGTTCTTCAGATTGCGTTGAGCCAGGTCGGATATCGGACATTTGCGTAGATCGCAATCTCATCGCACTCACAGCATCTCGACCATCTTCGGATAAAGCGGGAATTTGAAGATATCCTGGCAATCGATCAAAAAGAGCATGGAACTGATCGTCCAAATCCAAAATATCCGTGTAGGGGAGAGGAGCACCTTTTTCATTTTCCAATTCGACTTTCACCCTTGACAATCTTGCAAACGCGAGCGAGAATGATACGACCGTATTTTGTTTTGGTATGGAAGAAGACGGATTTGATTGCAAAATCAAATCTGCTGCATGCGGAGACAGTAAATCCTGATCATCCACTGGCGCAGGCGGTGCTGTGTGATCGATACCTCGATGGATAGTGTGATACTGATTCAAGTGATTGCTGATAAAGCAGTCCATCGTGACGAGTGTCGTCCATAGCTTACGACCTAATTCCCTATATGATATATCAACGTCAAATTCCGTCATCCATGATCCGAATCTCATCGTTGTATTGATGATCTTTTTATCAGATTGTGAGATATCGGCATTAAGAGAAGGAACGATGAGATCCTCTGCATCTGACTCGATTTGCTCGTTGTCCATGACTTCCCGAGATTTCTTCTCAGAGATCAATTTGTACGCATCATCATATCCACTTCCTAACCGATTCAAGCCAAGATTAACAGCACTGTAGATGGCCGAATTAGCACGTTGTCCGTAAACAGCAATACCCGTCCGACTATCTTGAAAAACGGACCTGGTAGGGTTGACCATTGTTGAAGATATAAAGTCGTTCAACATCAAATACTGCACCGACCAAAGCGTTGGCAATGACAAAGATTCAGACAAGTTCGAGTGAAATTTTGCTGCGTCTGCTAGCAGTTGACAGCCTTTCGCAACGTCCTCCTCCGTGGCACCACGGGGTACACATCCCATCGAGATCAATTCTTCCAATTTGCAAAACCGTGCACTTTGTTCGACCAATGTGAAAACCAACGCAATCATGCTTTGATTCGGCACAGAACAAATCGCATAATCTTTGTCAGTCGCATTCGCTTTTGATGAAACGTAAAAGTCGCTCATTGGTTTATTAAGAAGGCATGTGATGGCTTGAGAGGGAAATTCTCCGGTTGATAATCCTAAACCATCTAAATCGTTCCAGAATTCTGACATTTGTCTATCCCAAAGAGTTCGATTGAAGATCCCGCGAATGGGTTCCATTTCTTCCATATACATCTTGATCAATCTTTCGGTAACTTGTCGACTTGGCAAACGTGTTAAAGAGACTGCCAAACACTTGACGTGCACTCGTGTTTCACGTTCGAACGGTGCAGGGAAGAATGGGTTCCAATCCTTCATGAATCCTTCAAATGCTGTCATGTTTAACTTCCTTGCGATGCTGTTTGGTGGAGGATGTAAATCGTAATGCAACAGTTCTCTCAGATCGCCCAATGCTCGCATCGAAGGTGTTCGATCGTCTCGAGGGGATAAGGATCCAGATCTACGAGGTCTATTGCGTCTGGTAGATGATGTTCTAGGTTTTTTCTCTTCGTACTCAGATTCAACGTCAGAAATAGAATCAATATCCGATTCGGTAACACTTGAGGACTTTCTCCTTTTCCTCTTAAGTTTCTTAAGTACTGTTTCCACGATCAGACCAACGTCATCGTTTGATTGTCGTTTGTGGTTCTTTTTGTGTTTTCGCTTATCTGTCCGTTTTCCGTTGCTTTGGCTGGTGTCTTTTTGGTGATCGTCACTGCTGTGTTGATCGTCATATCCGTTCTCAAGCTTTGCTTGTTCCGCTTTCTTAGGGTAAGACGATCCCGCATACTCCTCATCACGTTCATCGCCCCATTTACACAAATCCGCAATCCCACGAATGACGCAGCTATTACAGCCTGGCACATTTCTATCACATTTTATTTTGCGTAATTGACATTGCGTACAACTCATTGCTTTTCGATTCCTTTTCTGTTTTACTCTTTTGTCAACGTTTGATGAATCAACGTTCCAATTCGAAGGTCCCGCATTTCCCGGCATTGTTGTTATCTCTATCCATACGATCTTCTTGAGAAGTAAAGATGATCATTGGGAAGGAAATAGATTAGGTGATATAGAGGGAAGAAGTATAATTACGGGCCCATTTTATTTTCATCGAGTCAATCGATGCCAAAATGTCATGCACGATCAGGAACAAGCTGAGCGGACGTTTGCTTGCTGCTGAGCCCGTTATAAAATTAAACTCAAACAGCGTACAAGCAGTGTGTTAGTGTGTGCCTGTTTGCCTGTCATTATTATCCGCATGCATTCAAATTCAATCAACCATTTTTAACGCCGAAATTTCACACCGAGAAAAGAGAAGTGAATAAATTGTCAATCTAGAATATAATATACAAAATGATGGCAATATATAGAAAAGGTATATACAAGAAATGAAATCATTCTCAAGCTTTCTCGGAAGTGGTTGTCGATTTCGTTTTGGAAGCCAATTGTTGCAAGATTGGATATTCTTTTAGCTTATAATCCTCCTCATCTTCTCCTTCAGGGAATTTTCTCGCAATGAAAGGCTGAGTAAAGATCTTGCAAAGTACCCAAAAGACTGTATGCAAAATTCCAATTCCAAATGAACTCTTTGGATGCATGACTCCAGGAATGAAAGAAGGAACATCTTGAATCTTTGCAACAAATGGTTTAAATGCATTCTCGTATTCCTTCAGAGCTCCGCTTGGATTCTCACCTTTCTTGAGCGACGTCAATTCTCCTGCTAGAACATATGCTCCCAAAATGGCCAAAGGTGTTCCCATTCCGGTCAACGGAGTTGGAGCATAAGCTGCATCACCAACGCACACCACACGTCCAACTGACCATTTCTTCATTCGAATTTGCGAAACTGCTTGGAAGTAGAAATCTTCTGCAGTATCCAACGATTTCATCAATCGGTCTGCTTCATATCCTGCATCTGCAAATTCTTCTTTTAATAAGCTGATTTGCGCAGCTCGATCATGCGATCTTGATACTTTACGCCATTTCTCCTTTTCCTCTTCTGTGGCAGGCATTTTGCTGAACATTGGTCGAATTGTACCATAAGGATCAGGTCGTAAAGAGATCAAACGTGATTTTGTGGTATGATAAATTCTCCACCAATCATTATCACTCGAATCACGAGGGGCAGTCCAATATCCGATGTACATATTCTTATCTACCACTTGCAAATCTTCCTCATCAAAGCATTGCTTGCGTATTTTTGACCATTGACCATCAGCTGCAACTAAAACGTCATACTCGATTTCCTCTCCGTTACTCAAACGAACTTTTACGTGATCTTCGGTATTTTCCAATACCTTTTCTACTGTAACGCTGAATTTGTATTGAATGTTGCTGTCATGAATTGTGGCTTGGTAAAGCATATCTGCTAAATCACCACGTAAGATTTCGTATTCCGATGTTGGACTTGGACATTTTGTTTCCACACCTTCGATCCAAACGGGAAAACTTGCGATAGGTTTACCTTTTCCGGTAACGAATTGACAACCAATTTCGGTTGTATTACGCTTTTTAAGTTCATCATATAAACCCATTTCACGAATTACCTTCATTGCTGTTCCTCGAATATCGATGTTTTGCCCTTGTGCTAAGAGTTTCTCAGCACGTTCCAAGACTGTGACTTGAGCATTGATTCCTTTTGAAAGATGGTAAGCCAATACGGGGCCGGCAATACCTGCACCAGAGATGAGAACACGCATGATGAGTGAGTGATGATGGTAGTGAGTTGTTGTTGTGTTGTTGTTGGGAATTGAGCTTGATTTAGTTCTAGTATTTATATCTTTACCCTTGCTCTTGGACCCATTGAGTATTACGTTATATCAGGATGATGATGAAGTCATGTTGATGTGTTCTATGATTGATTGTTGAAGTTTAATTAAACGGATTGTTCCGCTCCACCTATGTCATGCATGCAAATCGCATGGATTCTAAGAAACAACACAAAAGGGCGCGGTGATAAGTTGTTCTTCGCACTTAACCCAGAAGCCCTATCACCGAGGAGTTAATGTCAAACAACATTCCCTGCCGCAAGGGCGTCGTTAACACATGGAAACTAGACTGATTGACTGTTTGACACGGGCTAAAGTGCGGAAAAAAGGCCGAAACTTTGACGCGAATCTCTACCATTTGGGACGTTCCCGCTAAGATTTAGCGATTTTGCTGCCCCCTTTCTTTTGTGCGTGCGAACGCTGAGTATGGCATGGGGTTAAGACACAGCGGGGCGCACTTTAGATTCTCTTAATCCCGCGGGTTGAAATTTAAAGGGTACCTGCATGCATACAACAGCTGTTCAAACGATCAACAACTTCTTCACCGGCGGATATCCACTAAGAATCTTTTCTTAAAATTTGATTCATATGAAAAACGAAGAGTCATGATATTCATTCTGAAAAATATATAAAGATCTTGCTTTCAATGTGATCAATCAACTCTTCTTCATCATCACCTCGCCTTAACTCTTTCGACAAAATGTCTTCCGCCGTTCAAACACAAACGGCTTCTGCTCCTGTCCCCGTCCCTTCGGTGACAGCTGCAAACACAATCGAAACAGCAAGTATTAGCCATCATTCAGAAGATGAGAAAGCAGATAATGATGTAGAATCACATCATTCGGAAAAAGGAGATTCTACTGAAAAAGATCCAAATCCCCCACCTGGACCTTCGATGGATCCTGATTTGCAATCTCCAGTCATTCTCAATCGTCGTCAATTTTTACCGCTATACTTGGGTATGTTGATGTCGGTCATCATTGTTTCTTTGGACAATACAATCGTTGCAACTGCACAAGTTCCAATCGTGACAGATTTAGGTGGTGCAAGTTTGATTACATGGCTACCGGCTACTTTCTTGATCGGTCAATGTAGTTTCACACTTATGTTTGGTCAATTGTTAACAATCTTCCCAAGCAAAATGGTTTATCTTTTTGCAATCTTTTTATTCGAACTCGGTAGTGTGGTTTCGGGAGTTGCTCCAAATATGGCTGCCATGCTTTCTGGAAGAACGATCTCCGGTATCGGAGCAGCAGGTATCTTTATGGGAATGGTTCAAGTCTTGGTAGAAAGTACAACTTTGGCAGGTCGTGCAATCTATATGGGATTGTTAGGTGCAGTTTTCTCAATCAGTATGGTGGCTGGTCCATTGATCGGAGGTGCATTATCCGATTCAGTCACTTGGAGATGGTGCTTTTACGTCAATTTACCCGTTGGAGCAGTAGCCGTTGCGGCAGTTTTATTCTTATTCCCAATGAGACCTGCTTTAGGACAAAGCAAGACCAAACGACTTTCCGTTTTCAAACGATTACTGCAATTGGATTGGATCGGTGTCATCCTTCTCACAGGTATCGTTTGTATGGTCATCGTTCCTATGCAAGAAGCACAAAACAACGGTTGGGCATCAGCAACAACTCTAGTACCAATCTGTATGGCATTAGTCGTTTTAGGTGTAACAGGAGCTTGGTTCTGGTATCGTGAACAGAGTGATTCGATGGGCACAATGTTACCACTCAAATTGTTCGCGGATGTCAACTTTTTGGGTTGTTGCTTGGGAAGCTTTTTGGTATTTTGGATCACAATCAACGAAATTTATCTTATCCCTCTGTTCTACGAAACCGTTTTAGGACACTCTGCTTTGAAAAGTGGTGTGGACATGTTGGCTTTGGTCATCACTTTTGGAGTAGGAGCAGTCGTTGGAGGCGTTTTATCGAAAAAGACTGGACATTATTACCCTCAATTCTTATTATTCCCTTTGATCGGTATCGTTGCAAGCGGATTGTTGTACACGATCAAGATTGATTCATCAACAGGATACCATGTCGGAACACAAATCTTACTTGGTGTTGCTTTGGGTCCAATGATTCAAAGTCCAATGCTCGCTTTACAAGCCAATTGCCCAGACAAACGATTAATTTCTCGTGCTTTGTCGTTCTGCGCTTTCGCTCAAAGATTTGGAGGTGGTATCGGTTCTTCGATCACCGGTGCAATGCTAGCAGGTCAATTGCCTGGTCAAATTCGCAAACAGTTGGTCGCAATTAATGTTGATCCAACACCTTATGAACATTTATCTTATGATGCTCTTCGTTCTCAACCTCAAGGTCCAATCAGAGAAGCTCTCTTACGAGGATTAACAGGAACGATTGATTTAATTTCCATCGTTGCACTTCCTCTCTTTGCAGTTTTATTCTTCACTGCATTGTTCCTCATCAAAATTCGCAATATCAACACAGAAAAGCAAGTAATGAAAAAGGACCTTATTCGCAAAGTACTTTGCATGTCCAAAAGAAAGGAAGATTCACAAGCATAAATACACACACACACACAAATAGACTTGCATGTACATATATTATATCATTTATTGCATATACCTCTCAGATCGGAATTGTATTGAATTTCAAACATAAATGGCCTGACAGTTTTGATCGTTGTCAAGCTTAAAATTCAAGTTCAGATCTTTTCTCGCCCTTTGCCCTTTGCCCTTGCCGAGGAACAGGTGTTTATTAAATTCTAGAAGCATGTCTGCGCGCTGAGGGTTGTGCCTCTTTGGTAAAATTAGATATTCCGCCGGCAAACAAGAAGTGGCTCAGTTCAGTTCAATTGCATTGCATAAATAGGTTTTTATAACATGCAAAGCCCTGCGCATAGTGACTCAACGGTTTTCCTTTCAGGTCACGGTGAAAACACATTCACAAAAGGTCAAAGCGTGCAGAAAGGGGAAGGAAAAAAAAAAACAAGTGAAAATTTTTACATCAATTGTGAGAAGTAAGTAGTCACTACAAATACATACATATATAAAGAGATCAAACGTAAAAAATGAGATGCTCCTATATTCCTACAACAAACCTTTCGATACGATCGGATTTACCCTCTACACAGACACATCTCTTATCGATGAAACCATCTTTCCATCTTTACAAGCATAACTTTGATCAGATAGGCGATGAGACAAACTTCTTACGCCCCATTGCTATTCTCCCCGTAAAGCCGTAAAGCAAAGAAGAAAAAAAAGGTGCATTATCCAGCCTTGCTGAGTAACGCCATCACTGCCACAGAGTAGTATCCCCACAGCAAAGAATGGTAAAAGGTATTGCAGCACTTGCAATATTCACACAAGTCCTACCACTACTATCACGAAAAAGTTAATCTTCATCAATTCACGATGCAGGTGATTGACTTTGTTTTGAAATCTTTCATGCCTCTACGTGAAGTAGAAGCATGTGCAAACGATTGCAATACCGGCAAAGCCAATGAAATTGAAATCGATGATGGATCGGCAACAAAGCAGGTTAAACGTTTGGAACGCTTTATTGACTGGTTAGTCAGAGTTTCAGGAAGCAAGTATACGTTCATCTTCATTCAAATTTGCTTGTTGGTTTGGGCTTTCTTGGGTATCCCATTCAGTAATCAAGCTTTGTGGCCGATTTTCATTTCGGATGTTCAAGCTATTATTAGCTATATCTTTGATACCCTCCTCATGCGTCAACAATTGACTGGTTATGCAGATGAATTGGAAGATATTGCAAAGTTGCGCTCAAGAAATGCAAGCAAGGCCAGAATGTTACACATGCTCGTGAATGAAAAGCCCGATATCCTCACAAAAGCTATCAATGAAAAAGCTGATGTCGAAGAAGAAGAAGTTACGCAAGAACCTTTGGTAGAACGTTATTTGACCAAATTGGCTGCCTTTACAGGGCATATTGGCTTTGTTGGCGTTTTTGTACTTTCAATCATCGTTTGGCTTGCATTTGGACCAGCAAACAAGTGGAGCAATCAATGGCAATTATACATTAATTCCGCTACTTCTGCTTGGATGGTCTTCTTGTTTTCCCTGTTGGCCGTCGTTCGTGAAGGTCATTCAGCTCGATCAAAGAAATCAACGCAAAAGCTCAATCAAATCGATCGTGAAATTGAACGTAATTTACGCACAATGACTGGTGATGTCAAATCAAACGAACCGGTCTTGATCGTCTTACCAAAACAAAATCTCGTTCAAACGGTCATCAATGTTTATGCATACATTGTTGGAGGTTTGGTGGGATTGTTTATCCTCATCATCGTCTTTGCAGTTTGGGTTGCTATCGGGCCCGTGATGTCATTCAACGATAACTGGTGGCTTTTGATCGGAACGTATTCTGGTTTGATCGGTATGAATGACGGTTTCGTTTTGCGTAACGTTCAACATGTGATCGAAATGTTTGAAAGCAAGCAATTTGAACAGATTTTAGAGCAAGATAAAGAGTTACTCGCATGCATCCATACAACAAGTCTCGACAGTGAAAAGGTCAGCTTGAAGGAACCCAATTCGTTCAAATCTTTGTCTCAACGTATCTCAACGGCCGTTTGCAACTTTACTGCGCATCAAATGACAGTCGTTATCGGTTTTATCTCCATCATTGGAATGCTGGTCGGAGCATCAGTGATGCATTGGAGTTTAACCGGTCAATTGATCTGCAACGTTCCACCGTCCATCATCGAAAGCTTTTTCATGCAAGTTTTGATCACCGGTCACATGGCAAACGATAAACGTAAACAAAAGGATACCTTGGAGGCACTTCAATACCGTAGCGTACTCTTGCAAGCGATCAAACGTTTGGAAAAGGACACGACCATCATTTCTGCTACAGAAGAGAAGCAAGATGATTTATCGGATGATATCCATGTAGAAGAAGGTTCCCAGTAGATTGCCATAGATCCAACGGCAACGTCTCTCGCCCGCAAGGGAAAATTGCTCCTCACTTTGTCTTTCATCTCTAGTTTCTTCCTGTCTGTTGTCCCTTTGCTCAGTCTACCTTTAGAAAGTAGATCAACTTTGGAGAATTCCGAATAGACTCTGCAATGCAAGCATACATAATTGTATCCGTACATCTTGTGTTATCTATACAATGTCATTCACATAACTTTACTTGCTAAATTGTACAAATGATTACGGGAAGGTAAAGACTGTTTTGCGAATCTTACGTTTATCGAATAAATCGTAATATTCGACTGCTTTATCGATCGGGACAGAGTGTTGAACGAATGGCTTGAATGTGTCCACATGATCAGCTACCATCTTCAGAGCTGGTTCAAAGTGAGCACGAACCGGACAGCGTCCAAATTGTAAGCGAAGATTTTTGTTGTATAATGTAGGACCATGCAGCGAAACGGCTTGCGTATGAATTCCACAAGAGCTGATGATACCGAACGGACGGGCAAGTTGCATGCCCAAGTGTAAAGCAGATTCGGCTCCAACAACTTCCAACACGATATCCGCACCTCTACCATCTGTGAGAGATTTAATCTTTTCTTCCAAATTGTCTCCTAAAGTGAAGGCGTCTTTGGCACCATGCCTCTTTGCTTCTTCTAATCGGTCAGGAACTTGGTCGATCGCATACACGTTTGTGAACATGGAAGAGGCCGCAGTCACAGCGCAAAGTCCAACAGGTCCACATCCAATCACGACGCAGGTTGTAGGTTGTGTACGTTCGTAATCCGTTAACATCACATTTGCATTTTGACTGACGTAATATCCCGTTGGTGCAATATCTGCCATAACAATCAAACATTCATCTGGAATGTTCTTTGGTGCAGGATAAAGAGTTGAATCTGCAAGCTCTACACGAACGTATTCTGCTTGTGCTCCGTCCAAAGGAGCAGATCCGTACACTTTGCCTTTTGGACAACGACCAGTTTGTTTACGCGAACAATAAAAGCAGTCACCACAAGAGGTTGTGAAAGGGGACACGACATCATCTCCAATTATGAAATTCTTAATTGCTGATCCAATCTCATGAACATTTCCAACGAATTCGTGTCCCATTATGAAATCATATCCTGTCGTATGTCCATGATAAATGTGTAAATCACTTCCACATAGACCTGAAGTACGTACTTTGACGATGATATCTGTTGGTTCCTTGCATTTTGGAATTGGTCTTTCTTCCACCTTTACCTCATAAGGTGCTTTGATGACAACTGCTTTCATCGACATGACGGTGTAGTGAATTGTAGATGAAGGAAGAGAGTAAGAAGTGGTGGGACTTGGGCGTTTCATCTTCTTCTTCGCCGTCGCGTTGGCCGGTCGTACGACAGTCAATTGATCCGGGGTAAAGTGTTGGCCGGCCCAGCGCCCGCGTTACGCCAAGCAGGGCAGCAGTGCTTATGTCCGGCCGCTTTTAAGATCAAGGGAATAAAAACAAATCTTCTCTCCACTTACTCTCTTCTCACAACGATCATTCAAGCAACATGTTAGCATTAACAGCAACCACTGGAAAGATTGGAGGGGCAACCCTTGATGCTATCCTAAGATACGAATTACTGGACAAGAAAGATTTTATAGTCTTGACAAGCTCATCCGACGAACATCCTCGTGTGAAGGAGATGAAGGAAAGGGGCATTTCGGTCAAGAGTGACTGCAATTACGGCGACACAGATAGCATGGCAAATGCACTTAAAGGATGTGATTCTTTGTTCCTCGTTTCTACACCGGAGATTCAACTTGATTTCAACAATGCTCCGAACGGCAAAGGAAGAGAGTCACGTCATTATAGTGCAATCGATGCAGCCATTTCAGCAGTGGTTCAACATATCTATTATACCTCCCTTGCATTCAAGGATGGCTCAAAAGCAGGCGTTATGAGAGCACATTTCCGTACAGAAGCATACTTGAAGGAAAAACAGCGACAGAACCAATTACGATCTTATACAGCCATTCGTGAAGGACTATACAGTGAAAGTTGGCCATTGTACCTTGGACATTATTCTCTAAGCGGGAAAGAGACAAGGAAAGAGATCGTCGTCGCAGGAGATGGACAGATTTCATGGACGAGTATTTCTGATCTGGGCCTGGCAAATGCTATGATCATCACATCACCAAACGATGCACGATTCAACAATTCGGTTATTCATCTTTCTAATACAGCAACTCTCACTTTGAAAGATCTAGCTAGCAAAGTAGACAAGACGCTATCGATTCGCTCAGAGTCAGAGTATATTGAGCACTACGAAAAGGAACACGAAATGCAAGCACCTTTTCTGGAATGGTGGGCGAGCACGTACCCTAGTGTGCAAGAAGGGCATTGCGATATACAAGATCCGTTATTGACAGAGTTACTTGCCAAGCATGGCCGTCAACCAGAAAGCTTTGACTCAATCCTGAACACAATGGTGCAAAAATGATGTAGGGAAAAAATAAGATTCCATTACGATACTACGGGAAGATTCTCTTTGTGATAGAGGTTTCTGATTCGTTACTGTGATCATAGTTGGATTTTTTTCGTTATGCCACTTTGTACAATGTCAAAGCATAGCCACCACCGCAAGTTTCGGTATCATCGCCTGCACAAGCCATATTACAGTTTGAAGCGGTGTTCTTATTCTTTGGTGAAGAGCCACAATAACATTCTGTCGAATATTCCAATCCGGCATATCTGCCACCGTTTCCGGATTGACCTGCACAAAATGCGACACACTTTTCAGCCGTCATGGCAGGATCACTAAAAGTTGCACCTGTTAAACTACGAGAAGATCCATCGGCAAAGCAACCTTGATAATTGTACGTCTTGCTGCCGGAAGTAACGCTTTGTTTAGGCTTATTGGATGTTGGTGGTGGAGCACTTCCTTGACGTTGATAGACGGTCAACGTGCCTGGTCCTCCGCAGAAGGAAGTACTGTCACCTGTGCAAGTTGATTCGCAACTTTGAGCGGACAGTGCATTGCCAAGGTTTACGGAGCTCGATTGTCCACAGAAGCATTGATAGCCTGCAAATAAGGAAAGAAGGTCAGCAATTTTGATCGTTATAGATAAAACGCCCGTACTACTCACGGTATTCTGTTCCTGACAAATCATATCCTCTGCTCGTGCAACCTGAAGCACATAACTCCGGCGTCATGCTAGGGTTGGAATTACCTTGATAGACGTATGGCAATAGACGGTTGTTGGTACTGTCACCATAGCAGCCTTTGTACGTTTGACCCGAAAGCTGTTTCACGGAAGGAGCAGCATGTTGTGTGTTTTGGAAAACCAAAAGTGCGTTTGGACCACCGCAGTTTTGGGAAGAATCTCCTTTGCAAGGTGTTGAACAGCCTCCGTTATTGGAAGGGGAAAGAGCAGAAGCATCCACTTTGATTTTTGAACCATTATCCAACGTTGGACCACAATAACATTGATAACCATATTCGATTCCGGTTAAATATGCACCTTGTGAATCACAATAAGCCAAACAAGAACTGATTGAAGTTGATTGACCGTTTGGTGATTCAGAATAGGCTGCGTTCAAAGCACGTGCGTTTGGATAAAGATCATTTGCACAACCCAATAACTTCCAATTACCTGCATTTGGGCCGGTAGGTTGGTATGTCTGAGCTTGAACGACAAGGATGACGGAAGAAACAAACACGAAGAGGGAGGTTGATCTGAACATTTTGGGGTGAGGGGTTGGATTGGATCTTGGATGAGGAGATTTTTGGGTTTTCAATGAAGAGAAGTGCTGATTTATATAGAAGAGCAACACAAAAGTTTGTACTAATAGCATTCATTCTCCGCTCCTTGGCACTCAGCCATTTCTGTCATCCGAATAAGTGGAACGGGGAGGTAATTACGCTCAGATCAACATTCGGAGTATAATGGTTTTACGGTCCACGTTGTGATGATGACCATCTGTGATGCTCATTATATGCCAAATTCCTTTTAATAAGGCATGCTTGGCGTGCTAAGAATGTCTCCATGCTTTTGAAAAGCTTAAATTGATCCCGAATGTATGCGTGCTTGTGTGCGGTGCAGTGCATTAGGCAAATCAGCGCGTCACTCTAATGAAAGCGGGTAAGGTGCCCCCCCTTCCCGTGTAGTAAAGCCACCAAACAAACGCGTCAAAAGCCACGCCTCCCCGCAATGATGTCCGTATGGTGTGTGTGTGTATTCAAACAAAAACCTCGCATGTCCGACGTTAGTTGGCCGGATCGATGTATATATAGCTTATCCGCACTGACTTCTGCTCATTAATTTATCCAGTGAAAGGGTCATTAAAGTCGGGATATTTCATCATATCGGTGAACCATTCATTCGGGCCGAGGAACAATGGCTAAATAGCTATGGGAAAGTCCCGTCAATGTCCGTCGATTTAATGATTTTAGCCCGCTTAGGGCGCTATATTGAAGAAATATACGCATCTTTCAAGGACGAAAGAGTAGACATTTTGTCCAGTTGATGTTCTAATAATATATGAATTCACTGCATGCCACAAAACATACACGTGCTCTGGACTAATGACCATAGCGCGGCGTGCATAAGGATCATCTCATGGTGATCTGAACAGTGGAATTCTGCTCTATAGATCCTTTCTCGTCTATTCCTTTTCTCCTATACTTTATGGGAGCATGTAGAATCATCAGGAGCTCCTATTTGGAGTATACAAACGACTTCCTAAAAGATGATAGGAATCAATTGACATTGAATTTTCACAATAAAAAAATAAAAAGAAATGTTAATTCTTGTTCAATTTTTATGAGAAATTGGATGCTCTCATAGAAAAGGATAGATATGAGATGTAGAGTTATAACGACCATGAGCTCTGATTACACATGAAATCTATCTATGTGCTATACATACTCTACAAAATAATTTGTATAACTTTTTATATTATTTCTGTAACTTAATTTTGTAAAATGAGGTGTAGATAAAATTATAAGCTTACGAGCTTTGTTTGAAGAAGACGGCGGGATGAACAATGAGAATGGAGCTTTATATACTCTCAAAGCATAAATTGATGCAATAATCGAGAATAATACAGTTGAAATTGATATTCTACGAAGAAACATAAAGAGCACCAATTCACGTGACCGAATGCTTACAGAGAAGATGACACCATGAACGTGATCAACATTCGTTTTGTTAGTTTGCCCTGCAAATCTGGCCTTCACACTCTCATTTGATGAGCTTAATGGCCCGTAATCAAAGATCATTCTTTGTAGTGCTGGATAAACTTATCCGGAAAGGATGAATTGTATTGTTTATCATACTGATGCGGATAGATTATCATCAAATAGGATGCTTCGATCGGTTTTACTCGTGATAATGTATGAATACAGTAAAGAGAATGAGACATGTTCCACGTTATTGCCATTTTCTTATGAATGATCTGAATGCTTCTAGAAAGAGAGGCGGGAACGCTATTATTCATGATCACTGCCAAGGTATCAAGGTCTAGAACCCGTTCATTGAATGAGCGGTAACTCGGATATGTTTCAAATAAGAACCTAATGCATCCTTGATCATAATAACGGAACTCCAAGGTTTTCTTCAGAACATGCTTGAAAGATTGACGCGTACAGGGTGGTGTTTGTTGTAATGCTATTTAGCAGGATGGATGCGTGTGTATCCCTTAACGCGCTAGCCGGATATAGGTTTAATTTTTACGCTAACAAGGCTCGCAACATGCATACCTTCTTGACCACTTTAATGATGACAGCTTTCTTACCATCTTCTCAAAAGAAGGTTGTACAAAATGATCGACGCAGTATTTAGCGTGATGAATTGTTGAATTTATCTATCTGTCAATGTCAATTCATTATCTCAATCACCAAATTCACCGATCAAAAGAAACAAAAGAACTTTCCGACGGTGATTGCTAGCTTGATTTCTATCATCAAAGAGCAGTGTCTTTCTTGTAAGACAAAGCAGAAATTCACTCCAACCTACGGCAATTAAAGAAAACGTATGACAGATCTTTTCTTACTGTGCAGAAGAACGAGTTCTTCTCTCGCTTCTTTTACCAATCGGGAACAATGGCCAGAAGCAGACATATTAACCACACTTATGGTTTGAGGGTCTGATATGCAGATCAAAGTAGCTTATGGTGTGATTGCATATATTATTTCGCATCTTGAGATCAACAAACCCAAAAAGTATATATAGTCAGACCTGCATCCTAAATCAACAGCCCAATCTCTATCAAAATCTCCCTTTTGGCCGTTTTCCCCCCCTCGCAAGTCCCATATTCAAGATGCGTTTGTCAATTTACACCCTTGCCGTTTTGGCAATCTTTACAGCCACAGCCGCTGCTGGACCAATTCAACGGGATAACCATCCTCATCCCCACCCACACCCGCATCCACACCCACATCCTCATCCTCACCCAAGTGCAAGCTCATCGTCATCGGTCGTTTCATCTTCAAGCGCAGCCGTTGTAGCACCAACTGGCGCTTTGGCAAAACGTGGTGAACATCCTCACCCTCACCCTCACCCACACCCACATCCTCACCCTCATCCTCACCCAAGTGCAAGCTCATCGTCTTCCGTCGTTTCATCTTCAAGCGAAGCCGTTGTAGCACCAACTGGCGCTTTGGCAAAACGTGAACATCCTCACCCTCACCCACACCCGCACCCACACCCACACCCACACCCACATCCTCACCCAAGTGCAAGCTCGTCGTCTTCCGTCGTTTCATCTTCAAGCGAAGCCGTCGTTGCACCAACTGGCGCTTTGGCAAAACGTGAACATCCTCACCCTCACCCTCACCC